CCGTGATACCAGCTAGTATGTGAGTGTGTGCTTTGTAGACAAGTTATTAACATCCAGGTGGACTTTTAGCAACTGTTTTGTGTATTGGCAAATACCAGTAATTTACCTTTTTTATACAATTTAGCTTAGATGCTCTATCATCTTTATTTATTAATGACCTGATATAACATAACCATGCAGTTTTCAGCTGGATAAAGTGGTTTTTATTGTCTATAAGTTCTAACAAAGATGCTGTGACTGCATGCATCATGATTTCCCTGTTGGAATGAGAAAGCAGCTGAGAGTATCAGTGTTCCCACCTTCACTCCCTGACATCGTGTCTCATAAGCATTTAAAAGAACTCAGACAAAAGCAGGAGTAGAAGAATGGAAAGAGAGAAGCATCCAGATAAATGTGACAGATATGAGAGGACGCGTGGGAGTACTTGACAGCAGCAATGAGATCTGAGTGGCTGTCACAAGCGACTTATAGGTATGTAATTGTCATGGACGTTTCAATTTAATAGAAAGAAGTGGATTCTGTTCTCTGACACTTGCTGTAATCTCTCAGTAACCCTCCCACATAGAGAAATCAAACCCTGTCTCTTTTTGCAGACAGATGGCCCTGGACTTTCAGAATGAGTGAGAGGGGCCGTGTAGGCCTGTGAGGATTTATAGCATCACTTAGTCCTCTCAGGTGATTACATTTTCTCTTTGCACATAGACCCAGACTCCCATGATGTATCAATAGAGATCATCATCATGCATGACGACAGGCACACTCCATATGTCAATTTTACCATGAAATAAGATTACAGAATATATTAGCTCAAGTACAAATACACGAGAGGTACATGTACCTCATATGCCTGTTTTGATTTTATTTATTTTTTAATTTAATTTTTTTTACTTAAATGTTACGAGTCAACCATGACATTATGACTACCTGCCTATTATAGTTAGCACCCCTCTTGTCAGGTCAGGGCTGCAGTTTTTGTGACTTTCTCACTAAGTCATCCAGCGTCATCCCAATTCGACTCCTGTCAGAGTCACTCACATCCTTACCCCTGTCATTTCTCCCACTTCCAACATCAACTTAAGGAGCAAATTGCTCTCTTGCTGCCTAGCATATCTCACCCACTGACAGGTGCCACTGTGAAGAGATAATCAGCATAATTCCTTAAAAATGTGATTGCTCATCAGTGAACTTCTGCACTCTGTGCACCACAGAAGGGAACACTGTAGGTCTTGTGTTTTGAATGGTTAAAGAGTGATTCTGAAAATGATAAAATACATCCTTTGCCATGTAAGAAGGGTTGTTTTTTGTTATGAAAACAACCCTTCTTACATGAAGTGTTATGAATTATTTGGTGCTCAGGTTGCAGTTACCCAAAGCTTCATATGTTTAACTCATGTCAATCAATTCACTTATACTTTCAGTAAAGTTACATATGTAAGCTATAATCTTTCTGCAACTACAGAAGAAGACGATCAAATGTTCACCACTAATTAATAATGTTCGTGTTAATACATAAAATCTAAACGTATAAACTTTGCAGTATGGGTGTTTTGACACGCTTCAAAGTTCAGCATTTTGTATTACAAGTACCACAGGGCTATCAAGTTTTTAATGCAGTGGACCTGATTTATAACTTTTTGTTGCTATCAAGGTGAAATTCCTGATTAAAACCCTCTAGTGGGTTATTTGTTACATCAATATACTATTGCTACTTTATAACCCACATAATTTCAGGGCTTTAATCTGCCCAATTGATTCCAGTTTCACCCGCCCCCTCCCTGAACGCCTGTACCTCTCCCCTCTTCTCACACATCTCTGCCACTTTGGGTTTAAATGAAAACATCAATTTATATGAGGAATGAACAAGTGTAGAAAATCACCAAAATTGCACCTCCTGTTTCACAGATTATGTTGTAATTTATTTGAATAAAGGGAAAACTAGTTCATCAACTCCCTGTTAGATTGTTTTTCCTTGTTTATGACTTTTTTCTTGTTTTCCCATCTTGTTTATGATTTTTTATTACACCAGGGACCTTGCTCCAAATACTGAGGGGCACAATGTTTCTCTCTTCTCAGCTAGGTTTATTTATTTATTTATTTTTTGAAAGCAATGGATGGAGGAGTTCAGAATATTTGCCATCCATTATTCTTCCACTAGGGGGTGCTAGAGTGGAGCAAAAGATAAAGAGCGCAGCAGAGGTGCTGCTTATAAGTTCCCTTTATTCAACAGTTCCTACTGAACGGATTCCAGCACACTGTGATGAATCATTTTAAACCCAGCTGAGTGGCTTTTCATTAAGGACTTTTTAATAAAACTGTACCCTCACAGTGCTAGTCATGCCGAGGGTACACTATATACCGTATGCGTTCCTTTTACAATAAAACTGTAATAAGGATTCAAGTAATTTAAGCAACAGCCCCTCAGCTGTAATTGCACAGCATCTGTTGTGATTCATAAAATAGTTTTTCTGCTCAGAACTGCAGGAGAGCTGGTTTTCGTTTCAAAGCACCGCAGGAATGAGAACTGACCTGAAGAAATCATAAAGACTGCAAGATGATGTATGGATGTGTCACAGTCTGAGCTTGGAGATTTGCGTCGCCATGTTTACCTGGGCAGTGTTTGTCAGTAAAAGTCACTGGGTCAGATAATTGAGTAAAAAGAGACAGATGGTGGCAGCATTTACTGCTGATTACATGGAGGTCATAAACTGCTGCTCAGTAGCTGGGGGTGTCAGGTCCAAGCCTATTAAACTGCCAGAGCCCGAGTCTTAGAGGGATGCAGCTGCACAGGCTCAGAGTGGAGAGGTTTACAGTGGACCTAGACTAGAGACCTTCAATATATATATGTCTTAACAAGGACCTAAGACTTTATGCTTATTACTGTGCATATTGTGCCTCATGCAACTTTTATATCTGTAGACTTGGCCATAGAAGATCTCCATGTCGCCCTGGATCTGAAAGAACTCAGCTTTGGCTCCTCCTAGCAACACTGGAGTTGGCATACACCAGCAAGGGACATTGCTACTGTCACTCACACTAAATAAAAAATTCCATACCAGAGGCCTCTAGGCTACGGCAAAATTGCATAGAGTGGCTGTATGTGCACAAAGCAGGAAATATAAATAGTATATGCTGATGCAGGGCCATGCGCAGAGTTGTGAGATGACACAGGGACACAAGAGAAGACTGGGCAAAGCTGCTGGACAGTGCAAAATGTATTACTCAAACAAATGGTTTATGATATGATGTACGATTTGTGGTAAATATCCAGATTGTCAGACTCTGCAAAACTGTAGCTGTAGAAATTTCACACCAAAACAACAAGCCACATTTGACAAAAGCCTGCAGCTTCTGCTGAGCAGTTACTTTATGTTAAGTTAACTATTATTTACACATCACAATCAGGATGTACTCTCAGTAGAAGAGCATAAATATAGATTGCACAAAGCATTAGCTCTAATTTAATATACTGAGGTTTACAGCCTCGCAATGACCTGCTGTAGTTAAATTTATAAGTGTGGATGCTGCTCAGTGTTTCATTCTGTTGCAGGTTCTGCTCACCATTCATTCACATTAGTCTGCTGCTCGGGCCTCAAGCTGAACTGGTCCTGCTGAGAGTGTTTACCGATCATCCTGATGTATTTGTCCACTGACTCTGCTAGACATGAGATCAATATTCCAATTACAGGTAGACTTCCATCCTTGCACTGTAGAATAGTGAAAGTCAGCCAATATCATTGTCAGAATGCCAGTTTATGTAATATATATCAGACTACTTTTAGGATAATGTTCATCCTCATGTCAGTTAAACAGAAAACAGTCACAACACAAAATGCGCACATTCGTACTTTATACCAAGTCCCTTTCCAATATATTCTTTACATACTATATAATACTGGAGGGATGGTTTTTGCTCTGTTTTATTTTTGAAGGGGGGGTTATGTGTCAGTATTAAGTGTATTACTCCTAGATAATGCTAGTCTAGCACAGAAGCCTGACTACCAAAATCTGCAAACAGAGAAAGCTGTACCTCACAGTTTATCTTATTGCTAACTCTGAAGAAAGCACTAACGTAGGAGTGAATGTGTGCTCTTTTTGGAAAAATTATAAAATTTTTAGTTGGCAATAAATAGTTAAAGCTCCTGTGAGAAATTTGAGGTTTTGTGTCAACATTTGTGCCTCCCTGCTAAAGCAGTCTTTGCTTATCTTAAGAAGTGTAATTTGATGAATAAATTTGTCGTCATTTGTTGTGAATATCTTTTGTAGAAATTGTTAGAACAGGACTTTTTCTTCAGCTGCTTGGCTGACACCCCTTTGTGCCCATTTCAGGCATTAAAATGACAACATCCAAACTGTGAGTCTTGCCCCTGATCCATATGAATATTTTTCTATTTCATAAACACCGAAAAAATTCCTCATAGTCGCTTTAGCCAAAAAATGCTTAACTCTAACCAGTTAACACAGTTTGTTATTTCAGGTCAATTTTGCCCCACAACAGCTAACACGGTGTGTTTACATAAGGCAAAAATTATGGACCATTGTCTGTGTCATGACACAGTTTTAAAAAAGCAGTGAGAGCTGAAAAAGTTGGTGAAACAGCAGCAATCAGCCTTAGGCGAGCTGCATGTCCCCTCTGATTCAGAAGTACTTAAACACTGTCATTACCAGGTCCCACTTATCACAGCTTTAAGTGGGTTAGGGTTTATAGTTTCTGTTGAGTCTCGTTCTTCCTTTGTTAACTGTGGTTTAAGGTGGTCCTCTCAAAAGTTTGGTTTGGATGAATTTTTTTGTCCCTGCAGACATGATTGGGGCATTAGGTAGAAAAGAAATTAAGTGTCATATGCATATACCATCATATACATAAGATATGCTGAAAAAGCTACAGATAGCTTCTTTACAGATAGTGACAGCTGGAATAACAAGCATAATGATTCCCTGATGCATTTTGCTTTATTGTCATATTTTGCCTCTTCGTACAGCTTTATTTCCCTCCATTTAGAAGTGGTTAGAGTTCTGCTTGGGCGGGTTTCCTGTTGCATGGTTGTTGTCAAATGTTGTTAGCATGAAGACAACACCATCAAGCCGCCTCCTCACAGCTGATGTAAGTCTGTTCGGCATGACTGGCCTATAATGAGGAGACAAGGATCCCTCTCTTTTTCAATTAGGACTGCACACTGAGAGTCAGCTTGTGGCCCTCTCCAGCTCACTCTCATCCCCAGCTTTGCCCCCTGCATCCTCACTCAACAGTATTGACGCCACGGTAAAGTGACAATGACCTGTCTATGTATATGTGTGTGTGTGGGGGGGGGGTTTATGAGGGGGATAAAACAGCCCTGCATCAGCATAACCAAGCCCCATGGTTGCTCTTTACACGCTTAGTCCGAGAAGGAGCGTTCACATTTCCCTGAGTCTGACCTGCCTGTGCAAGTTTACTGCTTTTTGATCCCACGTCCGCTGGCATTTACCAAGATCAAAATCCCATCTTGCTTAGCTAGGTGCATCAGACACTTATGGAAGCTGACTCTGCCCATTTGCTTTGTGTTACACCATTCATACCCTCCAGCTACCACGCTTGTGTCCAAGTGTAGCGAGGGAGGGGGAAGAGTGCTACTTAAAAAGTCAGGACCCATTCATGATCCCCTGGATCATCCGTGGATGGAGTGCTGAGGTCGTATCTCTTCTCTTTCTTCTCTCTCTGTCTTTCTTAAGGCAAGGATCGACCGCACATTAATGTTGATTAGCCGAGTATGAAGGCGAGTGAGCAAGCATTCAGGGGAGGCACTCCTTGTGAATAAATATTTGTTATCTTTGTTTGCATAGTAAGGGGAGCTTCCTGTCTTTTAAATAGTAAAGAAGCACTTACATCTGACCCCGTGTTTGCCCTGCTGTCTGTTTGCTAAGGAGAATTTACAAAAGCTTGTTATTTTTTGGTGTTATTGTGAAAGATGCTCACACAGCATTTATTTTAGTTTGCTTGTTGTGCATAATGCTAATGCATAATTCATTTTTAAATGGTAAGTAGGGCAGTAAGACTAAAAGGATTCTCTCACTCTCCTTAGATATACATAATGTACTATTCTTTGAATGCACTGTGGCAAAAAAGGTTGTAAAATACTGATCTAAATGTACGGTTTATAGTAGATACACATTAAAAACACACACACACTATAACTGGATTTTATGACTAACACCCCAAAGCATTGCTTTCTCTCATTTTAGGGGTTGGAGAGGGACCCAGTGTGCTGAACACAGGCTGGTGGAGCTACTTTACATGAGCAGAGCAGCCATTGGCCAACAGCTCTGACACTCAAACAGCAAGTACTCTCCTACTTCCTCTGTCCTCCTTTCCTGGTGCAGCCTAAGAGGAGGGAGGGGGAATGGATCTTTTCTGTGTGAGTCGCTGGATCTCCCTCAGCCTGCTCCTTACCACCTGTCCTTGACTTACTGTTCCCAGACGAGACGGAGTGGAAGCTTCTCCTGCTTGCTCCTCCCTCAGGCACCTTTCTCTGGCTGTGTTTATGTGAGCAGCAGCATTTAATCTTCACGTCTGTTCCCCCTGTCTGTGTGTGTGTGTGGCTGTTTTTCTTTTTTTCTACCTGTGGTGCTTCAGCGGAGTGGCGAGGAGAGGAGCGTTCATCCTCGGCCGGTGGAGCTCTGCTGATGGGAGGCGGTACTGGCTCAGGCTGGGACTGGGGATGCTGAACGGGGGGAGGGAGGGCCTGTTTGAGCTGGGACAGCAGCTCCAGCAGCAGGGGGAGTACCAGGCCGCCCTCCACTGCTTCCTGAGCTGCCTGTTGGGACTGACCCATGTGCAGAGCTTCAACTCTCTGCCCAACTGCCTCCACCAGGTGAGCCAGATGCCAAAAACACACACAGTCTTTCATATTGTGTTTCTCTCTTTCTGCCTTTATCTTACACACAGTCATGCATATCTCACATATCTAATTTATTATATACTTACCCAGCTTTGTATACACATTTACACCACTTCTCTTCTAGAGCAGACCATAAATTACCGCTTAGCAAAGCAGGCAGGACACATTCAACCTTGATATCAGCAACACCAATGTCAGCTCCAACAGCACACTCTATCATGTGTCCCTGTGTTCACACTGTAAGACCAATTCTGCAGTACTTAGAGTGGGCATGCAGCTAAATGAGGCATTGAATGCAACACCACCTCATAGTAACAATGCAAACAGATTACTCACACAGCTAAAAATGATGTAGGATACATTTTACATCCGCACTATTGTGTATGAGTTATGTTTTGGTATTTTGAGGTCACAGGCATTACATTTTGGCATTGAGCTACATGCCCAAAGTCTCAGCAGATCTCACACAAGGATAGTTCATGAGGCCTTTAAACAAGGAGTGGACCACAGTTCAAATTCTGTTTAGCTGTAAGTAATGTCAAAACATAGCCCTGACTCAAGAGCTGTGGAACGCATGCTATGAGGTTTACCAGACCAATGGCGCTGTGAAAATGGAGAGCTGAAGTTCCTTGTTTTGACAGCCCATTACATCATGCAGACACAGCAGGGAGTAATGATGGTAATGAATAATTCAGAACTTAACCATGTGTCTTGGCTGTTTTTCTTTGCTTTACAGATTGCAGAGCTCTTCATCACTGAAAAGAACTGTATCCTTTACTAAATCTGGGGAAAGTCATTCATCCCACCTGAAATTTCACTATCCCGCCAAGTGGTAGCATGTAGGCTAATCAGTAAGCTAACAGGTGATCATAAAGAGCTGTCTGTAGTGGAAGGCACTGTATATTCCAGCACAATGGGGACTGTAGGCCGATAATAGAAAATGGTGTAAACTGAGAGGAATGAAGTGATGTCTTTTTGGTGAGTTCATTATAACACATTTGTCCCTGAATGCATCACGCTTTGTGTATAGCCCAGGCTGCGTGTCAGTCTCTTAAGAGGATTTGTGGGCTCTTATCTTTGCACAACAGAGTGGAAGAGCACTAATTAACCTGTATCTGCTCCAAGTAGCCTGTTCACCGACACTTCACTGCTTCTATAAACTATAGCACCATAGGACACAGAGATAATGGAGAGGTGTTGCATTTCAGGATATGTTACCTCAGTGGCTCCTCTCCCTGTTACTGAGACACTCCAACACTTAATGTGCCAGCTCAGGTTCTTCACCTCAGCAAGGCTTTGCTCCTTACTGTCCAAAATAGGTCGATTTGCTTTTGCTTCAAACTATCAATCACTACCAACAGGCTACTTTCCTCTCATTACAGGCTGAAACCTTTTGACTTGCAACATTATTTCGCAAAAAAAAGCTGTTTATCATACCAAACTGGCATTTTATGCAAAGAAGATGTTGTGGTATGATACTACGGTGAAGATAAATTTACATCAATTGTGATTATTAAGTTTAGAGATTATTTAGAAAGGAAAATTTTACTTTTTCTTTGAGGATGTAAAAATAATTTCTGGAAATGTTTGGAAACAATCTGAAAAAAAAAGCTAAAAGTTCAATGCTCCTGAATTTTCCACCACTGCTTGTCAGGGATTCCTCAAAGCTTGGTGTCACCCCATCTTAGTTACAGAAAAGTAGCAGGGAGAGCAGATATAGGGAGGTGGGACATGCCATCAAAAACACACTACAGAACCCACAGTGTAATGTTAATAACATGGTAGGAAGAAATAGAGTCTGGTGCTTTGATAACAAGTTTTTTTTTACATCAGTGCCACATAATAATAGACAGTGGTGCAGACATCTATTGATTGATTATCCTCTATTAACTCTGGATCTTTTTATTCATCCTGTTGCATGCTGCTCCTCTGTGTTAGAGAAAGTGTCACAACATGAGCATCATCACTCTTAGCTGCTTGCTTGGGCAAATTTTCCTAAATTTCCCTGCTGTTATCCTGCCAGCCCACCCAACTCCATCCAGAAGCTCCACAAGGAGAACCTGAGGACAAAGTTTGAATTGAGCTGGGTTGTAAAATTGGTCTGTTTGTGTTCACATATGTTGCCAACCCTGAAAATTTCAGGGGTTTTGCATGTGTGAACACGGGTAGTGGTACTGCTTGTACGGCAGGATGGGCATTCATTAGAAAATGTTTGTTTAAAACTTTGACTGTTAAAATAGAAGAAACACATTTGAGCCACAAACGTGAGTATAGTGATTCTATTTAGAGAGGACAGTAAAAGGACTTGATGTCAAATTTTCAGTGGCGTGTATTTTGTGATATTGATTTTTCCAATTGATTAAAAAATACTTCATGCAAAGTTTATCCACTGATAGTAATACAAATGCAGGGGGAGTTTTTAAAACTTGTGTTTATTTCCCTTTAAATTCAAAGGTTGTTTTGATTTTTTTTCAAGTAGTTCTCATCGCATTGTGGAGCTCAGGCTGTTATTTTGTGGTCTTTGTGTTCCTCCAGGGAGGAAGGTGAAGGGTCATTGTGCTCAAACAGGGGGAAGATGTGGGAACTTTGCAGTTTCACACAGCCTTTTTTTATCTTCAGTGGGTCCAGCAAACCAAATACAAGTTCTGCAGGAAACAAAACTAGATTTACATGTTCAAAGTGTCTTGGTGTTGTGCTGCAGCTTGGGCTTTCTTCCAGGAAATATACTGTAATTGGTGCATTGATAGCAATAGTGGCAATGCCATGACCGATTAAAGCCTGATGTATTGTTATCAGAATTGGCAGTATCTACAAGTGACCTCTGGTTTGGAGCCAAAAGCTCTTTTGGCTGCTGAGTGTTTACTGATGTGTTGTTCTTGAAAAGTAAAGTATGTGGATTCAGACATTTTGACTTTGAACTCAAATGAAAAGAGTGTTAGATAAAAATCTGGGCAGATCCAATGTTTATATGCACTTTAGACAGAGTCCGAGGCAGCTTTAGGACACTAGCCAATCAATATCAGGGTGTTAAATTCAGACAGAATTGGTCACGTGACCGGTAGCTGTGGAGAAAATCTTCATGAGTTATTTTGGAGGCAGAGATGTGTTGCACGTGTGCCTTGGTTCGCCTTTGATGGTGAAAGTTCTTGGCGTGTTTTAGATTGCAGTCCAATAACCAGCTGTGTGTTAGTTTCCGTGTGTGTGTTTGTGTGTATATGACCAGAGTGGAGCAAACACTCCCTGGAGAGAATAGTGTGAGGCTCCTGTTGTGGCATTGTTGTGGTCCGGACAGGCTAAAAATAGCCAGCAGGAGTAGTGCTGTGACCTTTGATGATGGCTGTCCCCCTAATCCTCCCTCCCAGATGGTCCACCTCACACTCCTTTTTCCTCTGTGTCGGGTGAGTCCCTGGAGCTCATTCAGGTAGTCTTCATTTCGAAACACCCTGATGTGTTTTTCCAGGCTGTTTTCCCCACAAAATGTACAGTATTGTACACAAAAAGCAATGTTGCTCTCAGGGGGTTTCAATTAGTCCTCTGAATCGCTAGTTTTTCATAACATGCTGCTTTTTTATCTTTTACAGCACAGCACATTAAATTATTCAGGTGTACATCCTCTAATGGCTCCTCAACATCAATCATCCTGGTGTGTTACAGTGATCCTCAAATGGAAACATTGAATTTTTCATCCCTCTCTTTTTGATGAGGACCACACTGCCTATCATGAGTATAATACAGGATTTTAACAATGAGGTTTTGTGTCTTGGTATTCCACTTTAGTTCAAATGACACAAATCTCCCTACGATAGAAAGATTTTAAATGTTTAGTTTTATTTGAAATATGTTGAAGCAAAAGTGGGAACTTAACTGGCATTAAATGTGTTTTACTCATGAGAGATCCGCTGTTAAGTAGGACATTCAGAGCCGTCGAGGCTGTGTTTATTTTAAGCATTCTCCATCTCATTGGTCTTTAAATTCACCTGACAAGAATCAAAGGTGTAATTTTACAGTGGGATGGACACTCAGTACGCAGGATGCGTTTGATAAAGTGGATAGGATCTATTTTTAGTTTGTTTTTTTATGGAAACAAAGCTGGCATTCAAAGTTATCAAAAGAATTCTGCAGAGAAAGGAAAAAACAAAAGATTCACATGAATATGGAAACGAGAGACAGGACAGTGAAGTAGTTGTTAGAAAACAGCACACAAACAGTGACACAGGTAACATCAGGTAAAATCTACAGTATACCTGTTAAATCCAGACCTCTAAATCAACAGTCTGTTCTGGATTATATTCAATCTGTTTGCGTGGTTGGGTGATTGTCCGGAAAACTGAATTAAAAACAGAGGTGAGCTGAGCAGAGAGGCCGTTTTTATTTTCAACAACTGACTAATCCCAGTGACATCTGAGACTGATCCTTCACCCATATAAACAGATGGAAAAGCCCTGCAGTTTATTCAGGCTGAGAAAATGTTCTATGAGGTGGCACTGATCGAGCTCACCGCTCTTCAGGGGAGCACAGGCAAGTACTTTTGACCATTTCAAACCACTCTTTTACTTGGTTAGTCCGAAATTCGTAGCATACAGTATATACTGTGAAATTTTTGGTGAGCGGTCTCATTTTGGTTTTCAGATTTTTTGATTATGTTTTGTTTTCATTGTAATTCCCTTCAAAATATCTTGTGAATATTATGATGTCTAAACAGAGGCTTTTGTTGGGTTGATTTTATTAAAAACCATTATTATGGTAGTGTAACAAGGAGTCTTTCAGTCTCAACTTCAAAATGCCAAATGTGTTGGTTGTTCAGTACATAAATTTGTGTTTGTGAATCAGTGTGAGAAACTACTTTGAAGTATTTACTTTACAATTTCTCTTGATGACCTTTTCTGAAATTGAAATTACTCCAGAGATGTTCCTCTCTCAGATGAAGGAGTTTCAATACCTCTGAGTGTGAGTTAAATAGTTTTTTGAAAACTCACAGAAAAGTTTCAGGATATAAGCTAGACACTGTTAGTAAAATACAGAATTGAGGTGGATGGGAGGAGCGGCACGGTTGATTTAATTTGCTATTTCATCTGGAGGCTGTTAGTAAAGCGGCAGGTACACTGAAGTAGTTCAGTATTTAGCAGATGGTGTCTGTAGTAGGCAGCTCTCCAAACTGGTTTGCGTGTGTGTGACCTGCATCTACAAACTAACCTGCATATAATGTATAAATTAGCCTGCAATGTGTTCCTGCAATTCCCTGGAAATGGTCTCTTTACTCATGATGCCTATAGAGAATGAAGCCCCATTTCACCGGAGTCCATCTTTGTTTACGATAAACCTGGTGGAGCTTCAAGCCAACGCTTGCAGCAAGGCGGCTCATTCATCACCTGCTCCTGCTCCAGACGTCTGCCTCTTCCTGTCTGTCTGCTGCTGAGGCAGCAGTGCAGTGTAGCGTGCTGGGCACAGTGCAGGAGATGGGGGACAGATGAAGTGGAAGACAAATGTCCACGCTTGGCTCATTAGGAGCTTTGTGTAGCTACAGAATGCTGAAGGCCCTGATTCAGCACTCACGCTGATTGAATGTGAGACTCCTTCCAGAGGCAAAGCTGGCACAAACAGCCGCTCTCCTCCCTTTCCAGTTTCTTGTTCAAACGTTCCCTTCTCTGTATTTTCCCACAGACAGAAACAAGGATGTCACTTTGTGGTTTCTGTAAAAAAAAAAGATCTTTTAAAGTGATTTATTTGCATTTGCTGTGGTATGGATTATAAACTAAGCTTATTTCCACTCCAGTCTTGTAGATGTCAGGTGTGTGTGTACAGTACATGCCCTTGTTTGTGTGCCTTAGTGTCCAGTGGGCGTGGTGTGTGTGTGTGTGTATGTGTGTGAGTGTGTGTTGTTCATTTCTCTTATCCACTCTCTCCTGCCCTTATCTCCGCTCTTGTTTCTCCAGTCTCCACTTGGTTTCACTCTGCTGTTGGGGCTAAAGTCTGCAGTAGTGCCAGACAGGCTGGTAGCCAGAAACCCATAAATTTGGGGCCTAATTTGTCTTTTTCTGAAGAGAGCAAAGGACAGTGAGGAGAGAGGGACGAGTGGACGAGCAGGAGTAGAGACAGATTTCTGACTGATTCCATGCCCTGCGTTTGTGTAACAGGGCCTCAGGAGGAGGCGACGCTGGGCTCTGCAGGATGGACGACCCCAGAGGAGCTCTCGGAGCAGGCCTCCCAGGCGCAGCACCTCGAGCGGCTGGCCCAGCTGTGCATCATGAGCAAACAGTAGGTAAAACTGTGTCCTGTAGTAGATTTAGTGGTGCCAAGGTCTAGTTAAAGACTAGATTTACAGTTTTGAAAAGTCCATTTTCTAAATATTTATAATTTATTCTGTGTACAGTTGGAATATTTTTAAATACCTCTCATATATTCTGTAAAGTTAATCCTATATATGTTTTGTTGGTCCTCTAAAAGCTTTGAGAGGTGATTTTTTTTTGCCAAAGCAAACAGTCTGTTTTAACAGTTCTCACGGAAGCAGGAGCAAGGGTCAATAAAAACCTCATTTGAATATAAAATATTACCCTCACATAGATAAAAGAGACGATGGTGAAGTAAAAGAGATCAATGATTTACTCAGGCGGCAAACAATTTTTTCGTAATTTATTACTTACTTTTATAACATTTTATACTTATGTTTCATGTAGAAAGAGCTTTAACTATGTATATATGAAAATGCGTTTTTGAACTAATTTCAATTTATGAAGTGTATGTTTAAGAAAATTTGATTTTGATAATATGGATTGAAAATTTTCCAAACTCGAAGAACGACTGCTCTGCATTGTGTTTTTCTTGCTCAAGTTGAATTTCCCCTGTTTATGTGAAGAAAAGAGACACCGCACCCTCTGGTAGTGTCACAGGAGGAACACTTTAACTGGATCTGCTGTCTCCTGTTGCAGTGGCACTTTGTTAGGCCACAGCATGCACCTATTTTCTGTGCCTCTGTTGTCATTGTTGGGATCGGGCCATTTAACCCGATTGCCAGAGAGGGTGACGAGGAGGTAGAAGGTTTTCTTGGCAGAGGGGCCTCATTAATGCACCAAGGGTTCAGTTCAGTCTTGATAAGATGGTACTAGTCTTGCCTTGGTGGAAAAGACGACTGGGTTCCTATTTGATCAGTTATCAAAGACCACTTTCTTCTTGACTGACAGGGGCAGATCTAGAGGGTTATTCAAGGGGGGCATGGGCCCCGTCTAGCTCTAAACAACGACCCTTGGTGTGTGTTTTTGGGGCACATACTTAATGCCATTTTTGTATTAGTTATTGTTCCTGTTCAAAAAAAGTCTGAACTTCCCCCTGCTTCTTATCAGGAAGTGAAAATATTTCCTGGATTTTAAACAATGTCAGAGGAAGTCCTTACTGCGGGTGAAGGGCTTTTCTGTCTTCGCTGATCAGATGTCCTGCGAAAGCAGCGCAAACTGACACCTGTCCATTACTAATTGAAGTGTGGTATTTGAACATCTGTCACACCAAAACAGAGCTTGCTCTACATCTACAGACACACGTGAGAGTGTGAGGGTGATGACTGCCCTTGACTTTCCAGGGAAGATATGAGCAGGACAGCTGGCAGATCCTCAATAGACCACATCACTTTCACCGAGCTTAGCACCATGCAGAAGAGCCAGTGAAAGGGCAGAAGTCAGTCAACAAACCTGAGGGCGCCATGCCTTCTGTAATTCAACCAGTGGAAAAGAAAGGAGCCGTCTGTGCTGGCAGGAATACAAAGTTTCCACTTCCTCAGTGTCTAATCACAGCGCCCGCGTGTTTAAAATTCTCATGCTGCTGAGCTCCAAACACTGAAAGCGATATGCTCACCTGACAGTGAAGCATGGGTCAAAACATTCAATTGAGGTCAAGCGTTGTTGTTGTCTTTGGAAACATCTATGCATTTAAACGGAGGAATGCAAGGGGAGATCTCATGTCAGACAATCAGGCCTTTTTAAGAGACGCTACTTTTCTTTTCAGCCCAGGGCAAAATACTGAACTCCAGAGCAACAGGGGAAAAGTAGAGCTGTGTTAAATTATTCTGTTTTTTTTTTCTTTTTCAGACCTCATCTTGCTCTGGAATACAGCGGTAAGGTATGTACCTCTCACCACTCTCTGATCCCTCTCCAGATTTATGAACAAATTAAAGTTTTTACGACACTCTTGAGTCAACTTCAACCCCCCTTTGTATGTTAATTAATCTTTCAGGCTACAAAAATCCACCAGAGGGCCTTTGGGAATGACCATCCCATTACAGCCAGGAGCCTGGAGCTTATGGCCACCGTCTATGCTGAGATCGGCAAGACTGAATATTCAGGTGCACATTTTACTGGGATTGTGAACTACATGTATGCATAACAGACTCTTAGAAATGAGTGGGTTAATTACATCTTTCAAAATTAGTTTTATTTATTTATTTACTGGAGCCACTGTTGAAGAATGTAATCAAGATAAAAGACAAAAAAAACATCAGTAAACCACATAATCTGTCAGAAGAAAACAGAAAAATATGAAATAAGATTATCTAGAACAAGCAAACATCAGTTCAACTTTAGAGCCCCTGCAACCCTCTGATCAGTCATCAGTACATACCAACGAATCTGTGTTTTATTTTAGGCCTTTCTCTCAGTCTTTTGTAATGTAATAAAACTAGCTTAGAGCTTGACTCACAAGGATGTAGCTTACTTCTTTAGAGAGCACTCAGCACAGTAAGAGTAAGGTTTGAAGCCATGAAATCCTCCTACAAACCTTGTCAACCCATAAAAATATTCAATTATTTAACACTCGCCATCATGTCGGACACAGAAGGTGTTTTATGCGGCGCTGCAAAGAAAAGTTTCCTTGTGACAGTTTGAGGCCACAGTTGTTTTGTACAGTACGTATGCTTGGTTTGCATTATGAGGAAATAACACTCTGCCTGATTCTGAACTCTGCATTTTTTGCGAGGACTGCTGTGGTGGTAGAAGCTGAACGTAGAGAGCAGCCGAGCTGTTGAGTCAGCGTACAGGGGCACTGATGCCGAACAGGGCTGGCTATACACAAAAACAAAGTGTACAGCACAGAGAGACAAAGATTTACAACATCATCGGTTGTTTACCTCTTATTTCCTTCGGCTGGGATGGTGAAACAATGAGCACATGCAGGGTCAGTGAGTGGTCAAAGTTGTTTTGTATATCAGAAGTAGCAGAAGTCTGTGTACTTTCTGCAACCCTGGTTTTGTATTGTACACAGAGAAATCCTCTTTGACCCACAGAGAGAGACGTCAACAGAGGCACGTTTCACTGTTTACAGCTTGTGTTCCTTGGATACTAAACACCGAACTGGGTCAGATCCCTCTGTGAGCCAACAAAACACTCACGTGTTTTATAGGTCAAATTTGAGTATCCAAGCAGCAGCCTCAACTGTAACAAACAATATTATCACTATTATTCACCAAACAACAAAGGAATACTTGAAGCGACATTGAGGAGTTTTCAGCTGAAATTGAGAGACAAAGAGAAAGAGAGTGTTTGTTATTGTGTTGTTGTGAATGTTGTGTCAAAGAATTTATAATGATTTAAGTTTTGTGATTTAAAAAAATTACCAAAGGAGGATCATTGTTGCTTTTGAAAATTCTCTTATGCAAGGGGAGAGCAAAAGGAGTGTTTCAGTCCAGATTATGACCACTAGATATTGCTAAAATCCATATTTCAACTCACTGCCGTTTTGTCTGGTTTGTTCAGCGTCCTTCTGTTAATCAATCACTTTCAATCAAAGCAGTTCTAGTTGTAAATTACCCATAACAGCGAGTGATTGATTAATCAATTAACTAAATCAATGGTTGGTCAGGTCAGAGTCTAATTCATCATTCCACGCTGATAGCCAGAGCACACTATTAGGATAGAGACTGAACTAGACTGAGGTTTTGAGCTCTGGTATGTAGTTTTCACAATCTGTGCTGAGATCAAATAATATCAGGCTCAGTCGTTATAACCAGAGGGGATTTTGGGTCACATGAAAGCTTTTTAAAGAAAAATCATGCGCCAGTGTAACTTCAGTCCACAAAGCTGCTCTCGAGTCTTGACAGGGTTAACACAAGCGTCTTCTCTTTACCCTTATTTGCATGTTTGACTTTGTATGTTTAGCCTCACCTCACCAGCTATCTTCAAAGCAGACCGCAGTCACTTGTACGAAGCAGCACGGTCACTACTCATGTCTGATCATGATTCTCTCCCTAGACTCCCTGGGTGAGTGTGTGTCAGCACTGTCCAAACGCTTTGCTGCTGCCGAGTCCATCAGAGACACCGTCAACGGTCTTCCTCAGTCCCATCGGGACAAACACTCAGAGGTCCGCCACAGAAAGGACTCCCACCACCAACAGGAGGACACTCTAAAACCTAAGGTAGAGTTGACAGCACCTGCAGGCATGTTTAGCAGTGTTACTTGAGCAGTTTGTTTGGAGAAGATCTTTGTATTACTGCTGTTTGTCAGAACTTAAGTAAACTCGTGTCCAAAGCAGGTGATCAATGGCAAAGTCCCCACGTCCATCCTAAAGAGGCCAAGCTCCAACTATGGGTCAGAAATAGAACCCAATCACAGACGGAAAGGCGAGCGGAGGGTCCGATTCAGGGAGCCAGAGACCACAGTTCATGGTAAGAAAACTGTCCAGTCTGGTAGTCAGATGTCTGAGTACGTACGTGCGTGCCTGCATGCGTGTGTGTGTGTTTGTACAATCATAACCTAGACTACATGTTACGTATTTTCCGCAGCCTCTTGGCTCGTCATGTAAAGAAGCAAAGATATTCATTCTATTCAAGAATCAAAGTAATTCTGCTAATGTCCACTGTTTCCTCAAAATTCATGCCATCCCAGTTTCAGTCAGGCCCTCAACAAACATGTAACAACAGTATATGTAGCAGTAAAAAAAACAAGAACAAAATGCATTAAAACATCCTATGATTGCATTGTTAACTGTTGTCCTTCAGGGATTCTGTACTGTTTAAAAATAATGCATTGCCAGGAGACTTCCAAACATGAGCAAGAGATTTACTCTAGGTAGTTAATTATGCATGCAAATGAGGCTCCGTGGAGTCTGTTCCAGAGAGATAGTGGGGTCCATGAGGGTATGGGAGCCGGTCTGTAGCTGCTGTACATCACAGAGGCTGACTGACTGTCCTCCTCTCTGTCCGCTTTACAGATATTCCTTACTGTGACTGTTTAGGTGGTAAGTTTGCCTGAAGGAGTTCTATTTTAATGAGCACAAGAAAGCCACACTTCACCACTGAGTGTAAAAGATATTAATGTATATATATTAGAATTTAGACAAAAGTTTAATAATAATTATTATGACATTTAACTAGAATATTTTATCACAATATTTCAGTCTTCATATAAGAGAGAAATACTAAAAAATATACGTTTTTCACCTCTTCTTGATGGATCACCAACTGAAAAAACACCACATATTTGAAGTCAAGAGTTCAGATTTGAGTCCTTATTATATTGACAGCTTAATCACCAAATCTAGTGTTAGCATGCAGACCATCGTTTGTGAGCATTCCTTTCAGATAACTTACGTAACTGGTGGCGAGGAATTCAAAACACTCATATTTCATCAAGTTACACTGTCAAGACTGAGCTATGAAGTGGCTGAATGCTATTTTCTAGCTACTGTTTGTTGAGTTGAAATATTAAGCCCATAGGACACTTAAGCTAAGTCATTGCATATAAGATTAACACTCAAGAAATTGCTTGCTAGTCGTTAGCAGCATTTAGCTAACATATCTGCCTGTCCCATGTCCTTCAGAATTTTTGGTAATGCACTTTTATTAAATTAATTTTAGCTACACTCAGCAATCAGCTCTTTTTAGCATAGCTGGCTAACACTGGTCCTGATGGTAAAAATGAATAACGAGGAACAGTGTGTCCTATGAAACATAAAAAGTGACAGCTTTAAGACTAACGTTTTCTTGAGTCAGTTTATCTTGGAGTTCATAGTTATTTAAGTTCCACTTTCTCCTGTTTTCCTGCCCTTACCCTGCTATATGAAATGAAAGTGTCACTGAAGCTCAGTTGGTCAATAAAGCTGTCAATCATGGTGCCATTCCATATTTTAGAGTAGAGCAGCAGGTCCCCTTCCACAGAGGCCTTCTTCTCTCACCACCATGTCTCTACGGGTACATAGAGCATAGTACAGTAGTTATATACAATAGTATATTGAGCTAGTTATATACACATATTTGCATGTAGAGAGTGGCTGTACAAAATGCACCTACTGGAAGAAGAAAAAATGATGTGGTTGTTGTGCTCAAAGAATTGGGGTAGTAGATATTTCTAATTCTCAATGGGGAAACTCTAAAGTATTTCATACTTGTATGGTTTCTCAGGTTAATTCTGTGGAAACATGGAAAACAAGCTTTCTGTCTGAATTAGTCATTCAAGAAAAATGACCACTGTGCACAAAATGTAATTTATTTCACTTCTGGAAACTGCTGCTTGCCGTGCATATGAAGCCTTTCACTGTCACCTCACTGTCACATTTCATACTGCAAAAAATTAACAGTACACTGTATGTTTTTCACTACACTGTCAGTATGAATCACATGAAACCCTCTATCTAAAACAGTCCTCTCAGGACCTTGACTGTCTTTGGTATGAGAGTAAAAGAGAGCAGCCTGCGTGCATGTGAACATTTAAATGCTCATTTACAAACCAAAAATGTGAAAAACTGGTTTCTCGTTTGCAGCCTATGAGGCGACACCCTCCCGCCCCCACCTGGCCCTCTTCACCTGCCTCTTCCTGTTGATGTCATTCCTGGGTGTGGCCATGTACTGCACAGGCCGGCGGCGCCCTCAACGGGTGTGCGAGGAGCTGGAGGCTGTCCTGGCTGTCTATCTGCTGCACATGAAACAGCTGTTGTGGGGCTGCTGGATATGGCTGACCATGCAGTGACTTAATCCAACCGCAGGGGGAGCCAAAAAGCCCTTGTGTTTTTTTTAAAACCCCTCATTTTTCCTATCTTTGAAGGAGCCCAGGCCTGCAAACACCTCAGCCATTTGTCTCTACTCTGCACAGAGTCTGTGGTGTTAAACCACTTTGACAGAGAGACAAGGGAGAAATATTTAATCCCAGAGATATGTAGCTTCCATGTCTGTATGTATATATATCTATATACATATATATGTATTAAGGTGGTGGGAATGCCACTTCTTATTTAAGATGTATTGATTTTGCACATGTTGATGCTCACACACTGAATCACCACAAAACATGTAATTTTTCAGTCCATCTTACAGTCTGATGTATGTGAGTGAATGTTTCCATGGAATGCAAATATTTATTTTGTTACAGTACAAGATTTGTGTAAATCAGATATAACACAGAGCTGAATGTGTACATATGGCTCTATATATTAAGGACTATCACAATATTCAGCCTTGTAATTGCACATAGATGAATGTAGAGATGTTGGGACCAACTTTGATTGGCAGAGTGCACATGAATGCAGGGGAGGATGGAGGCAGAAATGTGCAAACTGTTCGATAACGATCTGCGAGAAAGAAAACACAGGGCTGCTTCACTTCACAGCTACACCGGGTCGAATGACTAACAGATAAAAAAAACACCTCTTTCTTTACAGACTGTACCTAGCTCCACTGAGGAGGAAACCTACAGCACAATGTAATGACTTCTCTCTCTTTATATCCATGGTTGAAGAGAATATACTCAAACAGAATGGATGCTAATGCTTTTGACAGTGATCCTCTTTTTAACAGCTTGAATCCCACTAAATATCCTTTGTCCTAAATGTTATTTATTCTTATATACTGTATATCTGCATCTCAGCAAATATCCGACTTTAAAATAATTTGACTTTTTAAGTTTTTTGTTACTGGTTATATTTCTAATTTAAGAGAATATATTCAGGTTTTTATTGTGATGTCAAATGCTCATCAAGCTTTCGAAAATTTACAGATGGCATCTTTGCAACACATAAAAAAAAAACATGCTGTCATATATGAGGCCAAACAGAAATGAAATGCTATATGTTCTTGTTTAAGCCCCTTAATCAAGTGAAGCAGATACATTCAAAACAGCTAACCCACCACACAAAGGGATCGTAGGATTCAAAGGGCACAGAGATGCACATCTCACAGACCTCTCATTCAAAGCAATAACACACATCACGTAGTTTCCAGTAAAACATGGTTCTTTATATAACAGGTTTCAGGGAACTCAAAAGGTTTTCACATTTGAATGTCAAAGCAATATGAGGCAAACAACGCCTGTATAGAAGAAAGAAACACTGTCAACTCTGTACTGTCAAATTAAATTGTCATTAGCAATAAAACAATACCCAGTGTATATGCACATTTAGCTTAGAAGCTGCATTTCACGGCTGTCCAGACATTTATGGTCACTTTGAAAGAAGTGCCTTTATGGAGGGTTTTCTTAGTTCTTACCGTTTTATGATTTCAGTTGTTTCGAATAAAACTGTCATTGCCTATCAAAGTCAAGCACACTACTTGCTTTCTTTCTGTTATCTCGGACATTAAGTGAGTGTGTGGTGTGCGTGTGTAACAGGGAGAGAGATGCATGCAGGTACATTTGTGCGTCTATTCACAGTAACACAGTATATTGGTTTGTAGCCTATAAAGTGTGCAGGAGAAGCCTGAGTAGCTCTATGCCACAAATAGGATTTGTTTTTTAGCTTACACAGATTGCTAAAAGCATTTTTTGACTGGCTGTCTCATACATAAATGCTCTGAACTACAATTTGTCTTTATTATAAAACACCATTTGTAACTGCTGATAATCAGAATACACTGCAAAAGCACACGTCTTTTTGCTTTGCTGCAGCATGCAAGGAATTTTGACTTCATCAAGATGCCGAGTGCACCCTACATAAAAAGAAGCCTACTTCAGGAACACATTTATTGGTGTATAAAACAAAAAGGGACAACCCCTTACATCTAAAAACCACCACCTTATGAATTTACCATGCATTAGATCCATGCAGAAGTTTCACAAAGACAACATGATCCATTGTCCAATCTCCCTTAGCCATTAATACTGCATTGTTATATAGAAACTCCATTAAAGGCTCCATTAAATGGGTTTATACTTTCAGAGCTTAACCATAGTTGTGTGCCTTGAAGAGGCATGGCTGAACTCAAGGATTCGTCAAGGATTAACAACCATAGGGGGATTTTTGAAGGGGAATCAATTACCTTTAGAGAACAAAGCTAAACCCTCTGATCAATGGTCGATGGAAGCAAAAGCCAATTTTGATTGTCTACACAGGCAAACACTGGTGTTTCTCACAGCAGGCAGAGGACTGAACGGTTGAGTGTGAGTGACTGAGTACGTGTTTGTGCGTCCTCCCGTTTTTAGATCAGGCCAGTCTTGAGGTCGGAGTTGCGGCGCGAGGAGCGGCCCAGCAGCAGGTCTTTCTCGTGGATCAGGCTGTCCAGCAGGTCCTCCTGTCTGTAGTTGTGGTAGACCTTCAGGAAGGCCATGACTGCGATACCCAGCCAGGTGAGCCAGGCAGCCCACAGGCCGAACTGCAGAACAGACACTAGTGTGAACACGAGTGAGATTTTGTCAGACTGACTTCATGATATGAATAAAAAGTCTCACCTGAGCTATAGCAAACTGGTCGTAGAAAGCAGAGTTATTCAGTCCCAGCTCAAGATCAGTGTCCTGAAGGTCCTCACAGCTTAAGAAAGATATACAAACTGGTATTTAGGATGATGACAACACTTTTATGGATCAGTCTCAAGAGTTTTTGCAGTAATCTTTTCTACCTGCTGGGCATGGTTCCTCCCTCTGTGATGGAGTCGCACCACATGTTGAACCCCACACTGACGATAGTGCTGGACAGGAAGACTGTGAACACCACCAGGGAGCTGATCAGCAGGTTAAGGAAGGCATTGAAGATGGAGCTGCGGGGAGGTAGAAGAAAGACATAGGATGAAGAATTTCCAGTAGGCTACTGACTGGACACCGAGACTGGACGGTTGTGTAGTGTGTGAGAGCCATGATTTTAAGTGTATTTCCCCCATCCTTCTAATGGAGGACGACAGTGACAAGCCATTTCTCTGATTGATTGATTTAATTCTCAACATACCTGAGCCTATATTAGAAATACATTTAAATATTTCTGCTGGAGCAGAGGAAAAGCCTTATATATATATATAGATATATCGAGCCGTCAAACCACAGTGGTCTGGCCCCCCATACCGAGCTCTCTATGGTGCACATATTAACAGTGCAGCAGTGAAGGGTCACTCACTCGTCGTGTCCTTTGCACAGGAAGAAGAGCAGCCTCCACGCTTGCACTGCGGACAGGATAAGGGATGCTATCCCGACAAAAGTGATAAAGCTGCAGGAGGACTCGGGTCCCCACTCCTCCACGATGAAGCGCTGCTTCGACACGGTGATGTTCTCGTTTTGCCACATGCCCCGTGTGAACAACAGACATTTTCCCCCGAAGTCCTCCGTGTTTTCGGACAGAGGCACTACGGCGATGAAACCGAAAACGAAGGCTAAAAAATAAAGGATGCATTGAGCGAAAATTAAATTATCGAGGGCCATTTTTCTGTCTCCCTCTTCTGCTCTCTGCGTCCTGGAGGAGCTGCGCCTGCGCAGTGGAGGCGGCGATGAGCGGAGGCGCTGCATCCGACGAAGGCACGCTCTACTGCAAATGAATAAGCAGGCTGAGGCCTAGGGGGCTCTCCATCTTCTCCACATCTACGCTGTGGAGGTGACCCTCTTTACCGGGGTCACAATTTGCAGCATTTAACCGTTAATTAACCGCTAACATACGGATCCCTGTGTAGTTAAGTCATCTTTCGCTGGGATGACAGAAGCATGAGTTCAGGCGATGGAAGTATATAAATCTATACCATTTTGTTGCGTTTTTTTTTTAATCAAATTAAAACACAATTCACAATCACAATACATTTTTGAAACTCTTCTGCAAAGACTTTAAAGTTTAACATGGGAAAAATATGTCTCGTGATTGATTTTTAATTTGCATAGTTCTTAAAAAGTTGGAGCATGATGACGTTGTAGACCAAGCTTTAAGAGTTCAAGTGCAAACTCCTATATTAGGGGAGACCGGGGCTTGTTGTCACACTTTTTACGCTCTTGTATATTTCTTGGATTCAATAAATCATATAAAAACAAAATGTGTACCAGATGAAAGACCAAAGTCTCAGGTATATATTTTGTATTCATGTCATTTTCATATCTTGTGTCAGTGCAGAGTTATAAGCAATCAAACAGAGTGTGAACATGTGACATGTTGCCCCACCATCGGGGAGGTTGTCTCAATACATGGAGTAAGATGTCTCAGTTGATAAGTTGATAAGCTAATAAAACAAGGACAAAATTATTATTGTTCTCATTTTTTTACTTGAAAATAAACATCCAAGTCAGGCACAGAACATGTTTATCATTGAGCTTGAAAAAGTCATTGAACATAGCCATTGGATAAATGTTAACATAAAATATTATGCAACATGCTCTGGAGTTTGGAGGGCTGTCTGACTCTCTATTTTGGCAGGGGAGAATGTTTTGCAGTACCAAGTCAAGGTATGGTAGTTGACATTAAAGTCCTTTATTGTACTCCACATTGATTTATTAGCAAGGGTCACCTGTCTGACTGCCCTCAGCATCATGTCAGGTACTGCACTGCACTGCCATGTTCTGTTTTTGTTTTGAAATTCCTGACCAAGTTTCAATATGACAACAGCTGATAAGCAGACTCTCTATGTTCATTTTAACCCTTTTTCAAAATGTGACAACTAACCCCAAAATGACATGTTGCCCCAAACTACCATGTCTGCTTATTCTAGCTCTCGCTTAAAGTTAGCTTAAAACAGAACAATGACTGAGGTATGAGAGGATGCCTTAATCTCCCCTTTAACAAGTCCACATGTATCACTGCTATTTTTATCTGGAAGAAGTTTATTTTAAAATATATAAAGTTAATTTTTTTAAACTTTGGGTTGTGCAAGATGGTTAATTGGTGCTCATCTCAGCTCACAATGTGCTCTTCTCTTCTCAGACAGGACGTGACCCCTGACCATGTAAAGGAAGAAAACTAGTATTCCACTTTTTAGTTGCGCCCTCTGGTGGCAAAGATAATTGCAATGTGACAACTTACCCATGTGACAACAAGCCCCGGTCTCCCCTACATTTCACTAAAAATTAGTAAGTCCACTGGCTTGATACAGTTTTCTATTTTTTCATTCAGTGGATCCAAAGAGATCATGCCCTTGTACACACATCTACATTTTGCACACGTGTGAGGCCATGCAAGCACAAATGAGAGTAATGGTTTGTTTATACATGGTGACAGTCCTTAAGGAAGGGCAGGTAGCTGTCACAGCCATCTGACATGCTTCGCTAAGCCCATCTGGTGAGCCGCCAAGGTGTCTTTCAGACCTCCTCGGCCCCCACCCAGCCCCTGAGCCACCCACAGTGCCCTCCAGTGGGAGAAGCCCCCACACTGTCAGACCCCACTTCCACAGTAAAGTATGATTATTGCCTTGATTTATACAGGACTGCAAGTGTCTGGATGGAAAAAGGAAGCTACTGTATTTGAATGAAAAAATATAACCCCCTTTAAATTAAGACTGCAAAAAATGGCAACAGCCTTTGAAACCCTGGTGTTTCACCACATTGTGCCAGAAAGTATTAATCATCAAGCCTTTTCCCGAGAAATACCTCATGCAGCACCAAGACAAGTATTTATAAGAGTGCTTTCTTAACATTAGACAGCTATTTGTATCCATCAAAGCAACGGCAGCATTTTGCATTCCCTGCCCTGGCCTGCACATGATTTATGGGTCATTTTGCTGCACCACAGAGCTCGGATTTCCATGATGTTATCAGCTCTGGGATTCGCTTGAGTTATTGTGTGCTTTAGTGCAGTCTTGGCGTGAAAGTTTATTTTATTTGAACACCAGATATGGTTGGCTTGTCTTGCATCATTAGGTATTGTTACTGAGGTTTTCATGCCTCTGGGGTATTTTTTGGCTCCGGCAGATATTTATTCTTTGGTGTATGATAAATGGTGTTCTGTTAAAGTTAACATTCTAGCTTTGTCCACTCTGCTCTGAGTGTTTTGGGGCATTTAAGCTCCTTCCTCTAACAGAAAAATCTAAGCTTAAAGCAGAGAAAAGAGGACAAATCTGCTGTCTCTGGCTGGACCCCAACTGGTATCAGAGGTGCTGCCACACCTGCGAGGTTACAGGAAAAGACCTCACAGCTCCATAAGGCAACCCCCCCTTTCCACAAACAGGAGATAACATGCACCCCCACACACAGAACTCAAAAGCACACTTCTAAATAATACAGCATGTGTGGGCTCGTGAACTGGGCACCCGGGGGAGACCCAGAGCAAAAGTGTGTCAGGCAGAAATATGTGTTAAGTTATTCACCCCCAGAAGGAGAAGAGACACAGAGAGAAAAGGAGGAAGGAGGATGCTAACCCAAATGCAATCCCAAGGCTCTGAGCAAATAGAGAGAGCGATGGGCAGCAGAAAGCACAGGGAGGTCATCCATTTTTCATGAGATGCAATGGCAGCAAAGCAAACATCCTTTTTTCCAGAGAAGGAATCATTTTCAAGGACAACACCACTGGGTTTTAGACGTAGTGCAGTCATGCTGCAAACAGACCAACATGCATCTGTGTGATGTTGACCAGAATAATTTAAGATAAACAATATGTAAGACATTTTTACTAGATATTTAATTATCAAAATGTTCAATTATTCAGTTTATCAATAATTCCTGAGAAATTCATTATTAAATGAGTGTTTGGAAGAAAAAGGGTGTGGCAGGACGACATTATGGGTGAAGCAGCAGCCATCACTTAATGATGATTGATGAGAGGGATCAAAAAGAGGTGGTGCAGGAATAAAAATCCAAAGATGAAATCAAAACATTAAAAAGATGCATTGATTGAAAAGTCGCCTCATTGATGTTGGATCTTCATGCCCTCTTCACTCGTTTTCCCTTCCTCAATCTTCTTATAACCCCCTGCGAACCCCTCCTCGAGCTGCTCCAACCTGCGGCCTCCTCTTTGTCTGCCTGTAAAACAAAAACAACGGCACAAACAGACACAATTACAGCCTCATATCCTGGCCAGTGATGTGGAGAGGACTGATGAAATATCCTGTACCCATTAATCTTTCCCCAGGGGGGCGCAGGAGACGAGGAGCACTGATTAAATGCTTCTAATAGAGGCCATTCATCTCTGCTTGAATGTTGCATGTTTTAAACAGGCAACATCAACAAACATGGCAACTCCCGCCTCTGTCTGTGCTAATATTGGCATTTTCACAAAGACTGCGAAGCTGATTGAATGTCATTATGTGATATCTTTTTAAATACATCTTTTGTGAGTTTCTACAGTTTGACTGATGGCTTTGTTTTCACTTCTTCAAATATCTCATTTACTATAATGCCACAATAATAAGCATAAACAGTGATGCATGAACCCATTAGAGATTCAAAATTCATAGTTTGAACTATATTCAATACCAGGATTTCATCTTAACTTCTCAGGGACTTGGTATAAGACAGCCTTATTACTCTATGAAAGGTTTTTCTTTACTGAATTTCACACGTCTCTTTCTTATTGATAAATATGTCTGATCCTGAATGGATGATAAGAGAACACCAACAGCACTCCTATTATAAAAATCTCTCTGCAAGCTTATGAATGTAACGCAATCACCAAAATAGATCAGCCGTGATAGACACACACGGTTTGTACAGTAGAGGCTGTTAAGGGTCAATGTGTAATCATCATATATTAGCATGGCCTAATTATGTTTCACCTGCCAAGCTCCATATGGTCCCCAGTTCTGAACAAAATAATTAGGTGACTGCATCCCAATGAAACAATTATCCAATGAGAGCTCAGTAAAACAATTACCTGGTCATATCCGAGCAACATTACAGCAGCGTTTAGCAGTGTCATGTTCAGGTCGATGTGAAATTATGTAATATAAAAGAGATTACATCAGTCATAGATTATAAGAAAATGCCTAATTTCTTTGTATTTCATCCATATTTGACTCCTCAGAAGTGATTCACATCCTCTGAAACACTGCTGCCATATTAGCAGAATGACATCATCACAGGCGAAGGTCTTGAAAGCACGAGTGTTTATGCTGAAGGACAGGAGGAGAAAGGGATGGAGGGTAGTAAAGAGGACACCTGCTGGGTTGTGATGAAGCCAAATCCTCAGGGATCAGAAATGAGATCATCCACATCAGACATGATGTCAAACTAGAAATTACCTTGAACAACAGTGACCCCTTCTGACCAAAGTGGGGATGTATTTACCTGCTTGCCGTCTCTTTTGTCTTCTCTCTGCATTGCCGTGAAGTCCATAAAGTTAAGTACGCTGTGAGAAAATGGTTGGCTCAGAACAAGTGAATAAGTCCTATTATCTGTGAATGAAGAAAACAAAATCATGCATAAGTAAGTGCAAAAAAAATGAGAAATTTAAACCAAAAAAGCGACACTGTTCATTTAATCGTTGTATCATCTCGCCACTGTAATGTCTTTAACCCTGGTCCCAATGACAAAGTTGGGGCATCAGCGAGAGTGGGGCAATAGGCTGTGTATCCCTGAGGCCCTGTGGTGATCAGCACAGCACAGCAGATGGAAAGAGATGGTGGTAGACAGTTCCCCCTCCCACAGAAAGCACAGAGTTGGGGGGGTGGGGGGTCGTTTTATGGGTGACTGACTGCTGCTGCAAGGTTAAAGGAACCAATCTCTGGCAGTTCACTTTCTCACCAGTCCCCCCCTCCTAGCAACTAAGACCCCCCTCCTATTTCTACATGAACCTGTGTCCTGTACCCCGCGGTGAACAGCAGCACGTCTGACATAAAATTATGTCCAACCGGAATACAAACAAAAATCATGCAGCATCACAGCAATGACACAAATGGGCTTTCCAATTAGCGTGTTGCTAACACACAGTTGTTTTAGGAGCTGTTACTGCAAATTAGGCAAAAAGACACATATTTAATCCTTTTCCATACAAATATATACCATATGGTTGTAGCCCTCAAAAAGGTTAAGAGTTATTTCTCATTTTTACCTGGTTTGGTTGCTGTTTCTGCTTCTGCAGCAGGTGAAAAGCTGGTAGAAACTTGATCCATGTTTTCACGTTGGTGCATGGTTGAGGTGCCTTGGACACAGGATTTATCCATCTTTAATTGGGCTATGTGGGCACTTTCATAGGTGGTGGGCCCAAAGTTCAGGGAGGTACAGGAGATCTGAGCAGAGATGTCCTGCAGATTCATTCCAGCTGAGACCTTTGAGCCCCTCACTTCAGGCGTCTCTGGCAGGAGACTCTGTTGAAGGTCAGTCAGCAGGTCCTGAGTGGTTTCAATTGTGGCACAGCCCTGGTTGGAGTATCCCACTGCTTCCTCTTGCTGGGGATTATAAGAAGTCTGTGCACACAGTGGAAAACACCACCCACGAGGAAAAATGATTACGGTTACACTCAGCATACAGCAGACATTTCTATTCATTTTAAGGGCCATGTTTAAAAATAATAAGGTGCACATTTAACTTGAATGTCCTCAAAGTAAAAAACAGAGTGACAAATAAGTCATTGATTTGTGGAGCAAAAGTATTTACTTTTTTATTCTCCCTGTTTAATCAGCTTGTGTTAAAACCTTTTAGCCAAATATGCAAACACAGATGCAACTAATGAAATAACTGAAAAGAGTGCCTGTAAGAAGACAATATAAATTCAGGTTTGCCCTGGACTGCTGCATCAACAATGTGGGGAAAAAATGTAGTGTGTGCTGACTGACTAGATTTGAGCACCTTGTGAACTTGCTCTTTCGGTAAACAGTCAAAAGAAGACATGAAATCTGATTGGTCCTGGGGGTTGGTTGAGTCTGCACAGTCTAACCGATCAGTGACATCTGCAGGTCCAAGAGCAATATCTTCAGGTGAAGACACTTTCTCTGCAGACAGAAGTTCATGCAGTGAATAAAAAATCAGGTAGAGCACAGTTCAGCTTGATCATTCAGTCTGTTGCACCTACACACCATGGTCAGGTAATGGGGAAATGTGAACTCCCTCACATGGCTCTGAGAGACTGGGCGTTGATTGGCTGCAATCGTTTCTGTAGAGAAAATGAGGAAGGACCCATTTTTAAAGAAATTCAATGAAACAAGAGAATATCTGTATATTTTGAAATAAGATGACCTCTGACCTCTTATATAAAGGAGATGCTTTATCCGTCAAAGGTTCTGAAACTGAATCAGTGCTGAGAAAATCCTTGTGAGGGAGAGCGCCTGTTGTAACATCTTCATCCCCTGCTAGAAAAGAGTTGAAGTTCACCTTCTGAATTCCTCTTTCAGGAAACTTTTAGCAAACAATAACAACAAAGCTTACCTTTAGCAGAAAACACCATGTCATTCAAAGCTTTTTTATCCAAGCAGCTAAGATAAACGGGTTTTGTGGCGCCATCTAGTGTCACAATCACCTCAGGGCACTCTGGTAAGGCCTCAACAGACGTTGGTGTGCTGTTGTCTCTTTCTTCGTCTTCCTCGTCCTCACTGTGTTTCTCTCCATCAGTAAGCAGAGAGGAAATCCTCTGCAGGGTCAGTGTGCTTTCATACATATACAGAGGGTCCCAGCTCAGCAGAGGCAGGGAGGAGGGTGGGGTAATGGAGGAGACAGACTCAGAGCCCACATCCACGGGGGTCAAGTGGTGAGATGACTCAGGTAGCTACCGAGAGAAGAGACGCAGGTAGAGAGGAGTTACTCATTGGTGTATTCAGTTCAACCAACAATGTTTTTAGCATTGAGAGTATAGATTAGTACATCATAGATATGCTGTTCTTCTGTGTGCGCTGTTTGCTCTGGTTCTTCCACCACATCACTCGGTGAAGGGCTGCATGTGAGATGATGTGGAGCCTGGTTTGAGAGAATCGTCTCTTTGCTGTTTGATTTCCTCTCTGTGTACTCTGGCCACAGCACCTCACTGAACAAAGAACAGAGGATAACAGCTGAGTCTTTTGTGGTACTGAAAACATAATGATATCAAGCTGTCTTTTCTACTTTCTGTACTTTATCCTTGGATATGGCTTTTTAACTTCCACCGCAGCCTTTCTGACCAACTGAATCAGGTCTTCTGGTGTCACTGTGTTGACTCTCTGAGCCTGATACAGTTCAGCAGACAGTGGGCAGGGTGGTCTTCCTGCTGATTGGTGACATAAAGTGAATTTTTTTACCTTTTGTTCTGTCATTCTATCATTTCAGGGTTCATTTAATGTAAATCGCCTTACTCTTTGGTGGCTCTGCAGCTTCTGTCTCTGTAGCACAGTCCTTGTGATAGTCCTGATAAACATTTAAAGGGAAAAAAAAAAGTCATTACAAGATCTCATACTTAAGGTCCCCATGCTTTGCTGTAACATAAGATATTCACTCACACTGTATCCAGCAGGGATGTACTGCAAAGCCTCTGCACACAGACCGAGTCCATCACAAGTCTGGAGGAAGTACACTAGTATGTTGTCATTTTCTGTGTAGCCTTTCTTCAGCAGAGCCCAAGCATCAGACACACAACTAGACAGAAAGACAGCAAGTTAAATCCCAGCTAAGAAATCTGGAATAAAACAAGCATGACTCTTGACACTCACATACCTGTTTTGAAGCAGGACATTTGCACAGAGCTTAGCATCATCCACACTTTGTATCGGAGGTCTGGTCCAGTGGAGGTACTGTAATGCTAGCTGAGGCTGCTTCTTTGTAAGTAGACTGTGGATGATGCATCGATGCTGCCAAAGGAACCCAGGAACAGCAGCCTTGGGGCTCAGTAACAGCTCCATTGAAGCCTGGGTAACATGCACCATTATGATATTATGATTCTGCTTTATAGAGTTTTTTTTTTTTTTTGACTGGTATTACAGATTCCACTGCTGCAAAGAAAAAAGAATGCAAAAAAAAGAAACCACAATGGAAGTTACCGATCCAAAAAAAAAAAGAAACCGAAGCCTGCTGCAAATAAAAAAAATAAAAATAAATAAATAAATAAAAAAAAAGATACAAATTTTAAAAATCCACAACGGAAGTTAACAACGCAAAAAAAAAAAAATTGGTGATGCAAAAAAAAAAAAAAAAAAAAAAGTTACTCACTGCGAAAATAAAAGGATGCAAATAAAAAAGCCACAACGGAAGTTAGCTGTCGGGGACCAATAATGATAATGCACCGGTGTTTTACGATCCAGGCACAGAAGGCAATGGCGAGAAGACAAGCAAGGAAGTAAGTGGAAAGGCTGTTGTTTAATTTCATTTCTTGTGCTCTTTAATGTGTCATTTGGTTAGGCCATGTAGCGCCTGAGTCAATATGAAGTTGAACTGAAGCTAACACTACACCAGCATCCTCCAGATCAACTTCATATCGACTCAGGCCAAAACAAGGGTGTAGTATCATTATTGGTCCCCGCAAGCTCACTTCCGTTGTGGCTTTTTTTCCATCGACACTTTTTTTGCATCGTTAACTTTTGTTGTGGCTTTTTTTTTCATCTGCACCATTTCTGTTTTTATTTGCAGCAGGCTTTGGTTTCTTTCTTTTTTTTGTATCAGTAACTTCTGTTGTGACTTCTTTTTTTTGCATTCTTTTTTTATTTGCAGCAGTGGCGGTTCTCGGCCACCATATATTCTGTCATCTTAAATCTAAGGGAGGAAAGACTCTTCAATCTCTCATCGGTGCTGTTAAGTGAAATTAACTACAGGTACATGAAAAAAATCTATTATACATGAAAGCATCTCCTCTGTCATACTGTTAAAGAGACACTGTAATTTCATTGCTAATGGCTGGTACAGTGAAGCGCTAGCACATTAATAACATGCTCCTCTCAAGCGGCCCATTACTGTCACCTGCAGACCATTATGGCTGCTAAGACAAGGACCCTAATGTAATCAACAAGATGGTTAACTGGCCCTAGAACTGCACTCAGGTTCTTCTAATGACTTCAATCAGAAACTGAATTGGTCACTTGTCAAGTGCATCAAATTAATTTTGCTCCTCAGTCATGTACCTTGACGTGTCCATGATCCAGCATCCAGAAGGCCCGGATCTGCTGGGATAAACTGAAGGGAATAGTGAAGGCTTTGCAGAATGATTTGAGGAGGTCATCTTTACACTGCAGGAAGTTAGAAATGTCCAAGACAAAGTACATGATCTGTAACACATAAAGGTCAAGAAATACATAACCGGGAGTATTTTTCTGAAGTGAGGTAAGAGAGAGCACAATAGACGACAAACAGATGCGCAGCCCACTCCACAGATGCTGTGTCTGAAAGGATACAAGAGCTTGAACTGACATTTTGCCGGTGTGAGGTACCAGAGCAAGCTTCAGCAGGGCCTGCAGGTCAGGAGGGGGATAACACTGTTCTGTGCTGTCTCCAGAAATCCAAATGCAGCCGTGTTGTCTGTCCAGCTGAGTCACTATCCCCTGGATAAGAGACCCAAATCGTTCCTTTTCTCCTTCCTTACATCTGTATTAAAAAAAACAGAAAAATGAGGACACAACTTTGTGATAGAAAAAAGCTCACATAACTGAAATTCCTGTATAAAATCAAAATACTTAGGTGTTTCAAGGCTAGCTTTTCGATGGCTCTGATCCATCTCCTTCCACATCTGAGCGATTCGTTTCACCTCATGAGCCTCTGTCAGCAGCAGCAGAGAACAGAAGAACTTTTAGTGGTATCATAACAGTTTATCGCCGCAATATAACATAATGTTTGTGTGCTCAAATTGTACCAGGGTACTTGGGGAGGAGCCCCATGATGCCCCACCACTGAACCAGCCGTCCCAGCCAGATGTGTTGCTTTAAAGCCCTGTACTCTCGGTTCCAGCAGCCATGTTTAACATCTGAGGAGCTAAATGTGTCCCTGCAGGAGATGCATGGGACCCCCACACCTAAAAGACAAACATAGTATTTTAAATTCGAATGAACCATAGTTGAATGTCAGAGAGGTTAGGAGAACAAGCGTGTGTACCATGCCAGAGGTGTGCTGAGCTGAGCTGCTGTTTCGCCCACTGTGTCAGTGTGAGAAGGTTCCTCAGTCTCTGCAGCAGCATGAGAATTCTGGTGAAGGAGCTGCGGTCCAGAAACATCCACAGCCCGTGACAGCGACTAAAACCTGAGAGAACACAGAAAAGATCTTTTGAGCACACTTTAAGATCCAAACATTTATAAAGCAAACATTAGAGCATATTTACATTATGAAAGTTTGAATATGTTATTATGGAGAATCAGTTTCAGGAGAAGGGGGGCACTTGGTTAAACAGCCTGGAAAAAAGCTGCACTGTAAGGCTCTTACACAGGGTCAATAACTCCTTTTTGGCAAACTCAGACGTCCTCTGAACCCAGCAGCTGACAGTCTGCAGGATTTCCTCCATGTCATCTTCACCTGAGCATGATCAAAAAGAGAGAAATGTCAGTGAACCAAAGACAGATTCACAGAAGGAGTCATACTTTTGACCACAGGTGAACGCTTCAGTCACACCTTCAGCCATGATCCTCCTTAGCCAGCGGATGATGGCTCTGATGTTGTTGCTGGCTAACGCTGCAGACCACTGGGCCTCTGTATTCATCATGGTGCCTTCATTTAAAGACCATTACAGAAAAAATCTGCAAATCATGGATTAGTTAAGCAAAAGCATCAATAAGTAACTGCTGAAAAACCCTTACTTTGAGGTGTTTGTATGTCCTGCAGCTGAGCCCGCCGACTCGGTGTCCCTGCAGCTCTTACTGAAAGAACGTTTCAGTGTCTGCCCTGTGGATTTGCTGACCGGCCCGGTGGTTACAGTAACAATCTCTTCTTACACAAGCTACTTTGGTACATGTTAATCCACTAATCTCACTCTCCGTTAACATTTCATTGGCTGATTTGCAGTGTGGTTGAGAGTGCATACCTACTGTTTGTGTGCATGTGTTTAAGTGCCTTAATTGGAAAACAGAGATGATATGACAGCAGCGGAAATAGGAGCAACTTACATGACACTGTTAATAAAACCTACTTAGCTCTCTGTAGCTTGAACTTAGCAGGTATTAACTGCAGCCCATCTACTCTGTCTCAGCAAGTTGTTTTTTCTAAATTCACTCACTCTACATGGTCTTGAGCCAAAGAATTGAAGACATGAGAAGTTAGTCAAGGAATCAAAATCATGACCTCTTGGATATTTTGATCCACAAAACATTATTTGTCTGCGCTTCTTAAAATTTTTCATATTTTTAAGTTTTATAACTAAAGAGACGAGTGTTTGTGTCCTTTGTGTCTGTGTGCACTCACCCACAGTTTGACCTTTGACTTATTTACGGTACTTCTTTGGAGTGTGTGTGGTCTTCAAAGCAAACACCAGATGGCAGCACATGCTGGAGCTGCAAATAGGAATTATTTAATGTCTCAACGTGATGCCTTGAATAAAAACAATCTTGCGGAAAAACCGAGATTAAAGCCACAGAGGCAAGCTTTCCATTTTTGTCCATTTGGAGACCCCTGTGGACAAAGATGGACCTCTTCTCTGTGTGATAACTTAATCCTGTATGAATTTTGACATTTTCCTCTCACAGTCAAATATATTTCTCATTCAGCATCTTTGATACCTAGTCTATAACAGTGCTGTTCAGACATTAGAAATAACTACAGAACATAGAAATAGATTATTATTTTTGTAGTATTAATCTCAGTCTGTTTAAAAATAATCACAGGAGCTTTAACTACTATCTCCTTAACTGTCTTCTACAGGAGTCTGAACTTTTTCCAACTTGAACTGCTGACCTAAGTGAAACTAGACACTAACAATTGAATTTATCCATTACTCACGCACTGCTTGTACAGTTGGATTTGCATAGGTAGCAGAAGGTAGGTCTAAATCTCTTGCAGAGCTGAGGGCTCTTTAATGATTAAAGGGGATTAGGTGCAGGGTCAGGATTCGGCTGATAGTACCTCTCTGGGGCTGTTGTGACTGTCTTTGTAGTATCCGTGTCACCAGATCACTCTTTCCGAGAAGAGAGCTGAGGATGTCGGCCAGAAAGATGACTGAAAACAAAGGGGGACTACACTTCAGAGTCAATGATGATCCGGATATGGTAGGAAACGCAGACTTTTCTAGCTCCTGTTGTGAATGATGAGATGAAATTCTGTTCCCTGGATCTTTAACTAGACAGAAATGCCATGATCATGAAATTTAAAAAGATATTGTTGTTTGTAAAACTGAATTGTATCTTACTGCTGTTTCTTTTGTTGGTTTTTATCAAAAGTGAGGCCAAAATGAAGTGTCTTCAAGATATCATTCATGACTACACGGCTAAGCTGCTTATGAGAGAAGCTTCAAAGAACTGTCTTACCAGTCCTGAACCCCTCCACCCCCTGGAGTATAACCTGTTCCTCTTCCCTACTCCTTCTGTGTCCCACCTTTAAACCCCCCTTGGAATGAAAGAAAACTTGAAGTGGGAGTGTATGAAAGATGGCAGTTTTGAGAGTGAAATTTACCAAAACCAAGAGGGACAAACTAGCCCAGGTTTTATGGCTCCTGAACTGGTTCTCAGTCGTGGCAGGGGCCATCCTTTTCAGCTTGGGCGTCTTTCTGAAGGTGGAGCTGAACAAGCGAGAGGAAATGATGGCTGACAGGGACATTCATTATGTACCCAACATGCTGATTGCTGTGGGCCTTATCGCCTGTGCCATAAACTTCCTGGGAGGGAAGATCTGCTACGACTGTGTGGACACCAACAAGTTCATGCGCTGGAAGCTGATTCTGCTGCCCTACATCATATGCACCTTCTTCTTCACCTTCTGCATTCTGGTGGGGGCACTGATGTGTTATACCATGCATGGGGAGCTTGAGGAGTCCCTAAACCAGGGGCTGGCAAAGGCCATGAAGTTCTATAAGGACACAGACATGCCGGGACGATGCTTCCTGAAGCGCACAGTGGACATACTGCAGATGGAGTTCCAGTGCTGTGGGAACAATGGGTACAGAGACTGGTTTCAAATCCAGTGGATTAGCAACAGATACTTGGATATGACCCACAAAGCGGTGATTGAGTAAGTGTAAACTGAAGAAGGATCTTGGTTTAGTAAAGTGTAGGTTCACATTGAATACACACTAGACAAGGACTGTTTCAAAAATCCTCGTCCTTAAAAGATCATACACTCAGACCCTGATCTTCCTCTTTTCCCTGTTTTTTAGTCGGTTTAGAAGTAATGTGGAGGGAAAGTACCTGATGGATGGCGTCCCCTTCAGCTGCTGTAACACCAATTCCCCAAGGCCCTGCATCCAACAACAGATCAGCAATAACTCAGCTCATTTTAACTACGAGCACCAGACAGAGGAGCTCAACCTGTGGATGAAGGGCTGCCGCCAGGTGCTGCTGGAGTATTACACCTACATCATGCAGTCCATCGGCCTTACCGTCCTCATCATATGGCTTTTCGAGGTGAGGGGCTGCAGACAACTTATAACAACAGTTTTTGATAGTAGACCATCACAATCTGGGGCACTGACCTCTGTGGGGATGGCAGGGTAGTTGACCCCAAGGTTTGAGGTTTATTTCCACTAACCAGATCTGCTTGAGTTTTTTATATAAAAGAATCCAGCAAATGTTTTATATTTTAATACAGCTTTAGGAACATTTAAATTTGCTGATCTTTCTTCTCTAAAGACTCAAAAAGAAGTTTGTCCAAAAATACCAAAAAAAAACAAACTTTCCGCAGTGAAATGTAAAGACCAGCTTGTTGAAACACAACCCATGCAGGTGATTTCAACAAAAGTACTGCCTTATACAGATAATGGCCAGTCATGATTAAGGATTTCAGGGCCGTGGCCACCTTTGGCTCTGCCACTGCTGTATCAGTCCATTTGTGGGATTTGAGTTTCTAAAGAAGTGGCAGTAGCCCAGCTGAAAAAAAAAAGTGCATTTTAGTTGTTCACCTGAAACAACGGCACTGACATGAGAGAAGTCTTCAAACTGTAGCGGCAAAAGGAAAAAAGTGACATTTCCTGAGACGGATTTTGCCTTTTTAGTTCTGAGATTCTGAGACTGATCGATGTGTCTGGTTTCAGCTGTCGGTGTTGACAGGGGTCCGTTTCCTGCAGACCTCCCTGGAAAATGTGGTGAAACAGGGGGACCCTGACTCCGAGTCTGACGGCTGGCTCCTGGAAAACAGCTTTATGGAAACGGCCCGCATGAACCTGAACATCATCAAGAGCCTCGGCAAGAGCAACCAAATAGACAGTGGCAACAACGGAGACCCCAACATTAATGTTCCTGCTACCTCCAAAGCCAACTATGGGCCAGACAACGTGCCACCAAAACCAGTCTCTGAAGCCAGCTGATAGAGCAGTACACCTCAGGGAACAGCAAGAGGCCTTCATCAGGACTCCAGAAACAGTTGCTCTTTTTATATGAGATGTTGCCTTTTTGACTCTAACAACTACCAATTCACCAAAGTCTTTCCATAAACTGTCCTTTTGCTATTGTTGACAGTACTTTTGAAATTATTGATAACCATTAATGCACATTTTCACATATACATCCATATTTATGTGTACTGTCATCTGTTGTTTACAAATGATATCTTGTTGCATGTGAATCAAGTGGTTTTCCAACAAAATTCTGCTGCTGGAGTCAAAATGATACTGAAGGACTTACGAAAATGCAGTAAGAGATTTGATAATTGATAGTTTATAAACTGAATTCTAGGATAAGTCAGCTTCTAGCTACATATATCTTGCAGTACAAAAGCGAGCAGAACATGATGAATTATTAAATTAGTTTGTGGTTTTCTCATTAGGTCTTGTATAGAAGTAATGATGGCAAATTTTAGGGTAAATTCAGTCTGCTGTTGCTCTTACATTAGTAATGAGCACATCATCGGTCAGACAATATACTTATTACACACAAAAAGTACCAGAGTCTTATGTGCCTCGGCAATGTGATGATTTATGACTATTTCCAATTTTTTTTTTAGAATTATGAAGGATGAATGATCTGAACAAACAATAATTAGCAGGGACCATTTTCAAGGTTTAAAATTTTTAGTTTGTAAGACTTCAAATTCAAAGTTTTATTATTCAGGAATTGTAAATTACTTCTACTGAGGATAATTGGTGGCACAACTTTTCTTGATTAAAAATTTGAGTTGGTATTAAAACCCAAAAATCTAGTGCAGTAACTTGCCTTGAAATTTTGAGTTTTCAAAGTTTTTTTATTTTTTTTTTACAAAGGAAAGGACAATAAACCCTCTGAGCTGGTGATGGCCTGGTTTAATCTTTGTGGTTATGTTACAAACCAGTACATCAGAGAGGCTGCCTTGTCATGCTGTTATTTCAGTCTAAAAGCCTTGGTGGAAGACTACCTGAAAAGAAACCTTGTGCTTTCCTTACATTTCATTTAAGAATCAGGAGTATTTAGCCTCACAGGGCAAAAGGTCATGCAGAGTGGCGAGGATATGTATAGTGCTGACTTAAGTAAAGACTGTATGTATGATAGTCAATTTTAAATATTAGGAATTAATGTGTCAGACAAGTGAAATACTTATCTGTAGATTATCGGTTTACACTGTGGGTAAACAGCAGCAGAGGACGCGTAGTCTTAATATGACCAAAGAAAATCAAATTCTTTTTTAACATAAGATATTATTGATTCAGGTCACAGAAGCAGTCATTTGTATTTAGGCTAGTGTCTTTATTTCCAGCCTTTAAGTTGTGTAACATTGTCAAACACAAAAAAGGAGGAAACTTTATATCCACACATTCTTCCTGAAAAGGCTGAGCAATAATGGATGCAATTACTGAAAAGATATATGACTCCACCTGAAATGTTTTTCAATAAAAAGTACATTTTCCTTAAATACATTGTTGAAATACTTTGTTTTTTTTAACTTAAATCCAAATTGTGTTTAAGTGTGTCAGTGTACATCAACTGTCTATGGTCCCTTCATTAAAGTCTAAATTATTAATAATATACAGATGATATCTAATTAAATAATCATATATTTGGCCTAGAAGTTTATCTCCAAACGTCAGAAAACTAGAAGAGAGCTGTAAATACTTCTGTGTGAATACTGAGTCTGCTCTGTTTATCTCCATTACATACATGTCTAATTATAGGATTAAAGGCTACAGGAGAAGTGATCATTGCTTTACTTTGCTAAACAAAAATGTGTTGGATTCTCAACTGTGCTTGACCATTTCATCATAAAAATATCCTTCAAAACAGTATACTTCAAAAATTATAACTTAAGAACAAATTCGATTTTCTAACACAAGAAGAAAAACGCAGAAAATTCACAGCATTACCAAGGAGAAAAATCAAAAACATACACTGGTAACTAAAAGATGTTAGCATGTATCTGATGTTTGTCTTTATTTGAATGAGCCTCTTTGCAAATAACATTACTCATTCCTGCAGCAAACAATCAAATTAAAACAAGGCGACTTGGGTTTGCTTATCATCCACCACTCCTCCTTCTCCTCCTTGACTGTCCCACTTCTCTTGGCTCCAGCAGGGGTTTCATCAGGGAAGGATTGGCTACTTAAGCCTCCTTTGATTGGAGGAGGATTGTTGTTGTTTGTATGTGTATATGTGTGTGTGTATATGTGTGTGTGTGTGTGTGTGTGTGTGTGAGTGAGTGAATAGGTGAGCACTGGAGCAGGTTGTGCTCTATGGCTGTGCTCTTTTCTCCTTGGCCTCCACAATGGGAGCAATCATCACAACATCTGCCACTCAAAGGCAAACATAACATTAACCACCTCCAGGCTGCGGGCGATTTCCTCGAGGATGCAGTGCTGCTGCCACAGCTGATTCAGCTTCCTGTAACGCTCTGGGCAAAGGTGCAGGGGATTGCCTCTCCTAGAAATTAAAAGAGAAAAGGTGTATTTCAGAAAAGACTACATTGTGCACTTCATTTACCATATATGAAAGTTAATCTAGTGATGTACTGTCTGTTGTTAAAAGGATGGATGGTACAAGTGGCAGTCTCATTACCCAAGATGAGGATCAGTCTCCCCGTAATCGTCCAGGTAAGGAGCGGGGAACGTGCTTCCTCGAGTCTTGCTGGCCATCAGGACTATTTCACACTCTCTTATCCTGCCGACACAGACAAATGTATAAAGTAAGTTTCCTGTGAGATAGAATCTGGCTTACAGTAAAAAGAAAAACTGAAAAATACTTCTCTTGATTGACTTACCTGAGGAACATGCCAACTCCAGCACCGCAGACAGCAGCGTGGGCGGTGCAAGCCCCCACGTCCTCCCCATCCAGCGGGCTGAGACAGCAGGAGCTCTGAGAGCACAGCATGGCGCCACAGAACAGGCACAGGGTCGGATGCTTTCTCTCATCATCCATGGACTTTGGACATCTTTTAAAAAAGTTGTTGAGCTGTTAAAACTCCTCTGGTGAATTTTCCTGTGATAAGTTTTGATTGAAAGGATTAAATTCCCTACTTACTGAAAATGGCTGGCCTGATTGAGGAGAGCGCTGTAATCCTCGGGGAGCTCAATCAGTCGATTCCTCTTCCTCGGGTATCTGGGAGAAGAGTTTATTTTTTTATCCATGAGGTTTTTAAAAAATTAAATGAAAGTGTGAAGAAAACAAAACAAAGATAAAAGTCCACCTGGGTGTCTGCACTTTTCCTTTCAGAGCCCTGGTTACAGCTTGGTTTCCACACCACCTGAGGAAGAAATATCACTGTCATAAAACTAATCATCTCTCTTGCTATTACTAAAAAAAAAAATCAGTGAATAAGTGCTTATACAATCCTGAAGTATCTGACACCCACCTCTGCAGCAGTGGAGTAACTGTGTCTCTGTGCTCCTGGAAGAGCTGGAATACATTTGAGGGTAGAGCCAAGTAGCTGCATAATGCCTCCATCTGTCCTTCAGAGGTAACTGAAGAGATCCAAAACATCAGCTTTCATTCATTAATCACCTTGTGCTGCGTGTGACGACAATCTAATACCTGAGCTTGACCTACCAGCAGCACTTAAGAGCTCATCTGGAGGATGCACTCCTGTAAGGCAATTAAAGAAGAGAGCAGCACAGCGCAGGAACGGTTCGATTCCTCTCTTCACCTTCTCTGCCACAGAGGCGCCCGACACATCAGGAGTCGACCTGATTCGCAAAACACAAAACAATCTGTCAGTCGAGCCAAACACATCTCTGAGTATGCAGCATGGAGAGGATCTAGGCAAAAAAGAAATGCGAGAATCTGCTTTCATTATAGGCGGGGTCCAGTCCTGCCAAGTTTGGTTATGAAACAAGCTGATGAGAAATTCTTCCCTGTGGTTTTATGAAACTTCAAATCAGACTATTTGCACTTGTGCTAGTTAATTAAAAGATGTAAAGATGTAAACAATAAAAGAGCAAATGAGTTAAGTGTAATCAACATTTACACAGAAAACATTCCCTTTAAGTTGGATGTGTTTGAATAAGGACTATAAAAGTTTGTTCCTCAGCACAACATGAGGTTGAACACTGATCATCACAAAATTTTGGGGCCTTTGTAAGAGAAAATGTCGTTTTGTTAAACACTAAACAGAGACTTTTGGCTTTCTCAAGTCCGACTAAATGACACAAAAAACTTTTAGATGAGTCAATGAATTCACCAGACTAATATTCTAAAGGTCCTTACACACCAGCGAATTTGCGGAGCGAAGCAAAAAAGCGAGACGGAAATGCGAAAATATTCGCCGGTCCGAAAAATTGCTTTCGCTTATACACACAGGGCGACCACTCTGTGGCACACACTCTCTCCCATCGTTGCTCTTGGTGCCCGTGGTGGTGTGTGTCGTGTGAACTGCAGCTGCATTGGTCTGTGACGTCATCAACAACATGACTTTTGATTGGCCACAGGTCTAGCAGGTCCAGATATTCGCCTGCAAATCTCCCAAAAATTCGACACAAGAGCGAAAAAATAAAAGGCGCTTTTCGCCCCGCGGAAAAAATCGCCGCCGGTGTGGAAGCTTGCATTGACTTTATGCTATTTTAGAAAAAGGCGAATAATTTGCCTGACAAATTCGCGCCTGGTGTGTAAGGACCTTAAGAATAACTTTATTGATCTTAATTCAACACCTACGATTGTTCTACAATTGTTGAGCAAATTCTTAATGCCACACCAAAATGTTCCTGGTGAATTTAGCTTCACAGATACCGTCATTTGAGAGACACTCGTACCTCTCAGTGAGATGTGACACTGCGCTGCAGAGCTCTGCAGCCGCTCTCGCCTCTTCTGTCTCTTCTCCTCCTGACACTGCAGGAAAATCTAAGCAGAACAGACAACCAAATCCCCTCGTCTTAATCATGAGTCTTACTGTAAATCACTGTAAGGTAGTTATTGGTGTTTGACTGGACTGTAATGTAAAAGGTGTGAGACTTTCATACTTGTGGAGGACAGGAGGACCTGCACTATGTGAGCCATGGTGACCAGATGAAGAATGTGCAGGTGGTTGTAGGCAGAGCTGACAGCAGACGGCTGCAGGTCTACAGCCTCTTCTTGGTACAGTGAGGGAATAGACAACACCAACCCCACCTGACAAAAGACAAGAACCAATTTTATTAATATAAATGTTAAAATAAAATTAAAAAAAGGTACGTTCTAGCAAGTTTAAGTCCGATAATCTGCTGCAGAGCTGTTCCCTACCAAAAGATGGAAGAAGTCCACCTCCAGCAGAGAGGGTGTGTTGCCTCTACTCATGGCTGGTAGTAAAACTGGGGAGATTAACAAGAATAAAACAGTTTGTCACATTTCATACAGTACTTTCAATTTTTATGCAGTCATGCATTGAAATCCAATGGAAAAACAGAAGATGATAAATGACCACACACCTCCCAGCATGCCTGTGAAGTGCCTTTGAATGACAGCCTGGGAGCTCTTGAGTCTCTGAGCTGCTGAAAACTGCACAATGGCCTTTAGACCTGCAAGCTAGAATAGAGAAGCTTATCACAAATCTGCCAGATCATTAATCATGACAGCATGTACAGTCAGCACTTCTTGGCATCAAACCTGTCTGTTCTGTAAGGACCCAAAGAGTGGCTTTTCCTCTTCCTGCAGTATGTTTTCTGTTAAAACACAGACACGTATTATGAGACCAGCACCAACATAAGCAAGCGGCTGGACAATAGGAACCAGACATGCAGAGTCTAGCTGTACCTATTGCCTGGATTGTGAAGGCGCATGTGTTCCAAGTCATGAGGGGCACACATGGGCACAGCTCGTTGGGTGCTGTCTGCAGTCCCACCCTGTGGACTGTGGTGGCGCACACAACCAGCATCTCCACAATGCTGTCCGAGAGTTTTCTCCTGAAAACAGCAAGCAGAGATCTTGAAGCTGTTGTGCAATAGCTCAAAAATACTCTGAAGGTGGGAGTTTTACTCACGGTTCCTGTACTCCGTAGCTGAGAATGGATCTGAAGTCTGGCTGGCTCTCTCCACACACCCCTGCGCTGCCATCAACACTGCTGCTCTCTGTGTTGAAATCTGCACCGCACAGTAAATCACTGGTTATCTTTGCCATCGTCACTTCTACTAAACCTTAGAAACACCTCGGCTTGATGAAGTTTATTGGCCTGTCTGAAGCCTTCCACCAGACCCAGCAAAGTACTAATGCTACGCAGCTGCAGGGCTAAGCATCCATTCTCCATCCGTATTTGATGGATAAGTTATGCACATGACATGAAGCTGCAGTAGCTTTCATAAAGCTCTCATAAGCAACGTCAAAAAATAAATAAAGCCTTTTTCTGTGACATTCTTGTTCACCCATCTAAAAGAAATGCAATTACTGTGTGTTGAGTGTGTCCTCTTACCGTTGTCCTGAGTGACAGACTTGAGTCCTTTAATCCTGGCAGTGAGGATCTGGATCCAGCGAGGCATGGTCAAATGCTGCTCAATTATTTCTGCATTTTCACTACATTCAAACACAGAAAAAAAATAAATAACAGAAAATCCCTCATTTGAACATCCATCTTTCAATGCTCTGATGAATCAGACTTACTAGTTAAATGTTAGTGGTTCTAACGGGATGAGAGGTACAACGGTATTGCACAGAGACTTGCAGAGGGGACACAAGTACTCCCCGTTCTCCAGATCGATGATCAACTCAGCGTGGAGTCGGTTTCGGGTTGTATTCTGAACAGCCTCGAAATATCTGAAAAAACACCAGGCATCAGGGTTAAATATTTGCAGTAAACCACAAGAGCAGAACGAACACAAAAAGAAAAATAAATAAAGGAATTTTAGTCCAAATTTACTCACTTTTGCCAACATGTAGCATGCATGACATGTCCACAACTGCCTGTATGGGTACCTACTGCCAGCTCAGGAGGCATGAAGAGGGGATACGCCGTCCCTTTAAGAGATTATTACATTGGATACATGTGTCACATGTGGCAGAATCAGATTTACCTCCATTAATTATTACAGATGCTACATCAATCAGTCAATCAATCAATAAAATGTGATGCTATTAAGAGACTGACCATCTCCTATGCAGATCAGTTTCTTCCCTCTACATTGTGTCAGCACTGTTGACCTCTGCACACATGCAGTCAGCACCATGGCTTGAGCCTGGGCAGCTACTTCCTGCTCCTCCTGACAAAGAATGCAGGTGAGCACCTCCCTCTCTGCTGGGGTGGAGCCTCGATGGGGGCCGATGGCCACACACAGCTCCCTCTGCTCCATGGCACAGCTGAAGGAAGAAGCCAAAATAGAATGAATATTACTGTCGAGGTTTCTTTTGCAGTCCCTTGCCAATATTGATGAATTGAAACACAGCTCAGAAAAATATGATCAATAATAATGATTTGCCACATTCCCTCCACATACATTAGTCAGACGATATCTTATTGTATTCTTCTGGCAGACTTGGCAGAGGGACCTGACACATCCAAATATCCCTCCAGTAATATTCAGATATCACTTTGCCTGATCTCCCCTAACTTTTGTATAATTTGGACAGTTGAGTAAAAGGAACAAGATGTTTATTGACTTTTGGCCTTGAATGTATCAGTAAACATACTCATCAGATTAGCTTCACTACCTTTTGTTTACTTTTGTGACTAAAATAGTCTCTGACCTGAAGTTATCTGAAAAAAATCTGCTATGTTGAAACTGTGTGCATTTAAACGTTGCATCAACATAGAGCCGCTGGTCTAAAATCTCAATGGCATGTCTCTTAAAGTGAAACTTTTTCCAGGCCTTGCTCAGCACCTGGAGAGCTACTCTGGTCCACTGGTTTGATTCATTTAGATAACCCTTGCATTGGTAAACACCCTAAAGTAAACAGAGCTGTTGATTAAAACTGTGCGAGTTCAAAATCTGTCATGAAATGGAACAGACAACACCAACACACTGATAGCCAGTAGTTTGGATCTTGAGCTGAAAACACCCAAAGAGCTCACCTCTCAGTGGATGTGACAGGCTCTCCTTGTGTACCGCTCTCTGGCATGTTGTCGTACAGCATCTTATTTGACTCGATGAAGTTTTTCTGCATTGCAGACATCTGGGCCATGATCTTCTGCCGGTGGAGTTTGGCTGCCTCAGCTTTTCTTTTGCGCTCTGCTTTCTCTTTGTCCTGGGCGCTCTGGAGCAAGGCAAATCATAAGATCAGGCTTGAAGCTTTCATATTTCTTAATAAGTCAATAATGATAATAAAGCCCTCTTTAATCTGATATTTTATCTGAATTTATCCCTCCCAAAATCTCAAAGTGTAGAGCCTTCTTTGTCAGAAGCAAGCCACATATCAAACAAGGACAGGGTCAAGCAGATTATACTCTTAAATCCAGATTTTTGAAGTCATCATGAAATAGTTTTTACCTCTTCAGGCTTGGTTGTTTCTGCACTCATAGATGCTGACGGGCTGGACTTCTCCCTAAGGCACTTGATGATCTCAAACATCTGAGAAAAACATGAATCAATGAAGATAAGGTGACAGAGGGGGTCTGTAAACAGTCAACAAAGACATAGAAAATGTTTTGTAATGTAAATTGAAAATATCTGGATAAAAAAAAGTCTACCTGTAGGACCCATTTGACCATGTCTTTCTGGGCTTCAAGTGAAGGAATGGTCTTAATCTTGGACAATAGGAGAAACACTGACTTGCCGTGTTCTGATCCAATTCCTGTTAGACATAAGGAGATATCATGTCACAAAGTTTCTAAAACCAGACCTGCTTTTCCAGCTTTGAGACTCCAGAGACATAAAATCTTTGTAACTTACTTCGGGCCTTCAGGCTGAAATCAAAGGTCACTTCCTCCACAGAGCTATCCTCAAGCTGTGCTTTCTCTTCCAGTAATGCCTGACCTATCAGGTGCAGGGCCTGTGTGGGAAATACATGCAGTTTGTTACTGACAGTAAGTGATGGCAAAAGTAAAGAGAGGTGCTCTTTGAAAAACTTAATGCACTGTGTACCCTCTGGATCATGGCTTCTGTCCAATGTGTAGCCCGGTCCTCTGCAGCTCTCTGCAGGACCCGCCTGAGGACGTGGATGATGATGTCACTGCAGAGCAAGCGCACTATGCTGGCGAAAGCTGGGCAGAAAGCCGGGGGCACCGGAGGACGCAGAGCTAAGACAAATATAAGAAACAAGCCAGACTGTTAGAGCTGATATACCACCAGCTACAGCGCAGAGAGCCTGAGCAGGGATATGATGTTGCTCACCTTTATCATTGCTCTCCTGACACCTTCTCTTCTTCTGAGACTCTTCAGCCTAAAACAAGTCAAGGACAAAAATAAGAAGAAGATACGCAACACAAGCTCAGCCAATTACTGGTGTTGAGATGCTTCATTACCTTGCTGTGCTGGGATCTTGAATAATGGTAGAAGAAAGGGTTGAATTCCACCAAACGCTCTTTTTTGACTTCATACAGACCATGTCCTGAAACGCCTGGTTTTCTAAAATATTCAAGAAGCAGAAAAGAGTGATTAAACCAACGCCAAAGTAACAGCCAAGATAAACTTAAATGCTCTGGCACAATCTTTTCTTACTTAAAAGTGGCAACTTTGGTAATCACAGACTCCAGGCCTGTTTCATGGCTCTCCTACAAAGAAAACAGGAAAACCAAATTTAAATGATGTGAACCTCATAAAACAAACATTGATTTAATCTGTAAGAATAATGAGATTACATTCTCTGGCAGACCCTTGGCCAGGTTACTGTGAGCCATGGGCTCAATGCAAAGCAGGTGGATAACCTCCCTCATTGTCACATCCTCTTTGGTCACATGACTAATACCAGGTACATAGCGTTCACCTGAAAACACAACACTGGTCAGACACGACAATGTTTTTCAAATCTAGCTAACGTCCAAAGTTTGAAGAGTGTTTTACCAACGATGACGATGAGAAGATATAGCATCTCCTCAGTCAACCGGTTCCACTGGACCAGTTCATCCTGTCAACAAAAAAACATTTCAAAAACAGGAAGGGCATTTGGTGGCAGATCAATGTTTCTGAGCGTTTTATTGTATCATGTAAGTATCTTATTATTCCTCACCTGATCTTTACTTGAACAATTTCCGTTAAAATAATCAAAGAGCTCAAATCTTAACAGGATTAGCATGAGGAAGTGGTTGGGGTCCATTTTGGAAGCAGTTATCTGAAAAATAATTGTGGGGGTCGAAACAAATCACTGCATTGTGAAAATAAATGTGTATGTTTAAAGGAAAAGAAGTAAGATAAAAGACTATGTTATGTTTCTACTGACCTGAAGCATGAGGATGTCCTTATCGTACATCTCGTCCCTGCATTTAACATCCTGATAGTAGTAAACCTGAGGAAAGATACTCAATTAACCTGTCGCTCCATCAATTAATAAAAACGAGAGTAAAAACTGCCTGAAAAAAGCAAAGAATTTTCAATACCTGGCTTACTAATGAGAGCCCGTTTCTGCGCCACATTTCAGCTGAGACCTGTGCAGCCAACACGATGCATCGCAGAGGATGCTCTGCCAGCTGAGTGAAGTCATAGCTCCCCTGCAACAAGGCGGACACTATTACACTCAAATACCAACGGGTGAGTTAAGTTCATTCAGTGAACACAAAACGACATATTTAACTGAGTGTTGAACTCTCTTTTGTTTTCTTTTTTTGTCCATAATGTTTTAAAATCTGTCCATCAAAAATGTGAACATGTTACTGCTTGTTTTTTCTGCCTTAATTGTCTCCTTTGTGAATACCATCGTAAGACTGGTTATTATTAAAAGGTTATTACAAAACATTTTTTATCTTGTTACTGACCAGATTATCCAAGCGCTCAATGGCTCCTGTTCTGCACAGAAGCACATACAGGCCTGGGGAGCACATGAAGAGAAATGAGTTAAGAACCGATCAAAAAGAGTCAATTAATGACCAAAAAAATGATTAATCAATTCTCCTACCAGCCAATAGCCTGGAGATGGGCAGATGTATGCTAACAGGCTCCTGAGACACTTTGTATGGGCGGACATGGAGGATGTGTTTGCACATGTAGTAGTCTGTAGCCTCTCTGTGGAAGGGCTGGTTATTGCACTGCATCAGGACTGCGTGGCACTCTTTAAATGCAAGCAGCAAGATCTCATCCTGAGGATTAGAATAAGCATAGTTGACAGAAGAAATTCTCTAAACTCCTATTTACTTCTCTTTTCTGTGCCATTTGATAAATATTTGATACCACAACTCACATCAGAGGAACACCAGTCCTGAAACATGGCGAGGACGTGGCGGAGCTGGATCTGAAGGGAAAAACCAGCCTCCCATTCAGGCTCCACCGCGATGTGCCGACCAAACTGACGCTTCACTTCCTCCATGCCCTGAAAAAAGTAACAGGAGTTACAGAACTCAAGTAAAAGAAGGTAATAGCCTTTTTGTGATAGGATAAATCACTTCAACATGAGATGATTCCTACATGCATGCATCTGAGGAGACCTAGGAAGATTTTGAACCCCTCCAGGAACTGTGTCCGCAGCTCTTCCGTCCATATTGAGGGTTTACTGATCAGAATGTACCTGAGACAGACACAATTTGCATCTTAGACACAGCATTAAGATCAGCCAAATGCCTGCAGACGTGATCTTATGTCCTTGAGTACTTCGCCTTAAGTTGTTGCCTGTTGACTAACCTGAGGTCATGGAAGATGACCTGGATGCGTGAGAACTTGTCTGAGTTGTAGCCGAGGAAGAAGAAGCGGTTGTTGTCGTCCAGATGTTCACGCAGCAATTCCATCACTGTGTCAACTATCACTTTAATGACATTACCCTCTTCGATCAGCTGTCTGGCCTGGAAGAGGACGCAGGGACAGTGGCAAAATATAGCTTAAGAGGCACAAATATGAGAGCCACCAAACTTCTTTCACCGATGACTGCACAATGAAAATGGCTTACCAATGTGGGTACAGTGAATATCTGGACAGACAGAGCTGTGATGGATATGCTCCTCTCATGGTCATCATTTATGAAATCCTTCTGCAGCTGCTTGTAGTGCTGAAAACACAAACATAGAACAGGTATTAAATAAAGTTAGGAAAAATCGCCTTACAATAATAAAAAAAAAAAACACTTGCCCTCCTTTACCTTTGTAAACTCGATCGCAAAAAGCCTCTTGAACTCCGTCTCCATCAGCATGCTACAGAAAATTAGCTCGTGTACAATCTTGCGGGCTCCTGAGTGAGATAAAAAAGTAACGTTAATGTGAGTTTCATTTTCAATCAAGCTTATTTGAAGCTAAATAAAACTCAGTTGTTTTTTACACTTGCCTTTGTACATCCTGGCATCATGCAGCATGAGTCTGCTGATGAGGCAGGGCCCCTCTCCGTCTGTGTTCGGCTCGAGCGCCACTTGACTGAAGGCCTGCCTGAAGCCCACTGCGCAAAACACACAAACTGATTCTTTATCATACAATACACATGTGCATGTGCAAATACACACTTGATAGGTGTTGATGTGTTTTAGTTATAAAGGTGAAAGATCAATAAATGGATAGTAAAGTTTTATAGAGTGCAAACATAACAGCACCTGAGTAACTGATGATCTTTTGGAACCAGTTGCCAAGGCGCAGGGCAAAAGTTTGGTGAGCCATTACTGCCGCGTGAAGGATCTCAACACGTAGTGGCTGAAGCGAAATGTGCTCAGAGTTCGCCTATAAAACAGAAGTAAAAGAGTCATCTACAGTTCAAGATTTAACATTGTTTTAAGTTGTTCAGTTTAACTTGTGTAGAGTCTGTGAGTTTAGTTGACCTTAATAAGGTCTTTGGCCTGCTGGCAGGAAAGAAGAGTTCCTCTCTTTACAGCCCGTCGACCCTGTGCAACAGATAAGGACGATTATGGCAGATTCTGCAGTTGATTTCATGAGGGCTCGTATTTAGAGTTTATTAATATAAACTTAAGCCCAGCAAGTTCTCAAAAAGAAGGAGTTTTGGTAAGAATCAACACACAATAGAAATTAGACAGAATGAGAGTGATGGAGAGAAAAATTCAAGAGTGAAAAACAAACCTCCTTGTCAATGAGTGCTGTATGTGTCTGAGCTTCCGCCTGATCACAGTGAACAGAGCGCTGCAGGGTGTAGATCACGTGGTCATATGAGTGGTGCTCATCGTTGTATAGAACGCAGTAGTATGCGTTCTCTTTTGTCCTGCCAGTATGGATAGCTATGTCAACTGGAGTGTTTTTATATTAATGGTTTTATTTGCATGTGATCAGATGAATCTTACCGGGGCTGGAGTTCAGCTGACAGCTCCAAGTTCTCCTCCCAAACCAGGAAATCTGTAACGTACTGCAGCAGCACCCGGAACAGTTTCTCAGCGCGCTCGTATAACTCGGGCTCCAACATGCACTCATCCTGCAACAAATGAGAAAAACACTTAAACACACATCCCCAAAACCCTTGTACTTCGAAAACTATCATCAGAGTTTCAAAATCTTATTTTACACATTCAGTGACACCAAAATGTAGTTGTGTTTTTAATCTTTTTTTTTTTCCCATGTTTGACTTTTTTCTCTATTAAGGACAATCATGAATGGGTTTAGGCTGCAAATAAACTTTATAAAGTTTGTACATTTAATCTTTTATCCCAATTTGCAGATCTTATTTGACTCGGACAAAGCCTGTTATAACTATCTCTACTAGTTCCCTATTTCCTGTGTCACCAGCAGTGTGTACAATATGTCAAAGGGCTGGTATAAATATTTTGTTCCCAAGCTAAACAGGGAATTGGGTATTAATTTCACAAAGCCAGCTGCCTGAGAGCAAACATTCCATAAAAGACATTCAGTATTTTGTATACAAATGTCAGCATTTGACTCACAAGCCAATCAAAACACACAGTGAGTCTGTGTATTGATAGCAGTGTCTACGTCACAGGGCTGTGTGAGAAAAAGAATGAGTCTTTTACAAACAAAAGGAGATCTGAAACATTATAATGAGTTTAGCTTTAAATCTGGTGCAAAAAAAATAAAATAAAAGCGCCTCATCAACCCAGGCTGCTGATGTCTCTGTTAATAGAAACACCTGCTGTTTACGGAAAACAGGCACAAAGACGTCAAGATGGACATCTGTTCAAAGCCCCTGAGCACGATCTTATCAGAGAAACACAGTGATCAGCAAAGAAAGGCCTGACAAACAAGTGCTGCGCTGTATCAATCAGCAGAATGTCTTCCAGCAGCACCCCTGCGCTATTCAGCAGGATGAAAGCGATTGTTTTCCACCAGCTTTTACACACTCAATCACCTCCCAAGCCTTTTAACCTAGTTATAAATTTTTCTTTTCTTCTTTCAGGTCAACAAAGTGCTTTTCTGTCTCATTTCCGGAGCCAAAGTCACAGCCAAGAGAGCATCAGCCAGGACTGAGATGGGAAAATAAGCATTCTGGGGTTCACTGACACAGAATGGGACAAGCATGCCCCTCCCACGTCCCTTTTTCCGCTCTATTATGTAACTCACCGTTACCATGGCAGTGGCTGCCCCTGGGTCATGTTTGGAGCAACAGGGGCCAATCTTCCAGGCTTCAACGTCCCCACAATCACAGAAGCCCCCGCCTGATGATGCGTGCATCTGGGTAAAAATAATTCACATACTTGATTTCATGAAGGGGGAGTAACATAAAGAGTAATGGATACAGTAAGTACAGTGGTTAGATAAACACCATACCAAATTAAGATACACGACGTCTTAAACTTTAGGAATCATCACTGTGCAACATTTGGCTTCTAACTCGAAAGGCCAATTATAACTCCTTCGTTTATTTGAAGTGACCAAGTATAGGTCTAATGAACTCATAAATAAAATGTGAATTTCACTGCTATTTTTCAAGCATACAGTGACTGATAAAAACAATACTAATAATGAAAGAATGCAGTTCAGTTGGATTTTACTAAAACTGTGGGCATTTCTTGAAACACTAACCTTGTAACGATGGCTTTTGTGCACACTATCCTGGAAGCAGTCCATGCACAGGACACATGTAGGATCTATGGCGCAATCCCTGCAATAAGAAGAGGGGTGTTGGTTACTTAACTTCGAAAAATCAACAAAAAGAATCATTTAAAGACATGCTATTACATGTATTGTTTTGTCTGAACTGTGTGATGACTTCCTCTGTATTATAAACTCTACTAAATAAAGTTTACCTAATGACCTTTACCTGCTTTGAAATCAGAAAACATACTATTCATAGGATATTTACAGTACCTGAATTATTTCAAACACATTCTGGTCTAAATAGAAAATAATTACACAACTTTTTAATTCAAAATAAGACAAAAATATACCTCTGATTTATCAAATGAGTGCCACATTGGCCTAAAACCTACAAGACATCCTTAGAAAGACAGCTTAGAAAAACTGTTGCACAAAATAATAGGCAGAAAGATGTGAACACACTTTCTTGCACTTATTTATTCATTAGAGCTGATAATTTTATCAGAGTTACTGTTATTTCCTGTATTAACTAATTACGAAATAAATTGTTGGTGTCTTTTCAGACCTGCAGGAGTAAACAGTCTCCCCCTCTTTGAAGACGCGTCCACAGAGCTGGGAGGAGGTGCTGCCCTGCTTGAGCTTTTCCAGACCCTCCTGAGAGTCCTCTCCAAACAGGAAACATTCTAGCGGGTGGAGGAGTCGACTTTGCATGAGCTCCTCTTCCTCCTGAGGGCTGGACTCTTTCTTCAGGCAGAAGATTTGCGGCACCTGCTCCTTCAGGTAGCAAAGCAGCTCCGCCCTGCTGTCTGAAGCTTCCAGCCATTTCTGCAAAACAGCAGAGGAGAGCGAGTGTGGTTTAGTACAGACTCGATTGCAACAATAAAACCACATGCAGAAACCACTAATGGTAGCGTCATGCAAGGATAATTATTAAACCTTAGCAATGCATGATTTTGCATTCTGAAATAAACTCAATGTGTGAGTCTGAATGCAAAATGCACATTTTAAAGATAAAGTCATTGTGATGACAGTAGGATATCTAGTTTTGTTCTGGCTGTAGACCCCATTACTTAGAAGTGAATAGAGAACAGTGACAGTGTTACTTAAAAGTAAAACTGAAGTATGCAGGCTGGAATCATCAGTCATTCAGTGTTTGAGGGTTAGTTATGACTGTTGAATAACACATAGACGGGACTTCTTTTACATATCAAAGGTTGAACCAGTAGCCCGAGAAATTATCTGTCACATCTAGCACCTTAGGGAAGGTGTTAGTGACACATACAAAACTACTTTTACAACTATTATTTTCAAGACAGAACCCTGTTTCATCTGCATCGCTCCAGATTTGACATCCAACCTAAATACGACATACTAATACATAATACTTTTGTGTTTTTACTCAAGCTGAAAGTGAAACTGTCAGATTCGTATCATAGTGCTGGATCTGATGGTATGAAAAACATCCGATATCATTTAGACGTCTTTTTTTCTTTCTTTCTTTCTTTTTTCAGGCTAAGTAACGTCGGACCGTTATAGACGCTGTTTTTATTGTCTTTTTACTGGGTGATGTTTACAATTTATCAAGCCGGTCAAAGCTCTCAATCAATCCCCAAATCTTACCGCTCGTAAACTAATTTCACTTGTAAACTGTAAAAGACCTTTGGCATAAGTTGGAGTTTTACGCACAGGCAGGTCAATGGTGCTCAACATTTCTAAACTCTTGGCAGCTCTGAGAGGGAGACGGGCAGGAGCGGTGGCCAAACAGCAAAAGGATGGAGATTAACACACCGCAGAGAACAAAAACACATTATCCCCGTCCTAAGATCACAAATCTAACCAGTCATGGAAACATTTACAAACTGTACATTAGAATTGAATAGTGAAGCCTCTGCACAGACAGCCTATTTTTGACATTTAGATAACTAGCTCCAGAGCTAACCACGGATGCTAGCCTGTCAAGAGGATGCCTTCTAACTGTGCGCTAAAACCATGTAGTACAAAGGAGCTAAGGCGTTATATTTCCGTGGTTTGTCCCTCACCCATACGGCCCGCTGTCAGATATAAGAGCTCTTTAAAACTCATACCTTGCTGAGCTCTAGTCCGTCTTGGGATTTCTCACCCTCCGCCATATTCCATTTGCCGTAAAGGAGGAGGTGTCACTGGAAGGGATACTAATCCCTGTGCAGGACGAATGTCGCCCCCTACCGGCTCAGAAAACAACAGCATGTACTCACAGCGGTCCAAGAATATTAGAAACTCGGAAATCATATAAATGCCTCAGAAATTAAATATCTTGGAGTCTACATCACAAAGGACCAAAAACAAAGCCAACTCTTAAATATAGAAAAAATAAAATAAAAGAGTGTTAACTCAAATTAAATTCATGGCTCTAAAGAGACCTTTCAATACTGGGCCTAATCTTTTTAACTAAGATAAAATGCCTATCAAGATGCATTTAACGCTATTCCAAGTAAGCTGATCAAATCCATTAACCAAATAAACTTAAATTTTATATGGAGAAACAGGCCCCACTGTATGAAAAAAAAAGTAATATGGTGAAAGAATTCAAGGACGGTGGGTTAAAAGTTATTGATTGTGACTGTCTCATTGGAACTTTGAAAATAAATTGGTTGAAATCTTGGATCAGACAAGAAAACAACAATTCATTTTGGTACTGTGTTCCCAACACCCTATTCAATAAAACTGATGGTTTGAAATGTCTTCTAATGGCAGACTTCAATATAGATAAATTACCCATTTCATTATCAGAGTTCCACAAATACTTTTATATTGGAAATGTTATTTGTATATAATTTTTTACCCAACACCACCATGCTATGGAACAATAGATACATTCTACACCGAAATAAATCATTATACTATCAAGATTGGAATGAGAGAAATATATGGTCAGTTATTGACTGAATGGATATCAATGCTAATCTTTTGAGCTATCAAGATTTTTGCCTTAAACATAACTTTAATCCTTCTTAATCAGACTTTACGAAACTCCATGTAGCACTCTGAATAAAGCATTAAAAAATAAACAAACAAACAAATAAATAGATAGATAGATAGATAGATAGATAGATAGATAGATAGATAGATAGATAGATAGATAGATAGATAGATAGATAGATAGATAGATAGATAGATAGATAAATGCCTTCTTGCAAATACTTCTCTGCGATTTTTTGCATCTTTGCCAGATTTTTTTTTCCACAGAACCACCAATAAGGAACTTTATGTCAAATTTAGGGCATAGGTCTAACCAGAAACACGTTTGGTCCAAGAGTTACTGTGTATAGTGCACACAGCTATGAAAGACATCATTAACCATAAACGGAGATTTGAGTGTAAATGGCAGTAGTGGAGACATCCGGCCTCTAGGGGGCGCTGGCCCAGATTGGACCCTCTTTCTATTACAATGAATGCAGCGGGGCAGGAGGTCAGAGTTGAATATTTGACAGAAAGCAGAATATGGATTCTATATTTCATGAGAAAGTAAGTCTAAACATCTAACTTTACACTGTTAGCTGTGACTTATTGTTTGAGTTTACTCGAAGGGCCTCGCACCGTTAGGATGTGATGTGTTTTCAGACGCTATGAGGCCGTTGTTGAGAGATTTGTGGTTGTGTTTGGAAGTGTTGTTGTTCTAACAGCTAAAATGCTAACTGCACCTGCGAGTTAAATGTTATGAAAAGTTTCCTTTGGGCTTAAAATTACTCTATGAAGCGATGGAGTAGTCGAAAATGTGTTATTTTTACCGGGTGAGTAAACCAATAATCTTAAAATAACACATAGTTCTTCCTAAAAAGTGTTGAAATTAGTTTTGCGCGCGCTAGCTGATTTAGCTTTTCCTGAATGGGACTGTTTTCGTGGACTCAGACCAAAACAACCCACTTCAGCGGACTCAGGGGCCGTGGATCAAACCAATTTTCATTTAGATTTACAGCAATACTTTTATGTTATAATTGTCATTAAACACTAATTTATCCTTGCAGCAAGAGGGCTCTCTATGTGCCCAACACTGCCTCAACAACCTCCTGCAAGGCGAATATTTCACGCCCGTGGATCTGTCCTCCATTGCTCATCAGCTGGATGAAGAGGAGAGGATGAGGATGGCCGAAGGAGGGATGGCCAGTGAGGAGTATAGAACCTTTTTACAGGTGAGGGGACAGACTTTATAAATTGTACAGCAGCAGCAGCTTCCTCATAAATCCCTTTGCTAAACATGTGATTTATGTGCCTGTTTTACCAGCAACCATCTGGAAACATGGATGACAGCGGGTTCTTCTCAATCCAAGTGAGTTTAAGTGATTCACTTTTTTGTCTGCAATGATAAGTCCATTTTTAGTTTTAAGGAGCTTCTAAATTGGCAGTATTTGTTAACATGATAAGACAGGTGAGTGTTGCAGGGGAGAGTGGGGTAAGTTGAGCCACCCCCTGCTGCTTGGAAATGGTAAAAGAAATTGATCATGTGACCAATTACTTAAGAGATGGGCATCGATTCATGGAGTCTGTGAAGGTTAGAAGACATGGGTGAAGGGGTTAGACATTTATTAAAAAATATATTTTTTTTTCACTCTTGAAAGTGGAATTTAGTCTGTCATAAATGTTATAAGAATTGTGTTCAGACCAAAAAGAGATCATTTTACATTAGTTTTATACATCAATTGTGGTATCTATAAGCTACAACATGAGGTCAAAAACCGAGTGTAAAAGTCCACCATTTTAGCTTAGACCACTAATAAAGTCATAATAGTAGTTCTGTGGCTCAACTGAGAAAGTAAAGGAGTCTGATGAGAGGATTAGAGTTTCAGTTCAGATTGTTGAAATGTGTTACTTCTTCTTTTCAAAAATACAGCTGTGAATGTTCTGAATCACTTAAAGACATTCTCATGTTAAAATGACTTTTTACAAAACAGCTTTTCAGTTATATGCAATAATAATAAAAATAATTATCTTACCAGTTGGATAGTGGATAATAGATAAAAATACACATAAATGTGAAGAAGTGACTGTTATTTAGGGAGAGAGAAGGTGAAGGAGGGCTGGGTTGGAGAGTGGGGGGGTAGTAGGGATACGGCTCAACTTACCCCATACACGGGGTAAGTTGATCATAGGAGACCACTTTTTTTGGCATGCTATATTATCAAGACAGTTATGTTTACACTCATTCTGTTGGTTTGCAGGGATGCACAACATCTTGAAATATATGCAGATACACTAGTTAGAGACAAAACTATGATTGCCTTGATGTAGTAATCTGAAATATAAAAATGGCTCATCTTACCGCACTCTCCTTTTCTGCATATTAATCATTGAAGATGTAGTGGGCAGTGGTGTATTGAGTGATTTATAAAGGAAGGTGTTCCTTATATTTTTTCCACTCCATCAAGAAACATGAAGGACACCCCCTGAAACATGAGCGATGAGCTCAATGAATATTTATCATCTGTCTGACCATATTAACAAATGAAGATGTAGAAGCGTCATAAAAGTAGAATTTATTATGTCAGCGCTTTTGTATTGGTTGAGATTTGATTGCTGAGGTGTTCTTCATTTTGTTACCATCTCTAATTTCTTTTCCTTTTAGGTAATTAGCAATGCTCTGAGAGTTTGGGGCCTGGAGTTAATCCTCTTCAACAGCCGGGAGTATCAGAGCCTGATGATTAATCCAATGTGAGGAATTTTTGTTAATAGTTTATTCTAACACTGAATTATAAATCTACAGGAAATCAGATAATTGTCTTAAAGTAAAAGCTAATGGTGAAAAAAAAACATCCCCCTGTCTTTTCTTTTCCTTTTTTTTCAGAAATGAGAAAGCCTTTATTTGTAACTACAAGGAGCACTGGTTTACTATACGCAAACTTGGTCAGCAGGTATGAGGCACGTGTCTTTGTGTACAAAATAAACACAGCTTGATTCATCATAAACACACTTTATTTGTCTTTGCAGTGGTTTAACCTGAATTCGCTGTTGACTGGACCAGAGTTGATATCGGACACCTATTTAGCCCTTTTCCTTGCACAGTTACAGCAGGAAGGTAATGTCAACTTGACTCTTGTCTACAGTACGTTTAGACATTGCAATGAAGACTGAATAGTTATTGTTTTTATACAGGTTATTCCATATTTGTAGTCCGGGGAAATCTTCCTGAATGTGAAGCAGAGCAGATCCTAAGGATCATTAGAGTGCAGCAGCAGCAGAGGCCGAGGCTTATTGGAGAAGATGAGGCCCAGACGAGTGCAGGGTGTGTCACATATGAGCAGACAGCACAATTTTGACTTGAAAATAACAAAAAAGTGTTGTTTTTATTTATTTTAAGTTGCCAAAGTGGCATTGAGAACAGATCTTTTAAAGCCTTGTTCTGTGAGCAGCAGGTCAGCAGCTCTGAGCCAGACAGAGGTGGGTTTTGGTGTGGTGGATGAGGTTGTGGATGAAGACGATGAGCTGAAGAGAGCGCTGGCACTGAGCAGACAGGACATAGATGTGGAAGATGAAGAGGCTGATCTTCGCAGGGCCATACAGCTGAGCATGCAAGGTAATTAAAATACAAGTCTTGAAAAGGTAGAAAATCTTTTTGTTTCCTTGTCAAGGTTCTAATCAAAAGTGTAAAATGTTTATAGAAGAAGCAAAAAGGTTGGCTCTGAATTCACATCACTTTATGTACAGCAGGGTCAATAAGGCCTACAGCTATGAAACCATATGAATTATCTGCTGTAAATGTTTTAATCAGCATTTTGTGTTCTGTATCTATTAGAACTGAAAATATTTTCTTTTAATGATAAAGGAGCAGTGATGAGCAACAAGTCTTCAGAATCTGACCTGGGAAACATAAAGTCAGGGAGCACTGCAGGGGGACAAAAAGACGGCCAGAATGAGACACTCACAGCAGAGGAACTGCGGAAAAGAAGACAAGCCTATTTTGACCGGTGGGTTTCACTGCATTGTGAGTGACTGCTGATCAGAAGATGATAATCAAATTACCAGAAACACTAATTAGCAATTTAATTCAACAACCCAGTGATTTGGACATCCAGGGTCATTCAATTTTATGGCAGAAATTTTAAAGTATTTCTAGTCTAAATCTGTTTATATAGATGAATGTGAGATGTTTGGGACTGCTTTTTTTGTTGTTTTATTGAATCAATATTATTGTCAGCTTGAAGTGTATTGACTCCACCCTCTTGTTTAGCAGGAAATAAATTCAGTCTTTCTGATACGAATATGTCTGTGGATTTTTCAGACAACAGCAACAAGCTCAGTCAAACATTCCTCAACAACCAGACCCGAAATCAGCAGGTGGGTCGGGTAAGTACACATTATTTTTGGTGTGAATTTCGTGCAGAGCCGTTCCATGAAGTGTTATGAAAATTAAGTGCTATTCAAGGAGTTAATAAAATAAATGAAGCGAAAACCCCTCTTTTCTCTTTTAGGCTCTGTAAACACTGGCACTGAACAGGACCAACAACAGAAGCCCAGCCAGTGAAGCTGTGAAAGGTTTGCCTATGTCGTTTACCAGCTGCCTGCACTGGCAACCCCGCACAGGGGTGGCTTTGCTCCTTCCTCTAACCCTTTTGCACACGCGAACATAAGGACAGTCAGAAGGCTGACGCGTTCCCCCCGGTTAGTTCGCCGACAAGCTTTAGAGAAGAGAACAAAGAGAAAGAAAAGGCAGCAGTCAGTCTAATCCAACTAACTGAGGCACTGACGCTGGGAAAAGGGTGACCACAGAACTCATGATGCAGTTAATCCAAGTTTGCAATTGCCTTTTTACCATGGCGCCTTCTATTTCTATTGTATACAGTTTTTTATTCTCTTATTTTCCTCTTGTTGAGATGGGGAGAATCTTCGGCGTACAAAGAGTGTTTACCGGGTAAAGGGTCAGGGTAACAATCACACAGAGCTGGTGTTCTGTGAGAGGAGACTAATCATGACACCACAGATTAAAAAAAAAAGATAGATGATGACAGATCATGCTGTCTCTGTATTTGACTTGCATTTCTCTAACATGAAATATAGTTTCACTGCTCAGCCCCCCAGAACGCCTCTGTAGTTTTTAAAAACTGTTTTGTTTTAGCCAGGTTCTTTCTTCCTCACTTCATAAATCACTTAACTCTGAAGGTTTTGGGACATCAACTTTTTTTTCAATGTTGTTGCTTCATTTATACCTTAAAGTGTAACTAGCTTTGTATTAATGTAAGATAGCACAACTCAGAATTTAAGGGTGTTTTATCCGTCTTCACTGGACGGTGAACAATTCTATAGAGCTGTTTCCTAAATCTAAGATGCTTTGATTGCCGCATATTTTGTCCTTCATAAATCAGTATGTGATGGGGAGCAAAGAAGCTATGCCTGAAAACCTCAAGCTGCAGCTTATAGATAAATACAGTGTTAACTAAAAACTGATAACCCCACTTAATCCAACTTTAGCTGCTGTTAAAGTTGATAAGTATTTGTCCTAATTCATGAGGGGAAATAGTAATAAAATCTGAACTGCCCCTTCAAACATTTTGTTCACTCTATAATCCACCAGTCCTCACAGCATGTTTTATGAATTAGTACCTTGAATGCATTCATTTGCACTGGGGTAGTCCTGTGTGAAAGCTACTGAAAGCAATGGCTGATGATGACCTTTCAAAAGTGTTTCAAGCTTAAAATGAAGGCTGACTGTTATTTCACTGCATAACTTTGGTCAGGTCAAACCCAAAGAGAGGAACACACCTTGTTTTATTTTGCTTCTTGAAATGACGTCTTTAAAATACCTTTCATATTCCTTTAATAGTTTCAGCCCATCCCTGAAAACCTGATTACAACACATAGCTAAACTGACCGCAGTAAAATATTGACTCAGTAACAGTTATGGTTTCTGGAAACTATAATAAGTCTTTAGCATAGATATATATCAAAGCCCCCTTTAAAAGTCCATGATGTCATGCAAAGTTTTATCTCTTGTTCTCGATGACTTCGGGGAAGATTCAACAGTTTCATTATTTTTGTGTCTTTTTGATCTGTTTAGGCTTTTTTTTCTATTTAAATGCACTTGTGTCAAAGCTGGCTTTTTTTCTCTGTACACTAGTTTCACTCACTACATTCTTACAATCACTATTCTTTACTCTTGTTAAAATTTCTTTCATTAAAATTTCACATTACACTGTTCTTTCATTTAATGTATTAGCTCTTGTTCCAGGAATAAAGTGATACTCACTCCTAAGGTTTCTCAAGTCTAATTTTTGTAAGTTAGTTTTAAATGGTGGGTTATAAAATCATCTGTACAGAAGAACCACAGAACCAGTTTTAAATGGTGGGTTATAAAACTCATCTGTACAGAAGAACTACATCTAAAGTACTGCTCAGGTTCAGCTATTCTTTATTTTAGTAGATAATGCATTTGTGCCGATGTGCATCGCGGTTAACAAAGTATAATCATATTTCTACGTATCTTTACTGTCGTAAACATCCTGTATCAACAAGCTTGAATCATCTTTTATTATTATTAAAAGTATTACAGAATTCAAGTATGAAGTTTCTTACTTTTATAAATACTTTTTAGGGGGCATGTTTCATACTAAATACTTAATTTAAGCCTCGAGTGGTTAAAATCTGAAGGGAAAAATGTTTTGATAAATCTGTATTTTGAGTACGAGGATGCTTAAGACTCCTATTCTTCTGGGGGGTCTGACATGCTGAGTGCGTATGTATCTCAGGGAAGATGCTGGTTAGTTGGCTTCTCTGAAATGTACTGCATCAATGATACAGCTCCTGTTTAGTTTTTAAACGCTCTTTAGGTTTTTCCTTCACACACTAAACTGCAACGATATTGAATAGGGTCAATTATACATTTTCAAGAGCAAGGAAATGTGTCTTTGATTTTCATACTTTAATATGTAGTTGGATGACTGTCAGTAAACTTGTACTATAATAAAAAGAAATGTAGTTGATGGACATAATATTCTAGTCTGGTTTATGCACCATCTGTAATAATGGAAGAGCCTGGAGCCTGTCACCAGGGGGAGCTCCTAAAGTTTTGGCTTCTCTCAGGATGGCTGTTCTGTCCGTGGTTTTCTACAGTCTGTGTTAACGTGACTGAATTAAACCGTCCCGGCTCATGACTCATTTTCAGAATCTTACGTTAACATGTGAGTGGCATCACATTTGAAAAACAGCACATGAATGTTTGTGAAACAGCTATGATGCCATCTGAAACAACACAGCAGGTGGTTAATATGTAACACTCAATGTGTACTTGCACTTTGTATCCCCAAATAATAGATGGAGCTTTCAGACATAATATTGCTCGAGCTGAATGGTACGTATGACCAATAATCCTAGAAATACTTTAATCTTTATAATAACTGTGTATTGCATTCTAAGAAGTGGATTTATTTATTTGATTTTGGTGTTAAACAGAGAATGATCTCTCAGTTTTTAAATCGTTTAGCAAGTGTTAGGCTGTTCTTTTGAAACATGTCATTGATTTTTACCTGTTTGTGTTTTCAGATCGTTCACCCAAACCACCCCAGCTTTCAAAATATGGAGATACACAAAATAAAGACAGGATTTATTTTGATTTTTGCCTACCTGCTTCTCTTTGCTCCTGTCAACCAAACCCCTCTTCCAAATGCCACCATCTCTGACCTCTCCTTCAAAAACATGGACTGTGCCATGAACCTCTACAGGACGATATCAGGCTACCACGACAAGAACATATTTTTCTCCCCTCTGAGCATCTCTAACACCTTTGCTGCTCTTTTACTGGCTTCAGGTGGTGCCACACATCGGGAAATACTACGAGGACTCAACCTGGAGCAGCTTACGCAAGCCGATCAGCCAGAGCTAATTCCCAAACTCTTTGAGCTCCTGAATGAAAACATCACACAGAACAAATCACTAAGACTGGACCAGAGCATGGCACTGTTCATGAGCCCACAGTTTGAGGTGGAGAGACAATTTGAAGACCAAATCAAGAGGTTCTTTGACGCCGATATCAAAAGTGTGAACTTTGAAGACACAGAGGAAAGCGTTCGAGTCATCAATGAGTACATCCAACAAAAGACTGAAAACAAAGTGACTGACATGATTTCAAGTCTGGATCCAGTGATCCAGCTCATGCTAGTCAGTACAATTTTCTTCCAGGGTAAGTTGATTTGCATCATGAATCTCATCTTTAGTCATCTGCTTTGACTGACTGTTTTTTGTTTTGACCTTTGACCCTTGTGTCACTGTTAATCTTGGGGTATTTTTCTTCTAAACAGGATCCTGGGAGAAGCCTTTCAACTCAGACTTCACCAACACTGCCCCCTTCTACGTCAACAACTATAAAGTTGTGCAAGTACCGATGATGTTTATGGAAGATAAGTTCTACATGATGGAAGACAACCCTCTTGGCGCCAAAGTGTTAAAGCTACCGTACCAGGAGGGCGTGTCCATGCTCATTCTGCTGCCCAACAAAGGCATGGACTACACTGTTATTGATGAGGAGATCACAGCTGAGAGGTTCCAGAGCTGGATCAAAAATCTGCAAAAAATGTAAGAAATGATTGCTTGGAACACTCACCTCCCAGATTTTTCTTCAATAATAGCATTATAGCATTGTATTATTTAAACATGGCTGCTAATTTCTCTTTCACAGCAAACTCGAAGTCACCATGCCCAGATTCAAGATTGAGCAGTCGTACGCCCTGCACGACCTCCTCCCACAAATGGGCATGGCCAGTATCTTCAGCAGTTCAGCCAATTTGACAAAGCTGAGCAAGAATGAGGGACTCAAAGTCTCAGAGGTTTGTGTCAAATTTCACTGTGTTGCTTTCACAAATACCTGTTCAAATTGTCAGGTGACGATTTTAAACTTTACTTTACTTGTTATCACAGGTGCTACACAAGGCTGTAATTGAGGTGAATGAGACAGGAACTGTTGCATCAGCGGCCACAGTCATCAGCATTACTCCATATTCCTTACCCAGGGCCTTCCCTGTGAACAGACCATTTTTCTTCTTTTTATACCATGAAGACACAAACTGTCTGCTGTTCATGGGCAGAGTGATTGATCCCACCAAAAACTAACAGTACAATAAACAGTTTGAGTTTTGAAATACATGCACAAAACATTGTTATTATTAACACTTTCAAAAGGCTGTTTTGATGCATTATAAATCTCAGTTTCTTTTAAACTTCTGGTTTGTTCTGTGGGCTGTCCCTTCCAAATAAAGATAAAGTTTAAGCTTTTGTATTGATTCAAATCATTTTGTTTCTCAGCAAATAATGTATTAAAAACACACTAAATGAGAGCATAAAGATTTAATAGATTTTATAAAGAAGATACATTTTTAAAATGAAAATGCAGGACTTTTATCTACGACTTTTCTCATGAGGATAACATGCCATACATTTTTTTTTTTTTTGTCTTCTTTTAATATTTAGATTTCATTTTAAGATTTTTTTTTCTTCGTCACTGTCTCACGAGAATAAAGTTGCAGAATCACACAATTTTTTTTTTTTTACAATAAAAAGATCCAGAGAAAAAGGTCCTCTAGTTGTTTTGTTATCCAAGTATACATTTTATTTTAAGATTTTTTTTTCTTCGTCACTGTCTTACAAGAATAACGTTGCAGAATGACCCGATTTATTTATTTATTTATTTTTTAACAATAAAAAGGTCCAAAGAAAAAGGTCCTCTAGTTGTTATGTTATCCCAAGTGATATTTACCCTTTTTTATACCAAAAAAAGATGTACTAAAGTCATAATATTATGGAAATTAAGTCATTGTATTGTGAGAATAAAGGGATCTGAATGTGATTTTGCCAGGAGTTTATTCTAGGAACATGCTGAAGAATATAAATTTATCATTATCTACTTAAAACTGAGAAAAGATATATATACATATGTAGCTATTGTATAATCATTGCTAAATAGCTTATTGCAAAGCGAGCTTCAGTAGACATACAGTGTGTAATTATGTGAGGAAGTGAGTGCTACAGATTAATAAGCATTCAACACAGCTATATAGATACTTAGAAATGTAATGTGGCTTAGATTGTAAATAGATTTAAAGAGGGTGTTTATTTCTTTCAAATGTATAACAACTACTTGGGAAACAATCGTATTACTAAACTCAAGTCTATTTATCATTTCAGTAAAAAACATCCACACAATTCTGCTTCAAATGATTAAAATATTTTTTTGTATTATAAAAACATTCATTTAAAAATTCCGATGTCAAACAATCAACCCATTTAAAAAAAAGAAAAAGTTAAATTCAACTTTGTTTGTACACTTTGATAAAGTATCAGTGTGACGTCAGGAATTGTTGCACAAATAAAGTTTTACAAACCACGTGATCGACACTGTCATGGCGGCGCCCTCGTGTCATGCGTGGATGTTATCATTTGGAGCGGTATTTTGGCGTATCTTTAAACTATAATCAGCCAAGCTGTTTATTACTTCGCATTGTATCGCGGCATTTCTTTGGTTGTTAATAGTACTATATGATATACAAATCTGACATATGTAGGAGCATTTAGTCCACAGCTAAAGTGCCTCGATGCGCAGATGCTAACCAACTGACAGCACGCGACTCTTACAAGCACTCTTAACGTGAGACAGTCCAACTTATCAAACTAATTCGCAGTATAGATAATTCGCAAAGAAAATGAAGACAAAGAAGAAGATGAAGACGAAAAACAAGGGGTCGTCCTCCGTGCCGAACAAACGAGCCAAACGGAGTATTCACATGAAAGGCAGCTGGAAGGCTGTAGAGCTGGATCCCAGTCTGTTTTCAGAAGAGGGCCTGGAAGGTCTGGTGTGTTTCGAAGAGCTGACAAGTTATCGATTAGTAGACACTGAGAGGGCTGCAGCTCAAGCAGAAAAGGAGCTAAGAAAGAAGGAGAAGAAGAAAGCTAAGAAAAGAAAAGCCAACGAGGTAGAGGAGACTGGTGAAGATGTTGATGTGGAGGGCTCACCAGAGGGGGAGAAAACAGCTGAACCTCTTGAGAAAAAGGCCAAAAAGAAGAAGAAGAAAAACAAGAAACAGTCTGCGGATGAATCAGCGCAAAATGATGCTGGTCCTGCCGAAGTGATCCAGGAGGATGTAGCTACAGGTGAGAATGAGGAGGTGGGTGAAACATCTGAAAAAGACCAAGTAAATGGCTCAGACCTTGATGCTCAGTCACATCAGGACAAGAAGAGCAAGAAAAGGAGGAAGAGGAAGAAGAAACAGCAGATACAAGAGGATAAAATACCAGAGGAAGAATCAAATGAGGAGAGTCAAGCAGGACTCAAGGCAGCGGAAGATGAAAAACCAGCCCCAGTCACAGCTGCAGAACCTCGCCGAAAACAGGCAAAGAATTGGACAAATGCAGCCCTCTCTGGCTGTACTGACAAAAACACTGATGTGAGTGCATGGAAGAATTTGTTTGTTCCCTCTCCTGTGCTGAAGGCACTAAGCAGTCTTGGATTTGGTTCACCTACTCCTATTCAAGCTCTCACTTTGCCTTCTGCGATCAGGGATCGGATGGATATACTGGGAGCAGCAGAAACAGGTATGATGAAACACTATTTGCTTTTCTGTTGAGTTTGAATCTGTCCTCATGTTTTTAAAGGTGAGACTAATGATAACCCTGTTATTGTAGGAAGTGGGAAGACACTGGCGTTTGGAATCCCAATGATTCACACCATCTTGGAGTGGAGGGACGGCTCAGATAAGCCTGTGAAAGACAACCCGAAAGCATCTGCAACTGTGGAAAGTTTGTATTTACCAACTGTTGAGTCCACAAAAGAAGAAGAGGAGGAAGAGGGAGACGAGGAGAATGAAGAAACAGAAGCTGAGGAGGAGAAGAATGATGAATTGGGAGCTGAGGACGAAGAGATTGAGAGCAACACAGAGCAAGACCAGAGTGACACAGAAGAACATGACGGTGAAGAAGAAAACGACAGCGGAGAAGAGGGTGATGTTTTGAAGCTCACGTGTGCACAAGGAGACGAACATGCAGATGATGACCTTGAACCTGCTGTTGAAGCAGAGGGAGAAGCAGCAGGAGTGCAGGATCAGCCTCTACTCGGATTGGTGCTCACTCCAACCAGAGAGCTGGCTGTTCAGGTCAAACACCACATTGACGCTGCTGCAAAATTCACAGGTATGTCATTGTTGTATCTTTTCTAATACTTCAGCAGAGTTTAAAAAAGTCAGCTAACAAGGTGCCATTGCTTTGTAGACATCAAAACAGCAATTGTGGTGGGTGGTATGGCACAACAGAAACAAAGACGGATGCTGAAGCGAAGGCCAGAGATCATTATCGCCACTCCTGGACGTCTGTGGGACTTGATCAAAGAGAGACATTCACATCTGGTCAACCTGAGACAGCTCAGGTGAGCCACAGTTCACAATTCTTTCATATTTGATTTGCAGCATGGTCAAAGATCAAACCTGCACAAGAAATCATGTGTTTTTGCTCAAGTGTCGTGATCACAGACAGGGTGGTTACATCAGATAAGGGTTACCACATTTGGAGAACACATAGAACTTTTAGTAATTCAGTTTTATATAAGTAACTTTTTAATAATTATTTTGATTAAGAAAGTACATAATGTAGGGTATCAATCATTTTCAAATTAGTCTACTTTTGTTAATCTTTCTGAGACAATACATCAAGCTGTTGTAACATTATAGAGAGCTCCTCAGGATTTATACATAAAAACAATGTGAAGGACTCTGTAATGACTGCTGAATAACAAGCTTCAAAAGAGAAAGATGGTCAGGTCATTGTTTTTGTAAGCTTCACGTCCTGCAGGGCCTTGAGCAGAACATCAGAATTGTGCTATTCCTAGGGGTGGTCTCACCTGAAAAAGATTCACACAAAAGACAAAAGGCAGCTTCAAATGTTTGTTCAAAGTTTTTGGGGTTTTGCTGTTTTCCTTTGTCTCACTTGTTTTTCATGCTACCTTTCATTAACTCCTCCTGGTCATGTTTCCTTCAGGTGTCTGGTCATAGATGAAGCAGACCGGATGGTGGAGAGAGGCCACTTTGCAGAGCTAGAGAGTCTGCTAGAGATGCTGAACACCGTCCACTTTAACCCCATGAGACAAACATTTGTCTTCTCTGCCACACTGACCATGGCCCACAGCCTTCCCACACGCCTCCTTCAGAAGAAGAGGAAGAATCTGGACCAGAGGAGCAAGCTTGAAATTCTTATGGAGAAAGTAGGGATTAAGTCCAAACCCAAAATCGTTGACCTGACCAGGAAAGAGGCAACTGTAGAGACCCTTACGGAGACCAGAATCCACTGCCAGAAAGACGAGAAGGACTTTTACCTTTATTACTTCCTGCTGCAGTATCCTGGCCGCACCATGGTGTTCGCTAACAGTATAGACTGTATCAAGAGACTGAACTCCCTGCTGGTTATTTTGGACTGTAACCCACTGCCTCTGCATGCCAACATGCACCAGAAACAACGCCTGAAAAACCTGGAGAGGTTTGCAGAGAGGGACAGGTGAGACTTACACACACTTGCAGCAGCAGTCTCAAAGTATAAGCAGTGGTTAAGACCTTAATCGTTACGATGACCTATTATGAAACAGAACTTCTTAAATGCAGCTTTGAGTTTATAGGCTTTATCTTTTAAGTAAAAAAAGGGCCTGGATTAAATTTCTCACTCAGGTCTGTCACTGAGTTTAATTAAGAGGCACTCACACGTGCAGGATATATTCTTAATCACCAAGTATGAAACAATAACCGTTTGGTCTATTGACTTAAATTGACAGAAGTAGTGATGTTTTAAGGTTATTGGACAGCTTATTCGACAGAGATAATGTTCTTCAAATGACAGGCTTTTTATCTCATTCAACACTACACAGTTGGAGTGGAGTTGGGAAATGGCTTGAGTGCCCTTTATTTGTCTGGGCTTGTTTGTGCTGCTGTTATCTTGGCAGAGTCTCAACATTTGTTCACAGCACATAAAACTAAATATTAATTCAGCAAATCATTTATCTCCATCTGAAGTCACTTTGTTTTATTTTGGTATGTGCTCATTTTTCTGTGTTCCTAAATGTCATTCACAGTTGCATTTTGCTGACGACTGATGTGGCAGCTAGAGGACTTGACATCCCAAATGTTCAGCATGTTATTCACTACCAGGTAAGTCAATTTTTTTGAAACATTTGTAGCGTGTTTGTCTTTATGAAAGCTGTTTTTATTTAATTTTAAAAAATGAGTGTCTTCCTGCCTAAAAAAATTGTAGTAATTTTGCTGTAAACAAATTAGGTTCCAAGAACATCTGAGACCTACGTCCATCGAAGCGGCAGAACAGCAAGAGCCACCAAAGAGGGTCTCAGTTTGCTGCTTATCGGCCCAGAAGACATGATGAACTTCAGAAAGATTTACAAGACTCTTGGGAAGGATGAGGAACTCCCCATGTTCCCCATAGAGACCAAATGCATGGACTCAATCAAAGTAAGACTCATCATCATATTCATCATCTTCCTCCGAACTTACAAGTATTATATTTGATTGTTTTTTTGTGTGCGACCCCTCACAGGAGCGGGTAGACTTGGCCCGACAGATCGAAAAAATTGAGTTTCACAACAGCAGAGAAAAACACCACAACTCCTGGCTTCGGCAGGCTGCAGAGGCCCTGGAGGTGGACCTAGATGAGGATCTTTTAATGGGTAAAAAGGAAACACTCTAAGCATATTCTACCCTCTTAAAAATCAAAATACACGACTAACCAGATTATCGATGTCCACAGGCAAAGGAAGAGATGAGGACACTGACAGAGAGCAGCAGAAGATGGTGAAGGGGATGAAGAAGCACTTGAAGCATTTGATCTCTCAGCCAGTGTTTAAAAATGTGATAAAGACCAAGTACCCGACACAAATGGGGAAGCTCTCCCTGCCTCATCTGCCTCTAGCTGGAAAGGAAAGTGCCCTCAGCAGAGTGTCATTACAGGAGGAGAGTCAGAAATTAAAAAAAGGTGCTCGACCGAAGCATAAAAAGCAAAAGAAAAAACAGCAGCAGTGACATGTTCGCAGACCATCCTTGACAGATTTCTGTAACATTAAACATGAGACAGTTTGATTAATTGAAATTTAATTGCAAAATGTATAAAAATGTTGTCAAATTGCTGTACGCTTCAAGATTTTATAAAAATCTGCTTTCACTAGAGTCTAAGAGCTCATTTTGAATTTTTTACATAAAGTCAGTGTCCCTGAGTAGAGCTCTGTTCATGTGGACGACCAGTCAGTGTTGCAGTCTTGGGTAGAGGATGTTGTAGTGAGACGTCTGGTACAGGAGGTGCACCGAAGGTTCGGCTCCCTCTGGAATGATGTGATGGGCCAACTGCTGCTCATCTCCCTCCATGGAGACAATATGGATGCAGATATCTAGAGCCTGTGAAAGAGCCAAGATCTCCACATGATCACTCTCCATCGCCATGGCCTCCACCTCCTGCATGAAGAGAACAGGGACAGTACCAAACTTGAAAGTTTAACACTTAGTCAATTTAATTCCCAAAGTCTTTGACCATAGATTTAGGTCTTTTTTTTCCACTAGATGGCAGCAATACTTTGTTACTAACTTGCTGACAGTAGACTTGTAGGTTTGGTGCCTCTACAAAGTTGCAGAAGAAGTCTGCATGGTTCTGCAGGTGTGCTGAAGTGAGCAGCCTGAGATACTGCACCACGCTATCAGAGGTAGTCTGCTCATTGAAGAGCTGCAGCAGCTGGTCCTCCTGCACATCAGCCTGGCACTGCTCCACAACATGAACAACCTATGAGAGAACAGGTAAAATTTGGTATTTTTCACAACACAATAAAAAAAAAAAAGAAAACCTCTAGCTCTACAAGTGAGATTGAAATGCTTCCCACATTATGCCCTACAAACCAAAACTGTAGAAGATTAGAACTACATTTATGTTTTCACAGATTTATTAGTACATCCAGATGGTGATAACTTGCTGTATTTTACCAAAGAAATCACTATCTGGATAAAAAAGCCTTCACTGACAGAGAATGGGTTTTTTTTAACCATTATTAAGCCACTTTGCTATATTGGCCTTATTTGCTGGACAATTATTAAGTGATAAACTGTTCAGTCTTACTTCCCAGTATTTCATAATTACTATATAATAATATTATTATTATTATTATTATTATTATTATTTATTTTTATTTTTTTCCCAAATTGAAAACAGTTCTTATCTAACAATAATTTAGTAGGCTATGTGGATTTTGGCTAAACGCCTCAAATCAAAGTGAAATGTGAAGGAAGAGGCCTTATTTACTGTGTTCAGATGCTGCTTAAATGAACTGTCATCGAATCCCGCAGAGGCGAAGTCTACGCTGGTTTGAATGATTGTCTCCTTTATTCTGAAGGAGAAATTAAGAGTTAGTCCATATTAGTAGTAGCTTGAGTTTGGACAGAAGGCTGTACAGACGATGACTGACCTCTGCAGAGCCCTGTTATTGTGTAGGACTGACTCCAAGTGCGCAAAGAAGAGGGCTCTGTAGAAGCAATTTCCGTCTCCACGGATTTGTCTCACAGAGGAAAACTGGCTTCTTAGATCCTGAACAAAAAACAATGAATTTGTTGAACATGAGATAATGGCCACATGCAGTAAACAACCTAACCTTTTCAATAGCCTACTTTGTACTTAGGCCCGGTCGTTTGCTCAGGAGACAGTGAAGAAATGTCCTCCTTGCTTAAGACAAGACTGCCAACCTCCATCTGTTTAGAGACAAAGATAAGTTATAACCAAAACAGAAACCTGCTATCTAAAACCTTAACGTGACCACATGACGTACCTTTAGATTTCAACAGTATGGAAACCATGGAAGAAAACATCATTGCGATTTGGAAAGACTCCCTGCGTCAAAATTGTGTGTTAAAGCATTGTTGCAATTCTGTTTCCATTTCCTGAAAACCGGATGTTTGCACGTACCACGTGTTCGTCTTAAAGGGACAGTGCAGAGTTGTTGTGTGCTGAAGGCAGACCATCTTAGCAAGTGACACTGGGTCCACCATTAGTGAGCATTTTTTGTGACTATCCCCTTCTCCTGTTCAGTAACACAAATTATTTTACCATTATTTATTTATAATGTAAATTTATATAGACGTATTATATCAATATTATTGATTATTAGCAAATTACTTTTAAAGCTCCTGTTAGAACATTACTATTTGTGTCATCTTTTTTGCTCCCTGCAGACAGAGCTGTGTCCGAAATGGATCCCTAACCCCTATATAGGCGACTATTTGGGGGTTAGCGCCATTTTGAGGGGTGTCTGAAACCTCAGTGATCAAATCCAATGCCCCATATAGGCGACTCAAAATTTCCCATAGAGCATTGCAAAATGTAGTGACCATCCGATGGTCACTCGTCGGTGGTGGACATCCCGTCATGCATTGCGTTTCCAGTGGCAGTCTGAGCAGTGATGTCACAACGGTGCACCATGTAGTGTCCAAAACCTCCGGTAATTGAGCTCACTACATAGTCAGCTATATAGTGAAACCCCATATGGGGGTTAGGGGTTAGGGATTGAGTGATTCATTTCGGACACAGCCACTGTGGTTGCTCCTTCAGTTTCTTCTGCATGGATTCCTGGTAGTAATTACGGGCATCATAAATACTAAGTTTAAGTTGCTAATCCAGTTTGATTTTGTAGATCATAAAGAAGCATCACAGTCTTGTTCTAAGCCAGATAAAAACTCTTTACAGGGGCTTTATATGTATAGCAAGTGTAAATTGACTCTTCTTGAATATACAGTGTGCAGAAAAAGAGGGACTGGGTAAATTCAGCATAATTAAGTTTGTTTTGAATCATCTCATCACGTATCTTTTATTGTAATGTCTGGACTGAACTGTATGGCAATGGGGTATGCCTGTCGTAGAACAACCATTAGAATAAAACTCTGTATGTGTTTAAAGGCCTAACTATTTAAAGCTACTTTGGGAACTTCTGACATGTATAAACTTTGTCAACTCCTGTGGACAACGCATTCTTTGCTTATCCTTTTGCATGCTTGAGTAGTGTCTTCTGACAACAAGTATCATGCCCCTGACTTCTAACAGTCAATTTGATCATTTACTGTGAATATTTTGAGTGGATATTACAATTGTAGGGCTCACTCTTCTGCTTCTCAGCTGATACCTCGCACTGGTTTTCGGCATCAAAAATGACCATACAAAAAGCATCAATCATGCGCCTAATGGTCTTTTTGGCGTTTGGATATAAAGTGGCACCAGAACAATTCAGTCTACTTTTGCAGATGTCACAGGAGCTTAAAGCAACATTTTTTTAATAGGACCTCATGCTCAAAAAGATGCTGCCCTAATTCTGGATCTATCATTCAATCTTTATTTACATAGGAGCAATTCACAACAAATGTTATATCAAGATGCTTTGCAAAACAGCAGGTCTAGAATATATTCTGTTTTATTTTTAACATGAAGAAGATATGATTGAGTTTCATAGTAATGTGGCAAAATTTAGCAAGAGCTACAGAGGTAAGCAACAGGCAGCAGGAATGAGAAAAACAACAGCCTGACTCAGCCTGACAACTCACACGCCAATTTATCCTTGGGAGCTCAAGTTACTGACTATATAAACCCTTTAACAACATGGTTAAACGTGCTTTGCTTCTTTGACTGCATTTCACTGACAAGCAGCATTTTAGCATAATTGGTGATTTTTGTGAGCCTGTAAGAAAACCTGCACAACAGTGTTTTCTGACGTGGAGTAAGAACTTCCTTTGTTTTTGTGAGGTTTATTTTGCAAGACATGAAACTTTGTGGCAGGAAATAAAAAACAGAATCGACCCTTTGAGGTAAAACTGAGAATCTGAATTGATCTGTACTGACTGAAAATGCACAAAATTACAAAGAACATTACGAAAACTTTATAAATTAGAAAATCTGCTCGGAATTTCTTGTTCTAGATGTAGGCTACCATCTAAATCTAAGAAAAATACATACAGTGATAACCCCCACAGATACACATTTACAAAGTCCTGTGTTTAAGACATTTATTTCTCTTTTATTTTAATCGTTCAACAGTGATGACTGTGAGCAGTGATGTGATGTTAAGTTGTTAGAGTTTGACATTAACTTGTTGCCATACTTTTTTTACTGACTTTACTTGAACTTTTTATTTGAGATTTACTGCCCATGCTTTTCATCGATCCCCGCTCTCTTTTGTCTGTCAGAGCTGTTCTGCTGGTCACTGCAGACCCAGACACCATCAGTCTCCTCGCTCTCTTCTCTGTGTCGGCGATGTCCAGAATGTACTCCTGCAGTTGACCATTTCAGAGTATAAAGTTTAGAAAAAAATCCATTGAGAGCACTTTGATATGATTGCTAATAATTATTCTTGAAAGTCAAACTCTTCTGTTACAATATTACCTTCACCATGTCCATCTTTGTTAATATGGTCATGTTTTCCAGAGGGCCATATGCTGGTAGGTAACACTGCTCAGCAAGGTTGTTTACTGCCATAAGCACAGATCCCATGTCTTCAACCTGGGTCAGAACAGCACATTTAATAAAAGTGTTTCTTTCTGCAGATAAATAACTGAAAGTTTACATTTCAGAAGCATACCTTCTCTTTTGCTAGGCCTTGGTCCATCACTAAATGAGCCTCCGCCCGCTTGTTCTTCTCTTTGAGGGTCTCCAACTCAATCTGAAGCTCAGACAGTTCCTTATTCACCTTCTGCAACACAATATAACTGTGGTAAATTTTCTGAAAATCCTTTTTATCTGAGAAAAATTTGAGTAGATAGTTGTTTATGTGTGTCCGACCAGTTTTTTAAGGTTATGCTCCTGCTTCATGGTCTGCAGCTGTTTCTGGCCCTGCTCCGCCTCCTCCTCCAGACGCCCCAAACGCTGCTGCAGCCGCTGGTTGGTGATGGATAGTGTCTCATGGCGCCGAATGATGGGCATAACCAAAGAGTCTGACCCATTGTCGTGGTAAGCTGGAAAATATTATGCATAAAAGATGTTTCACTTCTGGTCTATGCTTAAATCAGTGAGGGAAACGGGTGTAATGTGAGGTGAAGAAGTCACTTAAGCACTTACTGCTGGGGAAGTAATCCAGTGTTTTCATTAAGTAGTCCTCATAGACTTTATGTCTTTCTATTCTCTCCTTTAGAAGCTGATGCCTGTGAGTTGAGATATTACCATAAAGCTGAAAAGTAACTTTAAAAAGTAACATACTTGTAAAACGGATTAGTGGTAAAGTCCTCACCTGGCCTCCAGTTGTTTTAGCTGCTCAGTCAGATCATCAATCTCTTTCTGCTTCAAAATGTTCTGCTCTCGTGCAGCCTCGTACTTCTTCAGTGCTCCACGGCGCTTTTCTTCATTTTCGGCCACAAACTTCTCAAATTTTATTGCTCTTTCGTTGGTCTAGGAAAAAGAAACCCCAAACACACTCATATCAGAATAAACTTACTGGCTTGTAGAAAGTGAGGTAGAAGATGTGTGCCTCATTTCACCTGCTGTTGTTGTAGTTCCAGTTCAGATCTTCTCTTAGCCAGAACCTCCACTCTGATCTTATACTCTTGCCTTTTCAGTGTGAGTTGATATTCCACTTCTTCCAACTCAGCTTGTTTCTTCAGGACCAGAGTCTTTTGTAGAGTGTTTACCCCTGCTTCAAGGATTCGGCCTGATGTCTGCACATGAAAAAATAACATCAGCTGCTTAAAAATTTTTACCACAAACAGAAAAGTCCCAAAACGTGGTATCATCATAGCAGCTCCACTACTGTATTTTTTTTAGAATAATTTATAGGCTACAAATGCACAGATTAACACTTTATTGTTAGATCTTTTTATGTATATTTTGGCAGACTTACTGTCTTACCTCTGTTACAACAGGCAGGTAGTTCACATTTTCCTCTTCTTTATGTCTGGGGAAGAAATACAATTCAAACCAACACTTTTCCTGGAGGTGTAAAGGGGAAAGAAAGCCAACGTACTGTCGACTGTGCACTAAAAACACACACCTACCTTGTGTCGTCCAGCTGTGTAACAAAAATGTTTCTTGTTCTGTTTTGAACCCTGAGTTTTAGACGAGGGTCACCGCCATCTAAGTCTATAGGATACGCAGAAGTCGTCATGTTCTGCAGGGTATTGTATGTTAATGTCGTGTTAGCCTAATTGTAAACAGCCCGTATGAACTATTCCTGCAGTTATTCCACGTTCAGACGATAAGAGGGACAGCAGAGGGTCTTTCCCGGATGTTTTCCTTGGATTTGTGTAGTCGTTTCCAGGGAAACCACGGGCAGGACAGCTGGGAATTTAACGGGATCGTTTTTCCTATGCCAAGGCAACTACCAAAGAGGCGGTTCCGTTTCATTGACTGAATGAGATCGTCCAGGAGACAATAAAGAGCGCTCACTCCGCACCGATTACCACGGACCAGACTGAGTTGTGTGAATGACTGGAGTTGGAGTCTGAGGGACTTTGGAGGGCTTCATTAATCAACTCCATCAACAACTCACATAATCAAATTTGTTATTTTACAGACTCCAGTGGCGACACAAATAAAAGATCAGCGAGGGAATGTAAAAGCAAGACTGAGGTTAATAAATAAGAAAAGGCTCCTGCCCTACAGTATTCCAGTTATCACTTTCGATATGTTTTCTTTGAGCCTAATAGCTAAATAATATTCAAAACAGAACATAGCTAAATTCTCTTGTCAAAATGTTATTATTCCTTCAAAAAAGCCTACAAAATGCTCTACCTCACTGAAAATAAATATAGCCTACATATGTAAATGACAAGGCCTGTTTCTGCAGAGTTCATCCTCAGTGCATAAGTCAACTTCAACATAAAACCACAAAACCTTACCACGTGTTTTAAAACCAAAGCTCACGTCACAGACTTCCTCTCTCAACAAATGATAGGAAACAGGTCTACTTGTGACACTCTGTGTGTGTCATGTATTTTACTCCTCAAGAGAGGGCAAGAATGAATAATTAGGTAACAATAAAGAGTAATTTTTGACAAAAGAGGCTTTGAGAAAAGTTGTATTTTATAGATTTTGGCAATGTTCAGCATTGATATAAAATGACATGACATGGCAGATCTGAACCAAAAAAAAGTAACATTTAGACTAAAGCAAAAGACAGAAGTTCATTTTGTCAGTGCTATCTTGACTTTTGTAGCATCACCTGCAGTGCAGAAATATTATTGAGATATGTCACCTAAACCCCTTTCAGGCCAAAAGTAATGGTCTTTGGGGTTTTTTAAATGGATATATGTGGGATAAAGTGGTAAAAGTGTAAACGATCCAGTTCCCCCAGCTGTACACAGACATGCTGAAAGACTTGTTTGTGTCATTCAAAACCAGAAGCCACTTCAGGTTTACATACAGGAAGCTTTTTTTTCCTCAAACACTTCCGAAGATGTGATGGTGAAACCAAAATCAGCTGTCATTGTTGCGTTTGTGTTTAAAGCACGTTTTCACACTTCTGCATGTCACAGTTGAGCTGATACAACATAGGGGAAGAGTGAAGGTGCTATAAAGGTGGACCAACACATTTTTCATGTAAAGCAGCCTCTGTGAGTGCGAGTTAGGATTATTGTTCGGTGGTAAGTAAACATCTTTGATTTATTCTGCCACAGCTTTAGGGGATTTTTAAAATTTGGTCAAGGAATATGGATGTGCAATTTATTACTTACTCTAAAAGTACAGTGGAAAAACTTTGTTTGTTGAATCCATTTATGCATAGTCATAGTTGAGAAAATAAGCTGGATCTTCAGATTTCATCTTTTTGCAGTTAAGCTCACTGTAGCACTGAACTCGACCTCACATCAGTGTTGGAGCAGCAGAATCAGGGAGAATCAAACACTGTTGAACATGCCCTTAAAAGGCATCTCTGAGCAGCAGCTCTTTGCCTGTTGCTCTCTGATGTCTGCCAGAGCCAGTTTCAGATCTGTTAAATCAGTCCATTCTCTAATTCATACAGCATGGCTTTATAGGACATGTTTATTCACTATGTATGCTGTTATGTGAAGTTTTTGGGGAGAGCTTTTAAACCTGTCTGTGAAGTCAGCGCACTGAGAGTTTTCTAATCCTCTGTTCTGGATCACCAGTTTCATCACAGCAGCAGGATAGGAAACAGCACAGTGGTGGATGTGCAGCCCCTCAGACTGGACAGCATCTTTCTCCTGTGATGATTGCAGTCAGCAGACCCAGGTCTCTGTACCAGAGACTCAACAATGATATCAAAGACAGGCTGGCTATCTACTCCCTCAGTCTCCACAACACAGCCTACGTGACAGAAAACCAGCTCAGGTGAGAGATCAGTTTCACAATGAATGGAAACAGTATTTTTGATCTGCATATTTTGTTTTCAAAAAGAGGGCAAAGACAGTCTAGTGCTGTTTGTATCGTGTATTTATGTAATACATTCTATATATGTTTATGAGTGTTTTGGAGACCTGAACTTTCATGAAATAACTCTGTAACTGATGAAAACTGATGGTTTGGCCTGTAAAGACACTAAAAACTGTTTAGGAGTATGGCAAACATGTTAATGAATCATATTCAAAATCTAGATACTTTAGCACTTTGTGTCCAAACTAGCTCAACAGAGGATAATCAAAACACATTAGAGATCAACAGATGGATAAACACCACAGCCCCTGTTCTCTGTTTAAGAAAGGAGAAGTTATAACCAATAAGAGGAGACCATTTAGAGAAAATCAATATATCTCCAGGTCCCAAACTGCTGCTGCTCTTACTCATATTCCCTTTGTAAGGTCGATTGTGGCGCCTTGTGGTTCATTATCATGAAACACCTTCTGTTTATGATGCTGTGAGCTAAGTGACTTATTAACAACCTTATTATGAGGTGCTTGACATTTTGAAGAAAATTGGAGTCCATGAGCTCATCCAAGAGGTCATGAGTCTGAATAATATGTCACAGTGTCCATATGAGTGTAACAGTGTCTGATAGGGTGCAATAAAAGGGGACGAGTTATAGCTGGTTTTTCCAGACAGACTATGACATAATTTGCTCCTTTGTGACCCCACAGCATTAATCTGAGCACTTTTAGAAGGCACATAAAAGAGATAAAACATGCCTCATTTTTGTGAGGTGTAATGAGTGTTAAAACTCCACAAACCATAAACCACAAGTTATTGCCACGCATTTTGTAACCAAGGAGGGCACAGGTGTTCTATTAGTCTTGAAACTGTTTTATAGGGAATTTGGGAGTGTAAAAGACTTTTTTATTTTACACGCGTCAGATACACACACTTTTTATGATGTATCCATTAATCCATCCATTACCTTTACCACTTGTTCCTTTTGGGACCGCAGAGGACTAGAGCCTCCCCAGTTGTCATCTGGCGACAGGCAGGCTACAGTCTGGACAGGTTCCCACTCAGTAATGAGGCTGACATATTCAGGCAAATAACCATTTACACAGTCACACCTACGGGCAGATTAGAGTGACCAATTGACCTGACCAGTATGTTTATGGACTGGACGTGTTAAAAGGTACTTTATTTGAATTGTAATAAAAGTATTTTTGACACCTCATGTTGGAGGTCAGATGAGTAAGAATTGCCCCCTGAATTATGGAAAAACACATGTCCTGAATTAACTACTGTAGTATAACCAACAGCCTTCATTTACTGATTTTTTGTTTTGATGTTTACAAAATTAAGTGAAATTCATAAAAATGCCTCTTGATGATATACAAAAGAAAACAATGTAATTGGTGACAAGGTTGATTTTTAAACTGTATTATTTATTTACTATTATTAACCAGTGTTAGAACTGTCAGACATCAGCTGAGAGAAGAGCCCTGTTTTTACAATTTCCATATCAAATGTTCGCAGTTATGAAAAAACTCAGCAGAATAAGATTTTGCTTTTAGAAGACACTTCCAAAACATGCAGAGTACAAGATAATTAAATGCTGTATTGTCCACAGGGGGCGCCAAATTGACAGGAACTGAAAGTTCCTCACAGGGGCTTTAATTGATTGTAATGAGTAAACTTTTTCTTGACTACAGTCTTGAGACGAGATACTAATTACAAGAAACTTATCAAGAAAAATTTGGCTTTAAGTGTCTTGAAACAAAAATCATATTTTGATTTTGTAAAAGTTGAGTTCCTGCAATGTAGACAACAGTCAACTGGTTGGTGATTTTTTTTTACACAGTAAAAGATGACATGTATAAAATGGCAAAGTGCAATTCTTTCAACAGAAACTACTGCATAGTGAGGATACTGATTTAAAAAACTACTCAGGACAGTAGCCTACAAGTGCACAAAAAAGCTGCCCACTCAGGTAGGCCCAGTGGGGGGCTATGGCCACCCTGTCTGCTAGAGAGTTCATATGATTATATATATATTTTTTAGTTGCAGCCTCCAAACGTTATTGCTTGTTTGTTGCTTGACCTCTCCTTGGCCCTGTCCGACCGAATTCCTCCTTTATTTGACCCGGTTTGTTATGAGGTAGTTTGATGCGGAAACCTTTCACTCACTTCATCCAGTGAAAGGCATCTAGGCTTGGGCTGTAGTATCTCCCGTGCTGTTTGCCTTATCTCTGTATGTCCGAGCCTCTTGACATATATGGATAAACCAGTCACCCTGCCGCCTGACAATACAGTCCCAAAATAATCTGGAAGAGCACAGCTGAGCCTCGCGCGGCGCTGCACGCGCTCCTTCGACCAACCGCACCTCTTAGACGAAACGTCGCCTTAAAAAAAAAGCTTCTGCCATTAGATCAGACATGACGAAATTCACCTATTCAGAGTATCTGTCTCAGTTTCGTAATGCCGGAGGTAAATGTAATAATGTGACGCGCTGGACTGAAGACAGGAGGAGAGGAGGGGGCGAGAGCGACGTAACGTCAGAGCCGGAGTGAGTCTTTGTTGTGTTTGACACCGAGGCTGTATGTGTCCCCGTCTGTGTATGTGTACGTTGGGCTCCTTATGTGAAATCTACTGTATAACTTAACAATACGTGTAAAATCCTTTTTCTTATTTTCATTTATTTGACTCCCACCAAGTCATACCACTCGGAACTTAGTATTTAGGTAAAATAAAGCCACCAAAATAGTATAATCTCCTCTAGAATTAAGGTCAATTGTTGTATCAAACAAAAGCCTAAAAACAGTGCTGGTGTCTGCCCTAAAATTACACCTAAACACATCTGTAAGTGTTTTGCTTTTCTGCTTTTTAGGGATGCTGACCCGGTGGTCTCTGCCATCAGAAGAGGAGATGTAAAGGCCGTAAATGATCTCGCAACATCTGCTCCTCACAGCCTGCTGAGGGAGAACAAAGATGGGTGGATACCTCTGCATGATGCTGCTTTCTGTGGACAGACGGAGTGCATGAAGACTCTACTGAGAGGTTGGACAATGGAAGCATCATTTGTGAATATTTCCAAACAATCGCTAAGATGTGTGATATGAATAAATGTCTTGTCTGTCCCAGCCCATCCAGGTTCAGTGGACAAACGTACCTTGCAGGAGCAGACTGCATTGCTGCTTGCTGTGTCTTGTGAACACTTGTCATGTGTGCGGGGTCTTCTGGAGGCCGGCGCTGATCCAGACATCAGCAGCAAGAACAAAGAAACCCCTTTGTACAAAGGTAAGGCCACAACCTCAATGGCCTGAAAATAGCTTGTGAGAGAGCAGGGAATTGTGTGTGTCAGAAATGACTTAGTATCTCATCTGTGTCGATAGCATGTGAGCTGGAGAACGTGGACATGGTGAGCCTCCTTCTGTCATATGGAGCCACAGTGAACCAGCGCTGTGGTCAAGGATGGACAGCCCTTCATGAAGCTGTGTCCAGGAGTAACACAGAGATCAGTGAGATCCTCATAAGAGCCGGGGGAACCATCAATCCTTCCAACACCTACAGCATAACACCTCTTATTGTAGCTGCTCAACGAGGACAGCTTAAGGCTCTGTGTTACCTTGTCGGGAAAGGTACTTTTTTGCACAGAAAACATTCTAACTTTTTGTATTTTGACCTTTGTTTCAACTGTTTTGATTTGAGAAATGTTTTATTTTAGGTGCAGATGTGAACATACAGACATGTGATGGTGTCACAGCGCTGCATGAGGCGAGTAAAAACGGCCACAAGGAAATTGTGGGAGTGCTGTTGACCAAAAATGCAGATGCCAACAAACCAACAAGCTCAGGACTACTGCCGCTGCATGTTGCTGCCCAATACGGTCATCATGAGTAAGTTTCCATACAATAAACTGAAGTGAGGTATAGAGTATTAAAGGGAGGAGAATATATTCTGCTTTGTGGAAGTTTTCACCTTCTCTCAACATTCCTGTGAATATTTCTTTGTGTTTAAAAATAACAACCTTATTTTTTTCCTGGAAAAAAAAAAACAAGTCCAACGGATACCTGACATTGGACTGATTTTGTTTTTCAATGGTGGAAGAAATGCCCAAATTTTTACTGTAATCCCAGATTGTAACTCCAATAATGCATTAAAACATCCAGGGGAAAGCACTGTAACATTCACACTCCTAAGTGAATCTTATAGTTTCAAAAGTCTACTGTGATTGTAAAGAGAATTAAAAGCAGCTACAGACACTGCTTTGAATTTTCTGTAATGATCTTTTTTGTGTTCAGGATTGTGTCCCTGCTGGTCTCAGTGACAAGCAGAGCCATGCTTCGTCACAGCTGTGTGAGCCCGCTCCACCTGGCAGCAGAGCACGACAGACACGCAGTGGCAGCTGTGCTCCTCAAGACAGGTGCAGACGTAAACGCCACTCTGGCCCGCAGTCACTTCATCCAGTATGCTGACCGACGCACCACAGCCCTCTACTTTGCCGTGGCCCATGGCAGCACACAGACAGCAGAGGTGCTGCTGAAAGCCGGTGCTAGTTTAAACCTGGATCCTGTCAGTCCTCTGCTGATGGCTGTACGGCGGGGCTGTGTCCATACTGTGTCCCTACTGCTGGACAGAGGGGCAGATTTGGATGCCAAAATACCCTCTCACGCTGCTACATTTCCTGCTGTTGTTGCACTGTGCATGAATAATTTGCCACTGCTCAAGTGCCTTTTGGATAATGGCTGTGATGCCCTCTCCTGTTTTAAGTGTACATACGGTAGTGCCCCTCACCCAGCATCAGGAGTAAGGACTGTTGGCAGCAGCATACATGATCATTTGCTTCCTTTAAACTGCAGTGAGCCACCAGAAAGAGCAACACAGGTGTGAAAATAAGTTTAAAAAAAAGAGACAGTCCAGTTAAAATCACAATAACTTTAAAGCAAACACATTTTAACTTGTGTGTTTTGTTTTTCTTGCAGTTCTGTGAGTGGATTTCAACACCGGTAATGTGCACATCAGCAGGACTGATCATAGACCGTCTGCTGGAGCACGTCGCTCATGTTCAGCTGTGCAGCAAACTCAATGAACTGCTGGACAGCCGGGAAGAATGGCTCGCTGTTAAGAGGAAGTCATGTATGCATTTCAACAATCATTTACATCCAAACATGCAAATGCGTCTGTTTCACTTCCTCACACGTGCGTACGACACAGATGTAATCTCAAAGCATGAAAGTGAACTTTTTCTTTATCTTTTTGTCCACAGCGTCTGCTCGTCCACTGCTGCACCTCTGCAGACTGAGGATTCGGAGTCAAATAGGGAGACACAGACTGAAATCTCTCAGAAGCTTACCTCTGCCAGACAGACTCATCAGATACTTGAGCCACACTGACTGACTCTTAGATGAACTTAAAACAACATTGGCATCAAAGATGGGACTAAATATATCATGTTTTGTTTCTTTTTTTAAATGCATCTGATATCAAGAATCTTTAAATGGTTTTCTCAAAGCAGCTCTTTATATCTATTTATAACCTGTGTCTGTGACAGGGAGTGTCTTTAGAGTGTCAATCAGAATGTATCGTAATTTTTCACTGGGAAAGAAAATGATCAAATGCCCCAAAAGGAGTCTCGAGGGAAATTGAATCATTTATTTAAAAATAAAAGTAATTGTTTCAAATGTGCCTATATCAAAGATTACTCTGACAGAGAAAAAGCAATCCACGTCCCACGCTCTGTTCTCAAAGTTAAAAGAGGATCTAAAACAGGATGTTTTCCTTCATTTGCATGACTTTTGGTACTTAAAAAGAGTAGTCCTTCTCTGTAGAAGCCTAAAAGTAGAAACCTTTAAACTTACTGTCAGTCCTCTGACACTTGAAGGCATCAGACTGGCACACAAGAGAGCGTGATGATGTTGTTCTACAAGTGCAACTTGGTCCTTCAGAATGAAAAAAAAATCAAAATAGAAGAAGCATTCCAGTAAGTGCTAAGGTCATGTACAAATGCTGGTAAGGGAAGAGTTTGCTGTGCAGAATACAAAATGAAAATGAGTCTTCTGTACATGAAAAGTATAATTAAATGAATCCAAACACGCTGAAGATTGGGGACTGGATGGTGGGTTTGGTCGGGATAGGTTTGACCACCACGTGCGTGTGTATTTTCTGTTCATGAGGATGCTCGGGTCTCTCTGTCTCAGTCCCTGCTGCCTTGCTCCACAGTCCCAAGGGCGGGTGAGGGACAAGAATATGACTGTGAAAGACCTGGTGTCCGTGGTACTGCAAGGGACAGCAGGCGCACACGCTTACGCAGTGATGAGAGCTCAGGTCCAATTGCAGCGTGTCTCTTTCCACAGACACAGCGGCCTTTGCGTCATCATCAGAACTCCTTTTCCTCTTGTCGTTTTCGTCGCTTTCAGCTGTGCCTGTGGGGTGCTTTTTCAGTCCTAATTGTGGGTGCTCCCTCTTGACTTGAGTCAACCTGGGTTCCTCCCAAAACGAGGCGGGGAGTTGACGTTTCCTCATGGGCACCTGCTCCACAGCGTTCCCTTCGCACTCAACACCTTGTGCATCCGAGCTGCTGGCCCTCTCTGCGACCTTCGCACTCTGGTGAGCAGTCCCCACCGGTTTTACGCATCCATACTCAGTGGACCTGTGCGCGTGGCATCTTGGGACTCTGGAGTACTTTTGGGAGAAACGCTTGAGTTGTTTCTGCAGATACTTCCTGTGATCCACGGAGCGTCTACACGGAGCTGACTTGTCCAAGGCCGCTTTGATATCACTGGACGCCAAGTTCACAAAATTCAGCAATGTCTTGACCTCACTGTCTGCATTCGCCATCTTTGTAGAGAATTAGATCAGTCCACAAGTTAGAAGTTGTTGTCCATTATCGGGGTCTAAAAAGAGAAAACTTGTTTAGATTGTGCGTAATTGCGCAGTGGTTGCTCCAACCCAATCTACATTGAGCTTTCTGATTAAATATAACTCGGATATAAACATTTACTCACCGCTGCTGGACGGATCCAGACTCGGGAAGCCACGGTCCAAGCACAGACTTCTCTCCAGGCAGCAGTAGGAGCACTTCAACAAGTTGAATGAATATAAACTCCTTGTAGTTATGGTGCTTTCCTTGAACCAATCAGCGACCCCAGGCCCCTCACAATGCACCCCAATCAGCCTCCAAGCGCCCTGGTATCGAATTCTTCACCATTGCAAATTGTTGTCATGGAGATCCAAGGGAGAAAAAGCCGCTGAGGGGATGCAATATTTCTCCTACACGGTGATTTCTGCGCGTCGGCCCACAGTCCCCAAAAATCCAGAGTGTGTGGGAATGAAAACGCGCTCAGAATCTGCTGAAATACTTATTCCTTTTAACTTTATTCTGTAACAGAAAAAATTATAGCCCCGATATGCTTTATACCCTCCCAAGGGTGATGTCAGCTGTAGGATTTGGTTAAGGGAGGGGGGACCTAAAGAGTGCATATCCATGGAAAGGGGCTTGAACGCTCAAGAATCTTGTCTTTCTGTTTGCCCCCTCAATCGAGCGACACAAAGGCTGAATTACTCATTCAAACCTCGCGGGACAAAGGGGAAGGAGCTGGATAGCACTCCTGCATTTGTAGTCAAACATTTAGAGACTTAAATCGAGTCGTCATGAAGGAGAAAGAGTCGGACAAAGCCCATAGAATTGCCATCAGCAAACATTTTCCTGTGTCATATTATGGGGTCTCCATGGCTCCCTCTGGCCCGCGGACAATAGCACAAGTTTGCACACTCGAATACTGTCACCCTGCCAACGGCAACAAGGGCCCAAAACAGGACAATCCCCAAGAGAAAGCATGGGCTCCGCGGGGAAGGTTGCAATGGAGGAGGAAAGGGGGACTTGTGAAATGCTAATTGAGCTTCATCCCCTTATTGAAGTGGGAAAAAAAAGAGTACCTATCGTCCCATTGAAGGGCTGCAGCAGTGGAGTGAGATGTGAGGAAACTGTTTGTCTGCTGACTAACACCTCAGGCTTGTGCACCCTGAGCCACTCCTGCATTAGGACACATCATTTAAAAACATCCTGCAGTCTGTATCAAGGCTGTACAGGCCATTTGCTCTGTCTGAGCTGCAGGCCACATGATTGATTGCCTCTTTCACTCAGTTTGGGGTTGTCTGAGGAGAGCCCTGCAGGTCTATTTGTGCTCTGACTGGTCTATCTTTTTCGAGGCGGTGCATCCCTCTTGTTCTGGGACCCTTTTGTTGTCCCCTCCTTCTTTTTCTTCTCCTCCTTCACCTCTCTGTTCTGCTGAAAAGGCCAATTAACAATGGGGCTCCCCCTCCCCTGGCCTGTCACCCCACTCCTGTGCTTTTGAAGTGCCGGAGAATGAGAAAGAGGAAGCAAAGTGGCATCCGTGAATCCAACAATGTGTTGCTGTGCTTGTGCCAAGACAGGTGGATGGGATGTTTGTCAGATACTTCAGATACTTGGAGGGATGAGCTGTTTTCTGGAACTGTTGGAAAGCAGTTAACACCCAGTAATCTAAAGTTTCCTTTCAACTCTATTTCAAGTATCTCTACCTTAGAAGGAACATAAACACCAATATGGAGGCTTGACTCTCGCTTAAACTGCCTTGTGTGTGCACTGTAGATATGCTCCTAACTTGCACATCTCTGGTGCACATGCATACCACGGTCAGAGAAACAGTTTCAGCCACTTAAGATATAAACTATTGAACCATCTGTCCTCTGTAAGCTTACACTTTGACCAAAATCCATCTTCAGGAAGCCCAGTGGAGCTCTAATAAACTGACTCTGTCTAGACCAGCTCCTATTCAGAAGCGTCCCGAGACACATCCATTAGTGGAATTATCTATCACGTGCATTTTCTATCGATCACTGCTGTTATTTATTTGCTTGAAGAGCTCTACTAAGATAAAACAGTTTTATCTAGACCATAAATGAATCTAGTTAAAGCTGTATTCAGTATCCAAGTGTGCACACCCATAACAGCGCTCTATAAGTGTTGTTATGGGAATAAGAGCTAAAAGTAGAAATATCAGAGGAGTTCTGTGTGCGTCACACAACATCCACAAATCCCTGGAAATTCAACGCCTCGGGGGAAGGATTTTGATTCGTCTCATCACACCTCATATTAAAGTTGAACTACACAGCACTTACAAAAGTAATTGAGTCATACATGAATCACTCCTAATATCTTAAAAGCAGATGACAAACCTTAAGAAGATTTTATGTTCATTCCTCCAGCCTTAAAGATAGTTACTGAGCACAGATGTGTGAGGTGATGTCCTTCTGGTGGAGACCATGAAGGCAACATCTAAAATCGATCATAAAATTGATCCTTTCTGTTACAGATATGGTGCTATGTAGTAAAGGATAGGAAATACACGGCACGTGTGAATTAAAAACAGACATTTCTTAGCAAAATAAGGTGGATAGCTCACTTTATGAGATCACCATCACATCTATGTCAAGATTTTAAAATGCAAATTATACACACACAATGTCTCCAGATTACTTACTGCATATTCTCTAGCAAAAACACAACAGATTTTTTCTTATGTAGCACCATCTATTTTAAAGTGTGTCAGTTTTCATGCATACAGCACAATGAATGTTAGAAAAATGCTTCATACATGCATCTTCTTATTTAATTATCTTCTTCTGGTCATATTTTCTTACATAGTCCTTCTGTGTTGCAGGACTTTCCCACTAGATGGCAATCTACCTCCACTATGGTACATCAAAGCTTGACCAGTGTGTAAGTAAAAAAGGAAAGAGTAAAGATACATGCACTTTAAACCAAATTTCTCTCATATGAATATTCTGTAAACGACAGAAGGGTTTTTGGGTCCCTTTTCCTTTGGTGCATGAGATATTTTTGGGCTGTGTTTGTTCGCGTAGGTGCTGATTAAGCATCTTGGCAGGGATAATAACGCTGAAAGACACAGTAATCTTATTAAGAGGTTTTCTTATCTGACTTTAAAGGGGCCGTGATGTATGTTGTGGCAGATTGGCGCTTGTTGGAATGAGTTGAGGCAGCAGGAAGGAACCAGGAGGATGTAGTGCTTTTCTCTTGTCAGATAATCGATACTGGGACAGACTGGAGGAGAGGATGGATGAGCTTAACTGCTGGGCACACTTAGATGCCAAATCCAGGCTTGTTTTGTATCTCAAAAACTCTGAAAAAACCTCTGCATTGTATAAGCAAAAGCGGCAGCAGCTGTGGATTTTCCACTCTAAAAGTCATCCACAGCTCTTGTGCATGAGCTCAGCCCCATTACTGTCAGTGAAGAGCTTTTTGATAGGCAAGAGATGTGATAAATGCTCAGCCACAGCAGAAAAGGCTGTTAGGCTGCTGGATGCTGAATCCCATTGATGTTACTCCAAAGTTGTTTGAATAGTTGGATCCAACGCTGTTATTTTGGAATAAGCAGGCGCTGACACTATTGGCCATCTTTCCTGGTATTTAAATCATGAGCAGCACTTCCAAACAGACATCCTGAGGGTACAGCTCATGATTGTGGATTTAGAAAACATGAATATGAAAAGAAAATGATTGACAGCCATGAGTGGCTTGCAGTCTTACATATATTTGCCCTTTGAGAATCTTTAAAGCTCCTTTAAGAAATGTTTGGTTAATGGCACCCCTATAGTCAGTTTGTCATCCACCTGCTGAGATCGTGTCTTCTTACCAAAAAGTCACCCCGCTGACCTTTGACAATCAAATATGTTATTAATTGTGAATTTATTTAGGAAATTGTAAATTCAGGGCTGTTACTTCAACTGCTTGGCTGACACCTACCCCTGCTTTTCAGTTTCAGGCATTAAAACCACAATGTAAAAACAGTCACTCTAATCACTGATGGTCTTGTTGGCTTTTGTATGTCATGAAAAGACCTCATAATGATTTTTTTCACAAACATCAAAAAAATTCTCACAGGAGCTTTAATGTTACGGCTAGGTGGAGGTGCTGCCTGTGGGACTAATTGAGGACAACTCTAGGGACCCTAGAAATTATTAAAGTGCTTGGGGTCATAAAGTGGTGAGGCCTGGGGTGATACATTTACACAGTGTCCACATCCCTAGTGGTGCATTTGAGTCCAAGGAGTTGGTTCTGAGACCTTACATCAACTTCCTCTTGCATGCGTTTGTTGAGACATGCAAGTAAAATACTTTAAAGACTGGATGAGTAGTTTGCCATTTTTGCTCACAATTTCCTGATCTTATTTGTGGAATTAACACTTTTTACGTTTCTGTATTTTATAATTAAACTTGTTTCTTTATTTCCAACTAACTAAATATCCCATTGTTAATATTTTAGTTTTTGTGGGGAGATATTTGGCGCCTCCTGTGGACAAAGTGACAATCTTGTGTCTTTGCTGATCTCGTGTTATGTAGGTGTGAATAGTCCTGCCTGACCCAGAAAAAAAAGTTAATTCTTCTTGTTTAAAGTGTAGCACATAATAAATCCTGGTATGGAAAAAAATTAAAAGGCTGTTTCAGTGTTAATTTTCTACCTTGTGGCAGGAGTGACAGGAAGTTTCAAAAACATACAAAGAGGTCATCAGTCCCATCACTGATGGTGTGATTTGCTCCATAGAGAAGTGTTCATTTCAGTTGGTTTCCATGCCACCAAATATTTCCCACAAGGTTTGAGGCTTTAAAGAAAGTTGATGTTAATATGTCTGTAGGAAACATCCTTTAATCTGATTAAAAATATATAAAATTCTCACATGCATTCTTGAGTATAAATTACCGTAATATGAGGGTTAGGGTTTTATAACCCCTGTCAGTTAACTGTTTTAGTAAATCCCAGTAAACTGTGCATGTCACATCAGCTCTCTAGTGCCGTGTACATGCCTGTGGGCTGTGGGGTAATTTCATAACTGTGCCTAGTGGAGACCACCAACAATTATTATGCAACTCTGCTCTCTAAAAACTGCCCATTCCCTGCTCCCTGGCCTCACAGCATCCACCCTTTTATATCAATATGGTGTCAAAAGTTTAGAAGCTGAATCTGGGGGGTTAAAAATAAAACACCTAATAAATATCTTATAAGTGTGTCTCTGTTGTGGAGCATTAGCAGTGAATGCCAGGTTACATCAGTGTTGTTGATCTCAGCCTACTTTGGGACCATTGGACCTTGGAGTGTTCTAGCAGGCACATCAAACACGGGGATGACAATGTTTTCAGTCGGTAGGCGTCTTGCACTCTCTCTCTCTCGCTCCCTCTCTCTCTCTCTTTATCTCTCTCCCCCTCTCTTTCTCTCCACTTGACTTTAATTCGGTCTAGTACCTACGCGTCATCCTCACGGACTCGCCTCCACGCATTGTGGGCTTATGCTTTTTTTTCTCTCTAAACAAGAAAAAAAAAATCAAATACAAACAAGCGAAACAAAACAAAAGCTTGCATTAGAAGCGCCTTTAAAATCCCCATGCCACCTTGTGATTTTTTTTTTTTTTTGAGGGAGAGCGAGGAGGGAGGGTGGGAGTGAGGGAGGTGGGGGTACTTTGGTCTTTTTTTTTAAGAGAGAGAGGGAAGCGGAGGGAGAATTTGTTTGAGCACACGCTGTCAGGATGAGCTGATGTGAGCGCTGCATCAAGTGCGCGGACGGTGATGCTCCCGTATAAAACACCGCGCTGTATTTTGGCACAGAGGGAGGATGCATCAGTTTAACCCTCGGCTCTGCCCTCCGGACTCGCCCATCCAGTAATCCAGCCCTCAGATAAGTTGAAGAGGGCATGTGTGATCCCATTGCGAGGAATCCTGCCGCACGATAATTCCTGAGGATCTCTCCCTCTCCCTCTCTGTTCGCTTTCTTTTTTCTTTTTTTTTTTTTTTCTTCAACTTCGATGGCTTGAGTGAGTGAGTGGCCCATTTGCACTCATGCTCGCAGCCGAGGAGGGATGTAAAGGTACGGGCCATCCACCGCCCTCACATTGCACGGAGTAGCGGCGTGATTCAGGTCGCTATCTGAGTGCCAGTCAGCCAAAAGAAAACTACTTTCGAGATGTGAGATTATCGAGATTTGCTACTCATTCCGCCGGCTCGCCTGTCCTATGCTATCGACAACGGGATTTCAAGAGGAAAATGATTGTGGCATAAACTATTTCTGGAGACGCTTGTCACAGATATCGCCGCTGAACTGGACAGGGTGGATGGTTATTTCCCAAACTGTTCAAGCATATGTATACTGCATTCATTTGTTGGAAACGCTGCCTAGTATCTTCGAGAACAGCTCAAGAGGAATGCTGGTCCAAGATCTAATGCCATTTACTTTAAGTTTTTGGCCTTTTTTCTTCGGTCATTGCCTTCTCTCACTGTTTTTACTCTCGTGCCAGGTAAGGATCATGTTCATGCGCGCCAAATGTCAAATTACGCATGAGAAGGAAAATGTAACCAGAGTTTGATTTACTAAGGAACAAGAGATGAGATGCATGTGTCTAATTTAGCTTGAAGTTACTTGTGTCCTTACTTAAATGCATTTGAAAACTAGAAGACTGCATGTGTGTTTACACCAGGACACACCTGTGTTTAGGGAGTCCTGACAGGCATGCATGTGCAGGGTTTCCATGAGAAATGTAGCTCTGCACACACACATAGACTCTCAGCTCCCTTGTAGTGGGAACATGGAGTGGCCAACTGTGTTTTCATGATAACAATATTCAGTTATCCCTCCAGGATCCCTGCAGCAGGCATATGTTAGTGATGAGTATTCTAACCTCTGGCCCGCGCTGCTGCCTACAGATAGTGGTGAGCTGTTGTTCACACGCACACAGTGTTGCCAGGGTTCATGTGTAATGTGATCTGCTCGAGTTTCCAAGTCCACCCACGCACACTCCTCGGGGCAGCCTGCTGCCCACTCTGTTGGTGGGTGGTTTCTTACAGGGAGCGGGCTGCAGCCATAGACGTGATACTATTCTGCATGTACTACATACACACACACAGAAGCCCCAGTGACAACAACACAGGAGATCTGCTGAGAGGATATCCACACTGAGAGGCTTCTGAGTGTTCCAGCATCTCCATTTGTGCTGCACAGTGTTGATGCCGATGGTACTTGTGAGTAATGCGCTGAAGGACAGAGCCTCAGTCATTTCAATGTCTCCCTCTTTCTCTTTTTCTCTCTCCCTCACCATAAGGGAGAACTCCAGAGGTCATGCTCACGGACTGTGGCGGAGAAAGTTAGTGAACAGTGCCAGCTGGCATGCCACTGTAGAAGATACCCTCCTCTCCCTCCTCCTCCACCTCCACCACCTCCCCCACGGCTTCTGGGCACCACAGGTAAGTCTCCCCAGCTCCTGCTCCTCCTGATTTCACACCTGTCTCCCCGCAGGTCCACCTGTCTCCCTTCCAGTCATCTCTCGCCAGACGCAGGTGTCAGGTAACTGGCTAGTCTAAGGGCACTATTTTGACATGAAGTGTTTCCCTTTTTATGCTCCAAAGAAAAATCTTCCATCCACCCCTCCTCCTTACATATGACTGTGTAAGTGCCCGTGCATGGGCTCAGTTTTGCTCGTGCGTGTCCTCTGCGTGTGTGATAGAGCCAGCAGGATGTTGACAGCTGAACACAGGACTAATTTATGCCGGGTCTGACCTTGGGGAGTACCCAGCTGCCTGTGAAATCCATGCCTGCTGGGCTGCCAAGCTCAGTGGTTCAGTGGTAGGGTTTCCCCCGGAGGACCCCTGATTAAAACACAGATGAGTTAATTAAATTAGCTTTAATTTGATAGAGATAAGGGGCTAATGAAGCAGCACAGTAGTTCCAGCTTTTCGTTTTGAAGTTGAGCTGGAGGCGGCCAGGGTGTATGCTAGTGTTTTGTGCTTGCACACAACAAGCACTTATACCTGTGTGGGTCCTCTCTGTGATTGGTCCCACTCTTAGATGTTAATCCTGTGACAGATAGGCCAGTGTATCACCCTCGGCTGCTTCCTGAAAGTTGGTATGATTTGTATGTAGTCTCTGGAGCACTTTAATGAACATTGCACTGAAATATGGGACAGGCGATGCTGATGATGCAGCCTTTTTGAGCTATTACTGGGACTTTTAAAAATCGCTCACTCTCTTCCCTTTTATATTACAAGCAAAGAGAAGCACTTAATCTCTCAAGTCTCCATAGACAGCACGTTTTAATCAATCAGATTTAGTGATTTTTTTTTCCAGTCTGGTCAATGTAGAAGGACCTCTTTTTTTTCTTCCTGACGCACTTGCAAGAGTTATAGACCCCTCTGTGAATGTTGGTCACTGCTGTAATGCTGCCACAACCATCTGCCTGTAAGCTAAGGTGGGGGGTTTGACACCCAATTACAGCTGACACATGAGTGGAGCTCGAAAGGCTGCATCTACAGTGTTTGATGCCTCCATCAACAGCAGTGATAAATGTGATAAGCGGGCCAATTTTTAGTCCCTTTCAGCCTTACATAGAAATGTTAGCAGAGGGTGGAGACATCATGAATAAATCACTTAAAAGGAGATATTTCCCCTCAATTCTCTATTTAATCTATACAGATGCATAATTATCTTGATGTTCCCTCAGTAGCCCAATTTGCAAAACGGTTAAAGCTGAAAGTTTGCTTTAATCAGAAGTCTTTAAATATGCAATGATTATGCATAGCTAACATGCAAAACTGGGACAATGACTGAGACTTTATCCATGCTCTAAAAGTCTTTTGAGAAAAGAGGAAAAATTGGCACTGTAAGTAAGTCTCTGAGAGCTAAAAACGGTGTCTCAAGTCTTTCAAAGGAGCGTGGCTTTATCTTAAAGAAGTAGATCCTTACCACTGACTGAATTAAATCCTACAGCCGTTGACAAAACGCAGGATATAAATGGAAGTTTGGCTGAGAGAAGCTTTTAGATTCATAGTGACTTATGACGTGGTGTGCTGTGCCAGGGAGAGCCGAGCCTGGTTTTTCTCTGTGTAGAAATGTGCTGTGTTGGAAAATAGTCCACAGCATTACTAAGGAGTATTCGTTGCTATGGTGTAAACCCTTCCACTCATTCATAACAAAATATCTGCAAGTTCAAGAGCTACAAGTTTGTTGTTGTATATACAGTGCAGAGTCTCTGGAGCATAAAGCTGGAACAAACCAGCACACATAGATAGATTGATATGCACATGACTAAACTGATTTATTGATGGTGGAAGTACATTAAATGCTGCAGAAAGAGGGGAGGAAAAGTTATGCGTTATAGACGCAGAGTTGCTGATGCACATAATGTTATTCAATGTTATTCCTGGTGAGTGGTCTTACTCCATGGATCTAATGTGGAAAGAGCAGGAGGTTCCTGCAACGGTAATTGGTGTGGACAAGAGTGCTGGTGTAGGGAAGTCTGACGGGACCTTAAATGATTCATGGTGTCGGGTTGGATGTCTTTGAACGTTGAACCTAAGACCTACAGAACAGGCGAGGACACAGCGTCTTCCCGAGTCAAAGAGTGGGGGAGAAAATCCCTGCTCTGTTTTGTGTTGTATAATGTGATCACTATAGATCTGATAATGAGACTCCAGTCAGTGTTGTGTCCAAAGCACTGTAATCACAGTAAATGTTTTATTGATTTGCACCGATTCTGTTAAGCATGTTCCATTTATCTCCTCCTTTTCCCCCAAACTTTCTCCTCCTTCTCTCTCCTTTTCCTCTTTCATGAAGTGGCAGAGCCTATAGTGCCCTCATTGAGGCCCTGGTGGATGGAAATGGACATTATAGTGCTTGGAACAGTGGGCTGTGCCTCAGTGGTCTTCCTCCTCTCAGCCATCATCATCTGCTACAAGGCCATCAAGAGGTTGGATGTCATTTTTTGTCTTTGTTTTCTGTCCTTGCAGCATTTAAGTTAGCTCCCGACCAATCTCTCTCATACTGTTAAGTGATGACCATTTAAAAAAGAGACAGTAGCAGGCAGGCTACTCAACACACCATGTGTAATTTGACTCATGGGAGACTGTATTTTCATGTGTAAGCGGCGCAGGAGGCTACGATGACCCTGTCATCAGCCTGACGGGTCACTCTGAGGTCAGAGGTTAAATACTGGAAAGGGTTGTAAATGTCACAGAGGAAGATCCAATACACTGAGTCACCTAGAAACATATTATAATCTTAATTAATTTACCTAGGTGTGTGTTGACCTCGACACTGTGCTGTTTTTAATTTGCTCAAGTGTGTAAAGCTTCCTCGAATGGCAGCTGGTTTCATGAAAGTGAAAGCAGAGAGGCGAGCAGAGGAATCCCAAGATGCTGCGTTTGCAGCGGGAACCGTTTTTTCCCCCATTTGGTTTATGGGAGAAAAAGGCTGCATGAGGTTTTAGCCTGCAGCACATCCCAGACCCAATTCTCTGTATGACATTAAGGCAGCAATGTGTCACACATGCACTCTGACATCACTATTAATGTTCATAGACATTTAGCAATCACACACACACACACACACACGCGCGCACACATATATCCACACCGTGCAAAGCAATGCACATGCACAGAGAGCCATGCAGAGAATACTCATGTGCACCCATCCATAAACACACAACATCTTCACATACATGGATACATCACCCTGACATATTTACACACTCTATAAAATATGGCATAAACATTGACTCTCACACAGCCATGTGAGAGCAGCCTCAGACTCAGGCGTGTGCTAAATTAGAGAGATATTTCTGTTTTATTTATGTGCATTTGAACTGATTCAGTATCATACCTTCATATTTTTATGGGACTATATTAAGCCTGCCTGTCATGGCTCTCCTCAGCAGAACTCTATTTCTCCTTTCTTTAAACAACAAATAGGCAAAGTCAGGCAGCGGAAGTAATGGGTGGTTGGCTCAGGAATTCATTATGGCAATTCTCCAGCCCCCCGTGTAGCCAAGGGGCACCTTTTTTAATGCAGCAGTGGTAGGAAAGTGTTGTTGCAATACAGGCTCTAGCCCCAAACCCAAGTCATTATTTATGAATTAATTTGCGCAGTCATTCAGTCGCAGGCCACATCTTTTATACATGTGAGCGGGTCGTGTCCTGAAGCTCTGTGGGCTCTAGACTGCAGACTTTGTGCCACACCAAGCTGCCCTTCGCTCTGAATGGGGGGGGGGGGACATACAGGTCCAGCCAGACAAGCCTTGTTAGACTATCATTAGTCAGCAGCCAATAGGAGAGCGGTCCGGGGAAGATGTGGTTCTCTTAACGTTTGTCATGGATGCTCTAATCATCCATCGCTCCTGAGAGAGAGGAAGGAAACAGCACACCTTAAAAGGACAAAGAAATGTTGTTTAGCAAAGCAAGTAACGGCAGTAATTGAGCCTCTTAGTCAATAACAATGCGAGAGAAGGTTTGTCAGTGAAAAACACAGCTAGTTATATATAGCCCTTCCAGCCCATCAGTGCTCCGGGCTTTCCCAATGAAAATCAGCTGGACGGGGGCCAAGGCCTGAGCGCCACAGACAGCAGAAGAGCTAACGCTGCGGGTCCCAGCCCTCCTGGCCTTTTGTTATTTTTTATAATCTTTTTCTGCCAGTCATCTGTCAGTAGCAAAGGGGCTAAAAGAAGAAAAAACACTTGCATACAGTTCTATTCAGAGTCCACAGCACCAGGGAGGCTGGTGTGTGCAAGCAGAGAGGAGAGGATTCAGGCACACGCTGCGTTTCAGTGTTGCTGTGCCATCCGAAGCAAAAGACATGATGCTGCAGTCCGGGCTGTCAGCCATCCAAGGAGCCAAAACAAACAAAACTCAGACCAACTGACTAATGAAGCTAGATGCTTCACCCAATCACTTAGCGCTCGGGGAGGCTTGTCTAAAGACGGATAATACATCACAGCTGGTCCTGTCTTGTCCAAGGGCAATGCTGTATATCCAAATCCCAACTAGGGTGACAATAAAAAGGAAATACTTGTCATGAAAAACGGTTTGAAATCCAATATTTATTAATACATTATTAATCTCATCTGCTTGACTTCCAAAACGACTACATCAGCACCATCAAAACTGGTGACAGCTTTTTACAGTCTGTTTTGTAATGCTTTGTCTTTGAACCATAGCATATTACTCTAATATCCAGATGGCTGGAGTAATTGTAAACAGCTCGACACATGTCCCAATTTCACCGTGATCCATTCCCCAAACTTCAAACAGGGGTGTGTGCTGTGATTGCACAGCTTTGATATGAAATATTCATCTAACCTGTGAAGTGTTGTGTTGCCACCTGCCATGTGTCAACAGCATGGCATCTATTATTGAAGGCCTGGGTCGAGGTTGGTTTGGGGCCCTGGTGTTTTGCCCTGTGTTGTGGCCTGAAGTGACATGGTCAGCCAGAGGAAAGATTACAACCTGGGTGAAAGAGGCATGGCCAAAGCACCATGCAGAAGGATACAGATCACAAACAGCAAACAGATTTTTAATGCATAACAGATGAAAAAGTGACCGGTCAAATATACTCAAAATAAATCATTAGTCGGCTTCTCGGATGTTGCATAACGAACATCTAACTCACTGACCCTATATTCCAAGTAGAAGAATTCCCAGACTGGCTGTAAACAATGCTGTCTGTCCCTCTGAGAAAACTGGTATATCCCAGCTCCCCTTGCTGCAGTCACAAAGGCCAATCATCTCCCCCTGCAGCAGAATGTGTTCCCACCCTGAGGCTGGACAGTTTCCTTTTTTAGGCTTCCCCGGGTTCCCATGGGGACACAGTAAGCAGCATCTGTCCTACATGGCCAGCATGGATCCCTGGTGTCCCCGCCATACCGGCTCTACCAGCTGACAGAGTCCCACTGGAAGTCTGAGTCACTGTCTTAGTCATGTGTTTTGTTTGAAACTTAGCTTGTTGGCTGTCTTCACTTCACACAACAGCCACAACCAACCACAACTTCACATTAAAAACAATATGCAAAGAAGCATTTTAGAATCATTTTTGCTCATAAGATGTACATGAAGCACCAAGATACCACAAAAATCTTAACCAACATCCCTTGCAAACATACTTACATTGGCAGTGCCGGCTAAATGTGTCAGCAGTCCTACATACACTAGTAAGTCACAGCAGAGACTTGTGGTAGTGTAGTCATTAATTTGCAGGCTAATCTTCATAAACCCAACTAAGATTTTTGCATTATCACGGTGCTAAAAGTTTCTGAGAAGATCCTAGCTGGCTATGAATCCAGGTAGACTCAACACTGATGCCTTTATGCATGTCCTCAAAAAGGCAAAAGACACCAGAGTTATTCTTCGTATCTGAAAGCACTGCTACCCAGATGATGACAATATGACTAACAGCACGCTCTAGAGACAACATGGCTTTTTTTTCCACAACGGAGGTTGACACTATGAATGATATTCAACAGATAAAAGATAGCAGGATGAGTTTTTTCTTTGCAAACACTATATACACATGTACAGGACATAGTAAGCTAATGTAAGACGTGGCACTTTTTCTACAATGGGCACCAAAATGTTCAAAAATGGAAAGTTGAAATGAGACAGCAAGAGACAACTAGATATTTTAATGAAGTCGTCTCTGTGTTAAGTAAATCAGTTGTCAGTCACAAATTTCTCAGAAGAGGGTTTGAAGAAATTTTGCTGAAATGAGAATTTTGGGAAGCTGATGGCTTATTGGTTGAAACGCTCCATGTTTAGAGGCTATAGTCCTTGTTGCAGTGGTGGCTGGTTTAATTTTCGGCCACAACTTTTTGCTTCCTGTCTTCTCCTACTCTCTACTTCCTACTTTTGCTGTCTCCCTTCGGCTGACCTGTACAATAGAGGCAAAAATGCCAGAAAAAATAAAACAATAAAAATTTAAAAAACAAATCTCAAACTTCAATATCACCAGGGAGTGGATCCTCTGGGGACCATAAATGTCATGGAAATCTCTCAGATAGATATATTCTGAGGAATTTTGTGAAATACCATCCTAACAGCTCTGTTGCGAGCAAAAGCTAAAAAATCACAGCGCAGACATGCTGGGTTTATTATTCAGACCTGATTGAAAGGAAACCCTCAACAAACCTTTAAAGATGCTTTGATGTGTTTCCTGGTGTGTTTTTGAGCTAAGCTGAGCAGGATTTCTGCGGAGCTCTGATGAATTCAGGAGGCGGAGGGGCAGAGGTGGCTCGCTGCGATGAAATGACAGCTGAAAAACAGCCGAGACAGGAACAGTTTATAAACCTGACAGCAACAAGATGCTTGTTTAACAGGTGTGGAGAAATCAGATTGGCTTAAGCGTAAAGCCGCAGCGAAAAGGAGACAGCTGACAGAGTGGGTTTACGGCAAGGAGGAAATGAGCAGATGCGTGAAAAGCAATTAGCAATTGAACATTTACATCTGACCTACTGATACATACTCTTTCCAACAATGTTAAATGAGAAAAAAATCATATCACAAAACACACACGCACACACACACACACAGATAATGAAATAACATTATCTGCCATGGGTTGCTAGCTGCCGACCTTACTTGCAGTGGATTTTATTGTTTCTGAATTCAAGTTCGATTTTTTCTGAGGAACATTGTTTTTAAAGTTGCATGTAGACTATTTGAATTCTCACCCTGTACATGGAACAGTTTTTAACAAACAAATAAACAACCTCAGCAAATAAAGCCTTCCTTGCAGGGCAGTTGAACTGGATTGCATTATGTCACATCAGAGCTCATTTCACCCTGTAAGACTTCCCTCTCTGCATGGTGCCCTAGACAGAAAAAAAGATTTTAGCTGAACTGGACTTGGAATGACTGTTCATCAGAGTTGGATGGTCCAGCCTGGGCTTTCAGAGGAGAGGAGACACTGAACTAAGATGTCGCTCAAGGGTCCTCTGTGGCAATGAAGGCAATATACAGTGTTGAGTGGGACAATGACTGTACTAACTGTATTCAGATCTGTCTCTGCGTTACATAAGCCAGAGCAGGATAGAGCAGCTGAGGGGGTCGGTGCAGAAGCCACAGTACACTGGACAAATATAATAACCACAAAGGCACCAAGGATTGCATGAAAGGAGCTGCATTGAATGATCTGCTCTTCACAGGCCAAGAGCAGGAAGGGGATCATGTGTTGCAGCTTTCTTTTGCACCAGGACGAACTCTTAGAAATGACTGTTACAGCCCAACCAGTGTTGAGGGAGTATATGACAGTATCAATGTTATTGCCATGTTGTTTTGACAGCCACTCACATGCTCATTACTTAAAGGGGAGAAAGTATCTAACAGTCAGAAGAGGTGATTTCCTTATCCCCTGTGTTGTTATGTATCTTTCCCTCCTGTCTCCTTGCAAAAGTGACCTTTGAGCTTATTAAAAAGGATTGCTGAGACCATCACATCCACCCAGAGCAGCAGGAGAAATCAAATCAGCCCTAAAGGTTAACAGTCTAGAAACTCTGTTTAATGGCATGGCCTTTAGCTGCCATCACATCTGTTTTTTCAAGAAAGCTGTCCTCACTTTCTGAAAATGTTTGTCCGCAGGAAACCACTCCGGAAAGAGGAGAACGGGACGAGTCGTGGGGAATATGCCATGAGCATCCGTAACAAGAAGGCCATGGGCACAAACAACACTGTGGTATAGACTGTACATGCAGGAAGTGAAGTGACATCACCATTAACGTCTCTCACCCTCTACTGAATACTACACCCCTTTCTCACCCAGAATGCAACAGGGTTTCACCCTGAGGTTTTCAAATAGGTAAACCTCCCCTCTTTTCTTGGCATGTTGCCCGAACATGAAGACACCGTTCAGCTCCAGACGGGCTGTAAAAGACGGAAGGAGAAAAAAAAAATCAAAGCAGAGAAGACGGAGAGGAAAGATCCACAAAGCCCCCATGGTGTCCAAAGTGGCCCAGCAGGCTGAACATTATGCTCTTAGTAACAGCAAGTGTTGCTGACAGGCTGGTTGGCTGCTGGCTGGAGAGGGACTGTCTGCCAGTCTGCTGCAGATCCAGACCTCACACACACACACAAACTCACATACACTGTTGACATCTGCAAGTGAACAATACAGCCGCCCTGCTGTCCCCACAGGACAGCCCATCACACCCAATAAATAACGTGCATGCAGTTTTTACAAGAGAATGCAACTTTTTTTATACTCCAATCCCCACACCGTCCATCTTTTGTTTCTCCATTTTCTGAGACAGATGCTTTGTGAGAGGCATGATGTTACTGCCGCTCTCAGCTCTGACATGTGGATTCATCTGACTATGCAATTTCAAGAAATCCATATTTCAAAAGAAAGGAGGAGCAGCGACATCAGCGGTGGACATTGTGTTTTTTTTTTTACCATGCCAAAAATGCCAACCTAGACTTATCTCAGTCTAACGTATTCCAGTCATTCACTGATTTATTTTTCCTCTATTTATTTACTGCCTTTGAATTTATTTTTTTACTTAAATGAAAAAAAAACTGTCCAATAAGTTCCACACATCTTAACAAACCTTTGAACATCCTGATGAATTCATTTGATTTCCTGATAGCTCTGTTTTTTTAAGTGAATAATTTATAAAACTTACAATTCATTTGTAATGCTCTGATGCTTTAAGCCTGCTGTCAGTTTGTTGAGACGCTGATGCAGAAAACACGCTCGCTCTGCAAAGAGTTCTGCCATCAGTTCTTTTGTCTCACCGTGTTTGATATGCTTCTCTCTGTTTTCCTGAGACTTGAGCTAAAACATGGGGGGTCTCCATGATGTGCTATGTGAATGTTTTACTGAATATTATTTTTGTCCTACATCATATGCCAGATTTCATTCCAAAATACCCCCTTAAAAAACAAATGGATCACAGTTGTTTGTTATAATTTGGTGGTTTCAGAGTCTTGGGATCAGTTAGATGCCTTCACCCATGTTTTTTTTTGGGTTTGACAATCTTCATTTTTCTGTCTGTCAAGAAAGCTTAGCCCATCGCTATAGAAACAGGGGACCTGAGCCCAGAGCTGACCTTGTGACTGGTGAGAGACGGGAGACTTAGCCAATAGCCAGAGATCAGGTTGCACACAGAGGAAGGCCTCAGCAGGGATGTGTGTGTGTGTATGTGTGACTCAGTGCTGTCACAGGCATCCTCCACATCCCTGCTGGAAAAAAAATACAACTGAGCTGAACTGGAGCATCACTCAACATTGCTCTGCTTCTTTTTCTTTTTTTTTTTTTTACATTTAATCTGTGTGTGTCTGTGCGTGCATGTGTGAGAGTGTGTCTGTTTGTTTGTAGGTGAGCGTGCATGCAGATGAGTGTACTCAGAGAGAGTGGGCTGTACTCTGTGGCTGTCAGTTAAGTATAGATATTGGCTAAACTGTGGAGATTCAAGGGGAAAACACATGCTTGCATCTAAACATGCACAGGTATTAGCTTAAAGTATACCCCACCATGTACCTATATGAGAGAAATGATGGATGCATGAATGTAAATATTGATATTTAAAGATCTGCCTTCTGGACTGTTAATTAATGTACAGTGTAACAGAACATATGTTTATACATAGTTAAACAATGTGCTACCATTTAGAATAATGTCAATGTTGTCATGTTGATGGAGCAAGCCATTAATGTATATATGGCAATCAATAGTACAAAACACAATTTATGCATTATACCAAACAGATAGAAAGATGTGCATAAGTTGATCTCATTGCTGAGTTTTTCAGTTGTAAATAAAACTGTACAGAATAAGAGAGCGACAGTCTATTGTGTTTTAAGAAATGCAACGCGCAGGTATGACTCTGCTGCTGTTACGTAGACAAAGTTATAAAAGTGAGACTGTTAAATTTAGCCTGTGCCGTGTTGTGCCGTTCATGTCTTGGGCTGTGCTGTGCTGTGCTGGCCATGCCTCTCCTGAGCCTGCCTCCCTCCTGCAGCCGAGGACATGTTCTCATCAGTCTGTCTCACACAGTGCATCTTTAATGAAGTGCGATTATCAAGCGTATTGCACTCCATGGGCTTAATGATAGATGAAGGAAAACTTATAGGTTGCATATTGTGCAATCTCTGGGCTCAATCTGTAATAATGTCAGGAACAAACTGTGGATGTATGTGAGGGATTTCTGCAGCTACAGCAAGAACACAAGTTTCTGTAATAAAATGTTACAGAAGATAAAAGAAGATAATGAGTTCAAAAACCTCTGTTCAAGAGGCTCCACTGTTACACTGACTCGTATAGACGTTTTCTCATTTCTACTTTAATTTGCATTAACTGCAGTTAATGATGTGTAACAAACTAAAGGGGCAAACCTGTGCTGTAAAGGCTGATGTAGAGGTGCACTGAAGAGGAATGTCAATGAATTACAATGTGAATGAGCAACCATAGAGGACTGTGCTTTCCCTGTTTTAGATGTGCAGCTTGACGATAATGCCGATGGACACTGTGAGCAATTTAAACATTCATGCATTGTCCAGCCAGGGCGCTGTGGATCTCACTGTAATAAAAGCAATGTGACAGCACTAGGCGGGGGGACCAGGGATTGTCACTGTGTCAACAAGCTTTATGAGCCTCTGAGAAGGTACCTTCATAGAGTGGAGAAGGGTGCTGATTCACAAATTCTTGGAAATGTGGGTTTCTGGGGAAAAAAAAAAAACAACAACTATTTGGGACTACCTCTCCTAACCTGCTCTTTAATTGAGGAATGTCACTGATGCACACACCTGGTGCATGACAGGTGCATGTGTGAGGGGGAGAGAGGAGTCCTTTCAAATTTGACCTTCACAATCTTTGAGGACCCACTCACACCCTCTCTGCCTGAGAGGCCTTTGGTCAGCGTTAATTACCCTCACTACCTCCAGCTGCCTGCTCATCAGGTCAGCACTCCCATATGGTCCTCCAGGATGCAGCAAGCAGGCGGGGGGGCCGGGGCGGGGAAAGTGCTGGATACCTGTGGGACACTGATTACATAAGCTGCTGCTAATGAGAGAGAGCTTCTTTGGAAAGAAGGGCTGCGAGTTCAAACGATCACAACGGTGGCAGTGGCTGACAGATGCAACCCCAGAGCAAGGGAGACTTGATTAAACGCACACACCTATGCACATGCTGGGACACATGCACACACACTCACACTCACACTTGCATTCAGAATCACTAACCCACACTCAGACACACACAGGCACACAGCAAGAGAGCATCTCTTTGATGAGCTGGGACTACAGGTTGATGAGAAGGGGCACTGCAGCCTGATTCAGCTAGCTTGGGGTCACCCAGGAGAGAGTGTTTGTGTGTGTGTTTCTGTCAGAGTGTGTGTTCATGAGTCACATAGTGTGATATCATTATACTACTGACTCATTTGGCACACACCTCCCATCATGAGTGCTCTTCAACATGCAGTGACTAAAAATCAAGTTTTAAGAGAAAATACATGCAAATCGACTTGAGCTCCTTTTTTTTTTTTCAATAAACCAATTTCTTCCTTCAGAATACATTTATATCATCAGATCTAATTCATCCACAAGCTTGATAATGAAATCCTTGCAGCAGTGAAGAATCAAAACAAAGATTAATGTGCTGTTCGGCTCTCAGGCCCTGCTGTCATGTCATCTGTTATTCTCAGACAAGAGCTTCGTGGTAATGCGGTTAGACCTCACAACAATGCTTAATCACAACAAACCACATTAGGCCAAAGGTAATTGTGTTTGCTTGGTATATGCGTGGGCCAATCTGTTTTTCTGCTGCCAATGAAGAGGGAATTGGAGAGGGGTTGGGGGGACTTTCCACTTTAGGTTGGAGAGGGGGGGCACAACCGAAATAGTCTTGTTTACCTCCAATGTCTGGCTCCACCTTATCGAGTTACGGAGCTGCTGCTGCGAGTCAGATTGGCCCCTGATCGATCGGAGCTCTGATGGCGAGAGGCAGCGTGACTGACAGTCTGACAAGGATCTCAGATGAGAGCTGAGTAATGCATGTCATGTCATTTTCCCGGATACACCTGAGATTCGCTTTCTCGTCTGGGAGAGTAAACAACAGAGCTGATTTTATCCCTTGCACCACCTGCTTTATGGTAAACTGGACATTTTCCACATCAAAGGGCATTAAATGTCACATTTGAATATTTGAAGGGGGTGGCAATTCATGTGAAATGATAAAGAGTCTCTCAACATTTAGAAAAACTGGTACTTTTATTATCCAGCTTGCAACCAAGCAACTTATAAAGTGATAGAATATGAATGTGACAGAGTGAGCCAATCTAAGATTCAACAAGCACCCCACTTCAGAACCTTAGTATTACTAACATGAGTCTGTAGAAATCAATCTCATCATCTTTATACTTTTAAAACAACATTCAGGCACCTGATGCAAGAGTCCCACACAAGCCTGTCAAAACTTCACTCACCAGCTCCAGTAATAGTATTCTAAAATAGCATAGATTCACTGTACATTTACAGGTAGTTTACTAAAGGTGCTGAAAATTATATTTCACACAGTATAAGATTAAATAAGAGTCTCTTTTTTTTGGTCAGACAAAGAGGATGCATGCAGGTCTGAGGACCTGACTGAACCCACAGAGTAGGTCACATGGGGTAAAACTGTGAGGCAGCCTCAGACGACTGGATCTCCACCTGAGCCATCTTGAACTGAGTGCACTGGAGCCATTTTCTCAGAGCGAATGGTGGGGTCCCAGATGTCTGGCCCTGCAAACACTGGTGGTTCACTCTGTTTTGGATGGCCTGAAGACGCAACTGCAACCCTGCGGACAGATGCTGAAAAGGCAAGAATGGAAAAACAAGTTAAAAGGCTGCAATTCTTAAGATATCATGAATTATCTGAATAACAGCGTACAGCTTTTTAAAAGTCTCACCTTGAGGTTTGATTGGATCATGGGTAGCCACATAGGTATTAGCTAGAGGGAAAATAAACAATACATATGCGTGTGTTTAAAAAATAAAATGGCATTATAAAACAACTCTGAATGAATTATAGCAAACCTTGACAAAGATGGTGGAGTTGCACTCCTGCAGGGCTTCCATCAAACTAATGACGTGAAGACACACCATCTCCACCATCTGTGGGACAAAGTACAGAAAATATTCATCAAATTTTGCACATGAACAAGTCTGTCGAGTGCTAAGACAGACCTTCAGTGTAAAAGGCAAAGGCAGAGCACTGACCACTTTATTATGAGCCATGAGCTGCAGGATGCTGGGTGTAACCCGACTCCAGAACTCCAGGCCAGTAAGGATGGCACCAGAGGAAAATTCAGTCTGGTTTTGGTTGACCAGTGAAGGAGCAGCAGCCGCCTGTTCGCAGTAGATGGTCCACAGCTGGGCGAACATGAAGGCGTGGAACAGCGAGCACATATGCAGCACTGATGTCTGGAGGAGGTGAAGCAGAACAGCCGGTTAAAGATCATATCAACAAAACAAAACCTGGGCGGAGTCATTTATCGGGATTTGTTTTTGCTGGACCTTTGACTGCTCTGGGAACCCGATGAGGATGACTATGAGATGATCCGCGATGTGGGAGCCAGCGTCTAGAGGGATAGGCATACAGGAGGTGGAGCCCTGGTGCAGGGCGCAGTGTGTCAGTGAACCCAAAAGCAGCCAGGACAGCTGACGAATGTGGGACACACACTCTATAAATTCTTTTGGCCTGAGGAAAAGAAAAAAAAATATTGGAATTAAAAAAATGTACTTTCACTTGGATGTAGCAATGTATGTAATGGTTTCTCTGAAGAGGTATGAAGTAAAAGGATTTGTATTTCTTCAGCTGGCGTTAAGATTTTGGCTCGCACACCAAAATAATGTCAATTTTTTTTCAGAAATTTACCATATTTACACATCCTTCTGTAATCTCCCACTCAGGGTAGGCAACTCAAATGCTAATATTTTGTTGTACTACTTTATACCAGGTTATCTGTTGTATAAATACCAGCAGCTGCACCAGCCAGGTGACTTCAGGGTGTGACTTATCTCCACCAGCACAATATGTCAATGTCTATCAAAACAGTTTTTCTGGCTTCACGTCTCACCATGAATGCAAATGAGGTCACATCCACTCTACATAAAGTCAAAGGGTCTATCAGGACCAATGTTAGCACTGGCTGCTTTCTATAATGCTAACAAGCTGTGGTATAAATTGTCTGTTCATTTGTGATTTGTTGACGAGGTAAATACGTGAGCTTGATAGAATAAAAAGGAATGATATCAATATCCGCCTGGGTGCACATGGACAATCATAGGTGGGTGTTGCAAGAGGGAATTAAGGATATTTGCATGTATGTGGCTTAGTCTCATTCCTGCAGCGGCCTGTCATTTTGTCATTCTTACCCTTGTTGCATGGTGGATGGCGGGTGATACAGCCAAGGGAGATAACGGACCACAGCTTTGTTATCACGGTGATTGCCTTTGCTGATTTCCATAGCAGCGACTTGTGCCAAGCCCACTTTAAGATTTCCCCCAAAAGTGTCCTCATGCAGTGGCTGACAGCAAGCCTTCATATGGCTCTGGATAAAATATGTAAAGTCAGGAAGAAAGATAAGACCAAACTCAAGCAACAATCAGGAATGCAATGCAAATGAAAAGATTTGCAAACTCTGTCGCTCACATTGAAAGAACCAAGACTTACTTTAAGTTTTGTTAATGTGTGCATGTCTGCAATGAAGTCCAGGAGTTCACTTATATATTGTCTCATGCACTCCATGGCTGCTGTAGTGCACTGTGGGAATGAAAACAGTTTATCCTTTAGGAGGATTCACAGCAGGGTTTAATTTTGCCTCCTACTGTTTTATGAGGCTAATTCTAATAAGCTCCACACACACATCCACCAAAGACTTACCCCCGGCAGCGTGGAGATCATGTGTTTCTGGATGATGGTGGATTCAGCGAGACGAGTACCAATATCCGCGCACACAAACTGAAGAATACCAGAGCAGGCTTCAGCATTTTATTCAAGATCAAAAAATGATTTATTTCCCTTGTTGTCAACTTATAAGTGGGCCAAAGAGGGTTTTGTTACCTGGACTAGCAGTAATAAGTTTGTGTCAGGTAGAGACGACTTGAACTTGAGAGCCTGAAGAAGCTCTAAGACCACAATGCGAGACATGTAGAACTTATCTCTCTCCTAGATGCAAAGAGAAGAAAAGAGAGTGGAGTAAATGTACTGATGCAGCAAGACTGCCTTTTTCTATTATCACTCTTCCTTACTCATGCTGCGAGGGGAGCATAAACTCTGTAGTCTGAATAGAGGGGGAAGGACAGGCAGAGAGAGGGGAGGGAGGGGATGCAGGGAGACAGAGAATAGACAGAGAATGGCGAGGAGGCTGAGGAGTAGATTTAGGCCAGTCCAGATCTCTCCTCCCTGAGTCCCAGGCAGCTCAGATGAGGCTGTCAGGCTGCCTTCTCCCTCCCTGAGGACAGGCTGCTCTCTTTGTTCATCCCTTCTACACAAAGCCCAGCTGCCTGTTTACAAACCACACTGTCATCTTCTGGCTTTTACTTTGCGTCTCTCTTTTTCTCTATGCAGTCATGTTTGCCTACGTTAGGCGCAGGCACATGCTTGTACACTCTAACAGAACTCAAAGCTGCTTCCCACATTTCTAACTGTGTGGCTTGTTAATGCACATACCTGTATGCAGCACTCTCATGAGTAAAACTTAATGGAGCATGTCTGTTAGGTAAAAAGCAAATCATAGTCTGTCTGTAAGCTAAAAAGCCACGTTTATAGTGACAAATGGTGCATAGTGTGACAAACTTCAGCAGAACTAGCAAACCTGACTCTGTGTCCTTAAAAATCTGACCTCCAAGTAAAAAACAATTCTCCCTGTTCTTTCCTCACGTCTCCTTAATACAACTGCATAGGATAGTGTCCAGAAGCCATAGCTCATAGTGACTCCAGGTTTTTCAAAAGCGGATATTATATGGTGAGGAATTAAGGAGGGTGAAGAAAATCAATACTGCAGGAGACATAAAGCATGCAGTGTTGACAGTGTTGAAGGACCGAGGATCCATCTGGCCCCAACAGTGCGGACATGCCCGGCTCCATCTCTGTCTGAGACAGCCACTCAGAAACACGCCATACATCCTCAGCCCCTAGCACACCAACTAATCATGTTAATCAATACTGGCTGATTGCCTACTTAATCATCTGTGACATGTGGCCACATTTCTGGCCAGCTGGAGACCCGGGGAAGTAGGTTCAGCACCAAAAGAGTGATGAGCAAGAGGCCTGGGAACAGGAGCCTTTTAAACGCAGCAGATTAGTTTAAAAGGTTTAACTCTTTCGAGGCGGCACAAACACTTGATGTCAGCATGTTTTTTTTTTTTTTCTGCAAACGGGAAAGAATCCACGTAAACAGGCTTGGCTGTACCTTATTGAAGGCTTTGTAACACAGTCCGCAGAGTTCAACGAGGTAGGAGAGACTGAACATGCCATACTGAATGACAAAGCTCAGCAGCTTGGAGAACGGCTCAAGGAGGCTCTAAGAGAAGGGAAAAAGGCAGAGAAAAAGTTAGGAATAAAAGAACCAGATTTGGACGAAGACTTGGTGAAGTTGCTTGGAGCTTACCCGGGTTGCATTTGTAGTTGGTATTTTCAGCAGACAAATGATAATCCTCAAGCTGGAATCCATTGGGCACTAATGACACAAACAGATTTAATAACAGAAAAACAGAAACAGCTGGAAATTATCACATGGTGCATACCCATATTCCTGGACTTGGTGTTTTGAATTAGATTATATTATACTAATCTGACCTTCAAGGTAAAAAGCGTCAGAGTCAAATCAATTACATTTTTGAGAGTCTGTCCTATTGAACCCGACAAGGACACAGCAAGATGCTTTTTCCTCGGGCTATAATTGCATTAAACCATATCAGGGCATGACTAAGTGACGGGAAGATTTGATATCTACCTTTAGAGGAAGCACAGAGGGCAGCTTCGTGAGGAAGGTCTGGAACTGGTTGCAGATGGTTGTCCACAGGTTGCTTGGAGAGTCCATGGGGAGAGCCTCCATGAAGGTGGCGATGTTTTCCAGGCAGTGCAGCATAGTGCCCCCTGCTGGCAGACTCTTCTTGTTGTTTAAACCCTGGAGGGCACAGAGGCATAAAACCACAACAGGGTTATATAATGGTATTCTTTAAGCGAAGATATTTCCATTTAACTGATCATTCAGTCCTGATCAATCACAATGCTCATGATGAAAGCCTAAGAATTAGGACATTCAAGCGGAGATGGATGCCCATGAGTTCTTGCATCATCTGTGCAGCTTAACAGCAACAATAAAGTGGCACAGTAGTGCAGAGTGAGGCAGGTTTCCTTCAATGCTCCAGTGATTTGTTGTTTTAAAAAGGCTTATGGTTTGCAAGAAGCTGGAGTTAGAGGTTTGTGCTTTGACAAGAGCTCCTCCTGCTGGTGAAAGGACTCAACACAGCCACATGAGGAAGAATCTCACCTCCAGAAGCATGTTGAGGGCAGCAACGGAGCTCAATTCATTAAAGTCTATCAAGGAGAGCGCAAGAGTCCGCAGAAAACTTCCATCTGTGATAAAAGAAGAAAGATGAGAAACTTCTTATACCTTGCAATTATAATATAAAGTGAGGGGAATAGTAGTGAGGATACATTTATAGCATATTTGAGATTTCATATGGACAGACCTTTGATGTTACTCTGGAAGAGTTGGGGTAAGATGCCATTAGGGGCCAACTGGTGAAAAACACAGCGAAGGAACTGCTTGGCTACACCTGCTACATTCCCAGGAATCAACATACTGCAAAAAATAGAAATAGAAACATCAAGGAAGAATGGCAGAGTTGGACAGGCTGACACACTTCACATTCGCTATTAAACTCGTCTATAAGCAGAGTGAATATCTGAGAAGTGATGGCTTTTATGTCTCATACCTCTCAGCTTGTCCAGAGAAATTGGCACTGGATGCCAACCTAAAAGAAGTTAAAGCAGCGGATTAGGACTCCAGGGGATGAATTATGCATGAGCTCTAAGGGTGAGTTATGAAACTTCATTTAACGGTGAAGTGCTGTGTGGATGTGGACCGCTGCTGAAGAGGCTGTACCTGCCCACAGACTGCATGATGTCGAGGAGCATCGGAGCGGCCAAATCAGGGCTGAGGTGGATGAACATGGAGAGGACAACTACTGCAAGGCAAAGAGTCTCCTCATCGTATTCCTCCAGCACAGCGGCACAGTCACGACACCTGGGACACAAAGAAACAGAACAGGATGAAGGACTTTTTTCGCTTAAGACTCTAAGCCTTGAACTGATAATCTTCTTCACCTGTCAGACATAGTGGTCGGCTGCTCATCAATGAACTCCTCAGGGGCAGGAACAAACATGCTGACTGTGCTCGGTGCAGAGAGTAGACTGGTCTTTGTGGGACCTGCAAAGAGAGATTCAGAGATAAAACAAGTGTGGGCTGTGGGTTAGATTAGGCAGTTAGATGCCAGATAAGGTCATTGAGAAAGATCGAGATGGTGTTGTAGTTGGTTGTTTCTGTTCAGACAGCAAGTCTGTTGCAATTGAGGTGAAACACTCACAACCTTAAAGATGAGATATTTAGAGTTCTTGATAGAGTATTCAAAGTATCTCATCATTTTGGACTTAAAACATTCTGTAGAAGTGGTCAAAATCTTCCTTTCACATAAAATATTCATTATGAAGGCATTTGAATCTTAAAATAAAGAGTTTCAATTTTGTGTCAGATAACATAGTAAGCTGAAATAAACCCCACTTTGCTCAATAGAGCTGCCAGAATTAACATGAGCATATTTCTTTACAGCTCCTTTAAAGCAGCCACTAAGAGTGCCTGAGAGATTCTTATTATATGCATTCTTTGCCTGCATAAGAGTTCACTTCCTTTGACTGATCAGCATTGCTTTTAAATACAGAATATACATAAGTTACAACAGTGTGTCTATGTCTCTCCTTAGGGACTCAATGTAAGATCATGAAAAGTACAGGCTGACTGACCGGTGTCCCAGGTGCTGATGTTGTGCGGCGCACTGGACTGATGCTCCAGCTGTCTCTTCATGAGCTGACTCATGGTCAGCGCTCCCAGAGAGCCTCGCTTCACCTGGCGATACTGAGCTAAAGAGACACAGTAAACAGGACAAAGGATCAGGCACCTGTTCGGACCATTTTACTGAAACCAAAAATAAGAGATTAGTTACATGGGCAAAGATATGACACACATTAGAAGATATGGTCAGTCCCATTTCATCAAACCACTTATGTAGAAGAGTTGCAATAATGTTTAAAAAGAAATCTTTTAGGCTAACATTCATTTCTTTTACATTATAAATAAATATTCCACTGGCTTGAAAACAGTCATTTGTGTGGTTTTAGTGTATTATCTGTGTAAGAATTATATTGTTATAGTATTGAAAGTAAAGGCTTAAAAAGTAGTGTAATTATGAGGCTCTTAAAATTCTATAACATTATCATAAGGGAAATTTATTGATTTATTCATGTAGTTAAGTATATGATCCTACTTGAGACAGAAGAACGGTGGCTTGTTTCAGGAATAGCAGCTTCGAGCGTTGGGGCTGAGGCAGATTCTCGGGGCTTTTCCAATGTGGACAGAACTTTGTGATCTGCAAGGCAAATAATTATAATGTGCAGACTATCAGAATAAAAGCCAATTTGATTGCTGCATTTGATAAAGACATTCAGTAGTATAATGCAGTAACTTTGCATCCACCTGAAGAACATTAGGGTCTATTTAGATTAGATTATTAATTACAGGTTTATGTTTGGTTTAGTTTTTTTCTCCCTAACCTAACATAAAGATTGTTTTTTATTTGTATTGCTCTTCTTCTTCTTCTTCTTCTCTAATATTAATTCTCATACATCGTTTCACATCTGCTGATGCTTAAAAGTCTCCACAGGACAACAGCCAAAGAGGTTTGTGAAGGTTTGAGGCAGCTTGCACTATATTCAAAAACATAAAGTGCAATCTCAGGTTGCCTCCTTTACTGCCTTGTCGACCATTAGGATGCATTTTACAGGCTGCCATTGGTCTACATAGTCTCTGATTGAGCTCAGTGATCCCTCACCGTGAACATAAAGCCTGAATTGATTTTATAAAGGTTACACTGTAATTATGAGGTAATGTTGTTAAAAGAGAGACTGATTATGTGTGAGACGTGTAATTTCAAAATCGCTGTGATGATGCTACACAAGAAAAATGAATAATAAAACTGCTTTATTGAATTTATTTAAAATAAGGTGCATTACAGTGTGATCCATTGACGAAGGGAATAAATGAGATTTTAAGACAAAGTTGATTCTTTTTCCAAGGTTACTTCTCACTGTAACCCTAATTAATGTGAATGTTATCTCAGTTAACCTTAGGTTAAATTGAATTCTGGACAATGGTTCAAATGCACACTTTTAATTTTGAAGCAAACCTCTTCAGCTCTTTAACATCACCTTCAGGATGATTGAAAACAGATGACACATTAGGAACTATTGATCCTCATCCTTTGCTCTTACCTGACTCTGCACTCTGCTCTCCTCCCAGCTTGTCAAACATATTGAAAGTGATGTCCAGATATTCCCTCTGGATGGCGCTGACAGCGATCTTCCTCTGCTTCCTTTGACGAGGGACAATCTGGATTTTGAACTCTGCCTCATCGTTGTCCTCTCCCCCATTGTTGTCAGGTTTTGTTTCACTGTCTGCCTCATCCCCCATGTCATCATCCTCTTCGTCATCTCCATCTTCTTCCTCTTCATCATTGCTGATGCTCTTGCTTTTTTCTGGTGAGGACAGAGGCTCTGCATTGTCCTCTGGGATATCCAAGAAAATGGTTCTTCCTGAGGGAGATGTACCAGACCCCATCCCCGTTTTTACCTCATCAGAGGCCACAGGTACATCATCCAGAGAGGAGTAAGGGACATGCGGGGTCTTCCTCAGCAGGTCTCTCTTCTGCTTCAAGGTCATGGGGCTTTCATGACAGATGTTTTCCGCTCGGTCAGGGAGATCCAGAGATGTGCTAGGAGTCACACGGCTCAACTTGTTTTCCTCTGAGCCTAAAGGTTCTGGGGTCTTTTTGCCACTTGAACAGTCCTCTATGCTCACCTGAACCACAGGAGACAGCCGCAAAGTGTTGCTGCTCGCAGGAGAAGCAGAGACCTTTGGACTCCCGTTGAATTTGGAGGCGATAATGGTGTTGAGGTCAAACTCTTCGTCACTCTCCACGATCCTTAGAGGAGGCAGCGGTTCAAACACCAAGGAGTCACTGTCAGACATTGACAGCAGGGAGTGTTTTTCTGGTATAGAGGTGCAGTCAGATGAGAGGTCAATGAGGTCCTGGTCTTCTTTCCCCTGAGCTGATCCTTCCAGCGAGCCCTGGTCTAGCTTGTCCTCAAAGGTCTCCATGCAGCTGAGGCGGACCTCTGGGATGACAGGTTTGGAAATGTCAGACTGTCCACCTCGAGAACCCCGTCGATCCACAGTATCAACACCCTCCACCCGAACAGAGGAGCCATCAGAGGATCCTTTGCCATGACGCCTGCTGTGGGACGTGGCTGAAGAAGGGGGCAGAACCACAGGAGGTGCCTGGAGGTCACAGCGATCAATGCAGGATTTACGTCTGTGTTCATCCAGATTGAAAAGGATGGAGTCAGTGTTGGAAATGTCCAAAGATTTCTGCTTGTGCATGGCCTGTAGCCGCTTCTTCCTGGTGCTCTCCTCCCTCACACAGTGCAAGATGCTGTCCTGAAGAGCACTGGCTTCACGGTACTCTGACAGCTCAATTTCACCTGATACAAAGAGGAGAAATAAGACCTGATCAACAAGCCTTTTGCAACCTCAAAAAGCAGTTGAGCTAAAAAATAAATGAAAGTCAATCAATCTAATGTTTCACTGCACTTCAGTTCGGAAGCCTCTGTTGCTTACTTTTCTTGGCATTCAGCTCCACCGGCTGGTACTTCACAGACTTGCTGCCACCAATCCTCTTCAGACGAGCAAAGAAGGTCTGTGACTCCTTGTTAGCTGCTCCAGTCGGTGTGTCATGGACGTCTGACTCATCAAATACACTGTCCTCTTCTGAGATGAAGAAAGAATCAACATCAGTTCTGCATTTAAGAAGCAGATGTGCACTGAAAAGAGGGCCTCTAGTACATTTTTCCCTTTGAAAACACAGTCCTGATAATAATCTTTTCTAAGCATTTGAACAAAGCAACAAATTGCAGTGCTCTTGCGCACAATAGGTCTTGTTTATTTACTGTGATCTGTTCAGCTATGGTTGAGGTAGACTGTGTTCTCTGTGCTTTGTCACCTTTTTCTTTCTCGCTGTAGCGGCTCATGTTGGAGTTGTCACTGTAGAGTGGTCCAGCTGTAGCGTGAGGACGACAGCTGTGATACTGGGCGTTCAGTGTGTTGATGGTGATGTGGATGAGGTGGAGGACCACTTTACTGCCGTCCATGTCTCTGTAAGGATACTGTTAAGCACGGGGAGACACATATTAGTTCATCTATATAACCTTCAGTAACATTTGCAACTCACTCTGTGCAAATGATAAAAAGCCACCTTGTAGAGGATGACCAGTAGAGCTTTGAGCCACATCTGTCTGATGTGTGGCCTCAAGGCCCACAGGGAGCATCGAGGCGGCTGCTGGAAGTAGTGCCTCAGCTGAGGACATGTGCAGTACTTCAACACCTGGACCACCAGGGGGAGCAGCTGCTTCCCTAAACCTATGTTGTAGTCCATCACCTTAAAGAAGCAAAGGATTCATTAGCAATCATTCAACACAGTTCAATATATTTATTTTGACATGCAGCTTGAAAGTACCACAAAAGTGAATAATAAGTTGTTTTTCAATCACTTGTGCAATTCCAGCAATGAATCCGTTAAAGCAGGTGGACGTGCGCATCTTCGGAGGGGCAATCATGAAGCAGCCCTCTTGCTGGTCATATCCCAGCAGCACATACAGGTGACGCTTCACTGTGTTGAAAGCCTTGGCACTGCCTATGTCGGCCTCAGCGCTGCTCTGGTCTTTTGCCATGAATTTCATAAGCACCATGATGAGCTGGTGGACCGTCTGGTGGTCGATGCCAGCATCTTCAGGGAGCAGGTCTCTAATGATGGTGTCATCTTCTGGAGACGGGGTCTGGCCTGCAAGAGCGGCTGAAGCGTCAGGGTTAGAGTGCGGGAGGAGGAAATGTGCTACAGACAGGTGGAGTTGCAGAGAGGGTTGGGTGCGGGAACAAAGGGGGGCGGGAGGAATAACAAAGAGGTAGGGGAGGTCAACTTGTCCACTTCTCTGTCAGGAGAGGTGGAGGCATAAGCATGCAATACACATATATCAGTGTAACATGGTCATGGAAAATTAGGAAAAAACAAAAGACGACCATCTAACCTTTAGCTGGTCATAATGTCATTCTTTCTTATGATAAAATTAGAGTAAACCTGAGGCAGGATGAACAAAATGACAACTGCTTTTCATAATTTAGCTTGCTTATAATCAAACTGTACTTTTCCTCCAATGCAGTATGATTATGAAGGTATCATTAGACTTTGGTGGTTATTTACCTGGCAGGACTTTCTCTATCATATCTCCCAGTGTCGGGGCAGAGTGCTCTTGCCTCGTAAGTCTTAAAGCTAAAAAATCACATATGAAGAAAAAAATTTAAACGAATATACAGAAGAGGCAGGACAGGACATGTGTAGAGCCTCTGTCTCATCCGATATGTAGAAATACACAAACACACATTAAAACACTCCACAAAACAGTTTCAAATCAAAGTGTTATCATGAATAAGCAGCACGTTCTGGTTAAACATGAATACAAAATAATTTTATCATGTTAAAAGGTCAACCCAAGTAGCAAACGAAATAAGTGTTCAAACATTCGAGTGAAACAAATGCTGGGTACACATGAGTAAGGAGGGAAACATTAGGAAAAGAGGATAGGGCTTGGCCAAATAGTATTTGCAAATGTAAGACATTTGGTTTGACCTACAGGCAATGAAAACGGGTGGTGATCACAACATAAACACAACGCAGACAGAACTAAGTGCTTTTAGAAAATGGTAATAAACCAAAAACTTCTTTGTATTTGCAAACACTGTTAGACCATAAAGTAAGTGAAAGTGACAGGCCCAGATTTGAATTACATTCAGAAAAGACTGATTGGTTTTTCACTACTCACGGAGTCGGTTGCTCAGTGACTCAGGGAGTGAAAAAGCTCTTTTTGACTCAGCTGGAGCTCCCTTAACACTGTCACGGAGGGAACGCACACTCTTCTGTCGATTCCTGGCAAAACGGGCCCTTCGTATCTTCCACATCGCCGCATCACTGAGGTTTGCTACATTGGTTCGCACTGCTGTGATAGCTGTTGGAACAAAGATTCCAGACTTCATTCAGGGAACTTTGGTACTTCTGTTACTCAAAACATTATGTCAAGCAACATGCAGGTATGAAAGTATGAATGGGGACAGTGTAGTAGATTACTTGTAGGGAAAGGGAACTCCTTGTTGCAGTCCAGGTGGAGCTGAGCCTCCAGAGATAGTGTTTCAAAGCGGTTGACAAAGAACTCCCAGCTCAGCGCAGGAATGTCTTTCTTCAGGAAGTGCAGCAGTAGGAGTTTGCTGAGGATAATGGGCCTATCCCTCACCACAGTGTCAAATTGGAAATCCAGGCAGAGGCACAAACCCTTGATAATAATGAACGACAGATACACATGAAATTAATAGGTTCTCTACTGCTAAAATGATTAAATTAGTCTGATTATTAGTGCAGTCTTGACTAAACCCTTAAAGGTATCATGAAATAATTTTTATCTTGAATTAGTAAGAGCAACTTTTTCTGGTGATTTTCCCTTTTATAAATATTTTGTTGGCAGTCATAACAAAACTTGCACTACTATTAAGTCAACTTCCTCCAAATACTGCTCTGAATTAAAATTTCTGTAGTAGAGAGACATCACAATTAACATTACATTAAGAAAATGAACTGGACTTTTAAAATAGTACAAGAACTGCTTTAAATTATCCTGCTGGAGATATTTTGCTTCCTTTGGTTGGCTGATGTACATTGTCAGCTCACCTGCAGGGCTGGTCTCTTGATAGTGTCAAGCAGCAGCCTGGCTCGAGTGGCCACAGCTGGATTAACATCCTCCACAGAGGCCAGGAAGCAACAGAAAGCATGGGCCAAGGAATACTTAAGCAGGTGGTTTTTCGTAACCGCACCAATGTCCAGGAACCGACAGAGCACCGCAACCTTTTCCACTGAGTGAGTGAGGGGAAATCAGCAGCATCACACAGAGATCACATAGTAAGAGAGAGGAAGTAAACAAGCAAATGACATTCCTGCATTCCCTCCCGCAGTATCACAATAAGAGTGCTCACAGTTGTTTCAGAAAACCAGGTACTTCCAGTAATGGGGTCCTCATCTACAAATTCACCAGAATTAAAATCTAAAAATAGATACTTCTTTTTGAATCTCTTACCAACTCAAGGTTGATTAATAAGACCACTAACACCACTAGATGTCAGTGTTGAGGAGGAGAGACTATCATGAGCAAAATCCTATTGCCTGTTGCCTACAAGGTTTGAATGATTAGTTGAATTGAATAATCAGTAATAAATGATTTATCTTGACAGTTATCTGTAACAACAGTCCTTATAAAAGAAGAAACAATATCATTTAAGCTTAATTATAATGTCAACTACATTGTCATATAATCCTTCTCTGAGCAGTGACTGAATTATTGGGTATTAGCATGCATAATTTAAAGATGTTCAGACATATTTACTGTTGGTTTGGGGCTCATGTCAGTTCAGCTGTTCTCCCTGCTCCTTTTTAATTTACATATCTAGTCCTCTGCCTCTGACTCAAGGTCATACGGCTCCTCTCTGCCAATCATGAGGCGAGAGAAAAACCTTATTAATCCCACAATTCCTCTTTAACGCCTGTATGAGCTGCACAGTAACCATGACAACAGAGGGGGAGATGTGGAAAGGCATTGGTTTGGAAAGCAAATTATACCAGCAGACTTGAGGCCTTTATCAAATGGTTCATTCAAACACAATGATATTTTGCTTTTAAAACAAAACATTAAGAAAAAATAAAAAACTACTATGGTTGAATTAGTTGATAAGCTGGACGAGGAGTTCATTTATGGATATAGATTTATACAATGATGTTAGATTTGCACCACAAGCTGTATCTTACCTGCTTCAAACCGTATTTTCCAGTCTTTGCTGTTGAAGTTGGTGTTAATGAGGTTCCAGAAGATGTCCGCTCCGTGGGACAGAGAGAGCGCGTGCAGAAGCTGAGGCACAGCCAGAGAGGCCAGCTGACAGAACTCTGACTTTAGCATAGACCACAGACTGACACATGAACACAAAATTAGACACACAAACAAATAATATCAAGTTACCTTTTTTTTAACAAATGCTAATGAAAGAAAAAAAAAAGCTCATAGAAACCTTGGGATGAGCATCTTTTCCTGGATGTAGGCCAGAAACTGTGGGTGATCTTTGCGGGCGAGATACAGACACTCTCCATGAAGACACAAGATCTTCAGGCAGTTCAGCATGTTGAACAAGATGTCCGGCTCCTCAAACTTAGACATTTCCTGGAGGATAGATGTGACCAACATATCCAGTCAAATAAGTCACAGAAACTGAGCTTTAACTTCTAAGTTTCCATCCCCAGTTATTCAAAACATGTACCTGAAGAATGGTGTAAATGAGTCTCAAAGACACAGGGAGCTGCTGGTAGGAGAACTTTTTATCAGAGTTGTTTTTCATGGCTGGAATAAAGAAGAGATTTCTGTTACAACTTCACGTATCTGCATGGTAGAATTGTAGCAGGAATGTGACATGAGTGAGGACTATGAGCAGATAATGAAGTAACTTGACAAAACAAAATTAGCAAATTACTCAAAAGTGTTGAGCTGTTTCTTTTAGAATTAAGCAACATCAAGCTACTGGACAATTTAGCTGAGCACTAACCTAAAATAAAGCAAGCTAAAAAAAAGTTGGCATATTTAAGGCATTCAGATAGGGCTTAAACTACTCCTCTGTTGGTATAGATGTATTCCCCTAATTGTTAATAGTTCAGGTGAGATCATTTAACTTTGTAAACATTCATCTCAAAAAAGGAACCACTAAGATTTACAAGTAGGTGAACTTAGTCATCCTAAAAAAATAGTATTAGTAATAGTAATAGTAATAGTTATAGTAAAAAAGTATTTTTAAGCAAGTTTCAGTCAAGTGAAATCAGAATTTTTGTTTTCTTACACATTTATAGTGAAAAATAAGTGCTCACTGTCTATTCTGTGTCCTGGCAACATTTAGTGCATTCTCTACTATGATCCCCTAATCGAGGGAAGGCTAAAAAAATTTTTTTGAAACTGAGATTTTTTGCACATTTTGCACATTTTGCACTGAACTGATACATACATGCATCATCGGGGGATTGGTTGCTGGGGTTGTCATTGGTTGCAGGGGTGGGTGCAACACTTGGGTTATCTCCTTCCTCACTTCCATTCTCTGTCCCAAGGGAGAAATCTTGCTGAGGGAAAAGCAAGGTTTCCTCCAAACTATCTGTTGGTTCCTGTTGAGGAAAAACAAATATACTCCTTTATAAATTGTATACATAAACATATCTATTTGGTAAAGCTTGTTCCTCATTGAAACTATTTGAAAATTAGCTTTCTGTTAGATCAATTTACTATAAATGCAACCCAATAGATTGACCTTTAATCTCAGTTGCAATACTAGCTCTGCATGTGTTGTGATATGGGACATAAAGACGTCATGACATGCATTTTAAAGACTTATCAGTCTTATGCACAGGGGTTCATTTATGTCTAATGCATAGAAACTCATGCTGTGTGTCTCACCACAAGGCGTATCTCTTCCCGGGGGGTCAGCCTCTCCAGGAGCTCACAGCCCAGCTGGTAGCACAAGATGCTGGATTGGCATAGGCTGCACTCGAGGGCCTTCTCGTCCTTCTGGCAGGTGTGCGAGCCCCCCCAAGGAGCCTGGAAGACGTTGTTGATGATGCCCACAATATCCTTCCCAAGGCTGCTGTCAAGACCCAGCATCACACCATCATCCTGGAGCTCCATCTGGGGTGGCAAGATGGGAGAAAAAGGATAAATCAGGGGAATACTAAGTAGAGCATGCTACACAAATCTCAAGAGCTCACCTGTGAGGACTGTTAGTACTTAGTGTGGGTTTTTTTTCTGAAACTGATCTGAGTACACCTTAGCATAGTGGCACAAGGTTTTCTGTCATGATTGTCTTAATAATTAATAAGTCTTAATCTAGCACTAAAAGATGAATAAATGTAAGAAAATAACAGGACTATATTCACTTTGGATTCCAGGAACCGATCTTAAGTCCCTTCAGGATTGTAACTGTTATCATTTTTGCACAATTTTATCAGAGTGGTTCGGTCACCTGCTTTAAGATGAGGTCAAACATGAGGATGAAGCAGCCAAGGTTCATGTCATCATCATCACAGTCCAGATCCAGAGCACAGTGTCCACTGGCATGACCCAGGTTTTTGAAGGGGCTACAACGCAGGGGGCTGCGAAACGGGCTCCTAAAGGGGCTGGGAAATGGACTAAGAGTGTTGTGTTGCCCCCGGCGTCCAGGATCTGACACCACACTCACCTATGAGAGATGAGCGCAAAGTTAAATATCTCTGCATCAGTTCAAATTCAAACTATTTATGCATTAGGCAGCAGTTTTGATCTCCAGTGTTCCTCTGTTACCCTCAGTGATAATGACACATGACTGCAGAGTAGCCTCGCTGTAAATTTCAATGACAAATCTATAACATAGTGAAGTTCAATTAAGCCTTTTAAGGGAGCTATATTTAGACATTGGCTGTTACCATGGCAACATATGGTACATGCCAATTAACAATATAAAAAAAATTAGAAAGCAAAGGGAGAAGAAATCTGGACATCTACTCTGCCGTGTCTAAAGAAAGCATCTGACAGACCGCAAATTCACAAAATGGTGTTGTGAGAACATCCAGCTGGGTGATATTTTTGGGAATAAACTGCAAGCTCTGGCTTATTCCTTTTAGACAACCTCAAGATACAGCGTGTAGAAAAAGCAATATTTAGAGATATCAAAAGGTCAGACTCTTGACTGAAAGGCCCCCTTGCTCACCCCTACTGCTAGTGAAGCAACAGTGGCCTTTAAGGACATCAAGCGCCTGTGATGCATGTCAAGTCCAATCCTCCATTTGTCAAGTTCTTACTATCATAACTGTTTATCAGTACCAATTAATTTATGTACAACAACCACACTCTTCTTCTCTGTCTTTCACCAGCTAGTTTTATCATGGCTGTGTCCCTCACCCTGCGAGCTCCAGTGCTGCCAGACAAATCGGAGGCACGTGCCTTCCTCTGATTGGCCAGCTCCTTTAAAGAGTTTACGCCATCGGAGAACATCCCAATCAGCAGCTGAAGGGGCACCACGATGTCCAGTTCTGACAGCACCTAAATCCAAACAAGACACACAAAAGATCCACTTTAAATGCATCGCTAAAAACATTACTATTATACTTTACAAAATGCAAAGTAAGATTCAAAAAAGCATTTTGTTCAAGAAGGATGAACTACATTTGATCTATTAGGTACTATAATCTTACACTTAATACATAATTTAACACCAGACAGTGATAAAAAATAATTTAACTGATACTTTTGGATCGTCAATGTTTACAGCATGAAGATATATCACGCAGAGAAAGATCCATGGAGTAAAAGTGGACACTACTGCTCTGTCTGCTGTTAATGTGACCTGTTTGATGATAGAAAAAAAGTTGGTGCTATCTCTTGATCTTTCTTCAGACAGAAAACTTGAAATTGATCCATGTATACAGGGCAGCAAGCTGTGAGTGCATATGGGAGGACAGGCTAAATCTCTCCTTTTACTCTCAGTCTCATTCTGTGACCCAGATCCATATTCAGCAGGGCCTCCGCTCAGACTCTCACACTCTCTGACAACCTGTTCAATTCACACTCACTGTGGACAGAGCCCCAGGATGTCAACTTCCCGACAAGACAGCATGCGTTAGTGTGCGTGTGCGTGTGTGTGTGTGTGTGTGTGTGTGTGTGTGTGTGTGTGTGTGTGTGTGTGTGTGTGTGTGTCAGTTCTAACATGCAGCCACAGCAGAGCCTGCTCCTGTACAGATGCTGGGTAGCCTGAGAACCTGCAGCTGATGAAGCCAAACATTTCCTCCATGGAGAAGGGCAGGGGGCACAGCTCAATATCAAACATCTTACTGTAAGCAGAAGGCACAAAGTTAATTTTATAGTTGCACAACCAGCGATTTAAAGGTCAGTGTTGCAATTTAAGTGTACTGTACATGCTCAGTGTCTACTTTGGCTAGATAGACATTTTCCTTATAAACTTGGTATGCATCCCTCAGTGAGTGGTGTGTTTAAAATGCAGAAATAGCCCAAGTATTACATACACATAACTTTCAGCTTTCTCACTTAGAGTAACTGACAGACTTTTCAAACTACTTATTTTAGTAATTTATTTTAGCTTTGCACTGATTAATTTTATATGCCCAGAATTAGCCTTACATCTCCTACATCCAAAATATTTCACTGCTTCCAAGCTTCTAGCAAAATACTGTACTGTAATAGACTGTTAAGCTAAAATGCTAAAGGAAAATTGTCATATTTCACTCCTGGTTTTACATTTGTGGTATTTTTGTCTTTTTTTAGCTAATATAGTGTTGCTCAGACCAAATCTTTCCTTTAGCTTTCAAGTTAAGACTAAAATAAATATTCTCTAGAGAGAGATTTGTCTTAGCCATCTAGACTAATACTTTAAAATGGAGCAGATTATACACTGTTACAGTAACTTATCAGAGATCATTTCATCAACCCCATTCATATGTTCTTAAACAAATTTATAGCAGTATTAACAACTATGAGATACAAACACATTAGGTGGTAAATAGCACTTTAGCAATTAATCTCTATATGTTCAATTAATGGCAAATGTTAGAATGAGCAATAGACCAGACTTAAATATACCTTAAAACCTCTCTGAACTCTTTAAGCTGGTGGTCCGGCACTTCAGTGCGGATGGCCTCCAGCCACTCTGGCATGAAACACTCCCACAGTGGCTGGCTGATGACATTGTATGGTATCAGACACAGGATTCGGTTCAGGCCCTCCTTCAGCTGGGTCACAGTGCTACATGACTTATCCCAGTAACCACCCACCTGAGGAAAATTGGGCAGGGGCTAGTTTAGATCAAAATCAGCCAATAGAGTTCAGACCTGTTTGTTACAATTTTATTCAACTTAAACTCTGACTTGCATTATCATTAAAGGATATTTCTTCATTTATGTAAAGTGCACAGTGCAACATACTTTATGCAACTATCAACTACGCTATACCTCCATTTTTTATAACTCAGTTGTCATACTTGGTATTGGTTTTAGCCTTACCCTTGCAAACTCGACAGGCTTTGGCAGCAAACACATGACCATGACATCAAATCGCACTTCACACACTGTCTTTAACCACTTGGTAACAAACTGAGGCTTCAGCTTTTCCACAAGACTTCCAACCTCGTCATCCATCATGTAGGCGGTAGAATGAAACCATTGGAACACCATGCTGACCAGCCGAGCCAGGCTCTCTGTGGGTGTGTTCTCGTTGGGTGTGCACAGGCTCACCTGCAGGAAAAGCAAACTAATCAGCTGGGTGGTGATAAGAGACCTTGCACTGTCTATATCGTTCTCAGTTCCTTGTTTGTTAAGGCCTTTGACTACACACCAGAAACCAGATGCCAAACTGGCTGAGGAGGCGCTGGTCATGCTGGTCATCCTCTTTGTTGTCAAACTCAATGTTGTCTAAAGAGTGGTGGGAGGCGGACAGGCCCATCTGACGACGCCTGTTTAGCTCAAACTCTCGCTGTTCTGCATGTATCTCTGCCTCTTTAAGAAGGCTGGATTCATAGTGAGAGGGTAAAAGAGAAAAGAAGGATTTACAGAGGAAGAAAGAAAGAACACAACAGAGAAATATTTATGAAGAGCAGGAGGACATAAAAAAACAGATTAAACAATTTACTGTTTGTATGTTAGCATTAATCATATTTCATGCTGGTTGATTATCTTCAATGCCATGTAAACACATATTTCACTCTGCCCTGTAACTACAGCTGCATAGACACTGAATGCACCTTATAACAGCTTCCACTGTGCACACCAGCTCCTCCGCTCCGCACTCCCGGGTGTTGATGGGAGGGGGCGAAGTCTGGTACAGATGGGTCTCCGCCGCAGCCCCCACCTCACTGTGGTGGTTGACATGGCAACGCTTGCAGTAGCGGACAGGCCGGTTGCCATGACGCCCACAGCAGCCAGCCGAGAAGCAGGTGACCACTGCTCTCCTGACGTGAGAGCTACAGTTCTTCAAAGCCAAGAACAGAAAGAAGAAGAGGAGGAAAAGAGGAGGAGGAGAGATTAGTTCATTTCTATTCTGGGCGGTAGGCAGCAAAGTAAAACATGACAATCAAAGAGAAATTCATCTACAAAAATACATTTATTCAAAGGTTTCTCAAGAAACCAACTGCACTGAAATGATTTTACTGCTTTCCATATCTACAGTGATTGAAAAAGTCTTTATGAGTCCCCACAGTGTCTCAGGTTTCTAAAAATAAAAAGCGTGGCACGAGAGGAGCATCCTAATCTGATCAGCCTCTAATCTTGTGCCATTAGAGTGATGCAGCGCTCCCTATTAAATTAACATATCTGTCCTCTGGTCGTGAGTTCTCTCAGTCTTCCAGCTAGCTTTCAACAAGAAAATAAACCCTTTTGAATGTTACGGATGTTTAAAATAACTGATAGGTCCATCTTAGAAATCATCATGTGTTTGTAAAAAGTTATTCTGAGGTAAGAATACCTAGAATAAAACAAAACCTAAAGACAGTGGCAGAGTAATCTAGGTGAGAGTTATAGGCTTTGTGAAATGATTGTGACAAAGCCTGATCAGAATCAGAGGCTTTGGATTATAAATCCCAGGACAAAACAATTTCCACTGTGCGACTGCTCAGACCGACTGGAATACCTGAGATAATCTCATGCTCAGTTTTCTAGGTGTCTCCCTGGAAACCAACAGGAAGCACTGGCCCCTCTGCTGTACGTTTAACTGCAAACAAACATCATGCTTCAGCAGCTTCCTTTGAATCCATTCAACCCTTACTGAGTCACTCACTTCTGGTGAACAGACCTCTCAATGCAATAAAAGGAGATAAATACATAAATAAATGAAATAACTGACTTTGTTATGAACCACTGGTTGAAAACAAAACTTCAATGTTGCTTACAAGGTTAACCTCATTTATGCTGTCAGCTCATTTTGTGCGTGCAGCTTGAGGTTGGGTGTCATTGTTGTGAAGATGCAGCGAAGTTAATCATTCGCAACCATTGACTGATAAATGTTTTATTACCCTAATTGTGAGGACACTGGGTAATGCTCAGCACAACATGCTGCTGTAAGGGTTTAAATCCCTAAGAACATGAGTTATATACAAGAAGACTGTGACGTTATTGATCATTTTACAGATTATGTGTCTTACCTTCTTTTGACAAATGGCGGATATCTCTGCTGCAATGACAAATACAAAATGTTAACAATATAAACAACAGAATGTTGTTTTTTAACCATTCAGCTACACTTTAAAAGTCATGTATTAAATCTTGTTTTGTATTTATTCCATTTATAACTATTTCATATTAAAAAATATCCTTTAACAGTAGTTTGGAAACATCTTATTCCAAGGGTAGGAAATGCCACCCCTGGACCCCCCCTCCCCCCTGAACACACCCCTGTTCAACATCATGTAATTGTACTCAAACAACTGTCTATCTACTTACTCTATGTTTGTCTGAAAGGTGCAAGACAGACTGAATGAAAATCAAACAACTTTTTGTTTGTGAACGCTCACCTTGGGGCAGGAGCACGTCCACAAGCCATTCAGCGTGATCTCTAAAAAGGTTAAAGAAAAAAATAAACAACTCTTGATTTGCAGGCAAACTGCGCCACAGAGCCTGAATGCAAATACACCCACGGTACACAGGGTAGTCTCAGCCTCCCAACAAAGCTGAACACAATATCTCCCCCCTCAATATCAAAGAAAGTGAAAACCAGAGAACTATGCAATTATAGCATGAACATGCTGGAGGAAAGGGAAACAAGTGGCTGCGTGGTTTTGTGATGATCATCTCATTATCAGGGCAAGGAAATTATGTAACCATGGTGATGAATTCCCCCTGGGTAAAGGTGGGGGATAATGAGGCAAGCAGTGTGTGATGTATGTTTGGACAGGCATTTAGTTGAGAAGGGGGAGGTTCTGGTGGTGGAGGATAAATGTGAAAGACAGGCATACCCTGCTATCCTCTGGCTGCACTCCTCACATATATAAAGAGGAGGGGGCTTGTCTCCCAGGGCAACAGAAAGGGTGGGATCTATACACATCTGCAAAGACAGAAAGTGTTACAATATGCATGCAGCATGTAAAAAAAATTGTAGAAAAGGATACTGTGATGACTTACTTTTAGTGTAAAACAAAAAACTAAAGATAAAACTTCTTCCCATGTTGCTAGAATAATGAGACTATCAGGACTTTGCATGCTAAACAGTTTCTCTTTTCCCAGAAAGTCATGATGGATTTGTTGTGAGTCATTTAGACACTCCCAAGAGTACATCTTTGTTTCAGATGATGTTAAACCTTTTCAACAGAATGACTTTTTTTAACCATTTGAGTCAAACTTGCATTTTCATACAGGAGCCATTTTCTGTTAGCACCACACTCTTAAAATTAAAATTAAATTGTAACTCAAATATATTATTAAAGAATATGTATGAAATGTAGAAAACCATGTACTGTTACTCTCAAACTTCTATGTTTACCAACTAAAATGAAAAGTAACCGGGAAAAAACAGGGGATAATCTCTGAGGAGATATGTCTGATTGAGTTTTACCTCCTATTGTTTCAGCGGGTCATATTTTCTATCCCTGTGGCAGTTCTCTCTTAGGGAAGTATATCATGATATTGCACACAAAATCCATGTGACATTTATACCTGACTCCCTAAGCCTCAGTGTGGATAACTGCCAGCATATGCAGCTCTGTTACAGTCAGTGCCTAGCCCTGTGTTAAACCTCAATGCTTATGGCCTCAGTGTTCAGACGGTGCACTGTTATTTACTGCGCTCACTTGATGCCACCCTCTCCTCCAGGGCTGCACAGGGTCACCGCTTCCAATTAAGCTCCCCCTCCCCATGTACCCCCTCCCTGCTCCTGGTAATTGAAATCTGGCCCCTGTCCGTGCCCCTGTTTTTTCTCTCTGTTTGTCAGTTTTGAGCACAGTTGAGTAAAGGCAGGCAGAGCTGATAAAGCAGGGCAGCAGCAGCAGAGACGGGTGTAAAGTAGAATAGGAGCTGATATCATTACCCAACTCCCACAGCTGCCTGGACATGCACTGATTTATTTATCGAGGGGCTAACAAAAGCAAACACGCCAACACACAGTTGAACTCTGCAAGTCAGTCTGGTATTTGCCCCATGCATACAGGAAGAAATTCTCCAGGGAAAAAGCTTTTAAACACAGAATGCACTGCTAATCCATTTTCTTATCGTAATAATAAGGCATTGTTGGAGGAACGCTGGATCTGGTTTATGTACCCACCAATAAGGTTCAAGCCTCATTCAATATATTTTTTTTAACTGAAATCACCTTGACAGCTGGTTTATTGATGGCATTGTGGCACTCAATATGTTGACAGTGGATGGGGTTCCAAGCTGATCCAGGAAAGAGAAGGGGAGAAAAATAGTGGATAGGTCAGACCTTCAGCTGGTTCAAGGACAGACAAAGTAAATTTAGTATTAAGAGGACCTGACCTGTGTACTGCAGCCCCCGGTATTCACTTATGGCCCCTGGAGGCTTCAGGTTGGGCCAGTAATGAAACAGCATCTGCACGGCTGGGGGCTTTACTTGGGATGGGCCGTAGGATATTACATATAGAAGGTCCTGCACACAGTATAAACATGAGCAGTTATTTCAAAAGGCAAATTTATTAGAAGACTTGCTCATAAATGTCAGAAAACCAGATGAAACCAGGTGAACCAGATGAGGCCATATCTTTTTTTAGAATGAATTAAAAAGGCATAAACTAATGTCTCAGGATAAACTCCTGAATGCTCTTATAGCATTGATTATCATATGAAAAGGATGAAGACAACTCTGCTTCCAAATCTGAAGCTAGCACTGTTTAACTGTGTGCTCTGTTAAATAATGAAAAGCAGACAGACATGAAAGTCAGGATTGTAAAGACAAATTTTAATTTTAGTTTTAGGACAACTGCCTTTATCCTTTAAATGTGTGCTACATGACAATAGATGAGCATGTCATGTCAAAGAGAGTGAAGAATAAGCTAACTGTCCAGACATCCCAGAAGTTTGAGCCTTATAATGAGAATAAAGCGTCTGTTGACTTGTGGCCCACAAATGTAGAGTGCAGAGTGGCCTGATCCAGCTGGTTACCAGCTAAAGAAACAAGCTAAATTGTAGCTTAAAGTAACACATGTGCTTCCAGTTACGGTTTGAAGCAGAGAAACTGAGTTTTTTTTCTGCTGCTTTTTGGTTTTTGTATTATCAAAACATAATCAAAAAACATATGGGCTTGATGGGTGGTTTTCCAGGCTTCTTTGTTCATACTCATCTAGCCTGTCTCTTTCCCAAACTTCATATATATTGCACAGATATTAATAGAAGGCTATCTTTCTTAACCTGGATGTCAGACTATTGAAAATGATTGAATAGAGTTAGTTCATATGTTTCAGCTAATGAAATACATACAAGCCAAGATGTTATGTCATAACTTTAGCTCTCTGTTTTGAATAAAAATCTTACGAGTTCAAATATCTTTATTGTGAAATAAATACCTTCCACACTTCTTGTTTGTGCTTCATTAGACACTCCAGCAACTGACAGTGATATACTGAAAAGAAGTGATCAGAAGTCAGTTATAGTCAGTCAGTCATAATCATTGAGTCACACTAGAGTGCATGCTCTTTAAACAGCTGACATGATGGTTTACCTGGATTTGACGTGTACTGCATTGCAATCATGAGCATTGAGGAGGCAGACAGATTGACATAGGCAGGGACTCCCCCCTCCTTTCGGGTAGAGCCCACTACAGACAAGCAAGAAAGAGAAATTAAAAAAAAAAAATGATGTTTCCTTTAATATTGTTCGCTAGATAGAGGTTTTGGTTCATGTTAGGTCCTACAGGTGTCACATTTTGTTTAATTTCATTCATCCCTATAATCCCACCAAGTGGCTTAGTTGTGATTTATCTTCACGAGAGTCATACTTACATATAGCCATGGGGAGGAAAGAGGTGCTCAGGTACTCAATGATGTCTTTGTGGAGGAAAGGGGGAAATGTGGCTAAAGTGGAGATCATTGTATAGGGCAAAGTGCTGAGAATATCATCACTGAGAAAGGGCAGGAGGCATGTTGTTGTGTAAAATATGGACTGTCCGAGATCTGATGAGAAAGGAGGAAGGCAAAAAAAAAAGACAAAGAGAGATACACAGAAACTCATTCAATTAACAGTACATACAGTATTCACATACTGTATGCAGCCACAAAGTTACATGAAATTTCAATCATATAACAGAACAACAGTGAGAAAAAATTCAGGAGAATGAGCTTCAGCTGAGGGCAGTAAGCTTTCTTTAAAAGCAAATAGTATAAAGTTTACCCTCAGAAAAGGAAGAATACAAAAAAAAGTCGGGGATGGTTTTCATGCTTTTGAGCTTATTTTAACAGTGGCAAATATTCATGAAAAACAGGAGCACTGACTGTGATGCAGCCTTGGAAATAAGTCATTCTCAGATGTATACAAAAAGTATTTTAAAAGTACATTTTTACATTTAGCCTCATAACGGAAGTATAACATTTCTCCCACTTTACATGCAGTCGGGTATGATACACAGAAGAGAAGGCCTATGTCTGGTGTATCCAATGGCTTATGAACGATTAAGTTGACAGGATCCAGCGTGCTCCCAATCACCCCATGCATCCCTCAAGATTCCTCAGCAGGACTTCTCTCCTCCCGTTACAAAAAAGAGGCCAAAAAAGCAGCAGTGGCTTCATGCAGGCCAGACGGCTTGGGGATGATGATGACAAACAGTGGTGCACTGGGCCTTGACTCACCATGCTGACCGTGCTGCAGCAGGGGCACCAGGTCAAGCAGGGTCACGAGGGTCACATAGAGGCCCTGATAGTCCAGAGAGGGGTACTCTGAGAGCTGAGCGTCCCGACTCTGCTGCCCCTGCCCCCCGCGGTCTGACGGGGCATCGCGCAGAACGCTGTAAAGGAGGGAGCGAGTAACTGTAGGGTTGATGGAACTGACTTGTGGTCTTAGAGATGGGGTGAGTGGGAATGGCACAGGAAAAAGACACATGGTCATGGGCACGGCCAAATTGGAAGCTTCCTGGTTCTCCTTCCTGCCTGTGCGGGACAGAATGCTGCTCCGGGGGCGGGAGGGGAAGGGGAGGGAAGGGTAGGGGAAGGGAACAAGGGAAAAAAAGAGACAACAAAGACACAAAAAAACAGCACATTACATTGAAATGGCACTACAGAGACAGCGTAAATAGAAAAAAACAAACCCAGATAAACCCCACATAGGATGCAGTGTCTCACTATTTGACTATCACTGAAGGCATGGGCAATTTTTCCCTGCTTTGTATGTTGAGTGACTTTGATTCAATTTTCTCTCATTTGATCTGTCTTTGCACTTGGAAAAGAAAAAAAAGACATGAGCACAAACTGCAATGATCACTGCATCTCATGCGTATCTGGTGACAAGGAGCAAAAATATAAAAAATGGCATGTTTTCAGTGGCAACCCCATACTTCTCCAAAAAGGCACAGCTCAAAAGGCTGTCCCTCGATGGCTGCCATCTTCCAATGAGCAAGGTCAGAGGCTACCATGCAAAAAAAAGGCCAATGAGCCGTGGAATTTGAAAAAAGAAAAAGAAAAACAGAAATTTCCTTGTCTTTAGCGGGGCTGTCAAGGATGGGAGTGACACCAAATTGGTTTAGGGAAAATACAGAGGTGACACTTTTGAAACATGCTTCAGCCAGTAATAAACATGTGTGTGAGGTAAGATCAAATGCTCTGAGGTCACAGCACATGTTTATTGCACCAGAGAAATAATGTCCGTATGCATACGTTATGATACTGTACCAGTATCATCAGGAGAAATAATGAGATCCAACAGGCATATGGATTCAGGTTTCTAAAATAAATGTAACAACTAATCTACGGTAGAGGAAAAACTATAATGACAAAGGAATAGGTTGTATCAGGGGGGAGATGACTGGTAGCATTATGTTTGTGAGCTAATGCAGGATGGACATTTGTGTTTGCTGTCCCCTGGGGAAGGTGGTTGACATATTCAATTTTAAGAGAGGGAAAAAACAAAAGGAGAAATTAGTTGGGGTTGAGTGCGGAGCGTCTAGGGTGGAGGAAGGGGGAAGGGGGGCCAGAGAGCATTGCTCTTTTTTTTTTTACTGCACATTACTAAAGAGCTAAGCTGTTCTATCAGGCAAATGATTGGGTTTTATCATGAGAGCCCAGATTATAAATGCTGATGTATTGTTTTTTGTTTTGTTTTGTTTTGTTTTTTTTTTACTTTCATTTGGATAGGTCACTCACAAAATAGAGTTACAGCATTTCTGGCAAGCGAGAAAGGGGATTTCATTTTAAATATTTTAACATGACATAAGATTATGCATAATTTTGGCCTGTGGCTTAACATTTTACACTGTTAAAAGCAGAATGTCACATTTACTGACTTATCCCCTCAAAGTTATACTCTGTAAGATCTCAGTCAGCGTAGATTCTTTCATAAAGTGGCAGGACTAATGTACAAGAACAGACTGTATCTCAGAGTATGACTTTTTCACTGCCATATAGAAAACATCATAATTCTTTTGAACAATGAACAAAGACAAAACAGACACACTCACACACACACACACACACACTGAACATATACACAAGGACACACATATGTGCATAACATACATCCATACAAACAACACAAAAATACAAACATATACGACACATAAAACACATGTAGAAATGCACTGATACAGACACATGACATACATTGACCGTCAAACCCTGCACTTTCTACAGGTATATCTATATTTGCTATGTGTAGTAGCAATTTAAAGCACATTAAGGCCTACTGCAACAAATGTTCAGGTGTGAGTAGTAGGAATAAAGCTCTGTGGCATCTCAAATAATGTCTCTACATCACTAGGTATGATTTCTGCTCCCTAAAGTTATTCGTCTGAGTGATACAGTCTGGCATGAAGTCAGCGTGGCTCACTGATGCAGAGAGAGCCTGACTTGGAGAATTATGACAGATCTATCTCTAAGGAGACATAAATAGTTCAGAATAATGGCATAGTTTAACCCCTCTTTTTTGTCTGCTCTGCAACTGACCTGAAACTAACGTTAGGGAATGAATCAGCAACACCTCCTTTGGACATTTCCAGCTTTCTTCATAGGAGCATAACACATGCCTGCACCTCCTTTTTTTAAAAGCCCATCACTTCTGTCTTTCCACTTAACCCATCAGTTGTTTTCACATTTTCTGTCTTAGAAGCAAAGGTATACTGATAATCCTGGAGTCTCTGTTGAGGGCATTAAATCACTCTCATCACCGTGGGGAGAACTTTTGCATTTCTGCACTAAGAGGCCCTGCAACTGCAGAAAATTGAGCACTACTGAGTACTTCCTGTTGCATTCAAACACTGCCCCTCGGACAAAATCTTAAATTAACATGCTCCCACAATTGAAACCCCTCCTGTCATGCTCCATCTGTGCCAAAGACAAATCAGAGGCAGTGTTCAAAACAGCATAGTGACTGCTGGTGCTGGATAGCCCTTCAGCAAAGCACATACAAAGTATTCTGGATACTCAGTGAGCATCACTCACTCAGCAGAGAAATAATCCTTATGGAGCCGAGGCATAAAGTGTAGATTTGAGGCCGGCTGCCAATCTCAAATAGATTGCACCCTAAGCTGATAATAATGATAAAAGTGGGGCATACAAGTTCTGCCTCTGGTAATCCTAACCCGTTTTGTAAATTAGCCAACAAGTTAAGTCAGCATTAACATTTTCTGAGTAGCCACAAGCAGGAAAACTGAGCTAACCATATGTAGACAGACATATCTTACTTCTGCAGTGGATTTTGAAAACAGATCTAGAGGGGGAAAGGGAGAAGTGGCCCATCATGTAATAGGATGTATCCAAAATGGCTGCCTACTTGACCCTTATCAGAAGAGGAAATAGCATGCTGTTCTTCCCTCGGGCGTTCACAGCGCCCATGGGAGGAGGCTGACCCTACAACTGTAGAGCCAGAGGAGCTGCCCTCTCTGCCGGGCCCCAGTGGGAAGGACAAAACACGTGGCCCCAGGGAGTTTTCATCTAGCAAGCAAGCGCTGAATCAATAAACAACAGTGAGCTGTCTGTCACTGCTGCTTTAACATAAAACCACACCTACATGAGGAATCTGCAACTATCTCTGTCTCCCTCTACTTTCCTTTCCATTTGATGTGGTAAATAGTGTGTAAGACTACGCTAAATACCTGGATCATGAAGGAAACTAAATATGAAACATTCTACAGTCTGTTACTTCACCTGTCGGCTCCAGAGCGGGGTACTTACCTGAGCAGGGTTTGGGAAAAGTATTTCAGTGTGTTTGCAATGTCTGTTCCAGAGGGCACGGGGTATATATTGTGTTGCACACGGTTGTGATACTCTTGCAAGTATCGTATCTTAGAGGCAACTAGACAAAATAAAGAGCAGAGTAACAAGCAAATCAACATTAGGGTAAAATAATCAGTTCATTACAAAGAAATGGCAATTTGTTGAACATGTATGACACTATGGTCGTTTCCTGGCTGATACAGAGACAGCTTTTGCTCAGGGGCTGTATTTATCAAGTCAAACTAAGTGTATGTTCCCATGGCTCTCTTGGCCTGCACCAGGTGACCTTTGAGAAAAGCAGTGAGGTCACAGGAAGCCCTGGAGGAGGCGCTGAACTATTGCTTACAGAAACAAGCACATGCACAAAAGGTTGTCGGTTCAAGTCCCAAGACAAGCCCCGGGAAATGCATTCAGGGGTAAACATGCGAGAGGACTTAGTCACAGATGACACTGACCCTGCAGGTTACCATGACAAACCATCCCCTCAGGTTGCTGTTTTAGGTATGAATGTTTGAATTATGTTTTGCCTGGTGATATAAGAGATATGATAAGTTAGAGAGGGTGATGGTTGACCCATTTTCTCTGACTTTGGGCTGTAGTGTTTAGCTTCCTCTATGACCTGTAAATGACAAACCTCAAAATTAGAATAACAGCTGCAGGGTTGGAGCATGTGTGGTCAAGGCCTGTGCTGCTATTCACATGCTTCTCTCCTCATGAATATAAGCAAAATATCTTTTTAAACATTTTGATGCTTGAACACTAAAATTAGCTTTAACAGTGAATTAGGGTTGGTGTTTAACTCATATGTCAAACTAAATCGTGTATTTACAACAGGTTCTACATCCCTATTTCTTAACCCTTGCCTTAAATATTGGCCGATGGAAAACCTCCATACTAACTACACTAACAAAAATAAGAGTAAACTTCTGTAGGACAGCACCTTGTTTACATTTTGTTAGCACTGACTAGCATACAAAGTGATAGCTAACCTGGACTTTTAGCAGTGTTGTATACTATGACTAATATTGGGAATTTGTAATCAATTATTTCCTTTACAAAATATTTTGGTAAGGCTACTTCCTGGTATCTGCCTGATGCATTGACTGACCTTTGCACAATATTGCATTTTATCATAAACTATAACCAGCATTTTTTGGTCTAAAAGAGGTCTAATAGATGTCTAAATGTAGCCTAGACAACTGGTCTAAAATCAGGCTACCACAGGTCTAAAAATTAAAGTTTTCTAGACATCTAAATTTAGACCAAGTCTAAATCTGGGCTATATCTATACTACACTGTATATTGCTCAACGGCTATTATTTTGGTAAAGTACTTGGAGATCAGTTATGCAACTCACATTTGCTTTTTGAAATAAATAGTTATTGAATAATGGGTTAAAGTGCAATGTCTGAATTCCATCTAAAAATATACAGAATTTAGATGGTTGAAATTAGGTCTAAAAAAAACCTAGACTTCTAAAAGCAGTCTATTACTCAGTGGGATAGCCTACACTACATGCAACAAAAACATAGCTAGATGTATTTAAGGAAAAATCAAGGCTAGCTTTGACTGACCATACACTCTCTGCCTGTAGCACCTTTCATGTAGTCTGTCACGTGATAAGTTCACTAAACAAATTGCTTTTCAAAAACAGGTAGGCCCGGTTGATATGGTGCTGGTGCTTTCAATGGCATATTTATTACTCCTGATATCTAATTTTTATCCGATCAAAGGTTGAAATCGAAATCGGTAGCCTACTCTGATCGGCAACACACAACTTTATGTCAATTTCGATGAAACAATCCCAGACAAATTTGCCCCCATATTTTACGTCTTTTTAAGCGAGCAACATCTGATTTTTTAAAAAGTGTAGGCTACAGGAACAATTGTATAACATGGGAGGAAATGTGACCATGCAGAGTCTGGCTTCCACCTGTTCAAAGCAAATCAGAGGATGGAAGAGGAAATTCACAGAACGGTCTTCGGGTCGGTTTTGTCAATCTACAAAATTGATCAACCTGAAGCCACCATATTGTTCAGTAAAGAATCTGTCAAGTCGACCTTGAGACCAACACACCTCGCCTATCGCACACACCTCTTCCAGCCACGTCAATCAAAAATAACCACATTCTAACCGTGACGACTGTGCGTTTTTGCCACGAAATTGTTCTCCCTCTCAGCATGCCGTGCGATATAGAATTATAAACAGAGGCTTTCCCGAGAGCACTGAGCCCTCCAGCCATCCTCTGCAGTGAGAGGACGTGTTGCAACCTGCCATGGCAACCGCGGTTTCATCACCAAGGACAGCTCCCCTCAGTCGCTTTCTTGCTTAAGACAAAAATCACATCTCCCAGTTTCCAACCCCCCCAAATGACAAGACAGGACCAAAAAAACACAACACAAACACCGCTCTACTTACACTGCTCTGCCTTTGTAGACATCTCGTTGACACTTGGGGTAACATAAAACAGAAGTGTCAAATGTTTTAGAGCTTTTTTCCCCCTCCCCGGCGTTGTGTGTTTGCCTCAGTCGTGAAAAAGTGAACATACCCCCCTTGCAGCTCGTGCAGCCTCGGCGGCTTGATTGTACCACTCTGCGCGATGGATTTATGCGCTGTGGCTTTTTTGAGCGGTGCTGCGGTCGTTTTTTGTGGGCTTTCAGCGGAATTACAACCAAGAGACGTTTTTACGAGGCATTTATTAATTCAAAGATTTTTATTTTGCCCAAGCGGGGAAGGATTTTAATTATTATCTGCCACATCATACCTTTCCAAATGGACTGATCCGGCTTTGACAAATTGTCATTCAAGAAATCCAACAACCCTATCAGTGGTCTGGGAGCCGATTAGAGGAGGGAAATACCTGAGTGTATTGGTTCAGATAGCCTTTTATTGCTCATGTTTTTTTCTGCACTATAGGAGGCTGAACATGCAACAGATGGTTGTCATGATGTATTATCTCAACCGTGGCTGCATGCATGTGTTGTTCTTTTAACTTATTAAATCTAAATTTTATATGCGTTTACCCTGTTATTGGCAGTAAAATCCATGCTTTTTACTTGCATGTAAAGGGATCCTTCAAAATTAACTCAGATTGTTACGTGAAAGTATGTGATTTTAAATACCTATTTTTATAATGTGTCTGTGTACTTACAAGTACACAGACACATAAGGACTATACCCTTATAAGCCTAATAATGGCCTACACATAACATTTGTTAAATTAAGTTCTGCTTCTTTTTTGAGAGCCAAAATGCTACAGAAAGTTAAACAGATTTCATGGTATGGAGTGTGAACAGACTGCCAGACCTCTTCAATTATCATTTGTTTGTGCCAAAAGCTGTCTGATTTTATTCATTTTATTGGGATCAATGTCTTGTATGTACAGTCAGCACCCAGTGTAACCTTAGTTGGTTTATGTGAATAATAAAAAAAAGTGTCCTGGCAAAGGAAAAGAAAAATCTATTGTAGTTGTCACTTCAGTCAACAAATCATTTAATTTTGCATGTATCCAAATGATCTCAAGCAAGACATAACTCAGCACTTTTAGTATCCAATACTTCATACAATAAAACCATTTTATCCTCAAATATTTCTTGCTTCAATTATATTTCACATATCTGAAGGTTCACCACATTCACAGAAGCATATGGTTTTCTAGTCCAGGGTCAGGGGTGACGACGTGATCTGCGCCGATATTCTGGGATGTGATGCATGATCCATCCAGCCGGGGCCAAAAGAGTCATAGCAAATACACACAAGGTGAAGAGGGATTGCTGCAACAAAGTCAAGAAACACAAAAACATAAATACTTTGGTACGAGACATTCAAGTGTAATCTTTAGTGTACACTTTATAGCTCCTTTGTATTGTTCCCAAACATCAGCTGTTGTCAGCTGCAAGTTAGATGGACAGAATCTAACACCTGTTTATCCCCAACAGAGGGTCCTGATCTCAATGAGTCATCCAGAAAGTAAGGACAATCCCTGTCTATATCTAACTACCATGTTACTCCCGCCTACTGTCCCTCTGCTCTTTGGTATTTTCCAACTAGAGCCAGACTTTAAATAAAAGCAAACAAACATGTGCATGTCCTTTGGGGCAGTTCAACAGATACATAGCACTATAAACACAGGCTACTACACTGCAGTTCTATCATGGGATCTCTTTACAGAGGCCAGAGCTGCACACTAACTTATGGATAAAAGAAATTAATAAAACATCTCCCCCACTCTGCTGGCTGGGGAGTTGGTTCGCTTGAATTCTTCGCATTAGGGGTAGTCCAGAAATGTATCTTAGATAGTGACTTTCCAGGACTATTTTTTGTTTTACTGTGTCTATCATTTATAGGTCAAAATTGTTATGAAAGAGATGATACAATTTGAGCAACTCTTATGTTGATCTGGTTGAATTCTTGCGTGACTTTTTGAACAGACCATTTAGAGCCCCTTGTAGTCGCATCTGGAGATTACTTAAACACACACAAACCTTGCAGTCTGAAACTTTGCTTACATATAGTACAGATGTCCAACATTTTAACTTAACATTTGTTTAAAAAGCATTTTCTACCACACAACTAAATTTTCTGCCATTAGCACATTTCTTTACCATAAACAAAGACATATAATCATACCATGGGCCCAATCTTCTCCTTTGCTGGCTTGCTGTAGACAGTTGTCTTTCGGCTTTGCTGAAAGGCCTTTATCAACCTGGACCGTGTCAGAGTTGAACTCCTGAGGACAGGGAACATCTTCTCAAACAGGCACTTTTGTCTGATGCATGGAAATGTTTCTGTGGAGATTTTCTCCTTCCAGAAACTAACGTTTAGTCACTGCTTTCATCTAAATCCCAGCAGTGCTCCAGGGAGGAGTCACTTCCGTGAGCCAAAGACCATCATGTAAACATACTGACGAAGTTCTCATCAGGACAAAAACATCTGGCTCAGTCTGAGTGAGATTCCAAGTCAACTCACATACATTTTAAGATCTGTCTGTTGCAATTAAATACAGGATGTAGCAGTGCTTAAAATGTCAACAGTCAACAAAGAACTTAAGGTGCTCATAAGAGATGGATAGTGTTCGTTTTAACAATCAGTGTAAACTGGGGAGTTTTCATAATTATGGAGGAACAAGACTGGCTGGGAGATTCAAACTTAAATAAGAGGCCTTTGATCCACAAGGTTGTCATCTGTATTCTTTCATGGGTTTTAAAAACACCACTGGGTACATCTAACTGCACCAAAAGTTTGGAATAATTACAGTCAGGGCCTGCATTGCACTTTCTTACTTATGTTTAAAATAAAAGCGTAAAAAAAAATCTGCACCGTACACAAATGTTTTTCGGTGGTATCTGTGAAAAAAAAACAACTTGGAAAAGAGATGCTTAAAATGTCCTCTATCATTATTATATCTGCAATGACACCATTGTATAAACCTCTTTTCCCAGTTCTCCAATAACTTATCTGTATTCAGTTGACAGTGACATATTACAGGGGTTAGCTGCTTGAATAAACCTCGATTAAGTGTCTATCGAGATAAGAATAGCTATTGTTTTGTTTGCCCTTATGGGAGAAACATTGGTTTTATTTCCAGGCTACTCTCTTTTTAAATCATCCCAATTTAATGTGTTATGGAAGTTACTTTGTCAGTCAAATTGCACATAACTCAGGAGTCCCTTTCGGATAAAATGACCTTGAAGTCTTCAAAAATGAATTTAAAAAAAGCTACCTCTCAATATTCCAGACAGCTTTAGGGCTACATTATATGTATTGTGTCGCCCTCTATAGGAGGCCGAAGGAACTTCAATCATTGAAAGCCTTGCAAATAGATAACTGATAAGCGTAACCTCTAAAAAAACAGGACCAGGTGCTTTTGTGGGGAAGCTGCAGGAGCCTATCATAGTGACCTTATCATAATATATTAGAAAGAAAGAAAGAAACGAAAGAAAGAAAGAAAGAAAGAAAGAAAGAAAGAAAGTGCACCCTACGTATGTCAAACAGGTTCAAGCTATTGTATGATTTTTACATTACCTCGAATGTGGTAAAAACGATCAATTAATATCCCAGGGCCTGTTTCGGGGGATAGATTAATAAGTAATATTGCAAACATGTTTCATTTAAATGTTGTACTGCTTTTATTATCTTGTTATAATATAATGATTATATTTTATTATATCATAATATTATTATAATAATAATATTATTAATAATAATATTATATAATTAATAATATTATTATTTTATTATATTATGTAATTATGACTTTATTATTATTATTATTATTATTGTTGTTGTTGTTGTTGTTGTTGTTGTTGTTGTTGTTATTAATATTATTGTTATTATTTTTATTACTTTTAGTATATTATTTTTCTTCTCCCTTTTTCCTTTTCCTAAATTTTTTCTTAATTATTACATTTATTTAAGTTCTTAATATTACGAACTTTATTTCTATAACTTCATTTTTGCACTCTTTGTCTGTGATGCTGCTGTGACAAAAAAATTTCCCCCATGGGGGATCAATAAAGGAATATTCTACTCTATATTCTATTCTATTATTTTTATATTTATATACTTTTATTTTGACATGAACATTTTGAATTCTCGTCCATAATCTTTCATTGATTGATTGACGCATTTATCATAAAACATGTAACCTTCAACACATCCACATATGACAGAAAGACAACGTAGAACCACTACAAAAAAGAAACCGATAGAGGGCGCCCCCAAATGTATAATTACAAACGCTTTTAAGAATACTGACGGGCCTCTTGACCAGTCGGCGTACAGCATCCAGAAGCTATGAAGTTAACAAAAACACCGGAACTTAGTTAGTATAGCTACCAAACTAAAGCGCACTTCGTTTGTTGCACGCATCCTGCACTACCTATGTAATGTATATCAAAATTCCTGACACTTTACTTTGAAAGTTCTAACCGGAAGCAATACTTTATGTTCTGTGAAGCTTGAATTGGGTTGCGTTGGGATAGGCCATAACAACCACCCAACAAGGCGCTGTGGTACTATGGGGAAATACCGGACCGAACCGAGGATAAAAACGGTTATGAATTGTTTGTAGTCGAAGTTAACGCCAGAAATTTGCCAGAAAGTCGATGCAAGTGGAAATACTTGCATACTGGGGTTCAAATGTGGACGTTGACGTCGAGCCGTGCGTAATGAGCAGAGTTGGAAAAAGAAGGTGTTGAGCTGCATTTTTTCTCTCTCAACCACAGACAACTTGGGTCGGAGTACTGTCCAAACTACGAGGCGATACGAGGAAAAAAATCCCCTAGAAGCTTCGCACTCCGTGGTAAATATGTCTGAGCGCTCGCTTTTCAACAGTTGCTTCGCATCTTGCTCGAAGTAAATTGCTGTTTCCGAGGGGTAAAGTCAAAGCGACACAGCAGAGGTAGCTTACCCTAGCCTCTTAGGATATGCTACTAATTACAGAGCTGTGCTGGATAGGACTCCCCTTGCTAGACATTCGTGTGATATTTGGACACTACTTCCTATTTCTATCAGTTGAGACAAACAACCCACTTGGTTTTTGCCCTTACAAGCACTTTTAACTCGGGCTTCCGCTGAGCACAGATAGCCCACCAGTAGCCCAAAGAGCAACAATAGCTCCGCGTTAACGTAAGGCTAACAAAGCCACTGTATATGATTGTTTTCTCTGAACTCATGTTACCCAGGAACACACTTGGTTTTGTTCACTGAAGATAGATCCATAGAAAAGTTTGGGGTTGAAATGCATTTTCCCTTTGAGATCAACCTACATGTTGCTGGATGCCTCAGTGTCAGATAGTTGTTAATAGGTTGGGCTTTGGCAACACTGGCCTGTCATCTATTTCATCTATAACTTGATGGTAAAGGGTTTTTTTTAAGCCGTTTAGACATTTCCAGAAGTCAAATGAATACAGGATAAACTTCAGTCTGTGGCTGCTTAGATTTGCATATATTATCTGTGCAATTTAAATTTGTCCTTTATTGTGTAAAATCTACATTAAGAATTTTTTTTTCATCCCCCCTTAAGAAAAGAAAAGAAAACTCATTTATTCAATTTTGCTGGACCATTATCCATGACACTAGTCTCTGTCATCCTCAGGTCAAGAGTTGAGGAGCCATATGCACACACTGATAATCCTGTGATTATCTCACCAAAATTCTGCTCACATTCAGTTTTTAGTTTCCTCTTAAAGTGAGTGTCTTGTTGTCTCTTGATTGATAAAGGTGCATGTTCGGCAGCTCATGACCTCTCCAGCATCAAGGTTTGTCATTTTACCAGGTTCAGTTAGTGTGTCAGTGCTCCAGGGCCATATAATGACATGTAATTATTTGACTTACATGCCCAGACTTCCATGACTGTCACAAAAGGCTGTGAGCTTGCAAGTACTTGTCAGAGAGTCACTAAATGAGCTGGACTTTGGCCTGACTTCTGTTTACCCTGGCTGCTTGGACAACTCAACAAGGAGCATTGACAACCCGCTTAAAATAAGCACTTATTGTTTTCGGGGCTGCCATTCATTCTCTGGAGAGCCAATGCCAGGCTGTGTTTGTAAAGCCACCAGTGTGTGCACACTTAACATTTCTTTATTGAAAAGATGGCCCCTGTTCAGTCAGTCTTGCAAGCTGGTCTAGAGCTTGTTATCATCACATTCCCACCAAGTCTGCAAGGAAAGGCATCAGAGGTTAAAAAAAAAAAAAGAAATGTCGTAAAACAATTACTTTAGTTTAAATCCATCTTATTGTGTATCCGTAGTACCTGCAGGGGAAAACATCCGACCAGCCGACAGTTCAGTCCATGAAATGCCAAATATGCAGCACTGTGGTTCTTATTGTTGGTTGACACAGGCTAATCCAGAGGCTGCCCACCATGAGTCATCAATGTGGGGACTTTTGTTTCCTCTGTCTGTCTCTGTCATTTCAGCGTGTTGCTGTTTCCAGCCTGTTCTGATTCCTGTAGCTTCCTGTAGCTCTCCCGGCAGAGTCTGTAATCAGTCCAATGGCCTGATTAACTGGTACACTGATTGACCCGGCTGGCAAAAACACTGCAGAGGTAAGCACTCTGCTCTGCCACTGGATTTGTCTCTTCAGCTATCATTTTAGTGGGAAGATGACTTTGTTATTATGATAGAGGGAGTCATTTTAATCACCTTTTCCTTTATCTGCAGTCCATATTCCACTTTTACTTGATGCTATGGGATGTGTGCACATCTATCAACATTATGAAGTTCACTCTGTTAGATAGCTCTGGTTTCTGCTAACCGTTGCATTGGGTATTATGACCCATTTGGAGCGCCTCTGATTGTATCGGATATCCAAAGAGTCAAACAGTCTATAATTACTATCTGATGCAGTATTTTTGTCCAGCTTGGCTTGCACAGCACATTATGGCTAGCTCTGCCCTCAGGTCGTTTAACAGCTTTTATAACAGCAAAACTTTGAATTCAAAATTTTCCTGAATGTTAAAAAAATGCAGTTACAGTGAGGGATTATTTGACTTAATTTGATTTTCTTTTTTACCTGAATAGACCAGGATCTATTCATTCTCCTCCTTTGTATGAGAGGCAGGAAAGTAATTTATCTACTGTTCTTCTGGGAATAGACTGACAGGACTTAATCAGATAAAGGCACTTATTAAAAAAATCCCTGCTAAAGAAGTCAAACTGGAGAGTGGTGAATTTGAGAGCTTACATATATTTCAAGCCCTCTTAATACAAAGTTTTTTATGGCACTCTTCATCTGGTTGATCTGATTTTTATGCAGAAAAACACTTTTTTTCCACTCCTCATTTGATATTGTTATGATTATGTTTGATTGGACTCATTTATTACAGTTTTAGGAGATTCAGTCTCTTCATTCAGGCTTGACTGATACTGTCTCACTGCTTACTCATCTTCAGCAGATTAGGAGCCGTGTCAATGAGCCTAACAGAGATATCTATGAAGAGTGTTGATTTAATCAAGATTTAAACCTTAGATCTTTTGTGCCATCTTAGAAAAGCCATGCATGTCTTCTTTGTATTCATATACTGCTCAACAGTCACCAGAAAAGCAAGAAATAGAAATTACTCAATCATCTGCTACACTGCCCATGAAATTCTTCACATCACTTTTGATAGCTGAAATCTTGTCACGCTGATGAAGCTTCATTACTGCTGTCACTTTGATTCAAAGCGTGTGCTGTGATTGTGTTTTATTAGCAGAGCTTTGTTTAAAGAGGGGTGACCTGTAAAACCCGCGTCTAAATAAGACGAACATGCAGCTGAAATTTGGAGTTGATGATAGCAAAGGAAACCCAAATACCTGCTGGCTTCCCTTTTTCCTCCCACCCTGATGAGAGGAAATCCACATAAATGATTGATAAAGTGCCTTGACTGTCATTTGAATAATACATCGGTCCCGCTCTTGTGCCAAGCATTTTTGTATGGTAATGTTCTGTGGGAGACTGGGGGTTCACTCTTTCAAACCTTAGTGAGGGGCTTTTTGGAGAAAAATCAAATAAGCCTAATGACCAAGACAAGGTGAGCAGTTAGAAAGGCTGCATGCGTCTGTGTGTGTTTCTATGTATGTGTTTGTTTGCAGAGACAGATAGGTGGGGGGCAGGGAGTGTCTCCCGTCACTTCTCATTAGGGACATGAAGTCCAGCATGGCCGGCGTCTGCCCCCCCCCCCCTCCTTCCCCTCTCGTCTGTGGCACTGCCCTCTTCTGCTCCCAGCCTGAACACAACAGAGCAGCTCACTGTTTCAGCCTAAACTGCGTAGAAGTGTCTTAATTTCCAACATCAGAGAGATTATGGCGGAGATGCTTCTTATTGAACAGTGTGAGTCAGGTCTCAGGGAAATAGCTGTCCTAAATTATGCTTTTAGAATTCTGCACTGCAGCTGAAGTTAAATTTGGTTCTCTCATTTGAATGAGTTAACGCTCTGAGTCTGCCTGCTAAGCTGGAAGTCATTGGTTGTTCGAGTGATGTGTTGGCTGCTTTGTTTTATTCTGCCTTTGCTGTGCTCCTTTGAGGTCCCCCCCCCCCCCCCCATCTCTCTCTTCCACCCCCCTACACCTTTTTTGTAAACAAGACGGTATATATCTCAAGGGCTTCCTCCTCACTCCTACATATTCAAATTCTACTTCTAATTTTGTCCAAATGAATTCCCTGTGAAGATGGGGCTTATTTAAAGCAGTCTAATGAAATAAAGATCAGCCAACATTTTTATTGGAGTGCTCAAGTGTGACTGCTTGGTGAGTATTTGTGTGTGTTGGTGGAGTAAGAGGCTGTGGTTTTCCATTGAACCCTTGGGAAGCTGTGGAGTGCTGCTCTACAGGGGCAGACACCATGATTTATTAGAATGGTAAGCAGGAAAAACTAACACGCTCCCATAAAACGGATATCCCATCATCTCTTAGTTTTCTGTCTGCTCTTTCAAGGAGTAAAGAGTGTGTAATAAGTTATTCAGAGATCCAGAGCAAAGAGTGTTTAATTTTCCTGTCTTTTAATATATAAACAAGAGCATATGCATGAAAGGATACACAGAGTATACATCTCTTGGAATATAGAATATGAAATTAGTGTGCTCTAACTCGGAAAATAATCAACTGTTGATTTTGAATCTTTTTGCACTTCATTGGTTTGTATCACATAATGACTGAGGTAAGCTCAGTTTATGTAGTGCCCTGTTTTCTGTTGAGCTAGTGTCAGTTCAAAGGTTAGGAGAGGAGGTTTCTTGTCTGGTTCTTTGACTCACAATAAGTGTCTGTTCAGAGGAAATAACCTATTTCACACAGCTATTTTTCCTTGTAGATATATGTATGCATGACCGAACCATCTCAATCAATCACCTCAACAATCTAATCGCATGTCCAGTAATATTAGTATCGCATTGAGGTGCATGACATGGGTAAAACTCTGCATTAAAGATGTGCGATATCAGAAAATGTGAGGCATTTTCAGCAGAAGCCAACATGACTTGTCACGGCAGGAAAAGGGCGGATGTTGTTTATAACATTACTCTCTTGTATTAGTGTCCCTGACAGCATGGAAACATGCACATTATCAAGCCACTGAAACTGATGCAGATAAATGGAAACCAGCCACCATTAATTCTAATATTAAACCTGAGCTGTTGGGGCTTGTGTAAAATGGTTATGCAAAAACAGGCAGATGTGGAGCACTGGCCTGCAGGAAATAACTTCTGTAAGCCCAATAAGATTGTCTAATATCACAGTTTGATGAGATCTGTAAACAAAGATTGAAGCATGCTTATTTGCTGGAGTTCCTCGAACCGGTGTCACACCAATTCTCATGGCAGGTCAGATATAGTGATCGAATGAAGGCTCAAGTTTTCTAAGCATTCTTGTATTCTATCTTGTTGCATGTCCCTCTTGTATCCAAATCACAGAAAAGCTGCAGTGTTAATCACATGGATTTCATCAACCACAGTCACCATATCTCCCTCACTCTTTTACCCTTACTCGGCTATTGTGCCAATTAGTTAGTTGAATTTCCCTCTGGGATAAATAACATATTCTGATTCTGATTGAATAATGACCGGTTGAGTCCTCGTCTGAGTTACTGAATGGGTTTTAATGCCTTGCCCTTAAATTCAAGGTTTCATCCAATTCATGTTTATTGTCAATACAGACAGCATGTAAATGATGTGTTTTTTTTGACTGACACAAACTGAACTGAGAGTCAACGTTTGACACCCAGTGTAGTGATGCTTAATTGTAATCAAGAGAGAGTCAAATAAATAAATAAAAAAGCTGCTTTGCTTTTAATGGACGAAATAGCAAAGCTTAGTTCCTCTTCCAGATTATCACTGTTTTAGCTGCTGAAGATTTGTTGTTGACTGCCGGTCAGTGTTTCCTGAGGGTAAAGCAGAGGAAGTCTGTGTTGGCCTCATTACAGGTTTGTTTTGATGGGGATTGGCACTCACAAAATCAAAACCTTGAAAATAATTTTTAGTGCAGATTTTCAGGCCTGAGACTTTGCCAGCACAGATATGAGTCATGATTGTACTAAAATCAATGTGCCAGAAGCACTGTGATGGATAGGGATAGATGCTTCTTAAACATTGGCACTCCTGATCATTTATTATCTTTGACAGAGTCCAATAGTCCAAGCTCATCATCTTTAAGTCCCTGTGCGAAATCAGTCAGCAAGATTTGAAATCGTCCTAAAGCTTCAACTTCAACATATCTCTCTCACTTTCTGCTCTTTCTGTCCTTTCATCTCCTTTCCTCCAGGCACAGCAGGTTGAGCTCGAGGCTCTAAGGATGCTTCAGAGGATCCATGCCTGACCCAAAGACTACAGCTAGAGAGGAGTACGTTGCCTGAGCAGAATGACTCAGCAAGAGGGGGGACCCCCAAATAGCAAGTGAAGAGAAGTGAGGATGGGTGCCAATGGATCCAGTTATCCACACTCATGCTCCCCACGCATTGGGGGAAATGCTCAGGCACAGCAAACTTTTATAGGTTTGTATTTTTCTTTTTTTAATCCAGGGTTGATTAATAGTGTCATAAGAGTTTGTCTGTATTTTTAGATATCAAAAAAAACTGTTTCTGTCGGGGGTTGAATGTAAAATATGAGTTCTCTCTCAAACTGAAGTGAAGTGGTGAAACAGCACTCTTGAACCCAAACTGGTACCGTACTGTACAATTCAGCTCTACAACAAATCACACAGTGGAGGTCTAGATTTGCCACACCTCCTGTATAACCCTACTTTAACCTGCTTCCACAACAACTGGTAGTGCAAAGGGTGAATGTTTTTGTGCGAGAGGGCTCTTGAACTGTGTCATTGACTCAAAAAATGGATCCAAATGCATTGAAAACCAGTGCACCTGCTCCTGCCTGCCATATACATGTTATACCATGTTATACCATATACTTATATGTGAAGACATAAGTGCCTATGGGATTTAGGAAACTGTGTCTACCTTCTCCTGTAGAATCCTTGCAGTCTTGTATTTCTCAGCTTTATTGTTGTCACCATGTAGTTGTGTTGTGATGTTATTAGGATTAGGCTGCTGGCTATCAGGCAGGATGCGAGCTAATCTGGTGTCATGATTTCTGTCCTTGTTTCCTGCTACAGGCTGTTTATTGGAGTGTTACAATTTCTTACTGAATGCTACAACAGCTACAGTCAGAGACCTTTTAGCTTGTGTTTCAGTCTCAGCAGTGTTGATGTTAGTTTAGGTGAATGTTGCCCAACTATTGCAAGGTTATCTGTGGCTGCCTGTTAGTTTGTGCCTGCTTGCAGTAAAATGAGTCTAAAAATACGGGTTATGTTAATTTGTGTGGGCTGAGGCATACGAGGTGACACTGTTTGCTTATGTTTATGCAGTCTTAATGGTTGTTAGAGATAAATGTGTGTCATAGGAAATGTTTGGAGTTTTTTTGATATCCCTAAATTATCAACCGTCGAAGTCTCTGTGGTTTGTGCTTCTTAAAGAAGCCCTCATTTCCATGGGTTTGGGGAACTGTTCCAGACATCAAACCAACTAAATTTGTCCTCAGAAGAAATCACTTTTTATTTCACTTTCGAAATGACATTGCCTTTGAGCTTTTTGTAGAGTTAATCCTTCAAGTTCAAGTATTGTTAAAGAGGACAAATTACCCATGTGTTTACTGAGACTGCTGAGGTTTCTTCTCAGCCCTGTAGGTGCTTGGTTGCTTGGCTCGGGCTGCTGATGATTCAGTGTTAGAATGATTACTATTTGGGTCACAGTGATGGATGCTGAGAGAAGGGCGGGCAGAGAGGATCGCCTTGGCAGGGCTTCCTTTGACGTGCGAGTCCTGTCTCTCAAGCCAATGATAACAGCTATTTACCGTAATTGATTGGGCCAGAGTATGCGAATGAAGTAAAGTTCATTGAGAAGTACAAGGCAGAACATTGGTTCATAATCTGAGATGAAGCATAGTTTGGTCTACATCTAATCGTAATGAAGGACTTCTGTCTGTTTTTCTTTTTTTTACTGTTGAACGGGATCCAAATGCTTTGGTAGCTGGGTCAGGGTAGTGTGTGCTCGGCTTGACACACCACAGGAGTGCAAGGGACAGATTGTGTTTCTAACAGTCTGCAATCAAGAACAAACTGGTTTTCAGGTTATAAAGGGAATGACCCTTTTCACATATGGCCAGTTTAAGGCGAGAGTTCAACCTTGTTATGCTGCTTAAAAATTTCATACAAGAACAGAGGAGTGGACTGTTGTTTCACCATATATTCACCAATTAAAGAGAAACATCAAACCTGGGTCAAATCAGGTTCTACAAATTAGAGAGCCCGCGGGAAGGCAGAGCTGTATGGGGCTGTTTAAATGCAATGCTGCAGAGTCCCTGAGCTGAAGAGCAATGTAATACTTGTTTAGGGAAAAAATACATTTGCAGTTTAATAATATGGAGTACTTTCTTCATTAAATACCTGAAGGAATAATGTAAATTTATCAAGGAATTTATTTTGTGTTTATTTTCTGTGAAGAAGTGCATGTTCAAAACAGTCAAAATATCTCAGAAAGTTCATCTGCATTGTGTGTTATTTTCCAGGGACATCATCCTATTCTCAGCAGGGATATGGCTGGGAGTCCAAGCTGTACAGCCTGGAGCATGGCCATGAGCGGCCCACAGACAGGAAGAAGAAGAGCCTCGGACTGGCGACCCTCAAAAGAAGATTCATCAAAAGGAGGAAGTCCAGCCGCTCAGCAGATCATGCGCGGCAGATGCGGGAGCTTTTATCAGGGTGGGACGTCCGTGACACAAACGCCCTGGTGGAGGAGTACGAGGGCACAGCAGCCCTCAAGGAGCTGAGCTTCCAGGCCAGCCTGGCACGTGCTGAGGCACCCAGCTTGGCACGGGATCTGGCTGCACTCTACCAGCATAAGTACTGCACTGATGTGGACCTCATTTTCCTGGGTACCTGCTTCCCGGCTCACCGGGCCATTCTGGCTGCCCGCTGCCCATTTTTCAAGACTCTTCTGTCCTCATCGCCTGGCTTTGGGGCCGAGGTTCTCATGGACATTGAGACAGCAGGCATCGATGTGCCCATGTTCTCTGCCTTGCTTCACTACCTTTACACTGGGGAGTTTGGGGTGGGTGGAGCAGAGGACAGCAGGCTGCAAAATGTGGATGTACTTGTGCAACTCAGTGAAGAGTTCGGTACTCCCAACTCCCTGGAGGCCGACATGAAGGGCTTGTTTGACTTCATGTGTTACTACGATGCTCTGCTCAGCTTCTCCTCAGACTCTGAGATGATAGAGAGCTGCAATGAGCGAGGAGCTGTGGCTGCAGCACCAACAGGGAGCTCAGGAGGCAGTGGTGTCCCTGGGACCCCAGATGAGGACCTCAGGGCTCACAAAGCTATCCTCTCAGCACGTTCTCCTTTCTTTAGGAACCTTTTGCAGAGGCGCATTCGCACAGGAGAGGAAATGACCGAGCGGACATTGCAGACACCCACCCGCATAGTTTTGGATGAGTCCATCATCCCACGGAAATATGTACAGGTTATTCTCCACTGCATGTACACAGATGTGGTCGAGCTTGGGCTGGTGCTGCGGGGAAGCCCCTCAGCCGGCAGCCTTGGCGAGGTGCAAGCCTTGGTGTCTGGGGGTCGTGGAGCAAGCACACGAACAGAGGAGGCCATGGAGCTGTACCACATTGCTCTGTTCTTGGAGTTCAGTATGTTGGCTCAAGGTAGGTCAGAAATGAACATGTTTGTTAAGAGCACATAAACATTAAAGGATTAGTATGTAAAAAAAAAAAAAAAGATGATGGTGTATAGCTGCGCAAACCAGAATGAAAACATGCCATCAGATTGACCCTGGTCCATAAATGTGTTGATACTTTTTAAAACTCCCACCCTCAGGATGATTTTTCTTTATTTTCATTTTTCTATTACATCAAAACAAGAACTTGAATCATAAATGAATACAGTGTGAAGATTGAAGGCCTCGTTCATGCTTCTGCCTCAGTTCAATTTGGTTGTATCTCTTAACAACATGTCCTCCGCTTAAGTCTGAAAACTAAATGTCATTTTTTTATTTTGATTACCTCTGCAATTGATATCAAAGTTAATTTGTCAAGCTGGATTCAGGATTAAGTGCTTCTCTCTGTGGACTTTCTATATAGCTCAGATTTTGTTGTATTTGGCTGGAGTTTTTAATTATTTTATGCCGGTGATGGACTCCGGTCAGCATTTATCTTTGTCTCCACTCATTTATATAATGTGTTTCAGACATGCCCATAGTAATCACCACTATCTCCTTATGACTAGAATATGCATATGTGAAATATGGCTGCAGAGCTGAGCCGAGTGTAAAACAGATTGGCTTACTGAATGATGCGAGGGCTGCAGCTGCCAGTAACAGACGTTATAGGCTGCAGTCTTTGTCTATCTGCAGTGGCGGACGCTTTACTATCTGATATGAAGTCAACTTCTGTTTACAACTCGTCACTGCGTGTCTACTCTCCTACTGGTCTATATTTACGTGGATGTCTCAATGACTCTTGCCACTTTATCAGAATGACCCCAGTAACATGCCAAACATCGCAGTCATGCTTTGACCTCTCAAGTCCTTCTCTCTTCTTCCAGAGTGGCGTGCCTTAGCTCTGTCCAGTTTCCAAAACCCTTAAACAAAGGCTCCTCTTCAGTCTGAATGACCTTTGTAGTGTGCAGTATGTGAAGCAGTCCGTTTCAGATGCACATAAAAACAAGATCATTCGGCCAGCCTATAGTGACAGTGGGAATACAGTTAAGGCTGAATGACTCATGCTGTAAGCTTATGTTTCATAAACCCACATGATCTTAATCAGTTTTTGAAATATTAATTCACAATATGAGACACATTGAAAGACTTAGTTTTACTGTGTCAACCATAAAGTGAATTTATCTATAGTCACATAACTTCTGGCTTACAACACAAAATGAAAATAATTCTTATGACGTTAAAAGTCAATTTAGTTTGTTGTGACTCGAAAACCTCAGTCGGCGTTTGAAGATACAGCCAATGAGTTTTATTGGAACAGAACACAGTAAGCCTCTCTGTCTGTGTCACTAAAACACAGACTTTATTAAATTTATTCATTGCTTTTACTATAAAGGTCAACAACAAGCAGGTATTGTGGCGTTTGTGTAATCTTAAACTGCAGCACAGTTACAAATTTACCACACCATGCAAATCTGAAAATGTATCCAGAGGGGAAGCTGTATGCAAAACAAATCGTGGACACAGTTCACTCTGCAGTAGCGGAAATGTTTGGATATAAAATCCTTTCAGACCACAGGATTAGTTGTGGGCAGCTGCTAAAATGACTGTATTGACTTATGAGCAAAGAATCAACCACCATTTTAAGACTTGCAGGGATCTGAATAGCACTGTACACTAACACCACAGACACAGCTGGTTAGACACCACCTCCCACCCTCCAGCTCTGGTGTCACTCCCAGGGTCACTCTGGCAGCCTAAGCCGACAAGCAGGCAAATAGTGTCATCCCCACACACCATCACCTCCTCTTCCTTCCCATCCCCCTCTCGACAAGCAAGCCCCTACTTGAGGGTATTTTTATCCCCTCTCTTCCCTCTCCCACTGTGCGGCGCAGCTCTAATCAGTTCCCATGAAACCTCATTGTGGAATGTGGTGAGATGGTTGAGGTTGACCCGGTGTCATTTTATCCAAGTCCCGTCTCTTCGTCTATTTCAGAACTTTTTATTTCTTTTTCTGAACAATTGTATTTATTTATTTTTCCCTTTTTAAACATTAAAATCAATCAATTCTTTCCCACCTCCAATGTTCTACCAGCATAGTTAATTATCAAGTTGGAAATTTGAGTTCATTTCATTGCAGGAGACTTCAGAACCTGCCACGTCTCTTTTGGAGGCAGCAAAGAGGCTTATATTAGGGGTTTCATATGAAGATAACCCCCTCATCCGTCACACTATCTTCCCCTTGTGCTCCTCCTCTGCTCCCCCCTCTAGATGAAGTTTTGTCCCGTGGAGGTTTTCGTGGAGCGTCTGAGCTCTCTGTCATTTCCCCCCCTGCTTAATTCTCAAGATGTGTTTCCCTTTATGACTCCATCTCACTCAAATAGCGGCCAATATTAAAAGCCTTATTAATTTCAAGTGCACCACAGAGATGATAGCCAGCTGGTGTGGTTTCAGCGTCGGCACTGTAGTACTTCCTCTTCCTCCATGCTTTCTGACTGACCATAGCTCTCGTTTGTGTTTGGAGTGTGTTGACTGAAGTCTTTGAGACATAATTTACATCCATAGCCTTGTTTACAGGCCATTGAGTGCAGCTGATGTTTTAAGTGGCTGTAGAGACTGCGCGCTCCATAAACAACTGAGATCCAAATAATAACAGCGGGACAAAATGCATATGTCGTACAAAGGTAGTAGAATGTGGAGCTGGCGGTTGGCGTCTTTGCTGGTGTGTTGATATTCTTGTCAGTCAGCTAAGCCCCAGTGAATGTGGTATACCACCCGTGGAGAGAAGAGTAGGGGGTTCATATTAGATATAATGCTGATTCTAATCTGCAGCTCATAATAAAGTGCTGTGTTCAAAAAGACTGGCTGTTGCTGTGAATTCTAATGGGCCAGCAGAGCAGAGCAGAGCGGCTTTCCTGTGCCACTGGTCCCAAGTGGGGACTTGTCTGCCTTTGAGCATGTGTGCCTGTGTGTCTGCTTTTCAAGAGGGGGCAAAGATCCAAAGGTGATGAACTGACAGGAGCAAAAGGACTTTCTAAGAAAACAGACAGCACAGGGACTGGTGGTGTAAGCTGAGGCACACACGTCGAGAATCTATTCCCTCATTTTGTGTGTTTATGGCAGACAAAACAGGCAAAGAGCCTGGGTCAATATTTCAACTTCAGCTGTCTACTTAACCATGCAGGACGCCCACCCCCTGGTTAATATGCTGCAAGTGTCTGTCTCTCATATCTGCTTCTTGCAATTTAAGATGCCTGAAAGGTACGGTGCATCATAACCGTGAGCAAATACGCATATATGTGTGTGTGTGTATGTGCATTTATGTGATAGCTTAAATAACCATATTTTGTGTGCTGCACTCAGATAATATGAGGCTTCAGATTCAAAAGCATCTCTGTAGCCATCTCTTAAGTCTGGTGTCCAGTGTCCCATAGAGGACGTTCAAAGTGGTGGTTTTGGGGTGGAGAGGAAGCTTGGATCTTTTACTTTTAAGATAAGAGTCTCCCAGAGGAGTGTTGCTTCTGGTCCAGCTTATGAGCTGATGGACAGGACGTCCTGCAATGAGGAAGTTGGCAAGCTTAAGTTTCAGTTTAGAGCACCTCTCTCTGGATGTCAGTTCGTCTGGCTTTATCTCTGTGGATGTACGACTTTGCTTTGTTAAGAGTTTTGGATTGAAAGCAAGAGTGAATGTTAAGAGTGTTTAAATGTGCATCAGTGGATCCCTCCAAGAGTGAGTTTATGTTTGAGAGCCAGCGTTGGTGGAATTTTCAAACTTTTTAAAAGCAGCGTGTTCATTATTCCCTCGGCTTTCTGTGGCTCCTTTCAATGAATTTCTGATTTATGCACATAATTGTGTACACGTTTGGGAAATGTAATGTGTGCTTGTGCACTGGGAGCACATTTCCTCCGGCTGCTGTGTTTACACATCATGGTTAAGAAGAGGCAGCCTGAAACTGAAACACATCAAGGTATCAAAGACATTTCTGTGGGTTGGTGTGTTACAGAGTTAAACCACTGCCTGCTGTTCTGGTATGTGCTCTGATTTAGGAAACGCAGCAAGGAGGATGTGGGGGCTACAAGAGGTAGACTCTCTGGGTCAGTGAATACAAGTCAAAACCACTGACGCTCTGGCGGCGCTGACAGAATTACCTCTTGTATTCACTCCGTTTAGTTCATTTTATTGCATTTCTTGAAGCCTTTGTTAAGTGTGATAATGCTCGGCCTAATAACTGCGCTCGTTTGTACACATGGTCCATTTGTGCTCATGAAAGGATAAAACAGAATTTCATATGTTGATTGTTTGTCGCATCTTCACAGGGTGTGAAGACATCATCGTGGAAAGCCTGTCTCTGGACTCACTCGTCCCTATCCTGAAGTGGAGCTCCCAGCCGTACGGCTCAAAGTGGGTCCACAGGCAGGCCATGCACTTCCTCTGCGAGGAGTTCAGTCAGGTTGTCACCTCAAATGTTCTCTACGAGCTCAGCAAGGAGCACCTTCTCAGCGCAATTCAGTCTGACTACCTACAGGTGAGGAACTTTACCTGTCAGTCTGTTGTCGCTCTGAACGACACCCCACCATGTAAAAGAGTCATTTTCCCAGTGGGGTTTCAGCAGTGCCTGCCTGACTTTCTCTAAGCGGTTTCTTGGTGGAAACCCAGTTTTCACATATACACAGTTGCATTGATATGACATCCGCATACATGCATGTCTCCAACACTCAGGGTCTCTAGAGAGAGTAAAATCACTCCCTGAGGGGACATGTTTTCAAATCCAGAATCAAATCAGAGTTCATCTGTCATCCGCACTGTCATGCTACATGGGTGTGAAAGCAGATGTTCAAAGTGAAATGTTGTAATTGAACTATTGAAACAAACAAACAACCCTGGCCTGATTTGCTAAGACACCCCTGGGATATTTTTAATTCTCACCTTATCTCTCTTTAATAGCTGCCCTCGTGTTGTTCCAGACAATATTCGACCTTGTCCTAGAAATAATTTAGTGTCACTCTCCCTCCCTGTCCTATTTCTCTCTCTGTGGTTTCTCTTTCTGTGTCTCTCTGCCCTGGTCTCATTCACAGGCGAGCGAGCAGGACATTCTCAAGTATGTTGTTAAGTGGGGCGAGCAGCAGCTTATTAAGAGGATGGCAGACAGGGGTAAGATAATACACTCTATAATCACCCTTTGAGCAGCCCCCCTAATGGCCCTGAGGAAATTAGCCACTCATCCAGCACCTCCAAAATACATCTGAAAGCATGATAGGACTGACCATGACGTTGTTTTCTGACCTTTTAGGAAATGGTCTCGTGTAAGGTTTAAGGTCAAGGTTATTAGTCCTCATATGTTGAGGGCAAGGGCCCTACATCAGGAGGGGTAACAAAACTGGGAGCAATGCAGTATTTATCTTTAATGCATTCAACTGAACTTGCAAGGGAAATCTTTAAAATAGCCAACAGGGTTGAATTAAAAGCATTTAAAGCATAATCAAGCAATCATAAACAGTCATGGAAATATGCATGATGTTAAAACACTGCTAATGGCCGTTCCTGTCCTCATTTAACCAGAGCCGAACTTGTTGAGCGGCACAGCCCACAGCGTCAACAAGAGGGGAGTGAAGAGGAGAGACCTGGATGTAGAAGAATTAAAGGAGATCCTGTCTCCCCTTCTGCCCTACATCCGAACTGAGCACATCTTACCCCCTAACAGTGACGTCCTCTCTGACGCAGTCAGTACTCTCTGTCCTGTGTGTCTGTGTTTGAGTTTGATACCCAAAAATGTAATACTGATCATTATTTTTCACTATGTTCGCAGCTAAAAAGGGGTTTAATAAGCACCCCTCCTTCAGATATGCTGCCCACTGCTGAGGGAGGAAAAGCAAATGCCTGGTTACGGCAGAAGAACGCTGGCATCTATGTTCGTCCCCGCCTCTTCTCTCCTTATGTGGAGGAGGCGAAGGTACGGCTCGCACGCTTGATTGATGGAGCTTCTAAACTGAGAAAGGAACTGTCGATAATTTATTAAGCTATCATCAGAGAGAGTGGAGATTCTGTAGAGAGGACAGACTAACCTTTCAAAGCTTTGTGGAAAATTTGTGGACCTGCTCATAACTTCAATATGCAAAAAAAAAAAAAAAATCATGCATAGTTGTTGTGAGGTATATTCTCCATTTTTAATAGCTTGACTGAAATTCAATTTATGCCCATTTGCACACTTTTCCCTGATAAGTTACAGGCCTAACTAGGGTCATGAATATTTATAAATCTATCCCGACACCAGAGAGAATCATTATTAGAGGAAGTGTCAATCAAGTGGTACTTATTTGCAAATCCTCTGTGTCCTTGAGTTCCATGTACGCCTTTTATTTTGTTGAAATTTTGCTCTCTCTCCTCCACCTGTCTGTAGTCTGTGCTAGACGAAATGATGGTGGAACAGACAGACCTGGTGCGTTTGCGATTAGTGCGCATGTCCAATGTCCCGGACACACTCTACATGGTGAACAACGCAGTGCCACAGTGCTGTCACATGATCAGTCACCAGCAAATGGCGAGCGCCACAAACACTGCTCCATCTGTTGTGGCCAATGAAATCCCAGGTTAGAAAACTTCTCAGTGACAAAAGTATGCTACAAAAAAGCGTTGGCCATGGTGGCAAATAAAAACAATGGAATCAATGAATAATCAATATTATTTTTATCTTAATACCGTGTTCATCTTTTAGTGCCTCAGCTGCCCGTGGTGAAGGAGATGATCCGAAGGCTACAGGAACTCAGACATTCAGAGCAGGTCCAGAGAGCTTACGCCCTTAACTGTGGGGAAGGAGCCACTGTCAGCTATGAGCTCCAGCTGCGGGTGCTGAGGGAGTTTGGTCTGGCGGATGGAGCCACAGAGCTGTTGCAGGTGAGTAAGAAGCAGAGAGTTTGTCCTTAGAGGTTTGAGGAGACTGAGATGATGAGGGCTGCGCTACCTCAGTTAGACCTCAGTTTGACGTCAGTTATGCAGCAGCCACAGACAAAACATTTCAAACCCTAAGAATAGGTTTTGCTTTGTCATCACCACGATAAAGATACATTTCTTTACTTCCTGTAATTTTTCAGAACCCGTACAAGTTCTTTCCCGATGAGCGGTTTGGAGACGAGAGTCCGATTCTGGCTCTGCGTCAGGTGGGTCGGTGTCGGGTAAACAGCAGCCCAGCCATGGATAGCATGTTCACAGAGCTGGAAGGAGTAGCAGGCTTCCACCCTCCCCTCCCTCCCCCACCTCCACCCTACCACCCCCCTGCCACACCCAGCCACGCTCAGCTCAAGGGCGCATGGCGACCTCGTGTGCCCATGCCTACCCCCACCCGCTCCTTCTCCTACCCTTGCAACCGCACCCTGATCCAGCGCCATGCAGCCTCCAAGCATGGCAGCTCAGACTACTCCTCTGTGCCCCGGCCTCAGCCCCCAGACTGCACCAACCCGCAGGCTATGGGCCGAGCTTTGCTTTCAGACAGGCAAGCGGTGAGTGTGTGTGCTACTTCCTGTTACTTCCTTGTGCTACAGTTCAGTCTTTTCAAAAGTGGCTGCTTGGTTTGTGTCTGGGATCAGGAGCAGCTCCATAGCAAAGGTAAAGTGACACATGTCCTGTCATTTTTTCAATGCAGATGACCATGGAGCCTGTGATGAGGGAGTTCATGCCTGACATTGCACTGGGTGTCTCGGTCATGTCCCTAAGGGAGCAGCACATGGCAGAGATGGACAGGGAGAGCCCTCACAGCCCAATGGGCCCCTCAGGCCACCATCTGCCCCATGGGCCCTGCCCCTCCGCCCGCCTCAGCCACAGCCACGGTCCTGGACATGGCCACTCTTGCAAAAGACACGCACCTGAACCGAAGCTAGAGGCTCAAGCTGAGTTCCCTGACCTGTACGACTTCACCTGCCGCCCTGCAACCCCAACCTCCTCTCACCCTCTGCCCCCTTTTGTAGGACCAGACCTCTACAGCCACAGCTGCTCCCCCTCCAGCGCTTACCCACCCCCTTACATGTCTGACTCTCAGTCCCAGGGACCCCCGCAGGGAAGGACTGCTACAGACCCTCTGCGTCTGGACGTCCTCAGTATGACCTCTCAGAGGCATGACGGAGTCCTCGCCAGCCCGTCTGGAGCCCAGCCGAGGATGGGACACATCCAGAGGGGGCGATCAAACGAGACTGACCTGACTCATGGTTTAGGCCACTTACGGTCTCCCAGCGGGAACACAGACAGCTACGAGGACAGGCACACAGGATCAAGAGACGCTCCTGAGGACATGGTTCTATCAGGAGAATCATCAGGCCTCCAGCAGCCTCACAGGAACAGTGTCAGTGAGGAGATCACCAGAGACCGCAGGTCGCCCAGCAAGCCTGACTACCCTTATAAGAAATCTGCACTTTAACCCCGCCCAAGGACCAGGGGTTGAGTTAAGAAAAGGGAAAGTGTGACAAGAAGCTGTCCATCTGAGTGGACGGCACAGCACTAAATGTGTGCCTGCGTTTGTGTGTGTGTGTGAGGGGCAAGGAATCGGGGTGGTCGATGGTTACTATTTATAGGTTCTGTCCTTTTGTCCTACCTCTATCACACTGTGCTATCCATCACACAGTCAGGGCGAGGAAAGAGTGAGAGCTGTAGGTTAATTGTTGACGCCTGTAATTGATCTCTGCAAGGCCCGCATTGTCCTGCTGCTTTAGAGGATGACTCAGGCTCTGCTAGGATTGATTGTTTGATTGTAAAGAGCGAGGTTAGCTCCATGCTGTGTGAATCCTGCACGCAGAGGTCACAACACTAAATGTAGCTCGGATATTAAAGACTCTATTCAAAGGTTCCCTTGTCTTTGGATTGTTTTCAGCGTAGAATGGAGAGATGACAGGAGAGAAATCTCACGTTACTCAAGCTAACAATGGTATTCAGCCTGGGGAACAGCGTTGTGATAAAATCTTATGTAAATTCATCTTTCTGTTTCTTTCTGTAGCATGCCTATAGCAAGCAACCCATCTGACTAGTCTCCCTACTTGTGCTGTGGATCTGCAGCACTGATGACTAATGGGCCAAGTCTTTGTCACATAAAGCAGGAATTGGATCTAATGGGAAGTAGGTCATCAGTGCTTGTCATTCTCCTGTTACCCATTCTGATTATTGTGTTGGGCTTCAACTATTACAACCTTTTGAGAGTCTATCTTACAAGCAGGAGTCTGCAGTTTTCAGATAGTAAAAGGGGAGGGACAGGACAATCTGGTTCATTACAGGGATACAGTGGAAAATAAAGGGGTGACATGGCAACTGATCCACAGTGACCGAGTGCTGGGCAGTGGTTGTTTTTACAGCTGGAACAGGTTTGTGTACCTGTGTGTTTGTGAGTGGGGATAACTTCACAGGTGTTTAGACAATCTCAGTACTGTACACTCTCATCTTTAGTCAGGTCTGTTTGTACATATCAGCAAGTCTTTGGCACAGAGCGCAGCAGTCAGCGTGCTAGAGCTCCTTCTTGTTCTGTTTAATCCAATAGCATCAAGTAATCAAATCTAGAGCCTTAATCAGCGCTTGTAATATTCAGTTTTAGCTACCTTTTATTCAATTAAGTATGATGTCATTATATTGCAAACCCCTCTTAATTGCTTGTTTGACTGTTCTGCTCACAATGGACTCATTCACTGTAGTTTTTTCAGTAAAAGGAGGATGTCATTCAATCCAAATGCTAAAACCATGTATATACTTTTAGGCCCACATCTCTGCACCTCATGAGGATTTGTGGACATGCACAGCCAGTGTTGATACTGTTAAATATACTATAATGAACTGTATCAGCTGTAGCTCAAGAGTACACACGTAAAGCCTGTCACAGCCAGCAGTTGGCACACAACCTCACATACGAGTAACATTGCACTGTCGGAGCCGCAGGTCTAAAAGCTGAAGGGAAAAAGGAACAAATAAATCTCGAACAAAAAAAAAATCTTTTTTTGAAGAAAAGTTGGCGATTGCTGGCTCATATCTCCAATGGAAATTGTATATAATGAATTGAGTTCCACATGAATTTCTGATCAATTTTTTAATGGTTTCTATCACCTTTTAGTGGATGTTGAAGGTTTGTGTTTTTACTGTAGTGGACAACACTGTGTACGCGTCTTTGTCATGAGGTCTCACTAAGAATGTGTGGTATAAAACAATTGTGTCGCAGAATCTATTTTGTTCCTAAGTGTTATGCATTAAGGCAGTTCGTTCAATGTTGTAGCTGGTGTGGAGTACCATGTTAGTGGAGATGTTTTTCCCCCCTCTTCTCCTTGTACTTTAAAGTAGCAGGAATATGTTGAGGATCTGAAGACATTAACTCTCATCCTAGCAGTGATGAAGTTGCCAAGCAGAAAAATCATTTTTCCATCTAGGTTGCTTCATGGGGAAAAAATGCAAAAACTCCAGATTCCTCCCCATGTTCATGTTGGTTAGTTGTTATATTTTCCAGGACAATGTTCCACTGAATAAAAGCCCTTGTTTTGCTCTTTGCTGTAGAGAAGTCAGTGCCTTCCTCCGCCTGCGGCTGGGCTTTTATTGGAGAAGTGACTTTGATGTCTATGCAAGCTCTTTTCTACCAGCTTACCAGCCTGCATCAAGAAAAAAAAAAAGTTGTTTGAAATCTCATGTAGCCTGTTCTGTGTACAGTGTTGTTTGGCACCTTTTAAAATGGAACCATCTGAAATGTGTGATTGCTTGTGTTGAATTCTAACAGGTACCTTGTACTTGTATAGTATCATAGAAAACATGTTTGTAGATTGATATTACGTTGCATTTAGTTTCACTGAATCTATTTTTCTACTGTCGCCTCAAAAGGTGCATTACAGTGGTCAACTTGGGCATCCTCAGAATAAACTGGTTTGATATTATGGAACTATTTGATCTCTGATTTTTGCTCCAGAAACTTTTTATTTTGAAGTTTCAAATCACATAAAAATGACAATTTCTTCTCATCACTTTTACAGACACATTTCTCAGTGGGTTGCTAACAGTAAGCTCTCCCTTCAGTTTTACCGCATCAGCATTTAGTATTGTCAAAATGAAGCACTGAACATGTTCACACTGCAGCATTGTGTTATTGTAAAGCACTGTTGTAACAAAATAACAAGGCAGTTTAAAAAAGCATAAAGTGCCGAATTTCATTTAGTTCATCAACATTTCAAGTTTAACTTCACAATGAGCTTTAAAGTTAGGGAAACTTTAGGGTCATAAAACAGGCATGGGACCCTCACAAAGCTCACAATCCTTCACCCAAAGCATAACAAAATACAACAACTGCATGTCGGTAGTAGCTGCAGAAATTCTTTAGGCATTGGGATCACATAGTTTTCAGCATGTTGGCCTTTTTATTCAGCAGAGTGAAGAGGCTCTCGTCCAAGTTGCACATTCATTTGAGCACCGTATGATGAGGTGATATGATAGCAGCATGACCACCCTGTTTACTGGTATCCTGCATTAGTTCTGCGTCTTTTTCTGGCTCGCAGTTCTTCAAAAAACTCATGAACAGCTTCCACTGTGACCGTCTGGTGGATAAGGGGAAAAAAGGTTCAGATTTGAGGTTGGGAGAATGCACACAAACAACACTTCACAGTCCTCCAAACATGTATGCTGATGATATTAGCGCACATTTGTCATGTGTAGTGAAACTGTCACGACTTCTGGGTAAATAAATAGAAACCAAGGATCAAATAGCTTTTTATAAGTTTAATTCATGTCACTTTCTTACCTTTCCTTCAGTAGCACACTGATCTAAAAATGCTGTGATGGAAGTTGTCAGCTCATTGAAACCTGAGGGAAGGACACGTGAATAATTAGTCTCAATCAATCCCCTCGCCCATAAATTCCTCTTTACAGCCCGCATCCTCCCCCTGCTCACCGTAAATGACCTCCAGCTGCTGCGCACGGTCCATCGAGCTTGTCAGCGCCATCAGCGGGTGCTGCCCAAACGGCTCTTCCATGCCCCTGTTCTCATAGGCCAGAATGGTGTCAGACTGATCCATTAGGAACTGCACATCTGCGGCCACATACGCTCTCTACAAATCACATACATGAGACATAAGTTAGTACAGGGAAGCTACATTCTGCAGACATTTTTACAAGAACTAGGATCACATGTTGAGCAAGCATCAGCTGGTTTGGGTCCTTGTACAAATAATAAATTAAATTCTGCTCATGTTTACCTTGCAGTCTGTGCAGGTGCAGAGTTTGGAGCGCCAACTGTATGGCCAGAACACTGCTCCCTGTCTGGCCCTCTCTAGTCCCTGAACCTGCAGCTCCTTCAGGCCACAGGCCACAGTCTTAGTTATGCCAGTCATTTCATCACGAGGCCGCTTGCAAGGGGGAGTCCTGTTTGCAGCATCCTACAAAACAAAACACAAAAAAATGGGGTGATGAAAGCACCTTCACTTTCTAAACTATCTTTGCACAGCATTGCAAACTTATCAGGGGAAGTCTCAGGGCGACTAAGATGATGAGATGATTGGGTGATGAAAATCGCCAGTTTACAGTAAGCTGTCCTGTGAAGCCTCGCCAAAGCTGTCTACAGAAGCAGGGGAAGCTGTGCCTCATGGGTCATTTCTCCTCTAATTACCCAGAGGGGGGGGCAAGTTAACAGGGGCTGAGGCCCACTCTGTAAGCTGCTCAGTGCACTCCGGCTCCATCTTGTGGCAACAAACAAAAATTTGCAGCATAACTACAAATAGGAGACTAACAATCAGTAAAATATGTCAGGGTTTAAGAGCAAGGTAAACTGCCTTATTTTTAAAAGAATTAAAGCAAAGCACTCCCAAGAAAATTATACTTCTGTAATATGTTTAGTGAAATGGTAAAATACAAAGATTCAGTCAAGATTTTCTGAAGTCCAAATTACATGTTGTCTTTTACTTTAATAAATCCAGAGAGTTCAAAAGAAAAATAAAGCCGAACATATGTTTGTAAAAGTAAAAGAAAACAAGTATTTTTGATTCTTCTATTATCTTTTGCACATGCTCAGTTTCGTTGAACTTGTTGACCCTTAATGCATTTGTTTTAGATGGGAGTTAGTTTTGAGAAACGTTACATTGTCAATGCATAATACTGTTCTAATAATAGTGTTCTCCTGTTTTCTGACTCTTATCATATAACTGCTTCATTTTCCTGTTCAAGTGAATTCACCAGCCATTTACTTAGGCAGGATTTAAATACAAGTCAGTGTCTGTGCAGATTTGGTTTTCAAGTTTATTCTTTAACAACTATCTGTTTTCATTCTGAAGCAAATGCCCCTCACAAACACTGAAACAGAAGCAGAGGTTCTCACTGTGCCTCACCTGCTGCTTTGTATGCTTGGCACTTGTGGACGGCTCCTCCTCCCCACTTTGTCTAGACTCTTTTTCGACAACTCCTTCCACATCCACTTCTACCCCCTCCTCCTCCTCAGGATGATGAATACTAACCACAGGAGGTACTAAAAGCCAAATGGAAAATATTAGCTGTCTGGATTTGTTTGTTAGATTTTGAAACACATAGGTGGGTTTGCTTTAAGATGCAGCTTAAGATAACTAGCTACCTGCAAAGTGAGCAGCATACGTCCACAAGAAAGGAGCCTTGTTCATGCAGGACTCACACACCATCTCCTGTAGCTCCTCGGGTTCCGCTACAGTGCAGCCCAGGTGCTGTGAAATACAACAGACACACAACTGCAAAGTTAGGAGAACTTCAATAGATTACACAAGTATTAAAGAGATGATAACACAACTTCTGCTTACCCTTGTATGAAACCAATCCTCACAGATGCTGCACTGGATCATCTCATCGTTTTCCTATCCAGGATTAAAAAAGGGCATATTTAGTGGTGACAAGTAACCGAGGGACATTTCAGAGATAAAAACTGAATAATACCTGATCATCTGTGTCTGGATACGGACGTTCACATATGCAGTAGCAGCCACTGAAGTTGTGATTGTAGTGATTTTTATCATTTATAGTATCTTTCACCTGCAAATACAACAGATGCACTAACTTCAGCTTTAAGAGGATAAACAAAAGAAATGTTGGGGGGTGTACATATACACAGAAGATGGATTAGATACAGAGGACTCACAGGAAGAAGTTGGCACTGGAATTCACCAAACTTGCTGTTACCACAATCACAACGAAAATTTCTGCAACAGGAAAAAAAAAAAACACTGAATAAACAGGAGACAACAAAGGTGGGTTACTGCGAATACAACATGCCAACAAAATACCTTTTTGTATACAGCTCAAATATATCATGTCCATCGTGGCACTTGTTGGCACAGGCCAGACAGATCCCTGCAGGCTCTGAAGTGCTGGGAGTGCAGGTGTTGCAGGCAAACACAGCCTGTCTCTTCACATAGCCCTGAAAGAATAAACACAGGAAGTAAACACACACAAAGCAGTCCATGTATGAATGGTAGCAAGTCCAGTGGAGTATTTGAGATTATTTCTTCCATTTTTTACAACTTCCAGGGCAGATATGCTGTAATCCCACCCAACAGCATCATGGTTTCATTTTTGAATGAAACCTTGGACTACAAAACCCGTAGGAGGAACGAGTATTAACAAGTAGACACGTATATGCGTGTGTGTGTGTACGCAGGCAGTCATATTAAGTACACAATTACAGTAAGCATCGAAACCTGCAGGACTTGTATTTGGACAAAAGCGAAACGAGCAAAGTGAAACGGTAGAGACGATGGCTGCAGGGAGAGGCGCTGCGGGAGCATTTCTTACCCGAGAATAAGAGCAGTTTTCTGGGTCACTTCCAGCTAGTACGCACAAAGCCTCCTCCAGCTCCTCTTTGTTGGCCAAAATTTCGTCGATCTCTGCGCCGTTGTGGTTGTTTGCGGCCATCCTGCTGAACGAGAGTGAAGAGGACACAAAGACACAGACAGACTGGGTTGGAGACGCTCACAGTGTTGACAGACGACTGTTCCGGGCGGGAGTTTGGACCTAGACCACGTGGAGGAAGTGACGCAAAGAACCATTAAAACCCAAACCACCTGCTCTTTTACACCTAAAATGTGGTTTTAAAGGATCTATATCTAAGGATTTATTTAATTTTATTGTATTTTACCCATTGAACATTTTCCCACTCTCACCTCTACATAACAGGGTATGTTTATAAGTTTAATACATTGTTACTAGAAATAAAATGATTATCATCCTTAAAAAAGTTCAAAATATTGCACATTCAAACAGAGCACCATGTCTGAAATGTTGAATGCATCTCTATGAGAGTAGCATGAAAAAGTGTCGTCACGCCTGGATTAAAGTCACAGTTTGACATTTATCCTGCAGCAGGGCTGGTATAATCTAGTTTTCAGTGGATGGAGAATAACCCAACTGGGTCTTCTAAGTACCCCAGAAAATTCATGAAAAACATCTCTGTAAAGAATCAACTTAAACACTGTTTCAGATGAATTTTGAGACTGTTAAATACCTGTTTAAGAGGCTGAGAAAAGAGATGAAAAATGAAGGTCTGTCCTCTTGGCTGCCTGAAGAAAAGAGTTTACTTTTAAAAATATTAATATTTCTTTACCTCTTGGTGACATTTGAGCCAGCCTACATCATTAAAAGCATATTGAACTCTTTGAAATCCAGCTTATTTTTTATGCATTTGTTTAATCACAACTCCAAACGATGCTTACTTATCTGAATATTTGAAGACTGAATTTATAGAGGGCAAAAATGAATTTACACTTACAAATAAACTGGCTCAAAAAACATTATGTACAAAATCTCAAAATTAGCATATTTTGACTGAAAATCTGTATGCTGCAATCTCCTTTTCCAACAGAGGGCGCCACTGCGACATGGCTCTCCAATGGGAGCCGCCGAAACAATGTGCTTATAGCTGCCCTGGAATAAGTAGACTAATGCAAGAAGGTGCTCTGAATACTCATGTAGCGACAGACTTAAAATAGGAGGTCAATTCTTAATGTAAAAGGTTTAGATGCAAAATCCAAGGTTTATTAACGGACCTACATATGGCCAAAGTCTTTATAAATCTATCTTTACACTACTTTACATTTGATGTGACAGAAATATATCTTCTGATCATTTCCTAAGAGCTCTTAGAGCTAAAGAAAACTGACTTTTGTGATGGCTTATGAGCACTCAATATGTTTTAATTTCATGATGCATATTATTCTTTAAATTAGGATGATCATTGAATTTTGCCAATAAAAGTGGAATACAAACATCACCCAAGAGCAGAGCTGGCCCGAGCCTCAGTGGGGCCCTAAGCAAAATTTGATTTTGGGGCCCTTTATTTGGCCAATAATATTGCTTGTTGATCATTCACACACCTTCACAGACCCCTTTGATTAACATTCCCTGACATGCAAACATAACTTTGTCTTGGCATTTTTTCTCTTCTTCCTCTTTCTTTTCTCTGCTCCCGAAAGATATGTCCTTTTTTGTGACATTGTTTTGCCCCACAACCAGAGCCTGCCCAAGCCTCAATGGGGCCCTCTATTTCTGCCAATAATATTGATTGTTGATCATTCACACACCTACTGCAGTGTAAATTTAATGCGCCTGACATGTCTTTACACATTTAAGGGGATGGCATAAATAATAACATAAATAATACCAATGCAACCATACAAATAATACCAATGAATGACTGATGAATGATGTTCAGGGTGCCACATATGGTTTTTAATCTCAAAATGTAACTCATTCAGCTACAAGAGTGGCCTGGGGTTGATTTTAACATTCCAAGTGATAAAGCATTGTGCTTACTGTAAAAGTGTCATCAGCAGTAAGAATTATAGACCTACATAAGCAGCAGCACTAAAATGTTTTTACTTTATCTTTTTTTTACAATAATATATATTTGATCACACAGAAGGCATCACTCATACATCATACATGCAAAAAATAAAAAAATATGTTATATAAAAAATATTATATATATATATATATATATATATATATATATATATATATATATATATGTTTTTTTGATTGCTTTTGGGGGGGGGGGGGGGGGGGCTACTGGCCACGGGGCCCTAAGCAGGCGCCTAGTTCACTTGTGCCTTGGGCCGGCTCTGCCCACAACAACTACCTGCACTTAGAAGGCACATAATGGTGGCGGCACTTGACATATCTAAGACTCATAGGCCCACATCAGCAGCAACACTAAAATGTTTTTACTTTATTTTATTTTTGCAATAATATATATTCGATCATAGAGAAAGCATCACTCATACATGATATATATATATATATATATATATATATATATATATATATATATATATATATATATATATATATATTTATTTATTTTTTATTTTTTTTTCTCTTCGGGGCCCCCTACTTGCCGTGGGGCCCTAAGCAGGCACTTAGTTTGCTTATGCCTCGGGCCGCCTTTGCCCAAGAGAATGTAAGACAATTTATTTCCAGATGTATTTGTATGTGAATATGTTCTCATCTGTGTTTTATCAAATTGGACATTATATTATTATATATTAGTTTGTTAAAAGATGGATTTAACCACGATAGACCAGCACTCTGATACAAAATTGAGCATACTTGCAACAGACAGTGATACACGGTCTATATTTATGCTGTTATAGATATTATGTGGCATTTGACTCGCGATTTAAATGATCGAATACTCGAGAAATGAATACGCAATTAGATCGATACTGCGATAACGAAAGCACAAAACCACGTGGAATCAAGAGCCACTGTGATTCGTCCGGTGGGAGTGGTATTTTCCGAGGTGCTCTTGAAGGCAGCATCAGTCTCCTGGATCCTGGGTGTGTGCGGTCAATTCAGACTGAGAGAGAGAGAGAGAAAACACCAGGTCCGAGCTGTGCCTGTCATCTGTCATCTCGTGGGAAAACTCATTCTCCTTCTTTACCGGACAGACTGAAAATGGGAAACTATCCGAGCTAGTTTTCTGAAGAGGACTCACATTCGGGAGGGGTTGTGCTAAAATTGCCAGGTTAGTTATAATGCTAGCTCCACACAGCCTGTCGTTGACGTACTGAAGGCAGCTGCTTCATCTTTAAGCTAATGTTAACTAGCTGCCACAGTTTGCAAACTCACTAAGTCGTAGTTTAGACCTATTAATCCTCTACATGGTGGACCACCGTGTTCAGAAACTAGCATACGTTTTCCAATTGCATGCCATCGGTTAGCTGTGCAGGTTGTCACTACCCAGCTAGCGAGCTAACATTAGCAGTTCAGGTTAGCTAGAAGAGGGTCAGTGTGAGTGTTTGGCTGATGCTGAGCTACATTCACGGTTTTAACACTTTTGGAGAGGAGATAATGTGACCCATGAGGGCGTTCAGCTGCACCAGGCGGTCTAGTAGGAAGCGCCGCTAAGGGGTTGTGTTCAGTATCAGCAGCCGAGTCGTGAACCTGAGTGTTCCTCTCCCACTGCTCGTTGTGACACTCACGTTGCATGGTTGTTTCCTGTTTTTCTCGCCGGTCCAGGTTGAGCCTTCAGTCACACCATTTACCTCCAGAGAAGGACCCGGAGCACAGTGGCTATGCAGACCTTCCTAAAAGGCCGTAGAGTCGGCTACTGGCTCAGCGAGAAGAAGATGAAGAAGCTGAATTTTCAGGCCTTTGCTGATTTGTGCAGGTATGTCACCCCCAACACTTACATTGACTAGTGATTCTTTTTTTTTTTTTTTTTGTGGCAATTTTCAGGAACAGCTTAGGGGACATACACACAATAGACTTGCATCATTAACAATTTATGTCAGGGAATTAAGAGGGGTGCAAACACAACACTTCCTCATAATAAGTCACTGACAAAAGAGACTGATTATCATCTCTTCTCTCACCGCTAATAACTCCCTCTCAGTTCATGTGAAACCTTCTCTATTGTATCTGAACTGTGATCCAGTAACCTCCCTGCCTGTGTCTCACTTGTAATTGAGTGCTTGTTAAAATAAGGTGCAATAAGGACATCTTTTATGCAGGCCTGGTGATGCTGCCCCAAGGTACATGCATAGCAGGACAAGCTGCAAAAACAGGTCCTATTATTCAGTCAGTATCCTTAAGGGTAACACTGTAAGGCAGGTTTGCGTGGGCTGTCATCAGCCATATCTGCTTAAAGTTAACCTTTGAGCAACACAGTATCGCAAATTGATGGTAATCTTATTCAAGCAAGCCTTCTCTTTTTGTTTCTAGTCATGAGACATTTTCTTTATCTGCAAAAGCAATAAAAACGTGTTCATCAAAGGTTTTAATTCCACTGCAGCAACAGTTTGTTCTGATTCACCTGTCTCAAAAGGGACAGCTATATGACTCTCGTGTGCATGGTATCTTGTTCTAGCTTATCCATATCCAGCCAAGTAAAATGTTATATAAGGTGTTATAAAGTAGGGCATGGATTTTCTCAGTCGCAGTGACATCAGTAGACGTTGAGTCTTGGTCCTCAGATTTACAATAGATGTTAGTGCACAAGATCTGAAGAATGATGTCAAGGTGTGTCTGCAGCCTTATCATCTTTCATTGCAACATTACCAAGATACCTTTGCTTTGTGAGAGCTGTATTTGTCCTGAAAACACAAATGATGCCAGAGGCTAGTCAGTGAGGGAGAATAGAGGAAAGCACTGACAACATACCTGATCCACTGTTGCTTTGAAGCATTTCCACCTTTATTTTTTTTTTGTGAAGGAGAACTAGTGCCTCACAAAGACCTGGTTGAGCCAGTACAGATTACCACGGTAATCCACAAAACATTTTTAATCTCTTTATAAACCTCCTAGCGGCGCCCCCTCCACCCTCTGTGCCTCCATCCCTGCTTCCTGCATATCCCCTTCTTCCCTCAGAGACCGCCTATGAACTGTTTAATATAAAAGGTGGTAGTAAAATGGAAAGTGTGAGGATTTGGTGCCTGCAAGAAGATCAAGTCTGATTAGTGGGTGTTTTTCAAGACAACAACAACAACAAACACCAATACATTTCGATGGAAATGAGCCACAAAGTAGATACGGGTGTATAATTTACTGTACATGATCTTGAACTCGTACTTTGCTTCTCCTTTCTTGACGTTCCCTATCATATGACACGTTTGAAAACAAGTCGTCTTTAAGAAGAAGAAAAAAAAAGGAATTAAGGCAACCCTTTAAGGCTCCTGTTTATATAATCAGCTGTTTTATAAAGAGCATTTTGTCCTCTTTACAACACTGAAAGGGTGTGTTTTTTTCAATCTGTCTCCAGACCTTCTGTTGTGCCAGATAATAAACAAACAATGAGGCAGAAATACTGACTTCATTAAAAAACTATTTTCTTGGCAAAGTATGAACTTTTAAATGCAAAATATGTTGTTTGATTTTGAATTTACAGGTAGATTACGGCAGGGTTTTGATTATTAATGAGGTAAAATGGCAAGTTATTGTTTCAAACTCACATCTGATATAAATAGACAAGGTTTTCTCCCTTTCATTGTGTGGCTTGCACCTGACACTGTGAGCGCTTCAGTGTCGAGTCCTCCCTGTCTCATGCAGCTGGACTCGAGGGCTTGCTGCTTGTAAGAGCCACTTGGTTTTTTACTTTTGTACCCCATTATTTTGCACAGTAATTTGGAGGCCTCTTACTGACTCAGATTTACTTCATTTTGGAAAAAAAACTGATGCCCTTGAGAAGTGCCACCCGATAGTTGTTGGGTAATATGAAAATATTGTCACTAAGTCTGGTCATGGCAAGGTTATTGTGTTCGAGGACAAGTAGGATGAGATTACAGAGTTACAACCGGTGTTGTTTTTTTTTGTTTTGTTTTTTTTTACCCACATGCTGAAGTTGACTGCAGAAGTGGAAAGAGTGTGAATATTTAAAAGCTGTGGCAGGTGTCTGTTTGAAATCAATTAAAAGGTAAAGAGGAGTTGGCATTGATTGTAAGTAACGGAAAGTGTAGTTTGACAGCCCAAACAGGTTAAACCGCCTCACCTAGTCGGCCTACATAAGCCATCTTTGTCTGTCTTTTTCTGTTTTGAAAGGATGCCAATCTGTGACAGGGTGTTGAAAGAGGTTTTAAAGTTTCTTGTTCTGAATGTTGGCCACTTCTACAACAAATTTTAATCATCGAGCTGTAATTGACATATTCATGATTTTAAAAAGGCATTTGTTAAACTCGTAATTCCACACAGTCATGCCGTGCAGCAGCTGCTTTTGCATTACAGCAACAAAACAAACCTTGGAGTCAGCATCTTGTGTTTGTTACACCTCCATGTTCAAGTAAAAGTTCTGACCCTGGCCCCCTCTTGTGTATCTTCTTCACCTCATTCGATCAGCTCTCTGTGTAACAATATAGGAGTGCAGATGATCCCCATATCAGAGATGGAAAGAAACTGAAGGCCCCATTCACACCACATGAAACACACCAGCTGCAGTATTAAATATCTGCATTGTTGTGGAGCAGTGAATGGCTGCACGGCTGTTACCATGGGGCTGTAACCTCAAAAGCAACTGGGACAGACAGCCAGAGTTAGACCGGGTTTATCCTCGTTAGAAATTTTCCACAACATATAGATTTGTTGTTTTTACTATTGAAGGTTTACTTTGGGTTCTGTCCCTGTGGCAGACAATGAGCTGCATGAGACCAAATATCTTCCATCTGTCTGGTTGGTTGTTGTTTTCAGTATAAAGGTTGGAATTATCTGAACCATCGAGGTGTTAACGTGCAAAGAATAAGCTCTGTGGTTTGGCAGGTTTATAGAAGGAGGGGAAAAAAATCCTCTCAAAAGAGAGGAAGTCATCTTGTATGAAAACCTCTGCGCCAATGGTGAGTTAGGTAAATATTGCAGTGTACTGTCAGAGATGGGGACACAGACCTGTCTGTTCAGGTTCCTCTTGTGGATAGTCCAGTTGTGTGTTTGAACAAGTCTACTCTTATAGTAGTCTACTGGTTGCCGAGCAGCATTAAAAAAAAATCAGAGACTTGTATTTCAGTGTTGTTTGTAAAAAGTAGTGTGTTTGAGCTCTTGGCTGAGTTTTTTTTTTTTTTTCAGAGTTTCTGAATAATTTAGCTCAATTAATGTGTGTACTACACAACATCACATCTTACATCTTCGAGGTCCTTTTGATTGCAGGAAACACGTCTTTAATATTGATCCCTGTTTCTTTACGTTCATATTATTAATGGCATTTCTTCTCTTTTACAGGAAAAGAGGAATAGAAGTTGTTCAGGTAAGTTACATTTTTTTTCACATGTTGTACCAAAAGTAACCTGTAAGGAATACTGTAATTTAGATCCTTTATAAAAACAACAGTTTCCTCTGATTTGATAACATGTGGAAACTGGAAAACAAAAACAGACTGTTTTAACAGAGCGATATTTTTCCATATTTCTGCTGTAAACTACCTTGTTTGTTACCTCCCACACACCTGATGTAGTTGCTTCACAGCTTTTCTATTTTCAGTCCATAAGCATAATCAGTCGCTGTCTTCCGGATCAGGGCCGAGCTCATTGTTAAGCCGTGATGCAACTCATCCCAGCACAATGTTTCAACACCTGGCCTCCGCTCTGTAAGGCTGGGGCACATCAGAGAAACCCGATTGGGGCAGTGGGAACTCATTCTGTTAAAGTGCGAGTTTGTCTGAGTGTGTGTGGTGAAAACATTTGAGGCTCGGTGTAAACAGCAGAGGTTATCACAGGAGAACTGCACATATGGGAGTTCTTTTGAAAGCCGGTAATTCCAGTGACTTTAGGTTAATCTGTATAATGTGGGTAAAGAGATGGTGGTCTAACTGTAGTTACTACTTAGCTCAGGGTGGAGGTGAGTTCTGTTCAGGTAAGCATAGGCCCTCGGAGCATAAATGCTGCTGCTGCTGCTGTTAATGGATATTGCATGGCACATTACATTGAGTAAGTAAACACAGCACATACAGCAGCATAGAAACCATTGTCACTAAGTCCTAAGAGCTCTGTCTGTGCTGAAAAGTGCTTGTCAGTTTAAGTGCTCTCTGCTATTGAGGGGGAAATCATCCTGCTTTTTTAAATCCATGTCTTGCTCGTTTTTTTTTTTTTCTTTTTAAATGCTGTCTCTTGTCTTCTTGGGGGTTCTTCTCACCCCCCCTCGCTTTGAGGTTATTTTTTTCCTCGCACTGTGCTGACGATATCAGCACACCCAGAAAGAGACTTGTCCTGGGAATAGTCCCAAAGTAAGCAGGGCTTTGTTTCCCACTCTGTATTCAGCCCCTCTTGGGAGACGGCAGATCCTCACAGACCCTCAGCGAGTGGGGTACCAGGGACGGGAATGAAACAGCCCTTTGACCTTTCCCATTTCTCTCTATTTAAGGCTTTACCTGTTGTCTGTTACGTTTTATTTTCCTACGCAACTGTACACTCTCTTTATGTCGTGTCTTGGTTGACACTGTCAGCTCTTCCAGCTCAGATACCCAGTAGTGAAGTGACACCAGAGATTCAGCTGCCTGAGATGAACCCAATACTGCTCAGTGCCTGTACTGTCATGGCTGCATTAGCAAAGAGAAGATAATGGTAGCCATTGTAATGCTTTAGCCTTGACATAAATGTATGTGTGCACAACCCTCGTCTCGTATTACACTATTGAATCCTAAGACTGGCTACCCCAAGCCTTTGATTTTACTACAAGTGATGTCATTTTTAGAGAGACGCCATGTACTGTACATGCAGCAAAGAAATGAATGTTTTGATTGTAACGGAAAAGAATGATGGACTGAGAAATGTTCAGCATTAAAGCCTCTTGAACATGTTTCATTTAAGATAAACCGCTCTGCTCTGGTATGCACATGTTTTATTCATTTCGTCTTTTCAAGCTTTCATATGGGTGCAGGAAGCTGCTGGGAAGTGGATTGGAAGTCTTTTTAACCTCTTGTAGGAGGCTGAAACTACATAGCAGTTGATTTGTCTTTTGCACCTAACCTCGTCCTTGTGGTCTGACAGGCTGGACGATAACAGTTCAACCTTGGAAGTCCAAGACTAACTCAATCCCACGCTTTTCAAAGCAGAATAAACCAAAGGCTTATGTTGTTTACACCCTTATTACACGCTCATTTATTGGTTTTTGCCTAAAATACTGAGTGATTGTGAAAGTTTAGTTTGACTGCCACTGTTTTGATAGTCGATCAACAGCCCAAGGAAATGACAAATCCTCACTGATTGTTGTTTTTTCCAATTCAAGAGTTTACGTCTTTGCTGTTTGTGGTATTTGCTGATCTTACATAAGTGTTTCTGTTGGGTTTGGATTGTTTTTTACGGAAAGTGATCTCAAGCTGTCATTTTTGTTTTGTAGTATCATTAGTTTGGCTTTTTCATGGATAGCTTTTTTTTTTTTTTCAAACCAGGTGTTACAGCTTTTACCCAGAACATAGTCATTAATTGCAGCCTAGTAAACTATTGAATCAAAAAAATTAAAATGTCCAGTATAGGGAGGAGTAGAGCCAGAATGACATGGGCATTTATCTTGCGCTTCCATCTTAAGATATGTGATATTTGCCGCAATCCTCTAGGGGTCTTTCCGTGTTGATGACGTCACACTGTTTGACCAAAATATGCTAAATCAAGCAGCCCCAGGGACTTAATTTTATATTTCCATTTTGAGTGTGGGAAAACCAAGTACATGAGCGCCCATATGGCCTAACAGAGCTGAAACAGAACAGAGGGGTTGTTTCTTTGCGACTTTATGGTTGAACATCTTTCCTGTTTTGTAAAGTAACCTGTTAACGCTTTCGTCTTGGCTCTATTTTATACCCTTCCACGTGACTTTCACCAGCTCATCAATACTCTAACCCTTCAGCCCGGAGCTCATCCTCCCACTGGTCCTCACATTAGTCTGTCTGTATAATAGAGCTGATGAGATTAACTTGGCGGGCTCAGCCTTGAAAAAGCCGATATTCTCTCTCCCAGAAAGAGCCCATCACAGCAAATGGTCACTGCTTGAGTGGGCTGTCCTGTAAAAGTTATTGAGATACTGTTTTCATTATATGACAAGTGCTGAGGAATTCAAAGTTACTATCAAGCGTGCTCCTATAGCTCACCTACATTGGGATTTATGGAGGTTGACATAACAGATATTGTCTTTAGAGGGAATTTATTGGTCCTCCGGTGCACCATCAGGGAAAGAAAGCAAATTAATGACCATTATTTGGAGATAGCAAAAAGTCGATCCAATGAAACTGCTCAAAAGGATCAGCTGATTAGAGGTAAACAAAAACAAGAATGATGCAGTGCTTGCTTAAAGCTGTGACAAATGATATGATGTGTATATTTTTGTCGCTGCAATGACTAAACGACTCAAAAGTCTGAGTATCAGAAGCAGTGTCAGGAAGACAAAAAGCAACAAGACGACAAGATGAAGAAGTCCCCTTCAAACATCAGAAAGCTTTAACATGTAGGTTTGCTGCTCATAAAACTGAGTAAGTTGTGTGTTCTTTACTGCATGTAAAACAGTCTTTTATTCATTACATCAAATCCAGTTGCTCACTGTGCAGAAATGAGTGGGCTGTTTGAGTTCAGGGTGGATACAGTGAGAAAAGAAATGCTTGTCAGTTTGACTAAGATGAACTTGCAGTGACTCCTTTATCTCTATAAATATCGTTAGCCATTCTCAGTAAGTCTGCCTCATATATCTCAAGTCTGTTCCTCCTTTTGAAGAAGAATTCCCATCCCACAAAATTTCTTCAGAAATGTTTTCAAGCCACCTGCCAAGTCATGCTCGTCCCACGCATTTATTAAAGGTTATCCTGGTGTTAACCTTTTTATCTTCTGATAACGGCTGAAAGGAAGTCACCCCATTAGCTTCCTTTTGCATATTATAATCAGCGCCAAGGAGACTACCATTAGCCTAATGAGCTTCTCCATTTTTTTCTCTCCAGAGAATCGTCTTCATGTTGAGTCCTGTGACTGTAAGGTGTGGCCAACATCCACACTTGTCTCAAACACACGTTTCTCTTACACCAGGCTGTCAAGCGCTTCACGGCGAACAATATAAATCATTCAACACTTGTCTGTCTGCACTCTGCACGCAGTCTCTCTCCAGGCGAGTCTGACAACAAAGCGAAAGCTCAGTGAGGTTAGATCCAGCTGAGGGGATCGAGAAAGAGACGTTTAAAGAATGAAGCCTCAACCAGACACAAAGACAAACAACCATAAAAACAGGAAATGAGTCAGTAAAAGTTCATACAGTTTAAACGCACGATACTTTTACAAATTTAGTTGAATGCTTAAGTATAAATATGATCTCAGTCCCCACTGTTTGCTCAAAATCTGTTTTTTTAGATTTCCCCGGGGTAAAACTGGGGCCCACTAAGGCACTACATCAAAGCTGGAAATATATCGGCCCTGACCATCCTCTCCCTCCAGGTTCCTGTGTGTTTTCTGTGTTGTCCATCACCATCATGGCCCTCTACTAGAACTCAGCCCAGAGGGACTCACAGAGACGTCAGCTGACATTTCTGCTTTTAGCATTTAGGAGGACATCAGTGACTTTACTGCCGGGTTCTTTTGGACGAGTTTTAAAGCAGGGTCATTCTGCCGACGCACAGGGGGATTCATCCTCTGTGATGTGTCTTACTGACGGGTGTTGACCCCCATGATGAAGAGTCCAGTTTTTGTAGGGGCGGGAGGGGGAGGCCTCTGTATTGTGTAAACGAAAGATTACCGACGAATTGCCTTCCACTCGGCGCTGTCAAACTGACACCGCTCGCTACACAGAAAACAAGAGCAACCACTTGAGTTTCCACTGATCTTTTAGTACTTCACACACAACTGCTGCTAACCACAGCTTGCCCCATAAACCATTGCTTTATCCACAGGTGACAACACATTTTATGAGTGTTAAGTTACGACACTGTAATTGAGGTCATAGCAGCATGTTTATGCGTTTTATGCATGTGACATATGCTCATACTTCTGTATGTATCACATGATTCCTGATGAACCAGCTGGGGCGCTGACTCATTAAAACCAATCCAGTTTGTTTTGAAAGTCTAAGCCTTTTCTGTCGTCGATTATGTAACCGCACCGGCTAAATCTGGTCAATACTTACCCAGTTTAGTCTGAAAGAAGTTAGCAAGTTAAGAGACTGTGGCAGAGCATCTTAAATAGATTTTATGTGTTCAAAACATTATGTGTCACTGTTGTCTGCGGTCGTCTTTGCTGCTAATTCAAAAAAACAATTCTTCTTTTACCATGTCTGGTATGTTCAGCAATTTCAGGCAAACACTTAAATTGTAAGACCTACTTTATTGATTTTAAAGAACTTGCTTTTACATTATTGACCAATCAGAATCAGGTAACACAAATCCACAATGAGTAGGAAAGCCCCGTAATAAAAACTTTACAACAAAGTGTCCAGTGTGACAGTAAATTTGACTGTTTTTACCTCACATAACCTCATTTAGTCTCACTGATACACATCGAACCTTTCATGGCCACAGGATACCATCAGCCTCATCATCGCGTACATGTTTTTACTGCCAGTGCTGGCGTGTTTCTTTTGAGCTGAAGGGCGTGTTCCCACAAGCAGGAGGAACATAGCGTGGAGGAGAACGAGATCCAGCAGCGTTAAGATGGGCAGAGAAAGAAATGCTCTGTTGATGTGACATAATGAGCTCTTTAGGGAATACAGCTGGTCTCGAACACTACAGGGTGTGTTGGCATTTCTTTGCATGTTGGCGCACTTCACAGTCTGTATGATTTGAAGTGAAGAAAACACGTGTTTCATACCAAGAGATAAAAACAATGAAGTTACTTCTGTTGGAAGCATTTTTTCCTTTGGGCATTTTGTCCTCCCAGGTGTGTAAGGAACATAAATCATCTGATATCAAACAGATTTACTATCCTGTGCAATCGACTTTACATGGCCAACCCAAGGGTAAGCTAATTAGTCATCTATTCATCACACCTCTCTCAAACATTAACCAGGAAATGTTAGCAGTGACGGCGGCCAACCCTGGACTAACTCAAACTCTGTACGCTTTGACAGTTCTTGCATTGATCCACACCTGTGTGACTAAGGTGTATTCTAGACTCCTACGCTGTCTGGACAACAGCATGAGGTCCTACCCTGCTCTGACATATTTGCACAGGTGTTGCTGATTTGTCTTTTGTCTGTAATGATCTGGTGACTCCCATGTAATGATAAGCCAGTCAGTTACTGTATGGCTGGGTTGCGCAACAAACACAATTAGCTCTTTCTGAAACAGTCCTCTCAGTGTTGTTGTGTTTTCTTTGGTTTCAGTTAATCTGTCGAATAAAGTCCTATTTTCATATTACATAATTTTACCCACAAAAGAGACATAATGTGCCGGTAAACGGTCGAAGCCTTTAACATAGCTGCTGCTGTATGACTCAAGAAAACACATAGCTCAGGGTTAAGCTAAGGGTTTCTGGTGATTACTTTATCTCCAAGTATACTTTGGCTCCTTCGGCCTTTTTCGGTTATTATTATGCCTAGCTACAAACTGAAGGCTGCTTTATCTCTCTCCCTGAACGTTCTCCTTTCACGCAACCTTGCCTCCTGACTTCAAAATGCCCTTGGTTATATAGCAACAAGAAAGTAAACACACAGATGTAAATCAGCTGAGCTGAGCCCATTCAGACAGAATATGAGCTATTTCTGTCGTTATACACTGAATTTTGATTTTATAGTCAGAGATAGGGCTGCACAACAGGTTACTGTCATCTGAACAGTTGCAATAAATACAGTTAAAGTCTGAATTTTTCACAATAACAGGGAACATTTTCTGGTTAACAAAGGGTGCTTTCAGACACTTGTTGACACAGTGTTGGGATAATATACTTTTTCTTATTTATTTTGAATAAAGGAGGGGCATGTTACAAACGTGTGGTGTCAAACATGAGGAAGAACAGAGACCTAAATACTAAGAGCTAAAAGGCGACACAAACCAAAAGCTCCCCACAGTAGTTTTAACCTTAATCATTTAGTAAAACATTGATGGAACAGATTTTGAACATTTTGAGATTTTAGAGAGAAATCGTCGACTGCCACCTGAGTAAAATATTAGCAAGCGAGTTATTTTTATCAACTCACAGACACACTCTTATCTAGCAGTGCCATTGATTCTGTTACTCTCATTCTTTCAGGGATAATTTCCATCTACACCCAAAATTCATCAGCTGACTGTAACAATTTTCCTCCAGCGAGGCACCTGATAGATCAGATGAAAAGTTTGGCTGCTTTTAGCATCGCGATCGTCACATCAGTAATCACCCTGAAACCAAAAACTTAACTCTGGACCTGCCCACATGATCTGTCAGGTGTCCAACCAGCACAGATCGATCGAGTCCGGTGTTTGTTGTAGTTACACAAAACATGCAAAAGTGTAATGTGTGTGTTTGTCGTGTTATCAAACAGATTGAAAGCAGTGTTGGATGGCAGATTCACACATCTAAATTTCTCCTCTGCAGTAGCTGCGTGTTTGTTCCGGTCGACTGAATTTGAATCAAGAAAAACTTCGAGCTGAGATCTGAGTGGGCCTCAAATATCAAACTCCTGCGATAACAGGTTTCTGCCCATACCTGTGAATTGGACCGGGCTGGCATCTCTTCTTTATCTCTCGTACTGTTGCAGTCTTTTGTGTGTGTGGGCAAACCCTGACCTACTTAAGTGTTATCAAACTTAAAGACTTACTTTCCATATTCTTGTGAACCACTTGGCCGGTGCAGTCAGTGTTTCGACTGCAGCAAACTTCAAAAGAGTTAGAAGATGTTTTTGTTTTTTTTTTCCCCTCGCCGCTCAGAGGCTGTCGGATATCTTCAGCAAGACTAGAAGTCTGGGCAGCAGGGGAGCGAATGTAACTCACCGTGAAATAGATGACATCAGAAATAAATCCTGATGTTGTAATTCAAACTAAATACAAGCTAACCTTTGACTGCACCTATAAATAAAAGAAAGCTGAGAGTCAGTTTTGTTTTTTAAAAGTTTTGCCCCACAATGATGTAACACTGCTGATTTATAAGAGCAGTAAGCAAAACAAGTAAATAATATGAAGCCAAGACACACTCTTGGCTGATTTAAAATCGAGCGAACATGAGTTTTGTGAGTTATTGCCAAGGCCAGCTGCTTTTCAGTTTGATAAATGAATAGCCAGTTGTTGGATGTCCCTAACTGCAACCTGATCTTTGACCCTTGTCTGTTCTCCTCCTCTCAGCTGGACCTAAGCCAGCCTCTGGAGGAGCAGGGACCTCTGGACGTCATCATCCACAAATTGACCGACCTTATCCTCGAGGCAGACCAGAACGACTCCCAGGCTGTGCTGCTGGTGCAAAGAGTGCAGGTATGCTCTTTTGTCGGCCTTGTAGTATTGTTACAAAAATACAATAACAGAGGGGTGGAAAAGTGGGGCAAACGAAACACAAACTCTTCCCAACACAATAAGAGAAAATAAACACTTTTGATGGTGTTTTCTGCAGCACAGCCCCTCCACTTGCTGTGAGCATAGATCTGGACTGATGGCGGTTTATGTTTCAATGTAAAGTTCTCCGTTTAAGAGTCTTGATAGAAGAGCAGAAGAGCCTCAAACTTCATGAATCAAAAGAATCTGACCTGCTGTATTAGAGCAATGAATGTGTTGACTCATGAACCTCAAATGCTCTCAGTGAAAAATTTTCAAGAGCTTCTTTTCTTTGATCCTTTTTGATAAAAATCTGACACGAGCAGCAGTTTCTGTGCTCAAAATGTGGCGCATCGAACACGCTTCAAAAGATTTCGTCTCTTTCTGAATGACTCAGGCGACAACGTTATCATGATCGACGTCCTGCAGCTCTGTCAACGGGTTCCTGACTGCTCTGTTAGGAAGCAAAAACAGGATGTCAGTATTAAGCAAACCCCCTAAACAACCAAACCTCCATTTATGTACTGCAGCAAATTCACTTGTGTCTCCATTTTCGGCGCTGTAACCTTATAGCTGTCAAATCTCAAGGCCAAACAGTTGCAACAATTCAGCGGCTTCCAGTATTAGAGGTGATCTTTGACCCCTGCTCTCAGGGTGCACATTAGCACAGAGAGGCACATAAAGACAAGAACTGCAGGCACAAATCATTCATTAATAATTGCACACACATCAAACTTTACAACCCACCATGTGCAGTTAAGGACCAAACACTAGCCGTGTTTACATGTGCAAAATTTCTTGATCCGATTAAAAATCTGAGGGATCGGATGATCTGAATCCACTGTTTATATGGGTGCAAAATCAAATAATCTGACCGATCAGAAGCATTTGGACATGCGCAGAGTTGTCTGATTTCCCGAAATCAACCGTAGAAAAAGAGTTGTATTTACACCTGTGCTATCAACAAACCAACAAATGCAGTAGTGGCTCACTCCATCCAATTTAGGAGTTTTCCCCCTGTTGAATATTGTCTCTAGATGACGCCCTCGCATACTTTATTTTACTGTTCTGTCAAAGGTTACACTGTGCATGCAGATGTGACATCATTACGTTGTATGTACGTCTTGCTATGTTATTGGAGAAGCAGACACGGCACCTGCGGTTGTGTTTTATGCCAGAGTGTTAATAATGAAACCTCCTGAACTGACCTCAATAAATAAACTAAAGGCTTAAGAGCAATGACCAAGTCAGGTAAGAGAGTCACGTTCAGAATAAGTATTTACATGGACGCGTTTCGAAATAACTATCGGCACAAACCACCCCTGTCGACTGGAATACATTTTCTTTCCGATCGAGCCAATTTGGATGAGAATCTTCCGATCGACATGTTACATGACGCATTTTTATTCCGATCGGGCATTCATTCCGATTATTGGTGCCCATGTAAACACAGCTAATGAAATATCTTTTTGTTCTGTTTCTCAAGATTCATGTTAATTGCAGCAAAGATGACCTCTAAGCCGATGTGAAGTATTAACCAAATGAAGTTCAGCTTCATATGTAGAGCAGAGAAGCTCTAGGTAAAGTTTAAAATCATAATTCTGTCCTAGATGTAGGTTAAACAAGATTCTGCCAGTAAATAATCCTCTCAGCTTTTCTGCTCAGCCATGTTTGTACAACCCAGGCTCTGGCTATTTACCTGAACACCACTGTCATCTGTGATTATGTTCTTGTTATGATTTGAGCTCTGGCTTCTCTCTATTATAACACAGCTGTGGTCATAAGTACCACTTTGTTTTGATGGAGGGAGAAAACCTTCCTCCTTAAATACCCCTCAAATTCAAACAAAAATGTCAGGCTGGGATGCACTGCGGTGAATCAGTGACCTGAGGTGTGAGACGTGTGCAGACCTCAGACGAAAATGACTTTGGAACTGTTGGACTGTATTAAAAAAGGACCATAGCTGGGATGAAACATGGATGAAATCAAAGTGGCATCACTCATTGGTTTTCTAAAGAGATGTTACACCGTTTTTATAGAAGCTGAGCAGTTTTCTCCTCATGGAAACAGATATGCCAAAACATATCTGCAGCCCCACCACCAAGACTGGCATAGATACTCCTTCTCTCTTAAACATAGTTAGACAGAGCTAATCCCCTTTTCATCCCCTGCTCTTGTCTGCGTTTAAATGCATCTCTTTTTCTAAGAGTCAGACATCAGCAAGTGACAGCTCTTATCAGAAAAGTATCGTGTTGGTGGATTTTGGGGATTTTTATGACTTTGGCAGCAGCACGCTCAACTTGCATAACAACGCAGCTGGCTTTGATCAGGGTTGCCAGTTAGATCCCAGTAAATCCTACAGAATGGTCCTCCTTGTCGAGGCAAAGGCATTTGTTTACATTCTGCATGCGTCAGTAAGCGTGTGTGTGTATTAATAGACAGTAGGAGAATAGGCATTTTTCTCCAGCTGCATGTCTGACTCTGCTGCGCGTGTTTAATATCACGCAAACACGCATGACAGTGGAGCTGTGGTGTTTCTGAAAGGCTGCGATGTGAGCATGCAGGCTGTTTGTGCAATGTGCAGGCCAGCCAGCTCCACCTGACAGCGTTGGGGAGTCAGTAAAAATTGCTTGGAAGGAACGGTTGGCAGAGAAATCCACAGAGCAGAGATGGGAATGTGGAGAGCCCAGAGAGTTGTGGAGGGTGGAGGGGGGACAGAGCTGGAGGAGAGCCGACTGGAGGAGAGGAGGGGAGAGGAGGGGAGCGCAGTTATGTAAAACAGCAAACCTCATGCTGACCTAACAGCCGGCCATGCAGAGATGAAGTGATGTAACCTTTACAGACTGACTGGCATACATCTCATGCTCTCTCACACACAGACACACACACACATATTTAGATAGTGTCATGTTGACCCTCTGACTCTGTGTTTGTATTGAGAGTTTGCACACTTCTACTATGTGTTTAACATCTGTAACCAGCATGGATTTGTTTGAGTCATGGCACAGTGTCACACCTGGTGTGCAGGCCGTCTTCATAGCACATACGCACAAAATACACACCTTCTACTGTGTTTTCCTTTTTTTTTTTTCAACTGACCATTAATCTGACATTTAGTCTCTTAAAACAAGCAGACATGTGTTTCCTGAGCCCCGAAAATGTCTTCTCATGATATTTTTTGGTCACTTGACAGGCTCAATTTTCATGATATGCTGTCAAACTATTGGTTTAAAGCAGTTTCCATGACAGCAGCCTTACGCAAATAAAATAAAGGAATCAAAACAAATCGTCATTTCTGCCTTTTTCTTTCGTTTGTTACCTTACATATTTGTTCGCAGCCAAAATAGTTAAATCTGAAGAAATGCTGCTGCTTAAGGGTTTAGAAACAGGAAGCAATACCTTAAAATGCCTTGAGGGAACTTCTGAGAATTCAGATAGAGCTAATGTCCACTCAGACTCAAGAGTTAATTGATTAGATTTTGTTGGTTAGAATCAAAGATAAAGCAAAGAATGAACCCAATATCTCAGCAGGACCAAGGAGAAATCGTATTACATGTTTTTCTTTTAATTTGAAGTTTGGGTCAAAGGATCCACTCTGTTTAATCAGTTATCCTCCTGGCACATTCGATTAGATCATATGAGAGGGATCTCTTGACAATCACATGCTCTGCAGAGAAACACCGATACAGAGGCGGTGTGTCATATTCCCTCTGTAAATAATTGTTGTGCAGCCTCTTGAGGTGAGTATTGATTGGGTATTTATATTAGGTTTACCGAGGCAAACATCTCAACCAAGCCTTATTAAAAAGTTTGTGTCTCTGTGTTTCAGGACTACATTGATGCTCACCCTGAGACCATCGTTTTGGACCCCCTTCCAGCCATTCGAACTCTGCTGGACCGCTGCAAGTCTTATCAGCTCATCCACAGGATAGAGAGCTGTATGCAAGGTAGGAAGTTAATGTTAATCACATGAACTGGATAACCCGGTGAGGAGGTTGAGGTCACTTAAAGATCTGAACATGAGAACGTTGAATTTGGCATCTCTTGCAAAGATGCAATTTGTGAATTCCCTCAAAAAGAGGAAGTGAATCTTTGCGGTGGTTTCACAGCGGGGTCAGTCGAGTGAATTTTGACACCACATTCAAAATGTTGACAGACGGAACTTTAAGAAAAAAGTGAAATATAGGTTTCGTGTGTGTGTGGTTTTTGCACCATCCAAGTTTATACGCTTCAGTTCTAGCAGTATGCAAATGTGTGTAATCAACATATCAAACTTTATGAACTTTAAACCAATGCAGTCTCATACAACAGCCCTGAAATAAATACCATGATTATTGACGTTATGAAGGTTTTGGTGGCATTGAGCACCAGCCTAGAGCTTAACAGTACATGTAAAGGGGGTATCATCTGAAGATATTTGTCTGATTAAGAGGAGACATTGTTATAAAGACGATAAATAAGACAAATTCCCAAGATTCATCCTTATGGATCACCTTTTAGTTCATACTACTGGCTTTGACACACTGGGATCTATCAGAAAGGTGTTTCTGGGACCATTTCCAAGCAACAGAGTCCAACTCCATGTTACAGAGTGTCTGAATAAGAAGAGGATGACCAACTGTATCAAAGATCTAGACTTTCGTAAAGGTGGAGTTTCTGTTTCTATGTTTTGCTCGGTCACTTTGTGCCAGGTGATCAGAGTATAATTCTGAGGATTGAGTCAATAGTTGGTGCAGCTCGGGTTTGAATTAACTCGTCCTTTCTTCTCCTTTTCCCCAGTATTACATAAAAGCAGAAGTTGTCTAAAATGATGAAGCAACTGTGACTTTATGGACGCCGCCTCCTGCGAATTCTCTGTCTTTCCTCTTCACCTCCAACAGGGACACACAGATAGCACATGACAGCGCCGTCTCCTCTCACTTGAATTATTTTACACGATACTTCCGAGCAGATGTTTAATTCCTGCTGGCTGCGCTCTACACTGATATCATAACTCCTTTCTCCACTTCTTTTATACAACAAAAGCAGCTCACCATTTCCCCTTCTGTCTGAGCATATTCTAAACTCAGCTCTTTGTGTTTTTTTTTTTTTTTCTTTAACTCATCTTTGTATTCGTCCAGGAACACCCCTCTCTGTGTCTGATACTGTAAACTCATCGGGGGACAATGTCGTTTGACTGGAGGCAGAAAAATGCAGTGACGGCAGGAGCACATTCTCTACCCACACACACTGTAAACACACCTGTGACTCATCCACATTTCCACTTCTCCCTTACCCCGTACATGGCAGCGAACATAAACCTTTTAGGTATTACTCCAGCCTGACTCTGCGAGTGGCTGCGGTCTGGTGTCAGAGCAGCAGATCAGAGGCGTTTCAGCATGTCGCCTGTGTCATTAGTTCCCGAAATAGAACATCAAGAAGACGTCTTTTTATCCAAACAGACATGATGGCTGTTACGTAACAAAGTATAAGCTGCATCACTTACTGTCTTACTGTGTATTCGGTTTGAAAGGAGGATGGCTCACAGGCTGCATTTATTGGAAGCTTTTTTTCCTTCTCCACTCCATTAATGCAAGTGGTCTCTCTGCGCACACTTAAGCCTGCATACCAAACCCTTCCTGATGATTGTGGCTGGTTTAGACACAAAGACGGAGTGTAAAACATAATAATCCGACACCACACCACCGTGAATGTAGAAAAACAGCATGTGACGGAGGGAAAGCGCCCGTAGTGATCGAGAGAACTGGGTTAAGGTTACACTAAAACTAGAGGATAGAATAAGAATGCAGAAAAAGTCTTACCTTGCTTTCTTAAGCACAGCCGTTTCCTCCTCCTTATCAGCAGAAACCAAGGAGTCCTAGAGCAGCTGCCAAGGCAACCCAGTGCTAAATACTAAAAGGCCACAGAGAGGCTGCCATGCTTCAGAGTCTGCACGTCTTAGAGTTGAATTCAGTGGGAGGAAGCACTTGAGATACACTTTCTGTGGAAAGAGGGAACTTTATTTTATCACTCAAGCAGTGTCTTGTTGTTAAATGTCTCCAGTCTGGAGAAATCAGGCTTTTCTTCAAAAAGATGAAAACTTAGCAATAAGAAGTATCCGATTTCATGTGAAAAGTCACACAGGGGGGCCACACGAGCACAGACGGGCCTGATTTAGATTCGCCTTCAGTGGAATTTCGTCGTTGCTCTGTTGTTAGAGGTGAGTTCCCTTTTGTGAGCCAGAGAAAGGTAACTGTTTATGTTACTCTGTTGGATCTCCTTGTTCCTGTGTATGCTTCACTTTTGATATGTTAGACAGAAACCGTCGTTAAGTCAACTCTCCTATAAAAGCGAATGCCTCTCTTAATGTTTGAAGCGTATTTCTCTCCAGCTCAGGATGAAAGAATCCACCAGAGTAAAGTAAACGCTCTGGGTTTATTCTGTTATTAATCAGACTGATCAGGACGACCGTTGAATCATTATTTTGATTTTGGATTTTTACCTCTGTGCTGTCTGTGAATATTACACAGGCAGAGTTTGGGACCTATACTTTAGCCAGTTTCAGCGAGGCGCTCTAAAACTTTTGGTTTCACGTCAGAGAGATACTTAGAGAGAACATGAAACTTTTTGTTTTGGTTGTTCATCACACCTTTTGTTCTGAATCTGTCGCCTCGTCTCAGGCCTATTGAGGCGTTTCTTCTCACTTTACTGTGAAGTAGCAGAGCGGACAGGTTAAAAAAAAAACAGCAAAAATACAGATAAGACGAAACAAGAGAAGAGACAAAGAACAGCATAACTGGTATAAAAGCGTCTCATGGCGGGGTCCTGTAAATGTCGTGCTGGGCTCCAGTGGGTCTGCTGAGCGCTCACAGTGTTTAGACAGAACTAGAGATTGATCCCCCCTCCCCACTCGCCCCTCCAGACCATTATCCCTAAAACGTCCACCAGAGCCAAGCATGCACGCTATTACAAACTTGGTCACCCCCTGTCATCTGCCATTCCCTGCTCTCTTTATTATAAATCCTTAACTCGGGGCTTGAAATGTTTTCCACGCTACAACATTTAGCCCTGTTGATTGCTTTTTGTTCGACAAAATCTAACGCCATTGGTCTTTGGGAACATGGTGATGTAAGAGAGGATATTTTCCCTTCCAAGTTTTTTTTTTTTCTTTTTTTTTCTGAAAGACATTATGCTGTTATTCCTGTCATGGTAAAATAACAGCAGTATGACGAGCACGGCTGCAGCCATTGCAGAGATGACTGATGGGTAACCCTCCAGGCTTCCCGCTCCCTAAAGTGACTGGTTGCAGAGCCAACACTGGATCACATCCAGCTGTGCAGAAAAAGGTTATAGAGCACGAACAAGTGTCTGCCTGTGAGAGAGAGAAAAGGACGATTCTGTGTTCATCCGTCACGCAACAGCATAACAGCCAAAACACAGAAATATAACCATACTAAATCTGCTTGGCACGCTTTGAGGGTTCAGAATTTTCCTCTTTGAAATTAAAATAAAATCATTCCTGAGGGAAATAAATTTTGTACCTCATGGTTAAAGCACATGTTCAACTGCAGTGAAGCACTTCTCTAACTGGAGGGCACATCAAGAAGGTTACTCTAGGTTGGTAAGTTTTCTCTATATCTCTTGTGGAAAGTATCAGCTTTTATCATTTTAAAATCAATCGATTAGTTATTAAAACATGGCTGAAAGATAACATTATAAATTCAATCAACCAGGGAGGTTATAAACATACCAAAGTCAGGCCACCTTATCTAAATCGCCTTTAAGGGTCAGTAATAACCCCTAATTTTACATAATAAAATACCAAGCATCTGATGTTGAATTGACCCTTGATATCCATCTTTAACTTTGATGCTTTCATAACTGTTTAGCAAAAGATGTTTTCTACACATGCGATAAAAGAGTTCCAGTTCCCCATGTGAGGCTGGCTGCCAAACAAGGAATCCCGGTTAGGTTGGCCAAAAAATTTCTTCGACAACAAAAAAGTGACTTAAATTTAGCTGCTCTAAGAAATTTGTATTATACATCATCTAATTGACATGTCATAGAGATACAGTCCCATGAATGTGACACAGAATCCTTAAACTGGACTTTTTGCCGCCTAATAACCTCACTTTTTTACTGTGGGCGATCTCACAGCTTAATTTTACCACAATAGTTTACAGTAACTCTTGTCCATCCTCCTGCATGAACTTTCATTGAGGGTTTTTTTCCCTTTTAAAGTTGTGTGTCTTTGCACTTTTTAGCCACTTCTATGGCTGTAGATGTGTGTGTGGGGCCCAGTGTACACCCAAAGTTCAGCACTCAGCACTGGACTAAATGTAGGCAAATGAGATTCCCCTGACCTCAGCAGTAGCCGGCGCAGAGAGAGCACTGCCACGGCTGAGGCCGGCAGCACACAAAGGCCGGCGTGTTCCTATTGTGTTTTAGTCATTAGCAGTTTTGCCAGCTCTTGGTTTGGCCCCCTTGCTGATTTCCTGTGGTGATATCTCCATCCAGCTGCCTTATCACCCCGGCATACCTACCGTGGAGGGGAAATTACATGAGGCCAAACATGAACCTAGATGCGGCCTCAGTCTTGATATGAAGGAGTATGATGGAGCCGCAGGATGTTTGTCATTTTCTGTCTTATCTGAGCTGACCGACCTGCTGCTACAGGATGTGACGCGAAAAAACTGAAGTTAACAAACATGATGTGTTGTGAAAATGTAGTGGATGTGGGTAAGAAAGAGGTTTGCTTAAGACCTGGCTGAGGTGTCATTGTGTAACTGCACCTGCTGTGTGTGCTGCCGACCGACTTTGTCTGTCAGTCAGGTGATATATCTGATGACTCTGTGAAGTCCTCAGTGGGTTCCACTTGTCTCGAGTTCCTCTCAAGATTTTGGGTCTTCCTGTATTCAGCATTTTCCCGTGTGTGTGTGTGTGTGTGTGTGTGTGTGTGTGTGTGTGTGTGTGTGTGTGTGTGTGTGTGTGTGTGTGTGTGTGTGTGTGTGTGTGTGTGTGTGTGTGTGTGTGTGTGTGTGTGTGTGTGTGTGTGTGTGTGTGTGTGTGGAGCAGAAGGGCCTGGCAGCTTTCAGCTTTATTTATTTGGACAGGAGTCATTTGTCCCCCCGAGCCTCTGAAGGCCTCTGCTGTGTTTGCTGTTGAAACCTGCCACAAGGATGAAACATGAATACACAAATACAGCCAAATGGTGTTCAAAAAAAAAAAGGTGTTTCTGCATGTGTGACAAACTCGTGCTCCACATGTCAAACAAGTCTTTCATATCTTTGCTCAGACTACAACAGGCTGTGCTGCCCTTCATTTTCCTGTAAGTAGGCTATGGATGACAACAGAAAGAATAGCTGCGAGTGCTGCTATTTTTGGAAAAAAAAGGGAGAAAAAGTCTTCACAATGCTTCAGTTATCACAGCGAGACAGTCTGCAGGAACTTCTATCTTATCAAAGCTGTCCATCTGGGGGCAAAAACTGACAACAAACCAGACAAAGACGCAAACGTCATGTTTTTGAAATGGTCTCAACATACCTCACCTCCTTTTTTTCTTCTTCTTTAAATGCACCGTATCATGGATTTTTTTTTTTTAAGTAGTACATAGTTAAAGGTAACAAGATTCTTGTATCATAGTCCTAGACTTGATCTTGAACTCAGTTTTTTCTGTCTTCTTTCTTCTCTTTGTATCAGACCAGAGGATTTGCTCTCCTCCATTCATGGTCCTCAACACAGACTGTACCCCAGATGTGCTGGAGCAGATCAAGAGACAAGGACTCACATTCCCTTTCAGTAAGTACATTTCAATCTCACTCATCACATACAGACGGTGAAGAGAGAACTAATTTCTTTACTTCTTTTATATTTCTTGTTCCTGATACTGTGCTGTAAAATAATTTCTTTGAGACGTTTGTCGTGTATTTATATTACTGGGTGAAGTTACTGCTTGTTCAAAGTATGGTGACCTCGCTAAGTCTTCCTTGCCTTTATTTCTCCCTCAGTTTGCAAAACACGGGTGGCTCATGGAACCAACTCTCATGAGGTGAGAGGTCACCCACACCCTCCACAGTTTGCTTTGTGCAAGCATCGACACTTGTTCTGTCCCAGGATTGTCATTTAACTCAAGTACAAACAACCTCATCTGATAAAGTGCTGCTGTACCTGGTGTATCTTTGTGTGTCAGCTGAAATCAATACTCCAAATATTCCTAAGTCCACACTCACTTTATTTGGCTCATGTCTGAATATGCACATCTATTTGGATAGCTTCTGGGATGTTCAGTCAGTCATTGTTTGTGTAAATCTGTCCACAGATGGCCATTATCTTCAGCGAGGAGGACCTGAAGGACGTGAAGCCTCCCTGTGTGATCCAGAGCTTCATCAACCACAACGCAGTGCTCTACAAGGTGTTTGTGGTGGGAGACTCATACACTGTGGTGGAGAGACCCTCACTGAAGAACTTCCCTGCTGGACCTGCAGGTGAGGAGACAGACAGCCAGTCACTTCTTAAAGTTCCCAATAAACCAGCTCTTAAAACGGCTTTATAGGAACTGTGATTGGACCTTTTAAGGGAGAAGCAGAGTGCAGCGGAGCTCTCACTACACTGTTGGAAAATAAAGAAGACTAAAGGCATCCCTCTCCATAAACATGTCAGAAGCATGACCCATGATGCGGCATTGAATGCAGGGTTGTCCCCTTACACAAATGACTCCAGTATTTGCATGAGGTAGCGGAGGCCCTCATGCAAACCAGTTTCCAGCCCTCAGTGCTGCTGTCTGCTTTGTGTAACAGTGCAGAGAAAACAGTTGCTTTCAGCCTGGAATGCTGAGTGCTGCAGCTAAAAGCACGGCCTCTGTCGCACACAAAAAAGCGACATACCACAGCAATACATCTGCGCAGCATTTAGATTGGTTTACAATGCACTCCGGGGCTATACAGTGGGTTTCGTAACAAGCAAGCAGGGGGGGGGCTAGGTCGGATCAAAGAGCGAGTTTTGAAGTTTAAGGGAGGTAGAACCAGTGAAAGAGGGAAACTTAAGGATAACAATCTAAGAGAATTTTCGTCCCATCAAATCTTGGTTCCCATGTTCATGTCGGGTTCAAACCGCTCATCCTGTCTGGGATTGTACAAGGACATCTGCCTGACACTTCATTACATCGACCTTCCACAAGCCACGAGGGAATGTTTTATTTGGACAGTGAATGAATTATTTCCCTCTCCTCCTCATCCTTCTCACTAATGCTCCTACATGTTAATCATTACAGCGATAACACAGAAAAGAGGGTGATGGATTATGCAATTTATTATATCACTTATGTCACCGCTGCAAAGAAAATCCCCGCCTGCAGCAAACAGTTTACCAGCTGTTTTGTCCTGAGTGAAGACAACACATGACATGATTGTGACTGAAAGAGTGCAGTGTTAAAAGATTCCACATCAGGTTGGTTTGAATTAAAACGCCTTTTTTTTTTTTTTTCAACAAGTGCTAAAAGGAGTTTTAAAAAAAGGCAAGAGTGGAAGTCTTCCTTAAGAAACCAGTTGAGCTTTGCTGCCACCTAGTGCCTGAAATGAAAAGATGACCAAACAGGGGAAGCAGAGTGTTGACAAGCCTCTTCAAAACTCTCCACCTAACCCTTTTTTGAATCCATTTCCTTTCCAGATCGGAGAGCCATTTTCTTCAACAGCCACAATGTTTCCAAACCTGAGTCCTCTTCAGACCTGACCACGGTACGTCCACAGAGTCACCGACTTCATCTCGTAAGAAACTTTGGCCTTTTTTCTTTACTAAAGTGCTGATATCTTCTGTCTCAGCGAGAGAACTTGGAGGGAGTCTCTCAGCCACCCAATGATGATGTCATCAGAGAGTTGTCCAGGTCGCTGAGGCAGGCGCTGGGGGTGTCCTTGTTTGGCATTGATGTTATCATCAACAATCAAACAGGCCAACATGCTGTCATTGATGTCAATGCATTCCCTGGTAGGTCCTCCATGGCGGTTGTCTGTGAAAAAGCTTTACATCTTTATATTTTGGTGTGATTATGTTTGTCACTCTGTAACTCCGGTCATCGAGCATAAATGGACTTTAATCTTCAACTATGAGCCCATTTTTAGAGGTTAACTTGCTTTTGTGGGGTTGTTATGATCAAATAAAGATACAGATTCTTCATAAAGAAAATCAAACAGCTGTCTAATCCTGTGTCCCTCTGAACTCTCAGGTTATGAAGGCGTCCCAGAGTTTTTCAACGATCTCCTCAACCACATCACCAGCGTCCTCCAGAGCCACAACCCAGACTTCGCCCCTGCCAGCGAGCAGCCCAAAGCCCTACCTGTAAGCTCCACGGTACCTAACGCCATCCCGCCGGCCCCCAGCTGCTGCAGCATGCTGGGAAAAGAGGCCAGCAGCAGCCCCTGGATTGTAGAGGGAGACGGAGGACTGAAGGGCCCACGTCAGAGACTGGGTTGCAACTCGGCCATGTCCCCCAACTTCCAGCAGCATTGTGTGTCCACGATAGCTACCAAGGCTTCCTCCCAGTGACTGACTCCTCCCTCTCCTTAGTCCGTTTGACCCTGAACAAAAAAAAACGGATGACAATGGTGACAATAATAATGAATAATAATCATAATAATTATGATGTTAATGATGATAATATATCTAATCAAAAAACAACCCTTTTCCTATATAGTTATTGAAAATGGTGGTGATTGGGTGTACGCTTTTTTCTCTCTGCCTTTTTGTATATTTTTTGTTTAGTCTAATGAGACTTAACAGTACTGTAATGTGAACTTTTGGGAACTTTGCCTAATAGCTGATTTTATTTTTCTCTCTTGTGTGAGTACTCTGTGATGAAAGGGTCCAGGTGAGGTAGCCAATCAGGACTGAAGAGAGATGTGCCACTAGATGTGCAATGTATGATCCAAATAAACACGCACACACGGGTACACGTAGACTGGCCTGTGATGTGTTTGTTTGCAGATAACACCACTGATTCCTCTGTACAAAATGAAGAGGAGAGAACTACAAATCCATAAATCCCAGGCTGCTATGTGACAGTGGCCAACCATCTGAACATGAACTGCAAATTAGCTTTAGGTTTGGTTAGTTTGAACAAACAGGTGTAAGGTTTACTGCTCAGTGCCATCAGATTCATTTCAAGGATAGAAAGAATGCCTGAAAGGAAAAAGAGAACAACATCACCTTTTCAAGGTTTAAAAGAAGAAAGAAAATCTCCATGATCATGTGACCAAGTTTCTTTTTTTTACTGTTGCACCAATGTTTATAGGTCCTTGAGTGTTTTACTGTATGACTGATGTTTGGTGTCAAACAAACAAGCTGCATCCTTGTTCAAGTCTCTCCACATGAAGATGAGGATCGCATTCCTTTTTGTGTTTGTGGATTTGTTGTCTGTCTAGAGAATTCCATGATTTTTTTTCCATAATTCCAGTGGGATTTTGTGAGATTTCTCTCAGCACATTGTCGGTGTGTAATCTGTTCTTACAGAATCATGTCTTCAGCGCTTCTTGGAGATGTAAGCACACCACTCTCCTGAGGCCAATGTAACCTGTCGAAAAACAGACCTTAAGGCTGCTGTGTAGCTTGAATGTTTCATTGATATTTTAATCAGATGATGTATATCCTCCCAAGAATAGAGTCAAATCTGTGTCTGGGTACCCACCAATAGGGTATGAATTATTTTGAAGCCATTAGGCAGTAACAGAAATTGAAAAATTGAGATGATTCATAAATTCTCATAAAGCACGTCTCTTAAAAATGCAGCTAGAGAAACCTTCAGTCCAGGTTTCATGTTCTTCTTCGACCTGCCTCCTGTTCCAGCTGCTGTATCTTTGTCACATGTTGAAATCATTAGGAGTGGAAGTTGAGGGGAAAGGCGGTCCAGCTCTTGTTCCCATTGTTCACTGTGAGATTTTTTTACTCCGATTTTGTTAATATCTTTGTCCTGATAACTACCAAGAGCAATTTTATTTTATTGAGATTTTATGGGGGGAAAATGTTTTATATAAATGAAATGAAAAAAAAAGCATGGGATGTTTTGGAACAAGCGGTGGATATTTACTAATGGTGTAGTAATATGCTGGGTCTTGTACAGTTGGGGATAGAGTGGACTCGTGGTTGATGCTGTTGTCTCCCTCTAGCATTAAAACGGAAGGAGTGCCAACCTGCACTGAACACAGATTTTTCCCTTCCTCTGAGCCTGCTGCTTCTTCTCTTGTCCCAAAGAGCTGGTTTTTGCTCTTTCATTTCCTCCATCAATATCTGAGGGGACTGACTGTCCTCTATCTCACTCTGAAATCATAAATATTAGTATCAGTGCAGACATCTCACCAGCACCTCTAGGAGAAAAGACGTCCTGGAAAATGCTTTGAGTGTTGTGAAGCTACAGTAAATTTAGGATATAAAAATGTTGTCGCAGGCTCAGAGGAATCTTTCGAATCCTTCGAAACTTATCCTCAGTGATTCCTTATCTAGAAATAGGGACGTGGTTGAGAGTGCGTCCCTGATATGGCTGATATGTGTACACCACTATATTGTGCGTCCTATGTTGTGCTCCTTATCGTGCTTCTAAATGGGAAATAAATGGTTAATCCTACCCTTGGTCATTTCTGCAACCCAGACAGTGTCATCATGCTCCCAGCTTCCACCTGAATGTTTACGTCTTGGGTGTCTTGTACAGTACGTGGATCTCTGCCGAGGCTTACATCCGTACAGTATGTTGTTTTGTATCAGTTCTGTAATTGAGAGGAATCCACAATTTTGTGACCTTTTTTAATTCAATGGCCAAAACAACAGGGCGAAATAAACATGTGAAACCCTATGTGGCTCAGTTTGATTCCATTTGGTTAATTCAACCATTAGCCCAAAAATGTTGGTATACTAAATCAAAAAAATATTAGTTTGCAAATCCAACTGTAGATGATTCAAATCACATCAGGTGAGTTGTAAGGTTAGAATAATTTTCCTCTTATTATATTTAATATGGTGCCATCGAACTATTTTCAATTTGATACACTGTTAATACTTGGTAACAACAGTTGTATTGCATTATCTATTTGAGCATTGTCAGTGAGTTGTCAACAGTTATAACACATTATAATACCTGACCTTGTAAGTCATGATAAAATGCTTTATAATGTGTTATGATTTTTGCTATAAAGCATTATGATCATTTGTGAGTGTTTATAACTATAGTTATACAGTGCTATAATGTGATTATAAAGCATTATACGTATATCTATTAAGCATTCTAGAGATGGGCGTCAAATAAGGTGTTACCAATAAATTTTACATGATTTTCAACCCATCACATTACCCAACCACTACTATGTTTGAAAATTTGAGAATTAGGTTGTTAGGGTTTATGAATAAACACTGACTTGACCTGTTGAGTGTCATTAGGTTTTGTCAATACAGTGACACCTTATTACCATAAATCAAGTCTTTAAACCTGCTAAAGCCATCCAGTGACCATCCAATATCTTGTATCTTGATGTTTGTATTACTCATTCTTTTTGTCAGGAACAACACTGGATTTATATAAACTTATATTTCTTTCAACAAAATTTCTTCAAAGTATTCCTAAAAAAGAAAGTGCATCATTTCTCCCAGGCCTCCAGATGTTTATTGTCTCAATTTCACACATTTCATAGGATTGGAGACAAATTTAAAATGACACACATGTCAGGAAACAAACATATCTAACAAGGCCAGCTTTGACTCTATACAAAATGTTGCTTTTTAACATAAAAATATATATTTTCATAATCTTAGTCTTCTGTACATGTAAAAAAGAAAAACACAGACGTATTTACAGGAGCACCAGACAACAGAGGATTTTCTAATGCTACTTTTTGCTCACTGCTAGGAGTTTTTTTTTTAGGGTGGTGGGGTTGACTGCTGAGTTTCAGTGGGGTTGCAGATGATGTGCTGTCGGGTTGGCCAGCAGTCCCAGGATGGTGGAGAGACAGTGAAGCTTCTCCTTGACGTGCTCTGGCAACTTCTCATTCTCCTTATACCTGTGATGCAGAGGAGTCCATAATTCCACACTGTTCTGCACACGTTTAAGAGGACAAACATGAAACTGGCATGTTTGGTTACCTGGTGATCCTCCCTTCTGGAGACGTGTAAGTGATGCAGGAAACACCGGCCTGAACCACCAGCTGAGACCCGTCGTTAAACTGCACCCACACCTCTCCACTTGTCAGCTACACGGACAAAAGAAGTCCAGATTTTTATCACAGAGAAAACTCCTCTACTGATGATCAGCGAATACAAGGTCTACTTCATTTTCACGTACCTGTGATGCCCATCCAACATTGGGTACAAAAATAGACTTGACAACTTTTCCAGTGCTCTGTACCAGCTCCTGACGCACTGGGGAGCTTTTCTTATTTAGGCTGGTTGTTGTGAAATCAGAGCCATCATAGGAGATCATCTAGAAATTAAAAATAATATATTTTAAACAACAGTTCATAAGTACATCTCAAAGTGTTGTGATGTTACAAGACACTCACTGAAGGAGTGATTTGTGGAGGCTGAGGAGGTGAAGCTATTTCAGGAGCTACTGGTTGTGCTGGCAGGGAAGCTGTGCACGGGGAGTCCGGGTTGACAGGCCGCCTAGGTGAGATATCCCATAAAGAATGAGATTTACTTTGCCATAACAACCCCACTACCAAATAAAAGATCATTCACATTCCTCTTACCTGCCAATTGTTATGGGGAAAAAAGGGACTTTCTTGTTGCTGCGCTGCTCCTCTGCAGCAATGGCTGCCTCCAGAGACAAACACATGCTGTGACCCTCGTCAGCCAGCTCCACATACAGCCGGCTCTCTGGGCTCAAACCACTCAATCCCACCTCGCCCTTCACCGTGCACGACTTTCCGCTCTTCTCCACTACTCGCACCAGCTCTGAGGTCTTGTGGGTCTTTGCTCCTACACGACAAAAGTCCACATGAAGCTTTACAGAAATTCGCACAAACAGGGTCTTGTGTTACTCATATGACCTTTGTCCCTCTCTGACTCACCATCGTAGAAGCAAACCTCCAGGTCGGCGTTGGGACAGTTTTCCATCAGCATTACTTTTGCATGCTTCGTGTAAAGAGTCACTTTTGGAGTCTTGGATTTCACAAGCTGCACAAACTTAAAGGCGTATTGGTACTTCTTCCAGTACTTTTCTGAAGCAAAAACAAATTAATCAGCTCACTATTTATAATTAAACATCACTTTTAATATAACAGTGAGTGTGTTAAGTTCATCATAGTACCTGGAAGGTCTTCATAACTGCAAATGAGTATATCCTCTGGAGGAGCAGGAGGACAATCGAGGACAGGAAAACCCTTTCCACCATTAGGCTGGTATATTGTCACCTTCAAAAGATAATAAAGATCTTTGAATAACAGGTATAACCCTCAATCAGTCAGGTATGAAATGATCTCTATGTACAGGTTTGGGGTTTTGGTAACACTAACTTCAGAGTGCATGTTATTAAGCTTACCATTGAACCATCACAAGAAATCCGAAGAACTTCTTTGACTCTTTCTTGACCACTCTGGCATTTTAACAACTCCATACACACTTCACCTGTGTCCAAAATGCTCACCTGTAGGAAATACAAAGCAAATTAATCAGGCCTCAGTAAACCTGAAGTCCAAATAAAATCAAATTGAATTAAATGGTAAAAAGTCACTGCAGAATCTTACGACAGCATTTTTAGTCTTCTGTCTGATAGGCTTCAGTCTGGCTGCACAGAGAGGCGGAACAACGTCTCTCAGTGTTTTCTTCACTTTATCCACGCTTGGCTTGGCTGAGGGCAGCTTTAACTCTCTGCCAAGAGGAGGCTGGAACTCTGCACCAGGTATATTTTCTCTGTACGAGTCAGGGTTGGAGGAGAGGTTGTAATGCAGGTGGTGCTGGTTTTGGTGAGGGCTCACCTCTCGGCCTGTGGGCTTCTCTGACCAAGAGTTGTGAACACCCAAAGGTCCTCTGCTGCTGTGGAAGCTACCGCTGCTGCTGTGACTGCTACTGTCTGCCAGCCTGTGCCCAGAGCCTAAAATGAGACATAAGCTTCAGCATGACACTGATAAGAAATGCTAAAATCTATTACATAAACACTGCTAAGACAGTAGAAAATATCAAATTTACCATCATTGTTGAGCCAATTAGCAACACCTTCAAGGTCCTGGTATTGAAGGCTTGGTGGGTGTACAGTCTGTGTGGATAATGAGTAACCAGAACTGAAACACAAAATGCAATCTGTTAGACTTATTTGTTTAAATTAAAGAGACTTTAAAACAGACAGACTTCTTACTTTGCTGCCTGTTTGACAGGAGGAGACGGAAGCCTCCCTCGCTCTGACAATGGGTGCTGAGTAGATGTCAAGGGGAACACCGGTTTTCCTAATCCTGTCAACAACTCCTCTGAGTGGCATCTCCCCAACTCAGTGTGACTCAATGCAGAAGAGCTGGAGCGATCGGAAGAGTGAGCTCTCCTCAAGTAGCGAGAATGAGGTTGTCCATTTTCCCCACCATGACCCCCTCTGCTCCTGCCCTCTCTGTGAAATCTGTCCCCAAGATGCGCCTGCTGCCATTGTTCGCTATTCTCAAAACAGTCCCTGATTGGTTGGCTTGTGAGACTGGAAATCGGCGCCATGCGGTTAGGCAGAGCAGAGCCAATCATGTGCCTGGTCATCCTCTGGAGTCGGCTGTTGCTGCTAGCTGAGGTAGAGGAGGTGCAGGCTGTGGAGATGGTTGCGATGCCGCTGTCTATCGAGCCTTCGTCGCCGTGGCCTAGCTCCTTATTCTTGACCAGCAGGCTCTGGGTCATAAAAGGATGGTCGAGCACTGCGGAGAGGCTTGGCCGCTGGGCTGGGTCTTTTTGCAGCAGCTGGTGGATGAGGTCCTGAGCCTCCAGAGAAACATGACTGGGCATCTCATACTCCCCAAGAACCACTTTAGACAGAGTGTGCTTCACTGTGTCCGTGTCAAAAGGGGGACGACCCATCAGAAAAGCGTAGAACATACACCCCAGCGACCACACATCTGACTCCAGGCCATGAGCGCTGCGAGTGGCCACCTCAGGAGAGATGTAGTTGGGAGTGCCGCACATGGTGAAGTGCTTTTCATTTGGGAGTTTGAGCTGAGTAGCCAAACCAAAATCTGCGATCTTAATGTTCATGTTGCTCGTCAATAAAAGATTGGACAAAGTCAGATCACGGTGCAAGATGCCATGGGTGTGGAGATAGAGCATTCCTTTCACTATCTGATGCATGAAATGTCTTGCTGTGAAGCACATAAGAAAGTTATTAAGGCAGGCAAATTTGGAAGGTAAAACAACTCAGTCAATTTTATGTTTTAAGAACTGTGCTCGAACCTTCATCCTCGGAAAAAGGCATCTTCCTCTCTTTAAGGTACCGACTCATTTCTCCATTGTGACACATCTCCAACACCAAGTACACATAGTTGCTGTCCTCAAAGTAGTTGTACAGCTTTAGTAGGAACAGGGAAAACATAACAGTTATTTACATGCCAAAGTGAAAAAAATACCCCTGTAAAGCTTCATAATACATTTCAGTGGATTTGAAATCTAAATTTGTTGTATTGCTGGACCTTCTAAAAATACGTAACATTGTTTAAACAAACAGTCTATTATCGAAAGCAGATGGATAAATAACAGATGAAACAATTAGAGGAGGTTGGGTCCTGTCCTCCAATCACATAACCATGACAACAATAACACAAAGCTAAGAGACATAGCCTCAAACACAGAGTGGATAGAGTCCTGACAAACATTTGACCAGAACAAAGAATTCAAGTGGCAGTGCTACTCTAAACAGATTTGTTAGTAGTGAGGCGTTATTCCTTTTTCACAAAATATTACCTCAAGTATTGAGGGATGTTTCAATCGGCACTGAATCTCCACCTCATTTGTCACACGCTGGACCATACCAGCTTTGTGCATTGCTTTCTTGTCAATCTGCAAACGAGAACAAAAGAGGTAATTACACACCTGCCAGTCGCACAGTCATCATATAAGGTGGCAAAGCGCTGTTGCATTGAGGTTTGGTCTTGTGGTAAATCCTCAATCTGTCGCCTTCAGACCTCATATGTGGAAAGCTGAGGGACCACAAAAGACACTTGGGAGGCAACTACTGCTTAATAACCCACAGTGGAACCTTTGACGACAGGTTGGCCATTAAAGCATCTACATTACAGGGAAAGCGTCCTATAATTAACCACATGTAGCTATTTCAGACATAAACAGTGTAAGAAGGGGTCTTACCGTTTTTATAGCAACCTCCAGGCCAGTCTTCACTGACTTTGCTCGGTAAACACATGCAAAGGAGCCTTTGCCAAGAAGTGTGAGAACCTTAAAATCCTAGAAAGAAAGCAAAAAATATGTAACAAAACACAACTTACACAGATGTATACAGATAAATAACTATTACATGTGAAATAATAATCGTTGCAGGCATGATACCTCGATCCTGAGCCCCTGATCATAAAATAAAGAGTTATCTTCATCTCTGCTGGATTGAGAGCCAGCAGAAAGGTTTTGATAGAAATAACGAACAAGCTGATTAATAACTGTGCCTCTGAGCTGAGACATGCTGGATGTACAGCAACAGACAATCCAACATCTGACGGCTTCACGGGGGAGAAATCTTCCCACAACAAACGTTAACTGCCAAACAAGCCACCAACACCTGACGCCGTCATATGGCCAACCAAAACCCTCAATTATCCCGGCTCCCTTCCCGCGGACCTGAACCGTCTCCAAGCAGCACGGAGGATGCACAAACCGACACACAGAGGAGAAACAAGCTGTCCCGAGAGAGCCAGGATGAGGTTACACAGCCGTACACGAACGACTCTGTGTACTATTATAACAATGTAAAGGGGAAGTGCGGTATCTCTAAGTTACGCTATTTAACTAGCGTTTAGTTCACTTGACGATTTAATGTATGAAATTATCAACCTTTACGTCAATAACAACTTTGGACATATTCGCAAACATAGTTAAACACACTGCTTTAAAGCTAGCTTAATAGTTAACTCCCACTAGCATGAGCGAGTTTGCAGTTAGCAAGCTAACAATAGCACTTACCTCGATTTTATCACCGATCGAAACACTCATCCTGCCTGTTTTTCTTCTTGCAGATTTTCCCTCGAAGTGAAGTGCATCGATGGTCAGTGTAAAGGTCTTCAAAACAAAAACATGTGTTGTTCTGGTGTCGCCCTCCAAAACTTTGCAATTTCTTCCATTTTGAAAATATCCGCCCGTTAGTCCACGTACTACGTCACGTACTACGTAATACGAAAACACAGAGTTACCACGCCCCCATTCAAGTGATCCGAACTGAGTCTGCGCAGAATACCTCACGATGTGTACAAAGGTTGTCCTTTACTTTTAACAGCTAAATTATTTTAAAACAAGACCATGCCTACCTCACTGGAAGAATAAGCTGCTACCTTTTTGTAAAACCTTAAAACTTGTTACGGACAAGAAAGCCTTATGCCTATTTTCTCTACTAGAAATGTTTGAATTGATTTAGAATGGCCTCTAACATTAAAATTGTGGGTTTTTTTGTTTTTCTTTTTTGATGCTATCCATACCATAGACTGTATATAAGATATAATCTTATATATACATATAATCTATGATCCATACTCAATCTAAGGCAAATATTCTGTAATTTTCTTTTATAATAAATACGTGCCTTGTTTGTTTGTTTATAATTCAATAAATAAATAAATGAAAAAGGAAAAAAAATTAACAGCTAAATTTGATATCTGTTGGGTAATACTTGTTTCAAATATCAATTTACATTTTCCAGTCAAGTCTTTGTTTGAAGGATTAGATTTGTGGAGTCATTACCACACAGATTGTTGGTAAAATCTGTGAAAACCTAAGATTTGAAAGTGATTTTTTTATTTTTGTAAAGGAGCTTAGATGAGCGTGTCAGATCAGCCTCTTTGTCTAATTGAATAGTATTTCTTCTAGAGCTGCAATTTTTTTTCAGTTTTGTTTGATTTGATCAACTTTAACTTTGTTCATATTTTTAAAAAACAAAAAATATAGCAAAAGATATATCATTTGCTTTCTCTCACAGCATGAACTAAAAAATGCTAGCAATGCAAATAGCATAATAATATTTGTTCAGTTTGTCTTTGATTCATTTAGCCTGTCTTGATCACAAGCACTGCCATGCCTGTCTTGAAGCCTTTGTGATAAAAAAGGATTTTGACCAAAAGGTGGCCTTTATAAATAGAATCTAGCTTACTTGAAGCTTTATTATACCAGCTAAGAAGAAAGAACTCACATTTGAGTGTATTCATGATGAATATCAATTCTTAAGTATCCTGTATGGAGGCATGTAAGGATTTAAGATTTTCTGATATTTGGAACCATTATTTAGATTTTAAGCAGAAGATTAATGTTAGTATTAGCCTCCAAACCTCCAATGTCTCTGCATTTTCCTGATCCTTTCCCAAAACTTCCCTCAGACACAAAGCCTGCACATATTTTTTCCAGTTTGTCATTTAAGCTGCAGAAAGCAAAAACATTCAGACTTAAATATTTTTGTCTCACAGACCAGTATATTTACTTTGCCATCTTTCAATCCAATGACTAAAGTATGGAAAAAATGCAAGAAAACAAAATAAAGGAAATCGGCAACCAATAACCTGCTGGAGAGATTTGGTATGTCAAGCATTGCCATCTTTCTAAGAATATTTTCTTTATGTACATATATCTTCAGCTGCTTTTATTTACTAAAATAGTATTTACAGTCTCTAAACATAGATATAATCTTTCACTTATTTAATACAAATATATATAATTTGTATTATTGCATACAAACTAACAGCTCTGCTGTAGCAATTGTTTAGGCGGTACTAACTATCTCGCTTTAAAGTGACAGGATTTACTGGACACTTGAAAAGACCGAATGCAATTACAAAGGGATCACTCCTGTTTGGTGCAGACGAAACAATTTACATCAATAAGAGTTTAATCTACAGCATCATTCTTTCATTTATTAAGGATGTCAAACCTTTGAGAGTAAAGCACACCATTTTCACACACAAGGATGAGAGAGTGAAAACAGAAACCTCATATGGTAATGTCCAACTAAGAGGGAAAGTGACACAGAATACAAATCCACAAAATGACTGGTGATGAGGGTGAATGATGGTCCCAGGTATTCATGTTTTTATTGTCTAAGTGGTGGGTTATAATAATCATGGTGATAGCAGCGGTTCTCAGTCCACCTCCATCTCTTTCGTTCCAGGTTTTGTCTGCTGGCTTCCCTTTGTATCTCCTTTCCCTTCTGCTCCCAGTTTTGCTGTCGGCCCGTTGTGAGCTCCACTGCTTTGGTCATTCACCTCAGGAGCCTCCTCTACTGTGGGCTTCGGCCTGTTAACCACTGGATTACACACATCCTCTAGCTCCTGAAGAGTAAGAAGCAAAGAATAAGTCAGAGAAAAAGGCATACAAAAGCTCTTGTTGATTAAAAGACTGTAAGTCATTTACACACCTGTATTTTGGAAATGATGTCAGCTACTTTGACTACAGGATCTTGAGTTATGCCCAGTTTGCTCTGCGCATTCATCTTGCTGTTCATCCAGCCCATGCTTTCACTTACACACTTTTCCACTGTGCTCATTTCATCTGCAGTCAAATGTTGATACCGCTCATCCTGTGAGAAAAAATGTGACAATGGCATTTTAAAAAGTTGGTTTGAGCAGTAAACAAACTTTTGTGTTGAATACCAGAAAGTCAGGATCTGTCTTTCATGGTAAACTATTCATAACACCAGCAATTCATAAGCCTAGGATCATATGCAAATTAACTCAGAGCTCCAATGTCAATTTTTTTTAATGCTTATGAAATAGACTAAGATTATTTTAATGATACCCAAAAGAAAAAAGACCATCGGGGACAAGACTGTTTGAATACTTCAATTTTACTGCCCGAAACCTTTGCGAGGGGGTAAGTGTCAGCGAAGTAGCTGAAGAAACACTCCTATTTTTACAGTTTTCATGTCAAATAGTCACAATAAAGGATATATTTGACTAGAGAAAGTCAGTAGGATGGGATTTTTTGTCAAGAGACACCACCTAGGATTGCAGACTAATTTGTCCACAGGGGGTGCCAGAATTCACACAAAGTTCCTCACAGGAGCTTTATGAGGACAAACTTATGAGACATGCTACAAAACCCACAAATTATTACACATTAAAAATAAATAAATAAATAAAATCACTTTTTTTTTCACATTTATGTCAAAAAAGGCAATGCATACCAAGATCAACAGGCTTTACCTTCTGTTTAAAGCAATCCACAAACTTCATGTAGAGCTGCAGTTTCTTTCCCAACTCATCAAAAGCTCTTGGCCTGTCCTCATGTTCTCTGTGCCGGTCCTGGATGGGCTGACCAAACCTCTGGAAAATAACACGACTCTTTGTTATGTCTGACTCCTCTCTAAAATGGTAAAGGCTGGCACTCAGTTACAGCTCAGTAGGATGACAAGTAGTCGACTCATTTTTAGAACTAGAGCAAATTGGGGCAAACCTTCAGTGCCTCGAGCTTCTCCTCATAGACTTGTTTGGGCTGGTCCTCTCCTTCCTCATACAGCCAGTTCTCTGTGTCTTCAAGCATCAGTGTCAGCCGGTTACTGTCCTGTTAGTAATAGCCAAATTAAAATATGGATACTGAGAAAAAAAGTGATGAATCATTTGTTTCCCCTCTTTTTTCTGTTATAGAAGGCAGCAAAGGTGTTTAAGAGGTTTGCACTTACTTCCTCTGTGATGTATTTTTCATACATCCCACTGAGTTTGTCTCGCAGATCGTATACATACTCCTCCACAGCATTTTTAGCATCATTCAGCTCTTTCACCAGTTTGTCCTGGATAATCATCTGACGCTATGAGAAAAAGCAAATACCAGAAATATGTTAGAGGTGTGTACAATAACAGCATTACCCAACTCCAACCCACCAGCCACACAAAAAAAACTTAAAATTGACTTCAGAGTTGAATGAACACACCAAAAATATTGAAAACTTGACAAAATAAGGCACAAAAAAAACTTTAGATGTTGCTGCAACAGATTATGCTAATTAGTAAGCAGTTAACAATCATTTTGGCTCCCTGTCTAGGTTGTCACTGTTTGGAAAATGTCAAAAAAAAGCAGCACAACAAACAATTAAAGTCCCAGTCTTGCCCCCGTAATCAGCGTTTCAATCAGACTATGACTCAGCGTTTCTAGAGGCCAACAGAAGCAGTCACCTCATACTCCACAAAGCTGTTCAGGACATCACTCTCCAGCTGTCGAATGTTGTTGGCTACAATTGGCAGATCAATACTCTTCACCTTGACTTTGGGTTTGCTTCCCCCTGCTGCTGGGTCCTGCTTTTCCCCAGACGCCCCCTCCTGGATTTAGAAACAAGAGAATCACTATTCGGGCTCTACTGTAACATACTGAGTTTTATTTGTTTCTCAGCCAAATGTATAGGATTTTTAAGACGGATCAAAACACTCTATTGTGACCATTTCTTTGCATTTCTTTTCATGTAGCTTGATATCGCTTCTTACTCCGCGACAGAATGAGAAGTATGAAAGTCTTATTCTAAAAAACGCCTTTTTTCATTAAGCAGTGCAGCATGAATGGTATGAGTGTTTCTATGAATCAAGTTAGAAAACATATACATTTTTGAGCATATCGCATAATCATAATTGTAGTCCAGCCAACCTTGCTGTTAGCACCAGTGTCATCACTCAGCTGGTCAGCCTGGCTTTGGCCTTCTTGGTCCACCTGCATTTTAGTCTAAAAACATCACACATACAAAACAAGAATGTCAATGGAATTTCTTAACCACATTTATATGAACCAGATGACTCTAAAATAAAACTAGCAAAAGTTTGCAAATGATGATTCTGTTCAAAGATGATTCAATACAGGGGTTTGGCAGAGGTAGTATGCCATTAGTGAGCAATCAATGTGCTGTATTCTGAACCACATATTTTTAAACCAGGTTGTTTTTATTACAGTCACAGAGAAAAAGCAGGCCTTTTCCCAGGGCTGTAAAAAGTTACTTTAGAGGTCAAAGCACTGTGATCATGGCTCAACTCCTAGAAATGAGACATTCCTGTTCAACATGGTATAGATAGTTCTGAGTCACAAATGCAACTGTGGGGAAAAATCCTCTCTCACCTGGTCCTCTGGCCTGCCTTCATTCTGCACCATTGGCTCAGAATCAATTTGCATGTCCTCTCCCTCTCCTTTCTGCTTCTCTATCAGCGAGGCACTGGACACGCTGAAGATACCGTGGACATTCACACGTACTTTAACCTTCACTTTGGAACTGTCTCCATCCGGCTGAGGAACCACATTCTGTACAGAGAAACATCCTGAAGACAAAACATGTAGTTCATCATTCCAAGCCACATTTACAGGCTGAAGCTACTGATGGTCAAAATCTCACTTTGGATGCAGACATCAGTGGAGATACAGCCCTAAAATCTACCTCATACATCAACCACTTCTTTTCCTGCAGGCCTATGTAGCTGTTGTAAGCCAGATATCTGCATTGTTTTGCATCTTAAATTCTCTGCACCAGTCTATTGGGGGGGAAAGTGCATGTTTGACTTTAAAAGAGCAGTGGAGCAAAATTACCTATCCTGTGGTCAGGGTAGGGCAGATCTTGAGGACTGCTGTAGAAGGCCTCAAGATCAAAAGGTTCCTTCTTGTGAAAAGTGATCACTTTGGAAAATGGGGCAGCATGATTCTTGCTAAACACCTCACACTCTCTGAAACAGATGCAGGGAAAGAAAAAAGTCAGGTATGTTTTTATTAAAACTTGGTCAGCAAATGTTGCATTTTCAAGCTGGCTGACATAGCTAGATATAGCAATTAAGAGAAATGAACACAGAGCAACCAATCCCTTATTTTCTGAGGTGTTACTGCCTCATTTGGATATTCAGATAGCTAAGATGTCCTCACCCCAATCCATCATCTGTTGGTGATTTCCAACGAAGAGTTATTGGAAAAGGAACCACATCAGTGATAGAGAATTCACGCACCTTGAATGCTGGAGACAAAATTGCGCACTGCAAACCAACCCAAACAAAGATGATTGTTGTTTAGCTTCATTGATTGACCACAGAATTTTTGTGCAGTACATTGTAAAACATTGTTTCCATAATGTCCTGCACCTGAAGTGCACAGCCTCGAGCAACAGCTTCATCTGCGTTGAGTGTGGTGCTGACGTCCTTGCCGAAAAACTTGCAGATTCTTTCTTTAATAGCTGGGCTCCTTGTGGCTCCTCCAATTATCTCTACTGCATAGATGTCATCCTTGCTCAGCTCTGACAGGAGAACACACACACAGAAATGTGTCAATTTATCACTGATGTTTCATTTCAACAACATGTTTTCAGAAATTTAATCAGCTTTGAAAGTCATACTTGACTGTTCAAGGGCTGTTTTCAACGGCATCTCCACTCTCATCAGATATTGAGCACACATTTCTTCAAACTGAGTCCTGTGGGTTCAAAAATAGGAAGAAAAAATAAAAAATGATGCATTTCCTTTGTAGTCTTGGTCAAATAAAATTAGTTTTTACCTGTTCATCCTACTTGTTACATCAATATCATTCATGAAGCACTCTATATTCAGAGGTAGATCAGAAGAGTTGGCGCTCATCAGCTTCTTCAATTTCTCACACTCTTGGTGCAGCCGCAGCAGAGCCCGCGGGTTCTCCCTCACATTGAGCTTGTACTTGACCTTAAACTCCTCACAGAAGTAATCCACCAATGCCTCATCAAAATTGCGCCCACCAAGGTAGGGATCAAATGCAGTAGCCAGGACCTGACAGAGCAAATTTGACATTCATCTTTGAGTTTATGGGTACAGGTGTCAGTGTGAATGAAGATGTGAAAGGTTAAAGTCTAACCTTGAGTTTGCCTTTGTTGAAGGCAGTGATGGAGACCTGGAATGATGAGTGTCCCATGTCCACAAATACCACATTTCTGGGTCTCTCCTCTGGAGATGGAAGATCTTGTTTGTAGATCCCATAGGCCAAAGCCACTGTTCAGGGGATGGAGATTTATTAGCAGCTTGGATGAGTTCTGGAGTACGCCTCATCAGGTCAAGTAAGCATTGATGGCTATTCATTCACATACAAGACATACAGCTGAATGTTGTTTCTCACAGACTAGGTGTGAGGACAAGGCTGCAAAAGCAGTTGTTCAGGAGGAGACTGGAGTATTTAAAATAAACTAATCTGATTTAGGTCATTTGTTTTAAAGAAATGACAACTGGTATGTCTTGGAATGTTCTCCACTCGTCCTTCAGACTGCTTTTGAGTGACCTTAAGCCACTCTTAATGCAAAAATTCAGGCATCTGAGCCTTTTTTTTATATTTTGACAGGTAATCACCAAACTATAACCTCATTCAAATGGTGTAGTATAGGGTAAGGGTTGGTATGAAAGTACAATCCATGACTCATGTTTTAACCATGACACCATCACCTTAACAAGCATCCGTATTTTCCAAGAACACTGACCTGCGGTAGTGTCATTGATTAGTCGTAAACAGTTCAACCCTGCGATTTGAGTTGCGTCAAACACAGACCGTCTTTCAGCATCTGTGAAAAAACTTGGTACCTGGGAAAAAGAGGGCAAAAACCATTATGTTTCATGTAACCTCTTGGTGTATCAACTGAACAATCCACTATGATGTTTTTGTCACTCACAGAGATGACACAATCTACAACCGGCTTCTTCAGGGCGCTCTCTGATGTCTCCTTCAGCTTGTTGAGCAGCATCCCTGTGATCTGCTCCACAGTGAAAACTTTGTCATCATCCAAATAACGGACCTGCAAATATGGGACAGTACAGACATGCCAGTCTAAAACAGACAGAATGGGGTAATAAACTGATAATGTATTTGAAGAAAACATTTTTAAAAATGGTTGCATGACAGCAGAAAATGGTCAGGTTCAGAGAGTCGAGGGAGGCCTGTGCTATGCTTTACCTTAATTCCAGTATTTCCATTGGCTAGTTTATGTAAGCTGTAAGGCAGTTTGGGTTTTTCTGCTTGGACAAATGGGTCATCAAATGCCCTGCCGTGGAACTTTTTGAAGCCATGGACTGTATTTTTGAAGTTTGTTATGGCCTAAAAGAAGAAGATACTCAGTTATTAAATGTGAAGCCATATTTTATTAAAGCTATTATGTGAATATAATTTGTAATAGTACACCCCCTGTTCAGGAAGTTTTCTATATTATAATTTCAATATACAAAACTGATTTTGGTACAAAAACTTAATATACAGCAATAGAAAATCTTACTTGACTTTTAGCTGCATTTCCAATCATGCGGTTTTTGGAGGCCAAAGACACGCAAGCCCTTGTTGGAAGACAAATACATCAGCACATTAGGCAGGCTACAACAGAAGTAATCCAGCTAGACATGCAGAACTGTAATTGTCTGACTGCTGCAGACACAGTCAAATGTCCAGGGCAGAGAGGCAGATTTCGATTAAGAAAATTTCACAAGGGAGTCTGAGGGAGCATCACAAACTAGGGCAGTGAGACAGAACAGTTCACCTTCAACAGACCAAAAAAAAAACCCATCTCCTTCTTTATTTATCACTCAGAAGATCCCTGTTTATTAGAAAGGAGGCCCCTTCTCTATCATCTTTACTAATGAATGTATTAAGTCTCTCCTTAGTTTCACCTTGCCTCAAAAATGTCCCGAGCTACGGAGAGGTGCAATGCTCTTCACCTTCCCAGCAGCACATCCCTGTTAGCAGGATGCTGCAGAAAATGTGCTTCTGTTACAATTCACTGTATGGCCTTTACCATTTAAACTCCCCAATGTAGACATTTTTGCTTTAGCTTATTCAGCTTTTTTTTAACTTTAGGACAAAACAATGTCATTGGTCAGTGTGGGATTTTAATTCTTGGAATTTTCCAGGGCTGACTCTAAAAAGGATGTGATCAGCCTGATTGTATGACCATAACAGACATCAAGAGGCAATGTCATGCTAAAAACATGTTTGTATGTTTTTTAGGAACAAAGAATATAGCATAGTCAGAGCTAATCCTGCTGTAAAACCTTAATAACATTGTGTCTTCGTTAAGTTACTTATTTAAGCCAAGTTAAATGCTCAATGCCCACCCCGTGGTGATGATCAGACATGTCAGTTTTCTGTTAGTGAGTACAATCATTTCATATGCGACATTTTGACCTACGTTAACTTGCTGAGAGGCTGGGTGTACCAATAGTAACAGGCCTCATCACAACCAGCAGCAGCGGCAGCACTGCTGTGTCCACACCATCACCGCTCAGCCAGTGCGCTTCCAGTCGCAAACATTGCGTAACAAACTCACAGTCAGACTACAATTCACAATGATGCTGCTTCCCAAAATGTACACTTACGGTGTGCATCTGTCACTGTAATCATTGGTAATGGTTTCAATGCCGCCGCTTCGGGCAACAGCGATGTAACAATTCTGGAAACCCACGTCAATGCCGACCACTGACATGATGAGCGCTCTTTAAGTCACCTTTCCTGAAGTTGTCCTGAGCAACGAACGCGCGACACCTATGAGGGAAAATATACAGAAGAAAATACAAGAAAGCGCGTCCCCTTCAATTAAAAATAAACGAGGGAGCCAGCTGAGGAAGCGCTCACTGAATTACTCTACCTGTTATGTAAGTCAAGCTGTTTATAGCAAACTCATTCAGAGTAATCCCACGGAGCAATGGTGTCCAGAGCGGATTCTCCCACTCAAAGGTAGCCCTAGCATCACCAAGCGCCTCTGAACGACAGATGCTCCAAAGCCCGCCCACTGATGTCTTTGATTGGCTGCGTCATGCCCTATGTCTTTACGTGATTGGTACGTCAACCAATCGATAACAGAAATCTCTAGAAGCCCCTTGGAAGGGGACCATCGAGTACGTCACTAGAAGCAGCGGCGAATCAGATATGCTGCCCTAAATAATACCTGTCAGGCTGGGTTTATTCGCCCCCCACTCACGCACTGTCAGGCTGATGTCTGGACCAAACTACGATGCCTTAGACATCAGTGTGAAAATTTCTGGTTCATATCTAGAGTTTGCAATTAACGGACAACAGCATGACAATAACAGCTGCCTTCAAGTCCTAATACAGGGGTGAAAAGTCACAGAGGTGACACAGGTGCGGTCTCCTCATATCATAAACTCTTCTTCATATGCACACCAGGCCGGCCGAAGCCTCAATGGGGCCCTAAGCAAAATTTGACTTTGGGGCCCTCTATATCTGTCAATAATATTGATTTTTAATCATTCACACACCTTCACAAATCTCTTTAACATTCCCTGACATGCGAACATACCTTTATCTTGGCATTTTTTCTCTTCTTCCGCTTTCTTTTCTCTGCTCCTGAAGGATATGTCCTTTTTATGCGACACTGTTTTGCCCCACAACTACCTGCGCTTTGGATGCTCAGTGCACATCGCACAGCAGGAGGGACTTAACGGTAGCTTTGACATATCGGCAGCAAGAATTATAAGCCTAAATCAGCAGCAGCACTAAAATGTTTTTACTTTATTTTATTTTTTACAATAATATATATTTGATCATACAGAAATCATCACTCATACATCAAAAAAATAAATAATATATATATATATATATATATATATATATATATATATATATATATATATATATATATTTGGATTGCTTTTGGGGGCCCCCTATTGGCCGTGGGGCCCTAAGCAGGCACTTAGTTCACTTATGCCTTGGGCCGGCTCTGATGCACACATAGCCTTTGTGTTTAAAGAAAATTACCTTAAGGGAAAAAAATGAGGCTAAGACTTATTATACCCACCCTGCTCTGGTGACTGCACTGTGCTATGGAAATCACTGTATGGGCTCATAATTGCATCCAAAAACACTGATCACATATTGTTACCTTTTTCCACAAATGCGGGTCAGAATTACATCATGCAAAAAGAAAATCACATACAAAAATGATCCAAAAGGCAGCAAAGTCTCAAACAAACTGAGATAAAACAGAAAACGTTCCTGCAGTCTGACAAATAAAAAATGACATTATTTGCAGACAATGTGGATGCTACATCTTGGATCACTAATCAAGTCGCATGGCTTGTTATTGGCACACAGTTTAAAAGCGAGTATTCACCATGGAATAAGGACACTGAACTATTAAGTATGTAGGTAGGGGACACTTTTGGAACTATATATAGGCTTTATATGATTTACAATCCATTAAATTCTCTTTTCTCAACATTTGATAAAGTGTCTCAACTCTTGCTGAATGGGGGTTGTACTTATCCTAAGAGATAAGATACTTTATTAACAGGAGAATGAAAGGAAAGATTTGGCTTGTCATTTATACTTTATTTCTCCACTGTGGACTCTCAGTTTTGTTTCATTTTTTCATTTATTTTTTTTTTTCAAACATGTGCGTGCAACACAAGAAAGTAAACTTGACTTAAAAATAAAAAATACAAATAATAATAATGTGAGCCCAACATGTCCGAAAAAGAGTAGGATGAATCATAATGCTTTTTTAAAACCTACCCCTTCTCCTTTACTCAATAGACAGTCAGTCTCCAGCATATTTATATTATATTAACAAAAAAAACATAAATACAGTAAATAAGTAGAAAGTAAATAGAGTAAATAAGTAGAAAACAAATAGACTAAATAAGTAAGAACATAAATAGAGTAAACAAGCGTTTGACTTTGGCGTTAATGGATCATTACCACTCAGGGTTCTGGGGCTGGTTCAATTTCTTTTCCCTTGCTCATTTTCTCTTCTTTCTTAAGATGAAAAAGGTGGACATGCTTTTATGTTGGGACGCGGCCCTACGCAAGAACAGGAAGCGCTAGTTGAACAAGCTTGGCTAGCCACTCAGTTGTACTCAGCTCGTGTAACTTGGCATTTAACTTGGTAGCTACAATGGGCCTTTTCGGCAGAACACCGGATAAACCCCCAAAAGAATTGGTAAGTAATGTTGGTCCAAGGCAAGGAATTTCTCTGTGAGTTTTTCTCGTAATGAGATAAAAATACCAAAGCGACATTAGCAAACTATGCTAACATTAGTTCATCCAATCTGTTACTAACTCAAAGACTGACGTAAGCCCTGCGAAAATAAGCCTACACAATCAAAATCCAGCGTGAGCCTATATTATATGAGTCGTTGTCAAAGCAGTTTATTGGTTTTAAGCAGCTTCCTCACCCTCCAGCCAGTCATGCTTTGATTTGTATGAGTTAGCTTGTTAGCGAGGAAGCTAACGCTGGTCAGCTGTCAGGCGCTTCAGTGTAAACAAACCCCGATTGTATTGGCTTACACTGACACCAGGGCTGAACAAAATGTGTCTTCTTGGTTAATTTAGAGAGTTTTTCACCGATTTGATTAAACGGTAGATATAATGTCATGCTGAAATGGTGTCGGAGTCGTGTGATTGAATTTGAACGAACTTCAACAGCATGTTCAAGATCCAATTTGCCATTTCAGCTCAGTGAGTGGACAAGAAAAATCAAGAAAGAAATGAGGATGATTGACAGACAGATTCGAGGTAAGATACAAAAATGATTTGGCTCTACTGTTAGACATCTAAGCAAACAATGTAGTTTTTATTTCAAGCATATATTTGTGTATTTCAAGAATACATTTGTATTGTTTTTTTAACCTGCACCAAGTGTCTCCTGAGATATATAAATATGATATTTTCAGCATAATGGAGTAAATGACCCAGGATCTGAGATTTTGAGTTTTTCTGTTTGATTTAAATGTGCATCCTTTTGTTTCAGATATTCAAAGAGAACAGGACAAAGTGAAAAGATCAATCAAAGATGCAGCCAAAAAGGGCCAGAAGGATGTATGTGTGGTTCTTGCAAAGGAGATGATTCAGTCGAAGCGAGCCATCACAAAACTTCATGCTTCCAAAGCCCATATGAACTCCGTTGTGCTCAGCATGAACAATCAACTTGGTGAGTTTTGGAGCATAGCAGTAGGAAACTGAAAAAATGTATACATTTATGTCCTTTTATATCATGATTTATTGTGTCTAAGACCTTGAATCCTTTTTAGAATGTTAAGTGAAGGACATATATTGTATCTTTTTAGCCGTCTTGCGTGTAGCTGGGTCAATGCAGAAGAGTACGGAGGTTATGAAAGCCATGCAGAACCTCATCAAAATCCCAGAGATCCAGGCCAACATGAGAGAGCTGTCAAAGGAGATGATGAAGGTAAGCAGGATCCAACATTAACAGATTTATTCAGCTCAGCAGCCTGCAAGAAAACAAATATGGTGGCTGAGGTTACCATCTTATATTGTTTCTTAAGGCAGGCATTATTGAAGAAATGCTAGAGGACACATTTGAGAGCATGGAAGATGGAGAGGACATGGAAGAAGCAGCAGAGGAGGAAGTTGACAAGATCCTCTTTGAGATCACAGCAGGTAACGTGATACTCAACATACATCAAAACCAACATTTCTATCTCTTTGTTGTTGTCCCTTTTCAGTATCTTCAGTTTTACTCCATATATCTTACCCTAAACCTTTGTCGCATTGTTCTTTTCTCTTTGTTAGGTGCCCTTGGCAAGGCACCAAGCAAAGTCACAGATGCCCTGCCTGAAATGGAGCCAGTTGGAGCCACCGCAGCTTCTGACGAGGAGTCAGAGGAAGACATTGAAGCAATGCAATCGAGATTGGCAGCTCTGAGGAGCTAAGGTGAACTGCCACGATCAAATTCAGTTTGTCACCCGAAAACAAACAGAGACAATTGTTGGTGCAGGTTCTACAGTTCTGAGCATCCTTTCTGCTTCATATTATAATTACTATTTCATATTCTTTCTGGGTTAACATTGTGCAATTGCAGAAACTGTCTTTTATTAAGTTTTTTTTAATAGAAATGGTGTGATTTACACAGCCGAAAGAAAAGGTGTTTTGCTTTTTGTCCTTTTAATATCTGGGGTAACCTCGGTAAAACTTAAGTATCCAAAGTCAAAAAGACAGTTGAAGAAAGTGTATATAATGTAAGTATGAAAAGCCTGCTGTGCCTACAGTGCTTCAACATGTTGTGGACTGGTGATGGGGCATCTTGGGTATTAATGATCCAAATAAGTGATTAAATAGCTGTTGAAGGAAGACACTCTTAATTTTTAATCAAATCCTTCATCAATAATTGGCATTGATGAGATTGCTATTAATCTCATAAATTACATTTTGTAAGAAAAGCAGTTCACTTTATGAGTAACCAGCCCACACTATCTGGAACACTAGAGCTGAAGGGTTAGGGTTATAAGGTAAGGATATATGGATTTAATTTTATGTACTGTCAAAATGTGTGTGTTCTATATGTGGTCTGACAGTCATTGAAAAAAATGCACGCATACTATCCTAACCTATTTTTTTGCATTAACATTTAGCTTGTTAAATGTTGGACTTTGTGTCACAGTTGAGTTCTGTCTCAGCAGAAGGGTGTGCAGAGGACACGAAAAAGGATGGTTAGTGCAGGACCTATGTGTTGTGGAAGTATTGTGTGTATAATTTTTCTATGTGCACTGGGACTGAATAAGAAAATAAACTTTTGAGAACAAAGGCTGCCAAAAGAAGAGTGTCTTAGACTAGTTTTCACTCTCAGTATTGAAAACATTCATCTCTTCACTCTAACCACATGAACTCTCTTTCAGGCCTTGATCAAGAATACGTTTTTGGGAGGGAGCCTGTTCAGCAGATTATAACTGAACTGAAAATTCTGTTGGTACAAACACATTTCTGGGTCATCAAAAAGATTCTGAAATGAAACACACAGAAACACAGTATGGTTTTACGTCTCATAAACTGCAACAAACGATGTTCAGGTGCCAGAGGTATGACTAAAACTGTGTCAAATCATGCAGCTTTGGCCTTTTTATTGTTATTTTTTCTTCTTGATTTTCATTTCCAAGTGTAAAGGTTTTTGGAGCTGCACTTAAGCCATTTTCCTGTTTGGTCTTTGCTTTTTCAAGTCCCTCCCTAGTTTCAAAGTGGACCAAAAGGATTAGATTTCTACCAGCCACAGCCCTCTCATTGCAGCATTTCAAACTAGCCTTTGTTCCCTGGGTTCAGTTTGAAGGCTGTGGCGAGTGTAAACAAAGCAAAGGTATTGTAGCATTAATGGTGCAGGTCTTCTCATGTTTAGGGATCAGAGTGTTGGAGAGCCGGGACAAAACTGGCCTTCTTAAGTACGGTTTTTCATAAAATCTTGTGGTTAGTTTCTTCTAAACCCAGAGGGAGAGGAGACAGTCAGTTTAGTCAAATGTGAGTGGTGTCACTCTGAGGTGTGGCAAATCTTTCCATGAAAGCATTTTGAAAGAAAGATTTTCTGCTTGTCCTTTAACTGTGTCTGTAGGAAAATCAAATTACTTTCACTCAGACACTTGCACACTTTCTAAAAAGCTTCCATCCAGCAGATATTCACCTACAAGTCCACCCTATAAATCAACAAATACACTCAGTCTTATCACATCTAAACACAGACTCAGCTTTACCCTCTCAGCATGCTGGCCATCTTCGATGCCAGAGCAATGCAACACTGCCATCTATGGACAGGAGTGATACCAGGCTCACTGTTTATCGTGCATCACGTTGCCGCCTGTGTGCGTCCACACGCTGCCGTTTGGACGCGCCTGTCATTTACTGGAGGAAACTCCTCCCCGCAGACAGCGCGTCCTGTCGCCTCTCCAGCGCAATGGTCTCCTGGATCATCTCTAGACTCGTGGTGTAAGTCTTTTTTTGTTATTTCTTAGCATATGTTCTTACACAGATTTATTATTAACAGCAGCACCTGGCTGTTATGGGTATTTGAGCCGCCCATTGACGGTGCAGGAGCGGCGCGCTTTGCGTAACCCCGCAATTCGTCTGATATAGGATCAAAAACAGACGTCAGTGTGGAGGAAAAGCAGATGTAGGTCTGTCAGTTTGTGAAATACAATCTGAATACCAAAAGACTGCACTTTGCCTTCAGAGACGAAACGCTGAGTAAGGCCTGCGTGGACCTGCTGTGTTTCTGAACGGCGCTCTGTAGCCATGCACGCTTTGTGTTTATCAAGTGGCTTTTTTATTTCAGACAAAGAGGTGACGTGATTGTCTGAATAATCCATGATCTGCCATGAAATGATCTTGAGAGTCAGAGTCAGGAATAAGAGGCGTCTCTTATTGCCACAAACCTGAATGTCACAGTGTGGTAAGGTGTTGGAACAACAGGAGCGGTTTGTGAGAAGAGCTGTGTGCTCTGTTGATGTCCCAGATTGGAAAAAAACAAAAGGGATGGGTCAGCCTTCTCGGGTTACAGTGCAAGAGTTAGTCATGTAATATGGCATGCATTTATTTCTATACAGCTGGTAATTTATATTAGATGAAACAAAGAGGGCACATTATTACTGTGAATTACGTCTATTTTTACCAGCCCAAAGTATGAATCAGCGCCATTGCAGACCGTGTGGACTGTACCATCAGCAGGCCCTACCTCTAAATAGTTAGGCAATTAAAATAAGACACAAGACGTTGCAAAGACAGAGCTGCTGCAGCTGTAGTAAATCAGAAAAAAAAATGTTTAAATGGGATCATTTTGGAGCCCATCTTAAAGTGAGGGATCCAGCTTCTTACACATGATATTTATAGTGTCCTTGTGTCTGTAAACTCTGTTAAAGCTCAGTTAGAGGTGCAACATGATGTGGGTCAGTAACTTGATCAGGTCACACTCACAGCTGTTGCCTGGCTGTAGCACTTTCAACAGGGTCCTGTCCCTGCACCCAGCCAGCAGCACAGGTGCACGCACACAAACAGCAGATTTTAAAGAAAACACATGTATGCTACATTTAGCTCTTGGTTTCAGTTTAGCACAACGAACAGGTTGTTTGGTCAAATAAGTCAGGGCAAAGTCTGACTCGGTTTATGTATTCTTTCTGTGAGGAAAAGGCTGTTGATTTACCTTGATCTCACCTGACAACCCGCCACCGCCTGTTGACTTATAAGCTGTAGCTAGGAGGGTTTATGGACAGAGTTTTATTTCATAAAGGTATGCATGGAAACATAATACAGACACATTACAGAGCTTTTTAGAGAGATAAGTATATTTGACATGTTATTTGTATATGGAGCTAATGAACACATCCTCTGTCTTCTAGACTTGTGTTTGGTACACTTTATCCAGCATACTCATCTTATAAAGCTGTGAAATCAAAAGATGTGAAAGAATACGTGAGTATTTCATTCTTATTTTTAGATTAATGAAGTGTATCAGGGCAGTATTGTCCTCATTAATGTGATTGTAGTAGATGTAATGACTCAATCTTTTATTTTTTAGGTGAAATGGATGATGTACTGGATAATATTTGCCCTCTTCACTGCTGTGGAAGTATTTACAGATATGTTTCTTTGTTGGTAAGTGATCTGTTATCTATTGTCAATAATCATACAGCCGCCTGATGTGAAACCGTTGACCTCTTTTCTTTCAGAGTGTTTAATCACGTACTAGTATTTGTCACTGATATACCAAAGCTGTTTTATTACACTTTGTTTTATCAGTTGTCTTATTTGTGTCTGTATTGCAGGCTTCCCTTCTACTATGAACTAAAGATCGCCTTCGTTGTATGGCTGCTGTCCCCTTACACCAAAGGCTCCAGTGTGCTTTACAGGAAATTTGTCCATCCCACGCTTTCCTCAAAAGAAAAGGTGAAAAGCCGCCCTTTTGTTGCATCTTCCTCTCTCCTGCTGGTATAGTTTAAGTAAAGGCTTAGCTAAAAATACTCATAAGGATTGTGCGGTTATTGACTAACACAATTTCAGCCTCACCGCTATCTCAAGAACAAAGAGCCTTTGTGCCAATTCACTTTTCCCCTTTAGCTGGTGAAGACATGTTTGCAGGGCAGGAGACAGGAAATGTCACCGTGTTCCTGCATTTCTCCTTTCCTTTTTCCTCTGTCGCCCCCAGAAAGCACATAAGTGAGTTTGGGGAGTGTGATAACAGAGGGAGAATTGAATCAAGCTGCAGTCATGACAATTATAAGAACAACCTGTCAACACAATGTGTTAATTGAGCTGGACATTAAGAGAGACCTAATGTTTGTGTGCTGTTTTTGTACTCGTTGCAGGACATTGACGAGTATATCTGCCAAGCAAAGGACAAAAGCTATGACACACTGGTGCATTTTGGAAGAAAAGGGCTGAATGTTGCTGCCACCGCTGCAGTCATGGCAGCAACAAAGGTAATGCGGACTATGGACATTTGCTTTGTGTTGACATGGGGGTACAGTAGAGGGTCAGTGTTGGACATCAAACTTGTTTTGTTTCCTGTAGGGAAACAGACTCATTAAAAGTTTGATTTAAAGGTCTCTCATGTAGGTTTCATGAACAGTCATCCCTCTTTGCGGCAGAGTCTAATCATTTACAGACGGACAAAACAAAACGCACATTCGAGAAAAGAACAGAAAGCGATACCACAAGTCTGTTAAAGATTTAGAGATATTTTCTGGATAAAATGGATCATGAAAATGTTTGATGAGTTTCAGGAGTTTCTTCAGGTTTCATCTTGACATCAAATAGTCAAAACTCGTAGCTCTTTATTTACAAACGAACACAAAGATCATAGAATAGGCCTAACTTAGCTCAGAGATAATTTAATCTAGCCTATCACAGAGCCTAGCCCATTTCTCATGTCCTAGACCAATAAAAAGCTAATTTACCTTAAGACAATAAGATTATTCCTTAAATTGGTCCTTCCAAGATAGCAAGAAAATGAAGTTGAGATCTAGACTATTATCATTGGAAAACAGAGTAAAAGAAAAGCGTTGATGCATGTTGAGTCAGTGTTTCTGTATTTAAAGTAGCAATTTAGGGAAATAATACAGCAGAACCAAAAGAGAAGATTTAAGGAAGTTATTGTAATGAAATTTAAAAACAAAAAAACTAAAAATGAAGCAGGCACATGAACTATTGAAAAGATTTTCAATATGTGATACATTTGACCAGCCTTGATATTTATTTTTTTATGAGTGGTAACGATGAAGAGAGGGGTTGAAGGATATTTCTCTAAAACAAATGTCCTGTGTTTCTGGTTCTAGAGCCAAGGGGTCTTGTCAGACAGACTGAGGAGTTTCAGCATGCAGGATCTGGCTTCCTATCAGGAAGAGCCTGAGAACACCACCCCCGGCACCAAGCAGCCTGCAGCAGCGCAGCATCGGACCAGATCTATGATGCGAAGCAAGTCGGAGAGCTACACCAAGGGTGTGTAGACTTCTCTGCTGCCAATATATGTTTTTAAAAAGAAGCAGAAAACAAATCACAGAGCAGCGTGTTCATGATTTAGACAGGATCTATTTTGTGGTAAAAAATATTTAAAATATGCGACTAAACATGAGCCATGGTGGTGCCCAGTTTGTTTGCAAAAAGCGGATTATTACGTGGTTTTTCTTTTTTTTCCTGTCCAAGCTTATTTAAGCTGACATATTTTGTTTTGTACCCCTGCTTTCCTGAACGGGCCCCTGACTTTAGTCCTGCCTTCCTGTATGGAGCAGGTCTGGCCTCAAAGGGCTGCCAGACCAACCATCCTGTGATAACACTCACATGTAGCTAGCTAGGGGGGTTGAAAATCATGTGGAAACAGTTGTTGTCATCGGATTATGGTGTTTGTTTTTTCACAGTTGATAGATCTGAACAACTAGTGAGACTCAACTATCTCTAGCTGAGAAAGAACTGTATGTACCTTTGACAAACAAGGGACTGAGATGACTCCTGTTATGGGGAGGAGAGATGGGATGATGAGCTGAGGTTAAGAGTCGTACCTGAGGGTGATGTCGTGAGAACTTTGCCTCTGATCACCGAGCGAAACAGGCATCCTGACATTAGGGATCATTATTATTCTTTCAGTTAAATGAACAGACGAGAACTAATCTGTCTAAGTCTGTCTGAAAATGTAACTTCCACACCCTGTCTAGACTGTGATAGCCTAGAGCCTGACAATACTAAAAACATAACCCCCTACAAACAAGTTGCTATATTTATAGAAATATTTAAATAGACCAGGCACTCTATTTTTAGGGAAACATTCATAAAACAGAACAAACATTATATTTACTCTGGACTATTTGCAGCAGCTGATTAATGTACTTGTATGTATCAGTTATTTATGGACCATGTTCATAGTTATTTAAGGTTCTCCTGGTTTAAAAGGCATTTTAAGGGTGGGGCATTTCTTGCCCTTATCACATAGGACATTCAAAGAAAGATAAGAAATGTGGGGAGTCGTGAGCAGGGGCAGACATGCTGTGAATAGCTGTGACCGGCTGTCAAACTAGCAACCATGATAGCCTCTGTACATGGGACATGCTCTTAGACCTTTAGCCATCTGGCACCCCACTAAAAACATGTCATGCAGAGAGGCTCACTGGTGTTTTTATTTCATCTTTTTTTTATCAGAAATTGAAACCCTTAATTTTAAATGTTGGCCTTTTCAAAGAATATTTTAAAAGCTTAATTGAAAAAATTCTAATTGAAATTCTCGTGACTGTTTGAATTCCACTCCCAACAATGGGAACAAATGCTGTCTCCTGACTGTTATTACATAACATTACTAAGTGATGTAATCACACAAGAAAACAGATGGTTTTGATATTTTAAGGCAACACAGCTGTTTTTTTTCTGTAGCAAAGCATTTCAGGCTCATAATAACCTATTATTTCTCCTCTGTTTGTTGTCTGTGGATGAAAAAGGCATCATATTTAGAGCTTGAACACCTCAGATAGCCAAATCATATGCCACCTCAAAGCTTTATCACTGATTGATTTTTTTTTTGATTGCACAGACCATTCACAGAATTTAAATATTGATCACCTTTTCCATCAACCTCTTTCACGGTCCAGAAAAGGACTTTGACATGACAGACTATGAGGTCTTGGGGCTGGACCAATGGGACTCCAAGAGCTCTCTGTCCCAGGCCACTTCACCTTCTGAGTCTGAGTCCACACCCATTACACTCTCTCTGACCCCCATGTCCACTCCGCCCTCCACTCCTTCTCCACCTCCATCTCCTCCGGTGCCAGAGCAGCCTGGGGAGGTGGGGAAAGGAGTAGAGGTGGCTTCAAGCTCTCCACAGCTCAGGCTGATGAAGAGGAAGGCTCCAGAGGTACACTGCTCCATCATGACGGCTGTCTCAGCTGTTGCCTGACTCTAACTGCCCCCTGGGAGTGGTGGTCTACTCACCCATTTACTAATTTTTACTGCTGTGTACTTGATCAAGTCATTGTGGTTCTGCACTGATAGAGCTGAACCACATTTAAACTTTGACAGATTTAATTTGCTCTGATGAATCTGGGGTGTCACTTTGTATAGTATTTATCACGCGTTTGGACATGTGGCATGCGAGGAATCCAATATGGCTGACAAATCAACATGGACTGACTTCTCTCGGATAATCAAGTCTAATTTTGACGAGTGTATTGGGAATAATTCAGCATAATTACTTGTGTAATTAATAAATATTCATAAATACATTTTCAACACCTAATATCAGTATGGCATGATGGTGTGCAACAGAATGAAACAGCATTATAAATGATAACTTGTGTAGTTACCTTTGTTTTTCTAATTGTCAACATATCCCTATAAAAAATGAATTCATATATGGGTCTGAAATACAAGGCTGCTTTACATGGTCAGAAGAAGAACAAATATTTTTAATCCCCATCAGGAGATAGTCCCCAAAATTTCCACCAAAGCAATGTTCAAAAAAACTGCAGCACCCAGCTCTGTAAAGAACTGACTGACCTGTCTTTGAAAAGGAAACTAAATATTTTGAGAATTGTTAATGAAGATTTATGTCTTTTCTATGAACCAAGTTGAATTTGGACAGAGACAGATCAGTTACTTTTGGCCCTACCTTTGGATTTGTTGACGGTATGAAAAATATAAAATGTTGACTGCCCTCTCCTCACATACTGTTGGTAAGTGTGATGCTATTCATTAACCACATTTCACCGTCCTCTTTCCCTTTGTCCTCATCTGTCCCTCCTTCCAGCCACCTCATAGAGTCTTGAGGCCTCTCACAAGATCTCGGAGTGCTCTTTCCTCGAACAATGAAGCCATGTGAAACTGTCCTAAAGACTCCTTCAGCTGCCTTCGCTGCAAGACGTGAAAACACTGAATGGCCAAAAGCTCTATGACTGAAGCAGCCTTGCTTTGGGATAAGGTATTACCAAAGTGACCTATGATGACCCCTCTATATATGGCATATAGCTTGTGGCTCATGATTTGGTTTGTGACATTGAGGTAGAACAATGTGTGAATGGGCTCCATGCTGATAGACATTATAAGTTTGTGGGTTATTGATTATGTATTTATGTACAGTTTGTGTGAACTTCATCTTCCTCATTTGATTGTTTTCAAATATCAGGTGTGGGTAGACATTTGCATGTGTGTCTCCCCGGTTATTAGTCCTCTGTTTCTAAAACAGAATGTACTGTCACTGAAAACTACAGCTGGCATTAGAAGTGACACAGTCACTGTTGGAGAATGTGTTCAATGCCAGGGATCAGAGAAAAGGAGGCTGTTAAAAAAAAATCCATATTCAACCTGTTAACAGCTGTTGAGAAACAGCTGTTAATAGCATATTTCTGCACTAAATGATTATCACATCATGGTATTAGAAAACCAGTCTTTTGCGTGTAAAAATACTGAGATTGGACACCTTGTATTAAAAAAAAGGTCAGACAGTAGCGGCAGAAGATATTCTGTTATTTACCTCTCTATTAAAGCCTTAAAGACAGACTTAAGGATAGAAATGGTCTCAACATAAAGAATTCCAGCCCAGCTAAGTTCTCATTAAACATTTTGCACTATGTTTGGAATATAAAACGACTGACCCCACTATTCTACATTAAGAAGGCCAAAAGTTATGTAAATAATCATCGTAAAAACAAGTAGTTAACACAATTGAGATTACTAGAATTATTGTTGATTTCTTCTTTGGTCAAAAGAAAAGTTTTTATTCCTGTAATTACATTTGTATTACGGATAAATAAAATGTAATCGCAACTACAAGAGGTTTCCTTAGTGGAGCAGACTGTTTTTGACAATCTACTGTTTAGTTTGTTGGCATGTTTTATCATTTGATCAACAACTTGTCAGGCCAATTTGGAAAATATCACTTTCAGCTGTAGCAGAGACAAAATCTAAAATGAGCAAAAACTTACTGTGTGGTAACATGGTTTGTCACTGAGCAACACTTACGCTAACTATCTTACCTTTGCTTTGTTTTAATTTTGAAGAATATATCAAAGTGACTTTATTAGTTTGCAAGTTTACAAACTCCAGTTGAACTTAACATTGTGTGACGATACACTGTATGTTTTCTCATCCTGTTCTTTACTCACTGAGCCTAAATCATAGCTACATTTTACACAAAGTGTCACTGTGGTGGTTGTTTCTGGGTGAACTTGCGCAGTAGATTTATAACTTTCATCACTGTATCTGCATCATTAGCGGTGATTTGAAGTTTGAAACAAAAGCTTCTCAGGTACAACTGTTCTGTTTACACGTCACTCACTCTGGTGTTGTAGATACACTTGTTATGCACATACAATGTCCTTTTAATGGATAGTGAAAAAACAAAACAAAAGGTAAAACCAGATTATGTGATTCAGCGTTAGTATCAGTGTTAGTGTAAGAGGTGATAAACCCTCTGTTAATAAATGCTAAATAAAATGGAGAAAAAAACATGTTGCTAAGTAGCTGATTTGTATACTCGTGTATAGACTGAAACTCATCGTTGCATGTTTGTTGTTAATTTGAATGAAAATTGGATTATTGGAATGATGTGGAAGGTTGTTGACCACTTCAGATGGTAAACAATTCATTTTTTGTCCTTTTTGGTTGCTTTGTAGGAAGAATATAAAATGTTAAAATATACATACATACATGTCGGCTTTACATATAACTGAGTAACATGTCTAGTTTACTGATAAATGAGCCACTTTAACTCATTCATGAGAAGACAAAACTTAATTATCCTCAGAAAATTTTGTTCTGGCAGGCCAGAATGCCACAAAACTTAAATTTTAATATGGTTGTCAAATATAAAAGAAAAAACTAAGTGATTATGTGATGGGTTATGGCAATCAATTTCTTGTTGGTCTAATATTTTTGTTGAATTGATTTTACTGCTATTAAATATGGCACAAAACTTTCACTGGTTTTCTTGTCTTATTACAAAAGAGCATCTACAAGAAAAACATCATTTGAGACAAGACTATGTTACATGTCTAACTTTATTCAATCATATTTAAACAGAAAACAAGATTTACACTTTCAGGTTGACCCTGTTGTGGTACTTCATGTAGGGATCATCAAGGTACCAGTTCCTCCTTCTCCAAAAAGATGTTGTCATCTTATCCAGAAGCTTGCTTTGGGATTTGTTACAGAAGACATGCTCCCTCAGGCGCTTTCGCCTGGCAGGTTTCTTCTTCCACAGTTTCTTCTTGTATCCAGCCTGTTCACACCCAAAAAACAAGTCAGTTCATTAACTCTGTGTTTTAATGGTGTAGAGCAGTGGTTCTCAATCCAGTCCTCGAGCCCCCCCTGTCCTGCATGTTTTGGATGTTTCCCTGCTCCAACACACCTGATTCACATGATCAGCTCGTTATCAAGCTCTGTAATGGCTTAATAATGAGCTGATCATTTGAATCAGGTGTGTTGGAGCAGGGAAACATCCAAAACATGCAGGACAGGGGGGGCTCGAGGACTGGATTGAGAACCACTGGTGTAGAGAGATGCACAGTGCAGTTAACAGCCCAAGACCTGTACCTTGCGTCTGATCCATAGGCCACAGTGCAGCCTCATAAACCGCTCTGTCACCGATTTTACAGACTTTCTCTTCCCCTTCTTCACACTGTAGTATGTGAGACTTCTGCTTGGTTGCTGAGTCAGGTTGGGAATATATGATGATACCCTGGAACAGCACATTGAAACAGAGGAAAGAAAGGGTTTAACAATGGTTAATCAAAGAACCAAAATGAGTGGCAGCCCTCACTTCACTAGATACAAATACAAAGAGGAGAGTGGGGTAAGTTGAGCCACCCCCTGTTGCTTGGAAATGGTAAAAGAAATTGATCATGTGACCAAATATTTAGGAGATAGGCATCAATTCGTGGAGTCTGTGAAGGTTGGAAGCACATGGGTGAAGGGGTTAGACATTTATTTACAAAAAAACATTTTTCACTCTTGAAAGTGAATTTAGTCTGTCATAAGTTTTCTTAGAATTGTGTTCAGACCAAAAAAGATCATTTTAAATTTGTTTTATACATCAATTGTGGTATCCATGAGGTCAAAAACATAAAACATAAAAGTCCACCATTTTAGCTTAGAGGACAAATAAAGTCATAATAATAGTTCTGGGGTAAGTTGAGCCAGTGCCTTAATTAGGAAAGTAAAGAAGTCTGATGAGAGGATCAGAGTTTCAGTTCAGATTGTTGAAATGTTTTACTTTTTCTTTTCAAAAATACAGCTGTGAATGTTCTGAATCACTTAAAGGCATTCTCACGTTAAAACAGCTTTTTACAAAACAGCTTTTTAGCAGTTATATGCAATAATAATAAAAAGGATTATTGTACCAGTTGTGACTCTTATTTTTGGAGAGAGAAGGTGAGGTGAGGAGGGGGGTAGTAGGTATACGGCTCAACTTACCCCATACACGGGGTAAGTTGACCATAGAAGACCACTTTTTTTGGCATGCTATATTATCAAGACAGTTATGTTTACACTCATTCTGTTGGTTTTCAGGGATGCACAACATCTTGAAATATATACAGATTCACTAGTTGGAGACAAAACTATAATTGACATGATGTAATAATCCGAAATATGAAAAATGGCTCATCTTACCCCACTGTCCCCTACCACTGGCTGTAGTGATGGATTTCAGACACTTTGGTCAGCTTTACTTCAAATATTTCAGTAAAAACAGACTTTTGATTCTCGTTTAAATGGCGTTGTATCACCTCTAATTTTCTATAAAGTGGTTCTTATGGCCGCTACAGTTGTATTAATGTACAGTGTTGTAAATAGATCCGGGTCCCCCTGACTCCTGACTCACCGCTGCAGGATGTTGTACCGGGGTGTCAGACCCGCTGCAGCCCACAGAGGAGCGTTGACCGCGGCTGCAGCAGAGCTGTACAGAGGGGGCCTCTGGGTGAGGCTGGAGAGCTGACATAGTTGTGGTGTCTTAGCACACAGAGAAACAGACAGCGGCCTCAGCAGCCCTGTGAGACACAAGGACAACGTGAAAACACAGAACAAGAGGCGTCACAGTCAAGAGGAGACCCACCGAACAGATTACGCTATTCAGGATGTGCTAGATTTATGAACACTTCCAAGAAATCTTAGACCACTAAATCAAAATATGAAAAATATACTTCACATTGACATTTAAGACATACAAGTTTGATTGTAGAAATATTAAATGTTGGTACAAACCAGACACTCTCCTTGCCAGGGCGGCCGCCATGTTTTTTCATTAAGTCTGACGTACGTACGGAATCCTGTAGGGACAAAGTTGAGTTTAGTCGCATTAGACGAAAATCCAGACGGCTCACTGTCGCCACCTAGCAACTGTACCTGAACCACTAAATCCTCTCTCTCTCTCTCTCTCTCTCTCTCTCTCTCTCTCTCTCTCTCTCTCTCTCTCTCTCTATCTATCTATCTATCTATCTATCTATCTATCTTTTTTAAGCTTTATTCAGAGTTAACAAATTTTCGATTCCAAACATAGCAGAATCAGTTCAATACAGTCATTTCAATATTGAAATAACATATCAGTGAGAAATATAAAGTAGATAGTGAAGAACAACAAGCAAACAGAAACATAAAAGTAACTTAAAATAAATAGAATAATTTATGCAATGCAATACTTTACAAGGGTTTGCTTTCTTTTTTAAAACATTTTTAGCAGTTCATATCAGTGAAAAAATTCTTGGAGTTATCATATAACTTTTGTTCCTTCAAACCAGTTAAGGTTTGAAGAGATTTCAAATACATTTTAAATTCGTTTATGAAAACAACAAATCTGGGGGATGATCTCATTACTTTATTCTCATGGATGGAATATTTGGCAAAACATAAGATTACATTGCAACAGAGTTCATCATTTTTATTTGGTAGTAACATTCCAAAAGTCATATAATCCTCTCTCTCTCTCTGCTTTTGCCACAGTCTCCTGGATGGTTACACCAAGTTGAAATTAACTCATATGGAGCCCAACCACTGCCCTGTGAACATTTCTAATCACTTCATTTTTCAATTCAATTTATTTATAAAGCGCATTTCATGCACAAGGCAGAGTCAATGTGCTTCACAACAGGTATGCATAGTTAAAAAAAAACATTCTATAAAGATCAATTAGAAATCAATTTGAGAGTGCAAGTAAACCAACTTCACTGCATTCACACTCAACCACATTCATGCACACGCACTCACACACGACACATGCACACACATGGACACACAGTTCAACACAATGCTATAGAAAAAAGGTAGGTTTTTAATCTGTTTTGAAAGATGGCTACTGATGTGGCATGTCTAACTGTGTCAGGCAGGGTGCTCCATTTTTGTGGGGCATAAACACTAAAAGCTGCCTCCCCTTCTTTGGTTCTGATGTGAGGGATGAGTAAGTAAACTTTTCACATAAGAATCTGCACAGGGGCTGTTTTTGACAATCACACAGTTTTTTTTCCTCATGTATATCAAAATGTTGGCTAAAATAAAGACCTACATTGTGGATTTTTTGACACTGTGCCAAAAATTAGACATCAAAGCTGAAACACCAGACATTAATGACCCTGAAATACACTAAAAATCTAAAACATAAATTAATAAGCATCACAATTGCTCTTTGTTTTTTCACCTAACATCAATAATGACATTGTAAAGAAGTTTGACATGCACCTGAACAACCTGGCATCTTACATTAATTTAGGGAAATAATTTGCTTGTGTCTTTGTTACAATTTTTCAAAATGTACATTTGAAATATCACTCAAATGAATAGACCAGGTAATAAGTAATTAATCATTTTTTTTTATTTTCCTTTAAAACATACAAATATAATTTTTTTAAAAAGCAGATGAAAAACATTAAAGCAAATGTACCATCGTGACTACAGACGACACAGCACTGTAATCAAACATATTAAATAAACACAAGGCACCACCCACACTTCGCACCTGGTACTGTGAAGTTTCAGTAGTTAATGGAAGCATCCACATGTCTGCAGAGACACGAGTGCAAAGTAAATCAATTACCTCTTTTTTTAAAAAGTGCTTTTCACAAGAGAGAAGTTCTCACCCAGCCGAGGTGCACATCTCGGCTTCAGCATCCCAGCATACATACCTTTCATAATCTAATAACCTAGTTTACCAAAGCAGAGTGGTTGCCTCTCAGTGGAATAGCTGTAACAGTGTCAAACTACAACAAGTCACCAAACAGTCAATGTCCATGTCTTCATAATATATATTCAACTGTAGCACATAAAAAGTCTTCTTCTATAAGTTCTTGGTCTTTAGTTGGAATCCATACAGAGATTTCTCTTTGTTTTGTCGTAAATTTAATGTCCTTTGGTTCACCAGCCAGCATACACGGGCTCTGCATCACAGGGGATCCCATAGTAACGACCCTGCGGCCGTTCTTTGCGTAGTAATGGTGCTCGAGCTACATTCAGCTCTCTGTCAGTGTCTCTCCGTCGACGTAGTACCATTAAAATGATGAAGAGTAGGGCAACTGTGGAGAAGGAGGGCAACAACACAGTATGAGGACGGATGAGACCATCTACAGTCTACAAAAGCCTCAAATGGAGCATGATTCTTATTTTATTTAATTGGGTCCTGTTTGGGCATGACTGAAATTCGGTTAAAACACAATATATAACCTGTTTAAGTGTAACTATTCCCATGAACGTAAATTATGAAAAGTTTAATTGCATAAACAGTCTACTAAAAGTTGAAGTGAAATATATTAGGGGCTCGAATGGGTTTAGGAGAACAATAGCTTTATATCCTACTGAAACTTGTCAAAGTTTCATTAGCTGAAAAGGGAAATTCACAAAAAAAAAACAAAACGATTGAAATACTGTCATAAAACAAATACATAACTGTAAAAGATGAAATTCTCATTTTGGCAAAAAAATAATAAAAATCCATTGATTTCATTTATTGTCTTTGCCCAGATAATTGTATCTCAGTGTCTTTGGGATCAGCTTTGTGGACTTGTTTTTATATATATATATATACTATATATACTATATACTTGTTTTATTTTATATATATATATATATTTTAGCCCTTTAACAATAATAAGTGTAAATAACAAGCTCTGTCCTGTTATGCGACAAAAACAGGCATGCCTAATAACATCTTAAGAAAGCTTTTTCTATACCAAACAATTTTATTATACTGACTCATAAGACTTTTTTGCGTATCATTAAATCATATCAAAGAGGAACATTTCACATGCAAGCTTGACATCATTAAAGACAATTGGTTTATAATGCATTACTGTGAGTCCCATGTTTTTTATGTGGTGTCAAATAAAGGCATTAAGCAAGCAGCTCAGAATCACAGGATACTGTTCTACTCACAAAAACAGATTGTATATCCATGATCAACTGAAAAATACAGTTCACGCTTGTGTCTTTTAGTGCTGTTACTCACCTCCTCCACTTATAACTAAAAGAGCTATTGTGACAGGAGCCAGTTCACAAGTGTCCCCCACTTTGCGAAAGAAAGTCTCCATGCAGTACCCTGGAGCCAGGCTGCCTGCTGGACAAAATGCATCACTGGGACACTTGATTGGGTTCACATCTGGACTCTAAAACAGGAAAATAATACTCTGTGATCAAAACTGCACATTCAACTCACAAACACTCATTCTTTTTATCTCATGAGTTGCGTAAACACAGTACTCACAGGGCAGTAGTGATTCTCTGGACACACATCACAATTCTCCTGACCCCAGTGAATCTGGTAGAAACCACTGCGGCAGATTTGACATGTAGTCTGATGGGCGGCTTTGTACATGCCTGTTCAAAAGCAAAATTAATCTCCATGAGCAACACCTTTTCTTTAATCAGCGGCTGTTCTCTCAAACTCTACTGTTATTTACCCGGCCGACATGGTGTGCACACTTGAGTGGCAGTTTGTAGAGCTTCTGTCCCTCCAGGACACGTCTCACACGAGGGACATCCAGAGGAGCTGTCAGATAGACAAACACATCAGTTTATTTGTATGTGGCTATTCATGGACAGCATACTACTGATTTCATGGCTGCCACGAGAAACATTGGGACATTTTTGGAAAACGGCAAAGCTGATTTGTTCTAAGCTGTTACAGCAGCTGGTTTTCACAGTGTGAGCAGACATGTGGGGAATGGTTGGGTGAAGCTGTAATTTCAAACAGCAAGAAAGAGTTATTACAGAGGTTAAAGTATAATGCACAATTTTCACAAACAGATTCTTTTCATTTTAATCGATATGAATTAATAGTTTTGGGGACAGTCTGAAAACTCAGAGAAAACATGGTACACAGGTCCATCCATTTATCCCTGTCCAACTACTACATAAGGTTGTAAAAGTTTTGGGAGTCAAAGTCTATTTCATTTAGATCTCCTACTGAAGAGGTTCAAATTGACTGCTGCCCTCTCACCTATTTAGATTAGGAAAAAAAATTGTATTTGAAAATGGTCATAACACCCAAGATTTATTCACAACCTATATATGTTTACGCGCTAGATCAATAATTTATATATAACTCCTATTTATATCCACCTGTAAATAGTTATGCATGCAACTAGAACTGCTTTAAGGTTAGCTTGTTTATCAAAGCAGTGACTGTGTATCAGGTCTTGTATGTGTGAGTACATCTGTGCTCCCAAGCAGAGCCAAGGGATGAAAACACTGGAGCATGTGATGTCTGATCTGATGGTTAGATAAGAGATTTTTCAAACAGAGACATATTTATGAAAGTCTCAGGCTCGTTCCTGGTTTCCAGCAGCAGAAAACAGATCAGGAGAAGTAAAAACTTGTTGACATTCAAACACAACTCACTTGCAAAAAGTTCCCAGCTGACATGGATTACATGAAGTTGAACTCTGCTGTGACGAGAAAAAACCTGAAAGCAGCATGAAAGATAACTCCATTTATTATTTTCAACTGCAAGCCTGCATCACCATGAATGTTAATGCAATTGATCAAGAGAAGAAATTTTAATCATGCAAGTCCAATTTCTCACAACAAGCAAGACTCTGTTTCAGTCTGAAAGCATGCCACCAAATTCCTGATTTCCAACAGTTCTGTGAGCCTGGCCTACAAGAACATTAACACACCTGGTGAACAACTTGTACAGCTTTCTCCACCGGTATTATTGTTGAAGGATCCAGGAGGGCAGGCATGACATAGCGGACTTCCAGTGAAACTATAAAGAGTTGTAAAATACACACCATGAAAAGAAGCCAAGTAATTGAAAATTACAGCAAGTGTAGAACTTGTCTTCACAGTGATTTTCATACTTTGTGTAGAAGCCACGGTTGCAGGGCAGGCACTGCTGTTGCCCAGCTAGCGGCTGATAGAAACCTGTTGTGCATGGCAGGCAGGCTCCAGGAAATAGACACAGCCCAGGGTTAGCACAGCATGAACACATCAGCGTGTCTGAGGAAGGATAATATACTTTCCCTTAACTTTGACTGTATTTCAGTTTGTATTACATCTCAGAGGTTGACTTTTCACAGAGCAGAAACAGGGCAGTTTTGTGAAAAAGAGTTAAATGGTGACTTTTGACTCACTGTTGTCATACTGGGATCCTGGTGCACAGGGCTCACAAGTAGAAGTGTTAAATGCAAGGCAGCCTGGGGTTGTGCTGCTGGGGATCATGGGAGTTAGAGTCAGACCAGTCACATTCTCAATGAGAGTTGTGTTCATCACAGCGGGGGTAAGTGTGGTCTGGCTCAGCACCATGCCTAAAAGAAAAGGACACTGGCTGATTCCTGGTTTTCTGGTGGCGGACTGGTGCAGAGCTGCAGTTCAGACTCCACTATTTTTTTTGCATGGAAATAATGACTGGGCTGGTGCTGGTAGTATCAGTACTTAAAGGCTTTAACTGTGACCTTTAGCGTCCTTTTTACAGTGCTCTCCAGGGTTCACAGGCTCTGGTTCTAAGTTGTTGCTCATATTTTCACACACTGAACATGAGGCATGACAATAGTAGGCCTATGAAAATACCACAGCCAGGGGGAAAAGCTACTTTGAAAACAGGGCTTTGCAAGCTACTGAGTATTTCACACAGGAAAAGTTGAACTGCAGCAAAGTAACCTATGGGAAAGTATGGCAAGATAAACAATAAAGAGTCAGTAAAATGTGGATAGTCACACTCAGAGAAAAATGTAAACAGAATATATTCAAGTTTGGTTTAAACATTAGATATAAAACTTTATAATTACTACAGAGGTGCTGATATTCAAGTTTCCTTAAAAAAAAAAAAAAAACAAGACAGCACACAAGAATTCTTTGTTAGTTTCTACTGCTCAAAATACAAGGTTTGTTGTATGTTTTAATTTAAGATAAGAATAGAGTAGGATTTTGTGATTTAAAAAAAAAAATCATTTTATTTTTATGAAATTAACCGCATTTGTGCATCTCATTGCAATGAAAGCATGTGTAAAACACTTTGATCAAAATCAAAAAATACCATGGCAAAGGGCATAAAAAGATCATAATAGAAGGTAAAAATAGAAAGAAAACAATAGGGAGAGGTACACAAACGGAACACTAACAATGCAACAACACATGTGAAAGGTCTGGAGGCACTGGAGCATACTGTCCAATGACAGAATAGTAAAAGGCACAGATTTTTTGCATAACCTTTACTTGCAAAAACAGGTTTACAAAAAGGAAGTATCTTACAGAGCCCTTCTAGTCCTAAAAAGTATCTTTTTGTATTGTGCAGATTAAATATTGTGTGCACAATGCAATTAGCACAATGTACCATTTTTAAATTACTGGTGGAAACAAGTTATTATTTTGCATAAGCAATTATTTTATGGACACAGGATAGTTTTCTTTTTTCTTTTTTAACATTTTTGAATTCAAACAGGCTCCTTACTGATTGCAACAATATGCAAACATAAACCACCAGCCAGCTACTTCCACTTTATTTCACTTCTCTTTATGGTCCCCAACACTGGAAAAATATCAAACTACATCTTGATCTGCTGTCAAATTTAGTCATCATTCTCCCATAGTATCATGTAGAAATGGCTGCTGTATACTTTTTTATGTTTCCAAGCAGTTACTGGTGTTAAAAATCAATATTTCATTTACTCCCTCTCAGACATGTTCTGAATGTTGATACAGTCTGAAGGTGCAAAACAACACAAAAGGCAAGTGGGCGACAGTCTGACTGTATGTCACCTCCTAAAATAAGCAGAACTTCTTCAATCAACTGTGTTATCCTGATACCTTAAATGTCTCCACAGCATCTCAAGTATACTCCTGGACTTATCTAACCACTTAGAGGGTGGGGGTAGGTTACACATAACAGCAAAACAGAGCACATATTGTGGTAGTAATCACATTAGCCATGTGCTTAAGTGCTTTCTTGAAAAAGAGCCATCCTCCTCATGAGGTGCAATTATTTAGAAATGGGGTCATGTGATTATTCTGCTTCAGTCTGCTTTGGCTTGCACAAACTATTTCTCTCTCAAAACGTTTTTTCTTTTTCTTTTTCTTTTGGACATGAGTCTGTGTCTAAGTGGCAGAAAGAAATGCTCTAATCCTCAGAGTTTGGAAGGGTCAGGTTCAAGCGTCAGCAAAGAAAGTCCCTATAAAGAGATTAGAGCAATACCATAACAACATACCATAAAGAAAAGTCACATCAATGTGATAGACTGGTATATCCAAACACACATTTTGACTCTGGGACTTTTTTATAAAGGGAAAGATTCAGATAGAGTCTGGGTGTAAAGAAGGCCCGTATGCACTTGGATTATAAAAAGTATTTTCCACAAAGAGTTCCTAGAATAATCTCCTATTCCCTTTGAAGTACTTGGACACCTTATTTACTCCACACAGATCGACAATTGCTCAAAATGAGCCTTGTTTGATTGATATCGCTTATGCCACCATTTTAAGTTGTTTTATCGTTCGGAGAGAGTAAACTTACCCAAAGAATAAGCGGCACATATCGCTGGCAGAAGTCCCCGGCGGGCCATCCTCCACAGATTATCGAGTACTTCCACCAAACAGTGTCCGGCTACAGCAGCTCATCCCTGACAAACCTGACTTGTCCTTGTTTTTCACAGAGGACGTCAGTGACGCTCGCTCGAAGTAGGATCAGGCCCTCTCATCAGTATCATATGACAAAATACACATCATGTGATTTTGCTTTAGAGGGAAAAACTGAGAAAAATGCCACAAGTACATCCAGCCGCGGCCGCAGCACAAGCGTGCAGGAAGTTGAACTACCAAATATGGGAAGAAGTCTATCTGATGACCACGCCCACCAACAGCGCGACTTCCCTCATTCGACTCTTGTAGATGAAAAAAATGGCCAATGTTTGTGCGAAAGTTGTTGATTTTGTTCTTTTTTGCTCCACACATTTTAAGTTTTCTGTTGTGTTCATGTTATTTTTCACTGTGTTTATTAGATTTCATTCTTGTTTCCTTTCTTTTCAAACGCTTCATTCTTTTTTGTAGTGTCCTGTGTGTACAGAATAGATTGTATTCTATGTTGTCTGTGCTGCAACTCTACAAAAAATATGCCCACTTATATTGTCTGTTCTCATTTATGATCTGTTTTGTTATTTTTTGTCCTGAAATATTTTGATAAATGTATTTTCCCCTCTAACAACTGTGCCTCTGATGTTTCTGAAATGCATCATGCTCCTTTCTTGAATATAAGATTGTTTTGAAAGTTCTTTCTTGATCATCATAAATGCATAATGTGATTTCAAGGCAGTCATGAGTGTTCCCCTTTTATACTGTGACAGAAATAATTAGTCACTTAAATAATTATGCTGTTTTCCTCAATGGAGGGATACATGTTTTTTTTTTTTTAGAAACACAATTTTTGTGGGCCTACAACCTTATAAAAATCGTCAACTGATGTGGGAGAAAAGCCACATTTCCATGAGTTGAAAAAGCTACTCTGTAGCTGCTTGACTTCCTCTTCACTATGTAAATTAGAATAATAGGCACAGTCTGCAGACAAGCAGTTGGACCCTACGAAAAATGGGCTTGATTGAGGCAGAAATGTTGTTGTTGCATAGGGCGACCGGTAGGGGCACTACAGCGTGTCACTTAAGACACAAAATGGTTGTATTTTATTTTTAGATGAGTAAAAATGACAAAATAAGTTGTTTAATGTCTATAATAGTCGCTTAAAGAGAAACAAGAAAAGTAATCCCTCTGAAATTATCTAATATATTTTTTATGTTGTATAGGCCCATGAATTTTGAATTTACAGAGTTGAAACTAAACTAATAACTAACATGGATAAATTTTACATCATGCATTTTAACATACTCCTTTTTTGTCTGTTTTTTGTGACATTTCTGCTCCAGTACCTGCTTTGTTGTGGGTGTTTTCTTACAGATGAAACCAGTGCATCACCTCTGAGTAATCATGAGTAATATTTTGTACAGTATGCTGTTACCAAAACATACAAACTTCAGAAAAATCATCAAGGGTTTTTTTTAGGGAAGGGAAATTTCCTCATAAATCATGAGACAAAGCTTCACTTCCCCTTTCACCACATATGCAGGTGGGAGGAACTTACAAATAAAAACCTCAGGGCAGTAATAATGACTAATTTTACATATAAACAGACACAGGCCAGGACAAACAACCCTGGATATTTTCTGACTCACTGAGAATCCAAAGTAGCCTTTCAACCAGCAAAATTTAATCAGTTCACTTATGGAGAAATCAGAGGCTGTAAATACGTTCACAATATTTTTAAAGAAAAGGTGTACAATTGAGAACATGACCTCAGATGGAAAGCTGATTATCATAATTCTCGCAACAAAAACAACTCTTTTGAGCCTAAATGAAAAATTCACAAGTCTTGTGGCGCTTGTTGCAACATATTTAATCCATGAATGTTTCCATCAGAGAAGAACATCAGGCGTTTTCTTCTATATGACGCTCTATCCTCAGCATCAATTCTTCCCAGTTTATCCCCTCTGGCAGAAAAAAAGACAAAGACAGAGATAGTGGTAGAGAGTCACGCCATAACAGAGACAGACAGAGCTATGAAGTTATTTACAGAGAGATGTCAGTACAGTTTTTCTCCATTTTGGGCATCATACTCACTCTGTTGTGCATCTCTGTTTCTCTATCAGACTGTGCGGCTGCTTGCTTTGAGGTATTGGCCCTCTCGCTCTGAATTTGCTTCAGTCTCTGGTGCTCTTGTTGAATCTCTTCGAGCTCCTTTTGCAGAGCCAAAACTCTGTCATCCTTAGGGACCGCCTGCTGATTACGCAGCCTGCTTTCCTTCTCCTGTTTCCTGAAATGTGCCAAAACTCACCATAAATATGTGTGTAATACTTCTGTGCTTCAGAGCCAAACATGTCCCTGACCTGATGGCTGCAGCCTGTGCCAGTGCTCTCTTGTGGAGCTCAATGGTCTCCAGCCCCTTTAACAGCATCTGATTCTTCCTCCGCTTCTCCTCCAGGATTTTCTCCCGTTTCTCCTGCAGCTCAGCCTGCTGTGCTTCCTTCAGGAGGGCCAGCTGCTCCTTCACCTCACACATTTCTGCCGGCAGCTTGTGGCTTGCAGTCTGGCACAGAATAAAAAACTCAACCATACTTAAGTTTTATTTGTGGGACAGTGTTTGTGCTGTCCTTCACTCACCTGTTTGCCATCAACATTTTTCATTTGAATGCAGGGAGGTGACTTAATTGTATGTGCTTCACGGATGGTTTCAATTTTCCTGCTGAGGTCAGCCTGTGCCTCCTCCCGTGCTTGACAGAGGAATTCTCGGCTTTGCTCTGAGACTTCTTTCATTGTAACGTGCAAGAAATTAATGAAAATGAGTGCAGATTCTTGAAAAACATCACCGCATCACACCTGATGTTAAGGCGTACCTATATTTTGCTTGAGTTTCTGTAGCCTTTCTTTTGCCACCTTTGCGTTTTTGTGGCCTTCAGCTACTTGTTGCACCGAGTCTCTCATTTTTTTTTTTCCTGCAGCCTTTTTTCTGCATATTTCTCCTTCAGCTCAGCAGTCTGGGTGCAAGAGCAGTGCAGGAATCAGAGCAACTGTTTTGCATACTTGTAAAGGGACTTTTAAAAAAGGGCTTAAAGAGAACAGCCATACTTTTGTTGTAATCTTCTGTATATTCCTAGTTTCATCGATTGTCAAGCAAACCTTTACCCACCTCTTTCTTCTTCTTCAGTTGAGCAGTCTTCTGGTTACGTTCCATTATTTGTGTGCGAGCCATAGCTGCCTTTTCATTAATGATGCGCCTTTCTAGACGTCTGCACTCGATGGTGACCAGCTCCTCCTCAAGATCTTTCTCATGCATTCATTTGTCAGGTTTTACCATCTAAAATTTCTTTCATACTACCCTCTTCTTTATCTCCCAACTAGTTGATTTAGCGCAGCCACTCACTAAATTTAAAAACCTGTACACAACAAGTTTTTCTATGCACCCATACAATACAATGACTTTTATGTCTGAATAATAAGACACTTATTCAAACATACATCGATATTATATTCCATTTCCAAGTCCATTCTAATAAATGCCACTAAATGCAACTTTCTGCACCTTTAAGTGGGTCTGCCAAAGAGCCTTTACACATTACCTGAACTCATCCTGGGCAGAATTTTGTTTTCACTTTAGCTCGAATTATTTTTGTGTCACTGAAGTTCAGTCCTGTACTGAGTATTGACTGTGTCAGGATAAAATGAGAAACAGTTTTCCAAAATGTATGGTAAAGTCGTGGCAAGTAATTTATTCTCTCTCTGCTGTACCTTTGCTGCTCCTCCTCAATCTGACGGTCATATACGGCCTGCTACCTCAGAATTGCTGCAATGTTGAGCTTGGGGAGTTTGGTGGTTTGGTGAGCGAAAAACTTCCTGGGTTGTGTGGTTTTAATTTGGCCTTTTTTCACTCGATACCCTCGAGATAGTTTCAAAGAAAGCTCATCCAAGAGTTTGTTGATCTCAGGGCGCCATCTAAAGGACAAACATAGAAATCTTTGACTGTGAACAACTTTCATTGTCTTAAAAGTGTCCTGCTCTTACCTCAACAGAGGGCCAATCCAGTGTTTATCAACAAATGCAGAATCATAGATTTTATTCCATTCTTCTTGCATCTTGTCGAGATTTGTGAAAAAGAAACGCAGGAACTACAGCCAAGCAAAACAGAAAGAAAGCATAGTTTTAGGGCTTTTGTTTGCTTGCCGTCGCCAGGTCGCGGCTGGTCTGAACGCCCCTATAGACTTTGCGATATATATTTGTGATTGTTGTGCACATTTTGTTTGTTTACTCGAGCACAATTTTGTGAATTTTGTTTTACAAAGGTAACCATCACACTGTTCTTATATTACCTGGAGATCCTTTGAAGCATCCTCAATGAAGTCATCCAAACACTGTCTGCTAGCGCTGAACTTTTCGAGCAGTGAATTAGCCTCCGTAACAAGGCTGACATAGCTTGGTGCCATTGTGCTGTATACCAGCAGGTGAAGAGGTGTTTACCAGCAGAAAAAAAGCCTCTTAAAATATAAGCTATATGCTGTCACGCGTAGTTCTTATTTATTATATGGTTTAATTCATCGTCTGCACTGGGACATCTTTATCCTTTGTTGGCTGCCATAACAATAATAATGACGTACTACCGTGACGTCTGGTCTCTTCATGCGCTGCTTTCACGTACTATCGGAAATATTGAAATTACACATAGTCGTGATATATGCACCAAGGAAGGAGGTCAACTATACAAAGATAAAGATTAAGAGTGCAGATTTCTTGTCAGATTGTTACATGTAATTGTCACAGTAGAATTAACTCACTTGAATAGGGATATCGCGCTGTGCATGTGGGAAGGCTGATGTGCAAAGGAAGTAATTAGCTGAAATAAAGAAATAACATGCCAACTTGAGTTTTATAGAGAAGTAACATAACACATTGACTGATTCCCTGCCAGAATCTCATGGTTTCATTATCAAGAATATTTTAACAGCATATCAACAAAGTTATTGAGGTGTCACCCTGTGGCCAAAAGTTTAGTTTTGAGAACAAAACCTTCATTTGTTATGATAAACACAGCCTTTTTTATACTTATTGAAAAAAAGACAGACAACGAAAAATGTTTTAGAGCCTGTGCTCTGGTTAAAAAGCTCGATTTCATCTAATGTCCAGAGAGGCAGTCAACATAAACATCTAAAAGACTGCCCTCAAATACAAGCCTGGAAAAAACTTGGATGAATTAGAATAAGAATAAGAATAACTTTATTAATCTCCAAAGGGAAATTCAATTGTCTGTTGTCTCACAAAATATGTCTCTAACAGTTATCTACTATTTACACAAGAGTTATAAAGCCTGATGGCTGTCGGTACAAAAGATCTTCTGAATCTTTTTGTCCTGCAGCGAAGAGAGAGGAGCCGTCCACCACCATTGACCCTTTGGTCCATTAAGGTGTTATGAAGTGGGTGATCCATGTTTAGATCTCTCCACCACATCCTCCAAGAGTCCAGCTTCAGTCCAACCACAGAGCCAGCCTTTTTCACCAGTTTGTCAAGACGTCTTGCATCTTTGTGTTTGATGCTTCCTCCCCAGCAGACTGCAGCGTAGAACAGAACACTTGCCACCACAGACTGATAAAACATCTGCAGCATCTTACTACAGATATCTATTGACCGGAGTCTTCTCAGGCAAAAGAGGCGGCTCTGCCCCTTTTTGTAGATGTAGTCTATATTTTTAGACCAGTTCAGTTATTAGATTTAGACCAGTTATTCTTAGACCAATTAGCTCCTGATACCTGTCATTATCAGTACATATTGTACATATTTATTGCTTTGAAAAATTCAACAATACAAACATGCTATCTTAAACACTGTGTTGATCTTGATACCAATCTAAAGCAGTGTTGGACTTGATAAGATATAACAAATTACATTTTTGAAACAAAGGTAATAAAAAAAAGTTCCAGTAACTTTTGGAGGAAAATGATGCACGTAAAAAGTCCAGACGGTGGCAGTATTGTCTCAAAAGAGTCCATTAAAGTGAGCGCTTCTTCTTGTTTTTCCTCTTTTATGTAGTCAGTACAGTTTCAGCCACTGTTAATCTTCTCAGGGGTGTCAAGTTATGCAAGTTGTCACTTCCATTTACCTCAGTAGTCACCATTGTCCCTCTTCTACAGTGCTTCATACTTGCTGTGATTATTTAACTCAACATTCAACATTTCTTTTAATAAACTGTAGATAGCATTTGTACCATAGCAGTAGTAGCAGCTCCAGATCAAGAATTTTTTTTACCACAGTAAAAGAAAAACCCTTCAAATGTCCCTGTTCAAAAGTATGGGCACTTAAACACATACACCAGGGCTGGACTTTCAGCTAAAGTGAAGATATCTAGGAATAACCAGCGAAATTGTGTGAAGATATACAGTAGTATTTAATTTTTCACTCAAAGAGGAGGAAACTTTTACAGGAAAAACTCTCTGATGAAAAAGGGTATATCCGAGAAGAATCATTTAAAAGTTATGACAATTTATAAGTTGATAGTATGACTAGGGAGACTCATCCTAAAAGTACTGTGGTCTGCATCTCTAAGCTTAATCTAAGGACTTTCACCTTCCTTTTTGTCAGACATACCTGAACCAATCCAAAAATAGAATACAAAATTTATATCTTAGACTGCCTTTAAACTTATGTTTTGTTTTTTTTTTGTTTGTTTTTTTTTTTTTTGGTGGGGGGGGGGGGGGATTTCCAAATGATTTATAATCATTGCTGTTTTTGTTATTTATATTTTAAAAAGGAGGTTGACAGTTTTGGTTAAATGTTGACTCTGTTTGGCCCTCAGGTTAGATCTAAACCCAGATTATGGCCCTTGCTGTGGTTTAGTTTGACACCCCTGGTAAAACAAACAAGAAAAAAAAGTTTTTTTAATATGCTCCAAGTGCCAAGAACTGTATTGGGTCATAATTACAGTGAAAAGTACCGGGGATTACTGTGTTTCGGAAAAGCCCTTGAAGGCATCACTTCCTGGGAAAGTGGGAGGTGAATGTTGTCAACGTGACTGTCATCAGTAACGTTAGATGGGCAGAGAGCAGTAGAGCCGTCGGTCCTCTGCGTGTCTGAATCGTCGGGACTTGGAAAGTGGCCGGGCGGGGGGAGACGGACAGCCAACCTCGGGATTTAGGGAAGATGGGAATAAGTGCTTGTTGTCGAATATCTTCTTCATACGCCTTCCGAGCCGTGCTGTAACGCTTAGGACAACTTAGTGTTTATTGTGTTTTTCCCTGTTTTGGATCCCGCCAGCGCCAGCTAGCTTAGCAGCCAGCCGCTGATAGTGTCAGACACACAGGTACAGGAGAGTAGAGGAGGAGGGGAGGGGTTGGTGACAAAGAAAGGTGGCGAGGAAACGATGAACCGCTTTCGAAAGTGGCTGTACAAGCCCAAGGTAAGTTGTCTCGATTTCTGTCAGCCCTGCATTCAGTCATCTTTAAAGCATCGCTGTGTAGGTAGCTAGCGAAACAGCCGCTAGCCTCAGGTCTTCATACAGTGGCACACATCTGCTAGCGTTAGCCCGTCTTCCTGATGTTTGCTGTATTAACACAGGAGCAGCAGCAGCTCTCCCTTTGTTGTTGTTGTTGTTGTTGATGCTTTTGTTTTCAGGCACCACTCAGGATTAACAACGTTATTGTGGGGCAAAGTACAGTGAATTTTACTCATTAACTCAATTTTCTTGGTGTCATTTAGTGATTTTATTGTTGTGTTATTGTCACAATTCCTTTTGTTTGTTTTTATTATAACACATAATATTAATAATAACTTATTTGTATAGCACTTTTAAAAAACAGATGTTTACAAAGTGCTTTGACATGTAGTCCTAGAGCACATGGAAAAAGACAAATAAAAATAAAAAGCTCAGTTAAAAGGGAATTCAAGGCCATTTCTTGTCATAAGGAACCCAGACAATACAAGAACCATGTAACATAAAATGAGACCATGAGGACCAAAATAAAAACATAAAATAGTTAAGAAAAAAGGAAAATGCTATTAAAAGGAAGGACGAAAGCGGAAACAGGATAGTAAATATAAAAGGCAATATCAACAATGATAATAAAATAATAACAGGTAATCCTGATAATAAAAGTAGTGATAAAATAGAGCAACAGAAATGAGCAAGAGATAAAACAACGGTAAGTACGGTATGGTAAAGCCGAAATAAGATAGAGGTAAAAGAGAGAGGAGATGACAGATAAAAGATAAAACAAAACAAAAAGACTTGTTATAATAATAGCAATTGAAAGGTGTAAGTGTTTATAATTATAATTTTCTTTTACTCCAGAAAATAGGAAAGATCTCAAACAGCAGGTCTGAAGACAAAAATTATACTGAATTTCAGGACTGTTGTTTGTGTCATTATTCTGTAATCAATTGGCCAGTCAATCGCTTTACATTCTCAGTTGGCTGATTTATCATTTGATGAATGAAAATGAAAATGATAAAAGGTTAAAAAAAATGCTCACCCCACTTTTTTGAAGCCTTTTACCTATTTGTCTTACCTCTTTTGTAAGACAAGGAAAGAACCAAGACAGAGTAAAATGTTGTGCAATAAAAAAATAAATTCTGAACACTTATTATTATTATTCTTAAATGTGTGCCTTGATACCTAGTCCTTGAAATCCTTCAGCATATTAAAGGATTTGATTATTGTTTATTTTAGACTTAACAGCTAACTGAGTAAATTGTGCGTAAAACAGGTAATTTGCTGGCGGAGTTATCACATTTCGCCTGAGCTGCTAATAAATATGCTGTAATTCTTAGGGTGAAGCACACCTGACACAGCAGAGGAAACACTGGGGGTCTGATCACTTTGTTAAATGAACAGTTTAATAAATGCAGACTCCAGCAGTTTTATTTTTTGGATGAGTATGTGAACATTTTTTAAAGGAGTACTTATTATTTCCTCTACTTAGAGAGACAAATTTTATGCACTAAAGCACACAGATCAGAGGTAAGCTTTTAGTACTCTGTGTTGGGTTTTTCAGAGCTGCCACAGATTTTATATCCCTGTTGGATTGAGAAACTCCTTCCTGATCTACTTCAAGGCAATTGTGAGCTTTAGATGTGTTAATATTTAACCTAGGTCAATTGCTAGTTTGCACTTGTACCCTTGTCCTAATTACACTTGCGCTCTAATTAAAAGTTTGCTACTTACCAGAAAGCCTGAGCAAAAATCAACTCTTACAAATCAATGCAAACAACTGTTGTCCTTAAAAGAGCTCTAATATAAACTTTATTTGGAGGATTAGTGCATAGTTTATTTTACCCCAATTAATAAAAAAAAATCATCATCAAATGAATCCCTCAAACTTTCATTTTAAAGAGCTGCTGGTTTAAACTTGTTGTCTCTCTCTGCACACAAATTCCATAGCGAGTCGACAGGCCCTAACAACATTTTAGTGTTAAATGGATGGTAATGTATTTCTTGCTGACCCTATAAGTTAACAAAAAGGGAAGAAAGCTGCTTTGGATTGTGTTTTCTTGCCATCAAATTTAATTTTTAGCTTTGCTTACAGTGTGTAGACTTGCATTTCTTACTGGTAGGTAACCTGGGTCCTTGCTGCACTGAGGTCAAGGAAGGATAAAGTAAAAGCCAGTGATTATAGATCATCCACCTGCTCTTTACAACATTCATACACCTGCGTCACTCCTCTTTTCCCTGTTTGACTATGTTTGCTGTCACAGCATTCTGGCAGTCCATTGTCAGGGTTAGGCCTAAGTGTTGGGGTTCACCAAAGCATTGTGACATTCATGAATGACCGCTGACTCTGAAGTGCTGAGCTATTACATCAGTGCCTTTTCTGCCGAATCACAGCCATGGTTGGAATTAGCTGAATTACACTTAAGTCTGTTGGTTTTAAATGACCAGTTCTGCCTGAAAGCAGGCAAGAGAAAAGGGCTAAAAGCCTTGTAATTACAGAGATCACATTAAAAAGGCAGAAGTAACGAAAGACAGGGGATCAGTCTAATCTCTGTACTGAACAGCAGCAACACTAGCAAGTTTGTTCCTTTTTTTGCAGGGAGAAAACATGCCAGTAATAATCAAAAGCTGTTTTCATCTAGCACATTCTGGCATGGATAAGTTGTGCACTGTACAGTGTTGTCATTTTGCATCAACAGTAGGTCGTTTATTATTGAACTCCGTTCTCCTGGAGACAGAAAAGCGTCGAATCAGCATGTTCCCCTGACTGAAGCGGAGCTATTGATATTTCCAGAGCTGCTCTTTGCCTCCCCAGACGAATCCCACTGAGGAGGACTTTCTTTTTCCCCCTGCTACACAATCTCTTCCCAGTGTGATTGAGAGTAGTGTGCGGGACATAATGTCCCTGACTATCCTTTCTGACTGTCATCAAAGTACCAACTTGTGGAAGGAGATGAAAGTGTAAAAGAAATGGATTGTCCTGGTCTTCGTTAGAGGGAAAGACTTGTCAGAGTAAGGATACACTTCGGCAAAGTGAGATTTCCCACATTCCTTTCAGGTCTTTAGACCGGTTAAGCTGGTTTTTGTGTGCATAGTAAACCTTTATTTCCCAAAATATCTACAATAGAGATCTTCTTACTTGTCCAAGGAATTTGTGGACTTTGACCACTTACGGTGGAGGGAAAATTTTATATAATGAGAAAAGTGCCTTTTTCATTCATAAAAAAAATGTTTTATCTCACTTTTCTCAGTCCCAAACAAAGACCAAACCAGGCTCAGGTTTCCAAGCGGCCAAAATCCTACTGTGTCCCCACTTCTCATTCGTCAGTGGCAAACCTGAAGAGTGACTGATGTTGAGAAAGAGAGATGTCAGGATGTTAAACCAGCACTCTTCCTCTGTTCTCCTCTCCTGGTTGTTTACTCCATCAGGCGTTCAGGAGCTGACCTTCAGCTTCCCATCACCTCATCTGTCAGCTTGACGGGCTCGCAGCTCACACCAGGCCCGGGTGCACTCACCTCCATCTACAAGATGCTACTAATTTGCCACCCCTCCACCCAAGGGCAGTTTAGTGTGCGTGTAGCTGATACTTTCTGCCTCCATGTCAAGCTGTCGGACCGATATCTCTTTGCAACAGTCGGTTGTTTGCAGTTGTAGGAACATTTGTAATGCTTATGTTTTATCAACCCGATAAGGCCATCAAACATCTGACCGCCGACAGATTCCTGAGAAACAGGAAAAACAGATCTTAATTTTAGTAAGATGTGAGTTAAGGTCAGACATCCTGGGAGATGTGTCAAGAATTTCTGCGTGAATGATCAAAGTATGGGTCTAATTTGGGCGTGAGCGTACTGTGCCTTGGGACAGATAAATTGAGATGTGGAATTTTCTTTTCTAGTTTAGATTTTTGAAAAGTGAAACCAGTGTCTTTGTTTGGTCTGAACCCAGCACATATGTTTTAAGCTACTTTGTTTGGCCATTTATTTCAGCTCTAAGTAACAGAAATAAGCTTTAAGTAAATCTGTTCACATTAAATTTGATTGCAACAATTCAAGAAACAGTTTATCTACCAAACAATGTGAAATCTTCCTAATTCTCTTTATTATTTACATATTTTTAGAAATAAGTGGCGGATTTGTTCAGTCTAATCTGTAATTTAGAAATGTTCAGTTGTACTTTTTTCACAATCTCACGGCATATCTAGAATGAACTAATTACAAATAATTGATACATTTATTAGAGGAACTTACCCTGAAGTTTGGATCCAGTGATTCTACTGCTGCCAGCCAGAGGAGAAAAAGAAAAGTATTTAACTAATATTTTTGTCACTTTGTCTGGTTTCTGATGAAAATGTCAAAAGGCCCAATGATTTATCAAGAAATTAATGTCAATTTATTTTTCTCAGCATTTAGAAACTTTTGCTTTTACCTTGAGAACTGTTTAGAAGTGTTTGTCTGTTGAAGTATAGATAAAAACTTATCATGTTAATTTTTAAGGAAGCATCGCTCTTTCTGCTGAAAACATTTGTAATAGTTCTTGTGAATTATGGCGGATCCGAGCTCCTCAGAGATGAGCGCTCCTCTTTCTCATGTGACGTCCCTGGCTGTAGAATCTCCCTCTGTTCGTCATTTATCACTCCCCTCTTGTTTGTGAGTATTACAAACAAACTGGAGAACTGAAAGCAGACAAAGCAATTAGGGTCTTGCAGAGTTGATCCAGCTCAGTTGGCACAGAGTTGATGGAAGAGTGATCAGCAAACTGCTGAGTAGTGTCCTGCAGGGCTTCATATTTAGCACTGTTTCTGGACCTGTGTGTGGATGTCCCATTCTGCTAACCCACCAGCCATGCGGTAATCGATTTAGTGTCAGTTGCTGAGATTTAGAGAGCTGACTGTAGAGCAGACCCAGACAGGCCCCGGCGATTGAGGGCCTTTTTAAATTCATTGCAGGATTGGGGAATCAGGGCCCACTGTCTGAGGTGTGAGGAAGTAATGATTGAAGGGAAGCAGCTGTAGAAGAGGAGCAAGATTTAAAGGTAACAGAGAATCAGCGAGTCCTGGCATCGACTGGGCGGCCGCGCTCATCTTCCACACCTCATTTCTCACCCGTGATAATCAGCCCCTTCTCTGATGAACAGCTTTTTAAATTTGTCTCTTCTGTATTACTTGTAATAATCATAAAGCATCCACTCAAGGTGCCCTTTGTCTACAATACGAGGCTTGAAGAAGAGCCTGAAAATAAAAAAAAGGCATCCCTTGTGCTTCTGGCTCTGTCTGAGCAGCAGGAGAGAACGGAGGGAGAGGAGGAGAACAGTAGGTCTGTATTTTTGGGATTAGATTTTGGCCTTAGTTACAGTTGGCAAGAGATAAATGAGGGGATGTTGTTCTCAGCAGCTTCAGTGTTTCTTCTCACTGGATACATGATTTTGGAGGATGACAAATCCAAAAAATTATTGACAAACAAATAAATATTAACTATCTATTGAATGGAGATTTTATTTTTTAATATAGATATGTCTGAGTGGATTCAAAATATAAAACCATCCTGTCTGTACTTGTTTCTGTTTTTTATTCTTATTTTGTGGTATTGAATTTGGAAAATTCTTGAATGTGAAGGCTGCCAGTGTTGCTGGTGTACAGACTCCAGAGTAGATTTCCTCCAGTACTAATCCACTCCATTAAAAGTTGTTGATTTTGTAGTTCCAAATCCACATTTTAACAGGCAGTTCTGGATTGTATAACCAGATTAATTCTTGCATAAGAACATGCCTGCTGTCACTGAGGAGCAGGGTGTCCCCACGTGCCACTACTACCATCAGGGCATCCTGAACAGGCCTTGTGGACACGAATCGTCCGCACCCCTCTGCCTCACCTCAGCCTGACATGCTTAACCATGTGCCGAATGCAGAGATGACTGCTCGGTCCAAAAAGCCAGATTAAGGCATTTCTCTGAGTGGAGACTAGCACACAGATTATAACATCAGTCCAGATGTGCATACCACTCTGAATCCTTTGAGCTGAATCTGTTTGCTGCTGTGGATCATTTTCCAGATGGTTAGTATGGGAATATTAATCGGCAGCTTGTGATCAGTGTCATTGATTTGATCGCTCTTTTGTTTAAGCGACTTTATGCCTGAAAGGTCGTCATCAATAACTCAGCAGCTGCAGCAGACAACAGGAAAGTGAGGGAAGAAACTCCTGATGCAAGCTGATCATGAAAGGAATGACTTGACACAACCGAACCTGCTTGAGCAGAAAACTGCATCTGTAGAGCGAAAATGCGTTTTACTCTGCAAAATTTAATACAAATAACGGCTGAGGAAGTTTCCTTGTTTGTTACCAAAACGATTGGCTGGCTCCTGCCTGGGCTTTTATGCTGAGCCCTGAATAATAAATAAGGTGATGAACTGTATCCGGCTGCTTTTTGCCAGTCTGCCAACTGACTAGATGAAGCAGAGTGAACTGGTTTCCCCCCCTATGATAAATGCTTCTGATCCTTGGAAAGAGGCCAGAAGGCAGCAAATTGAGCCTGGAATAGAGTATGGAGGGCAGAGGCAAGGTTTCTCATAAGTCCCCTAAGTGGGCCCAGTCGGCACGAACCGGTGCTATGGATGCTTGTGAAGTATAAGCCTGACAGCCTCGATCATCTGCACAGTCTGAATAGAAATGAAGCCCAGCTATCAGCAGCTCAAGGAGAGAGCTGTCTGAGATGATGTGGAGCATACAACAGCCAATCTCTCTGTAACACGTTTCAATGAGAGTCAAACACCGAGTGCCTGTTATTGATTTCATGCTAAACAAAAGCGACAGAAATTTCACAGAGTCATTGTGAAATGATGAGATTAAGGAGGCTCAACGGTAATTGTCACTCTGGATGAGGTTGTGGGAGCCTAATAGTCTGAAATGAAGGCTTTGTGACCACGGTGCAGAGTTTTTGAGTCATCTCAAAGAGAGGGCGCCTAGGACAACTGACAGCAGGAGTAGAACAGGAGAGTGGCACACCACAGGGGACGAGAGGCGAATCTGCTGAATCATTTCCTCACTCACGCTAGGTAGAGCTGTCATTGGTGGTGATGATGACGCAACCTGCGAGTTCAGGAGTCAGATCCCCAGATGTTCAAACACCTTTAGTTAAGCATTTTTATGCCCCTCAAAGAAAAGTGCTTTTTAAAACTCTTCTTAGTGTGATTGTTTCTGGGATTTTAGAAAGGTGAGTGTTTGATAGTTGCAAGTGCGCGTAAGGCGGTAGCTTCCCTTTTTTTTAACCTTCTACTGTATACATATAAAATAAATGTCGAGGCCAATGCTCGGTGCCAACTTGTGTTATGTAAGCAGATGAAAACTGACACTTGTTTCAACTGACAGCTTGCCTGTTTGCACTCACAATCTAACATCGTCACTGACTCACAGTCCATACAACAAGATTAATATTACTATCCACAGCTCTGAGTCTAGATTGAAACTTTCAAACAAAGGATTAGTCTGTATTTGAGACTTTGGGTGCATCTCTCCCCAGTTAATCAGAGGTGTTTACTGTACTGAATTTGATGAGATGTTTTGAAGTAATCTTGGATTTTGCTGCACCAGCTGTTAGAAAGTACATTTGCAACTACAAACTTTGTTATGTGCTCATCTATTGTGAGAGGGGGAAAAAAAAGTCAGAGGCATCCACTCATTAACAATGTGTTGTGTAAACAGGAAGTTGCTTTGTTTCACAAACTGTGGCATAATGTAATTGACACCCTATATCTTTGTTTTATCTACCTGAGCAAACTTGAAGACACATTTATACAAGTATACAGTTTGGTATAAGTAGGAGTAATATTAATAATGGCAGATGAAGTCTTATTTAACACTTATGTAATGGTGATACAAAAATGTCCATAAATGAATAGGCAGCAGAAGAGCTTCATTGCAGTGCTTGTGATACAAGAAGTGGGAAACCGACTCTTCTTAAGACGACCACCTAAGTGTGCTTTTAGAGAACCATCATCCTGAGCAGCACCAAGAGTTTCTGAAAACTAAGAATTAGGGGTGTCCCGATACGATATTGATATCAGATATCGGTCCGATATCAGCAAAAAAAAGGATGTCTGATTATATCGGCCTGCATCTTTAATCTCCGATATCAGCACTCCGATACAAGCAGTCCATTCCAGACTCTGCTCCGGCACCTCTATCTTGCAGTGCCCTGATCCAGCAAGCTGAGCCCACATGATCACAACAACAGTGTGTACTAAGGTACTAACAAAGTAACAAGGAGTAGGAGTGATGTGGGCCTTGTGGCAGTATTCTTTGTTGAAGTCCGAAAAAGACGTTGCAGCCGAGTGAAAAACTTGTCATGCACAGTTTTGTACCAATATCGGATCAATATCGTTATCGGTCAGTATTGAAGGCTACAATATTGGTATTGTATTGGAAGTCAAAAAGTTGTATCGGGACACCCCTACTAAGAATGATAAAAACATCGGTGCCAGAGTACAGCTGTCCACAGCCTCAACTTGAGTTATTCAACAAAACGAAGGAGTGCAGCAGCAGCAGCGATCGTATTTCTGACTGTCTGTATTATAAAATGGATATGTTTAACATTTAAGGCAGAACAACAGTTCCATTTAACTACAGGACAGACTTTGTTCTTTAGGTATGCATATGTAGAAATCGGGCAAAATATGTTTTTAAATGTCAGCAAATCAAACTTTGTTCATCTTGCTTGTATGAACTCCTTGACATTCCTGTCATAGTTTTATTGATGTGGAAAAAAAATCCTATGAGGAAAGTAAATGATTTGTCGTGTGTACAATGACAAATTCCCTATATTATTTCCCACCTCAAGAAGGACATGCAGAAGCTAGCTAATGTTAGCTTTCCGTGTTTCAGTGGAGTATGTGACGGTCACATGTGGCATGTCGGAGGTTAACATTATTAATGTCTGTGAGAACTGGTTTGTGTGGTTATAACTTCGCCAAGCTTGAATTAAAAATCACTGCCTCAGAGAACTGGTTCCCACACTTCTGTCCCAAATGGAGCTTAAGGAAATGTCAATGATGTGAGTTAAGAAGTTGAGATTTTGTGTAAAATGTGAATAAAAACAGAAAACAATGATTTACACAAACACACCCTAAATGCTGGCTTTTAAACTTGGGCCTGATAATAATTTGGATGCTCCTTTTTTACCCAATCATGACTCTCATCTGTTTCCCTTTAACCTGTTCACCTGTAGAGTAACTTAAACAGATGTTTTCTTTTTTTTTTTTTTAAGCAGTCCTCAGTTTTCTCAGTCTTTTGTTGCTCCTGTCCCAACTCTTTTGGAACATGTCGCAGGCATCACATTCAAAATAAGTGAATATTTTCAAAAGAGCAATAAAGTTTATCAGTTTGAACATTAAGTATCTTGTAATGAACTGAATATACAGTAGGTAGGTAGGTAAATCATTGTGTTATATTTTTATTCACATTTTACTGGATGTCCCACTTCATTGGGATTGGAGTCTGTACGAAACAGAGAATTGCTGCCTATCAGAAAGTAAACCATCATGTGTTGAGCTTTGCCTGCCTTTGACTTTTTCCCCCATGATGCAATGCTGCAGGAATGTTGCCTCTTGTGTGAGGAATGCGGCAGGAGGAGGCTGAAGGAGGGCGTCTGTCTCAAATAGTTCTTCTCTTCCTCTGTCAGCATGTCTGTAGGTCTCGCAGATCTCAGAGTGAATGCCAGCACTGTGGGCCGGCTTGTACTGGTGCTTTCTCTGTCTCCCACTCCTGTTTCCATTTGGCCATCGTGACATTTGTGTCATAGACTCCCTCATTGTTGTACGGTTATGTAAAGGTCAGTTAAATCTGACGCCTAATGGGTGATATCTTTGCTTTTTTTAACCCTCTAATGCTCAATTAAGATTTCCTTGCAGCTGTTTTATAGAAGCCCACACACACACCAACCCACACAAGTGTATTTCCATCGTAGTAACAACAATGCCGTGATGAATAACACTATTTACAGTGTCCTCCTTTCCTAGTGTGCGCTACAATAGTGTGGGTGTCTAACCTTATTGTCCACAGATTATTTTTACACACAGAATATGAAGTGTCTAGTAAAAAAAGAACACGAGAGAAGACGGTGAAAACTTGCCTGTTTGCTGGATTTTTTCACAGATTTCTGTGGGGGTTAGGTCGCTTTTCTTATCACTTAATCATCAGTTATCATGACAAGAAAAGGACTCCAAAAGTTCTCAATCACAAACAAAATATGCAGGGCTTGTTGTTGTTGATTCTACCCTGTAAGATAAATCTGTATTAAAGTCTGAAAAGTATTTGTTTTGTCAAAACGCTAATCTGCTTAAGTCCAGAGCTGACTCCACCACAGCTCGAACAAACTTAAGTATGTTATATCAATGCCTTCAATAACAACTGGATTTGCCTCCCTGCAGGTAACTTGAATCTTTTCTCAGGTTGCTGTGTTATATTTCACTTCTCCACATCACCTTTCAGACATTCAAGATGATTTTTCCTCATCATAGAAATAATGCCACATGTACCCCAGCTGTAGGTTATTTCTTTGTGTTTTTCTCCTTGCTGTTTGTTTCATTATTAATGAGAGAGAGTGAGGGAACAGCACCGTGTATCATATTCAGAGAGAGAACACATGGGGCCCTCGGGTGGAGCATCACGCAACAGGAATCATCGCAGACTTAAGGGAAAGAAGGTCCTGTGTGAGAGTTTGGTCAATACTGGTATTCAGTTTATGATTTAATGATAAGGGGAAAAATATCTGCTTACTTTGGACTTCTGCAAGTCGGCACAGTCCCGCTGTCCTCCTCAGCTCAGGTTTGTGATGATGCACACAAGCTTGTGGTCGCCATTTTCCAAGCCATTAACCTTTTGATCAATGTGAGACCACCCTGGATGTGTGTGCATTGTCGTCGTCGGCGCTATGATTAAGAAAACAGCCTCATCATTGTCCTGTAGAAGTTGAGTTTAATTTGATTCCTCCTGAGCATTACTGATAATCAGCTGCTGTGTTTACATCGCTGTTGTATCAGTGTCTCTTCCCTGCCTTGTGTTGTGGCTGTATGCAGGCTTCACCCAGCTGTGGAGTAATTTGCTGCACCATGCGGCCCCCCCACACACTGAGGGGAGCACGGCGGGAGATAATGACATCCTCTACCAGGGACAGGCTCTCTAATTACACCTCCTCTTCTGGGGAGCTTTCACACTTTATTAACCTTTGTTAACTCCACCTGTCAGAATGAATGCCATTTTTATCACTCACTATCCCATACATGTGGAGAGTTTGTTTATGTGTGGATGGTGCTTTGTATAACCCCTGCCTTGTGCTCATAAATCATCTGGATACTCAGCAAATGGAAGAGCAAGCTGTTATTAAGCTAGCCTATACAGTGTCCTACTTACCTGGTTTAATTTGTGTCCCCACAGATCAGTAGTATATGTTATCTCTTTTCCCGTGATGTCTTAACTTCAACTTAATCTCTTCCTCTTTGAGTTTTGTGGTTCATTTGCACCAGATCAGGCTTCGTCAGCTCAACTTTCTGCTGTGTATATGCAGCTGGAGTGTGTGAAACTATACTGACTTATATACTTGACCTGTTAACACTGAAGTGCAGCAGCGACATAATGCTCTCGTTACTAGGAGACCTATGTGTGTGTGTGGACTTGCCCACCGGTGTTAGAAAACCATCAAGCTGCAGCTCTCCGTGTCTGTCCGTGTGCTTCACTCATGCAGAACTTTTAATGTTCATCTTATAAATTTAAACCCAAAGTCCACAAACTGAACATCAAGTAAACTACAGGCCAAGGCGGATATCCCTCACTTTGTTTTGCTGCTGCATTTACTCCTGTGCAGGACAGTAAATAATTGAACAGCCCTATGGGATCAACAAGCACGTTCCTGAGTTTATTCATATCTCTGACAGTTTGAGAAGATATGAGTTTCTATTCAAGACATCCCCTGATAACAGATAAAAAAAAAAAAAAAACATGCTTTCTTTTAGCCTCTGAAGTTATCCTGGCTTCACCCTCATGCACTGTGTTTAAGGTGAAAAATAAGTGGTATTTGCTTTGATATTCAGTGATTTCTTCCATAAATACTGTGTTGAGATGTGGCTTGTTTTCACAGCTGTTGATGCTCGGTTATGTGTGGCCAGAGCAAAATAACAACCAGCCAGTAAAGGTTACTAAATGTCTTTGTACTGTAAGACATTGCTGTATTTAGAGTGATGTAAAATCAAAGTGTTTCATTAGTACTAATTAAAGCTGGTAAAGCATAGATATAGATTTCTGTCTGTTGAGGTGATGATGATATTATTATAGCTGCAGTCTTTAAGTGAAGGCAGGCATGTCTTATAAAACCAGACAGGGTATAGATGTAGAATTAAGAAATGTAATAAAGCTGTAGCAGTAGTCTCATTGATACTTTCTTGACTTAAGCCAATAAATAATGCTCCTCAAATCTTTTTTTTTCTTCTTCTCATTTTTGTTGTTTTTTTTGTGTCTAAGTTAATCAAGTAGTCTATACTTGGGTTGATCAGACAAAAAAATTAAGTATCTTGCCTTGAGCTTCCAGACACTGTGATTAGCATTTTTACCATGTGCTCACAACTTGATAATATATTAATATATCCATAAATTAAAATAAACTTAAGCACACATTTAAACTTGATCACGCAAAACATCCAGAGGGAATGGACTAGTTTGAGTCCAATCAAGATATCAGTTTTTTTTTTATGTTTAATTTCTCTGTTTATTTTAACAAAGTCATTCAATTGTAACAGTGTCAGTGTTTTTCCCAATGTATTAAAAAACACCCTTCCTTTGTGTTCCCGTGCAGAGAACGGACCCCCAGCTCCTGGCCCAGTTCTACTATGCTGATGAAGAGCTGAATCAGGTGGCCACTGAGTTGGACAGCCTTGACGGCAGGAAGGACCCTCAGAGATGTACCCTGCTGGTCAACCAGTTCCGCTCTTGTCAGGTCAGCAGGGAGGCGCCAAGGACAGCAGTATTTTCTAAGGCTGCTTATATTTGACCAGGATAAATGTCCAATTTTACTAAATGTCTGTTTTAAAAGATAGTCAGGTGTTTGAATCTATTAACACAGATTCTGCTGTTCGCACCCTTCTTTCTGCTCAACTTTTAGATTATTCAAAAGTGAATCTGAAATTACCATAAAGTCAAGGAACTTTCAGAGACATAAAGATCCACAATCTCAGGTGATTATGGTTGGTTTGGCCTAGAAGCTAAAATTAGACAACACCTTTGCCATCTCTTTTTGGGGCACAAGGGTCATTATATGAGTGTTGCCCTACTGAGCAGTACTTGGCCGACTTTTGTTATCAAGCAGTTGTGCTGATAAGGTGAGATGAGTCGACTTTGATAGGACTGAGATTTGTGTCACGCTAGTTGAAAGTTAATCAGGTCACAAGGGAGACTTTGGTACATTTGTAGCCTAATGTCAAACTAATACATCACATGACTTAAGTATTAAGATATGGGTGTAATGCAAGATTTGTGTCAATCGTGACGCAGGTTATTGCTTCAGGTTTTCATGTCGGTGCTAAATAGAGCTTAGAAGGCGTAGCTGTGCGTGAGTGATGGCTGCCACACCGCGCTCATGCTGGGAGAGGTGGAGGTGGCGCACAGAGGTCGTCATCTGGCCCGTTGTGCCTCAGCCTCCCCCCGCTGCCACAGCACACGGGGAGGATCACTTAATAAGGTCATCACTTGGTCCCCGACTGTTCTCTGTCTTCCCCTTCAATCCTTCCTTCAGCCAATCTGTCACCTCGTTTCCTTTTTTCCCTCTTTCTTGTTATTGTTCTGCTGCTTCCTTTTCCTCCCTACCTTTTGAATTTGCTGTGAAATGAATTTTGTTATCCCAGTTTTATCAAATGGAGGTTTTCAGCAGCTCCGAGTGACTAGTTTGTGTCGGTACCTTAAATGAAGCCCGCATTCTGTCATCCTGAGCCGCAGTGAAAATATGACAGTAAATTCCCTGCCCTTGTATGTCCATAGAGGGGTCTTTTCTGTGGCATACCTCCTCAAGGGTTTGGAGACAGAATTAAGCAGCATGATACCCCACAGCCCCGAGGCCCTAAGAATAGAAGGCAAGTGCACTCAAGCCAAAATTTTGCACTTGAACCTGCCACTGCAGATATCAGCTCTTATTCACGGGCCTCTGTGGGGGTTTCTGGCATGCTGCTCATATTATGTTGGCACGGCTGTTCGTACAGCATGGCCTGCTGGAACAGGCGAGTGTGTATGTGTGTGTGTGTGTGTTTGAGATGGACAAAGATTGAGTTAGACGGAGGAAGAAAAAAAGAGCCAGAGATAAATGGCGAAAAGAAGCCGAGGAAAAAAGATAGAAGTTATCCCTCTGTGACTCTGGGGTTTCAGGTATCACGCAAGAGTCGCTACCTTTCAGCGATTTGTAGACTCAGAGAAGTGAAGGTTATCACGGGTGTCCCCCTGCTTGGAGATGCTCACAGACAGTGGGGGTGGTTCTCAGACAGGTCCAGGACACACACACACACACACAGCACGCAGCCATAAAGAAATCGGTGGTTAAGCTCTCTTTCTCAAAGCTTTTTAATCTTTCTCCTTGGGGCGAGCAGAGAAAGACGCAGTGCTGTGCCTGACAAGATTACAGCGCACAGTGCAGCTGCGGTTGAGTGAAAGGCTCATTGTAAGTCATTGTTACGGCCGTTGTACATGCCAGCGGCACATAAGCTCTTGATTAGCTCTCGCTGTGTGTAACACTGCATTTTCACTGCTGGAATTATAGGCTTCAGTGTAGTGTTTTTATTGAGGGAGAATGTAACTGCTGGGGCCATAATCGTCTCATGTACTGTCAGATAGTTTTCATTCATTACCTAATCAATGCTCTTTAAAAAGCTACAATACAATGGCCTTCTTGAAAGAGGTGAAGCTTGGATTGTTAATCCATATTTGTTGAAGTAAACAATTTAGAGTTCCTTTTTTTTTTTTTTTTTTCCCCTCTCATGATTTTCCCAACTGACTAGTTTTTCCAATTGTGTTTGTTGTCACTCTTGTTGCCTGTCTGTAGGACAATGTGTTGAACATAATCAATCAGATCATGGATGAATGTATCCCCCATGACCGGGCCAACAGAGACTTCTGTGTCAAGTTCCCCGAGGAGATTCGTCATGACAACTTGGCAGGGCAGCTGTGGTTTGGGGCTGAGGTACAGTATTCCCTTCAGCATCTATGTATAAGAAAACAACCTTCGTCAAGTTCTACACAAGTGCATCTTATTCCTACTTGTTTTGAATCATCAATTCTACCATTGTTGACATCTTTCCCTCAGTTTTATAATCTCTGCAGTACTTGATCATTTATGATTTACATCCTCCTGTGCAGTGCTTGGCTGCCGGCTCGATCATCATGAACAGGGAAATAGAGAGTATAGCGATGAGGCCCCTGGCAAAGGACCTTACTCGCAGCCTGGAGGAGGTGCGCAACATCACCAGAGACCAGGCCCTGAGAGACCTCAACTTGTACACAGACCGCATGAAGGACGCACTGCGACATTTCGACAGCCTTTTTGCTGAGTTTGAGCTCAGGTGAATAAAAGAATCAGACTCCTTTTGGCAATCGGTGCAACAAGAGTAACAAAATACCATGTGTCAACTTTTTGAGGTGCACATTTGTCCTGAAATTTCAAACAAGGCTGTGATTGTCACGAAATGTTTTTCTTCTTTCTTCCATTGCCAGTTATGTGTCAGCCATGGTGCCTGTAAAGTCTCCCAAAGAATACTACGTACAACAGGAGGTGATTGTGCTCTTCTGTGAGACTGTGGAGAGGTGAGTTAACGGAGATATTCAGTCCGCATACTCCTGCAGACATGTGAAATGAGTTTAAACCGTATGTGAAGATGAAGTGGTAAACATTTCCTCGCCTGTGTTGTTGTCACAGGGCCCTTAAGCTGGGCTACCTCACACAGGACATGATCGATGACTATGAACCCGCTCTGATGTTTACAATTCCCAGACTAGCCATTGTGTGGTAAGTGTTGCCTGTCCTCCCCATTTCTCCGCCCACCTCTTTGTCTCTTCATCCCGTCTTCCCTCATACTGAATCTTAACTATATTTTGTAGTGGGCTGGTTGTGTATTCAGAGGGGCCTCTGAACCTTGACCGGAAATCAGAGGACATGTCTGAGCTCTTCCGACCTTTTCGCACTTTACTAAAGAAAATAAGGTACAGCCTTAAATGCAGAATGTCACAAGTAGTTGATTTCATCTTTTTAAATGATTATTTCTAATATCAATATGTCACCACTCTCTTGTTGTGCTTTTAAAAGAGACCTGCTGCAGACACTGACTGAGGAGGAGTTGCTTACGCTGGAGAGAAACCTGTGTATCTCTCAGGATGGGGAGTTGTCCACGGGCCAGACACTGGCTACCAACAGCTCACAAGCTTCAGTCCAAGAGAATCACTCATCCTGCAAACCCACTAATGACACCTCCAAGGGGGAGAGTGGCGGGGAGCAGGAGCATCTGGCTCTGTTTGTCTGTCCCAGCCAGGAGGAGGAACCGGCGGAAGTGGAAAAAGCTTGGAAGGTGGAAACAGAGAAGGGAGAGGAAGAGCAGGAGCAGGGCCTGCTGTGTGAGGAGGCGGAGGAGGCTGAGTTGGCCTGCTCGATGCAGTACGACGAAGAGGAATTGGAGCAGCTCAACATGATGGTGTATCGTGTGGGGGATGAGATGTCCACCTTGCTGTCACCTCCCAGCCAGGGTCAGTCCCCAGCACACCAATGCGGCAGAGGAGAAGGAGGGGGCTCTAGTGGGGCTTCCAGCGCAGAGGCCTCACCCCGTAGGCTCCTGGTGAGCAGGGGAAGGACAGGCGTTTCTGTTGAAGAGGAGGACAGGGTCTTTCTCATGGAGGACCTAGATGCAGCAGGAGAGAACATCACCAGCATTTCAAGAGAGGTCTACAGTTGTGTCGCCTCTCCTTCCAAAGCACCAGAGTCAGCTCGCCCTGTGCAGCAGAAACCGAGCCCGAAGCCGGACTCTAACAGAAACGGCTGGTTTTCTGAGGCCCAGTCAGAGCAGCCGTGTCCACAGCCACGCAGCCACAACTTACAGTGTTCCCATGCAAAGCGACGTCCGTGCACTTCCACCTCAGGCCCAGAGCCTCTGCCTTACACAAACGGGTGGGACATGGGTTTAGAGGGGACAGCATCTGAAACAGCTGAGGTCATTGCCCATCGCATGGGTGGGATGAAGCTGTCCGCCACTGTCATCTTCAACCCCCGCTCCCCAAGCTTGTCAGAGCTGGCTGTGGACAAGCTGCTGCTGCCGAGGCCCGCTCCCTCTGAGATTGAGCCATGCGGCCCTCTGGTGGCCACTCACTGCCTGCTCAACTCCTGCGTCTGCTGTGGGAGCTGTGAAGATAGCCACGAGGACACCACAGAGACCAGTGGACTCGGGTTAGGCCTCGCTCTGGGTTTGGACAAACACTGTAAGACGGCAGCGCCAAGCACTGTCATCCAGTCTTCTGCTTGCAGGCTCCCCCCACGAGGTCCTGAGCCACACTGTAAAGGAGAGCTCGCCCAGTTTACTCCCCCTTCCTCCCATGGGTCTGCAGACACCCTAGAAGAGGATTCAAACATAGATGTGCCTCCAGGGAAGGGGCACAACGCACGGGTAGGTAGCTCCAGAGAAGGGGATGGATCTTCTCCCTGTAACCAGCAGCTAGAGATTGAGAGGAAGCAGCAAGCCAGTGGAGGCCGACAGAAGGACAAGGAGACAGAGAAGGAGAGGCCAGGAACTAAAAACTCGATGAGGGACACCAAAGAGGATAGTGGGAGGAGCTCAAGGTGAGCTGCCGTCTCTGATGAAGTCAGTGTTGTCTTGTTTGTAGCATGTATGTCCTCAGCACTCTCCCAACAACAAATGTCTTTGACTTTAATGTGTTTCAGCAGATTTTGGATCATCCACTTACTTTCATTCATCATCCATCATTTTGCGCAGTTATTTTTTGACCTGTATCCTCTGATTTACCATGTGTTTGTTCTGTTCGTCTTCTATGTTTGTGTGTTTTTTTGTGGTTGTTTTTAGTTTTCAGAGTTCCCCCCTCAGCTCTGTGTCAGGTAGTGACTGTGACAGTGTGTCAGTCACCACATGTAGTCTGTCAAGCAGTGCGTACACCCCCAGGTAAACTTGTCGCTCATCAAAGTGCGTGTCATACAATCTTGAGTGTTTCTTCCTTCCCGCTCTCTAGTGGAGACAAAAAAGTCCTTTCCTGGTAGATGAAAAGACCCCTTTGTTCCTTTTCAGTCTTTATGCTGAGCTTTGTTCACTGTCAGCCACTGACTGAAGTGTCAGTCACTCCTTTCCTAAAGGGCTACAAATGACAGCATTAATTTGCCTTTTGAATTAGACTGTACATTTTATTAGACACGTGTTGGAGTACTGATCCTCATTCTCCACTTCATAATCAGCACATACCAAGAGATTTATATTTGGTTAGAGGTCAGAGGAGAAATTTGGCTGTTGCTTTGATTTTGATAAGCTTTATCTGTCGTTGGTAGCTTGAAGATTACGATCTATATCCCAATTAAATGAACTTAGCTGGCAATTTTCACTCTCTGCAGCCCTGTCAGCAGCCTGACACCCAGTTCTGGGACATCTGAAGACCTAGACCATCAGGAGATACAGTTAGCCCTACACGATGCCAAGATGGCTGCAAGGAACAAGATCCGATCCCGCTTTCACAGCAGCAGTGACCTCATCCACCGTCTATTTGTTTGTATATCAGGTAAAAACTCTCCCTCTATTTAGCTCTCCCTCTGTTTCTGCCCTTTCTTCCCTCCAGAGCAGACATTCATGTTGTGTTTTTCTGTGACGCAGGCGTCGCTGATCAACTGCAGACCAACTATGCCAGTGACCTTCGCAGCATCCTGAAGACACTGTTTGAAGTCATGGCGACCAAGTGTGATCAGGGAGACAATGATAAGCAAAAGAAAGGTGAGAAGAAAAAAAACTGTATTACTTCTGCTTTCTGATATGCAGACAGAAATCATTAAGATAGTGTATTATACAAAAATAAAAGTAATAGTAATGAGTCGGTAAAGACTCAAATTGAGCTAAAAGAAAGTTGATAGTTAACTGGTATTTATCAGGTGAAAAGAAACTCCATTGGTGATGGTGGGAGTGACAGTATGTGGCTGCTTAACATCGCTTAAAATATTCACAACTTGTGTCAGCTGACAATCTAAAAAAAAAGAAAGAAATCAGGTACTGCAAGATACATATTCCAAACATGCTTCTATCGGAATATTTACATTTTCCTAACAATATTTATCCCAACTCAGTCTGTGTGCTTACTGGAAAGTATTGTACATATAGAAATTCACATTTAGATTCTTCCCAGCAGATATTATATTCAAGGTATATAAACCTACTTTTCCAGGTCAGAGCTCAGTTTAAGATACCTTTTTGGAGTCTTGAAAATTCTAAAAAAGGCCATTCAGATTTCCAGAAAAATCTTCTGGTCATCCTGATACTGAAATGCATACTGTCTCATCTTATCTGCAGTTGATGCTCTCTAGGCTGACGGTCAAGGATTTATTTACAAACAGCAGTGTACCAGACACTACATTGTTTTTTGTTTCTTCTGTTTTGTCCATCAGGTCCTGTTCTACGTAGCGCGGTCCTTGAGGACTGCGCTCTCTGTCAGGAGACCATTTCCTCATCAGAATTGGCGGCCAAGGCTCGAGACGGACAATTCGAAGGTCAGCAAAACCAAACCGATTCTTTGAGATCAGACAAAGTTTCAGATGATTCTTTTCTACTTTAGTAACATTTTTTGTGACCCCTGTGTAGACCCTCCTGACTGGGTTCCTGATGAAGCTTGTAACTCCTGCATTGCCTGCAAAGCTCCTTTCACTGTAATCCGGAGGAAGCATCACTGTAGAAGCTGCGGAAAGGTACAAGGGCAAACCAGGGACTCATAAATGTGTATGTCTATTGTGTGGACAGTAAGTGACAAATGACTCATGTCTCATTTCAGATCTTTTGCTCCCGCTGCTCCTCCCATTCTGCTCCTCTGCCTCGGTATGGCCAGGTGAAGCCTGTCAGGGTTTGCACACACTGCTACATGTTTCATGTCACACCCTTCTACAGTGACAAGGCTGGCATCTGACTCCAGACCACCACTGAGAGCACACAGTCAAGAGCATATGCGATGGACAGATCCAAGGCTGTGTGCAAAGCAAACCGCTCGGGTAGACTTAAAGGTCGTCATCATATGAGCTCAGCAAGGCTCCAGAGTGAGACCATCACAGATGACAGAGCAAAGACACAAGACACAGCTGCCAGTCATCCTGTTTCTGTTGCTTCAGAGAGATTGGTGCATCTCTGCAAACCAAAGTGTTTGATTTCAGCGTGAAGCCAACACACAAAAATGATTCACAAATGCCTGTCAGACTGTGGAGGTGCAAAACTTAGAGGGATTAACAGGCAATGAAAAATTTTGGACTGGTATTGTATAACAGATCTCTGTAGCAGTTTTCAGCACGAAATCAGAACCGGCCACCTCGTTTGATCTGTTGCTAAGGTGTGGTTGAAAACTTTTGACATGTTTTCTATTATTGCTTTAGCGAGCTTCCTTCATTTGTGCCAGAGCTCCCATGGGACTCAGATAACACTTAAGAATGTAAGTCATGATAACCTCCTAATTAAGGATCAATCTGGCAAATGCTTCACTACATTGTCTTCAGTACACAGTCGCTGCTTGTGGGTACTGGAAAGAATTTGTCACCAGTCCTAGGAAAGCAAAAATAAAAAACGGTTAGCTCTAAATGGAGTTGAAAGTGTACTTCTGTAACACACGTTCACCTCCTGATGGCGTTGAGTTGTGACCTTTGCTCTTAAAGTGACACCAGGGCATGTTGGGATTTCTCTGGGGGCTCGGTTGTGCTCTGAGATGGATAAAAGGGATTCCTTCATCATGGCTGTCAGGTCTTGAAGGCCCCCTTGTGGAGAGTTGACCTCTCTTCACTCAGTGCACTCATCATCTTGTGAACAGTTCGTTCTGAACCAGAAGCCTTCTCAGGTGTTGGCCAGCAGACTACAGGCCGATCATCGCCAATTGATTTCTCTTCCTCACGCTAGACATAGTGCAATATTATGACTACTTACTGCAATGATTCTGCATATTTTAAAAACAACGTTTTGCTATTAAGATTGTTGTAAAAGGTCACTTCCTTTGGGAGAAGTCTGACTCGACACTGAATATCTTTTTTGCTTTTGTGGTACCATCAGACAGGAACAGGTATTTTGCTCCTGACGTCCTTTTTCTGCTGTTGAATCTGCTTTCATTGCAATGAAAACAAAGTACCTTCCAAGCTTCTCATATATAAACAGTTTGCACATCTTAATAATCCAAACTTGCCAATCCACTATTATCAACCTCTGAAAAAATATAACATTATGCCCATTCTGCTCTGCCTCTAAAGCAGTTTCCTCAGGCATTACATAATCCAAATCATCCTCTGTTGTTTGATCAACCAGACTTCATCAAAGAACATATACACTTACTTCGAGAAGGTTTCTTTTCTTTTATAAAGAATAAAAATGATGTATGAAGCTATAATTACCTTTATGTAAAATACAAGAAATCATGCAGTAATTTAAGGGCGAGATATCCTTTTATTGTTTCAGAGCTTGGTCTTATTTTGTAAAAATTCTGGACATTTCCATGATGAAAGCTGTGTGAAATATTCAACAAACAAATAATGTTATATAGTTTTAAATGCGATGTATATTGAAATAAATAACTTTTTCCTGTTAAAAAAGTTGACTGAAAACCTCTCCTCTTTACTTCATTTGTTGTCTTCAAATGTTTCTTGATCTTACTTCTCAAACAGAACAAGATCTCTCCTCAGAAAAGAGAACAAACTCACATACAGAAAGGGTTGAAATCAAAATCATGATCACTTTTCAATATTCGCTCACTAGAGTGTCCAATTTTCAGCCTGTGGCTATTTTAGTTACCATTTGTCAGCTTTTCCTGCCACTTGAGTAGGCAGTGAGAGCCTACTCATCAGATGAGCAACACCCTGCTTCGCTGAATTTCTTAGTTTTGTATGGAGTTGGAGTGACACATAGCTACTTCAAATTTTCCCACATGGTTACAAAAGAGATACACATGGTTATACAGAAAGATTAGTTTATTATTTTTTAATATAGAGCCGCTTCTGTCTGTGTTAGATCAATCAGTCTTTATTTATATAGCACTTTTCATACACAACCATGTAGCACAAAGTGCTTTACACTGAAAAAGGAATAAAAGAAATAGGATATTCAAATCTACCCCAACACAAGATTTAAAGAATAAAGAAATCTACCCCAGTCCAACCCCTCATTCCCACCCCATGATCTAATTGCAACAGAAACAGTATTAAAATGTACACACTTGATTTCATGGAAACAGGAGTGTGCACACATAGAATGAAATTTAACAAATAAATAAAATGAAATAAAGAACAACAATAAAATATACTAAAATAAGAGCACCAAAATAACTCAATAAAAGACGATCCTATGATTAAAACTAGAAGAGATAAATGCTAAAACACTTTAACAGAGTTAATGATATGAAATTTAGTTAAAAGCAAGACTAAAAAGGTATGTTTTCAGTTTGCTTTTAAAAAGATGACTTCTACTGCTTTAAAGAGAGGTTTTCTTCAAGTCAAGTTATTGCAGTTTTCAAAGAGAGCATATTTTAGCTTCTGGAGTCCTAAATTTGAAGTCAGATTTTAACTAATCTTTTTGGTTAAAATCAGTGTCATTCGCTAATCCTCAAACAAACATGTTAGCATCACTACCACTTCATCACACTCTATTTAGGAGTATAAACATAACTATTATACCACCATACAATAATGAACAAGTGGAGCCTTGTCCTGTGGCATAGCAGCTTTTTGGTAGGACCTGATCTGTTCACTGTAGCGACCACAAGATGGCGGCACCTCTTCGTTTGGTGGTATCAACATGTTTTGACGCGTCACAGATTGACTTTTGAACCATGTGCTGTGATTTTACTTCTCCTTAACCATTAAAACATTGTTTTCTTGTAAGATTTTAGTGTCAAATTGCAAGTTGTGTTAACATTAACGGGGGCATTTGCATCCTTAATTCCTGCAACGTGTTGAAATTTGTCACTTTATTAAAAGTTTCATGGAAGTGAGCTCTTTTGTCTACCCATATGGACTCAATATTCAAGTTCAGCCTCAACAGCTGTTATCTTTTTTCTCATACATTAAGCTGACAGCGGTGAGATAATAGCTGTGTGATGAAGAGGAGGCATGTCTGTCTGTGTGTGTGTGGGTGAGAGATAAAGAGTTAAATGTGTCCGGACTCCGCTGTCTGTGATTGGCCCGCAGCTGCAGCGCAGGGACGGACAACAAGTCTCCGCTCTGTGCGCTCTGGAAAAGTCAGGCGGTGGACGAAGTACAGAAGACAAACTGGACTGACTTTCACTAGACCTGCATATGGGACTATAACTTTGATTCATGGATGAGTCCGGTAACTTTACGGCTTTATAACAGTTATTGTTTCTCAGAGACGAGCGCGCGCTGGTCCGTTAGACGTGGATTTAAAGTCGACCTCGTCACTTTTTGATTCATGGACTCAACGCGGACTCCAGTTTTAAGCGTTTCTGTCAAGAGGCTCGTACAAGGTTGACTTCATCCATCTTATAAGAAGGTAAAGTGTTAAAGCAGATATCATTAACTTCTCTTAATTTCATGGATAATTGTACTCTACTTATGCTTTTGCACTAGCGCACCATTGGTGTAATTTGGTAAGGTTAACCAGTCGAAAGATGCGTACTCATTGACACTGGACTATTGTTAACTATTTCAACAACTAAATTGACATATTCACCTGTGCTTTTATATAAAACTGTACTGCTTATTTTTTTTAACACCCCAAAAGACTGGATCCCCAGTCCCAAAACTGGCATCCCTAAACCAAGTGTCTGTAGTGGGATATAGATTTATTTTGTAATAGCCTATTGGATTGTAATATTGTTTGTAAAAGGCATCAAACTGTTTTAAGGGGTTTAGTGAAAGTTATCAAACAAAAAAGAAATGTCTTGGAAGTTAAAAGTGGTGACATGTAAAGAAAGATGCATTAAAAGTCCCTTTTTTTTTAAAATAGTGTTTTGTTTTGTTTTTAAATCTAAAAATGCATCAAAATTTTTAGTTACTTTAATCTTAAACTGTCCTAAACAGCAAGTTTTATGCCAATTGTAATTGGTCCTGCCTGTGTGTGTATGCCCTGTGTAACTGTGCCCATGTGCCTTTCAGATCCAGGGATCATGAAGTTGTCTTTGGACAGTATGGGCATCCTGAAGATCATGCTGTTCTTCTTTGAGGCTGTTTTGCTGACTGACTGTGCGCGAGGTGAGAGCTGCTTTATAAACCTTCTTTCTTTCCTGCTAATATTGCACATTTTATGCCTGGAGGTAGCCCCAGTTTCACAGCTCATTATAACTCGAGTTGACTGGTTGGTTTCTTGTGAGCATGAAGAAAGTCTCAGTTGGCTCTTAGCATTTTTTTCACACTGAGAACTAAAAGACGGAAAACTGAGAACTAAAAAAATCTCTAAACAGGGCCCAAGATCAACACGGGGCAGGGGAATGAGAGAGGGCAAGCCAACCCCTTACCCCAAGTTTGTGTGTGTTCCAGTCATGGCGGTGTATGTAAGTGAGTGTGTTTGTTTGTGCTCACATTCACTATAGCTAAACCAAACAAACATCATCCATCAGCTTCTCAGGGTGAAAGAAGTCAAGTCAGTGTAAAAGTCTAGCTCTCCTGCGGCTGCTTTAAGGACTGCCTCACACCAGTATGTGCGCATGTATGTGCAATCATGTCCAAAAAAAGTGAGTGGAGAGTGGAAGCCCTCAGTCTGCCCACAGCTCAGTACACTGTTTGTTGAGCTAGCATCAATACTTGTCTTCCCGGAGACAACTTACTGTAAGCTTGTCAACAGGTTGTGAAAAACTGACGAGGCAATTTCAGTGATTTCATCCGCCATCACTGACTGTTGAAGCGTGTCTGATGCAATCCAGGGCCATGAGTCAAAGACCGAGGCAAAACTTGAAACTTACACTCTGGGTTTAATGAGACAAATCTGAAAGCCAGACACATTTCCCCTGAAGACCTCGCGCTGGCAAAACAAGTGGGTCTCTCTTTATGCTCCAGCTCAGCATGGAAGTGAATTCAAGAGGCGTCTGATAGGTACAATACCTGCATGCGGCTATCAGGGCTGGAGGTAGAGGGGGCAGGAGGGGGCTGGCGGCGGTTTTAGAGGGTGAGATTAGATCTGTAGGTCTCCAGACAATGCCTCATTCACAGTGAGATGGCTGGGCCTTCACGGCACAACTAAAGCAAAAGTAAACAAGATGTAGAGGCTAAATAAGATTAGATGGGCAATTTTGTGTGTTTATAGATTAACAGATGTCAGACTAGGAGAACCAAGATGGAAATCCATTGTGATGATGGAGAGCTGAGGTCTGAATTGACTTAACATCTGACAAAAAGGCGAATTCACAATCTGCATTTCCTTATTTTTCCGATAGCTGCTTAAGCTGCGCAAAGATATGGAAATATGTTGTTGGCAGGCAGTCTGAGTGAGATGATTTTAAATGGTATTTGACAATCTGTGAAGTGTGAATATTGCATATGTCTTCCAGTGGAAGTGCGATACAGTGAGCTCCGTGTTACACTCCTGATGCAACATCTTGACTCTGACATCTTGTGAAATACAGTCAAGGGGTTTTGAGTAGGAGCGTGTGCTTTAATGGTGTAGCCAAGGCCAGAAAAGCTGTAAAACTGTCCCAGTAAAATTTAACAATGTACGATGACATCTTTGATAAATGTAAATTAAATTATAAAGGACAGGCTTTGTCTGACTGAGTGTGAAACCATATACAACAACCAGCAAGTGTTATTTTTTGTCAAACAATGCGCTCTAGAAAACAGTAGGTTTGGGTGAACGGTTGGAAGCCTGTTGCTGTCAGTCATGAAGCGTCATACGACCCTGGACCCCTTGCCCCTGTGCCACACACACCCTCAGATACACAAAAACACCCTCATAGGCACAGATGGACCCCCTTCCCACCCTCCCACCTCCTTTCTGCTGCTGCTTCTCCTCTTTGCGACTGGCCAAGCAAGAATTATTTCCTAAGACCCCCCCGAGGAACCCCCCCTGCACTTCCTCCATGTAAGCCCCCCTCCCCATCCTTCCCTTCTCCCTCTGGTGCTCCGCCACCCCCAGCAGCTGGAGGAGGTGCTCACTGATGTGTCCCAGCAGAGCCTCTAATGTGGTGACAGGCCCGGGGACCACTGGGCTCCACTAACAGAGGAATGCAGCCGCCAGGACATATGGATCTGCAGAAATGCACCCTGGGAGTAACAGAGAGGCACCAGGTGTCTCCGTTATGCACCCAGGCTTAGCTAACAGTGAACACACTCATATACACACGCCATACTGAGCAGTACACTTTAGATGCATTGTAATTAGAAACAGGCATCATATATAGTTCCGTTGCTTGTGCGTGTATGCGCTTGATGTATTGTGCTTTATTCAGGTTTTTTTGTTGTTGTTGTTGTTTTTTTATGACTTCACAGACAAGTTTACTTCTCCTCTGAGACCATGAAGTTTAGAGCATGCAAAACTGCTTTGTGACCCTTTTGGAAACTATACATTTTATAGCGGAGTTACATCACGGTTTCATAACAAGAAGGTACTATGAGATGGTTTGTATGCCAAAGGCTTTTAAAAATCACAAGGCTATTTGGCTTCCAGACAGTTTTCCATTTCCTCTAACCATAATGAGGCTAGTTTCTCAGTAACCAAATGCCCCAAAGTCCTCTTATTTTTTAAATAGCTCCTGAATAGTAAGAAGGTGTAACAGTGGTGGTGGGCCAAGCTGGGGAGACTTGAGAAGAGAAAAGAGGAGAGAATTGTGCTGAAAGCTGCTGTGTTGCATGTTTTTTTTAAAACAACCCATGTCCAATCCCTTCTCTTAAGCTCCATTTTGGAATTAAAAGTAGGGCAGCTTCATTTCAAATTTTGTTTTTACCCCACATAAATCATGGGACTCATGAGAAGTCCAACAACTTTTGTCCTAACCAACTCCAATCTGCGTGCCACTTGAGTTAACATCTTGCCTAATTATTTGTGTTTCCTAACAAGCCAACAAGCACCCCCTGTCATTTTCGTCACACATGTCCAGCTTCTGTCCCTGTTTCTCTTTGCATTTCCTCTCATTTATCACCAGTGTAAAGTTAAAGGAAGTGAGTTAACTTAATGTGCTGTCGTTAAAACAAGGCATGAGCTGACCTTTACACCCACCAGCTCTCTATGCAGCCCCTAGGTTCTCAGTCTAGGCCCATTTGCAGAGAACAATAGATGGATTATTAAGCACTGTGCCCCCCCCTCAGGTTGGACAGGGTAGCAGTGATTAATGTTAAACACTCCTCCTCCCTGTAGACCTGACTTATTTACCTTCTATTAAAAGCCACAGTGGACGGGGGACTTTTTATACTAAGGTGCTGCCATTTAGAGTTGCGTGAGAAGGAGTTACGAGAGTGAATGAGCATCGGTTTCGTGCGTCTGAATATATGCATGTGTTTTATTAAGCAGGCTGAAATTACCCTGAGAAAAGTCATGATAATGAGACATCCAAGGAGCACAGAGCAATTTGGAAAACCTCAGAGGTGCACCAACAACTATTCCCGCTCTACCTTCTTCTCCTCTTAGCCAGGTGGAAATAATATTCCCCACCACCATTTCGTCTCTATCACAGAAATAATATTGGCAGCGCTATAACAAGCTATGGTCCTTGTCTTTCAGCGCACACTGCTGACCCTGTGAGCTTCGAAGGAAACACTCGGAGGGAGGAATGTGTTAGACTTCACCCCTCCACGGGGAAAGAAAGGAAGGGGCTGTAGCTGTGATAAGTAGTCATAATGGAGGTCAGTTGGTGTTTACTTTAGCGGGGTCATATAATCCCCGTGAGCAACACGTCCCTCATTGACTGACTTTAATGGCCACTTCAATTAGCATTCATGTGGAATTTCAACAAGGCATTGTCAGCTCTCTGTATTTTTCACTCTCAGCTGTATGCTAATGCTCAGATACACATGAAGAAAATTTTTCTCCTTTTACTATTTATTTCTAAAGAAAATTAAATTAGCCAACACCAAGGTCTGTGTGTGTACAAAGCTCATTAGTTTGTTTGGGCAGTTGGCTCCGGGAGTGTTTTCAGACCACACACACTCTTCCTGCTGGCTGAATGGATTTGGGTTCAGTTAAATAGAATTCTTCTTTGCTCCTGTTAACCTTCACAAACCCCATGGAGCTGTTCACAGGGTGCACACGGAGGTGCCAGACTGTCACCATTCTCATGGTAATCAACTTTTTGCCCCCTTCTTGGCCTGACTTTAAGGATTAACCCAATTTTTGTGTGTTGACAGCTTTTTGGTTTAAAAAATACAGATGATGATACTGTATATTGTTTGGACTCCTTGGTCTAGGCAGGGTAGAGGGTAAAATAACGGCTGTGAACGAACCCCTGGGTGAGGGTCTGCCCCGCTGGAACCTTTCAAGTGACCTTACAATAACACTTCATCTCCACAGTGGGAAGTGTTTGTCTTGTTTGTCAGCCCATCTCTCTAAGGCTCTGTCGTTATTTTAGTTTTGCTCTTTTTTAAGGAGCCAAATCATTGAGGAGACACCCCCTTCCCCCATTTCGACCATCCTTGTGCTCTGCAGATGTTCACTCCGTCATTTTACTAATCAAATGATGAGGATTCCAATTGCTCTCCTCCTCTGACCCACAGGGAGAAGCCGGTTTTGTTTTCCTGTAGATTTGATCTTTTATATTTATGATTTGGAGTCTGCATCCAGCTGCAGGCAGGCCGGCGTACACTTTCTCTCCAGTTTTCCTTCCTTTCCCTCTATCTTTCTTCAACTAATGGCTCTTTGTGGCCCCTTTCCTTGGAGTAGAGCCACCTTGTGAAAAAAAAAACCCACATGTACCATGACAACCTTTTGTTGTCTCAAAAACCTGCTATGCTATGGTGGCCTTCAGGATGTTGCTTGGACTGAGCAGGTTTGGACAAGCTGCAGAGTTGTCACTGTGATGTTAGTGAATAAAAGGTTGATTTAGCTGCAGAAATATAATCTGGATCATCTTCGAGGATGTACTTGCCGCAGCCCGCTTGAATCTGTGCCGCATACAGACTTATCAGAATACCTAATCAGGCAGCCAGGAGGTATCCTAACAAGATGATATGCTCCCTCTCTCTTTTTTTTTTGTACTGCTCTGTGCCTCAAGTATTCCTTTGTTTATCTTCTGTTTATGATTTTTGAGAAACAGATGCATCCGTCAGACATCAAGACCTCCCTTTGAAAAGAAATATTCAAGTTGTCTCTTTCTTTCTTCCTCTTTTGTCGGGCTCTCTCTGAGGATGACATTAGAAACCACTTGACAAAATCCTCACACAAGCACATATACACACATACTCTGACCCTGCTTCTCTGTAGTTAAAAGGTTGATTGAAAGTTATGGTGGTGGCAACAGAGATGGCTGGCTGGGCCCAAAGAAAGCCAAGCCAAGGGACGGCTGGGGTAACAAGCTCTGAATGAGGCCTCCGCTGCCTTCCACACAGACCCCCAGACCCTCTTCCATCCTACCCTCCTTAACCCCCCGTCTCTTTCAGTTCACCTCCGCTGAGCCTCAATGAGACCCCACATGGCTTTGTGGCTTTCGCATTTCCACTTTGTTTTTCATTAGCGATTCTTTTCAGTGACCTCCGAAATTCTTCATGCATTGTCCCCATTGATTGAGCTTAGAAAGAGTCTGGTTTGAGTGGTTCTATGTCACAGTACGTCAAAGTAGGAGTTTCCTTCAGGAGCATATAAGCTGTCATGACGGGATTTGTATGCACCCGTTTTCGTCTGCAGCAGCAGTCAGTCTTAACAGTAGAGGCAAAGAGGCCCTGATTTTTCATTCAGGAGACTTCTGTAATGAATGGAAAAAAAAAAAAAAAACATGTCCCTGCTTTGACTTGAAGAGTTGAACAGAACAAGGGAGGAAAAATCATTTCAGGAGCAAAGAATATAATCAGTCATCTTTTATAGCAGGACTACTGCTGTCCCACACTGGAACTCTGCACCATGCAGTGAGACTGATTTGATTTCCTCATGCACAGGGATGTGCGTTTGGTCCTTGGATCTGCCCCAGGCTGGATGTTCTTGGAGTTTGATTCTTGGCAGATGTGGGCAGTGCTCCATTCATACAATTATTCTGTGTCTAGAATGAAAACTAGCTCAGCAGATCATTCTTTTCCCTTTTTTTAGCCATGTTAGTGGTACGATCAGGAAGCAATGGCTGCCTTTTTGCTGGATTTGAAGTTCATCTAAATCTACATCATCCCTCATGGTTTGCAGCCACTTAATTATTAATGTTGATGTTTATTTAGGCTCTCAGTCAAGTGTTCCTGTACAAGTCTCGCAGGTAAAAGAAGTGTACGACTCAGTCAGGACAGTTGATTAACAAAGACGGAGACAGCCAGACTGGTGGACAGAGATGGATAGAGGGCAGTGACCTTTTTACAGCTAAGTCGAAAGGTGAACTGGGAAAGCACTGAACAAATTGTCACTGTGAAAGGGCGAGTACCACATCGTAATGACAAGCCCAACAGCTCCATGATGACAGATTGATTTCAGACAATATTCCTGGATTGTCAAGAGGCCCCATTGCTGTCAGTGAGAGCTTTGCCAGTTCCTCCACCCCCTCCGTCTGTCTCCCCTTGCATCTCCCCGCTCTGTCTCGTTTCTGTCTCACTTGCCTTTCTCTTCCACTCCTTTACCAGCCGCTCCCTCCCTCCTACTCTTGCCTGAATCAACCCATTCTGCCCAAATGCTCCTGCTACATCGTAGTCTGTCATTGGGCCTCTCCTGAAAGAACCTTGTTGACAAAGGCGCTTGTGTAAAGCGCTTCCCAGTGTCATGGAGATTGTCCGATCCTCAGCTGGTGTAAGGTTCCTGGAGACAGAGAAACGAGGGGCACTCAGTGCCAGCGCTGGCCATCATCATCAGCATCACACAGCTGTAGTAACCGCACACACACACACACACTCACACACACACACCCTGGACTGCGAGTGACAACATGTCTGGCTCAGATTGGTCTTGTTTACAGCTTCTCTGCCCATCAGTCGAACATCTTACCAACACAGAGTGACGTTGCCATGACTTAATGAGACATCTGCATCTCATTCAGCACCTTCAGACTGGACTCTGATGAAGAAATCTGAACACAATGAACCAAACACAGGTTGGATAGTTGCTTTTTTTTCCCACAGTGGAATGCAGGAAGGTTGGAGGAGGAGGCATAGGCAGGGAGTGCCAGGATGCAACTCTCTGATGGAGGCTGTGAAACAACATAAACGGAGTTCTTGTTATGGGGAGCAAATGACACAGACGCACAGTGTTTGTTATTTAGCAAGTACGCTGTGGAGCAGAGTTGCAGTGTATCTGTGTCTGAAATATGCAGTATATACAATAGAGGGCTAGTGCTTTTCTGAAGGCACCTAAAAATGTACAAAAAACAGATTATTGAAAACCCTGAAGTAACTAAACCAGCACCAGATGCTTTTGGAAATTGAACTTTCTGATGAACGAAGTTTTATGACTTTGTGAACTTCCTATACATCTCATCATCTAATATGTCACATTTAAGTTTTGACCTATCAGGTTAATGTACTCAACTTGGCCATCATACTACTGCTGTCTGTTGTTTCTGTATTTGAATCATTTTAGGCCTTTATTGGAGCGTTATGAGTCCATGGGAAAGCAAATATTAGAACTATGATTAATCCTTTTTGGCCAGCATCTCTTTAAGATGAAATAATATCTGCTTGTAACCTCTAGTAGCAGCGTTCAAAGTTGGACTCAGTTTGAAATGGGGTTTTGAGCATTTGAATTGGTTTCCTTTGTCATATTGTGTAATCTAGACACTTTTTGACATGAGCATACATTAGGGCTGCCATTTAAAAGTAGAGCATTTGAACCAGTGTGTGTATTTTGTTTTCAAAGTGCACCATTGTACACAGGGCAATGCATGTAAGGCTTTAGACTAATCTCCCAAAATTAAAAAATTAGGTCATTTCTCTTTCTGTCACTCCCTGGCATGACTTCGAGGACTTGAAAAAAACGTCAGCTGTGATCAAACTCTGCTGTGTGTGCATCTTGTAGTAAAAACGTGAGACAGAGGACTAATTCTTGTTTTGTTTTTTTTTGTCATTCATTTTTAATTCAAAACTTTGTTAAAACTTTTTCTCCTTCTTTTCAATAAATATTTGCAGCATTTGAGACCCATTGTGGGACCTCTTTGGAGTTCCCACAGCTCACCAGCAAACAGCAGATCAGAGAAACACTGCTCTTAAGATTTGTGGTTTAATGGTAAGTTACAGAGGCAGTTAAAAACTCTTGTCTGTGAAATTTGGGCTACAGTAAAATGACACGCAAAACCATATTTCAAGGACAATAAGAAACAACACTCAGGCAGGCAGTCTAGAGCAGCCAAATGTGTGAGCATTCACACAATGTCCCTGCCGGTGCCAAGTGGTCTCTCTATCTCCAAACATATCAGACAGACAGTAATAAACAGGTGCCCGCTGGTGCCCTGTTCTGTGTTGCAGTGAGAGGTCTGTTTGAGTGTGTGTCATGTGGCTGAGGCTGAGCCCGGGCCAGGGAGTGGGGTGTGAGATTGTTGGGATTCCTGGTTACTGCCGCCTGGGCCCACCTAATCCCCCTTCACTCCCCCATGCAGCCCTCCTCGCCTTATGAGCTGTGTGTTAAAGGAGGCCTCTCTGCCATGTTAGCCTCTGCTCCCTGCCACTCTCTAAATCAAGCCCCCTCTCTTTAACCCTCAGCTGGCTTCTCTCTCCTTGGCTTGATTTTCTTTATTTCTCTCCCCTCCTCTGACCCCTCTGTCTCTGTCTCTGTCTGTCACTCTATCTCACCCTTTTCTCTCCCTTCTTAGCCTCCCTCCTGCTGCCTCTTCCCTGATAAGTGGCCCTAAGCACACACTCAGCCCCTGTATGTGCACTGGGCCTTTGCCTAATGGAGTGAGATAAAGCGACTTGAGTGCCACTCACTGTGTACTCTTTATGACAGGCTCAAATTTGCATGAAATGTTATTCCTTTAAAGGAAGTTTTTCAGATTATGCTTTTGTTTTTCCATTCCCTGTGAATATAAAACATGTCTTTATTTGTGTGAAGTCAACCAGTACTCACTGTGGCTCTCGAGTGTATTTTTATACCTTTTAGACGACGGAGGTGCTCCTAGCACACAGGGAGAGAACAAATGTGACCTTGACTACTCAGGGAATACTTTTCTTGCATTAATTCTGGGCTGTTTTGTCCAGATAAGAATTAAAAGTGAAACAACTAAAATGAACAAAAGCAGAAAAATTAAGTCTGTTTAAAGGTGACTTTAAGAAAAGGCTCTATTTAGTGGTAGACCAGGTAAAACATCTTAAAAAAAACCCTGCAAAAACAGTTCCACTGCTCCGTGCATGAACTATCCGGTACTACGTCAAAAAGGTCCCTTCAAAAACATCATATGAAAGGCTTCTTTTAATTCAAGGTAAGGTCTTTCCATAAGGAGCCTGTACTTTTCCAGGCCAGTGGAAGTATGAAAACGCATCCAGTCCCTATGGAAAATCCATCAACTGTGTTAAAAGGTGCTTTTCAGCCAATTAGATCATCAATGAATAATAGAAAGAGGCTTTTTTTTGTAGGAAACTATTCACAGAATAAATAACCTACTCAGATTCTAGTGTTTTTATCTCAGTATAAATGCAGTGTGTAGGTGACAGCGTTGAGAAAATTCCCTCTTCAGTGAGCATGTGACATTTTGTTTTTAATGAGAGTGAAGTTTGTTTAATGCTCTCCTAACAAGGATGATTAAATTTTGGTAATAATCACACCAAAGACAGTCTGAACTCCAGGGCAGGTGGTTCACCTCTCTATAAAAAATAAGAATGATCATCGACCTTGTAGACAAGGATACAAATTGAAAAGTTGAAGTGATTTATACTGGAGGATCCTGGATTTGTTGTGTACTGCGGAGAGAGACTGGTAGTCAGGAGTCTACAAAAACACACAGACTTGCGCACACACACACACACTCACACACAGGCACAGGGTCTTTTTCTCCAACAGGGGCAGCTGGGGCCGAGAGAAAGCAGTCAAGTATATGAAATATAGCAGCTTAGAGTTCAAAGGCTCCACAGTAGGGCCCGCTAAGCGTTAGCCACGTGATGGAGATGTTTCCAGAAGCTCTATGATGCTGGAGTAATTTCTCTATTTCTTTCCTGTTCTTTTGATGAGGGGGTCTGCAGGAGCCCGCTGCTCTGGAGCCATTAGTGGAGGAAGCAGATGCAGATTTACAGCTAACAAGCAGTGGCCATCTTGCTCCAGCGATTGTGCCTTAACCAGACAAATCGACTGGAGCATCTTATTCTCTTTACCCCTTTCTTCTTATTCCACCCCCTCCTGCTGTTTCTCTCGTCCCTCATGTCACCCAATAGCTCCTCCTGCACCATTCCCACCACCAAAGCAGTTGCTATTCAGCCCACATCAGATGGTGCTGAAGAAAGAGCCATTGTCCCTGCTGGTTTTACCCGGCTCTTATCTATTGATTGGAAAGCCGAGAGGAGAAAATAACAGGTATTGATTACCAAACTGGGTGAAGTCGCTGGGCAGGACGTCTGGAAGGGTAAGAAAAGACGGCATTCTTCACCCCCGGCTGCCCCTCTGCTGTCAGAACAGCCTCTGCCGCCACTCCACCTATCCCGTCCAATTTCACCCCCTCCCCTCACCTCCTTTTTTTTGAATCGCCAAGGTTGCTTTTCCGCCTTTTTTCCCCTTACTGTTTTATGCCGATTTTTATCTCTGCCTGTGAAATGTATAGCTGAGCAGGCTCTGAACAGAAGCCCCGGCTTTTCACACACCCCCTCGGCTGTGGTGTCTACCTCACCTTTTTCTTCCAGCCAATCCCTCCATTCTCAATAAAAATCACTGGCTCTGGGTTTGGTTTTTTTAGCTTTCTCACATTTGCATTTTCTTTTCTTGCTTTTGAACTTACTTCTTCTCCAACGATTATGCTGACTTTTGTTATAGAAGTTCTTCTGAGGTTTTAAGAGATGCACGTTAGAATATATCACTGGAAGCACAGGCTCCATCAAATTTTATCTGTTAGGTTTAGGGTCTGTCTACTCCTGCACGGTCTGCTGAGCTAACACAGTGCTGCTGAGTAGGAGGAGGAATACTCCTGCTCCTATCTGTCTCTCTTCCTTTTATCCTTTATGTAAATACTGTATATTGAAGACACAGAGATCAGTGTTTATCCAAGTAATGAATCACTGTCAGCGTCTGTCAGTGTGCAAAAGGCCTTTTATGCAAGAGAGATTCTCGCATTTGGCTGGAGATTAAAGACCAAATCCAGCATATCAGAAAATGTGTACAGGGCTGTTTGAATACCTGTATCCTATATTGGGCAGGCGGTATTGCGTGCATAATCAGGTTGCCCCTTTTTGCAGTTGGTTAAGATCCAGGTGTTCGCTATTGGAGCAGCTGTCAGCAGCCCAACCCTTTATTGACTTGAAATGACTTTGAAAGACCAAAGCACTTTATTTGGGAGAAGAAATGCATGTTCACATCATTATAAATCCACAGGTGTTTTGTAAAAAAGAAAATAAACATGCGGAGAGGTATCAACACATCTGAACATTGCTCAAGTCTGGCAAGCTTTGTAGTGAGTAATGAGATTTTTCTGTGCTTCTCTCTCTACACACCATATTTCCCTCTGTGGACGCCTGCACCTCAGATCAGCAGCTCATTAACTGGCTCACAAGGTTTTCTTAAATTTGGCTTTATTTAGACTGAATCGCAAGAATGCCCCTCACTGAATGTGCCCTTTTCTCTTAAAATAATCCATCACCAAATTGAGCAAAGAAAAACAGAGCTAATTCTGAGAGTCGCCAGACCTCCTCCTCCTCTTCCTGAGCAATGAAAGATTCCATTCACAGACGGGGCTCAGCTATAATAAGGAGCGCCGTACCAACACTCTGAGACAGGGGAAGCCCATATGGTCATGTGTATCAATTTCCATTTACAGAGCAGCTAACAATTCTAACAATTTGAGTAAACACTCTGTAACACTCAGCAGTTTGTCGTGAATCTGGCAGACTCTTGTTCGTCTCAGGATCTGTCAACAGTTTAAAGCTGAAGCTGAAACAGCGAAGTGCAGTTCAGCTACATTTTATCTCGGACATGAACCATGTATCTCACAGTCAAGCAGATAAGGCCATCTTTTCTCAAAATGAGTGAGCTGTGAGTTTGTTTCATAGCTTTCAACTTCAAGGTTAAGAGAACCTGCCCTTGAGAGGGGGGAGGCAGAGGAGGAGGAGAGTCCCTGCTGAAGAAAGGATGGTGGTCATGCAAACAGCACAAATACTTATTAAGTAACTCAGACGATGTCCTTGATTTCAGCACCTCCTCACGGCTTGTTTTTCAAAAGAACTTCAAAGAGTTTTTTTAAGAGCGGAGGTGAAGGGAGGAAATCGTTTGTAGCACATTCCTTGCACTTGAAGCACCAGCCAAAGCTTTTTTATTTCATTTTATCAAGCCAAACAGCTCAAGAGTCACCTTCAATAAAGCTCAAGATCACATGGACTTTGATAGCAACTGAAGGACCAGTTATCAAATCTCTTTCAAATTAGGTTTTGTGTATCAAACAGACAAGATACAAACCTTTTCATCAGAGACGTAAGAGCTTTGGTTAACTTAAGACAGTGCAGGAGGAACTATGTGCGGTTTTAGAGGCTGCTTTTTTTCTGTTAAGAGTTTCTGATTAACACTTGTTGTGGCGCTATATATAAATAAAGATGGATTGATTGATTGATTGATTGTTTTTTTTTTATGTTGCGTCAAAAATGTGACATAAAGGTGAAGCGTATTGCTTGTAATTCTGACAGGGAACACTGGGTGGAGCCTTGGCTTGATGTGTATGAAGCCAAGGCTTCAGGTAAATGCAACCAGGTGTGTAAAAAGAAGCTTCCTAGTTTTTCGACTGTGGCTTTTTTTCAGCTTAGTAATTTGTCTCCCCACACTCCTGTTGTTTCCGTGCGTCTTAGCTTCTCCTGATGAGGAATTAAGATATGCAAGGATGACAAATGAGCATCGGGAAGGTCTATTCCCTCTTCTCCAGGGTCAGTCTGAAGTGTCAGGTACTGATGATGAGCTGCACAGCTGTCTCATATGTAAAACCAACAGGTACAAACACGAATTTCAAAACTAAATTTACATGTAGGTGGATACCTTATGTCTCACTAAGACACACTGGGACACTGAGATAAATGAATTGTAAAAGAAAACTGATTATTAAACGTATTACTGTGGTTTTTAACTTAAATCATTGTAATCAGCACAATAAAACAACAGATTTGTGTGAGGTTATGATCATTCTATTGTTAAAAACAAAACAGAAAAACTGCTGCTATATACCTCTACATTTTGTGATTAAAATATTGACTGTAACCAATGAGAGGGGCGGAGGTGTGGTAAGCTGCATGTGATACCAGTTATCTCATTTTAATTACCGTTGAGCTTTTCTGCACCTTCACCGTAAAATAATTTAGTTGTAATTTGAAAAGCTAAGTTTGAAAGGATCCCTGACCAGAGGGCTAGATAATCTGGTTTGATAGGCATTGAATCTCTGCAAGCAACACTTAAAGGTTAAGCAGTACAACATTGTGTATTTTATAAATGGAAAAGAGCGCTCAGACATTCCTCTGTCTCTTTTTATTTACCGGGAAGACTGTAACTCTGAAGAAAATACCCTTCTTGCTTTTCAAAATATTTCCTACAAAGACCTTACCTGTGCAAACTTGATGTGTTTGGACACTTCACTGAAGTTTAACCTTTGCCATGAATGAACTTGTTTTTGTTTGTCAGTTCGCTATTATTTCAAGAGAGACTCGTGGCTGACTAGTTTTTAGGACCTTGTATCAGAAGAAACAACTGAGGCCTGTTTGTTTCAGATTTGGCAGAAATGTATTGATGTATTTACAAGGTGGTTTTAGGCTATTTGAATCAACTCAGTTCATGTGAGCTCCAGCTGAAGCAAGCCAACGCTGTGACCTGTTTGTGGTCCTCATGCAGAGTAAGAAACCGAACAGTGAACTCCTCTGTTCTGCCTTCCTGGTAGGAAGGGAGTGAGATATGGGCCAGCTGACAACAGCCAAAAAATCTGTGGTTGCGCTTTCTCCACAGACATAAACAACGACACTTACAATTTCCTGTGCATGCTCTGGACCAGGAAAGGCTGTCCACAGGGAGGAAGGAAAACTCTCAGAATGTCTGTATGTCCATGAAGGAGGTTTTTGTTGGTTTTTCACTTTTTCTCTTTTAAATAGGAGCAAATTCAGTTTTTTGGCATTAAGGGTCAGTGACCCAGCAGTCCAGATGTTGTACCTGTTGCAGCTGAGATACATCTGTTGGCAGTATGATGGATAAAACAGCCAGATGGAGTTACCTGCGCCACCTCCCCCTGATTGCAGCCCCACTAGTCTAATGAACTTTTTGTTTACCATATGTGTGAAATGCACCAAAGGAATGTGACTCTGTGTGTGTGTTTGAGCGTGTGTGTATGCATTAGGAGAGGCCATGTGTACTTACCCTCCCCATTGTTTTTACTGCTACCAGACCAGCCATTTGTTCTGAGGCTCAGTTAGCGCTCTGTGTACTTTGGAGGGCTGTTGCAGCTATAGGACTTGGTTGCATTTCCTCCCCCCTCTCTCTGCCTCCCCATCTCCTGTTTCTCCTCATCGTCTCGTATGCTCAGTGATTCGGGGTTTTGTCAACCTTTTAGTCTGGGGGGGGGGGGAGTTTGAACGCCTGGTGCTGTGCAAGCAGCAGCAGCACAGACCTCCTAACACCATCACAGGGTGTTTCGGCCCGCTCCACTTCACCAGATCTGAGGGAGCAGACCTGAGCCAATTAAGACCAGGGAGAGCAGGCTGCTGTCCGTCTCACCGCGGCCCGCCCCCCTCATCGCTTTGATCTCTTGCACGCTACTCAAAACCAGAGCCAGAACACTTTACCCTCTCTGAGCAGGAGGCAGCAAACGACAGGGCCTGTCCAATTATTACAATCTGGTTTAGACATTTCTGGGTAATCAGACAAAAAGATGACAAATTACCTCTATCTCACTCCATCTGCCCACATCTGAGGTGTTTTTAAAGCTGTCTGTGGAGCTGCTTTTCATCTGCAAAATTGGGTTTTACACATTTTGATTTGGTGATTTCAGTTCCCCATTTTTAAGTGAAGCTGTCTGCTCTGCCGATCAAAAGAAGGTTTTTGCAAGTTCAATAGATTAATTAATGCATCAAAACTGCTGCATTATCCATGGATGTCAGGGACGCCCCTCACTGACTTCAGAACTCAAACGTGCTTATGATTTCTTTCTGGCCATCTTGATTAATTCTGTTAGATTCACAAGATACTTTCTTGGTTGTGATATTGGAATACAAGCACCCTGTTGTTTTAGTCCTTAGTAAGGGTGGAGGAGGGCATCTGTTTGATTTGACCAGCTCATCCAAAAGTGTTGTTGTCATCAGTGAAGGCTCTAGTTTATTTGGGTGCAAATCAGCTGTTTCTGACCAGGGCTCAGGACTGACAGTCAGGAGACAAAAAATCGATTCAGGATTTATTCCTAACTCACATATGCACCAGTCAATAAATGTCTATAGGATGCATTTACTGGCATCTGGTTGTCCAGATGCTATGAAAACATACACAATATAGATTTCCATTTCTTTCAGTGATATTATAAACTATTCATCTGTGTCACATTTTTAATTTCTAAATTCTCTCCTGAATCTTAAACTCCAATAACACATTAAATTATCATCACATCACAGTTCTCTAAAGTTGGTTTCATGACTCTGACCATTTTCGTGTTTTTGTGTCCTCAGGACCTCCACGGGTGTCAGAGAAAGTTGCCCACAGACAGACAGCCCGGCTAGGTAGCGCCATTAAGCTACCCTGTCCAGTGGAAGGAGACCCCCCACCTCTCGTTATGTGGACCAAAGATGGGCGTAACATCCACAGTGGATGGATCCGCTTCCGAATCCTCCGTATGGGCCTGAAGATCAAGGAGGTGGAGGCAGAGGACACTGGGACCTACATCTGCAAAGCCACCAATGGCTTTGGTAGTGTTAACATTAACTACACCCTCATCGTCATCGGTGAGTGTGTTTTATGGAGCTGTTTTGTTTCTCGTGTTTGTTCAGCGTGTCCTTCATTGACAAATTAATTTACCAAGTAACCTGTCAGATACCTAAAGTCAGAGACCATGGCATTGTTCCCCGCCGCAGAGCGCATCATTTTTAGCTGTTGTGGTGTTTAGAAGCTGTACTTGTAATGCTTTCCTTATTTCAGAGATCTCAGCCAAGTTCAAATGTTAAAAGACGGCATCAGTCACAGGGGTCAAGGTCTAAAACAAGTGGATTTATGGAGGTTTAGTGGTTGATCCTCTCATCTATTGTATTTGTTACAGCCCCTACCTCTCCCTGCCCAAAGTCAACAACAGCACGGGATATTGTTTCATACCACTTCATCCTCTGTTACTCAATTGGATCTCAAGCTCTTCCTTTCCTAAGGCTACATTCTGTGGAGGCAGGAGGTCTGCAGCTCCACAATAAGAACCACATCCAGTGTAATAGTGCTGGTTTGTCTTCTGACTCTCACATAGCTCTTGAATGGGGCCTTGAGGATTAGGCACCATCTGACTTAGTGTGTTACGGGTTTGTGCATGTGCATACAGTGCATTTCCTCTGTACTGGAGCAGAGCATGATGAATGAGTGGAGTGGAGCGTGAAGGCTGTGTTTAGTCTAATTACTCTAAGATGCCTAATTAGGGCCAGAGTCTGCGAGCTCTCTATCGCTCTCTCTAATAGAGCTGCAGCCTGGTCTTATGACAGCGAGTCATAATCAGCCAGATGTGGAAAATACAGAGGAGTGAAGGAAATGCTGCTTTTTGTGGTAAATAATACTCGTGAGTTAAAAATAGGCTTAAGCTTATTTTAAATTTCCTTCTCAATGTGACACTTAGAGTGAGTTAAAAAAGGCAGCTGTAATAAAACATGGATGTCTGTGTCTGCAGTGCACTTGGGGCCATCCTGAGTTTTAAATACAGCTCCAGCTCTCCGTGGATCATTCATTCGATGGATGACAATCATGTTGCTCTAAGCTTGTTTCATGGCTCTGCTGAATAGATGCTGTCTGAATCTTTGACCCAGTTTGGAGTGATGAAGCCAATTAATATGCAACTTTTTAGATTCAGATGGAAACAGCTTGATTGGTGTTTATTAATTTCTTTTTTACCATTATTATTACTATAAAAATCTTTCAATAGTATTTCTAAACAGCAGCACTAAGCAACTGGAGAAAAGACATTTGAATCTCACCAAATAGCCAACAATAAAAATGCGATAATCCTCATGCAAAAATGAAAAATGACAGACCAAGCCAGCCTTGAAATGTATTAAAATCAGTTTCTTTCTATATGGCTGTTACAATACTCAGAAGTGTTTATTTCAGGTAGGGCTGGGCGATATGGCCTCAAATTAATGTCACAATATATTGAGCAGATCACCTCGATAACGATAAATGGATGACAACTGCTCCGCAAGCTGCTCACCGCTCCAGCCGCTACAACTTTTGAACCATCCTCCATCTCCTCAGCTGTCTGTCCCTCTTTGTTACGGATTGGATGGGGTGGAGGGACACCCCATCAAATAAATAAGTGCCTTAAAGGGACATGAAACCATAGCCTACCTACACACATCCAAAACCAACCTGTATTTATTTATTTTTTTGACATTGAATATACCGATATGGGCAAAATGACGTTGGTTATTGTTGTAAACTTTGGTATCGGTAGATCTTTTGTTTCTCACCCAGCCCTAATTTCAGGTACTCTGACTTTCTTCAACCTGTTAAGGTGGTTGTTATTGTTTAGGCGCTGAAATACAAAAAAAAAGGCAGCTTAAATTTCCCTGAAGATGGGGAACAGCTTATTTTTTCGGAATCAAGCATGTCTCTGCAGCCAAATGCACTAAACAATTCTTGGATTCATTTTCTGATTTGAATATCAGTTTTAAATCTGGGAGGGACTGAATGATGGTTTTGATAAATCTAACCCAATTCAACCATACACTGGCACACAGCCAAGTGATACACAACGAGGGAATTAACCAGAGTGATAGATAAGGACTTTCTCCCTGCGGTGTGTTTGTGTGAGAGATTGTCTGCTTTGGCTTCTGCTGCAGCACAGCTGAGTCAATGAAAACATGTTTTTGTGATCGATCTGGCAGGGATCAGTTCAACCTGACTACATGTGTTGCTCCACTCCCACTCTGTGATTTCATTTGGAGAAAAAAAAAATTGAAGGTTGATTTTAAGTCTGCCTTAGTGGCATATTTTCATGATGAGGGGAATTTAGTCTTTTATGGACATACACAGAGACTGTCTGGGTGACTCCTAATCCTGATCTGGTTTGCTTGACTATCTAAATGTCCTCTATCAGGTACTCAACAAGTCCCCCCACACTCCATTTTCTCCTTTCTCTTGTTCTATCCCATTAGGCACCAGTGTTTGTTTTTATAGATAATTGTTCCATCGAAGTTGCGTTGCATTCTATGTTTTTCTTTTTTTACCACAAAGATTAGGGGGCCTCATCGTCAAAATGCTTTCAGGGTTGCAGCCAGCTTAATGCAGCCAAATAGCCCTCAATTATCATGAGCAACACTTTCCATTAACAGTGAATAACTTAATTGTCAGCCATTTTAATTTAGCTGTGTGCAGTTAACTGTGGTGACCCGCTGGGAGGCCTATTATGTGTCTGACAAAGATCAGAGGAGTGCACTTATTTATTTGAAATACTGTAAATGAGGGGTAACTCTAAGCATAGCTCCGCATACAGTGACAGTTTATTATTTTTACTTGATCACAGAGAGAAAAAAAATTCAGAGAAGCAACTGAAGTCACTTCTGCTGCCGGTCAGAGGAGAGAAGTTGACAAAACCCTGGCAGCTGTTCAAGTCCGAGGCAGAACGCATAGCACAACATTTTAAACATCGCCTGGGACCCTGCAGAACAGCCAAGCAGACAGAGAGTAAGATAAAGAGACAGAGACAGCGAAGACATGGGGCGAGATAGGAGGTGAGAGAGTGAGGGGTTCTGGAGGGTGATGTAAGGAAGAGAGAGGGGTTTGACTGTAGCTGGAGAGATTTCCTCCTCCCATCTGCCAATGGATAGCTTGTCCTCCCTTGAGCTATCTGAAGAATCTGGTCAGTCAGTGCAACATGGCGCCTCCTCAATCCCTCCAGCTGGCTGTTTGGGCCCTGTTTGGGGTGGTCTCCTGACAACTGGTCCGACCCCCTCCTAGCACCGCCACCAGGATACACTGGTGCGCACAGAAACATCTTCAGCTGCATATTAACATTAACATGGGATTGTCATGTTAGCATCTACGCGAGTGGATTATAATGTTTATGTCAGCTTGTTGTTACTACAAGGAGATGTTGGCTGAGGCAGCACAGATCTTGTCAGGACAGCTGTAAGATAAACTGCCCCGTGTGTGACATGTGGTAGCTGTTTGGAGATTTTCAGAGTGTGATGTGAGGCCACTGAGCACAACTTTCCCTGGACATTACAATGTCTCCATCAACATCTGGAGCACATTGTAACCTCAAATCATCAGGCCTTTTCCTGTGATTCAGCTGGTACAAGGGGCCGGCAGAGTGAGGGTGCACTGACCTTCTTCCTGTGGTGAGATTTGTGAATGGAGTGGGAGCGGATGGCGTCAGACCTTACGCACTGTATCTAGACCGTGAATAGATTTGAAGTTGCCTGGAAGAGGTCTGATTGCATTTTAGAGAACTTACTTTCATATGCACTTGCATGCAGTTGAGTCGTGACTCTTTTTGATTGAACTTAGGTTTGCAAAACAAACCTTTGATTTCATACAGCGCAGAAAGTTTAAGGACTTTTGTTTGATCCCTGATTGCATAATAAGTAACAGCTTTACTTACTTAAGAACAAGCCCATCAGTCACCCCTCATTTATTGATTGTTTCTGATTTACAGTTTCCAAAAATAACAATCATCCGGCTGCAGTAAGTCTGCAGTCATGTAAGCCAACATTGTGTAAAGACAATAGTGCCAAGGGATAACTTTAACAGGACAGACGTATGAAGGGCACCATTGTTCCCGAGAAACGCCGAGGAGTAAAGAGGAAATAGATTCAGGAAAAAAAAAACTCAAAAAGAAAACCCCGGCAGTGTGGGAGCATGTTCTGTTTGGATTGGGAGGTTCAGGAACCGGGAGGAATGTGGAGAGCCCAAGTGAGCAACAGAGAAATATTTCTTCCAGAGGAGGCTGTTTTTTAAAGGAATGGGTTATTATAGTTGGCCAGTTAAACCCCTTCAAATAGCCATGACATCATGGCTGGGCTCAGAGCTGCAGGGGACAAACAAAGGAGGGTTTGTACCCAGAGAACCCTGGAGAGCTTTGAGGGTTTTCGGGGGGACTCGGAGGGAGGCAGAACAAGAGGGTTAGAAGTCACATCTGGTCTCTTTACCTGACCCAATCAAACCCTGCGAGAGAATCAAGTGTGCCAAACTGCATCTTGAAAAATCTAACTTGAGGCTATACTGAACTGGAAATCAAACAAAGGTACAAAAGGTACAGAGCTGGCTGCCAGTTCTGGAAACAGACTTTTGGGACAAAAGGTTGACTAGGCTTTTACATTTGGAAATGAAGTCTTTTTTTCTCTTCAGATACAGCTGATAAGTTTGTCAGGAATATCTCATATGAAGTGACACCTCACTAGTTTATGTAAAATCATTTGGCTGCAGCTGCTCTTCAATAATCATCTGCTTAATATCTCTCTTGCACAGATTGGCAGATATTGGCGAGGAACCTGATCTACTCTGTTAATTCGTGAATGCTTAACTTGAAGAGTCGATACGCATCACAAACCGTCGATTAGGTTTCACTCATTATATTCTCTCTAAGCCCTGTATTAGCTCCACTGTATGATGTCAGCCAATGACATAAACGCCACAGCTGTCTCCTGGAACTGGGCTTATGAAAACTGATCATATTACTGCCAAATATTACAGAGTTTGACCTTAGCATGCACCCCGCTTAGAGAAGCCTATCTATAAAGGCTAAATTTACTCAGATAGAGCCAAGAACGCTTTGCTGGGTCTGTCTGGTGCATGGACGTCCCCATACGAGCATTGATGGTCAAACTGTGTACAATTTAAAATACAAATCAAATGGGAGGCTTGAAAAAATGTTATTTGCAATTTCATAGTGCTGTAGACTTTAACTGTTGACACAAACTGAAAGCTTTTAGTTAAGCGATTCAAAAAATACACGATTTATTCAAAATTATGGGATTGTTTAGATTTCATGCCGAACACACCTCTGACCTAGCTAGTTCTGCTAAAAAGGGAGTCTACACTCGTGATTGAAAATAGGTGGTCAAACTCTTTTCACCGTATGTTTATTTTTTGCTGCAAGTTTGACCCGATTTTCACTACAAAATAAAAAAAACACTTTCTAATTTGGTTTGGTACTTTACTGTCCGTCTTGTGTTTACAGATGACTCAGGCTCTCATAAAAAAGGAACTGCGGCAGCTGATGGATCAGAGTCTGACCTGGGCACCGATGGATTGTTAGAAAAATTTGGTAAGAGCCCCCAATACGATGACATATTACAGGAACATACATGTGGTTCTTACATACTGATATACTGATAAATGAATCCTCTTTTCCTGTCACAGTGCGTCCCCGCTTCACCCACCCCGCTAAGATGAGAAAAAGAGTGATCGCTCGTCCTGTCGGCAGCTCGGTGCGTTTAAAGTGCATGGCCAGTGGAAACCCACGACCGGACATTGTATGGCTGAAGGACGACCGGCAGCTCACCGAGCGGGAGGTTGGCGAGGGTCGTCAGAAGAAGTGGACTCTAAGTCTGAGGAACCTTACGCCAGAGCAGAGTGGCAGATACACCTGCAGAGTCTCTAATCGAGCAGGGGAAATCAATGCTACATACAAAGTTGAGGTTATACGTAAGTATCCCACAGAGAGGCTGAGCTATACACATACCAGACATATTCACCTGGAAGTATTACTGTTAACAGATGAGGCAAGGCTCATTAATTTAACTGATTACTGCTGTTTTTTTTTAATCATTTTTGTGATCTTTTGTACATTGCTGCAGGAAATAGCCTAGGTAGAGCCGTAACTTGAAAAACAACAACAAAAAAAAACAGTTTTCTCTCTGATCTACCTACCCCTGCTGTCTGATTGCGATCAGCAGGTCTTATTCATATCCTCACTGCATGGATGAATGTGCATGTGTAATCATGTATATGAGAAGCATATTGAGGAAGCAGGCTTGAGAGCTAGGGCTTGTGCCCTAGTGTTTGCACAGGGGGGAGAGAGGGAGAGAGGCTGTTTAACTCCGAGACCCTCCACCCAATCTGGAGCTGATTAAAGCCCAGCTGTCTGCCAGACCCACTGCCCCCCTCTCCCATGAGAAATGTGTTCTGTACAACCAGGAGCAAAGAAAGAGAGGAAACTAATCACACATACTTCTTGTGTTACATGTGGTATTCCTCCATCTTTGTCAATTACAGGTTCTAAGCCAGAGGCTAATAATGCCATGGACAGCTAAGGCCTCTTCTGTCCACAGAAGAGCTCTCACATCAAAAGATGTCTGTGTGTGTGTCTTGACAGCTTTTTTTGTGTGTGCACAGAGCGAACAAACTCCAAGCCAGTTCTGACGGGCACTCACCCGGTCAACACGACAGTGGACTTTGGAGGCACCACGTCATTCCAGTGCAAAGTCAGAAGCGATGTAAAACCGGTCATTCAGTGGCTCAAACGCGTTGAGTCTAATGAAGAGAGTCGCTACAACTCCACTATCGAGGTGGGGGACCACAGATTCGTGGTGCTGCCCACGGGGGAGGTGTGGTCGCGACCCGACGGCTCCTACCTCAACAAGCTGCTCATTACCCGCGCCAAGGAAGATGACGCCGGCATGTACATCTGCTTAGGCGCCAACACGATGGGCTACAGCTTCCGCAGCGCCTTCCTTACTGTGCTGCCAGGTGAGGCCAGGGGGAATGTCTGTGAACACTTTACTCAGCAGGTGGTGCTGCAAATGTACTGCAACACATAAGCAGCTTGATCTGAGATATCAGGCTGTATGTTTTAAAAAGCTGTTTGTGTTTCGAGGTCTCCCTTTAGTCAAGTTAAAATCAAGGGACTAATGTTAAAGACATGATTGACAATCTGAGAAGCAGTTGAAAAAAACTGAGCTGTTGAGGCAAATGTGAAAAAAGTGTCCCACCCTCCACACACAAACTTCTCCCCTCTGTGCTCCACGATAACCCCCCCCACCCCCCACCCCCCACGCTAGCTTTAAATAGGGTTCACCATGTCGGATTGCTAGTAACTAGCGGCAGTAAACGCCAGCTCTGCTAGCGAGCACCGTCTGCAGCTGCCTGAACAGCCACTGTGTTGACATTGCAGAGACTAATAAGAGTTATTTATATAACGTGCCTCGATAAAAGGCAAAAATTACCTGTTTAATACAAACTGCTGTCTTGGCGTCTGTTTTCAGGCCCCAAATCCTGGTGGAGCTTTCTCCACCGCTCGAAGGATGACCCGATGTTTATTTGAGTTAGATTCCTTGCTTGGTCACATTTCTTCTTCACCTCTGCCCTTTCTTCTGTCAGCTTGCGTTTCCTTTGCATTTTTGGCGGTGGGGCAAGCAGAAGTGTTTTTTTGCGTCCCTCTCCATCACAGCTCCTGTCGCTAAGCTGCTACGCTACTTTTAGCCGCTCAGAGCTCCGAGGAGGGCCGGGAGAGTGGGAGGGGATGAGTCGGGACTACGGGAGAGGGGTGTATTGAAGACAGTGAGGGGATTCAATGGAGAGGCTGAGCAGGGGATTGACCAATAGGAGCTGTCTGGGACAGATGGCTCCTATTGGTCAGTGTTTTTGCAGCCCTGCACCTTCTCGGGTGAGCGGGTTTTTTCCATTCTTTTTTTTCTTCACTTTGTGGAGATCGCACTATAAGACCATGATTGCCATATAAACAAGGTTCATAGTAATTTCCAATTTCTCCAATCGTCAACCATGCCTTTAAACTGAAATAAAAGTGGGAGTACTTTTCAGTGAAAAATGACAAAAAGAGACAACACAGCTATGATAAATGTTCTGTCCTCACCTGTTTTATTTTAATTTCCATGTGTTTTGAACTTTTTTGCCAACAATAAACATAAACCCATGAAAATTTAATCTGTCATCTATTGGTGGTTTAACTTTTTTCCGTTCAGGACTCAAAAGTATTTAGTTTAGCTGAAACTAAAAAAAGGTCCACTTGCTCACCCATTGCACTTGTGATCCTTAGATTGTTTTGAGTTAACTGATATTTCCTGTATCAGAAAGAGATGTCAGCTGTTATTTGTTCAAATATTCTGGTGTTTTATCATCCAATCGTTCTATGTTAAATGGGCAAACAAAATGAGATTATTAAAAGATTAATTGTCAATAAAAATGATGTCTGTCTTAGCTTCAAGCACTTCACCTGTTCATGAACAAACTTGGCATAGTTTAAAAGTTGTAAACATGTTTTGATTCTTTTTTTTGGCCCTCTTCCTTTGCAGACACAAAGCCTCCCATCACACCAATGTTCTCTCCAGCTTCCAGCTCCCTCCCCTGGCCTGTCATCATCGGCATCCCCGCAGGGATCGTCTTCATCTTTGGCACAGTGCTGTTGTGGTTCTGCCAGAGCCGAAAACATTGCCCCCCTCCCAGCCCTCCTTCAGCTGCTGCCACACAGGTACTGCACAGTCCTCACCGGCTGCCGTATCGAGAGCGGGATAGGGGCTGTGTGGCTCCTTCCTCCAGCTCCTCCAGCCCAGAGAAAGACTGCATGAGCTCCATGAACTACGAGGAGTACCTGGCACAACAGCAGCTTCTCCTCAGCCAGGGAGGACCAACAATCCCCCCTAAAATCTACCCCAAAATCTACACAGACATTCACACGCACACTCACTCCCACGTGGATGGGAAAGTACATCAGCATCAACACATTCATTTTCAGTGTTAGCTTGAGTGCCAGTCCTCTCACATTGACTGTTCCAGTGAGTTGTGGACCTCTTGAATGACATCCACCTGGCATTACTCTCTATAAACTATATCAGACTCTTCTTATAGCTGGAGATTGTCGGGAAAGAGTGCGTATGGCCAGTGATACATCCAAACTTCCATAATATTTGGTGCTTACTTTTTCACCGTTCGGATCCTCACACCACTAAAATCCACGATCTTTGTTGTGCACTTAAAACAAAAAAACGGACAAGGTGATTTTTGCAGCGTGTGAGTTCAGTTGCAGCTATTCAGGCCAGCTGAAAGCTACTCCTCAGCAGCTGCATTTTCCTACTTCGGGGTGTAGCTGTAAATGGAGGTTAGGTTTTACCTTTCACTTATTCAGCTGTCAGAGTGCAGAGATTCTGTACAGTCTGCATGAATGAGGATGAAAATGGTACTCATGATTTACAAAAGGAGCTGTATTTTTTTGTCACGCTCCTACTCAGGTAGTCCTTTTGTTTGTTAAAGATGCATAATGTTTGGAATGCAGACCACTATCCTTTCTCACCTTCCTCCATCCCTCTTTTTTTCCTCTGTCACTAGTGAAATAGAATAGGCTGGTGAGTTTAAAGGCCTTGTCACGGCATGTAAACCTTGCCTAAGACTGCAAGGGGTGGAAGAAATGTTTTTTTTTTTTTTTAATCGGTTCTCATAATAATTTGAATTTTAAAAAAATGTAGATTCCCATCACCAGTTAGGAGCATGCTGAGCAAAACTAGCATTCTACACCACAGTTTACGAAGCTGTAGTTTTTATAATCAAATGGAGTCATGAATATTTAATTTATTTTGCTAAAAAGTGTATCAAAAGTTTATTTTTCAGAGTAATGTGTTTTTACATATCTATGTAATGTTATTGAAAGTATACTGGTGTTATGTATAGTACATTTTGAGTACTTTATCAGTTAAAACACATTTAGTTCATGCCGATATTTTAGGCATTTCTGTATGTAATTGGTTATATTTGACAATCTTTTATGATGATGTACTCTGTTCACGACTCAAAAACATCTGAAGTGTGATGGTCTGGTAGTTTAATTAAATGACCTGAAACGAATCGGTTTTGCGTTTCAAAGATTTATGTATTTGTTCAGCTTCAACAGGTGCAATCGCTGTGCTCACAATAGGTGTCAAAGCTGTTTTGGATGAAATAACGGTAACCTGTGTGGCAGTTAGCTTTTCTGAGTACAGACAGGTCAGTTTTCTTCCTTTGAGGGAGCTGCAGTGTCTGAAAGGGTGACACTGAGGGCAGCCAGCAGGAGTATCTGCGCTGAATGACTGCATAGACAGTGACCAGACACAAGAGCAGTCTCACACAGTTCCCTCTTTAGATGAGTGACAACCTCTGCAAGGCTACACCCAGAGACCAGCATCTTTCCCCCTCATTTAAGTGAATCTACCCGCACTGCCTCCCCCACCTCTAGTCCGCACCACCACTTCATTCAGCTCCAATCTAGGTAGGATTTCCTTTCACCATTTAGGAAGTGCATTGTCCTGCTGTGGGAGTGATGTGACAAGACCCTGTGATTGCTCAGGAAAGAAGGGGAGCATTGTGTCAGGTGAGCTCTTGTTTGGTCGTAAGCATCGCAGGATGGAGATGAGCTTTGGCTTCATTCTCATGAAGGAAAGGAACTTTTCGGGTGTAGTCAAAAAAAAAAAAAAAAAAAAAAAACTACTACTCAAGGAAAATCTCTTTTTCAGGTATCAAACCCCTAAGTTGTCCTGCAACTCTTTACTGCATGTCACAAAAGTTAGTGCAGAGAAATACTGCCCCCTTGTGGCCCATGCAGCTAAACAAAATCAAACTTCTCACAGTCTCTCTCCTTCTTAATTACCTTTATTTACTCCGTTTTTAAGAACATGAAAAACGACAAACAAAGAACTGCAAAGAGAAAATGAAGCAGACTTCCAATAGGACGATATTTTACAGTATTTACAAAGTTCAACCCCTCTGGACTTTGCCAATTAGTTCATCACAAAGTTTGGTGAGCTCCTCTACTTCTTTCTCCTGTTAAAAGAGAAAAAGAGAAGTAACACAAATATAAAAATAATGCACAACTAATCAATACATGAATCTATTTATATGAGCTCCTACCTTCTGGTCCAAGCTCTTTTCCAGCGACTGTGTCTTTAGCTGCTCCCGGCGCATCTGAGCTTGCAGTGCGGATACTTCAGCTTTGTTTTTGGACCTCACTTCAGCAATTTCCCTGTTTGCACTGAAATTAACAAGAAATGCTGGTCAGGCCCCCACAAAGTCTGGCGTTATCCTCTAGAAACACAAAAGAGTCAGGTGTCTCACTGTGAAATTTTCTCCTCAGCGTGAGCTTTCAGCGTCTGGTAACGCTGCTCCTCTTTTTTGGTCCTCGCAAGATAGTCCTGAGCACAGGCTTTCAGCGTCTCTTCGTTCTGGGAAAGGAGACAAGGAGACAAAACATTGTTCAAATTACTGTAGCTTTTGATAAAACCCCAATCTGTGTCATGCTTGTTTTGGTTCGAACCTTTTTATACCCCTCAACCACATCCTTGTACTTCTCCAGTCTCTTGAAAAGGTCAGAGAAAGATCTCTCCATCGTGTTCAGGTCACTGGACACTTGCTCCTTCTCCAGCAGAGCCTCATTAAGCTTTGCTTGAGATGCCTCCCTCTCTTTTTCCTGATCGGCTGAATAATAGAAAAAAAAGTTACAACAAAATCTTCAATGGAAATGCTTTTCATCTTTGGAGTGTACTTCATATTAACTTACCCATCATTTTTTCAATGACGAGTTCAAACTCTGCGATGATTTTCCTGAAAAAAAAAAAAAAGTTGTAGGATGAATTTAAAACCTGATCATTTTTATACAACAGGTAAATGACTTTTTCTCCAAAGTAGCGCTCACCTCATCTCCTGACCATCATCCTGAAGCTTTTTGCACTTCGCACTCCACTGCTCCTCTGTTTCCTTTGCCTATTGGAGAAATGATAGAAACTGAATTTGATTGATTTCACCTTATAATGGAACAGGACCTTGTTTTCTTGATTTAAATATAAGAGGCTTTTTTTGATTGTGATTGTACTGCTGTTTTCTCTGAACTGCTCTAGGGAGTTTTTCCAACAACAAGCATTTAGTGAAGCTCTTTTAGTCTATACCGAAACCACTCAACTCACATCCACTCCACCAAAGTGACTGAAAACCTATTTTTCAAATCATAAAACAATAAGCGGGACATACCTCTGCCTGGACTCTGGCAATGGCAGCGTCCAGGTCTTTCTGACTGTACTTCAGCACATCAATAATGGCATCCTCTGTGTCCACCGATTGGGAGAAAATGGGTACAAGACCCTCTAGGATTGGAGCAGCCTTGCAAAGAGTCACAAAGTAAGTAAATTAAGTTAGGATAGAGCAGGTATGGAACAAATATATTTTCATTTATACAGCAACTTCTGACTTCTTGAAGTCAATCGTAAGTGAGCAGGCATACAGGAGTTACTGGTCCTGAAGCATCATCCAGCAGTTTGAGATCACCCTTTTGAGTCACACTCACAGTCTTTTCTGCCAACTGTGGAGTTTCAAGCCTAAATTAAAAGGAAAAAAAGATCTTAGGAAGAGGTCAAAGTGGTTACATTTCTGTCAGATTTTGTCTGCTTGTACAGGCATTTGGTTGTCCGTCAAAAGCAAAATAAACTCAGCTATAACGTCCACTGACAGCAGCAATCAGACTAAGTAAAAACACAAGTGTGACATACCGTGTAACAAAGGCCACAGGTCGAGAGACGTTGATCTGAGCAGCTGGACCTGCAGACTTCTTTGGGCTCTCTCTCAGGAGGGGGTCGAATTTAAGGTACAGTGATTGTTTCCTCAATGCAGACTCCTTGAACTGCATGCAAAGAGAAATTATATTTAAACACATGTAGGTCATACATTGGATGTAGTTATTTAAAACACATGAAGTTACTTACGCCACTGGACCCAAACTGTTCAAGGTAATCAATTTGACCATCAAAATCATTGGCCATGACTGGAAATAAAAAAAAAGACAGGTTAATGCCAACATCAGCATTTTGTTAAATCTTTACCTCATATACAATTTTTAGTTGAACCAGAAATACAAGGTGACAGCCACGGTTTTCTTACAAACAGTTCCAGGAACAAACTCGTCACTGCATTCTGACATGGTGCTCTGTGATTGCTGCTTAGAAGTCTCCACAGGTTGCTCAGCCTCAGGTGAAAATGTCTGATTGGGGTCAGGGGCAGCCTTGCATTCAGCTTTCTATATTGCACAAAAACAATTAGTGTCAGCAAGATGAAATTAACATGTAATTTATTGGAAAAATCAAGTAGAATTACATAAAATTATGCAACTTCTTTTACCATTTCAGGTTTGAGTTCAGCATTATGGGTGCTCTCTTCAGCACTAAAGAGGGCAAAAACAAAAAACTTGTGAAATGAAGTATTTTTTTTGCCATATAAAGTGTCCGCTGCAAAGTTTTGATGGATTTGCATAAAAAGTTAATATACCATTCTTGTGATGCAGCTTCCTTCACTACAGGCTTCTCTGCTGGTTCTAGAGGAGAAGTGTCCCTGGGCATAGGGATGGTTTTCTTATTGCAGACTGGGGAGTTATTCATGCTTGCTTTTGTCCCAAAAGGATTGAAGTTAGGGTCATCAAACTTGTCAAAATCAAACGAGTAAGACCCTTTGGGGACCAGAAAAACAGCATCTTCAGTGGCATCTGACTTCACTGAAGTTTCTTGCAGTGGTTTGACATCAGATGTCATCTTTCCCTCTTCGGGTTTTACACCTTGTGGCCGTTTTCCAACTTTCTTGGGTGGAGGTTTCTTTTTGACCTCTCTGCCATCATCAAAGTTGAACTCAAGTTTGACTGGTCCTTCTTTTACTGGTGCAGCTGGGTGGGACTCTGATTCGGCAGCTGGGGGTTTTGCTGAAATGGAGGCCACTGCGGCTATGGGCTTCACCTCAGGCTGAACTAACATCTCTTGAGCCACCTCAGGTACGTCACCATTTGTGGGTTTATCTTCCTTTAACGGAATTTCTGCAACCGGTGGGTCGTTTTCTGGCGTTTTTCTCATAACGACAGGTGAATTCTGTATTTTAGAGCCACCGGTTTGGAAAGGATTTACCAAATCCAGGTTGTCAAAATCTAAGTTGTAAGAACCTTTTGCTGGCAGTGGAGCATCTTCAGTAAAACTCCCTGACCCTTTGTCTTGGTTAAAACTTGTAGATATAACTGCTAATTTTTTTTCATCAGGTGTGGCAGTGCATGAATCTTGTTCCTCAACATCTGGGACCCTCACCACAGTGACAACACTGCTCTCTGTGGAGCTAACATTTGCTGATACGTCAACCAGAGAGTTTTCAACAGATAGACTGAATGGAAGTGTTTCGTCCAGCGCTGATTCAAATTTAGTGGGCTCTTCTGAGACATTCTCTGGTTTTGGTTGTTGAAGCTCAGTTTGAGGTGTAGATGGGTTTTTGACAGCAGGTCTTGCAGGAGAGAAGCCCATCTTATTAGATCCCTGAAATGGATTGTAGGCATCAAGGTTGTCAAAATCCAGTTGATAGCCTCCTTTGCTCTGTATGGGCATGTCATCATCTGGATAAGAGGACACTTCTGTGGAAAATTCAAGAAAATTATGAGCAAATCTTCTATTGTTGGGGTCAATCGTGGGCTTGTTGGTTTGAGAGACTGGATAAATTACCTTGTTTGGGCTCATCAGACTGCACAGCAGCATCTTGTGGCAAAGGGCTGTAAACACAAAAAAGACTTTAAAAGACAGAAGTGAAATGTAGCTAGAGGAAGTGAACAGTATGAAAAAACGTTTTTTACCTTTTTATGTCCAAATTTAAGGACTCCAGTGCTTTTGTGCACTCATCCACACTTGACATCTTGACAGACTTTGTGGGAGATATAATTCTTTTTGTCACAGGGTCTCTTCTTGGAGTCTGAAAACAAACCTGCATGCACACAGTTCAATCAGTAAGGGAGGCAGTAGAGTCAAGATTTAACACAAGAAAATAATACATTTAAATGCAGGCCGTAGCACAAATTTTTTTTGCAATAAGAAAAAAATTGAAAAGCTGGTATTCTTCACTGGCGTTACACACATGCACAACCCCATCCTACAAGTGACTTCATTTACACCCACAAACATTTTTTGTGACTGTGTAAAGCTATGGGATGAATTTTTTTGAAGACACAAACATCCTACAGTTAGAAATAGTCAAATATTTTAAAAAAAGATGTGGAGGCATAATAAAACCATTGAATTCCTTCGTCAATACTTTAAGTTAGCGGTGATAGTTCAGGAAAGGCTGAGGATTAGCTTGGTGACACTGGGTCAGGTAAAAACAAACAAACAAACAAAAAAAAACATTGGAGGGTGGCAAAAGATTTTAAAAACTAGAAAAATTGTACATTGCATAACTGTTTTATCATTGGGTCCGTAGAACAGGGAAAGTCCCACACACAGACCAAATAAATTTGTAGTCTCAGAACACCTCAGTCCGATAAAGAGCCACAGCGCTGCCAGCAAATGATTTTTATATGTTAGACAGTGAATTACAGAATTCTGTTAGACAAAATTTAATGATAAACACAAGCTCAAGCAAAGTCAGCTGCTTCTGTACCTTTGATCCCTTTGACATGGTCTTGCTGGGCAGGTTCTCTGTCTGACGCAGGATGGAAGGCCTCCCAGTTGGCTGATCCAGGGCAAAGATGTCATTAATCGAAGTGTTCTGTTTTCCACTGAGGCAGACCACACGATTTTCATCATTCACGTCAACAGAACTCATCCTGTGGAACACAGAGAAACAAACTAAGTGAGATATGTTCTGACTGCAGGCATCATCCTGAAAGCTGCACTCTGCTGATAAGACACGCTGGGTTTTGGTGTTCATTGATAAGTGTGAAAATAACCTGACCAGAGGGAACTTCATAACCAGATGAAAAAGTGAAATCTGAAAATTTACCATTGCAATAAATGTTGGTTTGTAGGTGTCTAGATATCACACATTTTCCATTGATCCGTATCTGCATATTTTGTGGGGTATAAAGTGTGAGTTAGTTGTTATCAATATGTGAAACCTGGCGACTTGGTTTGCCTGGTGGTTTAAGCGGGCACCCCATATACAGAAGCTCTCGTCCTCATTGCAGCAGTCATTGATTTCTGGCCTCAAACCTTTGCTCTTTGCCTTAAGAGTCTTTGATTATTCCCTGACCCTCTTCTTCCCACATTCTATATTCCTCTTTCGTTGTGCCATCTAATAAAAGGCCAAAATGATCAAATATAGCTTAAAAATGGAACCATGAAAACTTGGGAATACTAAAATTAAATTAATTGAAATCATTGTAATCTCAGATAAATGTTGCTATGGCATTGGTGTAATGTTTCTGTTGACTAATGAGAAACAAGGCATTGCTGCAAAGGCTTTTACACGATGGCCAATGTGTCCACCAGAGGACACCAACGTCTTGATTTAAATACGTTAACTGAAAAATGACACTTAACAATCCCTTAGTAACAATCCCTTTTATGTGGTACAAAAAAAGCATTCAGGTGTGTACTATAAAGTTATATCCTATGGTGGAGAGTGACTCTAATTAATTGATTTATTGACGATGATCGATGTCAGTGTCACCACAAATAAGTCAAAGGGAAACTAAAATGTGTTTGCTACAGTCAAGTATTTGAACATATGGCCAACTACGGTTCGTTTGAATCAGCTGATCACTGTATTTCTTTACACGTCCATGCAAGATCTGAGTGCACACAGAGAAGTATAAATGTCATCTTTGTCTGGCTGTTGTCTTGTGACTAATGTGGCCAACACTTTAATGAGTCAGTTAGTTCTGATTAATACCGCCGATACCCAAACGTTAATTTGTTGAAATGTTATTTGTTAATTACTCTGCGTGCAATTAAACTAAGAGGTCCATTTTGTATAGTTTAGTGTATGTTATAGGACTGGGCACGCGCAGTTAGGTTTATAGCAGTAAGACAAACGGTGTATTTTTGTGCAAGTCGCGACCATTTCAGCACATAAATAAGTGTAATTTCAACAAAACCAGCGATATACTTCATAATATTCAAGGAAGAGGGAAGTACAACAACATACTCATTGTTATCTCCAGGAGTGTGTTAGTAAAGACCTTTGGTAAGACCCGACACGTTATAAGGCAGATCATTTGAATCCAGTTGTATGAATGAGGTTTTCGTCGTTATTTATATTTACGTTCGTTACCTACAACTTACCTTAAAACACAGAGGCAGTCGGTCGAAAACTACAGAGCGGTTCGTCAGTGTTCTTCGCTTCAAGTTGAAGACACTACAATGATGACTTTTTGAAAACCCCTCACAACCCGACGTTTAACCGTTTGGAATTTGAAAGGAGCCAATGAATTCAACGGAAACATTCAAAGGAAACGATTTTCCGGGTTCATCAGCCAATCACGATAGAGAGCGGATATGATCTAACCAGGACTGTCTCAAATTCTGACATCTCAACTCCCCATAAAAATAGATGTCAACATACAGCATTACATTGAGTAAAATGTGACAACCCTGGGATTTTCTGCATATTGGTTAATCTTAAAAGAGAACAGGAAAATCGGGGTACGTTTTACATCTCTATGGGAAAATATCATGGCAAAGATGCAAGAAATCGCATGCTATTTCTTGTTCGTGTGTGTAGAGACTCTGATTCGGGGTAATGGGCTCACCATGGATGGAGAGAAGAGCCCGTGTTTTACAGTCACACCACCCAACAGGTCTCAAAACCAGGGCCACGAACCAGCACCATTGTAAAATCAGTTATGTTAGAAGAGATGTTTCCCATTTCCGACCACCGACTGTGCACGTGAACGCATCATGCTCAATACACACCTGAGAAGTGAGGAGGATGAATGAAGATGTCTGTTCAGACAGGTGTATGCGTCTATGAGACCTGTGAGTATGTTTCCGTTCTACTTGTTCATGTTAACTCGCCCTGTGCAATTTGGAGGTTTGTTGTAGTTTGTCCAATCCCTAAATGAAAAGGTAGCTCGAACTAAAGAGGCTTGGACACGGATTTTCAGCTTCATTTTGTCAATTTTTTATTACACTATGGTATATTACATAAATACTGAATAAAGTTTAAAAGTGAAAATTACAAATTTCGTTTCATGACTGTTATTGCGTTGTGCATTGCTTAGCTAAAGCCTTTGTAGTTAATTGTGATTTTCCTGCCAAACTGAGATGTAAGGCCAGTGCCTTAGTGTGATTTTTTTTTTTTTTTTGCATACTGTAATTAAAAAAAAATCTACTCCAATAAGCTGCGATGTCTCACTTGTGGTATTTTCTTGACAGTGAGAAAAATGTACTCAAAACTTTTTTATTTTTATTTTTTATCACAAAATCCTATACATGAACATTGTTATTGGTTAAGGGTTACTTAAAGCCCATAATGAAATATCAGAAGTTTACACCTATAGTAGTAGTTTCATTTTATAGCTCTTCATTTTTTCCTAAAATGTGAATGTTTTTATACATTATCCAACCTCCAAAATAGACTAAAGGTTGGTAGTGTTGGTTCCAGTTCTCAAGATTACAATATTGAAGTACAACTTATGTAATGCATTGATAATTACAATACATTGATATAACTAAATAAAACCGACAAAACCATCTTGCTTGTCTTTAACTAAAAGCTTTTTATTTTACAGTTTCTTTTATTTATTTGTTGGTGATTTTTTTACGTTTCTGCATTTAACCACTAAGGGGCAGTGTCGTTACCGCCATTACGTGCCTCGCGCGCTTCTATCTCTAAGCCATCTTCTTGCGTATGACAGAAAAGAAGGAGAACAAAATGGACGAACCGTCGTCGCAGGGCTCTGGGTGAGATGGCAGCTAGTTAACAGTCTTTTAACGATGCTCAAGGGTCCGTCTACTTGGCGGCCAATGGATTCTTATACTTAAATGAAGAAAGAAATAACATTTGAATGAATATCTTCCTTACTGGTCGTTTCGTTTTTTCATTTGAAAACGAAAATCCGTTAGCCGTTAAGTACACGGACCCACAAGCTAGCATTCCCGCCAGAGAAACCTAGCTTAACGGTCGAATAATGCTAAAGTGACTGCAGTTTTCGTCATTAATGGAGGCCAACTGAATCACTTTGACAGCATACTAGCATATAAAAGTGTAAATGAGGAATTAAGAAGTTTTTATTATTTTTTTGTGTGTAATGGGTAGGCTGTGGTGCACCATCCAAAACTTCAGTGTGATTTCTCCATGGTAAAGTTTGTAGCAATACTGATTAAGCCAAACTAGGATTTAAAAAAAATGACTATGACTTCAGCTGAGCTTTTAAAAAAAATAAATTAGTAAACGTCTTAAGTCAAGGAAAGTCTACTGTAAGAACAAACTGTATTGTCCTGGGTTGTCTCTAATATTTCTATATTTTGAAATACTTGAATTTTTTTCTGAAGGGCTGTTTATGAAGATAATATAAATCGTAGGTTTTACTGTTCAAAATGTCATATTTTTGGCAGAAGAAAATGTGTCAGTCAGTCACAGGTTGACAGTTTCACACTTTAAAGGTACAAGCAATAAAACCAGGACAGGGAATAAAGCTTAATTATTTGTGAATTTGTCCAAGTCACAAAAAAATGTCAAACATGGATTTCTGAATAAGACTTTTTAAATGTTTATTTTAATTGTAAACTGGTTGGTAGGCCTGTCACGATAACAAATTTTGCTGGACGATAATTGTGCTACAAATTATTGCCGATAAACGATATTATTGACACCGTTTTTTAAATTATAGATAATGATATCAAATGGCATAATAATGCGAGTACACCGTGTCAAAAGTGATAAACTTTAATTTTACCCACGACGAAGACGTATCGTTGACGAGCTAAACATAAGTCGGAGATGACTAAAATGTGACGAGACGAAAGTGCGTTTACGTTGATGGGACGAGACGAAAATGACGAACAGAGTTGCAAAACTCAGTCAGTTAAACGCTAAACATATAGGAGCAGCTTCAGTCCGCTCTGACAGCTCTCATCAGCCTGCTGTGCTCCTCCAACACACAGACACACACGAGCGCGCGCGCACACGTGGAGTTTTGTGGTTGACGAAAACAAAACTGGTTTAAAGCTGAAATATTCCCACACTTGGGCTGTTGAGTTCGGTTTAGACACCAAAGCTGTCGTGTTCATTCTGTTTGCTTGCTTTTCACTCACGACGCTCACTTGCAGCACTGTATCCAAAAGTCTGTCTGTGTGCCTGTGCGCGCCTACGTGTACCTGTGCGCGCGCCCCCCGTGACAAAGATACTGAATGACTGACAGGAGGGTTCACTGACTCCGTTCATTCCGCCATAGAGCCAACGCCCCCAGGTGCCGAGAAAAATGCGCAGAGTGAGACCTCTTCTCTCATCCAGCGTGTTTGGTAGCAAGAGAGGAGGAAAACAAACGCACGTTAATTATCGAGGCTGGCAAAGTTATCGACCTCGTTTTTATTTATCGAGCGATAAGGCGATTTATTGATTATCGCGACAGGCCTACTGGTTGGTACCTTTTGTCAAGGTGTGTCCACTCAGAGGCCTTGAGACTCATTCCCACTTCCTAACAATCCTCCTTGAATTACATACCCAGATGTAACACCAAGGTTATATCAGGGGTATGCCATTGCAAAAATGCTATTGGACCATTGACTTAGGATTGAAATCAGTAGGTGAAAAGCTACCGTACTTAAAAAGTTAAACAAATTGTGCATCAAGCTCAAAATTGTCTCCATATTTTAAAAGATTTGAGTCACTGCAAGAATATGGCCATAGATGTTATGAGTAGCATTGTCCTTCTTCTGCCCCTGAAAATGTCCAGAGTTGCTTGAATACATGTCTCTAAAAATGGGACCTTTTACTGTCAGATGAGGGGGATAGTAGATTGGGGAGTGGAGATAAATCATGAGAGGCAGGACATGACATAAAAAAGCATGCTGCCAAAGTCTGTGTTATGAATGATTACAACAGGATAGGTGACGAAGTAACAGAGACCTATGCCATGATTACAGATTTTGTTTCTGAATTCATGCTACATGTAACCAAACATGTGCACACATCTGGTCCTCCCTCTTCGGTCTCAGATGTGAAATTCAGCTTGTTCCTTTTCTGGGTTTGCACTTGTTGCATGATAAAACCACAAATTCTCTGCTGTTTATGTTTACATATGTACCTGTGTAAAAACAGCTATAGTGTAGTGCTGTATGCCCCTGTGGATCTGAGAGGAACTGGGTAGAAATAAGGAAGGTCCCAGTCTCTGTTGAGACCTGAATTTGAACCAGAGTGCCGCATGGCCCTGTCTACATATCCAGATATCGTCGGGATCTCCTCCCTTTGGTGGTCTCCACAGTTTGGGACAGTGGGTGTGACAAAACCCTGCTTTATTTGGTAGCGGCTGGTCCAAGCCTCCATTGGTCGGAGCTGTGCTGGGTGCACTGAGAGGTTGTCCTTTCCCTCGTAATGTTTTTGACTCAGAAAGTCCCTCAGTACCTGTTTGAAGACAGATGCCAACTCCCAGGGCTTTATGTTGTTAGTGGCAAGCACCTCACGAAACCTGTGAAAGGACACAACCAATCAATTTTAATGAATCACTTGTTGAAGGTGCAAAATTGGTATCAGCACAGTATCAGCATCCTACATTTTTAGTGAGCTGTGTCTTATGTGTTGTTGAACCCTCTCAAAATGACCTGTATACTCTTTGCATAACGCATTTCCTCCTAAATAGGTCATTCTCCGGTTATTTGGTTGTGTAAGGACAGAGTAGTGACCCAGCATCGAGTTTTATGGAAAATAAAACAAGTAGGTCACTGTGATCAGCCATGTGGAAAAACCTTTTTTTATATCATTATTACTTGAACAAAGATTATGAAAACCCCAGCAGTCTGGCCTCACTCAGCCTTACAGGGCACCCTTCACCTTCACACCCAAGCTGCCCTCCTTTGTGACAGTAACACATAATGGCTTTCTTGGCAGCCTGCCCTCCTTCCCTTCTCATCCCTTTAGGTCTTCTCTGCTTTTCCTGCTGTCAGGCCTTGTGTTGATGCAGCAGCAGCTAGCCACTGTTGACAGCATACTAATGTGAGGATGGAGCACGGCATGGCTGCTTGCAAATACCTGGAGAGCACGGTGGCTGCATGGACAAGAGGGATCTGTGCACAGAGGAACTCCAGCTGGTGGAGCTCAGATGTAGGGATGAGAGTCCGTAACCTGGGGTACTTCTGGAACCAGTGGGTGCCCAGAGCACTGTGGGTCAGCCTGTTCTCCCGCTCCAGTTCCCTTGCCAGCCGCTCTCGTTCCTCCACATGCCACAGGAGCTCTCTGATTAGCATACGACTGGGCACAACTTCAGGGGTCTTAAAAGGGGCTTCCTCAGTCTCAGCTTGCGCTTTTGTTTCAGTGGTCCATTTCATCCAGCTGAACAGGGGCATGGTGGTCACAGTAGACTGGCCTGAAAAGCCGATGAAACAAGTCATTTTATGGTCTGCATGATGATTCAGTGACCTCCCCTCTGCCTGGTTCTGTCACTCAATATCTATGGCTACATTTTCTGAGTCACACCTTCAAAAGACGGGTCAGTTTTGACCGGTGTATGATGTGCACGAAGACCGTGAAAGCTGAAAAAAAAAAAAAATCTTATGAAAAAAAAAAAATGAAACAAGTCAAAATCAGTTAATTCCTGCTGATGATAAAAAAGGAAAGAAATGGAGTGAAAAAATGCATTTCTCTCGAAATTGGGGTCAAATTTCCTGCTTGAAATAACAATGAAATTGCATCACAAAAATCGCAACCTCTCTTTAATTGACGTGTGTGTTTATTATAGCTAATTTTATATGTGCATATATTTTAGCCCTGATTAGATAAAGATTTTAAAGTTGGCAGTGAAAGATCATCATCCTGCAACAGAGCTGACCTCTGGTCCTTGCCTGATGGGCGCTCTGATTGCTTTCAGTTTGAGTGTAACCAGGTAAAGGACGATGTATCAGGTGTGTGTAATTTGCTTTTTCCACCTCAGGCTGATGAATTCAACCAAGCCTCCACCTGAGATCAGAGCCTGCATGGTCAGAGGTCAACCTCTGTGGACAAAAACTATGTGTAAAGCTGCAATATTTTGAATAGAAACCAATATTTAAACCAACATGTGGAAAAATTTGACTCTGGCATCTGGGTGTAAAGTCAAAGTAAGGAGCTATACTTACAGGTGAAAGCTGATCCACTGATGTGAGATTTTTTTAGAAATTGGGCTTTTCAGAGACTACATCTTCCAATGAGTTGTCTCCAGGAGACAGTCCATGAAAACTTCATTCCTTTACTTGGTGTTGATTTTCTCCCCCTGATGTCAGATGGAGCTCATCGTCTGCAGTAGTCCTCCACTGTCCTGGTTTTTGGCAGCGTTTTTTCTTCTTTGTGTTGTAGGTATTGTCCAGTCCTTTTTGTCCCTCCCACTGCCTTTGCCATGCAGGCTTTTCGCAGATAGTCACACTGTCACCTCTCCTCTCCCTTCACCCCACTCTCCTCTGTGCAGTATGCAGCTTCAGTGTAAGGTCAGCTGCTTTGTAGCTAGCAGGAAATGTGTGCACTGGAGAGAAAGGAAGAGGGCGAGGGTGCATGTGTGTGCACGAGCCGTGGGTGTGCTTTATGTGAGCTTTGCTCAGTACTGTCATGGTTGTGCTTGTTGAGAAAAAATCTTTCCTTCACGTGGAGAGTGAGAGGCAGAGATAACTGGGAAGGCTCTCCTGTAGGATGAGCCTGGTAAATCTGACCAGATGGCAAAATGAGTGGAAGCAGACTCAGGGTAAAGTTTCATCATGCTCAAGTGATGTAGGGATCAGCATCCGTGAACCTATACTCAAATAAAATTTTCAATGAGAACCTTAGCATTGCTCAGCCAAGAATTTTTCATATCATTAATTATCATAAAATCATATATTCAGAGACTTGATGTTTTTTTTTTTTTAAGTGACTGCATGTCAGGTTACATTAACTTCTGCAGTGGCCATCATTAGCCTCAGCAGACATAGCAAAGAAGATGACAGCTGACAAATTCCATTATATTCTCAGTTCCCCCTAGTTATTAATACAAACATAAACAAAACAGCCCCTCATTTAAAGCAATCTAATGTTATACCGAAATCTGCACTGAAACAGCTTTGGAGTTCAGTTGCCTGTTATTACAATGACAAACCTCAGAATTGTCTCTGGTTATTGCATGTATTTAACCATCATAGATCTCAGGACTTAGGGTTACTTACAGAGTTATGTTTTTTAAGATGAAGCTTTGGCACCATGCTTCATTTGTTTTTGGTTAACAACCTACTACACTTTTTGTCTGTGACAGGCCACTGTAGATTACTCAAGTAGTGGCTTTATTGAATTGTTTTTGTCATTTGTTTTTAGACATGATTCAACATTTTAACATGTTTGAACATTGTTTCAGCCCTAGTACAACTCCTGACGAAGGCAGCCTGAAAGATTTCAACTCTGATGGAGACCTGGTTCAAAAAGAAAACCCTGTGAGGAGTAAGTATGAGGTGTATGAAATTCTGTGTCAGCTGTTTCTCATGCTAAGACATACTCAGTTGATGTTTTGACAACTTTTTGCCTTCAACTGTCTGTCTTCAGGTACTGCACCTCCCCCACATGAAAGCTATGAGTATCCCAACCTGCCTATCACAAAAAACAGACAGGAGGTAACCTGTACAATCTATCCACCGCATACAATCATGTTGTCCCCCTGAAGTTCTCTGTCTTCAAGTTTTGTTGGTTTCTGGAACTTTCATCATGTCCTCAGGACAGATATGCACTTAAGCCCTTAGGTTTTGTCTAGGATGAGTTCTTTAATGTTGTAGAACAACGGCTGACTTTAAAGTCGGTGATCTTTTTGTGGCTTGATAAAGTGGAGTGTGTGCCAGGGTTATCTTTTTTAAATAAGTCATTTATAATGCAGATTCTTAAGTGTCGACTTGAGACAACAATTCAGCTTTATACCTCTGTTAAGTAAACCGTTTCATTAACTATTCTTGTATTTTCTTTTTATTTCAGTAATATGAAACAATTGACCAAATGGGGTTTCAACAGTACGTGTGTATCTGCCTGTTTCTGTTTTCTGTGTCTTTGTGTTGGTGTTCCTGCCTCCAGCTGGTTTCTCTGGTGGAGAACAACTCCGTAGTGATCGTCAAAGGGGCCACAGGCAGTGGCAAAACCACTCAGCTGCCACAGTACATTTTGGACCATTACAATGAGAAGAATGCCCCATGCAACATCGTGGTCACCCAACCACGCAAAATCGGGGCAAGAAATGTTGCACAATGGATCGCCAAACAGCGAAAGTGTACCTTAGGCAGTCTGGTGGGATATCAGGTTAGTGCAACACTTAGAGGCAAGAGGATTTAATGAAGGTGTTTCTTTAGAGATATAAAATAATCATGAGTGTTAATTTGACACTGTTTGCTCTCTTACATATCTTATCATAACATCTTTCACATGTTATCAGAAGTGTTTGTTTGCTTATTTTCTTCCAGGATTTCAGGCTATGTTATACAGCAGGGGTGGGCAATTAATTTTTACGTGGGGCCACATGAGAAACCTGAACTGTGTCGGAGGGCCGAACCAACAATAACTTCAACTTCAAATCGGGGGATTCACACATACAGCGAAGCAAACCCAAATAAGCAACTACTAGTTAAAAACAAGCCCAAAAAAAGCACACTCCGGACTCACGAGTTTTACAAGTGACTTCTTAGAGAAGCAAGCCTGAAGTTGTTTATAATAAGCGGACTTGGCAACTATAAGGCGTCTACGAATATTTTGCCAATGTTTAAACTTGTCTCTGTTCACGAATGCAGATCTAGGATGTACGCACATGCATCCAGACGGAAATAAAACAACGGCTAGGTTTTCAAAATAAAAGTAATGCACTTGGATAGCATGTTGATGATTTGATTGATGGACCTCACGGGCAGGGACATCCAACAGGCCGAATGTGGCCCTTGGGCTGTAAAATGCCCAGGTCTGTTTTACAGAGTTTTCAAACAGCTTGTCTAGAAATGATCGATTTCTCTTCTGCTTGGCGCAGCTCTCTGGAGTTAAGAAGGATCTCACTGATTGTGAGAGCAGAGATAAACAGATACTGTTTTAAGAGATCATGTTACTGCTGTTATTGTTGAAAGAATTTATAAGAACTTTGCTCCTTTCTATTTGGCTGCTCGTTTTTCCCTTTTTCCCTTGTTTTCATCATCTTATCTGTACTTAAGATAATGTGTTTTAACTAAACCAATCATCTCGCTCTCTAGGTTCTCTCTTACCCACTCACATACACACACCTCGCCTCTCTTACTGCACACAGCCGCTTGCCCTGAACCGCCTCTGAGTGTTTCTGTCTTTCTGTACGCTTCTGCACTGTTGACTGTCTTTTTCAGCAGTATTTTTTTGTATCAAGTCACCCAAAAACAAATTTCAATGTTTTCACATCAGCAGGTGAGTTACTAGAACTATTTGGCATAGTAAACTTGTTAATCAGCAGTGACCAACTGAACCCAAAAAATGACAGCATAAGCATTCACTCAAAACTTTCAGTTTCTTGGAATACAATGAAAATCAAAACAACTTTGGTGTAGTGCTGCACTGAGTAAGCCTGGGCGATTTGGCAAAAACAATGATCATGACATATTTTGTCATATCGTCTGATCTCGATTATTATCACAATTTTTTTAACAGTTTATTTTAAAGCATCTGTACTAAAAACTTAAGAAACTAGAGATTAGTTCAACATTTTATTAACATACAAAGTAAATAACAAAGCAAATTGAATAAGATGCACTCAGAAAAATATAAAAAAAACATTTTAACTCAACAGTACAACAAATGTAGATAAGTAGTAGATAATACAGGGAATTAGTTTACAGTCCTGTTTTTGCAGGTATGCAAGACACAAAATAAACGAATCGCCCCCTTAGGGATAATGAAGACGCCTTAAAATGTAAACATTAGATGATGTAAACGTAAATAATACGATTAATCACTGCCTACTTCTGGTGGCTGCACCGCTAGTTGTGGCTAAACTGCTAATGCTACTCTTACTGTCAGCAGTGGCAGGCTGTACAGACTCCGCTCGCATTTTCATGCTCTCCGCATCATCGTTTGGGAGGTACTTCTTCAAACGATTAAACAGATTTGTTTTGTAGCCAGTTTTTTGAGGGCACTGATCGCCGACATACCTTGCTCATCGGCTTAATTACCCGACGTCACTTAGGAGATACCCGAACCACTGCCACGACCAATAACTTCTCAACAATAACATCTTCGGAGAATGACTCAAAGTCACGGCTGACAACTATCTTGCTGCCCTCAGCTCCGCGTCTCGCTCCATGTTCGGTCATTCTGTTTACTTCTCCTGTTTACTTCTCTCGACTCTGATTGGCTGTTGTGACGCACATTTCCTCTATGTTTGACGGAGTAAATATGCTCTCAGCTGATTGAACTGAAATTTATCACGATCATCGATCACGATCATATCATCGCCCAGTCATAGCACTGAGCTAATGCACGTAGATGAAACGATTTTCATTCTGGGATCTCTTGGTAGAGTAAAACAACAACAAATAGGTGTATTCCAGGTCCATTTTTAGACTCGCACTGCAGAGTTATGACCTCATTTCAACTGCTTCAAAAAGTATTAAAACCAACAAGTTCACAGTACGAGCAGAACAAGGGAAAAGTCCTCCTTTGGAGCATAATAAAAAAAAGAAAGCATTCTGTTCTCATGAACACATCTTTGTATTTTTGTGTTGCAGATTGCATTGGAGAAGATCGCCAGCGAGCATACCAGACTTACTTACATGACTACAGGAGTACTTCTGCAGAAACTGGTTTCAGCCAAGTGCCTCACAATGTTCACCCACATATTTGTGGATGAGGTGCATTAACAGTGCAGATTATGTTTAATGTACATGTCTCTGTGAACTAATACTCGTAAATTGTTTTTGCTGTGTCAGGTAATAGTAACAGCGCAGTTCTATTCAGATCACCTTGTTTATCATTTTGTGCAGGTGCAGTTGTTCATTGAAATGTTTGACCCCCACACACACACACACACACATCTTTTTTTTAGATTTTGTTGCAGTTTAATTAGTATTTGGTGGCTGAGGAAAGGATAGCTGCTCAGTTTTTGTGTCATTTCACCCAGTCAGTGATTCTTGACTTCTCTACTTTTTCCCAGGTCCATGAGCGCACTGAGGAGATGGACTTACTCCTGCTGGTTTTGAGAAAACTTCTTGATTTCAACTCTCGTTTCGTTAAGGTGATTTAGAGATAGATCAACTTCCCCTCTTTTGTCCTTCTCCTGCGTCTATTGAACTTTTCTTTGTTGAAATTTTTTTTCAGATCATCCTCATGTCAGCCACCATTGACTGCAGAGAGTTTGCAGAGTACTTTGGCTCCCCGATAAGGGGCTGGATGATGCCTGCCGCAGTGTTTGAAGTGGAAGGGGTGCCTTACACCATAGAGGAGTTTTATTTGGAAGACCTCTACAAAATGTTTCCACACAGAGTTAAAGAGGATGCTATCACAGATAAACAGGTATATCAATTCAATTCAACTTTGTCAGCCGTACATATCAGTGGAAACTTATATATTTGCCCCACCTTGATTTAACGTATAACTTTTTAAAGCTTTTATCTGCCAGTACCAGTATTATGCTGACAGTATTGCACATCTCAAACTGTCCATCTGTAAGTACCCGATGCCCATATGTCCAGTTGTAATTACCTGCATTCTGTGTTATGTGTATGTTTCTGTTAGGCAGCGCAACATCATCCAGGAGATCTTTCCATTTCAGTTGAGATGTACAATCTTGCTGTCAGACTCGTTCAGAGTCTCGATGAGATGGAGGGCAAAGATTTCCGGTGAGCCTCCTTTCTTTATCTATAACAACAGGTGTGCAGATACAGATGAATACATTTGTGTATTTTTGCTTGAGTAGAACAGCAGAGCAAGGAGGCAGCATGACTTCCTCTGAGCGAGGCAGTGTGCTTATTTTTCTACCTGGTTTGGGTGAAATAAGCTCCATGCAGGAAGCCTTGGCCACGCTGGTTCACAGAAGGTGAGATTTTGATTGACCTCTTTGTTGCTGTTGGAGTTTTTTCTATTTTTGGCTGTTTGCTGTGCCTCATTTCTAGATACATCCATGTTTTTATCAATAATATTGATTGACATCAACAACTCTAAAAGTCACTGCACTTCTCATTCTGCCCTTTTTTGAAATGTTTGCTTACATTATGAGACATTTTCTGTTGTTCAGGTTGCTGGTTTATCGTCTCCACTCCACTGTTCCCCCTGAGGAGCAGAATGGTGTGTTTCTGCCACCTGTCCCAGGATACAGGAAGGTAAAACCATGTACCTTGTTCTTCTTGGCATTTGTTCCTTCTGTGTGCTTCACTTATAATGTTTTCATCTTAACAGGTCATCCTGTCCACCAACATCGCTGAGAGTACAGTGACGGTTCCAGATGTCAAATATGGTGTGATGTTTTTCCTTTCCTCAGTTGGGCTCCAAGTGTTTCATTGATAAACTTATAATATTGAAGGTTACAGAATCTTTGCTCATGTTGGTGTATTCTTTAGTCGTTGACTTCTGCCTGGCCCGTCAAATGGTCTGTGACCCAGACACCAACTATCAATCTCTGCGTCTCACTTGGGCATCCAAAACCAACTGCAACCAGCGTAAAGGTACAATACTTCCTGCACTGACATCAACTTTAGAAATGTCAGGTTACCTTAATACACTCTCTGTCAGGCAGGGCAGGTCGAGTGTCTAAGGGCTACTGTTACCGTCTTGTCACCAAAGAGTTCTGGAGGAAGGAAATCCCAGAGTACATGATCCCGCAGATGCTGGTAAGGAAATCAACACAAGTCCTGATCTTTTTAGAAGCTGCTTTGACCCTTATTTGACATTCAGTCATACTGTTTACTTTTCTTCCAAGCTCGCCCCGCTGGCCACCGTCGTGTTAAAGGTGAAGCTGCTGGACATGGGAGATCCCCGCTGCCTCCTCTCCACAGCCCTCTCTCCCCCTAGCCTGGGTAACGTAGAGAAGACGGTGCTTCAGCTTATAGAGGTGAGCAAGAAAATGCAGATCGAGTGAGCCATTGATTGTCTAGACTGACAGTCAAAAGTGTCTGGTTGTATTTGTGCGTGTGGCTGACTACACAGCTCTGTCACTAAGTGTTAACCCAGGAGAGCTCTCTTAAAGGAGCTTTATGTCAGCCAGCGTTAACATCAACCAGACTGGTATGAGGAGCAGTGCTGTGTCATTGTGTATTTTTCTGGGGAACAAGTGTATGATATTTCTGTTTTTTACTCTTCTTAACAGAATGTTGTATATACCTTTTGATTTTATACTGTACTCTTTAAAAGTGCGTTTCAAGTGTGCTCTAGAGCACAAATGTAGAACAATTTCCTGGTTGAGCTTGTTGTACAGAGAGACACACAAAGGCAGTCCTTTTTTTGACAGAGGTGACTGTTGATTACCTTTTAATGTTCCTAAATCTATTCTCATGCAAAGTGTTTTGGAGCTGAGGGGCCCCACAAGTTTAAACACGGATAGCACCTCTATTAAACCCTTGGCTTACTGGCAACCAGCAGACTTGGCGGTGTTTGCAGATGAGTCGTGACAATCAGGAAATTGCTGTAATGACAATAGATGGATGTTTCTTCCGTAGATGGGTGCACTGTCTGCCAGAAGCGATGAAAAGGGCCACATTGAGGATGGCAATCTGACGTTCCTTGGCCGGGTGCAGGCCCACTTACCTGTGGATCTGTACCTGGGGAAGCTGATTGTCCTGGGCCATGCTTTTGGATGCCTTGATGAGTGCCTCATCATAGGTCAGTTTGTCACTACACCTAAGTTTTTAGGGCCCCTAGCTTATGTGCACTGGTGGCACTCATTGTTTATGTGTTAATGTGCATGTAATACTGTATAATTATTATTATTATTATTGAATATCCCTTCGGGGATTAATAAAGTTATTCTTATTCTTATTCTTATTCTAATTCTTATTCGTAAATCCTCAAATAAAGGTGCTCCATCTGTGACCGGGAGCCTAATAACAACATTGAGGACACGTTTTCAAAGAAACAAAAACATACACCTAACAGGAATGTCTGCTACAGCACAGTCTGTTTGTGGGGGTCGATCCACAGACAGACCCAGTCTGATTTTACTCCTGACAGTTATAAAAATGAAAATAGCAATGTCAACATTAGATCAATAGATTTATTAATGAGTGTATTATCCCTGGGTCATCCAGAGCGAAAATTACTGGTGTGGGGCTGCGATGAATATAGTGGTTAAAAATGCCACTCCAGAGGTTTATTAAACCCTTTGTGGTTTGTGAATGAAAGTGCCTTTTTGGCTAGTTTTAGCAAATAGGGCTCTGATTTTGTACTGAATACTAAAAAGTTATTGTTCTCAGAGACAGTGAGAATTTGATGTAAATGGCTGCCACTTACACTGTCCTGCTACACACAAAGGCCTGGTACCGCAGAGAGTTAAAAAAAATGTAAAACCAGGCTCTTTTTTGAGGATCACAGCGTGTTTTTGTGAGCTGTTTGAACAAATAATAATAAAACTTTCTCTTATGCTCAGCTGCCTCTCACTCTGTGAGGAGTTTCTTTGTCACCTCGTTCATGCTACAGCTTGCTGGAAACAGGTGAGTCACATCCAGCAGCTACAATCATTTGCTGACTAACAGGCTGTCAGTGTAGATCGATTTTGTTTCCCTCTGAAGTGACACAACATATTTAGGGCATTTCTATGATCAAGTAATTCAATGTTGTCAAGACCTTCACTTTTTACCATTGACTCACTTTTACATAAAACCTCTTGAGGTTAGTGAAATGCCAAAAAATGGAAAACAGAGGCTCAGTCTGGACTGGCTCCAAAAAATCCCTTCAAAATGATTACACACTGTTAATTAAAATACTTTTGAAGCATAACTTGCTATTCATGTGCTCTTTCTTCTCGAAATCTAGAGTCCCTTATTCAATATTTTTGAGTATATATTGGCAAACGGCATATTTTAGTTTTCAGGTGGTACCCACGCAGATGCCCACACAGCCCAGTTTGCAAACCAGGAGGTCTTTTGATCCACCTACTGTAGAGCAAATGCAAATTTTCTCTTGTATCGTTTTTTTTGTTTGTTTGTTTGTTGGTTTGTTTTGTTTTGGTGTAGTAAGTAATTTTCTGTGTTCCAGGAGCAAGTTGGCCTTTGCCCGTGGCACATCAAGTGACTCCTTACTTTGTCTCAACGCCTTCAGGGTAATGTGTGTAGTGCCAAGCTGGCAGATCCTTTTCTTGTTACATGTATTTACATATTTGCCTGAATTCCTTCTTCTTTATTGTCTCTTTTCTTTTAGGCATGGCAATCTGCAAAAAAGGAAGGAAAGTTTAGACACCCCAAGGTGAACAAAATCACAACCAAACACAAACATGAAGAATATAAGTTGAGTGTTGTTCTACCAGGTCAAAAACATATCTAGTCTGCTGTTTGTAAGTACAGAGCTGAGTCTTGACATGCTTCAGTATTCATCTTAAATGATCTTAAACAAGGCTGGCATTGAAAGAAGTATAGTTTTACCAATCTTTTGTGAATAAATTAAGCATTTTAAAACAGGCTTTGTCTCAAAGCTGAAGCTGACAGAGTGGTTGGAGAAGAAAAGTACTTGGTTTGTTTTTTCATTCCTAGTTAGTTTATTCAGTTTGTCTGATCTAAGAAACGGGTTCTTGCAAATGGCTTTGCTCCTAAGTGCACACTCTTATCTTCATTATTTTGGTTGCTTTCTCCTTAGGATCAGATGGACTGGGGAAAGGAGAACTTCATTCACATCAAGAGGATCAGAGAGGTACTGAGATGAAGCAATGAGCTGGATCACATGACCTCATCCAGCCCTATTAAAGGCATCAGTCTGGTGAACAGCAGGTTTTAATCCTGCAGTTTGTAGTTTTTCTCACAAAGAAAGGAACGTTTTTTTGTATTCAGGGCCTTTCCTGAAGTTTTGCACTCAGACTTTCAATCTTAAGTCTGTATAAGACTGCAAACTTTCAGTTAAAAATGTCATTTTTAGTTTTCTGTATTTTTTGAGCCTTTGACAGATTTGAGCTCATTGATCGTTAAACTTCTGAGTATTTATCATTCAGTGGTAAGCATGTCAAATTGATAATTCCAAATGCTGTGATTTTTTTTCAATTGAGGTTCATCTCCTCTCTGCATTAACTCACTGTCCAGGTTGAAGAGCTGTATGAGGAACTGAAGAAGCGAGTGTCTCAGTTCAACATGCATGTGCAGGAAAACACACAGCCCTTGGATTACACCAGCACACACCGACTGAAGTTCATTCTCCAGGTTAGTCAGCTGTGCATGTCCTGAAACGTACATTATATGCACATCTGCACATGCACAGTATATATCTTCTGAAGAAAACATCAAATGCTCCAGGTTTTACTCTGTCCTGTCATAGGTGGTTATGGCAGGTGCCCTGTATCCCAACTACTTTGTCCAGGGAGAGATTGATGATCGACTGGCCTCCAGAGATATGTGCGGCTCGAACGCCAGAACAACAGTGATGGTACAACCCACAGTGTTTGGAGCAAAGCTTTTTTACTGCTTTTATCCCCACCTCTCTGTTGTGTAATAACTATCAGAAGCTTTATGGGCTGTCTCGATGGCTTAAGCATTTCTGACTTGTTTGGTTAAAAGTGTTGAAATAACTCAAGACCACATGCTTTGGTTTCAGTTGAGAAAACTCCCTCCGTACAGTTTCCTGTATTACAAGCAGCTGCAGTCTCTGTTCCGCCAGTGTGGACAGGTCAAAACCATTTCCTTTGAGTGCTCCAGGTAAAGAGGGTCATCGGAGCAAGTTAGGCATTTCTTTTAGTCATCAAACATTGAAATGTGCATACTCATAATTGACTGTGTTTGTTTTCTCAGAGCATATGTGGAGTTCCAGAGGACATCCCGGGACTCAGGGGTGCTACCGGAGGTGTCCCTTGCCCTCCTTATGGGGATGCAGAGACCTGGCATGGAGCTGCGTATCCACCCCATCGAGCAAATAGAAACCTTTGCTAGGAGCAGCGACAATACAGACTTGAAATGTGCATGGTACAGTCCTCTACACACATCACAAAAAGTTCAGTTCATTTGACTCATGTACAGGATCATCAAGGCAGGAAAAATGCAATTTTTCTCAATGATTTTAGGAATGAAAAGACTGAAAGTGAACTTGTCCATTATGTCGGAGCCCTGTTGTCTGTGTGCTGTTGCTATGCAGGGTGAAGGTTGACGTGCAGAGCCAAACCGCCTCTCTGGTGAGCAGTATCCTCCTCCCAAAAAAGCTGCCCCCTCACCCCGTCTTTCCTGTCAACGTCACAGAGGTTAGTCCTGTACAGTTGTCTTGGTCTTACAGTGCTCAATTGCTTCTTTTTTGCCCAAATATCTGATTCTGTCAGCGATGAATCCAGTCGTCATTCTGAGCTCTGCTGTAGGTGTTTGAGGTGGGAAAATTCTGGGGCTTCATGGCAGATGAAGCGAGCTTGCAGAAGCAGCGCAGTCTGACAGAAGAGATAAACAGGCGTACGCTGCATCCTGTAACGGTGTCTCTCTACCCAAACCTGCTGTGCCTGGCTCCTTACTCTGAAGATGAATCGCTGGGCTCGTACTACCGGGCCAAGATCCTGCACATTGGTGGAAACAAAGTGGAGGTAAACCACGCAAACAAACTGCAAGTCTCTGATAAAGATTAAGTGAACCCAGTTCTGTTACTTTTTTCCACAATTCTCTCTGCATGTTACTTTTTCTTTGTACATTTATTGTAGTAGCAACTTATACTAGCGAAATAATAAATCTTATTCAACTTCTTTTTCAAAGACTTATTTTTTAAGTTTTATTTATTTTATTTCAAAGGGTAGAATTGAACCCTCGCCGCCTGCATGTGTGGGGCACTTAGACCACTAGACTTTTTGCGTGCAATTGTTTGTCAGTGTGGTTAATTTGTTAGGGAATGTTTCCTATTTTGATTTCAGACTTATAAAATGTTGACATGGTGTTATAGCTGGTATAACAGACTGACCTCAGATTAAGATAATTGAGTTTAACTCCTACACAACATTAGCAAAAGTTAAAGTAATCCAAAAGAACCAAGCAAGGGAAAGCTCTACAAAAGACACAAGTAAAAACAATCATTGAGCAACACCCACGACACACAATCTGATGTAATTGAGAATTTGCCCTCATTGTTGAACATTACATGCTGCTGCTTTGCCACTTAAAGCGTATTGGGATACCTTGCAATGCAGACAAGTATGCTAGTGCCACTTTACAGCAGCATTTCTTCCTCATTTGGTCATAATCATGCATTTAAGAAAACGGTGTTATACTGTTGAGAAAATAAAACATCTGTTTTGTGCTGGTTTGCTTGAAAACACACCTTCACTTATCTCAAGTGAGTGTTGGAGGTGTAAAGTGCATCTCAAGGCCAATAGGTTGTTGTGACCTGTACCTCACATCTATCAAAGTTACAGTTTTGAGTTTAGGGATGTCGCTTCATGCTTAGGATATGTTGTCTTCTTTCAGGTGCTCTTCTTGGACTTTGGCAACACGGAAGTTGTTGACCTCAGCAGCCTCAGGGAAATCCCCTCTGACCTCCTGAACCACCCATTTCAGGTAGTAAACACTTTGAGTGACTCTTGTTGTACATCATGCACACGTATCTTCTCAAATGTTCAAGCTGTAACAGATCAACACTCTGCTCATGGTCTTAGGCCCAGGAGTTCAAGGTTGCTGAAATGCGCCCCTCAGCCCAGTCCATCATCCTGGGAAACCAGTGGAGCAGCAGCGCCCGCAGCCGTTTCTACTCGCTGGTGTCGGGCCAAACACTCTTGGTGAAGCTGTACTCCATACTCCATGATGTCATGCACGTGCAGCTGCTCATCAACACAGAAACAACAGACACCACTGTGCTGGACATCATGGTGGAAGAGGGGCATGCTGTGAAAGCCGAAGAGAGCTTTGATTCCGAGGTGATACAGCAGACCTGCTCGGGTTTACTACGCAACGATAATATCAAAGGCCATACTTGAATTACTCACTTCAGCTGTGTTTTATGGTGAACAAATATGATGTTTTGTATGTTGCACTCAGATTTTCATGTGGTGTGTGTCCATTATGTTGCCCGCACAATGACCCAGCTAAATGAATGTACACTACTGGTAATGTCCAGCAGATGGCGTGGTGAGGCGGGGAAGTTACCTGCATTGCTTGGTCTGATTGCAATCGGGGCATGAATCTTACAGATGTTTGAGCATTTTGGGGTCCAAACAGACTCTTAACTGTTTTCTACATAAACCTTCGATTAAAAAAAAAATATATATATATATTTTACTGTCCTACAAATCCATACCAGTGCTGTATGCACATTTTAGATAATGTCTTTTTTATTGCATGCCCTTGCAGATGGACCATGAGAGACTGATGAATGTGTACAGCCAAATGGAACGAGGGACTTATACCCCCAATTATGCCGGCAGCTCCTGGATGGAACGCATGAAGAAGGAGCAGGAACTTATTGACCGTCTGCTTGATCACTTTTCCGAGAGTCCCCGTGCCTGTTTTGGACCAAAGGCAAGATACCCTTCAGTTCACGAAACAGTTTTGTATTTTATTCACACTGAAATCCTAACAAGTTTTTAAAAAATTCCCAGGGAGAAAACACTAAAAGGGAATCCGTTTCAGGAGTGTTTTTAAAAAGGAACAGACTTATGAGTATCTGAGTTGGTATCAGGTGGATAGTGTCATCAAGTTTGCACTCTTTGTTGCTCTGAGTTTGCCCAGGAGAGGGTGCTATTTCAGTAGCTCACTTCATGTGGTTTTTTGTTCATTTAAAGACACACCCATTCTGTCTGACTAGCACAACAATGACGACAGGGTGAATTAAGCTGACTGACGCACACAAAGACGTCATGTATCTGACTACAGCCTTCTTTATAACACAACAGGTTCATCTGCATGGACCCAGCAGTCCAAATAAAACCTTCTTCCACTGCTTGGGCAAGAGGACTCTCCACGGGTAAATGTCACGTACTTGAAGTACAAAATGAACTCGCAGGTTGTTCCCTTTTGCTTATGAGTGTCCTCTCACAGTCAAGTGTGGATCGATAGGACCAGCATCAACTCCTTGGCCGTGAATGAAAACCCTCACTACAAACATCAGAGGATGCTGGTGGCTGGGACTGTGTCGGTCAACTCCTCAGGTACCAGATAACTCAACTCCCTATGAATTCAAACTTGTGGGCTTTGATCTAATGCTTTAAAACTGCACTAATCAAGATTTTTGGTATAAACATAAAATACTGACTGTATGGATTGAAAGTATCTGCATTATCCATCGAACACACGAATTATCACCGAACTCTTCAGTGTCCCTGATCCTTAAAGAGCCTTTTAGTTTTTTAGCTCATTGTTTTGTTTGTAAATTTTACTTTTAATGCTCCATCTGTTTTTCCCAAAATCTGTGATACAACCAGCTCTGAATGTAACATTTTTGGCTGACAAAGCCTGGAAAATGTTGTTGCTTCTTTAAAGTGCATCCCTTGTCAGTGTTTATTTGTCAACATCAGTTATTGCAGTATTAGAAATTTTGGTTCTGTTGCAGGGACACAAATCTTACTGAAAGATACCTCCATCATGCCAGACATCCCCGGACTCCCTGCGCTTCTCACCATGCTCTTCACCCCTGTAATGGAGCTATGGTAAGCAGACTTAGAACATTACAACCCAAAGAAAGTAAAAAAAAAAAAAAAAAGACTGCAGCATTTTTTACTCCCCATTTTCATAGCACTAATGAAGAAGGGACCTGCTACATCGGCGCCCTCTGTGGCTTGGGCTGGAACAGCCAAACACAGAAGGGCATCCTACCTGAGAATGACATTGAGCTCGCCTTCGATGTCAGGTTTGATGCTGAAGATATCATCCAGGTAAGTCATCACCAGGACGACTCCAGTGCATTAAACTGTTTTACAAGTTATATGTCACCACAAGAAATGATATGTTTTTTAAGCTTTACAGCTCTCTGATGTTTTTCTGAAAGCAAAAATAATCCGTAAAGGACAACAAGCACAGAGTAAAAACTAACATCAACACCAGATTTTGATCAAGCTGTACTTTGTGGTACTGGCTCTGGCATTTTAATGATCAGCATGTTTTACTGCAGGGCTCTCACATCATGAATCACTCTCTTTTTGTATTACTGATTGGTTATTAATTTCTTTGGCTCTCTTTAGATCAACGCCTTGCGAGCGGCTGTGAACCGTCTGGTGTGTGAAGGTGTCAACGGCACTCTACATCTGGGGCCCAACAAGATCGCCCAGCTGCAGGAGGACTGCCAGGACCACCTCATCGGGTAGCAAACACAGAGCCACTGAAAACAGTCATTAACAGTATGAATAAGAAATGTTCAGTATGTTTTTATTATGCCTTTCAGACTTTTCACCAAGTCTCCACCCAGAGAAGCTGTCACCCCTATGGAGAAACACCTGATGTGGAATCAGGTATACACACAATAGGGCTCCTTTTTCTGTACTGTAGATTGTCGCTTTTGTTGCTCGTTATTCCCGCCCATTGTTTGATGAGTACATTTAAACCAAGTTTAAAAGAAACTCTCTCTCTGTGTGCTTGCGTGCGTGCGTGCGTGTGTGTTGAACCAGCTGGTGGATCCTGCTCTGGAGGAGCTCAATGTTGAGCCTGGAAGCACAGGGACCAGAGATGTTCTCTTCCAGCTACATCCTTTTACCCCCCTCAACAGCTAAGAAGCTCATATTCTTTTTGTTTACTGGGCTCCAAGTTTCAGCCCTTGCTGTTGGCGAATAAAAATAGGTGTTTGCAACAGACGAGGCTTGTCAGTCTTCATTCAAACATAGTCTCATTGTGACCTCTGAGTCAAGCTAAAATGGTCTCAACACACACACACGCACGCACACACACACACACACACACACACACACACACACACACAAACTCCTACTACGAGGGTCATGTCTGTGCCAGAATTTATTGGCTGGTATTAATAGCTCGTCATTTCAGGTTTCTCATCCTAAGTGTTATCACCTCAAACTTAGCCAGGGTGTCACATACAAACTCTTTTCACTGCTGTCTTATGAATGTGAATTCATTGGCAAAGTAGTTGAGGAGATGTTATACATCAAGGTACATTTATTTTTCTTATTCTTGTAATTAAATACATAGTGAGAGTGCAAATAGTTAAAGAGTCCAGGGTCTAAAGAACTACAGAGTATAGTTGAACATAGTACAAAGTTGAACAGTTATTCAAACAAGCTAAATATCACCAGATACTCCTTGTCTTTATAGTAGTTGTACAACAGTACCTAAAACATGAGCGTGTGTTTTGTTCCTTATGGTTATACAAAAGCAAAAACCCTACAATTACCACATCTAAGACGCATATTGTTAAATTATTTTGTGCTTGGAAACACCAAAAGAAAATCATTTTTGATATTTATATATTGACATATATTGAGAGAAGCCCTGCCTGCTAACTCAGAAACATGAAGCAGTATTTAACATTGGCAGCAGAGCATGTCTGAGGGCATTAAGCTTTTTTGTGCCAAACCGTACAGTTTGTGGTAAGCACTGCAAAGCAAAAAGTAGCATGAATTAAAAACTGCACAAAAGATATCAAATATCATTTACCCAAGGCTTGACTTCATGCACTTTATAATAAGCAACACAAAAAGTCTGTTTCTTTAGTTTTTTGAGTTGTGTTCTTGTCTAGCTAGAAACAGGATTATGAAGGTGTGACAGTGTGAGTGTTAGTGTTCAGACTGCTATAGACAGGGTGACGGCCTCTCCGGTGGATGCTTTTGGAGAACATCAAGATGACATAGCACTACGCCCCACAGATGAAGACCAGGCTTTTCAACAGTGAGTGGGCTGCCTGACTCTGAGCTGGATTGGACTGTCCGCTTCACAGGAGGACAGGCAGTTCTTACTCTTCCTTCCTCTTGGCCCCAGGGATCTTCGCTTGGATCCTGTACAGAGAAAACAGGGCTTTAATCTTGCATACCCAACCAGATATTTATCCTAGATTAAGAAGTGCTTATCCCATCTCCCTGCTGTTTTGTTCTTTGTCTTTTTATGGCAGTTTGAGCAACCGGCTCTGTGAATATGACTAAAATTGGAAAACGAACAGTGGCTAGTCTGAAGAATAGGCAAAGAAAAAAAAAGAGCAGAGATGAGGACAGAGCTGAATAAAATAAACCTGTACAGGTGCTGTACAGCCAGGGTGTGAGAAGGTGTTGCCTCTTATTTATTTAACACAGACTTGATAAGCTAAACTGTGTCTTGGAAGCGTTCATAGATTAGTTATTTGAAGTTCAAATGGGGCTTTCAGAACAACAGGAGAATCTCAAATCTGTTCTTTATTTGCGAATTTCATTCAAGTTGTTTCCCCTTGAAGGAAGTGGCTCCAAGTTTCAGCCCTTGCTGTTGGCTAATAAAAATAGGTGTTTGCAACAGACGGGGCTTGTCAGTCTTCATTCAAACATAGTCTCATTGTGACCTCTGAGTCAAGCTAAAATGGTCTCAACTAGTGGTGGGGGAAAATATCGATTCTTAGATGCATCTCGATTCAGGCAAGGACGATTCTGAATCGATTCACAAACGTCCAAATTCCGATTATTTAGATGTTAAATAACGTGAAATAGGCGGAACGAAAAGGCGGAACTCGTGCAGCGCGTTGTCACCCGGCGGACACTTTAAGGGGAGCACATAACAAAGAAGCATGGCTGAGCGCGAGATCCACCCTGCCCCTTCCAGATTAAAAGCTAATGTATGGAAGAATTTTGGCTTCTACGGAGTTGAGGGTGGACTTGAACTGGACAAGAGCCACACTATATGTAAACTGTGTCACTCCAAGATAAAATACTTTGGTAACACCACGAACATGAGGAGCCACATCACTCGTTTTCACCCGAACGAGGAGGGAAGATGCCCGGCTGCTGTCGAGGCTACGGCTGCCTCCACCAAACAGAGAACAATCGAGCAAGCAATTACAAAGCTTCCCCCCTCATCGGAAAAGGCGAAACGAATCACGAAGTCCATCGCTTCATTTATTGCCAAGGATTTACGTCCGTATTCAGTAGTGGAGAACCAGGGCTCCCGAGCACTATTGCACACGGTGGAGCCGAGATACAACATTCCATCCCGACACTACTTCACTGACACGGCCATCCCGACAGATAACAGAATTCTGTTATTTATTTTCTAAAAAATGAAAAAATGTATTTATTTGTTTGAGTGCTATATGCACATAAATTAAAGATTAAGTTCATATTTTCTTACATTTCTTAATAAGGACATATTTTCACATTTCACATAATGTGATTCAGGATATGCTAAAAGCCAAGGATGCTGCTACCTTTTGTTCTTTACATGAAGTTGTAACTTTCCTGTTTACACATTTCCACAAGTATAATAAAAGATAGTGGAAATTAATTCATTTAATTGTTTCTCATTATTAATATTTTAAAAACACAAAGTGGTGAATGGTTACACAGTGAGACAAAAAGAAATGTGTAATAGCTGGGGGGGGGATAATCGTTTCAGAATCGAATCGTAGCCCCTGAATCGTAATCGTAATCGAATCGTGATGTGCCTGAAGATTCCCACCCCTAGGTGACGAAGTAACAGAGACCTATGCCATGATTACAGATTTTGTTTCTGAATTCATGCTACATGTAACCAAACGTGCACATATCTGGTCCTCCCTCAACAGCTAAGAAGCTCCTATTCTTTTTTGCACTTATGTACACTTTTGTCCATTGAAACAAGGGGCAATGTGGTTTTTCAGTATATTTTTGACATTTTGATGTGAAACTGTTCATAGATGAGTTATTTGAAGTTCAAATGGGGCTTTCAGAACAACAGGAGAATCTCAAATCTGTTCTTCATTTCCGAATTTCATTTAAGTTGTTTCCCCTTGAAGGAACTTTCTTGAATCAACTAATGCACTGTTTCTTAATTCAAATACCCTTAAATTTTATGATTTAGTTGAATTTAAAATGGCTCAGATAATGTACAAAGCACATAATAATTTACTTTGCCGTGGTACTCAGAGGCTGTTTGAAACCAGAGAGAGTCAATATGATTTGAGGGGAACAGGTTTCTTCAAAAAAACTAAGACAAGAACGAATATTAAGCAGAGGTGTGTTTCTGTTAGAGGTGTTAACTTGTGGAATAGCTGTGATGATGAATTAAGAATGTGTAGTTCACTGTCCTTATTTAAGAACATGTATAAAACTAAAGCAATAAGAAAATATGTAAATCCGGTATGAAGAAGAGCAATAACAAAATATTGAAATTTTTGGTTGTGTCTGTTTGTATACTTGTTATGGAATATTGTTGGTTTATTTATTTTCTAACATGTTTTTGAGAATGTATCTTTTCTTTCTCTCTTTTTCCCTTTTCTTTAGAAGACTTGTGGTGTAGCTCAGACCATGTAGTTAAAGAGTCGCCTTGCTAAAGTTTTTGTTTTTTTTGTAAAAAGGGTAGGCAAAATAAGCATGAGCTTCAGCCTACACCTTTTCGATTAGCTTTATGATGCTTTTGAAATTTACTATGTATCTGTTGTGGGTGGGTTTTAAATGATAATCGAATAAAAATAATTGAAAAAAAAAAAGAAAAAGTGTCTCCAAGTTTCAGACCTTGCTGTCGGTGACATCCAGCACTTGGAGGGGTGCTCGCCCGGGGAGTAATTTGGTCTAGAACCGCCACTGCACCCGGCTATCTCATGGGTCCTCCAGTCCTCCGCCTCCCGTGCCCGACCATCCGCACGCCGGGTCCCTCCGGCGGCGCTCGATGCCGTGCTTCACACCGGCACCACGGCTGGCCCGTGTCCCTTCCCTCTCGCCTCAGTTGTCCTCCCCGGCGAGTTCCCCCCCTCCTCCGACATATTCCTCTCTGGTCACGCAGTCTCCACGTCCACTTTTCCCTCCGACGACTTTAATTGTGGGCGACTCCATCGTGAGAAACATCCGCTTTTTTAACGCTATCACGCGGTGTTTCCCCGGTGCGAGGGTCCTTGACATTTTAACACATCTCCCCACTCTGTTAAAATCTCTGCCAACTTCCATCCAGAGAATCATATGCCATGTTGGCACTAATGACACGTCCCTCCACCAGACCGAGCTCACGAAGGACCATTTTACCCAACTTTTTAACTTTCTGAAGAACTGTGAACTGTCTGTTTTTATCAGCGGCCCCATTCCCACTTCTGGTCGTGGGTGCGGGAGCTTCAGCAGAGTGCTCAGCCTGCACACCTGTCTCCAATCTGCCTGCCAAGCCCATAGCTTTGCCTTCGTGGACAATTTTAATCTTCTTTGGAACCGTTCGTCCCTTTTTAAATCGGATGGTATCCACCCGAACACCGCAGGTAGCCGCATGTTAGCGGCTAACCTGCAGCACACTGTACACTGTTTCCCACGTGATTGACTATTTATTTCCCCCCCACACACACACCCCTCTCCCTCTGTGGTCCACCCACTGCTGACAGGTCCTCCCCAGAGCTCCCCCTGCTGGCAAATTCTGTCACCGACTCCCTCTGCCACAGGTCTTCCTGACATTTTTTCCCCACTCCCTAATAATTACAGTAGTATCCAACTTCTCACTATTCCTGTCCATATCACCAACAGACACCACTCTAATAGATACACCACCCGGACTGTAAATCACTCTGTTTTAACAAGCCCATCCATACTGGCTCCCATTCTCACCAAACATGACAATACCTCTGTCAGCTTCGGACTCCTCAACATCCGCTCACTCACTAACAAGAGACACATCATCCACGATCTCCTCACTGACCGCAAGCTGGACTTCCTCTGCATCACTGAAACATGGCAACAACCAAATGACTTCTCATTCTCCTCCACATCGCCACTCCAACACGCCACCTCCGGTCCTCTTCCTCTCTCCACCTCACTGTGCCCCCTGTTCACCTCAGCACTATGGGGGGGCAGAGCTTTCAGTCACTCTGCCCCCCCGACTCTGGGCCTCTTTACCATCACACATCCGCAACATAGACTCCCTCCCCCTCTTCAAGTCCAAACTCAAAACACACCTGTTCAAACTGGCCTATCCCTCCCACCACCCCTAACTCACTTTAAAAAAAAAAAATAAATAAAATTAAATTTCAATTGGTATTATTCATTTCTTTATTTATTCCTTTGCTGTTGTTCATGTTTTAATGTTGCCTTGTTGATTTCAACTGTTTGATGATTAATGATTTTAATTGTTATAGTGTTTTATTATTGTTTTTATATGTTCTGTAAAGTGTCCTTGAGTGACGTGAAAGGCGCTTCAAATAAAATGTATTATTATTATTATTACTCATTCACCCCTCCTTGTGAAACATTCCCATTCTTGTCTTCACCTCTCTGTTGCTTACTCTACATTCCTGCCACTGCCATTGAGCTCTTCTCATACCCTCATGGAAAATTCACTGTAATGCAAAACAACTGTTAATGTAATTACCTTGTTTGAGTGACATCAGTTTGTAAGTGCTATGCTCTCTGACTTATTGTTTTATCATTTCTACTCAAATGACTAATTCTCTCTGTAGGGCCTGTTGCCTAATGATGCCACAAGAGCTAACGCACTCGGCTCTGTCTGCTCGACTACTGCACCCACATTTGGCGCTGGGTCTGCTAGAGGGAAATTACGAAATCAGACTCGACCTTACATTGTATGAAGGGCCAGTTTAGATGAAAACTAACAATGTTGTATTGTTGCACGTTAATGTAGCATGCTATTGTCTCGTGTTGTTAAGCTAACTTTAGTGCCTACACTCACTGTCTTCCTCCTTGGCCTCTTAGAAACCGTCTTCTACACCGGTAGGCGGTGCACGCAGAAAAGTGGTGAGTTTTCCTCAGACTCAAACATATTAATCTTCTTTTGCCTTATTCTATTTTGCAATCCCCTGATACCTGTTCCATTGCTGGTAAGAAATTGCTCTCTGCTTTTTGCTTATTTGATTATGTTGCCTTCCGATTTTTCAAAGTGACAGACAGACCGCTTTTATTGATTCCTAATGCTGTATTGAGAATTCTCATTACATTAGCAACCTCAATAAAAAGGGCTTTTAATACTGCAATGTATCACTTGATAGAAACTCAGAAACTTTTTCATTAAAGCTCTCGGTACTTCAGTTGTATCTAAAACAAGTCTGGCACCAAACCAAGGGCTGTCACAGATGTTGTTTAAGACTCCAGGGGCCTTCAGACAACCCGTCCTCTCCTTTTACTTTTGATGAAGGCCAACAGTTGGGTCTTTTTCTGAAGGATTAGGCCTTGTCACTTTTTGGCTGCCTCTGTATCCCCCCAGCCACGTCGGACAAATTAAATGTAATCCCCCTGCTATTTGGATGACAAATTCTGTTTGAACACCTCAAACATCATTCACAGGCTTGTTCCTCCACCAGGAACACGTCGTCTTGTCACCTTTTGCCTTCTTCCTTCTCTCACTTTTCCCCTAGAGAGGAGGGACCGCGGCTGGTGAATGTTCTTGAGGCTGTAGGAAGCTGTGGAAGTTGGCACTGCTCATGTGGTATTCAAATTTGTGAAGTTTAGTTCCCACCCATTCCCCCATAGCACCCAGAACTGTCCATTTAGATTTATCATTTTCTGCTGGAGAGTTTGGTGAAATGGTTGCTACCACTTTTGCACATATTAGGCATGGTGTATAGTGAACTGGTGTTCATACAAAGTAGAATCCTGATAGGGTAACACCATTTTACTGTACATTATCCCACCAATTACCCGGCTACCAGCTCAAGACATTAACATGTAGAAAAAAAATATTGATTCAGATAAGAGTGTATTGATTTAAAAAGAATTTATTTATTCAACAAACAAAAAATATTCAACAGAAAGTTTTAGTTATGGACAGAAACAGGCAATTTCACCTCAGTGTCAACAGGCAGTGGTGAAGTCTGCCAGACACCTCAACACCGATTGATTGACTATGATGTGTGTGATCCAGTTGTCTCTGGTGGCACTTTTGTTGTTGATAATTGAATAGCATTGTTTTGGGGTTTTGAGCCTATTTAACACTGCAGGGTACTTCAAAATAAAGCCGGGTAATAAATGTTGATAACCAGCAGCTGGCTAGTTTGATGAGCAAGGAAATATTCACTCTGGCACAGAGGTTGACAAAATAGTGTATAGATCAGGTTAAAAGTTGCACCATACTTGTAATATAATGCTGTCATGTTCAGAAGGATTGTACCATTGAAATAGAGAGGATTATTTCCTCTCCTCAGAATAAAATAAAACATCTTAATATTTTTCTTTACGTTTACATTCACAAGTCAGCTTTCATTCATTTTAATGTTTAAAAGTCATATTAAGGCACAGGAAAAAAACAAAGTTATAAGACTAGACTGAATTGGCAGTAGGAACCACAGACGCCCCCATGCCTGCCCTGTACCAACACACATTCATGTTGTTTTAGTAGGCCTTGTTGGCTACGTGACAGAAATGCTTTTTCCGTTAGATTATATCCTTAACACACTTGTAATCTTACAAAATATTTGCACGTGTGTTTTTGTTATCCAGTGTTTCAGGAGAAACCAGAGATCCCTCCTACACAGGCTCAGGCTCAGGCCAGGAACATCCCTCCTGAGGATTACTCCTACACTGCATCTATCCTGAGGCTGCTACGCAACAAGCCCTTCATGCTCCTGGTGGTCAGCTATGGTGGGTCTCCTACATTCACAAAGACACAGCTTTTCATCCTGGGCAGCTTACTAATAAATCTACTGTGTACTTCCTTTTTCTAAAATTTAGGCTTAAAAAAGTGTGAAATATCTAGCACAAGCAACCACCCAAGACCAAAGGCATGAAAAATAATATTAAAAACTAATTAAATCGGAACAAAAAAATGTTCAGATTGAAGTCAGTGTGGCCTCTAAGAGGACAATGTTCTTTTTCATCAGTTACCAAGATTAGTTGTCTTGTGTCATCACAGTGACATTGTAACACTCAGTTCATGTTGCATTTCAGTAGTTTGGACAAATAGTCTTTCTTAATTTGGAAAGACCTGTACTGAGTGAAATGACCTTGAAGTGCAGAAGTGGAAGCCATAATAAAAGCTGCCTGGGTTCCATAAATGCTAAGAAAAGGTGATTCAGTATTTTCTTTCTGTAGCGTTGAAAACACCGGACCATACACCACAAGAGGCAAAAGGTTGTCCCACAATTCTTTGCAGTGGGTGCTTTTAAAGTGATGCATTGGTGGACATAACAGAAGAGTTGCAGGCTCACTTTGTATACATAGCACACTTGACATCAATTTTATACCAGTTCAGTCAGAAGTCGTTTGATGGTTATGACTGAGGAAGGTTGTGTATAAGAAACTCCTCTCAATGGCTTCAGTGTTGTGACCGTTATTGAACGGTATCCTTTTTCTCCACTTCCAACCATCAAGCGGTCAGTAAAAATGGTAACTAGAAAAGCACTCGGAGAGCGCAGACCTCCGCCAAGCAGCTCATGTCCCCCCTTATATTGTGATTCACACCAAAACTTTTACTGTTACGTGTCTTTTATTAACTTTTATTAGTGTTTAAACTGGTATGTTCACTGTTCATAATGTTCCTGAAACAACAAAGCTCATATTAGATACATAAATGCATGATTTATTTTATTGAGGTGAAAGGTCGAAAAGACGTAGAAGCCGTGGAGCTCACCTATCCAGAATCAGAAGGAACCTCATCAGGACTCCTCAACTGTTCAGCTCAGGTTGGCATTATCTCCATCTTTAATCAAGAAAACCAACTTAAGATGTGGCGGTTTTCTTTTGTCTTTGCAGATCTTTGGAATCATTTTCACCATCGCACAGGGGAAGATCATCGATGCATGGGGGACTTTAGCAGGAAACATCTTTCTGTGCATTTTTCTGCTAATAGGATCGATAATGACTGGTATGATTTTAACCGGTTATCTGTTTTCGTGGCACTTATCTTCAGAGAAAACACACAACTGTGAACTCATCTCAGCAGATGTGGACATTGAGCTTTTATAGGTTGGAGAACTGTAAAAAATAATGTTTACGTTTCTTAAATTACTCATACAGTCTTACTCTTTTAAAGGATAAGACTGCCCCCCAGTGGCAAAATAAAGAACCAGCATTTAGAAGAGGCGCAACTCAATGAAAATGTAGACTGATCTATTTTAATACTGCTTACCACACATTAGTCTAATAATCTCCCAAATTATTCTCTTCTTTTTGTCACTTTTAAAGCTTTGAGGTCCTCAGAAGAACACTGAGATATTTCTTAATGATCTCTCTCTTGTCGTTGCTGTTTTTCAACATTTTATTTCAACCCAAAATATGCTAAATTGCAGGAGTGAGTCACTGTTGACATGCTTTTTTCTTTTGACTGAGAGTCAGTGATTATTGTAACACAATCATCTATTTTTGGCTTTCTTTCACCGTCACACAGGATTCATCAAATCTGACCTCAGGCGACAAAAGGCCAACCAGCAGATTGAGGTGCAGTCAGCGAGTGTAAGTACATCTGTGTGTGCTACATCAAGTCAGAGGTGGGATCTTCACATCCCCGAGAGAGGGAATGTGTGAGATACCGCCCTGTCTCTGTGCTGAACGCAGAGCCCTTGCTGTGCAGCACACTACTGCAGGCATGCACGCTGGGGATTGCAGGGGTTGCACTGCTGCACTGGTTAAAACTTTCTCTTGAAACTCACTTATAACACTCTCACTCTCACACCAATTGCACAATTCTGCTCTGTCTGACAGCTCGGCAACAGACCCTAACAGCACAGTAACATACTCATCCAAGAAGACCAAACTGTTGTAACTAACCTTGTGAGGAACTTTGTAACAACCTTACTTGCAGATGCGAGCTATCAAACAGATCAGTACTATCCACGCATTAATTTGTCTGAAGTTTTAAAGTCACCAAAACAACAATGCAAACCACTGTTAACACAAAAAGAGGTTCAATTTTTCTATTTAATCTGGGATGTACATCTTTAAAAAGGTTTTGTTTAATAGTTCACATTTATACTCCAGATTAAAGCTTGTACCAAAAGAGAAAACTTAAACTGCTTTTGAATTTCAATAACAAATCTCAGTTTGAACAGAATCCTTCTCCACATTGCGCGTCCTCTGCTTCTCACTTGTTGCCTTGTTTGAGACAAGCCCTGCTGTCTTGCTTAATCCTTTCTCTCTCCATAAACTTCAGATTTTAACAATAAAAGCAGCTGAATCCTGCAAACTAACAGAACTTAATCCAACTGTATTAAGACCACCGCCACTTTGCTTAAGTTACGAATGAGCTAGTCCCCTTAAGTGCTATAGATTACTTACAAAACATGCAGAACAGTCATCAAAAAGCTTTAATAGGGGAAGCATGCAGAAGAAGGTTACATTGTAAACTGTACAATTCGCTGCATGATGACTGAATAAAACACCAGACTCTCCTCAGTGCATGTAGAGGGCAGTAACAGTTGGGAGTGCAGGTTTTGGTGGAGGCAGTGTGGTGGTGGAGATGGTGTATTGTTTGGGATGATGGGGTAGCCTTTCTGGGCCCCCCAGAGGAGTGACACCCAAGTTATCATTCCAGCCTTCAGGCTCTGTGTCGTCGGTGCAGGACTACGGGGCCACGGCTCGCAGCGGCCCCTGGCAACAGCAGCCTTGATATAAATCCACAACATCACTTAAACCAAAACACACATCTGCAAAGGTAGGGGCACACACACTTTGAAGCTGTTGAACCCTACACGATCACACTCACACACATAACGGACATCTGACATTACATTAACCTTTTCTATAGTGTTATCTTTCTGTCGAGCCGAGTGTCACTGTCATCAATGGTTACTAACAAATGTGTTAAAGTTGTCTTTTCTTATGGTAAACTTGTTCATGTACTGTGACTGTGGAATAAACGTAAAATCTGTTAGATGAAAGAATATTTAAGGAAACAGATTTCAAGCAGTTATGTTTCTCTGTGCTTCAAAAACAAACTTTTGAACGAGTTCATTCAGCATATGTTTGAATCTGAAAGCATCTACTGCAAAGACACATTAGACTTGAATACCAAAGTGATGTACAGATTATTCTGAGCTCTGACAAATTCTTGTTTTCTTTCTAAATTGTGTGATGAACTGTTTTATTTTTTTGTTCTTTTAGGAAAACACCATACTAGTTTTCCTGCTAATGTAATTGCTTTTACATCCTTTCTCTTTACAGAAAAAGACACTTGAAGTGGCAGGAAGCGTCTCCCCACCTGCAACCCTAGATGAGGTGAAGCTATGAGGGGGACTGACACTACCTCGTGCATGGATAAAAACAGATACACTGACATACAAAGAGGCTGCCGTGAACACTGTGCAGCTCTCCACGAGGCTTTTATGTACTGTACGTGTCGCTCCAGGACGAACGCCGGAGTCACACACTGACATCCCAAGTGCAACTTAACTAACCAAAAGGAAGCACAATTCAGTCATGCACAAGGAGATTGCACTTGGAACATTCATAGTTTAAAAAACAAATTAAGTAAATGTAGATTTTATGATTTTATTTAATATAGACATTTCCCATGTCTTTTTTAGTGCTGTGCAGCTGCTTTTAAAGTGACTCCAAAAATACCACACTCCAATAACACACCTCTGGGCTTCTTTCACCCACTTCAGATTGTTAATACTGTGTTCTATGACTCTAATAAGCAAGACTAATATTCTAAGTGTTTCCTAACTGTGGACCAATAATTTCTGTGACTGAACTCTGTCTTTAGATTGCTTTAAGGAGTTTTTTAAATGGAAACTGTAACATGTTCTCCTGTCATGGCCGTACATGATTTGGATCACGTAGAGGTATTACCTTCAACTGCTGATTTTAAATATGATTGATGCTGTGCATTGGCTCACACTCTAAAGGATCAGTTTTGTCCTCATAAGACTGTAAGGGAAATGTAGTGATATTTTAAACTGGATAAACATACAACAGTGTCTTGAACACATCAAAGCAGCACAAAACATGACTGCAAGATCAGGCAAGTCATGCTTCAATCATCATTTTGCACACAAAAATGTTATGTAAAACCTTCTTCAGTGGTAAAGTTGTTACTGAGATATGTTTTTACTGTGTTCATGTTCTCCTTGATGTTTTTTTTAATTGATTTTTTTGAGGTGCAAGCTCTTTGACTGGCATCTTTAGGACTTCTATTGTGCTATTAAAGGTTTCTGAACCCTTAGAGTTAATAACTTAGAGGTAAGATTTCTTTTCACCTGTTTAGAGCTTGGTGTTTCCATTTTATTAGAAAGAAAAAAAAAAAAAAACGACTTTACTTATGTTCATACTGCTCCCAATCTCATCTGATGGCCTAAAAACAAACCCCATGATCATCTGTTTACATTTGGATAAAATGAGAAAGTTAGTTATTTTCTCTGTTTTAAAAAAAACATTTTGACCCCATCATAAACTAAACCAGCACAGCTCAAAGGCAGAGGACATGTTGTAAAACCTCTTACTTCAACACAAATATAAGTGTTAACTTACATTTAACATAGCCAAGCCATCGACAGAGTGTTTGGAAAAGTTTTTTTATACTTGGATTATACCAAAAAAAAACATCACACTTTTAAAGAATTTATAGGAGAATAAGTGAGTGTATTTTAAAGGATGTACAAGCTTTCCACAGCACAGAACAAATATGGCAAATAAAAGCTGACTTGTATTTGTGTGTCTTTGTAATGAAGAGCATAGTTTTATACTGAAAGGATGTCTGAGTTCTTAAAAAACATGAATTAAAAATAAAGTAGAAGAAGCGACTGTTTAAGTGTCACCATCATTACCGTTTGAAAAATAAGATGAATTATTCAACAGATGAATTGCATTCAGCACTTACAAGTTTCATCACTTCTTTCACATGTACAAGGGTCCATACATTGACAAGCTGACAAGCAATTCATTATAAACATTTTATGCAAATATTGTTGACTCTTACAGAACAAGACTTACTTCACTTAATTGCTGCTGTAAAAATCAAGTTTAGAAAATATTTAACATAGCCCAGATGGAGACTTATAAAATCTTTAGGTTGTTAAATGTCTTCAAAATCACTTAAATCCACATCTAGTGTTCTTCAAGGCAAAAAGCAGTGGAACCACAGGACCAGAGCAGCAGTCCCTGATTGTCAGAGCAGAGCCTAATTCAGTTACGCTTCTTCTGTCTTGCCCCAACTTCCTCCTCCGACTCTGGGAAACACTGAAACCCAATCAGCATTCCTATGACAGAGAAGCCTACAGACACAGAGAAATGTTGTCAGAGAGTTATTTTGATTTGCCAATAATTTTATAAACCTACAACCTCTTCATTTCCTCACTCACTTGCCACAATGAGAGGCGCCATGACCCCTATTGTCAGAGGTGCAGTTTTGTAGATGAATGCCTCAGACAGAAAGTGGCCCAATGCCAGCACAAACGTCCATAAAGTGATGTGATATAGCCTGCAGAAGACAGAGTGACAAAAGTAAGGACACACTCACAAGGAGAGCAAGACATTACAAAAACTGCTTATTTTCCATCAGAGTCATCGTTATGGTTGAGGTTGACATTTCTATGCAAACTCAACTGTTATCTGTGGTTGCTTAAAGCACTAATTTTGTCCAAAGGAGGTAAAACATTATGTTGCTCTGACTGTTCGAACAGCAAGTTGTCACAACTTGATCTTAAAATAAAACTTTTGGTTCTGTGAACTTTTGTCAAGTTTTGAAGATCATGGGGTGTAAAAAATGATTGACAGCCCCTGCTAGTTGAACCCTTGTGTGAATGGCCCCTGATGGTTCAATCTGGCCCTATCAACGGATAGGAGACCTGCCTTCATATTACAGTGGATTTGAGTTGTTAGAAAATATAGCAGGAGTACACACTGGGTAAATAGGATTTAGTTTATGTTGACAGACTAAAGTTTAGTTCATAAATCACATCCCAAATACACTACAGGTTTCCATGGCAGTGCTTGCTTTTATAGGTCCTCATTACAGCAACTTTTTGACTGTGGAAGTTCGAAACAGCAATTAAAGGCACAGCTGAAATCAGTTGCAGAGAAAGCAACAGTTTTTGGATGACCTGCAGAGCCCCTGTCCTGAATTTGAACCATTAATCCTTTAATGGAGAGGCAGCCGCCTTAACCACTGCACTACAGAATATAACCTGCCAGTGATTGGTTATAAGGTGTTTTTTAATTAAATTTTCCAACAGAGAAAGTAAAAAATAGCCCAACATTGAGGTGAGAACCGTATTTTTATTCCTGCATCACATGAAGTGCCATGAAATTCCTCAGCCCCAGATTTGAACCAAGAATTGATTTATTGAGCAGCAGTCATCCCAACAATATAATATTACTTTAGTTTTCTTAATGAAAAGTTATTAAAGACCATAACAAAGATCTGAAAACAGCTTTTGTTTTCTTTGCTCAGATGTAGTGCCGTTGTCCTCAGCTTGAACCCACAACCCTTTTATGGAAAGGCAACAGCCTTAGCCACTACACTTCAGTTTGGCTTGGCAGTTCTTGTTTTTTTTCTGGCCTTATTACCTTTATGTTTTTGACTGTGGACTTAATAAACAGCAATTCAAGCAAAAGCTCAAACTACATTTAAGGAAAGCAAGTGTTCTTGGCTGACATAAAGTGCCTCCATCCTGGATCTGAACCAAGAATCCATTCAGTGACAGTCAGCAGTCGTAGAATGGGAGAAGCCTTCAGCATTTAACTACAGGTTTCCCTGGCAGTGATTACTTTTGCAGGTCCTTATTACCTCTGCTTGTTGGACTGTGGTCTGAAAACACCAATTCAAACCACATTTAAAGAAAGTAATGGTTACTGGCTGACATTAAGTGCCTCTGTCCTGGATTTGAACCAAGAATCCTTTCATTGTTGGGCAGCAGCCTTCACCACTTCCCTACAGGTTTCTTTCTGAGTTCACAAGGTGTGCCTTTGTCCAGGTCTTGAACCCATGATCCTTTCATCGAAAAAAGGTTGCGGCCTTCACTACTCCTCTGCATGTTAGCCTGTCAGAGCTTGCTTTTTAAAGTCCTCTTTCCTTCTTTTTTTGACAGTGGAAGTTCAAAACCATGATTTTAATGATGAACAAGAGCAGCATTTTCTTCACCAGTTCACAAGGCTGGTTGCTGAAGGTTTAGACCAGCACATTCCACATTGTGCAAAACTGTCACAAACAAAGTCTTAATTCTGACGTTGATTCATCATTAACATAGTTGACAGCTCAACACAGATTTGATGTTTTAATGATGCCTTGCTATCTGAGCATGGAGAAACACAGAGAAAGATGTGAGAGTCTTACGTTCGGTTCTGGATATCAATGGCGCAGGCACAGCGTATGATCGATGACAGCAAGGTCCAAATACCAAATGTTCGAGCTTGGAGACCATTCACTGAGAACGTGATAGAATGAGGGAGGCGGGAGAAAGGAGAAATGTTTGAACGACACCTTGAGTCATGAAATACATTCAAGATATAGCAAATTGTGCAAATTCAATTTTTCACAAAGTTTGGATAATAGCTAATAAAATAATCAGACTTCATTTGCTGTAAAATTGTAAATTGGAAGCCAACGGATAGGAGGAATATATAAAAATGATGTCAGGTGAATGCCTTTAACATGTGGGCAACCACTGAAAGAAGTTTCTGATAAAAATGCATGCATTAATAGAAAATGTTAATGCAAATCAAGGTTACCAAAAGTTCACTTTGCAACTGAAACTCAGTTGAAGACTATTAACATGATCATGTGGTGAGCTCTATTCTATTCGCACTATTTTTGGGGGATTTCATCGTTCTTTCTTTCTTCTTTATTTATCTTAAACTTTAAGAACAACAGCAACAAAAAACAACTAGACAAACAAAAACACTGAACAAAATAAAACATATGTACACCAAACAACTGTACATGTCAAAGATAAATGTACTCAACATATGTATGTCAAAATAAACAGTTTGAGAAGGATCAGAATGAAGCAAAAAGCTTATCTAGTCCTGCCCCTTCCTTGCAAATTAGAGATTTAAAAGAAAAATGTATTTGTATAGATTCCAAAGACCTGTATAAATACCTACATATTATAAACAAAGATATCTGCTTAACACTAAATAGGTTACTTGTTATAATTATTTGCATATCATAATAATAATCAGTGTTATAATATTCAGAATTAATATTACTTTTATGCAATCAAGTATAGTATAAAACATTTTCTTTTGGTTAACTTATATGAATCTTTTAACACTTCTCTATAGTTTGATTTAAATATTTTTGTTATTAGACATTTTTAAAGTGACATCCAGGCTGTTCCAGAGTTGAACACCACAAACAGAAATGCACATACTTTTCAGAGTTGTATGGACAATCAGACAAATATATTTATGTTCCCCCTTAGATTATAGCCACCCTCTCTGGTTTTGAACATCTTTTGTAGGTTACCAGGTAACATACTTTGTGCTGCTTTGTACAGCCCTTGAGCTGTTTTAAAATTGACTATGTCATTAAATTTTAACAATTTTGATTTTAGGAACAAGAGGGCCGGTGTGATCTCTGTATCCAGCATGATTTATGATCCTGTTAACTCTTTTTTTGTAAAGTGCATATCTTTTGTAGATTGGTCTTGTATGTGTTTCCCCAGATTTCAACATAGTAAGAGAGGTATGGCAGGATCATGGAGCAGTAGAGTGTGCGTAATGATTTTTGTGGTAATAAATACTTTGATTTGCTAATGATTCCAATACTTCTTCACATTTTTGAACACAGATATTTGATGCATGGTTTCCAGCAGAGCTTATTATCAATCTGAATGAATCGTCAGTGTTACCAAGCTGAAAATGCCTTTCGTGTGTGTCAATCCAGCATAGTTTTCTTACCAAACTCAGGTGTGCCCGTGTAGAGCTTTTCTGACAGAAAACTGTGGTCTCTGAAACTCTGCACAGTGTTCCCCATCGCGATGACGGACACCATCACCAACCAGCTTCGCAGGACGTTCAGAAAGCGACTCATCTTTTCTGAGATGCACCTGTCAGAGAGGACAAGTCAGTGCATTCAGCCCAAGATAAACTATTTCAGACTGAGTGTTCATGCAGGTGAGGATGGCTCCATGTACTGTAGATGGAATAAAAGTCTTCATTGCATATCACACTGAAACTATCAGCTGAAAAGTGAGCTATGACAAACCTATCATGCCAGCTAACGCTGCTAAAACCGTGTCACAACGAGTCAGTAAATATAAAACGACATTGAAATTGCGTATATTTACCTTTACACCCCTAAAATCATGCCCCTGTGTGCATGCCTCGGAGATATGACGGTGAAAATACTACATACAAAACATTTAGTGGGACTCGGGCCAGCCGAGTATGACACTATTCTCAATAGTAAATATGTCAATCTTGAACTGCGGTTTGGACCAATAACAGGGCTTAAGAATGGCTCCATCGAGTCGTACCATTGACATGATTGGCTCGAAGAAGCGATAAGTTCCGCCTCTTTTCTTCGCTAGCCAATAGTTTTAAAGGAACCAGTCACCTGTGGACTGTAAAACTAGGCTGCGTTCTCACACAAAGAGTAAACGGACAACAAGAGAGTCATCTGTATCGTACCTTTGTCAAAGCATTAAACAGATAGAATTAAAATGTAAATATTTAATTTAACAAGACATGGTTATCCTGTAGACTGTAAACTAGGCTGCGTTCTCACACAAAGAGTAAACGGACATCAAGAGAGTCATCTGTATGGTATCTTTGTCAAAGCTGCAACGACAGAATTAAAATGTAAATATTTAATTAAACAAGACAAGGTTATCTAAATATTGTATCGGTATTTAAAATGACAACCGTTGCTCACCCATACAAGGCCCAAGCTCAATTTATTTAACATGTTTTTAGTCATCCAGGAGGATATATTTGCATTAACATTTTATCCTATGACCTTTCATTGTACAGCTATCCAGCCTGGTGATGACTCGATGCAGTGCAGTTAATTCAGGCGGACAATTATTGTCGGCGAGTGCGCATGCGCGGCTCTCTGTTGCTACTCAGTTGTTGTAGTTACCAGGGAGATTAACCGCGATGATCAACTGGCCCTGGTAATATCAGCTAGCTTGCTAGCAGTTTGCATGCGTTCAGATATTAAGGTAAGTCGACGTTTGTGTATTTGTATTGTATTTAAACCTCTCTATGGTGGTCTTAAACTTAACGGACTTTACCTTGTCAGTTCCACATGTTTGATGATATAAATAAGTATTTAGCGCAGTTAAATAGGTGCTAACAGCTAATGGTGTGTTAAATGTAAAGCAATGTTTTGAGACGAAGTTATTCGTGGTAGCGGGGCTACAAAGGCTTTTTTTGCACAGATTTTGCATGTGTGTACTGGCGTTTGATGTTGAAATGTGCTATGCACTGTCTGTTGTTCTTGCAGTTGGAGGTGAGAGGTGCCATTCAATACAAGATATCCTAGGGAGAGTTCACCCGACGGCTTGTACACTTTTACTGCAAAGATGCCAGCTGTGACCTGGGATAAGGAGGTTTCTGAATTCTCCTCAGAAGGCGAGCACGAGTAAGTGTTTTATACTGCTCATGTATAATCATACTGTTCATGATCTTTGACAGTCAACATCATTACTCCTACTACTTCTACTGCTACTACTATTGTCAAAACTTGATGAGCTTATAAAACATTTAATTCTCCTCCGTCTTTCACACTATTGGTGTCTGGTTTTCTTCAAGCCAAAGATCCTTTTTCAGAGGTGTTGACATGCAAATCCACATCTACATTTTACCTTCATGTCAACACGCCCCTTCATACCCTCTGTGTGCTCATGCACCACAGGTCCACCCCCTTGTTATGTATTGCTTTGAAGGCAGTTTGAGAGTTGCCATAATATACTTTGTAGCTGTCAGGTTGCTCTCAGTACTTGATTTTTTTAATGAACAGATCAAATTGGAAACTGTACCATAAGCTGTTTTTAGCTTTGCCTTCTCCCTCTTGTCATAGTTTATTTAATGTGTAATGAATATTTGCAGGACTAAAGAAGTTGATTCCTGTCTCTTTGAATAATTTATACAAAAGTGCATTTGAACAAAATGATTCCTCCAGGTCGGTTTCATTTTGCATAATTAATGAGATTTTTAACTGAAGAGGAGGAAAGGGAATGTAGATTATAACACCAGTCAGTCTATAGTATCTTGTGCCTGCCTAATTCCATCGTAAGCTTTACTTAGTAAGCCTCACTAAGAGTCACTGTGCCGACTTCTGGACTAATTTCCATCTCCTGAATTAGTTTGGATCAGTGAGAAGTCAGGCTTAACCTCTGAGTGACCAGTTTGAAATGCTACCAGAGCTGTTACTACATGAGATGATTACAAAAAAACTGTCTTTTGAACTCACCATTTCAGGACATAGTTGTTGGTATCTATCACTGACATGATGTGCAAGTTTATGATGGCTAACATCTCAAAATAATGAAAGACCTATGCCATGTATTGAATTACAGGTTCATGCAAGAGGCCCATGCACACTTAAACCAGAAATATGTAAGAGAATTTACATGTTTAATGTGAAGTATGTATTGTAAAAGAAATAAGAGCACAGCACAAGCTAAGATTTTGTGATTTGTAAGCTAAAAGTAGAAAATGTCAACATTTGATGAGCTTTATCCAGGGATTGTTGCACATTTTTACACAAAGTTCCTGTGAGGGACTTGAGTCTAGTATGGCACTCTTCTGTGGACAAAGATTAACATCTTATCTCTTTGCTGATTGTGTCCTGTATATGCCAAGGAGGTATTTTCTAACTTAAAAATCTTATCTTCTAAATCTAAGCTTTCTATTAACATGAGTATATCAGTAATTGTGAATATATGCTGTTTATAAAGGTTGTTTCTTGAGCATGCTGTCCATCATTTTGTCCGACATCTACCCCCAGTAGTTAAAGTAATTGAAAATTACATTATTAAAGCTTTTAATGCTGTTATTACTAGCCCTCTTTACTTTTTAGGTCAAAAACATGCATCACTGTCAGTTACAGCCTGTTTGAAAACTGGTTAAAACCCCTTAGTGAGGCTTTAAAATTTGATTTCAAAGATAATAATATTATCAGGAGGTGGAACTGTGAGAAAATCAGCCAAGTAAGTGGATGTTATGATGAGAGTTATCCAGCCCAATGTTCCCTTTTCTTACTCCTGTTTCCTTTTTATTTTGACATGTTGCTGTTTTTTGGTCAAGAATGAAATATCAAGCTGTTTCAAATAGGGCTGAAACGATTACTCGAGTAACTCGAGTAACTCGATTAATAAAATTCCTCGAGGCAAATTATATGCCTCGAGGAATCGTTTAAATCCGGAACCATGTGCAGCGCACGGTGTTTGACACGGACGGTTATTTCTGTTGCGCAGAAGCGTGCTCTTTCCGCTCCTTCCGCTGCCGCGCGTTTGGTTCAATCATGGAGGGAAACGAGGACAGACAGAAGCTGTGTCCGAAATGGCATACTGCCTGCTATCTACTTACCTACTCAAGCAGTAGCTACTGCCTACTGACTACTCAAAGATGATTTGAGTATGCCGCGGCTGCCCGAGCGTTTACACACATACATACTAAATACCCCAGAATGCATTTCGTGCCGGCCGGACGCAGCGCCGGGAAAATTTAAATAGTCCTACCACAAGCTACATAGAACGACTGCATACCGGACAAATTATATAAATTCATTCAATAATAATATTTTTTCTAGCGAGAAAGTAAGTGTTTACATCACGATTATGAGCCCAGTTGTTTGAAATAGTGGCTGTTTGTAAATTTGTCTCGGCGTTTTCGGAGACCGAAGCGTCCACTTGGTCGGTGTTTGCGTCTATTTACCGTAAACACCGGGCAGCAGCAGCTCCCCCTTCACGTTTCCAAATTATTGCGAAGTGTTTTCATAATCAACATCTACACGACACAAACCGGGCGGCAGTGGATGAAAAAAATCACACAAACATCCGTGTATCCATGGTGATAATGCTATACACCACCTGCTAGGCGTGTGATGAGCAGCAGAGGGCTGCAAAATGACCAACACACAACAACATGTAAATAAAAATGTAACACTTTTATATATTGAATAAATGTACATTTGCTTGTCAAATTATGTTAGTATCCAAGAATTATATTATTTCAGCCTATTAATTAAACAAGTAAAATTAGATCCAAAGCCTGGAAATAGTTGTGACTGGTTTAGTGAAAACTGCAAAGATCATTACCATAGCAATTAAAAGACCATCTGCAGACCTTGCCTTCAGTAGTTTCATGTGAACTACATGGTAAAATGTAAAACTTTTGGTTCCTGATTTATGCAGTAAAAATATTCATTTGAAAGACCTGGCCTATTTCAGTTTTGTGTGTTACTGATGGTTTTTAATGAGGCAAACGTGATTCAATGCAAAGTTATTACAGTGAGAGCAAAACATTTCTTATCCGATTACTCGATTAATCGACAGATTAATCGATAGAGTACTCGATTACTAAAATAATCGATAGCTGCAGCCCTAGTTTCAAATTTTTGTATGAAAAAAAAAAAAATTCTGTTTTCATTCTCACGCAAAAAACTGTGAGCTGAGTATTTGACCAATGCTCTATTCACAGCTCTCCTGCAGAGTCCTTTGGTCAAAGCTCTTCATGTCTTGTAAAATCATTATTCTTACTAAAACCAGGAGTCCTTTTGATCCATCTAAATGATTAGTAACCAAAAAAATGTTACCTTGCTTGTCATACTTTGCTATGATGACTGTGTGGTTCTGTCAAGCATTTTTGGTGTTTTTTTTATACTGTTTTGTTTAAAATGTTGTTGCTTAACAACAGACTAAAATATTACGAAAGCATCGGAAGGCATGCAAAAAAGCAACTCAGAGAAAAAGATATCTGCCATACTGTCTGTCATACTTGGATACCCAAGCTAGGGGCAGCAATTGTTTACATGCTTCTCCTCCTTATCATGACTGCCCATGCCTGATTGAGCTCTGCTCCATCATCATGCTACCTTATCATATTTTTAGCTCCTGATAAGCAGGCTGTGTCTGGTACTATCAGATAGCCTGCAGGTTTACAAGGGTGTTTGTTAGCACAGCGCATTGGTTTGTTATTGGCCAGCACCCCCTGGAACTGTGTGTGGTTCTGTCTGTATCTGCCTGCTTGAAACAAACACCATCTCAGGATACATTCCCCCAGCATTAGGTAAACCACCCATATAAGCTATTCCACATCAGCCGGGAGTGAATGCCAAAGATTTGTAGCACCTCAGTGTACTTCTCTGACATCATAACCGGGAAGTTAATCTGTGTGAAACCTTCATCTCTTTAAATTGTTGTGGATGCCAGACTTTAGGAACATTTGGGAAAAACCCTCCTAACTGTGACTCTGTATAATCTTATTGTTTTTTCCTCTAGAGACCATCCCTGCATTGCCTGGAGTGGCCATAGCAAGAAAATACCAGTTCTCTTGTTTTTCCCTGAAGCTGCTGTCAGCAGTTTCTCCTCTGTTGGAGGTAAAAACTAAAGAAATGGTAACAAAATTTAAACTCAGAGGCTTTGATAAGTCAGATGATAAGAATATCTACCTTTACAGAGCGATTTAGTATGGCCTTTAAGATTGTGGGCACAGAGAGCCGCCTGGTCCGAGGAATACTCACCAACCATGGGTTCCATGAGGTAATGTTCTCCCCTTAACTGTGCAAAGATTAAGATTAGCCCTGATCTTTAAGAAATGAAAAGCTTTTACAACACATGTGCTATTTCTGCACTTCTCTGCTGTGTAGAGTCAGTGATAGGAAGGCTGTCTTTGTTACTGTAGACTGATAATGTCAAAGCCTGGGAATGCACTAATGGAAAAAAAAACAAAAAAACCTAAATGACCCGGAGTGCATTAATCCTGTTTCACAAGGGCACACAATCCCCATTATGTCTCTTTCCAGGCAGTTACAATAACTCCCTTTTTATTTCATTTCTATGCTTTTGACTCCTGTTAACCCATCATCAAAGGCAGACGAGTGTCTATTACGGCTTCAACTGAGCCAGTCTTTAATAAGCTTTTATTGCAAACATCTGGCTCTCTCCTTAATGCAGGGCTGACATATTAGCTCTGGCACTTTAAGAATTGTAGCAATACAACAAATCAAATGAGGATGATGGAAATCTGCAAGTTTACCTTCTTTCTTTTAAAGAGCAGGCGGTGTTTCCTCAGTTAGTGTCTGATTTGCTGTTTAAATTTGATAAAAAGCGTTCAGCCATTTTTGATGGACATTTGAATATGGCGCTGTTTTTGTAACTATTAAAAGATTTTCATGATCCCTTTTCTCTGTTCACACAATGAATGTTACAGGATGAAACCAGTTTTTTTTTTTTATCAAACTCATCCTGTGTCTCCCTCAGGTTCCCTCACACAGTGATGACTTTGACCTGATGTGGACAGGATCTCAGCTCGCGCCTTCAATCCCGGGCAGCTTTAAGGACTTCCAGAAGGTCAACCACTTTCCCAGGTTTGGTACCAATGATACAGAGCTCAAATATATGAGTGCACTGCCACTGTTTTCTGGGTTATAAATATCAGCACTGAGCCGTTCTAAGCCCCTCAGTTCAGGCGATGTGTTTGTTGGCTTCCACTGCAAAGAGCATTTAGTTTGGACCAGTGCCTCTGAAATATGAAATGAATCATACTGTCAGGCAGAGGGCGATCTACTGCTGTTATTTTTTGTTCTGTGAATTTCAAAGCTGCCTATCGGATTGCTGTGAGTATTTTAAACTAGAGGCTCTGCTTATTTCCAGGTCGTATGAACTGACGCGCAAAGACCATCTCTATAGAAACATCCAGCGAATGCAGAAAATCCATGGCTTCAAAAACTTCCATATCATTCCTCAAGCCTTCGTGCTTCCCTCTGAATACCAGAAGTTCCGTGGTAAGAAATCTCCCCTCTTATCCTTCTCCTTTCTTTGTGTTGTTCACAATCAGTCCAAACCTAGACATAAATGTCTATTCCTTTGTTCCAACCCTCTCTCTCTTAGATTGTTTTGCTAAAGATAAAGGCCTGTGGATTATCAAACCAGTAGCATCTTCAAGAGGGCGTGGCATCTACTTGGTCGAAAATGTAAGTGATTTGAGGCCCTGAACCTGACATGACATGGATTTTAAAAGATCAGTTTTTTCAAGTATCTTTTTTCTTGCTTGTCCAATTTGTAAAATAATTTATATTTATTAATTAAATATTGATTATGATAATCAATAATCTTGGAATATTAAAGAGTAGAGGCTTTTTTATTAAGCTGGATTCAGAGATTTCAAGGCAACTTGTGTGTTAACGAAGAAAACATTTCCTTTCTTTTCTGACCAAGATGAAATTTGATAAAACAGGTTGTGCTTCGGTGCTAGTCCCTACCCCGGTGACTTGTCCCTTTAATAGTGTTGCTCAAAGGCTTGAAAAAAATCATGGTGATGGTATAGATGTCAAACCCAGGCGTCAAACAGTCATCCGTTATGTTTACATATAGACAGAACTTCAGGAAATCTCCAGAATTTTTGGGGCTGGGTTGTATGAGTGTATGAAAACAGCTGAGATGATCACCCCAACTTTACTGGGTCTCTTCCCAAACAGTCCCCCCCTGGTAAAGTTTCTGTCAGCAGTTGGGATGAGCTGATGCGAGAACACATCAGGAAACATTTGTGAGAATTCAGGAGTGAGTTCAGTGAATTCAGGGATGTCAACATTAGTATCTTTTCACCAGTGCCAAACTTGTAAATGCCACCGTAAAAACATCTGAGGATAAGGAAGAAGAATCATCTCAAGACAAGAGCAGCAAAGATTTATGTGAATCTGTCCATTAATCTGTAGTATTAATATCCACTAATCACTCATCAATTAGCACCACCTGTCTAACGTGTAGCCCCCACTCAAGGAGTTTGAAACCACTCATGTATCTTGCATAACCTTGAAGCTACAGCCAGCAGACAGTTTGGTTGGTTGTTACAGACAGGAAACACAGGAAACAGCTTTACGTGAAGCTGCACTAACCAAATATTACTCACTTAGTCAAAGAGAGTAAGTCTTTCTAAAATCAGGTATTAACACAGTTTCACACCCATGTTAAAGCTAGAGGGAGAGAACTGTTAGCAGACTTTTAAAAAAAAACTATTCGAGCTAAAACAGTGACTCAACCAGATGTTACGTGAGTGTGTGTGTGGGGGTGTACAGATGCAGCCGTCTTTGAAATAAGTATCAACTAGTGTTTCAGACATTAATAGGCTTTGTGGAGTAAATCAAACTCTTCCAAGGCCCCGACTTAGAGGGGGAGCTCAACATGGTTCTCACTCTTAGAAAACATATGCACCATTCTTCTTCTTCTTCTTCTTCTTCTTCTTCTGAGGCATTTTTATGAAACAGTGGAAAGAATGTCAGAGCAATATTTGGAGAGAAGAAAGAAATACGTCCTTTTTTTCTTTTTTCGGTCAAGGTTTTCTCTGAACTGTAGCCAGCGCTGAGGTTACCCTGCTCCCCTTCACCCCTCCCCCATCCCCTCTCCTCTCAACTTTGCCACCTGCAACACATTTCAACCTCGTAAATGACCCCTCTTCCACCACCAGATCGTGTTTTTATAGACTGTTATTGAATGCTGACCCATGATGGCCGGTGTCATTGCAGTCTCCCAACTTTTCTGGATCTGATGAATGTTTGATGTTAATGGTTAACAGTGGTGTCACATCATGCCTGTGGAATTCAGTATTTAATGCTGTTTTATATGAATATATGGTGGAGGGATGGGAAACATTAAAAACAGGGCATTTATCAGGGAAAGGCTACTCATCGTATTGATTTAGTTTTTATGGTTGTTCTTAGATAAAAGTTTCAAGGACATTCATCACTGCGGTAAATAATCTACTAGATCACTTTTCTCACCTGGTCAATCAAAATTTGTCCTGACAGTCTTTGTTGTTTTCCAGATACAGATTGTAGTGTTCTATGATCAGTGTAAATTACCATTTTAGCGTTTTTATTGTATCATTTTGTTTTTTTACTTTTTCTTTGTTTTCTACAGCCATGTCAGATTTCTGTGGGTAAAAACACCTTGGTGTCTCGCTACTTAAACAACCCACTACTCATTGATGGTAAGCCTCTTAAACACAGCTCATCAAATATGAGTTGGAATTTTTTGCTCTGTGAATAATTCTGTTTTCTCTTCAATTGCAGGGTTCAAGTTTGATTTGCGGCTGTATGTGTTGGTGACTTCATATGATCCACTTATTGTCTATTTGTATGAAGAGGGGCTGGCCAGGTGAGCTGTGTATGAACTTCAGCTTGAATCTAGCTCTCTGATCCAAAAAAATGAAGATAAGCCTCAACCAAGCAAAGTTATCCCTATCCCAGTCACAGTATCGGAAAAGAAAGATAAAAATGGATTACATTACCACATCTTATCCCATGTCTTATGAACAACCTGATTTCAAGGTTTAATCCTATTAGCTAGCCTTAACCTGATCAGATTACTTTTGAACAACTGGGCAAGAAACAAGGACTAAATCCACAGTCTTTGCTCTTGAGGCTCATTCACTGGTGCTGATTCAGTGCCCAGAAGAGGGCAGTCTTAACCTCTTACTCCTGCTGCTGTGCAGTCTGCACTGTGCTGCTGACTTTGAAACAAAGGGCTTTATTGTTCCAGTTTCAAGATGTTCTCATCAAGTGTTGCTGATAGTGCCTTTGTGTAATTGCCCTATATTTATCGGATGTTGGTATTTAAGAGGAGGATAAATCATTTATTCAATAGGAGGCTTTTGTGAGGTGCAGGTAGGTCAGGAGAGGTCGGGTGATTTATAGTAGGACAGGTTTGATAGAGGTTCGTGCTGAAGACAGAGTGCCACCACCCTCTTGTTTGCTGGTTTCATTATCAGCTGCGAGCTATGAATTCTGAATCCCACATTTTATCTTCTGAAATTCTTTTGGGTTGTGTTGGTATTCAGGTGCACAGCTCATGCCAAAGAATTCTCATTATTGCACATGTGGCATCCACTCCTCTTAAACACTGCCAGATACTAATGTCTCTCCAAAGTGCCCCTATCAAAAATTCAAGTGTCAGCTCTTTGGAGTCGGTCATTATTGCAGGGAGATACAGTATGTCGTAAAATTTTGTACATGAAGAAAGTCTTTCTGCTTTCAGATTTGCCACAGTCAAGTACGACTGTACTCCAGAGAACATAGAGGACACACTCATGCATCTCACTAACTCCAGCTTGAACAAAAAGAGCAGCGATTATGTCCGGTAAGATCTGTCAGACATGAAACATACATTGAATGTGCAGCTGTTATTGAACAACTGGGCAAGCTTATGGGAAGCTGGATTGACTCATCCATTTATCATAACGGGACCGTTTGAAGTGCATTTCTTTCCTTTCAGCTGCGATGACCCTGAAGTTGAGGATTATGGGAGCAAGTGGAGTATGAGTGCAGTGTTGAGGTATTTGAAGCAGGAGGGGAAGGACACCACATGTGAGTCAAACCTTTGTTTTCTTTGCCGTCTTATGCTTTTCATCTTTTTCTTTGTTTCATTGTCAATGCAAAGGTAACAATTGCCTTGTTCGGAGGCTCAAACTCATTTTTTGTAACTATGTCTGTTCCAGTGCTGATGAGGAAGGTGGAGGACCTCATTATCAAAGCTGTACTGAGTGCTAGGCTGCAGATCGCCAATACCTGCAAGAAGTCCGTCCCTCACAGGACAAACTGCTTTGGTAATCCTTTCTTGTTGTCTGAGTTGAAACCTTTTTGGCCAAGTACTAATTAGTAGTGAATGTGTCTCAGCTCTGATTGGTTGGAATGAAGAGAGAGGGCTTTTCTGTTTTCTCTTGAGATTTAAAAAAAGAAGGGAAGCATCTTAAGATTTTCCTTTGATTGAAATCTGCTCTCGCATTGATTCCCTTTCTTGCTCACAGTTCAGACTCACTCACACACACGTACTGAGTCATCCACCCCTCACATTTCCTTTCAGTTTCACATTCATTGTCCTGCAGTTCCTCTGTGTTTTTCTCCACTGAGCCGAGCTGAGGTTGCAGACAGTCGTTCCTCAGTGTGGAGCCGTCTTGCCTGTTGCTGCCCTTTGACTGTCTGCCGGGTCTTGAAGGGCCTTTTGACTGAATCAGGAATTCGCTTCCTCCTCTCTGTTGCCATTCAGCTCTGCCTGATTTAGTCTGACTGTTTTCTTGGCTCCTCCTGCCTAGCAGCGGGCTCGTGTGAACTCCATTTCGGAGCCATTACCCATGTTAGTGTTGGCACTAATTGTCCGCGCTCTCCCCCTCTGTCTGGCGGTCTCTCCGAGATTTGGGGTTGCAAAAAAGCAAGCACATGGGCCAAGCCTCCCTCAGCACGGCTGTCTCTTTTTCACTCTCTTTTTCCTCTTCTCTTGCTGTTTCTGTTTGTTTATAATCCTCCTGCTCACACTCTCTTTCACCTCTCACATTGTAGAAAAATAAAAGACTCGGCAGTTGTGACAGGCCTCTGTAGACATAATAGCCCCCCATGATTGGTGGTTGTTTGGGCGCGTTGCAGCAGGGATTCACCATCACACAGTTGCCTGCATGAAAGATGTTATCTGCACCTGGAGCATCAATGCTAGGTTGAAAAACAGGCATTAACTCAGGCCCAGGGTGTGAATGTTGACCATGCAGGTATTTACAAGGTAATGTGGCTCACCAAACCTTAACGTGGCACTCAAAGGCATTTGATAGACATGAATGAACAAGATAGTGATGCAAATCTCAGAGTGAGAGTCAAAATCAAGAATGAAAAACAACTTTGCTCTGTTTTCATACTTCTCACTCGGGTAATCCTGAATTATTTGCTTGTATTTGCAAAATTTCATAATTTCTATGTGAATTTGACCTTGAACGATTTCATTGAAGATATGGTTAATATTTTTTTCAATACCTTTTGGCCTGGCTGCAGTGGGGCCCGAGGCATCGCTTGAAGCAGATGAGGGAGCAGGAGAAGGAGACGGGGCAGGAGAAGGTGACAGAGCTGAAGCAGGAGAGGGAGCTGAAGCAGGAGAGAGAGCAGGCTTATCTGTAGTTAAAGTTGTGACAAAAATGTTTGAAATCCAAAACTCTGCAATCAGGCAACATTGCAATTCAAATTAAAAATGTTCACAAATTATATGTGCATGATTTGATCTGTCCATCTTAAATTAGACTACAATGGTGTGTTTAAACCATGAGGGGACTCAAATTTATTTGCTATCTTTTTCACTCATCAACTTACCGTCAAACTCCCCTCCTGAGGGGCCTGCTTCCTCAAGCTCTTCAGGCATCCCAGCAGCAGTTTCTACGGTGATGTCTTCCTCGACCTCCCGAGAAATGTTGCTGCTTGTCTCCCTCGGGGCCATAAAGGGGTCGAGAAACGACATCACCGCAGAGAAACGCCACTTCTTCTGCTGGGAGGCCGCCGACCCGCTTCTCCCACCTTCCTTCTCTCTCCTTTTCTCCCTCATGTAAACGTCCCGCAGCCCCTTCCACCGCTTGCGGCACACATCCACTGCAAAGACACACACACATACGTTGAATCATGTAGCCTAGCAAGCAGGGGCAGTTAGCTATGTTTTCATAAAACAGTTCGCTCACTGAAATAAATAAATAAACAAACAAGCTTACCAGAAAGCCCGACATCACGGGCCACCTTCCCCCATGCTTCTTCTTTGGCGTTGCGGTCCCGGTACAGCCTGCAACCCACGTTGTATAGCACCGGGTGGTAGCTAACGGATGTGATTAACTGCTCTTCCATTGTATGAATCTTCTTCTACTCCTTGCTTCGCCAGTTTGTTGACGTCAGCAGAGCCCTGATTGGCTGTCTCGGCAAGGAGTCGCTCCAAAAGTTCAAATATTTGAACTTTGGGAGCGACGGGACTTGGCGTCCTGCGACCTCGGCGACGCGACCTCGGGGACGCGCCTTGGCGACCGGTCGCTAGGTCGCGTCAGGTCGCGTCGCAGGCAGCCGGTGGTCGCCAAGTCGTGTCAGGTCGCGGCTGGCCATAGACTTTGCATTAGGAGCCGTCGCCGCGTCGGGTCGCGTTTGGTCTGAACGCCCCTTTACATGAATACTGTGCCATCTCCTACCATTGCAAGAAGTGAAGCCCAAAATAGCTTCTTCATGGGCGCTGACATATTGTGGTGGTGATGTAATTTGGAGCCAAGGCATGTGCAGAAGCAATCTGGTCATCACATCCTTTCTGCTAACCAAAACACACATTGAAATTACCGATGATGTTATAGGAGCCCTCATTTGTCAACAGAGCTATCAATCATGATGTCACATCCCCTCTATTAAACATCACATGAAAACTAAATTTCTCTGAAAAACAAACACATGTACATAAATCTGCAAGATTAAGACTAACCGCAAAAATAATTATCAGAATCATCATCTGCTGCTGTGCTGCACATTACGTGCTGCATTAATCTGATTGGTTGAAGACCTGTAATGCAGCTTTACAAGATTTGGCTTCATTTTAGGGGAGCTGTTGTGCTGTTCATGATTTTATTCAGTCTATGTCCCAGCACACGTAAAACGCTTTATTTGGCCATGCATGTAAATTAAACAAATGTATTGTGTTGTACCTTTATTTACGTTTCTAAGAATATACAAACAAAACTTGGCATCTGTATGAAACAACCTGACTTGATTTAGGTAAGAAGAGTAAGTACACAGAACATGTATAAAAAAAAAAATTGAACTTTGGAAGTTTGGGAGTATGAAATAAGATACCCAAGATTACTGGCGAAGCTGCACTGTTTCCATCTTTTTTTGTCTATTTTGGCTGAGCAATGTTGAAATCTTATACGTTCGACAAAAAGAAACTGTAAAGAAATTGATACTCCATCGATGCTATTGTGCAGCACAAAAGCAATTAGGTTGTACACCTTTTACTATGATATGTAATACCCTGTGGTCTGCTGTGAACATGCACATTACGCCACTTCAGTCATATCACTTTACAATTGAATTGAGTGTAATTTTGTTGTCTTCGGATGGCCCCAAGTGAGTTAATTACAGCATTCATAGTCTGTCTACAGGATTAAGTTTCTGAAGACAGACACTGACGGTTCCAGAGGACCACCCTCCTCTCTTTCATGCTGATGTATTTCTCACAGTGTGGTCCTGTCGCATGCAAACTCCCCGTGCTTGTGTGAGTACGTATGGATAGTATGAATACAGAGACATGTAAGAACCAGTGTAAAGCAGACTGTTTTACAAACATGCAGGTCTGACTAAGCTTCAAGGAGTCCAGTCTAGTATCTCTGTGGGCTGTTTCTTGTCTCTTAAATAAATCCCACCCAAACCACTGAGGAGTCATGTTCACTCTCTCCTTTGCTTGCATTTTCCCATTCCTCCTGTAGTGCACAGCAGACCCATCATTACTGGTGGGCCTCCACAGCTGCATGTAATAGTAAACAGGTACAGCATCAGAGTGCAGGGGCAGTGTATACTGTTGTGCATGTTAAGGCAGCCAGATCAAAGCAGCCATTGAGAGCTTTTATATGCACTCTGGCATGGCTGGAAGGGAGCCACACAACATCATAAAGCACATTATAATCTTAATTTACTGCAAATTATACCCTGCCTTTTTAATGTCTATTAATGCCTTTATTATAATGTTTATTGCTTTCAAATGGGATTTGTTCTCTGTGTTCAGACTGCACATCCATATCTGAATGGGCATAATATAACAGAAATCTTTTTATACCTCTGTAATGTCCCAAGTGGGAAGAAATAAAAACAGCAGATTTTTAAAAGTTACATCGGTAAGAGCTGTGTGTGTGTGTGGGGGAGAAAATGCCACCCATGCAACCCCTCACCGCTGCCGTGTGATTAATGGACAGGCTTTCTGCTGAGGGATGCTGATTACGAGATGTTTTGACTAAGATCTGATTAGCCAAGCCAAAGGCCTATTTTATTACACACAAAACATTCCACTTACTGGTCCTGTGTTCCACTGAACGTCCCTCATTAAGTGCTGAGTGTGGTTGAATCCCCCATCTGTCTGTGCACCATTCTCCCTGTTTTACATTTGTCAGATACTCCCACAATTCACTGCAAAACAGGGTTGGTGTGCCTGTGATGACAGTGCGGCTGCTATGTTATTCAAAATCTATTCTAGGATGATTCATGGATTGGCTCCTGCTGTCATAATAAGACTACAGAGCGTTAACTGTAGCTTTAATTTGTTGTCGTCAGAGTGTTTTGAAATGATTGAAACTCTAAGCTGCTCCCTGAAACAGCAGTGAAACAGCTCAGCAGCCATAATTTACCCCCGAATGAGGCAAGAGTAATCCAATTGTCCTGGCCAATAAAGAAAACACACATGAAGGGAATTCTTTATGTTACTGTTGTTGTTGTGAGCCCACAGGCTGCATGGCAAGGGTGGGAAGATTATTGTCTTTGGGCGTTTGTCTCTTGTGGTGAAGTTTCCAGCAGCGCCCATCCAATAATCTAAAAAAATCCTCCTCATCATCCCTTTTTTTCTGTCACATTTTTCTCCCCCCCTCCCTCCTTCTTTAATGGGTGTGATGTAGATGTTCGCTGCCTCTCCTCTCCTTGTCTGTGATGCTTGTTGTGGTTCCCTCTGTGGGCACATTTAACAGCGCTCCCCCCACAGCGGTCCAGCCATAGAACAAACGTGTCTAGCAGCGAGTGGCTCTGCAGGGCTCATGGGGCAGGAGCGGCGTCTGCTCCTAATTTGGGGAAAATGCACGGCACATGGAGTCTGCTTGTCGGAGAGGCTGGTGAGGCAGCGTAACACCTCCTCATTTTCCTCTGTTGTTGTGGTGCCATTGGTGAGGCGCTGCAGGCTCAAACCCATGTATTCCGGCTCTCTGCGCTCAAAGACTATTGGTCGATATTTTTATGACACACAATTTCTCTTTCTTACTTTTAACCCCAATCTGTGTGTTTGCTTTTCTGGATAGAAGGGGATAAACCTGAGTGCTCTGCTTAAGCACATACAGCCTAGCAATGGGGGTCCTATCCATCCCCAGGAGTTAAAGACGTTTAAAGATGGTGGTGGTGTTTTCAGTTGCAGGCCTTGGTTCAAGCATGTATGGTAAACTCTGTTTTGTTTTCTCATTAAAATAAAGTCTGCAGTTACACTAATCTGGACCTCACAACATGATAGCACTTGTTCCTGACCTATGTAATACAACCCATTGAACATAATGCAGTTTGCATTTTCTCTTACTAAAAACAGAAGAGGAGAAAAAACATACTGTTAATGTCTCAGGAAGTATTTTAAAGTCTTAAAACTGTTGTCAAGTAATTTAGTAATACACTTCAATAGATTTGGGGACCCACTAGAGACGGATTTAAAAGAAGTGGTCAAATGGAAGCTACATGGAAAAATCTGGATCATGAATTTCCTTTAATGCAATACGATAGCATCTCTTGCAAGAGTCCCTCTGTCTGGTAAAGGCGCATGTCTTTCAAACTCAATGCCCTCTGTTTGTCCCACAGGCTATCGGTTATAGGTTTGTAGTTTCAAAGATGAGATAAACCTGATGACATCACCAGCTAACCGGTTTCCCAGGCTGAGTCCTCTCTGATGAGTAATCTGATCTTTCTGTGTAAAATCAGGGCTTATTTAATTTAAAGTCCCAGTTCATATAGAAGGGGGAGTTGGGTAGCATTTACACTACCTTCCTCAAGAGCTAGTTCAAAACTATCTGATTAAGTGCAAATACTTTTAGCTTATTTTTACCCTGAGGATAATAAAGTATTCTGATTCTTGATTCTGAAGCTTAAATTAAAATTGTTACCTCCATGTGACGTAAAAGCAAAAGAGACCACCAGGAAGAAAATAGCTTTACATACGGTATAAGTGTAAGGGACAGGAAGTGATGAGAGATGGTCTGTTTCACTGACTGTGGATGGCAATCTCATATGAATAGAAAAAGAGGCATGTTAAAATGGTGCATCATATCAGCAAGGCCATAAATGTGCTTGTGCAGCCCGTCTAGATATCTTGTCATTTTGAAAAACACTGTCAAAGATTCCTCTTGGATTGCACATAAAAATGTAAAATAAAGAAGGATGAGATCTTTTTTTGTAAGACATCATTGTTTACACAAGTACTGGACAAGATCAGCAGACAGATAAAATATTTCACTTCATCCTAAGGCTGCCAAAATCAACATGATCTGAAAATCCTTCACAGGAGCTTTAAGACACATTTTCAAGTTGTAGTTGAAGGTTGGGCAAGAGATCCACACTCTGATAGCATCAAATACATCAAGTTTTATAGGGCAGATTTTTTATCCTAAAGCTCTTTGTCATTCTTTATAGCCAGGGTGGAGATTTTTGTTTTACAGATGGCTACAAAAAGTTCTGCACAGCTAAATAAATTTAAGTCCCAGTCCCCCATTATTCAACTCGGTGCAGTATTAAGCCCATAGCTCCCTGTCACGCTGGCTTTTGTATGCTTAACACTGGCACTGACCTGAGATGCCTGAACAAACAGCACTAGCTCTGGCAGCTTTGAACCCCCCCTCCCCCCTGGCCTATTCTCAACACAGTCTTTTCTTTTGAAGTGCCATTAGAAGGATTTTTCCCCGGCTCTATGGTGAGACTCTGCCCTATCCCTGTAAAATATTGTGGTTTCCCTGCACGCTGCTGCTGCTGGCGGGTCGTTGGCTCATCGGGTGACACTCCCCAGAGCAGCGTGAGGGCTTTCATGGAACATATAGGCAAATTCTGTTGCAGAGGGCCATATATCAGTGAAATGAGAAGGGAAATTGGTGCAGAACGGGTGGATTTCTACACAGAAAAGTTTTTTTACCACTTTCTAAAAAGCCTTTTATTGTGTAACTCAATGCTTGCCTATAACTTTAGTGAAACACACACACAATCTATGGCTTAAAGCTTTCCACTTTCTAGGGTTCTGTCCCTTGAGCCCCATCGTCAAAACTTCAACTTTGTACTTGTGGAGTTCGACTTAAATTGCACGAGTTGACAAACTTTATGTTGGAGTTGAAGCGTTTCTGGGACTCATTAGAGCGCTGTCCTTCTTTGTAATATGTAGTGACACCATATCGACTGCTTAACCTTCTCTGTCATAAGAAAATATTGACTGCATGTATGAAATGTATACACAGCCACGAGGTGCTTTTGATCTACCATCTTATGTAAGCAATTTTATGACAGATGAAATGTGTATGTACTCAGTTAATGTAATTGAGCCAGTCCCTCAGTAGCAGGCTTTGTTGAATATTTCTCTCTTGAGTGATCGGGTATATAACATGCGCGTAATCAGTAGCAGAAAGGCATAAAGGCCAGGTTGCCAAATGCAACATAATGAATGATAAAACCTAAGTGACTTTGATTCCCTTCATCTTTTGTTTTCAGGGGGCCATGCTTGAGTCTTTCTAATCCTGCCTTTCTCTGCCAGATTCTAAATCTGTGTTGTAAACTTTTTGCTCATTTTGTGTCTCCCTCTGTAGAGCTGTATGGTTTTGATGTGCTCATTGACTCCAAACTCAAACCCTGGTTAATAGAGGTGAATCTTTCCCCATCTTTGACCTGGTGAGTGACACTGTTATAGCTCTTTTGATTTTTATTCAGTATTTTGAAGAAACTTTTGTAAAAGGATGGTTGTTTTCAACAAAGCTACTCAATTTGGGAGGTTCTCCATGAGCTTGCATTCAAAAGTGAATAAAGGATAACATGTAACTTTGCAATCTTCACTCTGTGGGGAATCTAATTTGCGCAATCACCTGCTCAGTGTATAGTATACTTCTTATTATCTAGATACCAACAGAAACAAACAAAGTGATGCTAAATATTGATTTAAATAAGAGTTTTTCTTTTTTTTTCCTCTTAAAGTTTTTAAGTTGACACTTTTAATCATAATTGATAAAAACTGTCACAACTTTTTACATCATCGCTCCTATCACTACCACTTGTGGTCTAAGTTACATTATTGTTATCAGCAACTAAAAGATACACTCACTGGCTCTGCTGACGTTGCCTGGATTGCAGGACTGGATCTTGCTCCACATATAGGGGAGACCGGGGCTTGTTGTCACATTGCAATTATTTTTGCCACCAGAGGGCCGACTAAAAAAGTGGAACACTAGTTTTATTCCTTTACATGGTCAGGGGTTGTGTCTTGTGAGCTGAGATCAGCCCCAATTAACCATTTTGCACAACCCAAAGTTAAAAAAAAATACTTTCTATAGTTTAAAATAAGCTTCTTCCAGATAAAAATCCTAACAGTGATACATGTGGACTTGTTAGAGGAGAGATTAAGGCATCCTCTCATACCTCAGTCATTGTTCTGTTTTAAGCTAACTTTAAGCGAGAGCTAGAATAAGCAGACATGGTAGTTTGGGGCAACATGTCTCAGTTATTTCGGGGTTAGTTGTCACATGTTTAAAAGGGATTAAAATTAACATACAATCTGCTTATCAGCAGTTGTCTTATTGAAACTTTGACTTTATTTTACAGTTAAAAGTAGTTTAAAGGAGAGGAGGAAGCGAGAAGACATAGTCAGGAATTTCAAAACACAAACAGAACGTAGCAGTGCAGTACCTGACGTGATGCTGAGGGCAGTCAGACAGGTGACCTTAGCTAATAAATCAATCTGGACTACAATAAAGGACTTTAATGTCAACTACCATACCTTGGCTCAGTACTGCAAAACATTCACCCCAGCCGAAATACAGAGTCAGACAGCTCTCCAAACTCCAGAGCATGCTGCATAATATTTAATGTTAACGTTTGTTCAGTGACTTTTTCAAGCTCAATGATAAACATTTTCTGTGCCTGACTTTGATGTTCACTTTCATCCAAAAAAATGAGAACAATAATAATTTTGTTCTTGTTTTATTAGCTGCAACATCAACTGTGACATCTTACCCCATGTAGTGAGACAACTTACCCGATGGTGGGGCAACATGTCACATGTTCACACTCTCTATTTGATTGCTTATAACTCTGCACTGACACATGATATGAAAATGACATGAATACAAAATATATACCTGGGACTTTGGTCTTTCATCTGGTACACATTTTGTTTATATATGATGTATTGATTTCAAGAAATAAATAAGAGTGTAAAAAGTGTGACAACAAGCCCCGGTCTCCCCTATATTATAGATAGTTGGGGCATCTCAGGCTGCTCTCACATCTGTGCCTGGCTACTGTCATTATTTCTCAACTCTTAAGACCAGCCTGAGAAGAAAAGTAACATTTGTGCCAGAATGTTTACCCGTTTACGTTGCCAGCAGTGTGATGTGTGTGATCAGATTGTCCCTGGCATCACTTTCTGAGATTTAATCACCATTGTTATTGGGTTTTGACCAATCAGAAACAATTGTGCAACACAGCCAGGTAATAAGTATTCAGCAAAAATGTCACATTGAAGGGAAAGGACAAAGATGGAGCCAAATGTTTTTTTCTTTTAGTATAAATGTATGTGCTGAGTTTGTACAAACAGCAAATCTGTGCCTTGTTATGACAGCTCTACCCTCAGCTCAACACTGTGCATGTGTACGTGTTGTCATTTTTATCTTTTCTTCTTTGTTGCCTTGTTGAAAAAAAAAAAAAATCTGCTTATTTACAGTGATGCTCCACTGGATCTGAAGATAAAGGCCAACATGATTGCAGACATGTTTTCGCTTGTGGGTGAGTACATGCTGGAACAATGGCTAGATGCAATACGATTCCAGAGTTTTGCACAACTGATTGCACTTCATGGATGTTGTATAAATTCAGGTTTTATAGCTGATGCTTAAATCCATTACACTCATAAATTATATGCTGGCAAAACAAAGTGCATCAAATCAGTAGACCATAAAAATCTAAGAACTGCTCTTCGACATTTTATGTTCAAGTGCAAGCCATGCATAAATAGTGGAAGAGGAAAAAATTAGGGTAAATACAGCACATAAAAACAATATCTCCATCACCAGAGTGTAGATGTTTGAATAACAAAGAATTGTTTAAAATGCAGATTAAGGCTGACACATTTTGAGTTGGGTAGGAGCCTATCATAGATTGACACTAAATGCAAAAGAGTATGAAATATGTATTTAACAGAAAACTGAAATGTAAAATATTTAAAAATATTTACTTTACTGTCATTCAGTTCACTAGAAACGGTTCTTATATCAATCAGTAGAAGCTTCTGCAAATGACAAGTGTTTCTCTTATTATATCCTGTAATTATTTTACTGGCCCTGCCTCAAACCAATAGATGCTTATCTAGTCTTTATTTTAGCCAGCAGGTTTAAAGCAGGTGGAGACAATCGTCCATTGTTTATTGCTTAATGTTTTCCTAAATTCCTCTGGTAGAGTTTGTGCAAACTGCAGATAAAAGCTGCACGGCTTCATAATGGTAGCTGGAGTGTTGAGAGAACAAACCACAGTCTTTCATTAATTGACAGTTAATGACTTGCGGACAGGATTTTCAACAGAGCCCTTTGTTGTTTTGAAGTCATTAAGCTCTCTTAAGAAACTGGATCCAACTTGTCAAAGTAAAAACAATCTTTAGCATGAAGACATTAAATTGCCCGGCCCAAGGCAGAGAAAAACACTGTTTGTGCTTCAAGGTTGCAGCAGGGACTTAGATGTGTGTCTGTTATGTCTACTCTCTTCTTAATCACTCAATTCTAATGCAGAGAAAGAGCTTTGACGATTTTTAATGTGCAAGTTAAAACTGAGGGGAATCTCATAATCTCTCTGATAACACATAGAGGTGCACACAGACAGTCTGAGCTTGTCTTTATCCTTTTCCTTATCCTTGAAAGTAAAAGTACACATCGATTAAGTATTGTTCAAACATTCACATCTCTGATTTTCCTCGTTACAATTCACAGGGTGCACGGAGCCACCTGATTAGCAGACGTCCATCTAAGCCTGCACTGGCCTGTAAATCTATTTGCGCTCTCAGACTAACGATATTAAAGGAATGGCAATTGTGTGTGTGAGAGAGTGCAAATATGCATGTGTGTCTCAGCCCAGGCCATGCTGTGGCTTGAAACTCTCCCCTCAGGCTCATTAAATGAAAGAGTAGAATCATAAATTGCCAGTTATCTTTGGACGGAGACATTACAGCGGGTTGAGGGAAAATGAGCAGTGGCATGTAAAACATAGCACATCTATTATGTACCTAACAAACTAAGTCACTGTTGGCTGATAACACTTGGGACGCATCCCAGACCTGTAGATAATGACAGCATTCCATTAGCATTCATTTTCTGCTTGTGTGCAACTGTCAGCTCCATGTCACCCATGTTTGTAATAATTGCTGAGCATGGCAGGGCCTGGTTCTTACCTGACGGCTTGGATGAGGTCGAACAAACAGCCCGGAGCTCCAAGAATTAATTTGACTCAAGTGTTGACTGAAGGACTCAGAGTTATCATGTTTCTATAAAAATTCACTTTCACACTGATTAGCTTTGAGGAAAATATGAAACATGTGATCAGAGATTTAAATCCTATTAAGTGGGTGGGAACATGTCAGTGGGAAGTGTTACAGGTATATTCTAGTAAAGGACAGCCTTGGTGTTGTTTACGATTAAAAAAAAGACATGTTTATGTACGTTAATACCATTATTAGCCAAAATCAGTTTGAAAACAAAAGTGCAGATTCACAAACTTGTCTTCTCTTAGTTGAAATGAATCATGTTTTTAACTCAGGACTGAAATACAAAGTAAAAATGTTTGGGATTGCATATTAATCATGGCTCAATTAGCAATTAGAGTCATGTAAAAAAGAAAAAAAAACATTGTTTAACATGTAGTTTTAACATTTTAACATTTATAGCCCCGTTCCCCTCGCTCAAGTTTAGATCCTTGCACCAACATCTGATGTAATACATTACGATCATGGCAGTGAGCAACATATTTAAGACCTGATGTCATAGATATAAGCTTTATAACTCCTCTGTGTCTCCGCAGGCTTTGTTTGTCAGGACCCCCTATCAAGCCATCCACGCTCTGGCCGAGTCACCCTGAAGCACCCAGCAGTCCAAAAAGTCCAGGTACTGAGCACTCACACACGCACACACACACACACACACACACACACACACACACACACACACACACACACACACACACACACACACACACACACACACACACACACACACAGCACAGACCCAGGCAAAGCAGTGCACTCATTCACCCCTCCTTGTGAAACATTCCCATTCTTGTCTTCACCTCTCTGTTGCTTACTCTACATTCCTGCCACTGCCATTGAGCTCTTCTCATACCCTCATGGAAAATTCACTGTAATGCAAAACAACTGCTAATGTAATTACCTTGTTTGAGTGACATCAGTTTGTAAGTGCTATGCTCTCTGACTTATTGTTTTATCATTTCTACTCAAATGACTAATTCTCTCTGTAGGGCCTGTTGCCTAATGATGCCACAAGAGCTAACGCACTCGGCTCTGTCTGCTCGACTACTGCACCCACATTTGGCGCTAGAGGGAGATTACGAAATCAGACTCCACCTTACATTGTGTGAAGGGCCAGTTTAGATGAAAACTAACAATGCTGTATTGTTGCACGTTAATGTAGCATGCTATTGTCTTGTGTTGTTAAGCTAACTTTAGTGCCTACACTCACTGTCTTCCTCCTTGGCCTCTTAGAAACTATATTCTACACCGGTAGGCGGTGCACGCAGAAAAGTGGTGAGTTCTCCTCAGACTCAGACATATTAATCTTCTTTTGCCTTGTTCTTTTTTCCAATCCCCTGATGCCTGTTCCATTGCTGGTAAGAAATTGCTTTCTGCTTTTTGCTTATTTGATTATGTTGCCTTCCGATTTTTCAAAGTGACAGACAGACCGCTTTTATTGATTCCTAATGCTGTATTGAGAATTCTCATTACATTAGCAACCTCAATAAAAAGGGCTTTTAATACTGCAATGTATCACTTGCATAGAAACTCAGAAACTTTTTCATTAAAGCTCTCGGTACTTCAGTTGTATCTAAAACAAGTCTGGCACCAAACCAAGGGCTGTCACAGATGTTGTTTAAGACTCCAGGGGCCTTCAGACAACCCGTCCTCTCCTTTTACTTTTGATGAAGGCCAACAGTTGGGTCTTTTTCTGAAGGATTAGGCCTTGTCACTTTTTGGCTGCCTTTGTATCCCCCCAGCCACGTCGGACAAATTAAATGTAATCCCCCTGCTATTTGGATGACAAATTCTGTGCGTGATCCTGTGGGGTTGTGCCCCCCCTGGCTAGGCCAAGTTTCAGCCTGAATGCCAAAGTTGTCAATCAAAGCCTGGTAGTGCATGCAGTGGGGAAGCAGCCAGGCATTGCCCATGCACAACAAAAATGCTCCATTTATGAAATGAAGGAAAGAAGAGAGGGTATATTGTGTTAAAGGAAGTGCAGCTTGGGCATTTTTCATTTATAAATGCAGATCTAGTTTCCAACTTACAGATTGAGTGTCAGTAATAGACTTCTCTATCAACTGTGTAAGAATTTCAGCTTTCCTACAAACTCAAGTTAAAAAATTTGTCTTTTGTTTGAACCTGAGCGAGAAAAGGAACAGCTATAGATGGTCTGATCTGATTAGAGTGACATTGTCAAAACTCCCCCTATAGCGCCAGGGGCCTGCATTAGCCAGTAACTCGGAAACAGAGGGGTCCAAAGACAAGCCAGGACCCAAACAATGCCAAAAAGACAGCACCCCAAGCTTAACTGCAGAGGAGGTAAAGCCTTAAGTGTGTATTTTATTGAATTACGACATTAAGGGATATCCAAAGGCACATTAAGTTTGTAAAACTGCACCTATGTTTTCTTCCATTTACACAGATCGAAGTGCTGCACAGGACAAAGGAAGAGAATGAGAGACGAGGAGGCTTCATCAGGATCTTCCCTACCACAGAAACCTGGGCGCTCTATGGGTAAGCTGAGTCTGGCAGGAACAGACGGATCACTTTTGATCTTCATGGGTGAAGAAACTCATTGTTAAAACTGACTTTAAACAATCTGGGCATTTAGGCTAAAGTAATGCTATAATACCTGCAGCCAGACCATACGACTCCTCTTGTCTGTCAGTAATTGAACCAGCAGGCTAATTATAGAAACCATTGACATGTGAAAACATGGACATCGTTTAAGTGATGTCAGCCACTGGTTTCCAAAGAAGTGTTGTGAAGCCCAATGATTGCAGATGTCAAATTGGAAATGCCAACTCCAAATAGCTTCCAGCTAATCTGGAAACAGGAGAAGAGGTGAAATTGAGGCTACAGCCTTGCTGCCTGGTGAGGAGCTACAGTGCACTCACCTGTCATTTAAATCAGCCATGAACCTAATTATGCATAATTAAGGATAACTCTTAGTCTTGATATAATCAAAAAGGATCCTTTTAAAAAAAATTCTACCTTTATACAGTTCTCAAGAATAAATATTTAAGGTGTAATGACCAAAAAACAATTTTGAAACAGGCAGTAAATGTCTATAATATATGCATTTGGGAGCCAGCAGGCCAAAATTAGTTGGGATGCTGAGTAAAATGTTGACAAAAACATATTTATATTGTTTCCAAATCATTTAAAAACTTTATGCTTCTGACTGATTAGGTTCATTTGCAGCAGGTTAGAAGTATGATTGGATACAAGAGGTTTAGTCTTTTTCAGAGGTAAAGATGGGATGGCGATCACCGCTCTGTGAAAGACGATGTGAGCATATAGTTGAACAATTTTAGGATAACGCTCCTCTGTGTAAACTTGCGAAGAATTCAAGGATTTCATCAACTACTTTACAAAATATCATAAAACATTTAGAGAACCTGGAGAAATTTCCTAAAAACAGAGACAAGGACTATAACCAATACTGGATGGCTGGGATATTTGGCAGTACTGCTTCAAAAACGTAATGCTGAAGAAAATCAGCGCAGGGGCTTAAACTCACACCTAAAAAACAATAATCTATGAACAAAGTTTATCACTGCATCCATAGGTGCAGATTAAAACTGCACCTTGTGAAAAGAGAACCACGTATAAGTATGACCCGGTGATAACAGTAACGTCTCTTGGCTTGAGCCAGTTTAAGATGGATTGATGTGAAGCGAAAAACTGACCAATCAAAACTGGAAATCATGCATGACTCTCTCTGCTCTAAATAGCAGAGGGACAACCCTGCCTGGTATGGGAATGCATGAGGCCATGGCACGGGTAGCTTACACATCTGGGTAGGCACTATTAATTCTGAACAACATGCGATATACAGTATACAGATTCTGGAACGATGTGTGCTGCCATCTAAACAATGCCTTTTCCATGGAAGAGCTTGCACAATCCAGTAAGACAATGCCAAACCACATTGTGCATAGAGTACAACAGCATGGCACCTTAGCAGGAGAGTCCAGGTGCCAAACAAGACCACCTACAGTCCTGACTTTTTTCACATACTGAAAACACTTGAACACAACAAATGGTGCATTCCCTAACGGCTGTATCTGAATACTTATTTCACAAAGTGTTATGTTAAGATATTTGCTGAAAAAAGGTGTCTCTTGATTGTTTTTTTATGTTTTGTAATACTCTTAATATCTTCTTCCCTCAGAAAATATCTTGATTCCATGACATCACTGAACAACATGCTGGCTAACACACTTTTCCAGGAAAGGTAAGCTTTCCACTGTGGTTGGAATTGAGGAATAAATCTCTCCATCAGTTTGTGGAAACGGTTGCTGTCTTTGTTTGGTCTGTCCACTGGATAGGTGAGGGGAACAGCTGATGATGAGATGTTGCACAGTCACCATTTCCAGCTTGTCTATGTGGCATAAATTTGAGAGTTTGGGGGCAGGAGGAGAAAGACAGTTAGAGATGAGTTGTGCCTTTTTACTGAACCTCATCCTTGTTATTGCTTTACAACATGCATTTATGAAATTTGAATGAGTATGGCCTTTTAGGTTTTAACCACAGCTTTTACTACAGCACGATATTTTATGGAGTTTTGGCACCAAATAAGCCCATTTATGATTTTTCCATATTCATTATTTAGCCAGATTAGGGAGACAGTTGTTGCTCTAAGACCTCAGTTGCTGTTATTTTTTGCCATTAATCCTCTCCTCTTTGGACCATCACTATTTCTCACGTCAACTTTTGGAAAAGCTACGAAACCACACTGTCTCAGAAATGGCTTTAGTTAAAGTTTGTAACCATGGCTCTGTAATTGTTGATGATCCTCATAGAAATCACTCTGTTGTTATTTTCATTGTGTTGACATGTCTTGTTCTTCTGTTCTCAGAAATGTGAATGGGAATGTGCAGCTGCAGGTGGACGGTTGTCATGCTGTCCAGTACGAGAGGAAGCTGCGACCTCTCGAGGAACGTAAGAGGACACAGCGCCACCTGACTCATCGCTCTGCTGCTGGGAGGAAGAAATCTGGTAGGCCTGACGTGTATTCAGCCCTCCATTCAGGAAACGTCTTTTTTCTAAAACTGGGGATTGTGTAGCTAAGTGGGACAACATCACATGCTAATGCACGTTTGTTTCCAATAAATAACTCCCCTGTGTCACGGTAAGGTTAGCCAAATATGACTCTGAATGAGTTCATTTCATTGCTGCAACAATAAAACTCTATTTTGAGTGCATGTGTGTATTTGATTCAAAATGCCAGTGATGCAACTGACATTTGTCTTTCCTTAAAATGCTGCATACCTCAGGGAAGCAATCCAAGGCCTCCCCGAGTGTGAGCAGCAGTCAGGAGGGAGAAGAGGGAGAGGAGGTGAAGCAAGTCCTCGAGCCAGGCTCACACAAGGCTTTGGTAGCAGAGCAAAGAAAACAAGTGGCCACACCACTGGAGCGCTGCCACGGTGAGGCTCTGTCCAGCTCAGAGGCAGCCGCGCACAGTGCCAGGCCTACAGTCAACCTGCTCCACATCCTTCAGCAGGGCTGGGACCTCAGGTCAGTCTGGATTCTGGGCTGCTGCTCAAACTGGCTGCTGCTCACCTCTTCCTCCCCCTACTGTATTTTCCGCCTTCTCAATTTCCCCCCTTTCCAAAAAAAAAAAAGTAGAAATAAGTAACAATAAAGAGGTTGAGAAGGAATGTAGGCCATCTACATAGCTGATGTATTTTATGAGTACGTCAGTAGACAGAGATATTTCTTCTATTCACTGTGAACCCCTCTCCAAATTTGAGTCTACTATTTATCTGCTTGCAGCTAGAGGTGGGGATTTAATCCCATCTCCACTGAGGACCTAGTTCCTCCTTTTCCAAATCTGAAAGCGAATATTACTTGTAACGTTCAGAGTCTGGTGGTTTTTCTATCCTATTGTTATCTCAAATTGAGACACGTCATCTAAATCAAGTCAGCGATGCACAAACCAATGCTGTTTGCCCGGTAAAGTTTTTGTTTAAACAATTATGAAGCAAAATAATTTATTGCAAGGGTGGAGACACAACAAGAATAATCAAGCACACAAGCGCTCTGTATCGAATTTAACCAAAAGGCAAAAAACTCTGTAAACTCTGCTGCTGTTGCTGCTCGAACAGCCACCCTCCTCCTCCACTCTTACGCAGTTGTAAAAGCCCGAAACATGATAGAAGCTAGATAGCTTCTACTACCTGGCTGAATGAGGTGACATGGGGTTACACGATGATGTATTCAAGGTAAGGTCTATAAGATATGAAATTAATTATTCTTTTCAGATACGAACATTAACTTATGGAGCTTTAAAAGCTATCAGGAGTGTTAAAAAAATGCATTAGCCTATTGTCTCACTTTTCCACCAAATAACAAAGGAGGAAAAAGTGAAAACAGTAAGACTCAGATTGCAGATAAGACTTGATATTGGCAGCAGTATCCATCAAAATGATCAGTGTCTACCCCTACTTAAAGCTCATTTGTTGACTGCCAATTTTTTTTTTTTTTTGCAGTTGTGCGAAAAAAAAGTTGCAATTGTATTTTTAATTGCTTTGTTGCTTTACACTTAACAATGTGTATTCTTTCACTTTGTTCTATAAAACAGACTTTGATAGTCCCAAACAATTATCACATGTATGAAACAGTAAGTAGGTCTTTTTCTACAACCATACAACTACATGAGGGGTTAAATACAGACATTCAAGTCCTTAATAGGGGATTTTCAGTGTCTTATCTCTGAAGTCATGTTGCTTAATGTATTTCTTGTTGAGCTTTACTATATGTCAAACACACACTTCTTTAACCGTTTTAAAGACTGCAATCTTGTGTTTGTTTAAGGAGTGTGCCCAAATTATAATTTGGGAAAGAATTACAATAACAAGTCTGACTTTGTATAAATTCCTCAGTGCTTGCCAGGACTGTTCGTGTTGTAGGGAAATTATAGTATGCCATCATCATTGTTTTGCATTTGACAGCTTTTTCCAAAACAGTTTTTTTTACACTACAACCTTCTGACGGTAATCACTCCAGGTTCACCTGGGCCACAGAGACAGCTTATCATCTCAATAGCAGCGCAGAACATGATACACAGTGTCTCAACAACCTGTGGTGGGGAGTGATACATACCTTTTTTTGTTGTCTCTTGCTTTTCTAGTCGATATGTCAGCAAATTAAAATGAGTGTAGCTGCTTTTTTCCTGATGTAACAGATGTTTTTCAGATTCAGCCTTAGCTTCGTCATCTTAGCTGCCAGTTTCATCTACTGCTGCTTTACTTTTGTTCTTGCTGATTTCTCTCTTCTTCCCTTCTCCAGTAAAGTGCAGGCCCGCGTGGCTTTTTCCTCGTACCTGCAGCGAGTTCAGCAAAGACTGTTAGCAGAGAGCAGGGCCTACACCATCCCGGCTTGTCCAGAAAAGGACAATGACCAAATGGTAAAAGGATGAACATTTTTTATCCTCCCTGGACATTGTTTCCTCTTAATGTATACATATGGTATACGCCAGATTTCCCCTTATTATTATCCAGTTACTCATACATACCCTGGCTGCAGCTGTAATGTAAACGAGGCCGTCTGGCCACATTGAAGGAAAACGTGGTCTCTGCTAAAGTCAGCCTGATTGGAAAGTCTGCATTGTAGAGGCATAAATCATCGTCATCATCATCATCTGTGACCTCAAACTTTCGGGGAAAATCAATTTGAACTCGCAAAGTGGATCTCTAGGCCATTAAATTCAATGTTGCAATGTTTTAAATGGCTTTAAACCGAGAAAAAGGAGAACACACACATACACACACGGGCACTTTAAAAAAAGCAGCAGGACGAATCAGCGAGTCAATGCACTGATAGTAAAAGATGTTTTCCGTCTGCACAGGAGCTGGTGATTCGTTTCCTGAAGAGAGCAGCCAGTAACTTCCAACAAGACATTAAGGTGGTCTTGCCCAGTCGCCAGCTTCCATTCCAAGACCGCAGACGAATCCTGTCCCACCAGCTGGGGGAGTTAATTCACTGTTACAATAAGGTACAGACTAATGCTCAACCACAAAATCCCAAAATTAAGAGGTGATGCCAAGATGGAAAACACTGTGAACATGCTTTCTAATCTTGTCACATCTTCTCAGGAAACTGATCGTATGGTGAAAAAACAAGAAGACAGCAAAGAAGACCATTTTGTCAACCCTAGTGTGTTTCAAGAGTACATCTCCACAGCCAGGTTTGTGAACTGGCAAGCCCACAAACCATTGTTCCGTTCAGAAGCCTATACTGTTCCAGTTGTATGTGCTACTGTCGGAAAAATCAGCTCAACCTGCTTTGTACATTCATCTCCTGTCATCTTTTTATTTATTCATTCATTTTTTCAACAGTGAAAGTGATCTGGAAGAAGTACTGACATTCTACATGCAGAAAAGTAAGCTCTTCTGTTTCTTTTTCCAAAATTCACTTTTACTGTACATCCAATCTTTAAACTCATCAGGTATTATTGTCTAACAGCTGTTTGTGCCTTTCTGTATGGTGATCTCTGTATTTCCACTGTAGCAGCCAGGCAGTGGTTAGTGACTTCTGGTCAAGACTCCTTTTTTGTATGTTATATTTGTTTACCATCCAAGTTGCAACTGAAGAAGTTAATGCGTACTGAAAGCTAAAGTAAAGCCCTTTCAGATATGTCTACATGTGAAAAGTGTCATAATCTGGCTCATTAAGTCCCCAGGAAAGGTCCTCATCTGTTTCTGGTGAGTGTCAGTTTTACTGTAAATAGAGGATTCATGCTGGCTAATTTCAGTGGAATGACCCTTTTAAAAAAAAGGACATTCTTGTGACACACTTGCAGATGAGTAAGTCTTGAATTCTTTCAGAAAAAAACAAATTATGCAGATTTTCAAGAAGTTGAAATGCAAACTTTTTCAGGTAAACTGAAAAAATACCTAACTCTTGATACATTCAAGGTCGTCAGGAAATCAAGATGCCGATTGGCTTTTTTGGCAGTTTCTCCATTTAAGCTGCAAATTCTTGACCTTGAATGTTTTGTTAGCTGCGCTTGGATGAGGATATCTGTTTATAGAGGTACAAAATATTTTGTCAGATTACTGTCGAAGGATGTCAGGTATTACGCCTTGGCTTTTGCATGGACTGTTTTCCCCTGCATACATGCCTGCAGAGACACGATTAGTCAATTCTACTTGGACCACAAACCTGCTATAAACAAAAACCAGAACACTTCTAATGCTAAAATCAAGACCCCCAACAACAGATTTCTATGTTTTTATGGTGAATTAGTAAATACAGATTACTGTAGGCCTGGTTTCTGTTTAATATTTTATCATTCAAGCACAATAAACAGGATTTGTTTATCGTTGTAAAGTCAAGAGGAAAACGTTGAGTCATCTGGGGTGAAGATAAGGTTAGCTTTCAGTGAATGGTGCTCACAGAGGGAAAACAAATGTATGTCAGGGTGGAGGAATGGCTCACTGATGATAAAAGAGCTCTGGCTTCTGTCCTCTTTGAACAGCTCTGCCTGTGGCCCAGGAGGATTCCAGTGCTTCAGAGTCCTCGCTCTTCACAGGGGAAGTCAGCAGTGACCCAGACATTGAGGTCTCTGAAAACCAGCCCACTGTCTGTGCTCTGCCAGAAGAACAAGCGGCAGTTAGAAGTAGTAAAACCCAGCCCGAGGTCCAGGCCTCCCAGCACTGCTCTAGCTCCCCTTTGACTTTGGACTGCACCCATATTTATCATCAGCATTGCCCCCCCAACACCACATCCCTGCCCCTGCATTGTCCACCACCACCGCCACCACTATCTCCTCAGCCACCGTCCTACACACAGTCCTTGGCAAGGTCTCAGTTCTGCCATGCTGAGGGTCTCTCTGAACCTCCTGCGTACGCCTCCACTGTCATGGTCACACAGCCTCCAAGAGCAGAGTGGACAGAGGTGTCTTCTGGATCTCATACCCTCTCTACAGGGCACCCAACTCAGTCCTTTACCTCATCAACACCCAGTTCTGGGGCAGCCTCGTTCTTACTCAGACCTACACCAGAATGCCAAGGTAAACTCTCGACTACTTGCTGTTGTTTTATAAAATTCACTCCCATGTTCTCACATTTATCTCTTGTTGTTCTCTCATCAGTGATCAAGAAGAAGAAGGGGAGCTCCATTGAGGTGAGTTCTTTATGTTTTTATGCCAACAGGCAAGAAAAAGAGGCCATGTTGAGCTGTGCAGCAACTGTGAGCTGATGGCTGTGATGTTTAGTGTTAAGAAGAAGAAGAATCTGGCCCCTGTGCAGTAGTCTCTCACTGTGAGGTCTGTGATATTCCTCTTTGTTGATGTGTAAACCTGGCTCTGACCCCATGCTGATTGGCGGCATCTAGCTGCTCATTCATTCGTTCTGTAGACCTGTTGGAGCCGGAGGGTCTGCTGCCCCGCACAGTACACCTTCCTCCTCCTCCAGTTCCTGACTCAACTGCTGTCTGTGGGCTTGGGTTGGTGCTCAGGAGGGTGAGGGAGGCGGGGGGGGGGGGGGGGGGGGGGGGGGGTCTGGAACTGGGAGATTGTAGCTGACTGGCCCAAAACAGTGGTGAGCCGCATCAAGCGTCAGCTCTGTGTGAGGTCTCATTATCAGATGCACCATGGGGGAGTGATTTCTGTTGATACTTAAAAAAGCAGCTTCTTTTTTGTGGTAATTGATGCTTATAAATAGAGGAATGTGGCAAATTGGCACTGAGCTGGGGGAGCGGCAGCTCCGTTGGCTCCATCACCACCTTCTGCTATATTCCCCAAAGGTTTGTCATTCCACATGGGGAGCCCCGCAAACTTCTCTCCCTCCTTCATCTCTTCCTTCTCCTCCTCCTCTGCCTGAGTGGATTTTTTCTGTCAAAGTGTTTTTTTGTGATGGCACCAGACCACACAGACTGCTGATTTTTATGGCTCCCTTCAGACTGTACATTTTTCTGTCCATCTGAAAGGTGTTTGCTGTATTTCATAGAATACTTAATCCTGGACTTGGCAGCAGTTTATTTTGCAAAGTTAAACAGTCCAGTGTTTTGCACTTTAAGGTTCAGGGTTCATTTTGTGTTATTTTTTCAAGGCCTCAGATTTGAAGTCATTAAATCAGTTGCTGCACTGGAGGGAGAATTTGGGGAACTTGAACAACACCCTGTTGCACTAGCTGACCTCTAAGGTTTCAGTAATTACTCCCTCTCTTTCTCATGCTAGGCCACTTGTATACAAACAGTAAAATTGAGTAAAGCCAGGCATGGCCACAAGGTTGATATACTCCTGTGATGTGATTTTTAGGTTTTAGGACATACATGGATCTCTCTAGTGTCACACACTGGTGTTTGTTTTGATCTCACCACATAATGTATGACCTTTCATCTGAAAACCTCAGCATTATTGGCACCTTCATTTGTGTTTGTATGATCACAACCAGTCTGCTTCTGTAAGTTACCTACAAGTGTGGCTGTATAACACCACACCAACATATTTTTAATGCCAAGACTTGGCAGCATTACAAGTTTCCCAGTGGAAATTAACTGCAGTGAAGGAAATCAGGTAAATATAACACTCCAGTAGTATAATTAATTCTCCTTTAGATTTCACTGAACATTATTCACATGGCAGTACAGGGCAGGACTGAGGGGCAGTTTTTCCTCAAGTCCTGATGTGGCTGTAAACAGTTTTCAAGCTGGCAGTTCATGATAGCTGATCCTACCAGGGATGAAGAACAGGGAGGGGACCACCTGGATTTAGTGCTGAGTGGAGACTAGCTGTGCCATGTGCTGTGTGTACATTTCACATAGCCCCCAGACACACAAGATTGAATGGTGCATGTAGGGAGGAACAGTATATGAAAGCTTATTCATTGAACGTTTGCTCTGCTGTAGACATTTGGACGCCTAGAAGTTCGTTGTTTGATTTAAATCTTATTGAAGTTTCCTCCTCTTTTCACAGTTGACCAGCCTGAATAAAGCCAGCAGGATGCTGGGTGAAGAGAGCTTCACACCGAATCCTGAAGTGCTGCACACCGCTGCTACGACCCATCAGCCAGTGAAAGCTGTTAACTCTGGAAAGGATCACTGTGACACCATTAGGTGACTTAACATTTGACCAAAATTATTCAGCTGCTTTTTACAGCCAAATAAAAACCCACTGGGGAAAGTGCACTGCTAATGTCAGCTGGTGGTCTGTATAGCTTGATAGCTGCTTGGCTAAAGTTAATTAAACAGCATGTAAATGTAGATGTTGGTCCCGGCTTTGTTACATACTGGAGTTGCCCTTACTTTTTAGTTCCACTACACACACACACACATGCCATCCCTGCTTGCTACTTTTTCTCAACACATTTCCCTTTCTGTTGAAAATGACTAATCATTACCTTCAAGTACTTTATTAAAGGTACAGTAAGTAGAATTTAGTTGTATTTGAAGGTCCCCAACAAGAAGATTGAGCAGCAATATGATCGGCACACATCACTGAATATGTCCATTTATACACTCTGCACCTTTTAGATAAAGTTGGAACAATCTTGACATCATTTCCTTCAAAAATGATGAATTACTAAAGCCTCTTTTTTCACACTTCAAGAAAACTCCTGAAAATTCCCCAACTTTATTGAATTGGGCTGCATGTGAGAATAACTTTGGCTCAATTTTCAGAACACCTTTATGTAATGCATTGGTTTGTCGATCCGTGGGGGTGGCAGAGACAGAATTGTGGCGTCAACCTTGTTGCTGAGGTTCAAAGCATGTTTTTTCTCAGAGAGCCTTTGGTTTGAAAAGTCATACTTAAGAGTAGTCAGTCTTCATAGTGTACACAGCCCGCTTAGTCATACTCAATACAGTCGAATGGCTTTCTAAATGGTCTTTGACAACTTTTTAGATGGAGGATTATTAGTCTTTGGTCAAGAATTTTAGGTTGCCCACAGTTCAATGGGCAGACTGGTTCAATACTCTGGAAACAGGCTTTTTGTTCCTGTTTTTGACTGTGCTAGTTGGACCTGAGTGAGACTAGGATTGGCAGCTGAGTGCAGGAAGAGTGTGAAGCATGCTGGCATAGTGGAGGAGGAGGTGATGAGGGGGCAAAGTCAACACCCACACAGTCTGTCTACTACAGGCTTTTGCCTCAGTGACCATTCCCCTGCCGCTTCACGTTGCTCTGAAGAGACAAGGAAGGAAACAGAAAGACTGAGTGTGATCCCATAGTCATGCTCCATGGTATCATGCCAGGGTAACAAAGTTATTGGCTACTGTGAGAATAATTCATTGAAGGATAAGCGTCTACTCCCTTTTTATTTTTGTCTTGATACGTGAGTGACAATGTCTCAGACAGCTTGGCCTTGATCTTGGACTCTGTTTTTCCAGTTCAGCCCTTCCTTTTGTATCAAGCTGTCAGAGAATTCCTGGAATGTCTGGCCTTTTTCGTTTTTTTGCAAAGTTTTTTTCCATAAACCAAGACAAGAGATTTAATAGAATCTGTAATTTTTTTTAGATAGACTCATGTAGCTTTAACATTTGATACAGAGGAAACAGAAGTTGCCTTTTGATCTTTGGTGTACCTAAGAAGCTCTTCTGTTTTCATATATCCAGCATTCATTCTCCATATAAAGCTCGTGTCTTATATTTTTCCTGCCGGCTCATACATTGTTTTGGCACATCATAAATCAGAAGTTAATTTGGTGTAGGTTAACTTATCGCCCGTTGAAAAATTAGGTTACTATAGGGGTATACAGTAGCAGCTCACTTATCCTATATGGCCCCACACATTTACCGATTCATCATTAAAAAAAGCAAAAGCCTGACATTTACCTCTTATAGCAGTAAAACGTGTCTTTTAAGATATAAGGTTAAGTCGCCTTGATTTTTCACCTTAGTGCTGTTTCTTATAACACAGAATTTCCTGAGCACCCCCCCCCCCCCCCTTTGCTCAGGCTCAGGGTTTGTGCCAAACATGCTGAAGCTGTTAAGCACACTGGCTCTTTAAGCAACCACAGGGGTGAAGTATGATGGGTTTCAAAGAGGAGCACGGCTCTTTGAAGTGCCGCTGCCAGGATCTACCAGGTATGCTGCGTCAGCACTCTTAGAGCTGCTGCCTCACTCTGCTGCCCGTCTTTCTGCACCCACAACTTACTTTGGGGTCATTTATATTGTCGAATCTTAAAATAAGTTTTAGTGTAAGCATTTTAACACCGGGAATAACAGCAGATAGTAACTCTGACAGTTATGTAGTTTTGTATCTACTTTTTGGCTGATTAATCTTAAGTTTGAAGGATTTGGTTGCCTCCACAGTTTGTGATCCAAAATAATTTTTAACTGATTTAGTCGCTGGACATAGTTGGCTCTCTCTGTTTGTATTGATCATGTGATTATCCATTATAGTATCTTGAGTACCAGCAGTCTGGACACACTAATTGCTGCCCCATTTTCTTTTCCCTGTTCCTACAAATGATCGTAAACTCTCATCTCTGCAATGCAACATTCATTCCAACACAGTTTGAACCACAACTTGCATTATGTGGAGTATTTTTAGTTCTGTCCAATATTTTGGTACATTGTTGTTTGACTTGGTTGAATATTACACAGACTTACCATTCCAAAGGGGTTGTATGACAGCCCAGTTGGAGGAGCAACAGCTTAACTAATCAGAAAAAACTCTGGTGAGAATTTCAAACTTCTTTGATGGTGGAAAAAGTTTCCACAAAATTGGTTTGATGTGTCTCTTCCTTTGGATTTAAAGCAGAGGTTTTATTCACTTTGATTCAAACCAGATGTGGTTAAAGGGAGAAGAACCCTTAAGGTAAGAATGACAGAAATTCCAGTGAATGGAACTAAGTTATTCAGCATATACGAGCACTTACACAGCAGTACAAATCTCATTCTGTGCAGGACCGAGGCGATGCAGCCACTCTCAAGTTTGTCAAAACAAGTCATTCCTAAGTTAATTCTCAGGCTAATGCAAACAAATATGGCACTTAATAACCTGGTGGTTTACTGAGTATGTGTTAATACAGTAACTTTGAAAGTGTTTTAACTGGTAGGATGGTTGCATGGATATATCTGTACAGTCATCCAGTCAAAAACACTTTAAAAAACAACAGGAAGTCTCTGAAGTCCTAACAGCTGTAATATCATTTTAAATACACGTTACCAGAGGCCAAGAAGAATGTTTGCTGTCAGTTATTTGTAAATGTAGGTACTACTTATAAAATTTGGTCATTTATTATTATTTTTTCTAATTTATTGTCTTTTCTATGTTGGATTTTATTTTTAATTTATTGTGATAAATATGTAATCTTCATAATCTTTGTCAAAGAGCTTCTCCATCATTGGAAAGCTCAGATGCAGCATTCATCACTTGTTTTAGATAAGGTGATAAACAAAGCACAAAGCTCTGCACCAAACTCTGAATTATTCGAACAGCCATTAGAGTTGTCATTTATATGCAGCTGTTGTAACCAGCTCCAGTGTTATGATAAAAAAATCAAGTAATTGAGTTTTGATATTTCCCTGTAGCCATTACCATACCTGGGACTGAAAATGTAATGTAATTTCAAAAGTCTGTTCTGTGAAGTATCTTTTCTTCTTCCGGTTAAAAAGCCTTTTCTCAGAGCTCCTTTGAGGTACACCCACATCGCAACTTCTGGTGTGAAAGCATAAAGCCAATACAGAAGTTCAAATGGTTGACTGATTTCAGTTTTTCAGGGCCGATACTGATTATTATGGTATTATATTATTATTATTATTATAATTATTATTATTATTATTATTATTATTATTAATAATAATAATAATATTATGATATTGAATTTCCCTTTGGGGATAAAATAAAGTTATTCTTATTCTTATTAGTAGTTCAACCAATATGCACCAGCAGTTACGACAGTAAAACACAAACTTTCTGTCGTTATGTAGAATTTAGAGTTTCACAAACTACAACACAAAACTTTGTTGACATGCCTTCAAAAAAGATTTACTCAAAATTGAAACTTTCAACAGCGTGTACAGGAATTAGCAGTTAACCAGTTATTCCTACGTGCAGTTATGTCACACAGCCGTATGATGTCCAGATGGTGTTGTGGGAGGGACACTAGATGAGCGACATAATAAAAACACCTTGACCAGCAGCAAAGCCAAAACAGAGCACTTTTTAATTAATGAATTTTTATCGGCCATCTATAGAAAAAAACAACCAACACATTCAATAATCACACTGATAACTGCAGTTTCTCAAGTGTCCGTTTGAAGCTGACAAACCTATCTAGTGTCTAAATTCTTGACATCTGAGTTTATTCATTATCCATCCGTTTACATTATATTAAAGGGATAGTTCACTTTTTGAATGCAGGACTGTGTGAGGTACTTGTCAGATGCTGGTCAGTTAAGCTCCTTGGTTAGAAAGCAGCAAGAGTACTGTTATGGAAGCTGGGTGGTCAACTTTAAGAGACTGGCTCAGCTCTATCATGCAATTTAGATTATTTTAACAAACTCCAAACCAAAGTACTATTCTTGATGTAAGCATGTGCTCTATTTTGAAAAATTTTAGTGCTTGACTTTGCATTCAAAGAGCCCATTTGTTCTTGCACTTCTTTTAGACGATGCACATATGTGTTCCTCCACCTAACATGTGCATTGGTGAATGTGACGTGTACTGTGAATGCTTTTTTGAGTGGTGTTATATAAGTGCAGTCCATTACACTTTAACTACTTCCATGTTTTATACAGTGTATAGTTAAACCCTGAACTTTTCATTTTACATCATTACTCCTCCCTGGGACCAGCATATTGGTAGTGGTAGTTCAAGATCCTGTTTTGCTCAGAACTGGGCTAAAACAACAGCAACCGCATCCCTGTCTAGTGATCATTTGTGTCACATTGAGTGCCATGTGTCACAATAAAACAAGGTAAACAAACAGCTGAGTAATGTTTGGGAACACCATCACACTCTGTGGTGAGTTGATGTTTACACTGACCAGTCGGGCTCTGAGATACTGTGGCATGATGTCATCTCAGACAGTCCATTTTCCCACATTCACGCTGAGTTAGATTGATGCCGCACATGTGCTCAGCTTGCACTGCTGTGTTGTTCTACAGTAAGTCATATCAGCATATTAAAGGATCAGGAGCGCAGCATGAAGAAAGCTGACACCAGCAAGCAGAAGTCCGACAGGAAGGGGAGTCCCAGATAGTTGGAGCTCCACACATGTGCTGCTTTAGTGATGAGAAACTCAGATGTAAAACTGATCTTTTCTTTCACTTCTTTCATTGGTCGCTGTGTTGGGCTTAAAGCTCTTGCAGGTTTTATATCCATGGTGATCTGTGGTGTTATTTGCGTAGTGTTGTGTCGACAGGCTCTGTATGAAAAGACTTCTCCTTGGGGTCCTTTGCAAAATAGTACTCACAGAAAGCATATGTTGTTGACCGGAAAAGTAGTCCATTTAAGGCTGTGCTCTAATAAAATGGTAGCACTCAAGGTCCCCTCGGTCCAGTTTGCAAACTGCAGCCAAGCTAAAGGAAATGACTGCTGTAAACAAAGAACCCGTTTTTGTTTGTCTCCTGGTGTTTCAAGGATCTCTGGCCTTGCAAGGTTCACAGACAAGCCTTTGTTTCCAGAAGTTGAAAAAATTGAATTGGCCCGTGGTCACAGCAGTTGTTTATGTAATATATATGCCATTATGTGAACTGAGAAATGCATGGGCGGATAGCATGGTTACATGAGTGTGAGGCCCCATGTGTCTTTGTTTGGCCACACAGGACAGGAATCTGTTTTCACTTGAGCGACACAAGATTATTATCCCACAGTGTGCATTGTTGTTCAAGATTAATTGAATTCTATTTTTAGAGCTTATCATGGCGTTGGTCTAAAAATGAAGCAGACATTGTTATTTTGAGTCTACAGTGTTTCCTTTACTCTAGACTTAGGAAAAAGGTTATTGCATAAATGGGGGAAAATTCGTAGAACTATTTTGTTCCTGTAATCCCGAAGGATTCCCATTTTATTGGCTGTATTTCTGTTTTATTCACATTTTCCTTGCATGTCCCAATATCACTTGTCATGGCATTATTTTTGGCTCAGGTGTTGATACATCAAACCTTTTCAGACTACATAAAAGGCTTAAAGTAAGTGTGTGTTTGTGTATGGGATGGGGGGTTAGGGGGGCAGCGGCGGCTGGTCGTCTCATTGCTTGGCACGGGCCAGAAATGAAAAAAAAAAAAAAGTTGAAACAGGCTTAGTTCTAATGACAGATAATCCAGTTACAAAGTCGTGGAGTTTGTCAAAAGGTTTGTTTTCCAGGTTGTGGCTTTGTGAAGTGAATGGACCGTGAAGCCAGGGGAGCGCTGAGGCAAAAAGGAAAAGTTTTGGGTTCAGCCTGTGTAGGCCACAGGCGTGCCTCCTACTTTGACTCCCTGATTTGTTTGGACATTAAATTACACCTTAAGTTGATCTCTGTCTCCGTGTCTGCTTCTGGGTCCTCACAACTCACCAGCCACACCACAGTTTGCTCACTTTGACTTGAGGTTTCTGTGGGACCAGCAGTGACTACCGGGGATGCTCTAAACTTTCTAATTATTGTACTCATGGTGGAGATTAAGCAGCTACTGTCACATCTCTGGCTTGGTTAGATGGTGAAATACAAGGCAAGGAAAAGGTTGTCCCAAATGCTGTACTAGTGTGGCCCACAGTTGAGCCACTAAGTGTGCACTGTCCTGAAATATTTCAGGTTATGATTAGCTGTTATTAGGTTCATATACTACCTGCAGAGAGTAAGGGAAAAGAGAGCCAAAAACTATTGTTGATCATTGGTATTTTGTACTCGTTGACAGTGTATGAGAGAAAAGTTTTCACACGCGATGACTTAAGTGAAATGTTAGCTCTCCCTCTTGAACCTCTTCCTGTCCAATCTCACCTCCCACCACACTCCTACAATATTCCCCAATATCACCAGAGTCTTTCTGTGAGAAAACAGTCTTCTCCAGGGCTATTTTCAATATGGGCTCAAACTTTCATCGTTGTGAATCAATCAATCAATCAAATTTTATTTATTTAGTGCCAATTCACAACAGTCGTCATCCCAAGATGCTTTTCAAAGAACAAAAGCAGGTCTAGATCACGCTCATTGTTTGATGAATTATCAAGACCTAACCTAAGATGGGATTCGGCCCATCTCAACTAACATGAGTAACAGTGGCAAGAAACCTTGAGCATGACCGGACTCATGCCAGACAGCCACCAGGCCGCTGCTGGGTTGGGGAGGAATACAGAGATATAGGGGGAGAGAGAGAGAGAGAGAGAGAGAGAGATAGGGGGAGAGAGAGAGAGAGAGAGAGAGAGAGAGAGAGAGAGAGAGAGAGAGAGAGAGAGAGAGAGAGAGAGAGAGAGAGAGAGAACAAGATAGGGGAAAGAGAGAGAGAATGAGTAAGAGAGAACGAGGGTGAGAGAGAGAGACAGGGGACAGCAGCGACATTAAAACAACAGCAACAACAACAACAGATCATGTAATGGTAAAACAAACTGAATTCAGTTTACAGGGTTAGGATATGAGTAATTATGGACTATGTTAAATTAATTAAATGTGATTACAGTCAGCAGGCCTAATAGTAGTTAACTCTAGATTTTTGTTATTAATGTCAGTGAGGCTGATGTTCATGTCTGCAGTTACAGTCCAGAGGAACCCAAGAGAAGAAGGAGCTCAGGGCCTGAGGCGGACAATCATAGACGATGCGGTTGGAATATGTCATATTTTGTTCTTATATTTTCACACCTGTTCACTGACTTACCTACATCTGTGCTCTCTCAGCCATAGGCCAGGGAAGCACAACAATGGTCTTTGGGAAAGCCAGATGCAGAGTGCCTACAGCTTTATGACAGGTGCCAACCGTCAGCAATGCCACCAGCAGAGCCAAGGAAGCTACCAGCTTCAGTTTGCCATCCTGAAACTACAACAGCAAAGACTTCAGTCTCAACAATATGTGGACCAGAGCCATTGCAGACACCAGGTATTGCAGAATCTTTGTTTTATTCTTTAATGTGATATAAACATCAATAATAGCTGTAGTTATTGTTAAAAAAGGGAAATGCAAGTCCACGGTCCACTATGCACTATGCGCTTTTACAGGCCAAAATTTCTTCTTCCCTGCTCACTACTGACAGAGGTGTTAAAAGCTTTAAGTGTCAACAAACTCATGTTTCTTTGTAGCTCACACTGTTTAAATTCCTTCGCAGACTTTCAATGTCAAGTTTGAGTATAAAAGTTGAGAAAAAACAGGTTGTGGAGCATCTTTTGTTTGATGTCTTTTCCTGGATGAAAATTGAATATGTCTGAGAATTATTGAGCCGTAACTCAGGAAAACCCTAATATTTGTGTCTGCACAAAATATTCCCCTACCTAAGCACTCTGCTGTCCAAAATAGTGCAAAACCAGCGTCAAGGGGAAAGCTTTCATGTTAGCCTTTACACTGCTATTTTAAGAATATCTTTCCAAACCACTTAACAAAATGGTGTTCAGTGGGAATATCCTGAACAGAAGCTCGTTCCTGGAGAGCCAACATGACTCCTCACTTTGAGATTACATTGTTTGGCTGAGGGACGCAGTGAGGCTTATATTGGAAAGCAAGTGATACAGGAATGCCGCCCATAAGGGTGCAAGAGAGGCCTCAGTGCTGAAGTCTATTATAGCTTTACTGTTGAAGTGAATATCAGATTTGAGCTTCATTTGTGTTTTTATTGCAGCACACATATCTTTTGAGATATGATTTTTCTCAGGAAAAGTAATGTAGCGACGAGAAAGCTTTTAGTCATGCATTGCTAGCCATGACAGATGTGATTCGGCTGCTTTGAGAGGGAGATAAGAGAGTCAGAGCAGTCTCTCATTTAGCACATCATAAGTTTTATGTTTGAAAGGAAAAATAGGCCCCTCATATCTATGAATATCCCGTGGAGGAGGATATTAACAGAACAAGCAATTTTTCCAAAGGATTCTGTGGAGCCTATGAAGCCGGAACAATGTCAGAAAATTATTATTAGATTAAAATGATTCGATAACATTGATCAATATAGGATAACGTAAGGATATGAAGTGTGATAAACTTCTGTTTGAGCATGTATGTGGTAGGTTCTGACTTAGTTTTCATGTCCGTCTACCCTGTCCATGTTTAAAGAATAAAAATCTCCTTCCTGAATCCAAAATAAAATCCTGAAAGTGCTTCATTCATAACCCAACAATCACTTAGTTTTGCTGACAAACAAAAATTATCACACTGTACTCTTGAAAAGAATTGAGTATGATTTGTTTCTCCTCTGCCATTATTGCTGACAAAGTAAATATCTCTTCCTGTCTTAAATCGATCAACGTGGAAGGAAAGACACTGATAAATGTGACAGTGCTCCAAAACTTTAACTATTTCTGCCTCATATAACCCCACTTAATAAAAAAGGCTACTGTCTCTTCCATCTAAGGCCCGCTTGTGCTTATATAGCTGCATCAAACTGCACATCCATTCTCCACAGGCCTCCATCAGATTGGTATAAAGTAGATCCATTTTAGCAAGTTTATTTTAGCAACTCATAATTTGCCTCCCTATGTTTGTTAATTGAAAAGGTTTATATTGTGTTAACTTTTAGATTTGGTATTTATTCTGCAACCCTGAAGCTTTCCTATGAGTGAGAAGGAAAAAAAGACAGCTAAGTGCCATTGGACAGCTTTGGAATGGAATAGAACAATGTCCCTTTTTTCTTATCTGTCCAATGTTATAAAGCTGCTTCGTGTCATTGTTTGTTCTTCATCTTGATTGGATCTTGATTAATGCTTTTGAGGTGATATTTCTCTTGGCTTTGTCTCACAGTGGTTCTCTAAGCACTAAGTGAAACTAATCCCTTGCCTCCGCCCTGCTCTATTCTCACTTTCACCTTTTTTTTCCAAATCTAAACACAGTTGACCAAATTATTTTTATTGCTCATGTCTCATCATGTACCCAGCCCACGAGGAAAGGAAAATCTCATACAATCAGAAAAGGTGTGTGGCACCAAGAACTGTATATGGACTATACAAAGAGTCATCCTGTTGGAGGTCTGCAGCCAGACTGTCTTGACTTAATGGGGTCATTAGAAGGTTGACTCTGTATATGGTTGTCTGACCATTTAATCTGACATCCCTCCCTAAAATCTTTGTTCTGCCCACATCTTTCTGTCTGCCAGTCTGACCTTGTAATATGTTTTTTCTACAACAAAGGTCTTCAATGTGCAGCTACTTTTAGTGCTGCTCATTTAAACCTGATTTGACTTCACATATAGGAGCGGGAGCTTTAATTCTTTTCGATACGTATGACTAATATCCCTGGACTCACCTTGAAAGCTTTCAGTCCTCATGGGAAAATGAATGAATCATTTTAGAATTATTCAAAGACACAGAGGAAGTGCTTCATTTGATCTAAGTGCTCATATAAACTTTTGTGTATGAATATGCTCATCTGTGGGAGAGAAAGAGACAGGGGGCTGTTCCGGCACTGCCGTCCACGTTCCAGTTACTGGGTGCAGACTCCCCGGCTCCTCCACAGGCTTGGCCTCTGGCCACCTGGCAGCCAAAGAAAGGTGCCCTCCCTGGCCCCGCTCAAACTGAATTGGGGCCATAGGCCTTGCAACCTGGAAACTCAGCGTCTCATTTGTCAACACACAAATTACATCAGATATTCCCTGTCACACTGCAGGCCCTTTGAACAGCAGCATTGTGAAGCTGGAAAACCGTTAGCTTGTTAGATAGCCGTATAAAGCTGCAGAGAAAATAGCATAGGCATGAGATGTGGAAAGAATGTATGAAAAGCATTCCCCAGTACTGCAAGGAGAGAGTGAAATGTGGCTCTTAAATATTATGTCAGAAAGAAAACGGTATTTTCACCCTTCCCAAGCCTTTGAAGAGATCTTGTAAAAACAAATAAATAATCTGAAGAATTTGCTTCTCAGTGGAGCCAACTGCAAAAAAAACGTTGAGCTTGTTTTTGTACTGGATGGCATTTCATTTATATCTGCCTTAATTCATGTCAAGCAGTTTGATACTTCACCTTAATGGCCTGAGGCTACATATTTTCCACATGACAAACCCATTCCAAATGTGATTGCACTTCCTTATTCCTCTTTTGGAATTGGGATTTTTTCTAAATATGTTCTTAAGAGTAGAGAACTGTTTAATTCACACAAAACATGGACAAGACACATTTTATATGCCCTGATAGAACTCCTGGGAGAACTTTGGAGTTGGAGTTGTATGCTCTTGATTAGATTAATTGATGCATGGTTATACCTCAGGTTTCTTTACATTTGATACCTGAGTGGTTTAAAGGACTTTGTTATGAGTAGAATAACTGTTTGATGTAATGAAAACATAGTTCTTTTCATTTTTTTTCACAATTGTCTGTAAATATATCAAAAATGTAGTTGTTTAAGGATTGATCCCCGTGGAACATCACAGGCTACAGATCCCTTCTGGAATAGGATAAGTAAAATGTCACCATATTGAAAGAGTCAGATAGGATGGTTGTTGATAACAAATTTGTGACAATATATTACCATAGGGATACACCTTTATGGGTAGTTAGCCACATTAATAGACTTTCATTATAAGTGTTTGCAAAGCCCCAGTTTCTGTTAAAATGTCAAGGCCAATAAGGGCCAAGGTCTTGTGATCTGTTCTGTTCCTTTTTTTGTTATTTTGGTAGTACTCTGATGATTAATTAATCAAATTTCAACAGTTAAACAGATGAGTTGAGCTGGATTACATAAATATCAATTGCAGATTTGGAATACCAGGTTTAAAAATGATTAATCAGTGAGAAGCTGTTACCAGCACCTTCTCTTGCTGTGCCCTTACTGTCAACCTCAGTTAGTTATCATTAAATTAGCTATAAAAATGTCCATCATTGGTTGTGCTTTGATGAAGTATTGCCTTATAAAACACTTAATACTGACCCCACAAGAGGCATTCTATCACCGGGATTTTTCACTCCTTTCCCTCTGCCTCAACCAGGTAGTCTGAATATGGTTTATAAACGTGACAGCAGTGATGAAGTTGCTACCTCAGAATACCACAGACTACTGTAAATCTAACACTCATATTTCAGTGTTTAGTGTAGATCAAAGTAGCTCCATTGTTAAGTGTTTGGATTATTTGGCAACAGTCCGCTTAGAATCAAGTACTGGAACTAGCTCTGTTGGTAGAAGAAACTGAATAAGTAACCAAACAAAACTGCCAGTCTTGTGAGTTATTATTCCTTTTTTTACTTTATGCTGCATGTTGAACAGTGACACAAAAACAAAGTCACATTTGAGCCCATGAAGTTGTTATGGATCAGCACCACGACAGATCACAGCCGTCTTGATCCTCATGACATCACTCCCTCTTATCCGATACCGCTCAGTTAAATAACAGCTGTCCTTCTTGTTCTACAGGCTCCATTTCCATACCAGATTCCACACTTCCAGGCTTCCACAAACTCATCCAACTGCCCCACTCCAGGCTTTCACGTTCAGCCGGGTCACAGCCATGGTCACAGCCACATCCAGACCTGTGTTAGTCCTATTTACACTCCAAAGCCACCAAGCAGTGCCAGAGAGGAACAGACAAGGAAAATAGCTACAAAGCGCCTCATCAAGTAAGACTGGCCTCAAAAACAAATGCATTTACTCTTTATTCATATCTCTTCAGCTTTTGATGCAACGCGATTCTGTTAGAGTTTAACAAAGTTGCAGTGTAATTTGTTGTGCATTAACTGATTGCTCTGTGCTGGCATTGTTTGGCCGCTGCTTGTGGATTGTGACAAAGTGCATGGGATCGGTGAGTTCAAGCAGACACGGCCAATGCTAATGAGACTTTGAATATGCGTGTAGTGCAGTGCTCGCAGTCTTTTGGCTAGAGGGTGTATCTGCCTGTTCGGTAAACAACCTCATCACAGGCCTGATTTCTGCCTGAACCGTAAACAGAGAGTGGTTCAGTGAAAGGGCCCAGGCTCAGAGCGCCGTTTAGATCCTGTTTGGTTTGGAGATAAGCTGAAGAGCACAGAGGGGAAAAATAAAAGGAGAGGAATGAAACAGTGCTAAACTGCGAGCCATTTCCCTCAATTACTTTATGTACTTTATTACCCCAACATCTGGCCAAATTACACAATAACAGTAAACCTTTGTTATCAGGGCTGATTATTTTTTAAAGCACAGTTGGAGTTGAGAGAGAATTTACAGAATATTCTTGTACATAAAAAGTAAGACAAAGCTAGAATGGAAAAAAGATAGCTTTTTATATCATCCACTTTTTCCTCTGTACCTGGCCAGGAAAGAGTTAAGGGTCCTGGGTGAAGGGGGGTCAGGGGTTGTAGGATAGGTTAGGGCAGCCGAGTAGGTGCTGTGTTTGCTCCTGCGTGTGTGTCTTCCTGGCAATAGCTGTGTTTACCCTCTGCATGTGGAATTCCAGAGCCCCCTCGCACTCTCCTATGTCCTGCATTTTTGTGGTCGACCAGTGTGACGGGGGAGAGTGTGGGAAAAACGGAAGCTTCAGGACCAAAAAATGCACCGCTGGAAACAATGAAAAGAAAGAATAAAGAGGGGGAGAAAAGGAAAAAAAATGACAAAGTAATTGAAAAGTCAACTCTGTCCAGGAGGGAAAAAAAAGATGATTGTTTGCAGAGAATGGTGGGATAATAAGTTGCTTCCCTTTATTTCCAGCACTCTTTTTTAGGGGCAACTCAATACCTCTGTTATTGAATCACATCTGAAATTCATCTCAGTATCAGGCTAAGCCCTTCCAACTTTTAATAGAATCACCGGACTGGGTGCACTCAAACAGTTCAAGGTTTTTCAGTCCTGCAAACACCTCCCTCTAGCCAGCTGTTGAACTGTTAAGTTGTTTTTTCACTACAAACTATCTCTGGACTTTTTCCCATATCAATACACGACTGATGATCTTTTGCAGTTGTAGAATCTGACGATCAGACTGACATGTGGTTTTTTGATTCTGTGTAGCCAGGGAAATGGAGTAAAGATTTCTGTTGATGCAGCTAAATGATTTCCTTGTTTGTAGTCTTGAAAAATCCTCTCAGAGTGCTATCCGGTCCATTTTTTCTGAAACTGCTGACTAGTGTCCACTTATTGGACGGAGTGGGCTTTAGTTTAATTGAGTACTGAAAAGAAACTGGCAGAGTTTCTGACTGACAGTATCTGTGGTTTTTAAGCTCATCTAACATGCAACACACTTCATGAAACAAATGTTCCTCATGTTTGGTATCTGCTAAGCAGGGCAGGGCTCTCTCTGGTCTATCATCATGCCACAGCTGCCAACAAGAGGGGGCTGCGATGCCTCAAAGTGCTATGACTTCAGTGACGGCTTTGAAAGGACCAATTTTTAACACAAATAAATGAGTCGTTTGGTATTTTGTTTGCAAGGTTTGGCTCGACGCAGCTGTAACTACGGAAACCCAGACTGTCGTGTGGCATTACTAATAGGGTGACAATTACAGCGGCACCATTAATGTCAGCCTTACCGCTGCTCTTGCTCCCTATTAATCAGCCACAACAGTAGTTATTTTCACAGAATACTGTACACAGTCTGAAAGCTGCCAAAAGTGTGTTTATGGTTAAACTTTATCCCCTTTGGCAAGTTTGACTAACATAAGGACATATTAGCTACCTAAATGCACAAAGTCAAACTGCACCTCAGCTTTGTTTACATAAAGGCTTCAACTCTCTTTGAGAAGTGTTAAATTTCCAACTTCACTATTGAATATCTTCTGGATGTAGAGTGAGTTCAGATTTTTTCCACATACAGCGTTTCTGACTGCTGCCCGCCTCTTGAAATGACCGAGTGAGAGACTGTTGACAAAGAAAGTGATGTGAAGAACCCAGAGGTCAAGTGTTTTTTTTTTTCCTCTTTTCACTTTCAATATGAAAGGGGTCGCTTCCCGTAGAGGTATGCCGCACTCAAAGTGGGCCAGTTCTATTTGTGGTTGTGCAATGCTATGAAAGAACAACTGTGCAGCCCCTTACAAGGAGGCAGTGTGTACCCTCATTACCTTGTTAATGCTCCTTTGGCAAGCTGCTGTTATGGGGCGAGAGGTTAATGCCAGCTAAGCTTTATTTATTGTTCCCCCTAAAAAATGCTTAGCAGATTTAATGTATAAGGTTACAGACGTGTCTGCACGTGTGCTCTATGCCTCACTACTTCTTCTAATGGTTTACTCTGTAAAAACACTGTATTTGCTGTTTGATTATGTGAAGGGGCTGTGTAATTTCCCCACTGTGAGCTCCAGACCTCTATTGAAAGCCTGTGGGCTAAACACACTAAAAGTAAAATGCTTTATGTTCGATTCATCCTGGAAGATACATATACAGTATGCGTATGCTTTTTCTGTTTCTGGTTATAGCCCAGAGGTCCAAATAGTCAATAATCACCACAGTAATCTTGCCAATGAGAAAATCACATCACCCAGGACAAGCAGCAGGAATTTGCCCCCTGCTTGTCACAATAGCTCATGAGAGGCACTCAGTAAACACTTAACCCCCACTAGCCTCTGCTGACTGGAGGCTATTTGAAATTGACTCCACTCCTCTCTTGTCAGAAGATGACTCATCACACACCATGCCTAAAAAACAATACTAAGAAGTCAGAAACAGTCATCAGGGCATTTTTATTCAAACGTTCAGCCATACATCGTTTGCTTTTCAGGAGCAGTTTGTCTCTGATTTGTTCTTTTGGTCTTACCTTACACTTATTTCTTTTGTGTTTAACAGGCAGATATCCACAGAGAGCTCTGCAAGCGGAGGTGTGTCCAGCGGCCAGCATATGGTGTATGATGCCATCTGTAGTAAAACAAGTGGGTTTATTGCTGCACTCCTACACACGCCTGCTACCACACTGTAACTTATGCCCTTTGTATGCCAGTGTTAGTGATTACAGCCTGGCATAGTGGACATTCCCCATAGACGGCTGATAAACACCACTGGATATTTTTAGTGCGGTAATGATGCTCGATAGTGTGTGCATATAAACTGGCGCACTGTAAGATAACTGTATGGCCACAATAATAAGTAAATACAGTACAGTTTTTAATTACATGTTTTAATGATTTGAAATAAAGTCTTTACTTGTGTTGTTACCACTATAATAGAAATATTCAAGTTTTCCAGTGCAGTAAATTGCTCTGTGATCAATTAGTTTTGACTTGCCTAAAACTAGGGGTCATATTACTGCTGCAGGATAAAGACGCTTTAGGCTTTGACAATGATAGTGGTGTGCTTTTTGTAACAAGATCCGGTGATGGGAATATCTCAGGGGATTCCCATCTATAGGCCATCCCCTGTGCAGATGTAATCCACACTCCAAGTGTCACCCCCAAATAGAACCAAGATAACGTGGAAGTAATTCTATCTGCACTAGCTCTATTATGGGTTATCCTCTGCAATTGTGGGTGCCTGCGCTCACGTGCTCTGTCATCCTGCCCTATTTCCACAACTCTTTCCATCCTGAGTGAAGCGCTGATCTTATTTCTGTAACAGTGATATTAAGCAGTTCGATGCACACATCTGTTTGTCTGATCAGCGGCCTTTTTTTCCATGGACCTACTGTACATTAGCATTAGCAGATCATACCGTTCATCACATCACGTGAGTGTCACAGAGATCAGCATGTCGGAAAAACACAGTGGCTGTGCAACACCCAATCCCCCCCTTCTTAAAAAAGAATTGGTGGGAAGAATGAAAAGAAATGTTTTGGCCACAGACCCTCAAACTCTTCAGGCTGGCTTAGTTTAACAAACATCTTATAAACTCATCAATTACTGTAACTAGATCCGTTGGGAGAAGCTTCTGAATTTCATGAATGCATTTTTTCCATCGTTCAGGGTGCAAAGGGTGGGGGAGATGCCTCACTCTCGACTTCAAAATCATGTCTTAAAAAAATCCAAGTATAAAAAGAAGTCTGTAAGCTATGAAAAAGACTGGGGGTTGAACATACAGAGAAAAAGGCAGGCGCGGCTCCAAATGGATGGTTAGGGGTGGCCAGGGCCCACCTCCAAATCTGGCCACCCAAAATGTCACTCCAAAATCTATTCTTCCATCACCTGTACTGCTTACTTTTTTGAGGAACACTAAAAGCTAGAGCCTATCCCATCTGTCATTAAGCAACAGGGAGGGTACAGCCTGGACAGGCTGCCAGCCCATCACAGGACAAACATTTAATCAGAGAAACAGACACACTCACACCTTCATGGGACTAAAGACCACAGTGGAAAATAAAAAAACATTTGATTTCATGAGAAGTTCCTCAAACTGATGGTTTCAGTTTTATACTTTGTGAGGTTGGGCCTCCATGGATCAGACATCTTACACATGCTCGATTTGGATGACAAATTTGGGACTGCCAAAGACATCCCACTCAATGATAGATGATGGTTCTGATGGGATGATGATGTTTTTCACGTTACCTGCCCTTGATTATTATGTTGTGGCTGATCAGCTTATATTGATTAAATTGCATAGACTATGCATCTGGATTTACATACATATCATAGAGGATCATGTTTGGAGTGACAAGATGGTTGAATATTTCTTTAAATAAATCACACAAAGTTATGATGCCCCTTTGTGAACCAGGCCCCAAGTAATTGCTCACCGTTACCGTATGGTCAAATATCCGATGTTAACAGAGACTCAGTGTGGCGTTTAGCAGGGTGGAGGTGGAGTGTTATTGGAAGGGGCACAGCTTTTGTGGAGCTTAGGAGCGTGTCAGGTCTCTCTGCCTGCCCAGTGTACCTTTTGTAGCGAGATGACTGAGCTCGCCTGATCGACTGTGACAGGGAGTTAGAGCGAGGTCCAAACGGAGAGCATTCTCTATGATCAGCTGTCAACCATCATTAATCACACGCTCCCTTTATCTCTCTCTCTCTTGTGCACTCCCTTAATCTCTTCCTCTCTTCACTCACACAACTCCCCTTTTATTCTCTGAAGTTTTTTTTCCCGCTCCTGCTCACTCACCCCTTTCTCCCCCTTATTTTTTTTCCTTCCACACTTCTTCTGCGTTCATTTTTCGGCATTAAATGAGGGGGAGTGTTTTGATGAGGGCCGATCAAAGCTTACAAACTCAGATTATATCGACCACATGTGTTTTACAATGCTTCCCTTGAAGCTTTCTCTGGGTTCTGAGGGCTCCACAGCTCGCGACTGTGAGGAGATTTATTGCTTTCAGTTTGAAGAGGAAATGAATGCTGCACTTGTGCCTTTTTAATGGGAGTCTGATCATGTCAGAACGGATAGCTTAGGCCTCCCTTGCTATCAAAATAAGACTCTGTGGTGCCTTGCTGGGAAAGCAAGGTAGTTATTGGCCATCATCCCCTTTTCAGATGTATTATGTAAGTTATTAGAAGTTTGATTCAAAGCAGGCACTGCTATTTTTTTTTTTTTTACAGTGAATTATATGCCTTTTGGAGTGTATTTTATAAGGTAGATAAGGTCACATTAATGTAGAAATAGGATTTTAGATTGCCATGATTTGTGCGTAAGTTGCGTGCAAACAAAGATCCAAGTTGTTAAACAATTATTTAGATATCTGATTAAACTGTTATATCTGTTCCAGTTTGAGGACCGTTGGGGTAAATTTTCCATTGACCAAACTGCTGACATCATTTCCTCTTTGGTGGTGTCATTTGGAGTGCGATACGTTCGAAAGAATTTTGTCCCTTTATCTTTCTTTGAGAGGAAGCTGCTTCCAGCGGTCATGTCATCGCATTGGAAGTCAGCGCGATGTTTTCGTTCTCCGGCTCAGTCAGGCCCCACGGTGTAAAAGAGCACCAAAATAAACAGAGTGTGCAGAGAGGGAATGAAAGAGAATACTGTTTGGGAGCACAAACACGGCAGCTCTAACTGTACGTGGAATGCTTTTTTCTACCGGATGACTGACCCTGAAGAGGGAGGGGAGAACCCGGGGACAAAGTGCTACGCACAGCCTAAAATAACTTAATCGTGGTTAATTAAAACAATGAGGAAAACACTCATCGTAAGGATTAGAAAGTTATGGAAAAATGTACAAAAAAGAAGAATTTGAAGTCTTTTTGTTGGAAGAACTTTGCTCCACCCTTATTCTTTGTTTTTCCTTTCATCTGTTCTCTACAGGTCTTGCCATGTACCAAAAGCTTTTCCAGACCAAGCACCCTGGCAACAGATGACAGGAAGGCGACCAGAGGCCTGTCCTGCCCCCTTGCTGGCCTGACAGGTGTCTCTGCATGTAACCACATCCCCAAAGAGGTGTATTCTGGGGAAGGACAACATACACAGATTAAAGCATGCCAAACATCGAACAAGGCTCTATTAATTTCTGTGATACAGCTACAGACACGCGAGAGGAGAGTATGCGATGCCAGGAATGCCAAGCTTTGGCTCAGGTCCCCCCATCAGGACCCCCCCCCCCCCCCCCACACACACACACACACACACACACACACACACACACCCTCTTTGGTTTTACACTCTCTATCTACCAACAGTTGTCTGCCCTCATTCTCCCCGTGCTACTGATGCCACAGAAAGATTTTATTGACAGATAGCCTTCAGCAGATGCTTCCTGCAGCCCCAGAGGCATTTTAACTACAGGATTCAACATTTTACTCTTTGCTCATGCAGTGGCATGTGCATAGCCAGTGATTCACGCTTTTCTCCTGACAAAGTAACAAACAGGTGAGGCGTGGGTTTCAGCAAGTTGTGGAGTAGTGTAGCTTGTCGCCTTGCTGCCTTCAGTGATGAGCAGGGTCTGTCTCCAAGAATGAAACACTTCAGTTCCCGGTCCTGGTTTGAAGCCAAATTGCTGCCAAATTAGATTGTACACCCATCGCCTAAAGGTGTGCTTAAGTACAGCAGTCTTTTTTTATAAACCTAGCAAAGAAGGAAAATTGATTGAGAACGCTTGACTGGCTGCTGCCTTGTTACCTCATTACAAGGACAATATAGCATTGTTGTCTGGGTTTTGATAAGAGAACATTACCGACTTGTGTTTTTTTATGTTGAGGTGTTTTTTCTGTTGATGGACCAAATTTAGTATGACTAATACATATATTATTGTTATTACGTCAAAACTTCTTCACTGTACATCGTCTAACGGAAGGTTGTTTTGGCAATTTATGTAGCTCAAAGCATAATTCAAAGAGGAATGATAGTCCTTTTCACACATGCACTGCACGTCTGAAAATTTTCAGCTCATTTCCACACCTGAGTTTATCAGGACTTTTTATTCTGTCAGCCTGTGGTGAATTGTCCAGAAGTGAAGGCAGCAGATAAAAGCCAAATGAATTCACATCAAGTAAGAAGGACGCAGTGATGACAGTTAATCCATGTGTGCAGTGTGAGACAAAGCATTGATTTAAAGGGTAGAACTGTTCCATACCATCAGACTTTGTTGCTTCTGCCATCTTAGATAGGCTGTTGACACTCATGCTCTCCTGCTGTGTGGAACTAGAGTGAAAAGCCAATTCTGGAAAATGTCAGGGGAATTTGACAAGTTCTGTAAAAATGGTCAGGATTTGTCAGTGCATGTGTGAAAGGAGCTAATGGTTACGCACAACGTTTCCTATGAAAAAAAAAAGTTACAGCTACACCAGCAGACCAGTGTTCTTATGGATATTCTGTAACGTGGGACCACATGAAGAGTTCACTCAGGGTGTCTACTTAGAAAAAAAAACATCTCTGTTTTAAACTAATACATTGTGTAAAAGTTATGATAACTTGTCTGGAATACTTGAATTTTATGCATGTTTTGTCATATCGGCTGATGTTTACCATCAGAGTGATTTTGCACAGATTGTAGTTATCAATGCAGTACAACAGAACTGGTTTTAATACTGTTGATTTGTGTTTCGTTGATGTTGATGTTGCAGTCATGTTGTGGGTTCTCTCCTGTTAAAACCAGTGCATGCTGTTGAACAAGAATCTAGCGGTAACAATCCAAAGTTGATGTGGTGTTTCCTTGTGGCGAAACGAACTTGTTTACAGTCAGATTATTTGTTCTATTTTGTTACTGATTGTTGACAACACATGCATGGGAATGTGATGTTTTTGAAATCATCTACGCAGGCTAAGAAAAAAAAAGACTTACATTTATGCCTAAAAGACATTAAACCTTATACATATCATGTCAGTAAATGTGACAACTTTCAGTGTACAGCATGTGCGGTGAACAATCACTGGACTCAAATGAAGATGTACTGTATTACCTGTCAAAATAAAGTGCTGTAAAAAAAATATAATGCAAACAGGTTACTTAGAAAAAGCAAGAAAGAACCAGTCTATCCAACTGTCCATTTTTAATTAAAAAAAAGTGTTTTCAAGAGTAATAAGAAAAAACATTTACAGTTCGTGATCTAGTTAAGATTTCACTTAGTGACATACATTGTCTCATACAACAGAAAGGCTTCACTTAAAAACAAAAACGATCCCTGGAATCACTATTTCTGTTGTAATACAGAGGTAAACATAACCATGGAAATACTACTTTGAAATAAAGGTTGGTTTCCAGCATGTTTTCTTGTTTTTTTTGCTTTTTTTTTTTTTTTTCATCTAAGATCATTTTTTATTCAACAGCATTCAATCCTAAACAAACAGTGTCGGGAGCTGTGGCATGCACAGTCAGTTTCCAGCTTTTGGGGGATTTGGAAAGCGCCCTGTGTTTGTCAGGTGAGAACAACCACATCTTTTTTTCACCCTCTCTGACTTATTCCTATCGTGCTGAGTTCAGTCGTCACTCTTAGTCTTCTTTTTGCTTTAATAGTTAGATGTCCGTAAATCAATGCAGTGGTCGTTACAGGATAATTGCTCCGTTTCTCTTGCATTTAAAACGTGCTTTGAATACCAACATCGAGGTACATGCGATTTTGAATGCAGAAACCGGACAAACAAGAGGGGCAATTTCTGAGGATGTCTTGAGGGCGCTTTTAGTAGAGTGGTGTGTGTCGAGTCTTCTTCGTATATGCTGCCAATAATTGTAAGCCGAGTGGTGATCTGCATCTTTGTGTTTTGTTCAAGAAAGCTCATGTAAGAGCTGAAGCAGGAGTGTTGGAGAATGAACTGGACCTCCTTGTTTCTTCACCCCCACAATCCTGCTCCCTAAGTAGTGCTGGGGGGTGTTACATCCGTGTCTCTCGCCTTTCAGGGGCCCTGAGAGCACCTGAAGTCTAGCTGCACTTGCAGGACTTGACGACCATGTTAGAGAGCTGCTCCACTTTTGGGGAGCGTCCCACATAGTACAGGATGGTGAGGGGCTCCAAGTCCTGAGGAACACAGCAGGGTGAGGCGGATGCTTCTGGGTTTAAGGTGTTGTAAAGGCTCAGCAGCTATGAGGGAGAAGAAAAAAAAACAGAATGGGACATGAATCCACTGCTTTAAACCCCTAACGCAGTCATGATCTGATCACTTTTGTGCTCTTTTTCTTACCGAGCTGTGTGTGGTGTCAGCACTGCGAAGATACGGACAAGGACCAGAGCAGAAATTAGCATAGTACCCTTCAGGCTGATGGATCCACCTCCATCCCAAATCCTGCCGGAAGTTAATGTATAGTGGTCTCACGCAGCAGTTCTCCTCATAATTGCTGCAGATAAGAGAAGACAGAGAGGATCTCACACTTCATTCCAAGCATAACACAATCTTTAAAGTCTTGTATACATTTTTCTCCCCATGGCCCCCACAGCCAGAGATGAGAGAGATGCTCAGAAATTCCACTCTTAGGTGTGCCCTTATTTTCCCTCTTGGAGTCTACCCAGGTGTCTTTGGTGCTGCCTGTCAGGCTGACACAGGGAATCCAGGTTAAGGAGACGCCGCGTAGGAGGGGGTAAGGTTTGCTTGCACCAGGGACAGATCTCAACTTGTAACAGCTAATACCTCTGTCATGCTCATCAGGGCGATTAACAAGCTTACTCTGTACCATGTTCTCCTCTTCGATGTCAGCTATTTTAAGACGTGACAGATGATATTTCCATTTCATGTTGCCTTGGCTGGTGTGCCCTTTAAACAATATACCACCCTGCATGTAAGACAGTAATAGCAGGCATTTTTATTGGCAATGTTTTTACTTGTCTATTGCAGGTGCATCAAGATTTTTTTTTGTTTTTTTTTGCAACAGTAAAGGAAATCAACCAATGAAGTGGTTTATGTAATGTGCCTTACTTGAAGCAGTAATTGGTGTCAAGTGCCCGCTTGCGTCTGCGGGAGGAGGACTGTGCATCCAGCCTGTGAGGTGGAAGCATCATGAGGATGAGGTGGGGATACAGCTGCTCCTTTTGTTTCTTCCCACGGCTCTGATCCTCATAGTCGACCTCCATACCTGCAGGAGGAAGCCACTTTAGTGTGGAATATTCTAAGAGAAACGGCACTGAGACTTTTTGGAGAATCGTAAATATGTCCATGCTCCAGTTGCTGAGTTCAGAGTTCCAATGTTACTTTTACAGTAAAATCCAGGCTGGCCTCACTGGCTCATCTTTTTCCTCACTTTTCATCCTTCTCCTTTTTCAACACGGGTCCCTAACTTCCTCCTTCCCTCCGCTCATCCCCCCTGGGCCTATGTCTGCTCATCCAATCTGCCCCTGATAGTTAAAGCAGCAGATATCTCAGGAGAGATGCTGCTGGTGGATGTGTACGCCTCTCTTTAATTCGGGGGCCAAGCGTCTGAGCGCCGTGGCAGCACATTCCTCGTGGCCGAGCCAGTGGAGAGTGTTCCCAGGACCGAGGGCCCCTGTGCTAAGTGAGATACCAGATCGATTGTATTCCCATGCTCTGTGTCTGCGCTTGTCCTCTTTGAAAGGAAACCCATTATCTTACCAAAAAGACCACAATAGATTTTTGCTGCTGCAGGAACATGCAGATGAAAAGGATTTTTTTTTTTAAAGACCATACTCCAAATGAGGGTGAGTGTTATTTACAATAACCAGATTCTCTTTCTTACCCAGGGGCACTACACAAGGACATACTCTCTGCAATCATGCAGTTTAGCCTGTAATGTTAAGTATTTGTACTCTCATCAAATCGATATCCAGATACATGAATCAATACATCTTAATAATCAACTTTTAAAGGAGAAACTTCTGGAAAAAAAAAAAAAACTTCTGGAAACATATGAAGCAATCACTACTTGCTACAACTGAAAACCAAAACAAACTCCCATGTCTAACTGTTTGATTCTGAGCTCCACTAATGCAAATCATCCTTAAACAAGCCCTGCCACAACACCGCTAATCAGAATAAACCACATTTTTCAACAAACATGAGATGCCTATCTGAAACATTAGACAAACGAAACAAAGGTACATGTTATCTGTGAATACAAACTGGAAGAAAACTCTTGACCGAGTGAGATCAAAAGCAGACACAGATCCAAAACAAATACATGCGCAGTGACCACAATCTGGCGAAGCAGACTAGACACTACAGAAACCTGTACCTGGACCTGTGCAATCTGTGAGCTTGAGACTGAAATACCAGGGAGTAGTTATCGAGTTTAGAACATGAAATGAGTTGTGTGGAAGATATTTGAAGCTGTAGATAAAAATGTAAAGATTTTTCACTGATGCATTCAACAGCTAAAAGACAGCAGGATGGTTTTTATCTAGTCAGAAAACACCACCCGCACATGTACTAGACAAGATTAGTTAACACATGTGAGGTATAACTTTGTCCATGGGTGGGTGGGGGCATGATTGCCACTAGAAACTCCTTGAGCTTTTACACCATTCTTTGTTTTTCCTTGTTGGCATGATTCCTAACATTCTTTCTTTCTTTTCAATCAGCAAGGTTTTGAACACAGTCTCACCTTTGAACTTGACCTCCAGCACCTCATTGGTGTTTTCAATGATGTCACCATTAGAGCCGAAAGTGTGGCAGGGACAGTGCACACTGATCTCCAGCCCGAGATTGGTTTCTGAGGGAAGAAACGAGAGCAGAGGGATGTGAGCCGTTGATGTTTCTGTCCTGAGGCCATTATCCCTCCTTTCAGAAGAACCTTTAGAGGGATGTGTAATAAAGTGTCATGCAAGGAAACTTTGAGGTGTCCCACTCACGTCTGTACATCAGCCACTCCCTCACTGTCTCTGTCACATCAAAGGAGACCCACTCAGGAGTTCCTTTGGTCAGGACGTTCTTGCCCCCGATGTAGCGCTGTCTGGCTTTAGGGTCGTCTTTCTGGAGGATCTGGGAGGAAAAGATGAAAATGTGACCCAGCTGCATAAACTCTTTTCTTTTATACACACACACACACACACACACACACACACACACACACACACACACACACACACACACACACACACACACACACACACACACACACACTCACAAATAACCAGAGCTGTCTGTCTGAGCCAGACTCTCCAGGATGCCTTGGGCCAAATGTCTACTCCTCATGGAAAAAGTGACTCCCTGTGTTGATATCCCCATTTTGCAAGTTAATGCCTGTGTGTTACCCTCCTGCCAATGAGAACCTGGCTGTCCTTCATGTCAGCAGTTCAAACTTTGACTTTAGCCCAGCTCCCAAATGAAAAAAGCTGGGTTGCAGGTATCTCTAAGAGTATCAAGTGAAAACCTCAGGGTATTGAGAAATGGAGCCAAAGAGGAAGTGCAGAAGACTGCAGTTCCTCAAGAGTCCACTTGAGGCTGGCTTTGGAATCCAAGTAACCCTTTGAGGTCCCATGTTAAAGTGCATTTCTACTGCTGGATTTAACATTTATTTTTAGCCTGGGTGCATGTTGATAAGTAGAGTTTTTCTTTGGAAAAACCATGTTGGATCAACACATCCAATATGGTGGCTGCTATCATCAGGCTCCACATTCACTGAAATAAATGGATGACTGACTGAGACCAGGTCTGCATTTTATGAAGTCTAAGATGAGAACCTCACTCTATCACCATGCCACAGCCCTCCATGTAGGAGACAAAAAACATTCCTATCTCTATCAACAGCTCCCTGAACAAAGGTGTTTAACCATAGTTAGGAATGTGTGTGTGTTTGGGTGGTTGGTATGAGCACTTAGCCCCACAGCAGGGCTATGGATAACCAGGTTCCTGAACATTGTCAGGATCTAATCTAGCTTCCTGTGGGAACAAGGGGCCAGAAGACCGCTAGCGCCAGCCCTCTGCCAATCAGCTCCAGCCTGAAAAGTGTGGGGGCAAACACGCCAGCTAGCAAGCGGCTCCATTTACTCCCCCTCAGTGGGTGACCCTGCCTCTATCTCCTCGTTGGTCCCTGCAAACAAACTTAGAGGGCCTGACAGGCTGCATTCAGTGCTGGCCAGAGCCTTGCCTCTGAGGCGGTATGTAGTCCAGAGACGCTTGTCTCTCTGGCAGGAAATGTTGAAACCCGATCATTATTCCTAGTCTCTCACGGGAGATTAATTAGGAAACCTATAAAAAAAATCTGGATATAAAAAATAAATAAAAAACACCTTATGGATGTTTGCTTTGACACACTTTACAACAACTCTCCCATAAACACAGAAATGCAAGTGAAGGTCTATAAACCCACCGTTGAGATTATAACACCTTGCCGGATCTGACATGTTTGGACTCAGATTGACAGCTTAGAAAGAAGCAACTGCCCAATGGTAATCTAGGGTTTCTTCAAGACGCCTGTGCAAGCTCTTAAATTCATCCTGATGTGAAATCCATTTAACTGTACGCACATGGAATAATGATCAGTGCATAAAAAAGTGGAGAAGGAGGGAGTTGGACACCCGTATATAAATGTTTTCATCCCTGACGCTGACCTACACTGGCCTTTGGAGAGAAATTGAGCACATTACCCCCCCTGTGCTCAGATAACAGTGAAAATGAACGGTCAGTTCACACACCTGGTAGAGCTCAATCCTCTGCTCATTTCTCTTGGCGCTGGGGTTGGGGATCCTCAAGGCTCTAAACTCAGCCCGGAACAAGTTTGTGGAGTTTTTCTCCATTGTTGACACATTGAAGCGGAATACCTTGGAGGTGATACCCTTAGGGCAGAAGGGGAGATCATCTGCGGGTAAAGAGGAAATTACATGATTAGACAGCTTATAATCGAACTTTAATCGTCTGTAATGCTATTGTGTGTGTTTCTCCAGACACCATTACAAAAGTGGACACATTAGCCCTCTGATTATTGATGACTTTTGCTGAGGATTTCCCTTTTCACCTTTGGGTAGTTTACAGATTAAAAAAAAAAAAAACTTTTAGTATTTCTAACTATTTCAAGTTCTTTCCAGAGGGACATGGGCCATTAGCGTGAGCCATCTGCTTGTGCTTTGTGCCGTCCAAGTTAGCAACAAGTTGAAGTCATGAAATGAAAACCAAATGTCCCATGTGGTGGTGGTGGAGCAATCTGCGGTAGGACAGCAGCATGCTCCCCCACCCCCTCACTCCCTCCCTCCAACTCGTGAGCCCAACAGGTGCTTGGAGGCCTCGGACAGCGGCCAAGTATTCCCCTCGAACCATGAGGAGCATGTGGGCTCACGTGCCGGAGCAGAACAATACCTGAGAATAGGGAGGGGAGGCACGATCAATGTAACTGAGTGCATGCTTGACAAGAGGTAACTGTATACATGGTGTGTGTGCGTATCTGTTATGTGCTGACCTTTAGCAGACTCAGCATAGTAAACGGCCACATTGTGATGCTATCTGAAAAGCTTCCTGTCCCGTCTCTTTTATACCATAATACCATTGAACAGTTTATTAATTTAACAGACCAAGCACATGCAGCGTTGTGCAAAACAAGCACATAGCAAACTTTTTATGGGCCAAGTGGAAACAGTCATTTACAGCCAAGCCATGGTTAATTTATTACCTCAAGCTTTTGCTTTATTGGCCAGCCTCAGATTTGCTGGTGGTTGAAAGGGGCACTGCACCTTTAGCTGATTTGCACCTCTGGCTGTTTCAGGACAAATGGAAACTTTGATTCTTTTCGTGTCACGCAAAAAACACTTGCACATCTCCGAGTATCTGCACTTCATTTGACCCATAATCCTATTACAGTCATCCCAGTCATTATCTGATATTTCCACTAAGTTTTTTTTTTGTCTTTTTAACTTTCCCTATTTATAGGTAACCTTTGCAGCATTCATCCCCAGCCAGATATCTGTCCAGTGTTTCCACATCCATAATCTATAAGGAGGAAACCTCAGTAGCCCTTTCCTCCTCTCACTCACTGCCCCGTCCCCCCTCCCCACTCTGCCTCCCCCACAGAAGGTGGAAAGCCCCACTACGAGGGGAGATTTGAAATTCTAATCAAGTCTTTGGTTTCCTTTTTGGATGACCTCATTTTTTCCCATTGCAATGGTTTTAGGTGGATTTCACATTATGGCTTATTTTTGCCAAGGGTCTGAGAGGTAATTTGTTCCATGTTAGTAAGTGGAGGGGATTGCTTGCACAATTAAAAAGACATACATTACAGACCCCCACAAGCTTAAGATGATAGCTGTTAAAGTTGATAACACAAGTCTGACCGGTAAACTATCCAAACAGGCAGATGCAATTTTATCTTGAGGGTTTACAGGTGAAACTGCTCAAAGTCAAAGACACTGACTTAGCGTTACACAATGGGCAAACAAATACAAGAAAAAAACAACAGAACTTTACTTTAAGGACCAAGAAGAAAGTCAAACCCCTGTCTTCTTGGACAGAGAAGTTCACTAAATTTGGGAAAATTTCATTAGCACAATTGCAGGGGTGTGTTTAGTAATCACATATAAAATCCTGGATAATGATATGATTACATTTTGATCCGGTATTAGTATTCAATTGTGAAACTAGATGAGCTTAAAACCGGCGATTAAAAGACAAAGTCGTAAAGGAAATTCTGGTGACAGAAGTTTGTCTGGCCTTCCCATAAGGTCCCTCGCCCAAACTCTGTCACTCACCCTCCTGCATCTGGGATCCTCTCCTTTTATGACACAGAAACTCCTTGATAAAAAAATCCCAGGAATCACCTCTGTTTTTGCCCCTCTTGCCTCGAGGATCGTCTGTGATGTCAGTCTCTCCACAGCTTTGTCGAGGTAAACAAAGGAAATAGGAAGCATAAGGCAGCAGGTGCAGGCCAGCTGCAGAGATGTCTCAGTTTAACAGAGGACAGCTGAAAACTCGAAGGAAAAGTAGTTTGGTTTCTCTTTTGTTGAGTTAAAAAATCAATATCCTACATAATTCTTCTACTTTGTTTGATAATACAGGTTTTAGATGCAGTTTTTGTATCACAGAGAAGTCTGTTTTCTTTTACTTCCTACTAGGCCAGACGTCGACTGCAGCAGGTCACTCCAGCAGATGAGATAATGGGATGCAGCTCTGCTCTGAAGAAAAACAACTTTTTTTTTTCCACTTGATTGAGGATGAGGAAGCAAGAAATGGTCAAGGCGTGGGAGTTGTGGGGGGAGGAGGGTTGCTGTTTCTTTGGGAGCAGTCCAGAGACCTCTGTCTCTGTTTGTTCAGATGACATCATCTTTCTGCTCTCCCATAGATCAGATACCCCGCTGTCCTCAGTGCTAGTTTTCACTGACCCAACACTGAGTCAAAGATTGGCATGAAATCTTGCCTCAGTGTGCAGGGCAACGTCTTTCTAATTTAAGCATCAGCAGGTCCTACAAATGTTATTGTGCCAAAGGTCATGCCTCAGTTCAATCATTTTTCTTTGTCATTTTTATTACAGTTTATAATCGAATAGGATCTACAGAGAGATCTGTTGCTGCCTAGTCTGTGTTTAATGGCTGATTCTTTGATATGTATTCATACAAAGTGTCCGAGAAAAGCAGTCTGGAGCAAGTGGAAAGAAAAGTTTCTGTTTAACTGTTTAACTCTGCCTGAAAAAAGCAAAACTTGACAATCTTCCCAAACACTCCCACCTTCCAAAAACTGTGAATGTAAAACTCATTATATCCAGCAGGAATGAAAATGAACTACGCTGCAAAATTATGGAGGTGACAGACATTATGTACATACTGCAACATGCCTCACTCTCTTTAAAATTACATAATGGAAAGGCTGAGAAAAGTACAAATTAATGTATGTTGGCAGCTTAAGTTAATTTGGTTTTTACCCTCCTTGGATATGCTGCTGGATGCAAAAAGTGTGCCAAAAGTAAGGTCGGCGTTTCCTTTATTATCACCTGCAGTACAGTATACAGCTGGCCTGATGTGTCCAGGGCACAAGGCCATCACTGATCCCACTTCTCAGACCTTTGTTTGGGTTGGGAGCTCCGGCTAGCTCTGACCAGCAGATAAACCCGAGCTGTGTATTTTTGAGTGTCAGGAGTACTTTGTTGGACCCGTGAAATGGATTTGATTCAGGGCTAATGCAGGAAGCGGCAGAGGCTCTGCTTTGTGTCACAGTGCAGCATAAACACCTGTTGATTTGAAAATGGTAACACCACCACCATCCACTTTAACCGGAGTTTGACCAGGAATGGGCACTAATCCAACTCTTCTTGAAAGGGGAATTTCCCTGGAGAATCTGCTACTAGGTCAGCTCCTGTTTCTGATTTCTGGAACAATCAATGGACCATAGTTTATACAGGAAATACCAATATGGATGAACAGGGGGATTGGATCCCAACACTGAGCTACTAGAGAGTAAAAGTTGGGGGAAATAGAAGTAAGAGTCGTAGCAGAGGATGAAAAATATTGGGTAATTCACGGCCAGAAAATGGAAATGAGGTATTGCAGTTGGCACTAAATTCTAGACTTAACTGCCTGAGAATTTTCCCTGCTTAGGAATGTGTCAGACTTAGGCTGGAGTTCCCATGGCTTTGGTGTGAGGTATGTATGAGGAATGGTGCTCATTCCAATTAGACTGTTTACTTTGCCCTCTCAATTGCGCGCAGCTCACGGGCGCGTCTGTGCGTAAAAGTTGCACAGAGTTACTTTAAATCTAGTTCACAGACGGTTTGTTGGTTATTAGAAAGGTTAGGTTATTATGGAAAGTTTAAAAAAAAAGTGTTCCAATGCACTTACTGTTTTCTGGCGACCCGCTTATCATGTTGAACTTGTAAATCTCTTTGGCGTAGTACTCAGTCTCTGTGTTATCCTGTCCACAACTCTGATGCCTGTCTCTCCCCAGCTCCTCAATGAGCTCCTTGGTGCTGTTATAAAGTGCCAGAACCTGAAACGGCACTTGACTCGGACCTGTTGTCTGAGGCGGGCTCGTTAGCCGGAGTTTACTGAGAATCTGTCCCCGGACCGCCTCTACCCTTTTTTTCTTGATGTGATCGATGTCCACAGTGGTGCAAGTGGACAGCGACAGAGTCATTGTCACACAACTAAGGAGAAGGAAAAACAGAAGTGCTTTGCCCAGATTCATATTTCAATCTGCGTTCACTCACAACCCAGGCTTGTCAAGTAAAAGACGACAAAACAAAACGAAATTCCCGATTTGAGTAGAATCCCTTTTTCTCTGTTCATTCAGGTCGTGAGTGAGTTCTGTTCCTGGAGGATTTCCATTTTCTTAAGTGCTATGTCATCTTTGTAAAATGCGCATTTGCGAGCAAGCAAATCCGTGCCATTTCGGAAAATAATTTCAACTCTTCGTTAATACTCTTTCTCCTACTCTTCATTCCCTCTTTGTCTCATGCATGCATCTCTCCTTGCCTTCTTGAGTTTACAGGACACCAGTCTCTGCACCGCGGATCACTTTCTCCATTGCATTGGGCTCTTTCCATCCACTTGCGCGTGTGTAGTCAGTGCGCCTCTGTGCCACCTCCCTGCAGTCCAGCCTCAGCCACACTCACTCCTTTCCACTCTCACTTGCACTTTATAGCCACGAGCTGTGACGTTTACGAGGGAGGGGCGGCGATTCATAGGCTCAAGTCGGACAATGAGAGCGGTCCTACTCCAAAATGCATTTATGGAGACTTCACATTTAATGTTGTCATACGTGCGTAATAATGGGCGATGTGAGATTGCGCAATCGAAGCTAGTTCAGGACTGACGATTGTCTTCTGATTTATCCAGCACATGTACTTCTTTTTTTCTGACATTTTTACTGATTATAGAGAAACATATTATTTGTACTTGATGAACAAGAGTTCTTGAAGAATGTTTGCTGTGTGAGTACAGATTTACATGAACGGATTGAACAGTAGTGGTCATGGTTAAATTTAGGGCCTATAAAACGCTTCGGTCCGGAGGCTATACCCACGACATTCAAGTTAGATTTGATAAGAAGTCAAATGCAGATAAGTTATTGAGTAGATCCTGTGGGTGCACAGGGAGCCTTCAGTCAGCTGCTGATCCGCTTGTTGCTGCTACCGTACAGCTTCTCCCACGTTACAGAAAACATGCGCAACAGCGACATCTAGCGGCTATATAGGAAAACTTCAGGTCCCTCTTCCCTGTCTTCTTTCTCACACTGCTGGTGTCACAGGACTTTGACAGTGGCAGGACACTGCTGCAGATGAGATAATGTGAGGGGCGGCTTGTTGATTAGGGATGAGGGAGTTGTGGGAAAGATGCTGTTTGTTTGGTGAAAGGCAAACTCTGTTTCGGATTGTTTACATGACATCATTTTTTAACAATCCCTTGGTGTCTGTCCTCATCTTTTTACTGACCCACTTCTGACTGATTATTTGGCCCACCCTTTTAATGCAGAAGCAGTCATGAGCTCTTCAGTGTAGCTAAGCATGACTGAATATGTTTTAAGACTAAGAATAAGAATAACTTTATTAATCCCCGAAGGGAAATTTTATTGTCTGTTGTCTCACTTGACATATTTACTATTCACACAAGAGTTATAAAGTCTAATGGCTGTTGGTACAAAAGATCTTCTGAATCTTTCTGTCCTGCAGCAAAAAGAGAGGAGCTGTCCACCACCATTGGCCCTTTGGTCCATCAAGGTGTTATGAAGTGGGTGATCCATGTTCTTTAGAATAGTCTCCACCTTTCTCAGTGTAGATCTCTCCACCACATCCCCTACTGAGTCCAGCTCGAGTCCTACCACAGAGCCAGCATTTTTCACCAGTTTGTTGAGATGTCTTGCATCTTTGTGTTTGATGCTTCCTCCCCAGCAGACTGCAGCGTAGAACAGCACACTTGCCACCACAGACTGATAAAACATCTGCAGCATCTTACTACAGATATCTATTGATCGGAGTCTTCTCAGGCAAAAGAGGCAGCTCTGCCCCCTTCTGTAGATGAAGTCTATATTCTTCGACCAGTCCAACTTATTATCCAGATGTACACTGAGGTGTTTATATGATGTCACCACTTCGATGTCCACTTCACGGGTGTTCACTGTCTGAAGAGGGGGTTTGGATCCACAGAAGTCTATGACCATCTCCTTGGTCTTTGAGGTGTTGAGGAGGAGGCAGTTTTTGTGACTCCAGTCACTGAAGGCTCTGAACAGATCTCTGTATTCAGCTTCTTGTCCATTTCTGATACATTCCACAACAGCTGTGTCATCTGAGTATTTCTGGATGTGGCAGGACTCAGTGCTGTATTTGAAGTCTGATGTATAAATGTATTATAATATTAAGTATTTTAATAATTGTATTTTAATAAATGGGATTAACTGTTCAGCCTATATGATTTTACGTATTTTACTTGCAGTGGTTGTACTGGTTTGAGATTTGAAACTATAATATACTTTAGATAGATAGATAGATAGATAGATAGATAGATAGATAGATAGATAGATAGATAGTTTATTAATCCCAGAGGGAAACTTTACTTGCATTTTTGTGGCATTTCTAATCATTAGCAGTACCACTGTATTCAGTAACAACAGTGAATGGATCAAAAATAGCTACTGTGCTTATTAGCAGCATTTTATTTACATTAGTTCCACACTGACCGCGCGGTGTTCGACTGGGACGCACTCTCGTCTCCTGATTGGCGTTACCATGGAGAGCGTTGCTATGTGACGCTTGATGACGTCAGGAAGACGCTTCTTTTGCACTAGCACGTTAGCTTAAGAGTGGAAGGATGGATGATAATTTTCAGCTTGCGGATGCTGCAGCCGTGAAAAACGTGAGTAACCACTTCAGATACGGATAACACTGGATGCGATGCGATTAGCGAGGAGGTGCAATATTTCTTAGTGCTCAGAAAAGTAGACTGAAAGCACACGAAGTAGCGGAGTGCTGCTACTGTTAGCCGCTAAGCTATTGGGCTAACGTCCATTATTTACAGCTGTTAAGTAGGAAGATGACATTTTTAACAAACCTGATACTAGCAAAGCACTGTATCATTTACCACTTTCAAGTTATAGCAGTGTGAGCGTTTGTTACTGAGTATTAGTCAATATCAACTAGGTGTGCTAAGTTTACCCTACTGCTAGCTGATACTGATCAACATAGACCTCTCAATGGCTTGGTAAGTTGGTTTATGAATTGGGCTCTGTTTTTCTTTCCTAACCTGTGCGGAAATCAATCAAATTTTATTTACAAAACCCAATTCCATTGAAGCTGGGAAATTGTGATAATCGTAAATAAAAACAGAATACAATGATTTGCAAATCCTTTTCAACCTATATTCAATTGAATACACTACTAAGACAAGATATTAAATGTTCAAACTCATGAACTTTATTTATTTATTTATTTTTGCAAATAATTAACTTAAGAATTTGATGGCAGCAACACGCGACGAAGAAGTTGGGAAAGGTGGCAAAAAATACTGAGAAATTAGGAATTCTCATCAAACACCTATTTGGAACATCCCACATGGGCTCAGGAACACTTCAGAAAACCGCTGTCAGTAAATACAGTTTGTTGCTACATCTGTAAGTGCAAGTTAAAACTCTACTATGCAAAGGGAAAGCCATTATCAATAACATCTAGAAACGCTGCTGGCTTCTCTGGGCCCGAGCTCATCTAAGATGGACTGATGCAAAGTGGAAAAGTGTTCTGTGGTCTGACGAGTCCACATTTCAAATTGTTTTTGGAAATAGTGGACGTCGTATCCTCCTGGCCAAAGAGGGAACCATCCAGACTGTTATTGACGCAAAGTTCAAAAGCCAGCATCTGTGATGGTATGGGGGTGTATTAGTGCCCAAGGCATGGGTAACTTACACATCTGTGAAGGCAACATTCATGCTGAAAGGTACATACAGGTTTTGGAGCAACATATGCTGCCATCCAAGCAACGTCTTTTTCATGGACGCCCCTGCTTATTTCAGCAAGACAATGCCAAGCCACATTCTGCACGTGTTACAACAGCGTGGCTTCGTAGTAAAAGAGTGAGGGTACTCAACTGGCCTGCCTGCAGTCCAGACCTGTCTCCCATTGAAAATGTGTGGCACATTATGAAACGTAAAATACGACAACGGAGACCCTGGACTGTTGAACAAGTGAAGCTGTACATCAAGCAAGAATGAGAAAGAATTCCACCTTCAAAGCTTCAACAATTAGTCCCCTCAGTTCCCAAACGTTTATTGAGTGTTGTTAAAAGGAAAGGTGATGTAACACAGTGGTAAACATGCCCCTGTCCCAACTACTTTGGCACGTGTTGCAGCCATGAAATCCTAAGTTAATTATTATTTGCAAAAAAATAAAAAATAAATAAAGTTTATGAGTTTCAACATTAAATATATTGTCTTTGTAGTGTATTCAATTGAATATAGGTTGAAAAGGATTTGCAAATCATTGTATTCGGTTTTTTTTATGTTTATCACAATTTCCCAACTTCAGTGGAATTGGGTTTTGTAGTAGCGTTAATTTACAATAGTCGTCATCCCAAGATGCTTTCCAAAGAAAAAGAGCAGGTCTAGACCACGCTCATTGTTTGATGAATTGTCAAGACCCAACCTAAAATGGGATTTGGCCCATCTTATCTCACATGAGTAACAGTGGCAAGGAAGAACTTCCTTTTAACAGGCAGAAACCTTGAGCAGGACCAGACTCATGCTAGACAGCTGCCAGGGTGCTGCTGGGCTGGAGAGGAATGCAGAGAGATAGGGGAGAGAGGGAGAGAGGGCAGGGGGAGAGAAAGAGAGCAAGATAGAGGGAAGGAGAGAGAGAATAGGTAAGGGTAGGTAATAGGTAATAGGTAAGAAGGGAGGGAGAGTAAAGAACGAGGGTGAGAGAGAGAGGGACAGGGGACAGCAGCAACATTAAAACAACAACATTGAATCAATAACATATCAACAACAACATATCGAAAACATACATGCAAGGTTCATATCCTGATACATTAACCATAATGTTATCATGGTATGTCTTTTCAAAGGGCTCATTTAATCTGTTTTAGGTCTAACTATTTGCAATAGCAACGATACCAAGACTTAGGAAGAAGTTTAGTAAAGCCAACTACTCATTGTTAAAGAGATCACCCCTCTAATGTTGTTGTTCCAAATAAAGGTCTAAATTTGCAGATGTGCTAAGGAAAAATGTGGGTTTTCCATCCCATCCTATTGGCTAAGCCCAAACAGTGGTTTGGAGTATTGCAACTTGGTCTGAAGGCTACATTTGGTCAGCTCATCAGATGGCACTCTAGAAGCTAAGCAAAACCACAAAGTTCCAACTTCAGGCTCCATGATATCAAAATCTGCATTCCATTTTCAAATTCTGCACATTTCTTAGGTTAAGTCTGGACGAAGAGCACGCCTTGCAGCAGACCAATCATCGTTTGAAGATTCTCGTCATGGAAGGAAGTCCTCCTCTTCGGCTACAATAGGAGAAGTAGGTGATCGTGTGGCAATTGACAGATAACTGCATGTTATAGTTTCCCTATACAATATGCTTCACCAATGTGCATTTTGATTTTGTCTCATACATGAATTGCAGGACGATGAGGAGGTAGGTAGCATGGAAAAAAAGGCTTTGGTGATTTTGCATGGCTTCTTCTGCAGATGCACCAACAAATGTCAAGTTTTTTTCTGGTTTAATCCAGTGTCCAAGCCAAATAAAGTTCACCAACCCTTACACAACAATAACACAACCCTGACACACATGATGATAAGTTTCAGTGTTCAATAATGAAGATAATTTGAGTTTCCATTCTATTACTCATTACAGAGGGTTTTTACAGCATCGAGAGTCAGTGCTCTTCATTGTTGTTCTGTGTGTGGATCGGATGTGATTGCATGGGATGTTGTAAAACCACGTCAAGCTCTAAAACAGTTTGTTGTTAGATTTACACCAAACTGGAAATTTCTTGCAAAAGAAATTGGCACAATACTTCACTGAATTCCTAAAATATGAACAAAGATAAAAATATGCCCTCTTCTTGTATTGCCTGTCATGACAAGAGACATATTAAGTCTTTGGAGAAATGTTGTCATGAAGTTTTTTTTTTTTTTACTGAAAAAAATATGACTACATGTTGCTAAATTCAGAGAAAACACAGGGCACAAAAAAGAAAAAAACTTTGTCAAAACAGAGTTGACCTCTGAATAGAACAAATAACCACACGTCACTATCTTTGGCATTTATGGAATCAGTCACATGCTCTGGATTGACAAAATGTAAACGATCCAACATTCCCAAAACCAAAAAAATGCCAGTAATTCTTCTGCTTTAGGCTAATTTTTCCAAATTAGGCCAACTTCCCCAATGTATGAACCAGTATTCTCGCGCCCTCTCTGACCTGCTGTGCACATGCAATGCATTTTTCCAGAGTGTCGTGCGACTGGGTGGGTTTATTTGTAGTCTTAGTTTATCAACCCTGGCCTCTTCAGCCTAAAATACCCAACTGATTGGTCACATTCCTAAAATCCTTTTAAACAAAGACTCAATAGCTTTTATGGGCTCCTAGGATTCGGTCACCACTAGTTCTTTTACCCCAGAGACCATCAAGGAATCCTAAATTAAAAACCAAGAGGGCTAAGCTAATTACCTAAACAGCCATTACTGTTATACTACTCCTGGGAAGTTCATATTTGGTCAAGAAAGTTTGTTTTGTTTCTCAGGGCACTTATGGTCCTCCCTGGTTTTGTAGAATGAAATAACTGTCAGAGGATAGATTTATAACACTCAGAGACACTCAGCTGTATTATCTTTTCTCTTGCGTCTGAAATACCAAACATGAACCATCAAAAGAATTTCTAACCACATGAAGGAGTTTTTGCTGAAAATGACTCAGATGTCATTATTTAAATCCCCTTTTGTTCTTAATAAAGAGACAGATACTAATTATACAAAGTTGGGGGAGCTAGTTCAGCCTCAGCTCTGTCGATTAATGGTAATATACCGCAGAGCAGTGTGGCTCCCCCTCCCTCTGCCCTGCTTAATGGTGACATTCAGATTTATAAATGGCTTTGCTGAGGGAACCAGCCATGAAAGATTATTTCCTCTTCCATCATAAACGAAAGAAATTCTTCACGAGCACTTTGTCCTCTGCAGACCCAATTTAGTAATGAGAAATGTTGTGCCTTTTTTTTACCCCCCTAATTCATTTGTCTAGTGCCCACCCTCGAGTGCTCTGAGGAATTCAATTCATTCAAGTGCTGCTCTCAGGGTCCCGGTCTCAGGATTGAGATGCATACTCAGTTTACTATTTACAGAATCAAAGAATGAGAGGGAGAGGGTAATATTTTTTTTCTTTAGGACTATTTTGAGGTTGAACTTGTAGGCCTTTAGCAGTTCCCACACTCTGCTCCATACATTGTCCTGAGGGGAAATGGATATGATTGAAAAGTATAATAAACAGAACAATAGAGAGGGTATTTTACAGACACAGTGTTTATTTTGTAGGTTAGTTTTAGGGTGTCTTGAATATTAAAGCACTGGATCAGAGCTGAACTTAAGTTATTGTCCCAATGATGGCAGGGCAACTTAACTTAATTATGACAAGTAAAGTTGTCTTCTTTTTTTCGTTTTGGGATATTTATTTTCTTTTATTTGGTTAAACAAGGTAATTTTCTGTCACATTGAAAACCTAAAGAGAAACACACTTTTATTTGAGGTTTTTAAGGTCCTGTTTTGTTTTTTTAAGTACTTTTTATGTACTACTACAGTTACAAAGCATATAGTATTTACCGCTATGTTAAATATGTTTACATAAACCCTATACATTTTAGACTTTTTATACTATTGTCCTCACAAATGTGGTGCATTTTATGCTAAACAGCAGAAGAAAAGCTCAGTAACACTTGAGATACTTACAACCTGATTTATCCTCTCAATTGTGGGGTAAACATTTAGTGAAGCATTGACAGTTCTCTCTTCTCCTTTCAGGGCCCTCCTCCTAAACCTGCACGGCGTCAGGGCGGCTGGGCAGAGGACAGCTCTGGATCTGGTTCTGCCAAGTACGTATTGTCACTCTTTCGTAACGTCACCCTTTCCCAGGAAAAGGGACTGTGAGCTGTGTTTGCGGGTTATGTGTTATTAATGAACTCTCATGCTGTTGAATGAGCTTATTTATCAGTGCATATTTGGCACTCAGGCTGTGAATCAACAAGGTTAGAGGGAGCCTGTCCGAGCAGGCAACTCTCCATTCGTCTTCATCTGTGAGCAGGGCGGTAATTGACATGGTTAATGCATCAGCCACAGGAGGGCACTGTTAGTCAGCTAGCCACTTCATCACAGGGGTTCAAGCCACTTAATCACCCCTTACCACTGCAGTCTGCTCTTTACACGGGGAGCACAACACAGAGAATTTATGTGATATTCGGAACAGATGGAAGGTGTTTGCCAAAGCTTTCCTCTACGAATAACAAATCTAAATCTTAATATTGGACATGTTTGCACCAGTATAAGATAGGACCATGCTGTGGAACCACTTCTCTTGTTTTCTTTTCCACCTGCTACTTCTTTTTCTGAGAGCATAGGAAATTCATTGAAGTGAACAGACCGAGTCAATTGTGCTTATTTGCGTAGTTTACTGCACCGCCAGTGCAAGCAGGGAAAACAGCAAACTTTCCCTTTTCACAGAAGGTCAGCGTGTCGCTTCTCCGCTTTTGCAAAACCAGCTTGATTCCCAGTCTCAAAGCGATTGAAATACAGGAGGTGTAAAAGGGGTTTGCACGCGCATTGATCCTCTCTGAAACAAAGTAAGTAATGGTCCCCCCTGGAACCGGCAAGGACTTTTCCCTTCAATGTCACCCCTCATGCTCAATCACTGCCGCCCTCCTCCCACTAATCCCAGCGCAGAAATCCCGGGATTTGTCGATCTATCACTTCTAATTGACACTAAATGATCTGTCAGTTTATTGATGAACCTTTGAAACCAGGTTGTCACAATATATTTTATCCCTAACAACTTTTTCCAGACAGTTTTACCATGTCTATCGCTTTGCCTTACATGAGTCTTAATCAAGGGGCCTGTAATGTGTCTTAAGTGTCGCCACCCCCGCCCCCAGACAGGACACAGTCCAAGGACAGGCAGGTAGGCTATCTCAGCTCCTCTCTGCTCCAAATGGTTGGACTCTGGCACCTCTCAGGCTCTTTGTCCTTACTCAAACAGAAAAGTTTAGACAAAAAAAAATGGGTAAACATTTTGTCAGAAAATTTTGAAGCTGATTGTGTTTGACCTCAGTCTCTTCTCTCTTCTTGGAAAAGATCTGTGAAAAAATTGAAAATTGAAGTAAGATGTTATGTGTGTAATCAGCTTTTCTAATATGCTCAAAAAGTTTTTTTTATTTTTAGGGCTGAAATGGCTTCAGTTGAAATCAGCTTCATCAGGTCAATTTCATCTTTCAGCCTAGACTTATTATCAAATTTTTATACTTGGCTTCAAAGACTAAATGGCAATATTTCCTTTAAGCAGTTCAACGAAAAAAAGAAGCAACAAGACAGAGCAACTGCCTCATCACAGCAAAGGTTTTGTCTAATGTTGAACTAATAGTTGACATTAAAGCCAGCATGCAGGTTAAACTTCTGATTTAGAAACATACATTTTACCGATGTCTTTTCCTTTTCAGTTGTGTAGTTTAAAAACGCTCACTTGGTCTTCACACCTCTGCAAACATTATTCATCCTTTTTTCCTTCACCGCATGTGTTTTCGTTCTTGTTTTAAGAAAGACGTGAAATAATTTGAACCTCATTACTCCTCCTTTTTGAAAAGAGTCATGTTTCTTCCTCTTAAAGATAAAAAATTTATTTAATTAGAGTAACACTGCAAGTCTGAAGTCTTTATATTTGGCTGAATGAATTCAAAATGACAGCGAGAGGTGCAGTTGTAATCCTGGATTTCACATTTTTAAATCCAGTAGGTGGCACTACTCAACCATTTTGCACCCTGAAAAAATATGATACCCTTTAAATACATTTTTCAGTATACTAGTTAAAGCAAACTCACATGAACCCAGCTTTGATTCCTGTGTTGTATAAAATCTATATTTATCTGGAAAAATGCCCATCAGGTGAAAATGTTGCAGTGTTTTTTTCTTTGACGTAAGTTGTGATGGCTGCCTTTCTTAAAACAGACACAGAGAGACAAAAATACATTGCTGAGGTAGAAAGGTGTCAGAACGCAGTATTTTGGTGTCTGGCATGCTTCGTTCAAGCTGCGCTGTGTAAATGAGAAAAGTCTGAAAATAACTGCGCGGTCCAGCAGGGGATGAAGCTGAGAAAACAGAGGAGGGTGAACACAACTATTGAAGACCCCACTGTGTCTGATGTGGCAGAATTACTGTCATGAGATACTGAAGGGGGGGAAATACCTCTGCGGCAAGAGCAGAGAAGTGCACTGCTTTTTATATATGTTGTTATGATTTAGTTCTGTGTTTTCATTTAGTTTGTCGAAATGGAAAATGTTTTTTTAAATGCAATATTTAACTTTTTTTCTGCTGCTAACAGATCATCAAGGAGACCAGCAGCTGAAGACCTAGAAGAGTAAGTTCACTTTCCACATCATCTTTATGCCATCAGACTAGTGCAGAGGATATCTGATTGAAATGCCAGTTTTGAACACCTGGACCAAATAGTTCTGTTAAAATGTTTGTTCCCTTTTCAGTAAAGTGGAAGAAGCGCTGTGCTTTCAGATTGTCCTTGGTTGAGGCTAATCCTTGCCTTCCAAGAACAATCACTTAACATGATTAAAAAACAGCGTGACTGAGTTGTCATCACTTTTATTGCTGTTGGGAGCCAAGTTTTCCTGTTATTCCATTTTTCCCCCTCACCCTCCCTCATATCACTCTGTGAATAGAATGGACACCACAAAGAGAGGCAGGTAGAGGACGCGGTTGTCTGTGTTTTGCTCATCATCACAGTAGGGGCCGAGTGCCTGAGTGTCTGTAGTGAAACAGAGTCTTTGTGTAATAAGTTGTTCCCCTGCAGAAAAATTCCTTATCTTGAGTTTCTGTCACAGCTGTCTTGTCTTAGTAATACTTATTCAGACTGCTGCTCCAGCTGAGGTTGTTTTCCAACCCAGAGGTGATCTTGTCCAAGGCGTCAACGCTGGACACCCAGACAGCCCAAAAGTGTTTCATAGCGCTATCAGAGAATAAGGTTCAGAGGTCCAGTCATACTGTTGTAAAATGTGAGAATGTTTTAACCTACCAAAGAGGCTAAACAGAAAAACAAACCAATCATTAAGGCAAAGCAGCAACCTAGCTCACTCCACATGATGACTTCACCGTTGAGCTGAATATAAAAAGTGTTAAAAATCTCAAACTTCCTATTTCTACAGCCGCCGCCTTCGACCACAAACACCCCAGGGATCAGATGATGAAGGAGGTAAGAGCACCCTGACTATCCTCCTTTCTGTGTGTCTCCCCACAGGCAAAGAGGAGCCCTCCTGTGGTGCCCCCCAGCGCATTCATCCCAAGAAAGTAGAGTAGATAAGCAGTCAGATCATTGTCTCTCACTGATGCTTTCACCATGTTTCTACTTGAATTCTGCGTGGATTCATGAGTTAGAACTTTGCATTTGACCAGGAACACAGTACTATAAAGCCTGTTTGTGAAAATGACAACTGAATATGCTCATTAATGTACACTAGATCTTTCATAGATGATTTCATTGGCAGGTTTTATGTGCTCTCCTCACCACCCAAAGCGTCACAGTCAAACATGCATGCACATACACATACACACACATGCACACACACACACACACACAGGGAGTCAGGCAGGTGCTTTTGAATACAGATCTAGCGTTAACAGAGTCACCTGAGGGTCCAACTCTGCACACCACAAACAATGTCAGGGCTGAGGGGGAAATCTCAGCTGAATGCTGTCTGGAATAATTGTTCGATTTTGCGGCTGGGAAATAGGGTCAAACTGCCTCAGTAAAGGTAGATTAGCAGCATGAAAAGCTGAGTGGAAAACACAGGAAGATTTTGACATATGAGTGTGTTCATAAACAAATCAACTGTTGCATTATTGATTAAATCCCTTTTAACATTTGAACGCTTACAATATTCGGCTTTAAAATTGTCTGTCAGCAGGTTCCTTTTATTCAAAACAGCCGTGGCAAAAATAGAAAAGAAGAAAATACTTAAAAAAAAATTAAAAAAAAAAAACTCAAAAAAAGGCTGTAATTAGTTGGTCTATTACAAACGGAAAAAAAAAACATGGGTTTTAATGCTTTATGAAAAGTGTTAAACCTTTTATTGGTCATATTGTAATGAGATCTATTGATATACCAGTTGTCCATTATTAAATCCAATATTATTCAACTCTATTTTTTTAACAGAAGGTTATATTTTAGATCAAAAGCATTGAAGTCAAAACCTGAAATGCTTTTCATCAAAACTGGAAATATACAATTGAAAAAATATCGTTTTTAAAGGGCTTCAAACAAATTGAAAACCTGCTGTTTAATTGCACGGCTTCAAGTACTATTCAATCCATTCACCTGTATGATGATTTATGGCGACACACATATGTTGCCTGTGTCTGCACTACCTCAAACAGCCAGCTCAGTGAAGAGTCCAGAGGCTTGGTCCCCTTGCGGTTAATGCCGCCGGAAAGATTATTACTCTGTGGAGGGAGACCTCTTAATACAGAGCCTGAGGCAGGGGCAGTGGAAATTACAGTGCTGAGGGTTAGTGAGATAGCCCCTGCGATCTTGATTATGTCCCCTACCCTTATCCCTTATGTCCACTGGCTATAAGCAAAGAGAGGGAAAGAAAGAGAGAGAGAGAGAGGGCTCGCCCAGTCTCCCCTGCTCCCATCTTCCCATCAGCTTCCCCCACAGCCTCCTGCTGGTCACTTAAAATAGCACCGGTATCACAAACACCCTCATCTGTTTCATGTCTTATTCTATAGCTGCAGATGCTTTGAATATTATCCCACATGCCTTTCAAATGGAGTCTGTGCAAAGGTAACCAGTACACTGGACCCCCACACAGGTTATGGAAGTGATACAGAAAAACCGCCTGTTTCCTAAAGTCACTGACTGGGGTGTGCCTGCCGGGGAGTGTTATCCCCTTTTGATATTTACATGCTCCAGTGGAAAAGGTGGACGCAGCCATGTAATAAGGATACACGTGGCCTGCTCGCTGCCAGACAAAAGCCACCTTGATACACACCCAACTGAGCAAGGGAAGTCAGTGTGGTTGATGTGTGTGGCACTGAGGAGAGACAGCTCCTTCTGTGTTAGACATAAAAAAAAAAAACACTGACTTGTTTTCAGCTGCTTTGATGCCCCACTTGACCTCAAGTAATGGGTTGAATTTAAAACTCATTTAAAAATGTTGTTGTTCCTTTTTTCACTAAATAATAGACTTTGCATATAGACAACATTCGCCTCTAAGCTTCACATTGAACTCACATGCCGCGTGTTAATAGTGTATTACTGGCTGAAATGAAAAAGGGTGTGCGTGGACAGATAGACAACCCAGGACGCTGTTTGCAAAGAGCCGGACGGTGAGGCTTTTTGATGTCATTGCACTAAGACCATTAAATTTGATTGGGGGTCCAGGGGGGACGGATTCTGCTGAACGCTGTGCTTTGTAAATGAGAGGACAAAGTGTCACCGGGGCCTCATGAATATGAAATACCCGCGCCTGCATTTATTTGGATATCAGAAACACAGATGAATCTTGTCAGCGGCTAAACGAGCGTGGCATTTTTAATTTGGTTTAATTAAAAAAGAGAAAGAAATAAGTTATCAACAGAGGGTGAGCTTTTGTTATCTACTGAAAAGTTGATGGGTTAGCTTTTGAACAAGTTGTATTCAGAGTTTTTGAGAAATGTGTCCAGAATCAAAACAGTTCACTGTTATCTGGACAGTGTGTAACTTTAATGAAGAATTAAAGTTTATCACTACATAAAGGGTCAGAATTGTCTTAACTGCAGTTTATTTTAGGGAGCAAATTTGAAGGAATGGTGACATAGATGCCAAGATATTTCCTCCCATCAGATGCAGACTTCCATCTCTTCACCTCTATTTAGCTCCTCTATTGACTTTCCCCTCAGGGTGCAGTACTGTGGTTAGAGATTACTGACACCCCTCTCAATGCAGTCCAGTTCTCTCTTTTCCTGTCAGTATGTGTCTGTTCTCTCTTTCTCTCTCTCTTTCTCTCTCTCTCTTTACCTCTGTTTCATATACTGACAACACTCAGCTGTGGAGTTAAAAGAGACGCTCACACATTCATAGTATCACATTTTCTGTATGGAAAACCAGTAAATGAAAGTCTTGTCAAACCTTAGATCTTTTCCTCTTTGATTGGCGTGCCTTACATTGCCCTTATCTTCTTTAACCTTCTGAAAATAAATTCAGGTCTTTTTCTTTGATTTTCTTTCTTTGGTGGGGGGGTTGATTTATCTCAAGAAGTCTTTTGACACATTTTTAACTATTCCGCTTATTTTTTATCAGATCATTCTTGTTGGTTGTTGTTGGCCATTATACCACTCCTGTTTTCCTGTTCCAACAAATGTCCATCTGAAAAATGCTGTGAAAGTTTGCCCTGTCCTTCTTGGGAGAGGAGCCTTCCTCTGTCCTGTTGCGTTTTGCCAATTAAAGCGGGTTCCCACTGTTTGAGCAGCGGGTTGGCAGCTCCTGGCACCGCAGCCCCTGCCAGGCCGCACTGTGACTTCCGACCCCACACAGATGGGCCCGCAAGCAAATACTCTTGCACATGGCTGGATGCCGCCCCTGTCGGAGTGGCAGAGTGGACATGGAGGTTGGCCTACCGGCCACTGCAGGTCCTGGGGGTGGGCAGCGCTGACAGGGCCCAAATGCTAAGGTAGCAGGGGGTGCTTTCTGGGGAGCCCCTGGCCAGCGCCCCTTTCACAGCAGGAAGAGCTGCTGCCTTGCCTCGTGAATATTCATGGCCGCATGGCTATTGTGACAGGGCAGCTCTTATGAGGATGTAGCAAGAGAGAGGGAGGGAGGAAGTGCCACAAAGACATGGTCTCACATATTCACACAAGAAAATATGCATACACAGGGGATTTACTTTATTTTTCATAAACGATCCTGTCATTTGGCAACCACTCAGACTCTTCAAATCCTGCTTTTTTTTTCACATGAAATGTAATTCTTTGTAAAAATGTAATTGTCTCAATTTTCTGTTCTTATTTTTAGATATTCCAGTGATTCCAGACCTCGATGAAGTGCAGGAGGAGGATCTGACCAAGCAAATTGCATTTCCACCTATGTATAGTAGTAACACTTTTAACTCTTTCTCGCTCTATCTTATCACTGTGCATTTTTACACACACACACACACACACACACACACACACACACACTCTCACACACACACACACACACACACACACACACACACACACACACACACACACACACACACACACACACACACACACACACACACACACACTGCATGTCCCCAGACCCATGCATGACAGTTAACCTCTGTCCGTGCACAGGACACTAGATCAGTAGCCTGCTCTGGTGACTTTGATAGGTACCTGTCCTCCACTGGTGCCATTGCAGAGTGTCTTGCTTTATCGGACTGAAATGGAGAAATAACAGTTGGGTGTGATTTATGCAGCTCTGTTACAGGGTCCTGTGTAACCGGGCCCTTTGATTTACAGGGCAGTGAGAGACACGCCGACATGTGTCGAATATGTAGCAAGGCTATGACAGCGGTGGAGGTTATTAGGCTGGGGCTTGCTCTCTGTGCAAGATAATATCCACATTGAACTCATTGCGGGGGCAATGTAGCGTGTAATGTGCAGTAAGTAGGACTGGCATGCACTGCTAGGCCCCGGCCACTTTGAGAGCCCCCCCACTTAATTCTAACCCACAGATAAGCAGCTGGGTTTCAATTTGAAGCGTTAACCACTTGGCAACCATCTCCTGCTCTCAGTGCTCTTTGCTTGAAGTCTCAAATTTTCATTTTGTGCAAACTTGAAACTGCTGCAAATCCTGTTCAAACTCTTGGTTTGCATTGAGTATGCAAAGGAACAGTATTAGTGCTTCAGATTTCTATTCTAACTGTAAGTCATCCTTTTAGCTTCCAGCCGAACCGGGTAATGACCTACAGAGATCTGGACAACGATCTGAAGAATTATTCAGCATTCCAGACCTTAGTAAGTCAAGGACATTTATTTTTACATTTCTTTTTTCCTCCTCTTTCAATGTCAAGGTGGTCCATTTAATTTTGCAACCAACATCACCTCTGTTTGTGCAAACTAAGTGAATTTCCCTGCAATCTTGCTTCAGGACGGAGAGATTGACTTGAAGCTCCTCACCAAGGTTTTAGCACCGGAGCAGGAGGTGAAAGAGGTGAGTGAGTTTTGAGTAAATATAGCTTGTGAGCTCCCAGCAAAGACCAGTCCAGCTGTTTCTGGAGCACCAGGGGAGGTTGCCACTCTGTCTCCCAGGTAATCAAGATTTATGATGTGTACATTAACACCCTCTGCTCTCCTTCCCCATTCTGCTCTCTCTGCTCCCTCTGTTCCCTCTTTGCTCTCTTTCTTGGTTTGTCTCCTTCCACCTCTTTAATTCTTCTTCTCTGCCCCTCTTCTTTGTCTCTTTTGCTCTGCAGGATGATGTGCGCTGGGACTGGGATCATCTGTTTACAGAGGTGTCCTCAGAGCTGCTGATGGAATGGGATCAAGGAGAGAGTGAGGAGCAGGCGGGGTTGCCTGTAACATGAGGAGGAGGTCTGAACTGGGACTTTCAGTGGCTTCAGTGGGAATTGGGTGAAAGTCCATTACACAAAAGGGACACTGACTTTGGCTATAGTGTCTTTAATTACTGTGTGTTATAAAGGAATTATATTTTGTAGAGTTTGTTTTGTTTTTGTAAATAAAGTTCACTGTGGGGTAAACAGTGCAGTGTTGCTTCCATCCTTTCTTTGTGCAGGTTTTTGGAAACTCACCCTCTTTGTCTGTTTTGAACTTAAGCACCCAAAAGGCAAACTGATTTTGCTTGAAAAGCTCCTCTGAAAGAAGCTGTCACAGATAAAAAATGCCCTCCATGTACTGCCAGCATTATCAACAGCCTCATACAAGTCCAAGGTTGATAATCAGCTAAGCTGAAATCCAGTTGATTGTGTTCAAATTAACATTCCTCATTAAAGCCTACAACCTTATTGTTATTGACTGTGCCATTGACTTTATCTTCCAGGTCTTCGATAGGAGCAACCCCTTCTTCACTATTATCTCAAATGCATTGAACACAGTTCCTATTGACACCTGGAGGATTAGCATACATTATAGCTTTTACTGGATGAAGTGGAATGGATGCAAGTCTGAAACAAGACAGTGGCTGTTTTCAGGTGCGCACCCTGTAAGGTAAAGTAACATAAATTCTGCACAACCTCATGAGAACGCCATATGTATAGCCAACAACAGGCCATAGAACAGACTATGTTCCCAGGTCTGATTTTGAGTCAACACTGGCTCTGACACAAATTTGCACAAACCTTGATGCAATCTAAGAAATGCGATGTATGTTGCGGCTTTAACCCAAGCTGGTCGCATGTATCAGCATTCAGTTTTGTCTCTGGTTCATGTGTGTGAATATAAATGCAGGCCTCCAAAGTCCAGCCAGGTCTATTAGGGAAACAGCTGTAACATTTACAGATTGTGATGAGGTTTATTTCTGAGGCTGAGAGCAGTCTCATGACATTTGGAGATGCACAGTGAAAAGTCCTCAAGGACACATAATCTATGCATCGAACAGCTCAATTACTGCCCACCACAAATAGATCCAGGCATTTTGATTTGTTGGGCCTTGAATCAACTTCATCGAGGGTAGTACCTCAAGACAAAGCCATCACACTAGATATTTGTACAGTAATAATTGTGTGTGTTGGAATACCTGAGCTCAGCACTCAAATGCTGTGTGTGATCTCTGTTTGTTTCTCTATCAGACATACAAACGCACACTTTTTACCGCCTCCACAATTGGCTTATTTAGCAAGACTTAATGAATTCTGCCCATATGCCCTGAGCAGCTGCTATGTTGCCCCTTCCTCCCGCCCCCGCTGAGCTGTGAAGTGCCCATCCATGTAGAGACAACCTCTAGCTGTCTCTCTGGAGAAGGCTAAGCCTGCCACTCCTCTGCTGGCAGTCAGCCGGTGCTGTCTGAGGTGGACTGCGGACAGACCGAGGGCTCAGATTAGGGCCCAGTGATCACGGGTTGCGGGATGCCTCAAATGATTGGCCCAGGCGTCTGTTGATCAGAGAGGGGATTAGAGGAGGAGGGCAGGATCCAGAGATGCTGTTTGGCATGTACTTGCATCCAGCTTCTCAAAGTGACCTCTCTCCACCGCCTCTTCCTGCCGCTCTCCTCTCCTTTATTCCCTCCATGTCTTATAGTGTATACAGTACATCCTGATGCTGCAGCGAGGCTCTCAATGACCTCTTTCTGTGTGGGTGCAGTGAATTCAATCATGTCAAAGCAGCTACAGTATCTATACACAGCGAAGAAGAGAGTTGTGTTCTTGAAGGCCTTTTTGGTTATTACAGTAGCTTTCAGATGAACATGGAGTCACAGGGAGGTGAGCTGAGTCTGAAACAAGACTAATGCAGATCAGGTGATAAAGGCCTTACATGGGTTTAGAGTGTAATTTGTTTTGTTTTGACATTTTTCTATTAAAATAATGGGGCTGTTTCTGCTGTAAAAATCCGCATCACCCCAAAACACGTGTCTGTAATCCGATATTTCACTCAAAGTGTTCCAGTAAAGACACAACGTTTGGATTTCTTTGATTTGAGAGGACCATCATTGCTAAGAAAGTTTCCACTTGGGTTTATTTTTGAAGTCTTCTTGATGGAAAAGACTTTCCATTTTGTGGCAAACAAAACAAATATGAGTAAGTAATACAAACTGAATTGATTTAAAAAAAACAAGATATTATTATTATTATTATTAATGTAATGTTTTTTCCCTCCTTGTTGACAGGCTTGTTTTATTGTATTTTGATATTGGGTGCTAATTGGAAGGATAGGATGGAGATAATGTGCTTCCAGCTCCAGCTAATATGCTGAGGTGTTGACAGAAGTTTATACATCTTATCTGGTCTCAATATCTGCCTTCCATATGGCCCAAAAGCAATATGCTGAGGTGTAATTAAAGAAAATGGGGAGATGTGGAGATAGCTGGGGCCCAATGCCGGGGCCCTGCAGACACAGAGTGAGGGGTGAGGACAGACACGCTAAAGCTCAAGAAGTATTAGGACCAGTTCATTTCACCAGTGGCGGCATGCCTGTCACGAGTTCCCTGTCGCTGACCCTGCCATCGCTGCATCAGTCAGGTGCCATGAACCATCTACAAGGAGATTTGGAAAAAAACAAAACAAAATAAAAGTGGTGAAAAATCAAGACATCCTGCTTTTTTAACCAGGATGAGATCATATTTTACACATTAATTCATAACAAAACTATCTCAACTTCATCAAGCGTATTCAAATGGGCCCCGTGCCCTTTTAAATGAGCTTTGAAAAGCAGCCGCAGTATTGATTCGCCACAAAGACTCCATGTTATTTCAAGTTTAAAGGAGAAACCCTCGTCACACACAACTAAGGCAGTCAGATCAATATCATTTTTTTTTTTACAAAAGGGGGTTCGCTTTTAAAACCGCTAGATTAAACAGATGTTTTATTTTTCATTAGATACACTGCACCTTTTAAAAAAAAACCCACAGGGGGTCATTGGAGAGGAGGGGGAATTACTCCACAAAAGACACAATGAAAGCAGGTTTTTTTTTAAGACCCAAAGTTTGACGGGTTGAAAAGTGTTTTCAGTTTTGTCAGGAATATTTTCCCCTCTCTTCTTTAGTTAATATTCTATCGTTCTAAGTCCTTTTTTGTTTACCCCAGGTGGGCTTGGACATGAAATGGCTGGGATGGTGGCAGCTTGGAATGCCCCTGGGCATCTTACGGCCATCATGTTGTCAAAGTACCCAGGAGGGGGAGTGAGAGGACTGGGAGTGATTTTTTTATTTATTTTTTTATTATAAGCTATGAGATGGGGGGGAAGCTCTGTTCTCTTTGCGACAATGGGATTGACTGAATTCATTATTATTATTTCTTGCTTTTCCCCTCGTATGTTTTTAGTGCAGCTGAGGGTTAGACGCTGAGACAAGGGGTTTGATCATGAAATACAGCCGAGCTCCACATTTGTCATGTATTTTATTATTTCCCTTCTTCACCCCTCAGTCCTGTAGGCGAGGTCCTTCATTTTTCACATGACTGGTTTTCTTATCATTGCGGGCCCTCTCCGCTGGCCTATGAGTGACTTAAAGGCAATAAAACACAAAACATTCTGTAAAACACGGATGCCTCTCTGCTCGTGGAGGCCCTGCAATGCCTCTCTGGGAAATTATGATAATAACTCAGTGGCTGGCTGGAGTGGCTGGGTCGCCGGAATGAGGGTAGGGGTTCACCAAGGTCCCATGTGCAGGGGCAGGTCAAGGTGGCTTGTTGGGCCTCGCCATCCACCCCCTCTCTGTCATAAACTCTTTCCATCATGCAGGATGCTGCAAGCAGCCAGGTACACAGCAGAACCTCTTTGTCTTGTAGCCACTGGCGATAAAGCAAGGGCTGATGGGAGACAAGGTGTATTGGCCCCCCGGCAGTGGGGAGGTCAGCCGAGGAGGTTGGGAGAGGAAAACGCCTGAGTCGACACAACTCCACTGTTTGCCCTCTGAGGGTCACAAAACACACTTTTCCACTTCTGCTCCTTTAAACTTGGTGCTTGGTGCAACTTAACGTTGGTGTTTTTTAAGGAGCGAGAGAACTGTGTCTGAATTTTTTGAGGGAGGGGTTGAATGTAACCTCACAACACCTCTCAAGTGTGTGAATGAGCAGGAGTGAGGACAGGAAGAGAGCACGGGCTCCACCACTGAGGTGCTGACAGAGGGGGGATCGAGGGGGCTGTGATTGCACCTGTTCCGGCCCAGCACCCTCCCAGCAGGGCCTCGCGCTGAGTCCCAGCCTTCTCCTGGCATCTGTGATGGGGGCCAGGGCCAGTCCCACCTCCAGCGCTCACTCCACCTCTCTTTTAGCTGGTAGAAGAAAGACGAAGAGAAACGCTGGAGGCTCCATCTGCCGAGGGGGCTTGACGCGGTCTCTACGGCCCGCCTGGGGAAGGGGGTAGCTGGGCCTCCTCGACTCTGCCACAGGGGTCTCACAGTGGTAGACCACAGCGCAGCACATCACACGTCATATGCCAGCTGGCCAAGCTCTCTCCACCGTAAACAGAGACTAATGACCACTCAACACACACACACATAGACACACACAGTAAACACAAAGCTCACAGTAAAGTGGAGAAGGAGGAGACAATGAAGGTGGAAAAGGCTTGATCTGGACAAAGAAAAGTAGTGCTACTTTAGAGGATCTGCTGTTTCAGCCTGGGAAGTGAGCTCACCATCACAGTGGGGTGTTGCTACAGCTTCTCTTTGGGTCTCACTCTGAGTCCACTAAATCATAGTCCACTGGTTTCCTTCATGCGTGACACATCACAGGACTCCCAGTGCTTCTTGAGCCCCCAGGCTCAAGCTAGTGTCACCCGCTGAGTCTTTAAAGCTCTCCGTTGAATCTCTTTCGTGAGGAACAGGATGTAGCAATGAATTCTGGGGAAGAATACAGCACCGGTATAACTAAAGCAGCCCTGTAGAGCAGGTCTGGGTGATGCTCTATGTTATACTGCGTACAGGGACCCAACCTCATCCATCCATGGACAAACATTTAGCAACAGAAGTAAGAAAAACTTTGTTTTGAAGGCAGAAAACTCAGGCAGAACCAGACACGTACAAAAACATCTATCTGCCTTAACAAGCTGGGCTGAGAAAGTGAGACAGAGAAGAGGTTTTTCCTGAATTTGAACTATTTAATGCATGTCAGAGTGGCCTTGAGTTTAGTGTCTGTGGACTGAAGGACATTTGTGTCTCCATGTATTCTGTCTGATCTCATTCAGGATCTCCTTGTCGGGTTCTTCGAATTTCAGTTTCCTCCTTCAATCAAATTACAATTATTTTTAGCTTCCCCCAGCCAGATAATTTTATATAAGCCCTGCTTCCTCAAATTACTACTTTTCCTGATGTCCCCAACACATGCATTTAAAGATATAAATATACATATGCAGGAGGAATTTAAAAATATATATTGAGTACAGGAAAATGTGACATTGAGTGTTATTCCCCAGCTAGGCAGACAGAGGTAGGGAGGTCAGGCGGCTACACTGAGCCACCGGCGGCTCAGGCCTAACTGGTCCACCATGGTGACGAAGCTTCATCTACAAACTCGCAATAAATATCTGGCCATCATTTATTTTAATTCACTCCTTTCTTGCTCAGATGGAATGGATTCTTAACCTTGTAGGACAAGGACACCCGCATGCTGCCTGCCTTGCTTTAGCTGCTAAATTATTCTTCATTCTTCAGGGGGAATAAAAAAAGGAGTCCGGCGTTGCTCAAACTGTCAGCTCCAATGAAAAGCACAGCTGAAAACGTTGTCACTGAACCCCTGGACAAGGGAAAGAAGGGGAGTGGGCAGTGAACGACAGGGTGAGAAAAAGTGGGGGAGAGAGAATAAAAGGGGAAAGGGAGGGGGGGTTAGTGAGCAGCCTCCAGAGTGATTTATTTGCCAAATCAGGACACAATGAGTCGATTATGAGTCCTCTAATAAGAGAGAGTGTTTGGGGACCCACTAATTGGGCATGATTGAGTTGCAGTCTGGGAGCTGGGCGAAAAGGGAACCTGGTCGGCGGCTGTCATGCAATCATCAGCTAATCAGAGCTTTGAAATTAAAACTGCGTGTTTAGGGTAGAGGACGGGATAATGGCAGGGACCTGCCTGAGCTCTGAGGCTGCCTGAGGAGGCTGCCACAGTGTGTGCGTGTGCTTGTTTCAGTTTGTTTGTGTGTGTTTATATGTACAGTATGTGTGTGCAATGGAGAGAACAAATTATTGTATGTGCTCTGTGTGTGTCTGTTCATTTAGGGCCTCTCATCTCTGACTGTGGTCTATGCTGGGCTTGATGAGGACAGTGAAGGAGCTGTAATCAGCCCAGCCCTTGTACCAAGACCTGTGTGTTGTGTGGCTGTGTGTGTGTGAGTGTATGTGTGAGTACAGCTTTGTGTCTCCAGGTGACTGATAAACCTACTTGTGTCTATTCAGTTGTCTTGCTGAGCTTTAAGGTTTTAAATAAATGCAGCATAATAGCCTACACAGAAATTGTAATGTTTAATTTTAGCACTATAACCTTGACTTGAAATTAATTCTTTGCAAACTGTTTTTTTAAGTTGTTGAAAATTACACACACACAAAAAAAACAACTTGAGTTTTGGTCTGATACCATAAAATGTTGAAAGACAAAACATAATTTAGATACAGAATGCATTTTTCATAATAGACAAACAAGACTGAAGTACCACAATCTGAAAATATCCGTAAATTTAGGACCAGAACTTCAGGACCATAGGTTTAAGCGACGTACGCACCCAAAAATGCTGGAGTGTATTTCTGTTTAGATAGTCGTGTTCACTTGTCGTCACTAGGGGGCAGTGTTTGTCTGCAAAATCGCGAGAGTAAACAGACGGGGCTAATTGATGTCAGGTGCATTCTCAAACTGTGAGGGATGACAGAGTTGAGAGGCACAGTATTACAACAAAAATAATATATCTAAAATATACGGACCAAAGGTAAGATTGAGCAAAAATCACCTGCAAGGACTAAGGATATTTTTATTTTTTCTCAAAACCTTAAAACAGTTATTATATTATGTTATTATATTCGGGTTGTTAAGACTTAATTAACGTATTTTCGCTGCTACTTTGACATAGTTGGCAGAAAGGCTGCTGTCCTCCTGTTCAACATTGTTACACAGAAAATTATTTCAGCTTTTAGTTTTATATTGAGGCATTAATTCGACGAACATAAGGAAAAGAAAGCACTGAACAGAGAGACTACTGGCAGCCACATTGTCCACAAAGACAGTGAATATTAGTCTTATTATATAGACTCAAAATAAATCAGACAGATTATCAGACAGTCGATGAAAGATTCTATCTTTTTATTGTCCAAAAGCACTTTAGTGCTCTCAATTGTAATAAACATAATAGAGTAATGGTAACTTTATAAATGATTTACAAAGTAGTTTCTGTAATCAGTATCACTATAAATAATTATGTGAAGGTAAGTGTGAATAAAGAATTTTGGGTTTTCAATGTAATTTAGAAAAAAAAAAAAAAACTTTATAACTATCTCTGCAAAAACATTTTAAATAATTGGATATATTAATTAAAATGTTTCTTTTTTTTTTTCCTGCTACAGAATACACTCTCATGTGCATGTGCTCCTCTGAATGCTGCATAAGATCTGACAGCATTACCACAGTGAGTCTCCACAATCTTACACATCTTATCCTATTATAATGATTATAGGGAATATACGGTGCTTCCACGCTCAGCTGGAATTTTGGCATATGTAAATTAGATATACACACTCAAATCAAATTATTGTGTAAATTTTTATTAGCAGTATAAAGCAGTGTAAAAATGTTTAATTTATCTCCACCAGTGACTATTACATCTAAGATTTGTTCATATGTTTTCATACAGTAGAATTAAAAGTAAAGGATCATTTAGGACCTGGTCAGAATAAGTTTCACCCAGAACTGATATTTAAAGATACCTTGGAGTCCATTTTTTCTCTTAGACTTTCATTTCTCAGTTTGTATCTTCAAATTACTCATCAAACAAACCAACACACAGTATTTCTTTCAATTTTTCCAAGGCCTTGTCTAATTGTAAATGTGCCTTACATCTAAAGAGGCCCTCACTGTAAAAATCTGAAGTGGGTTTAGGCATAAATGGGATTAATTCCCAAAGAATGTCCTTTGCTCTTCCTCCCATAATTTCATTTGCAGGGTCCACAGGATGAATAGCCAAGCAGGCAGTGATGTGGAACTGGAGGACAGGCCTTGCGGGGCCTGTGCTGCTACACCGCAGCCTTCAGGTTATGTTACCTTGATAATGTCACAGCTGCAGGAACCACACCGCCCACCGTACAGGACACAGGAAATCCAATTATCTGCCTTTTAATGTGTGGGAATTTTACGCTCTCATTTCTTAGACTCTGGCTCCAATTCTGCCTAGAGGCAAACCCACCTGAGAAAGATTTCTGGGATTGTTGTTGTTGTTTTTAGTTTTTTTACCTGAGGAAGAATGTCCACTCATTTTGGGCTAAAAACAGTATTATGAATAAATCAGACTCAAAATAGTTTGTCGATGAAGATAGTTTATTAAGGGGTACAGATCTTACTTTATTTCACTTTCACTAAATCCTCAAAGTGCCTGTAGTTTTAAATTCAAGTCCATGTTCTCAATAACTTTGCACAAAGTACAGCTCAACACAGAAAGACAAAACAAGAACAGCCCTGATTCACCCTGGAATTACTAAGGTCTATGTGAGGGCTGTATATGGGAGCAGGACCCCCACCTGCCCGGACCCCTGACTGTTTTTTTGATTTAATTAAAAGGGAGAGGGTGCATCAATTTCAGCCGCGTGGCAGGGAGATGACAGTACACAAATTGAAAGTAAGTATCTCAGTGGAGCAGGGAGGGGGGCTGTTCTGTCATTAACATGGAAGACAATTCTGTGTGCAATGTAACAAGATTAGAAACATTATTATCATTCTACCTCTAGACATAGAGCCATACCATGTAGAAGAGACTAAACAATGTCAATAAACCTCTGTACTCAAGACGGAGTGAGCGTGGCTGTTATATTGAGCTGAATTGAATACCTGCATAGGCAAGTGTTTTTATACTGTCTCTGAAAGCGTGTGGCTCATTCCTTGGGGACATCTCATATTTTCAGGTATTTTACTTCACACAGCAGTGATTATGTATCTCAGATGTGATTAACCCCCCTCCCCCAACATCTATATTACACATGCAGTATTTTAGCATCAGGGTTCCCTTTCGGCCCGATCCGAAGGAATGTGAATGGGCTGCAAGCTTGAAGAGGAGCCCCATTAATGAACAGTAAAGACAGATGAGTCTCTCTCTTGCCAAGCAGGTTGCCTCAATTGGATTAGTGAGGCTGAGATTGGGATGGATAGCTGTCTATGTGCCAAGTGGCCATTAGCCCTGACCAATATGCCAATATGATGGTACACAAAAACAGGCTCAGGATTCCCCTCAGTGATCTCAACACTCAGACCGGAGTCAGCAGCTGATTCCTAAAGCATTAAAACTGTACGCACATACTGATAGGCTATAAACATTTATCCACTGTGATAATATGAAGGTTAAGTGGTTGATTTAATAGCCGGCGTCTTTAATTTCGAGTGGCACCTGGGCCAGTTTCCCGCGTTGCTTTCATTGGAAGGGAAATACAAATATCACAATGTAGAACAAGCTATCTGTCAATGGCTGTCACGCTGTACTTTATGAATGGAAAGCTGCCCGTTCCTGGCATGTATTAGAGCGAGGTGCCGTGTTTCCGAGGCTGATGTCATGTTCTCGGCAAGGCGGTGATGGGCACTGTAGATGTCAGTGGACACCAGGGGCCCCTTCTCCAACCAACTATACAAATGGGCATGAGTGTGAAGAGCTGGGGAAATGTTATCAATCACCCGGCATCCCAGTGGAGGAGCTGCTGGCGTTAGTGTAGAGAGTCCCCCTCATACTGATCCGTATAAAAGGCTGTGTGATGTATTAGAGCAGATGAGCAGGGGCCGGCTGTGACACTTGACTGACAGCTCATTTGACAGCCTTAGGAAAGTGTGCAGGGAAGTTTCAATCTAATCTAATGCTGCTAGAGGAATGAAATTGTGGTGTGAGATTATGTTTTCATGTTACATCCCCTTTAGGACAACACGGGCCGCATGGGATGGATATGATGTGGATGACCCCCTTGGTTGAAAAGGTAAAGACAGAGCCAGACGTAGCGGTGGAGTCCCAGCCAAGACCTCCTGACCCGTGACTCTTCTCTCAATCCACTTCAGTCCAGGGAATCAGGTTTGTGAAGAAAAAACAAGAAACTGAAACCCGGCTCGCAGCTCTATCTGTGGGTAAACAAAAACATTTTTGTGTCATGCATTATCAATCAGCTGTCTGCTGGGGCTTTCCAAACAGGTAATCTGTGTCATTCAATCGCTCTACCGCAGGAGCCGGGTCCTCCTGAAAGAGGATAGCAACAAAACAGACATTAATATTAAGTGCAGGAGAGATCAGATTCTCTTTGGTCTGCTCCCTCTTCTTCATAATATCTGGTGAGGCCACCTGCATTTTGAAATCAATATTTCTCTTTCTCCAGTATAGGTTTACACTCGTGCATTAAAAGCTAGACTACAGTTTCTTATGATAAACTGCATGTTTTTGATGGTAAACTTCAGACCTTTGTTGACTTGGAAAAATATTTCCTTGTGCAACACTCAAAGGTCAGAGAAAATTTCTAAATTACACCAGAAAATACTTTTTTGACCAGAAAACTGTTAAAGCCCAAGAGACTCAAACCTCCCATAGTGCACTCCCACAATAATCAATCATGGAGGGCTAATTAGCCATTTTACAGCTATAAAAAAGACAGTCAGCTCTTTTCATAAAGCGTGACCTACCCCCCCCTTAAGTTAGGGACTTTTTTTAAAATATATTTTTCCTGACTTCTGAAAGTTATCAGGAACTTGTGCTGCACTGAGGAACAAAGCATTGTGTTTCCATATCAGATGATTTCTTCCCCTTTTGTCCAGAGTGTTTTTTTATTTGTAGAATGAGGTCAGTGGTTGGACGGTAAGCATTGAATGTCAGCTGCTGTTTTTCCATTGAAGCCGACCATACTCAGGTGATCAGCCCTTAGACAGGTCTGCTTCTGGCCTCTGAGCAGCCCAGTGACCACAAAACCTGATCTCACACGATCAAGCAGCTAGTGTCTACCAGGTCTGAACCCTGTGCACCATGTCACACCATCATCTCCTGCTTCTGCTTTCTCGGACATGTCTTTTCCTCTTCCTGTCTTTTGTGTCCACACCTCTCTGTGCAGTGGTGTCCATGTTCCCCCGCCAATCCCGCTGAGGCTCTAAGACTGTTCGTATTGTCTAAGTGATCATTAAAATTTATGGCAAGCTGACTTCATCCAGCTTGCGAGGCCGTGCTGGCATAAGTCATAATTATGTGATGACACTGTAAGACAGAGCGTCCACGCTGGGCCCCCTTCTTCCAGGCAAGTTAAATGATATAATTAGCCCAGTAAGAGGTGAGCGCTCCGGATTGGATAAGTTATTAAATGTTTGGATGAACCTGAGCTCCATTTCCCTAACTATCACTGTCTTCCTCCCGCTCTGGCCCCCTTCCCTCCTCCCTCCATGAGCCCATTAGCAGTTATGTGATACTATATGCTGATGGGGCAGTGGACAGAGAAAGTGGGTAAATTAAGCCTGACCACTGCTTGTGTTATGGACTGCTCTTATAAGGTGCCACTGAAGGACACGGCAAGATTCAAAAGAACAGCACATCACTGAGGGACACGCGTGCACAGCAGACCTGATGATACAGTAATGTGAGCTCAGCTGAGTTTGTCAACTTGAAAAATGTCCCCCTGACCTTTGTTGTGTGAGTCCCATTTGTTAAGAACTCATATATGTGGTCAGTCTCAGAGTTTTCACTTCATAGAAATTATGAGAGTGATTTTACTGTACAACAAACGCAGGTCAGACAAGCAAATGTGTCAAATTTAACCCTTCAGATTGCTCAATTTGTCTGCAGTTAAGCTGTAATGGAAGGCAGTACACCAAGGTTGACAGGACGCCTACTCCTGGGCCCTTGAGCCTCAGTGTGTGTGTGTGTGTGTATGCCTCTGTCTGTGAGTGTGTGCGTGTGTTGCACTCCACCAGAGGGTCTCACCAAGCATGACTGCGTGTTATTCACACTGACGAGTTCCACTGTTCACTGTCACCTCTCATTGTGAGGGGAAGTAAGCCTGTGGAGAGGGCTGCAGCCAGAGGAGGGGAGGATTGAAAAGTCCCTTTTTTTTTTTTTTTTTACAATGAAGCAAGGACTAGTTTCTGTTCCTGTTGTAAAACGTCGGCCCAGATCCACTAAAGAGTGAACAGAGAGGAAGATCTCCAGATACAGCATGCTAAGCTGGTCTGGTTATATTTTCAGACACATTCTTCCAGACAGTGGCAGAGGCCTGGCTTTGTGTGTGGCCGTGTAGCGGGGAGGGGTGGGTGTTATGGTGTTTGATTTGTTGTGAAGACTCGATCAGCAGGACTCAGCAGAGTCCAGGTTGGCCCAGCAGGCCAGCCGAGAGTGACACTTCCTCTCTCTGTTTCGTCCTGCAGAGAGCCCTGACAGCAGGGACCGGGTGCTGAGCTGCGTCCCCCTGTTCATCATCACCACAACCAACCACCCACAGTGGGCAGGCAGAGAGAGAGGGGGGCTGGGGGGCTCGGTTATCAGTGTCACCCCTCTCAGCTACCCCCACCACAGCTCTGTCTTTGGCCCTTCTCCAGAGAGACCAAAAAGCCCGTCTTTCTTGGCTCCTTGATTGTTTTTGTTCCTGAGAGCAGACAAATAGAGTTTGGACTCTTACAAAAGAAAATGCCGGAGCTCATCTGATCTTACTGCCCTAAGGAGCAGCCCGGCCTGAAGGGCCAGTGATTGGAAAATTACAGAGCTGCTCCAGCTGTATTGTCAGAGAGACTCTCAAACTCTTTTTTGTTCTGTTGCAGGCCATCAGCTGAATAACCAATCAAGCTCTTTTTTAAATCATCTGTTAATACTTTGAAGTGATTGGCTGTTATTAGATCTGGATTGTTTGTGTAGTTATCCTAATCTAGATTAAGTCTTTGACTGCGAGAATAAATGCAGATAAAATGAATGTTGGTAGATGGTATTTCTATATGGCAGGTAAATGTTTTAAATCTGAAGAGCCTCTTTAACAAATTTAATCACAGTCTTGGAGAACAATCTTCTGCTTCTAGGCACAACGGCCATTTTTGAGCATTACCCACTATTTAGCCACAAACAGCAGCTGCGACCTCTTTTTCATCGCACTGCATTGTTTATTTTCTAATTAGCAACTTAAGAAAACTGAATTTGCATGTCCAGATTTGTCTGGAAGATTGCAGCCATCACTCTTGGTTCATCACATCTTCCTACAGTTGTGCCCATCAGTCTAGGTCTTCGCTCTTGTTTACTTTAGCAGTATTTTTTAGTGTAGTTTAGCAGTTTTCCAGGGATTTCCTTTCAATTTACCAATAATAGACTTTCCAAAATACCAACATCATGACACAGATTTATAGACTTATATTTGTTTGTTATTTGGGCGTATAATAGATCATTTCTGGATGTCTGGAAATGGAAACACTGATTGACTATTGCAAGTTTTTGACAGATTGTTCAATGCACTGGTATACAGTTTCTATTATCTATGTAGATAGATATGTCAATTGTCACTGATGGGGGCTGAAATGCGACACCAGTTTTTGTTGCTCCTCTTCTGTACCGTTTTTGCTGTAACACTAAAGCTTGCTGATGCATCGTTGTCCACTACTACTTCGATTACAAACTTACTACAAATGGACTCTTCTCATATGAACATCCAAGCCCCCACTTACAGACTCTGCATTTTATGTATATTTTCTGTGAAAGGGTCAGACTAATCTAATCTGAACGACGAAAACTGGTCATCAGACTTCTGTGTGACAGCAGGCAGCAGAGATGTGGTCTCTGGCTGAAAAATACCTGTTGCAGCTCCAGAGGGATGTTCAAGCTGCCCATCCCCGTCTTACAAGTGGCTCTCTTATAAGTGATTACAATTGTTGGAGAAGGAGGAGTAAAACAAGGGCCTTGTCAACACAGGCCCTCCAGATTTGAGGTCAATTTCGCCCCCTGATTGCACGTGTGTGTGTGTGTTAGTTTGTCTGTGTATGTGTGTGTGTCTGTCTGTCTGTGTCTGTGGGGGAGGGAGAGACTGAGAGTTTACTGCTGCCTCATTGAAGCCATCATCATCACCTGACGAGCAGAGGTTGAAGCCTGAGTTGCTTCTCTGTCTATCATTTTTATCCTTTTGTTTTTTCCTCCACCTCCGTCTTCTTTATTCCTCCCTAGCCTCCCCCTTCTCCCCCTCATCCCTATCTCTGCTCCTCTTCCACCCTTGGCCCTGGCCCTCTGCCTGCTCTTTCGCTCACCCCCCATGTTCGCAAATCACTTCTTCCCGTGTCAGCAGGTAAATTGTTTTGTCCTCCCATTCCCTGCTTTCATTACCTTGTGTAAATTAAGCGATATGTCGTCCACCGGTGCGCGCCAGAGCACTCACTGCGCCAACGCCAAAATCATGAGATTTGGCATAATAAATGAAGATAAACTGGCAGTAGCAGTGCTCCTCTCCGCGCGGGCTCGCCTTCATTATTTGCTTAACTTGCCGGAGAAAATGACTTAACCCTGACCTGTGTATTTCGTCCCATATTCACTCCAGATAAAAGCCTTTTTACAGCGCACAACAATTTATATTCCGGCAAAGAGGCTGCTTTTCTCTGTCAGTTTTCCAATCTCAGCTCCTGAACACACGTCATTAAACTTGTCTTGCCTTCCTGTATTTGTCCATCAGTCCTTCTTTTTACATAAAATCTGGCAGCATTATTCTGGGATTTGATGGCACCCACTCATTTTTTCCCCTTGGAATGTTTGATTGGAAGAAATATAGCCGAGCTGGGGCTATCTCCTCTCCTCTGTGGAATCATGCACTTGATGAAATAGTGTTCCCCCAGCAAGAATAATAAAAACAGACTTGTGCATTACAGGGGGCTCTCAATCTGCCAGCTAGGCTGAGCTGAGCAAAAAAAAAAAAAAAAAACCCACCCTGCTCCTGACAGATTTTTATAGTTATCCAAGTAGATAAATGGAAACGGGTGACCAGACTGTGGAAGGCCACGCTTGAGCCGAGTGTGGGCTGCAGGGCTGGACAGTAACAGTGTGGGATGAACATTAAATGGTCGAACACAGGAACAAGTGAACTCGAACTACCAGAGATGTCCTGGATATAAGAGAAAAATCTCAGAGAAATGTTTGCTTATTCAGAAAAAAAAGGCAAATATGACGAGTCAAAACATACTAGTTAGTTTTTTCACAGTTTGTCCACATGAGAGGAGGGTCTGTGTCACGATTTGGTTAAGCTCTACTAAAAATGAATTAAACAGGGTGAAAAGGATGACCGCAGATGTCTCCTGCTTTAAAGGTGTTCTCTCTTCAAGTTGGAAATGAACTGATGGATGGATAAATACTTTATTGATCCTGGAGGAAATTCTAGCTTTAGCTTTCCATTCACACATGGGCACATTGAACATTGGTTGAGTTAGAAAGCAAAAAAATCTTCCAAATATAAATCCAGAGGACTAAAAGTGGAGTAAAACATCATATATTAAAACAATTCTTAGATAAATATATATACGCATTATTGGCACTCCACCACTTACAAGTGGCTCAACCTCAGAGTTCTGATCCAAGCCTGGTGCTGAGCTGACACACACACGCCTGATTAGTTTGTTCAGCCTCAGTTTGTCCACTTTGTTGATGCCTCCTCTGCATACCATGGCACAAAACAGAGCACTGGCTATTTCATACTGCCACTGCCATAAATTTTTTTTTTTTTAAGCTCAATATGATACATTTTTTTAAAGTTGTTAAAGGGCTGCAATTGCACTTAACTTTTGACAATTGCACTTTTTATAGTAAGATAATACTCTGATTTTGTGCATTTAGGAATTAGATTGCCTTTTTAATTTTCTGAACTTGTCAGTCTCTCAAATCAGAACTGAAAAATATTGAGACAAATACTCGTAACTTCTTAAAACCGAGCCTTGTTTACATTTTGTTTGTTTCTGATTTGAGACTTGGAAAGTGCTGGGCTGAAACAAGGGTTGAAAAGTTCCACGGTGGATTGTGCTTGAAGCTCGGGAAGATAATCAGCCATAAACGGTGCTCGATTCCACCTAACAGACCCTGATTGATCAAGTGAGCATGCTAATCAATCTGGCTCTAGTGCGGAAGAGCTCTGTGTGTTCTTCGTCGTCCTCTTCTTTTTCTGTTCAGCAGCAGGTAGAGCAGCACAGTTGTGAGGAAAACACAAAATAAACATGGGGATGATTTGTAAATGGTAGAGTGTCAATAATGTGTCTTTGTATAAGAAGTTATTTAACATATCTCTGCATTACAGTGTATTTGGTTGATGTCATTAATGTTAAGCTGTTTATTGCAAGAACTTGATATTTTAGTTGAAGTCACCTCAAGGTTTCTTAGTAACAATACAATCCAGTAGAAATGACAGTATGAGTCAAAAGTATTACTGTATCATTAAGTTAACCAAAAACAAAAACATAGAAGATCATGTCATATGCCTACAAAGAATGAATTAGATAAAGAACAAATTTCCTTTTGGGGACGAATAAAGTTTTTGTATTGTATTGTAGAGTTAGGTTACACCTCCTCTATTTTATACCAACCTTTTCTATGTTCTGCAACCTTCATTATTTACAGAAAAAAAAGAACTGAAATTTATAACAACGGTTGAACTTTTGTTGCTCTGTGTCTAAGTTTTTCTTTCCTCCGCTTTAGGGTTTCTGGTCATTCCTGTTACTGCAGCTGCCGGTTTTGGGAGCCTGAACAGAACCACCAATTTGTGTGGCTTACTCTCAAATGGAATGAAACAGACATTAACACTGCTGCTTCCCCTTCTTTCACACATTAAAATCTTACTGGCCTGTACATCACAAACGTCAACAGCTGGTTTAAATTAATATTGTGTTGCCACCTCTGGTAAGATATGTCACACTAATTTACTCTTGTTTAATTTCTCCTTATGTATTCTTTGTAACTGAAAAGTCAAAACACTGACTTTTCAGTCAAATAGAAATTTAAAACCGTATAGGCAGCCAATATTCATTTAATGCAAGGTATTTCCTTCATCCATAAAGATGACAAAACCCATATATGACATACTGTCATCTTACACTATGATTGTTATAGATCAAAATACTTAGACATATCAAGTCATTCTTTTATATCCCTTCTGTATCTTTTGTATCATAAAATTATAACTGTATTTAAATGCAAATTTACAATCAAAATGTAGAATATACTTTCATCAGAAACAGCCAAATATTAAAAAACCAGACACTCTGTAGCGACTCTTCTCCCAGTATATTAAATTAAATGCTGAATTTTCTTCAGATCAGTCTCTAAAAACTCAAGGCAAGACCACTGGGATTGTACAGAGCTCAAGAAGTTGGTGTTTGCAGCTTTGCTCTGTCTGTGCAGGGACTCCTGTGCTCTGCAAAGACAGAGAAAAGAATGACACAAACACAGGGTGAAAAAAAAACTCAGGAATTCAACTCATTTTTTACTGTATGAAAGTTTTACAAGGTCGTTGGGAGAGTCGTGTTAACACAACACCTGAATACCGATTTGTTACCTTGTTCTACAAGTCACGGAGCAGCAAGTCTTTAAGCGATCATTATTACCATACAAATAGACAGATCTATTTAACAACCCTCTTTTTATCGCATAACACTTATTCTTTAGTGTTGTTCCCTGAAAGGCACTGAATCCCCCCTCCCCTCCCCCTTTTTCTTTTTCTTTTTTTTTTTTTTTTTTGCAGGGAAATCGTCTCCGGGTTGATAAAGGCTCAGAGCAATAGAAGAAGCAAGGCTGACATCTTCTTAAGAGATGATAGGAGAGCCAAATCAAATAGGATGGAGCAGTCACTCTTTTCACAGATAGGTAGCTCATTTCTGGTGGCTGAGAGTTTGCATCCCTAGTGGCGCTCTGCCTGGGAAAGATAGCTCACTTGGACTCCATTCATTATTTCATTCCCTGCCTCTTCTTTTCACATCTTAGCTACTTCTTTCCCCCCTTCTTTTGCTTTAATGAGTTGCCTATTTTTCTCAAGTGTTGATGGTAATCTTGGAATTTAGATTTGTGAGACAAAATGCTTAATCACAAGTGTTTTTCATCAGTGGCGAAGAGGCAAAAATCAATTATTTCTATTAGACAATGCTGATTGGGAATGAATGGAAGTGGTAGCATTTTGAAACAAAGACTCCATGGTGGCAAAGATAAGTGTCAGTCTGGCCCCCCTGAGGTATGACATGTGGTCTGGCTTATTAAGCAGTTTGCAAACATTTGCCATTAAATCCAAGCAAAGGGTTTGCCATGCCAATACAAACAGTGAGGGATAATATATGATAACAGTATTCAAAAGTCAGGAATTGTCAGAATAAGGGTAAACATTTTGACACTGTAAGGACGCCAGTGACAGGCTCAAAGGTTGTCAAACTCTTACGGGTTTATTTTTCCTGATTAAGGTGTATGTATACTCATCTGAATACCCTTAATATTCATTCAAATTTGAATATCTTTGGTTGCCGAAGATTTCTCTGTGTTATAACTTCTTGGTGAGAGGTGAGTCAAGAACTTTTCCCACCAACTGTTTACAGCCAAACTTAAGCAATCAAGCACAAGCTCCATATGATATTCAGCCTGGCACTTCCTAAAGAGCTATCACACAGCGTCACATTCTTCACAAATCCCTTTGCAAATTATTTATAAAAATTAACTCCTCTTGCAAAGGGCTCATTGAAAAGAAGAATTACATGAAAGATAAAACACTTTATCGCCAGTGAAAGACTAGACAATGTACATCCAGAAATTGGGAAGATGGCAGAAACAATGAATATTAAGTGCCTAAGAATCTAAAGCTGCTGACTAAATTGAAACTGTATATCCTGAGGGGGCAAGGTTTCCAAATTGCTAATTACTGCCTCTGAAAGAGGGCTGTTTCAGATATGTTTGCTTGTGAAAGACTGCTGCTTAATGAAACAGTGGCTCAATTTTTTTTGTAATATTCCCTCTCTCTGGCTTTCAGGGCTCTCTCTGGACTTTCCTCCCAGGCCAGAACAATTGCAGGCCCTGGAGCCCAGCTTCCCCACAGGCCCTAGTGTGAGAAGGCCGGGGGCTGGGTACTGAGGGAGCCGCTCAGCGTGCTGAAATATGGAGGAGACAGATAAGGTGGCAGAGGCACAGAGAGGCCCTCTCCCAGGGGCCCAAGGGGAAATTTGCAGTTATTAAGAGGAAGATGAGAGAGATTAAATGGCTTTTGTACTCATTTTCACTGACTTTTATTTTTTTATTATTTTGGTTGCCTTCAACTGAGAGATGAAAGAAGTGGTAAATGACTTTTTGCTTCATTCAACAATATAATGGCCATGAGAGACAATTGTTCATTACTGATAGTGGTTAGATTTAAAAGACTTATTAATACAGTATTGTTTCAAGAGGTTTAAAGGTAATAGGATTCAAGTAACTCACAACCAATCACAACCTTGACATGGTTTGTATTTTGTTAGAAAATATTTACAGCATGTTACATACACATGTAGATTTACACATTAGATTAAACCTTGCACTAATTTGATAGAAACCTTTAATTGGCCAAAACAAGTTTGATTTGACTGCTGTATGTGTTTTTTCTTTTTAGTGGTCTAGTAAACAGATTTGTAGTCTGTGATAGCTGGATGACTTTTAAAGACCACTAGCTTGTTGTCTACTTACGTTGTAACATGCTGTATTTGACCAAATTGTGCAGCACAATACTACTTAATGAATATTTGCATGCTTTCAGTAAAAAATAATGCTATTTAGTTTTAACAGCATTATGAATCCGCACCTTCCTAACACAGACCCATGAGATGGAGAAATATTATGGCTTCACTTCCTGCTGATTTGCTTAAAATAACACTTTTAATACTGGAATCAATACATGAAAGAAAGAGAAAAAACAAAGTTAGAAAACAGTTTTGATGTCACGAGCAAAAAACAACTGTTAAAGCTATGATTTGTTTTATATTATACATTGTCTAGGGAATCAGACCTTAAACATCCCCCAATTGTAAACCCCCAATTTGGTCTAACCCCCAATCATAGAACTCAACTATATTCTTGGAGAGGTGGGGCGAGACAGGGTTTTTGGAACCAATCTCAGCAGGTTGGACAGAATATAAGGTACACCTTACAATATGACAGACTCACTTCATCATCTGCTGTAATACATATTAAGTCACAACAATAATCAGTAATCTGCTCATGTCAACAAAAATTAAAAATTTTGGAACATTCTAGAATTAGAAAGAGGTCGACCTGCTGTAATGGATTGAATTAGATTGTCTAAGTGTTTATAGACCCACTGTTAAAGAGATACCCTGGCGTAAAATTAAGCAAGGGTCAAACACACCTTAACACCGAGTTAGACTGCCCCTAGAGAGATGAATGTTGCAGACCGCTTGCTTCTCTAGTTATACCAACTTTAGTAACGACTGCACAATAGCAATACACAGCAGTCTGAGGAGCCATAAACAAACTTCTACCAAAATGCCACAAATAATGCTCAGGACAGCACCTAACTTCATGAACAGTACATAAAGGGTCCTAGCCACCACCAAATTTCTTTAGCAAAGACACTAAACACAACTCACCTACTCTCTTCCAGCAGCCGCTTGATTGTAGCGAGACCTCAGGCCGGTCCATTACGGACTGCTGCGGGGTGATGCAGCTCAAGGAAGAACATTTTTGGTCATTACTTTATCATTTCGTGGAGTAATAATCACCATATTAATTATTTTGCACTGCAGACGTCCTAGTTCTCCTGCCTTGGCGTCTCGGTCTGATTGCATTTCCATGAAGAAATGATCATAAATGTTCTTCCTTGAGCTGCGTCCCCCCTGCTGCTACTGTTGATGAAGTTAGGTGCTGTTCTGAGCATTATTTGTGGCTATAGAGTGGCTTTTTGGTTGTGTGAGTGTCTCTCTGTATTGCGATCTGTGGTCGTTACTAGAGTTGGTATAACTAGAGAAGCAAGCGGTCGGAAACATTAACCTCTCGAGGGGTTTTCAAACTCGGTGTTACGGTGTGTTAGACCCTAAATTAGTTTTAAGCCGAAATATCCCTTTAGGGCCTATCATACAAGTACTAACATTAGGTCCATGTGACAGGGACAAACTTTCTATAAACACTACCCTTCTCTATAAATGATAAACACTATTCCTCTACAATCTTCGAGTGTCATAGTAATCGACGGGTCAGTGTGTTATCTCTGGTCTTGCAGGCTCAGTGTTGTGTCATTACCGATGAGCACCGCGGTGGAACAACGGTGGCGGGATGTTTTGCGGCAGAGTCACGAGGAGGCGAAGGAGACACCTGATTGGCTGGAGCGTAGGGCGGAAGTGCGTCTGCTGTCCCGGCTGTGGAGAAAACAAAACAAGACAAGCTGCGACTGGTAAGCGCTCAAACACAATGAACCGTCTGCTTGTAGTGACCTAACATTTATAATAGTTTCAGGAGGAACATTTGTACGACAGTATCGCTGTGTAAAAACGCTGCTACACTGTGTGTGTTGTCGGGTTGTTAGTAGCAGAAAGATGTGTGGTTCATGCTGTTCTTGTGCTGAGCTCACGTGTAGGCTGTTATGTAACAGCCTGCAGACAGATCAGCCTGCCTCTGCTGTTGTACTCCTGCGGTGATCTGCTGCAGCTACTTAGCAACATTTTTAGCTGGTTATGAAGAAGCTTACAGTGTAGATGAACAAAAAACACTTTTGTGTTAGGACAAGATGTGCTGGGTAGTATCTCATTCCCCTAACACGTTTTTCAGACAGTGCTGCTGAGTCAAGAAATCACACCCACAGCTGGAGGTTATGATATTGATATAAACCTGAGTAAAAGATGGATAAATCTGCAGCAGACTAGTTCAAGACTCTTGGCACAGAATCAGGCTCACTCTGTTGTTTTTATGTCTTTGCTTTCCAGCACCATGATGGATGAGCTTGTGCAGGACCTTGTGTCTGCTTTGGAGCAGCCCTCAGATCAGAGGAAGCTTTGGGAGGAAATGGTCCTGAGTCCACTACAGCGGCGCCGACAGATCCGCCGTCGCAGAGGCCGCAAACGCTGCCGTGACTCTTTCTATCCACTGGAGCACAGGCAATGCTGGATTGAGGCCTCAGAGTCCAGTCTGGATGAGGCCAGAGCATACAGGGACAACTCCTCAGCAACCATTGCCGCTTCAGTGGCAAACTGCAGTGACTCTGATGACATGACCTCGACTGGCCGATGGCATCCATTCTTGGGAGGCCCGATCAGGACTAGACAGCCCTCCTGGCCGGAGTCTGATTCATTCACAGAGAATAACCAAGGAAGGCAGCTTAGGAGGCGCAGAAAAGTAAAGCGTATGACCTCAGATATCACAGTTACATTACAGCAGAAGCTGAGGGTTTCAAGTGTAGATAGGAGGCGGAGACATCGTCAGTCCAGAACAGGACTGAAGAAGAGATCTGGAGGTTGGGTCGGAGTGGATCACCGGTCCAAAAGTGCCAGACGGATGGGGAATGAGTGCTTGAAGAGGAGGAAGACCAAGGAACACCGAGACGCTGCAGACGAGAACATGTCTGAGGGGTAATGTGGAAGAAAATTTGTGTTTTTTTAAATGAATCAAAAACAACCTCTTTATTCATTATAATAAACATCAAGGCCTTCTGGGTAAATCCAGTCTACAAGAGGCACCGTTAAAGGTTTTTAGATAGATCCCTTGTTTGTAAAACATAAGCAGTTCCTGTTTTCAAATGTGAAAACTTGATTTATAGGATTTTAGCGACCAAATGTCAAGCCTGTAATTGTTTGAAGAGTCAGGATTAAAACCATGCTGGAAAAGGAGCTCAAAACTCTAAAAGCCCTTTTTACCCTTTAAATGGAAAGTTACCAAGGCAGTTAAACCCATAACATAAAAGTCATGGGCATAACTACTATCAGACAGAAGCAATTAAACAAGGCGACATTTAAGATGATCTATACTGCCTGTCTTCACAGAGCCACTTGTCAATATTCAGCCCATCCTCAGCGAAACTGAAAAAAAAAGAAAGTATCACAATCATGCCAGTCCACTTTAAAGTATTGAGTTGACATTAAAAATGAATGATAGAGTCTCTTCATCTTCATCTCCCATAGTTGAAATGATCACCAGGGAGGGATCTTTGATTGTTATGCTTCTGGGCATGTGCCAGCTCATTATTTCCTTTCACGAAATATTGTCACAAATAAATAAGTGACTTGGTGCGCTATTGATTTGTTTTGAAATGAATTCCTGTCCTGGGCTGGGTAATTAAAGTTAGGTCTGTCCCAGAGTCCCACAGTGCACCCTCTGTGTGCATTTTATTTAGTAAAACTAAATGTGGCTTCAGCTGATGGCAGGGAGGGAGACTGCGTGATTACAGTAGGACACCATGTACAATTTACTGTGGAATCACAAAATAGTTGCTAATTATGAGTTGTAACCATATTCTTCTGATGTCAAGATCTGCCTCTTTTAATTTGTTTGATCAATGCAGTGATAGTGGTCTTAATTAAAGGTAGTGTGTTGTATTCAGTGACAAACTGAGTAGAAGTGGACTATTATATTTGTAATTATGTTAAAGATTGTGCATTTTTACCTAGGTGTAATGACAACTTAAAAACAGTTAAGAAATAGAAATAAGTGAGCATTTAAAGAAATGAAAACAAACTGTAACTTGCATCTGCAAATTCTTAAGCATCTTATCATTTCCCCCAAAAAATAACAAGGGAAGTTACTGGATTTAGTTTATATTTTTAAATGGCTCCCATGGTCTGTAGCTGAAATAGTCTGACAAACACACAGCATTGCTTTTCAGGGCAAGAGTTTGTGAGAACAAAATGCATTAACGGTCTTAAAAGCCTGGAAGTCCCATTCCCACAGTTTGCTGTGCTGCAGCCCAATGTATTTCCTTTGAGAAGAAGACATTTGAGGTAACTGGTAATGGGGCAGACAGAGGGCTTTACATCTTCTGGTTTAATTTGTGCTGACCTCTCCAGCCCCTAAACGGTACTTGTTTTCTTACTTTATGGAAAAATCAATAGCTGTTCTGACAGAAAACAGCTCCGGAGAAGAAATAAATGGGAACACCATGGCCCACTGTCAATCATTTCTCACTTACACCACGCCAACACTCTTGATTGCTGCTCAGTAGACTGCCACAGTTAACCGAGGGCTGAACAGTCTAATGGTTAGAGTGTGTCAGAGGCAGAGGATAAAAAGGAAAAGGAAATGGCAGCAGTGATGAGGGGCTGACAGTGGTACAACAGAAGTATTTATACTTAGACAGTGTACGGTCCATTTGATCTCAGACACAGATGCCACTGGTGAAATTTCTTTGAAGTAATTTGGTCATTAATTTTTCTATATGGGGTGTTTGGTCTCCTAAAACAAGCTTCTCCTCAAGGTCACTCCTCTCACTGAGCCCGGCTTTGCCTTCAGTCACCCAAGTGCAAAAGGAGCAGATGTTGGCAGCTCCAGTTGGGCTCCACATCCTTCATTAGACCTGGCCCAGCCTGCTGGCACTAGGGCCACCTGGCACCCAGGCTGGCCCAGCAAGCAGGCCTCACCTGTGGGTAGACGCTGTCCCCGGCTCAGCCTCTGTCTCCAGCTGTGCGCTGCTACTGGTGTCTCCAACCCTGCCACCAGAAAAAAAAACAAAGACACTGTGCATGCTTTTCTCACACTCATCTTCCTCTCGCTGTAATGTATATTTTGAAAACTCTACGAAGAGTTTTCGGGGAAGCACCGGGTTTGCTGAAGTTAATTTTCATAAATCTCTGAGACTAATCCAATTACCGCAGCTCAGGGATGGTGGGATAACCTTATAATCAGACGCCCATGGAAGAGGGCATGGATTTGGGTTGGGGCGGCTTGTTTGAAGAGCCCACAGATCCATTGTTATCAGCGCTTTGCCCCCCTCTGTCTCTGCCTCCTCTTTATTCCTCTGCAGAATGAGCCCCAGCTCAATAAATGGCGGCTAGGCTGTAATCTCTGTGCAAACTGGTATGCCTCTCCCAGGAGCTGAGGATTATATCCTAATGATTAGTGCTCATCTGGATACTGTGTTTTGCTTCACCTCTTCGGCTTGTAGAGAGACAATAGAGCCATGTGGGGTTCAGCTCTAAAATGCCGGAATGCGGTTTTTGTTTTTGCCCTTGGCTTTGTTTCACCATGGACATATGGTTCTTTATCTAATTAAGACTCTTTTTTTTCTGTGTGCTAATACACAATAGAACATCCTCTTTTTGACAGAGGGAGAGTTTTACTTCCAGTCTGAGTCAAAGAACAAGTTTGCCCAAAATGTTTGTCAACTTTTCTTACCAAAGGTCACTGCTGAAGAAAGCAGAGGTGTTTCTTTTGGTCTTAAGAAAAATGGTGGTCTCAATAATTCATGGCATTAATTAGGCAGTACTTAATGGAAACGGTCTCACATCGGCCCTGTGCTGCTCCAAGCGACATCACATTACACCTTTACTACGGATAAATTCTTAATAGGTGTCTCTAATTAATTGTTAATACCTGTGATTCTTTTTCAAACTTGGCAGAAAGAAGCAAACATATTTTTAAACTTAGAAAATGAAGACAACGCCACGCAGCAGGAGAACCGTCACAGTTTGCACATTTATCGGAGGGGTTGGTGAATGAAGCATGGAGACAGAGTGGTAGCTGTTGTAGAGCTTGTTGCTGTGTCCTCTATTGATGTGGCCAGCCCATGTGTCCAGAGGTGGTGTCCAGCTGAGCACAAGCCTGGGGAGTCAGTCTGGAGTGAAAGCTGAAGGGGTGGGACCGCTTGGCTTCACCAGACATCCTCCAGATTCCCCGGAGAGGCCGGCTCCCTCTCACATCTGCTTCTTACGAATGTGAGAGGGAGATGATTTAGGACCATCTGGCCAGGAAGACGTGCAGGCTGGACGGACATCTTTCTGATCCTGCCGTCATTTGCAGGCCTCTGCAATATGGCAAAGCCCCGTATCAGCGCATATCTGACCCTCCAGATTTCTCCTGTTAGCAAGGTCAGCGCTGATCAACAGGAAGCAAAATGCAAAGCAATCAGGAGCATCAGACTCCCTCTCCCTTTCATATTATAATAATAATGATAATCATTCTGCAATCAATTTAGAGACAGATCAAAACAAATCATTTTACAGTTTACTCAATTATGTGAGGATAGGTTTATAAAAAGAAATAATTAGATAAAATATTGAATTAAAGAAATCACCACTTTTATGCCACATACAAATATTTCTGCAAATATTAAGCTAACAAAATTCAAAGAGTAAAATACAGTTAAATAGAAGGAATTTATTTCAGCAGAGTAACATACAGTGTACAGGTAAGTCTCAGAATTAACCAATGAAGGACCCCAATGAGGACTAAGTGACCATAAGCAGTTATAACTCAGTTTTTTAGATACAATATTGCCAAATACTGTTCTGCAATGTAGGATGCAATCTGACATCTGTGCTTGTTTATGTTCTGTTTGTAGCATTACTGCATATAACTGGAGCTTCAGCTCTGGGAAGTAATTGCACTACATCTAGCTTAGAAATATAAAAAAAAAATTGTCCAAACAATAAAAATGTTTGAAGATATTTACTGAACAGCTCGTAGGCAGTGACAGCAGTGAGGTTTAAGTCCACATAGAGGAAACCTGTTTTTTGCAGCCTTTATCACCTGCACCCCCTTTCCTGACCTCCTCCTTCTCTTCCTTCAAATAACCTTGCAGTGTCTGGAGGTCCTGGTTCAAGGTGGCTGAGGTGTGAGAAATGCAGAGAAACCCCGGGTGGTCTGGGGTAGCAGAGGGGGCACAGAGGGTGAGGAGGCAGTGTGACAGGGGGGTTGCCTGGGGGTTGCCAGGGGAAGGAACAGTCACAGGCAGGAAGCAGCGGCAGCCCACACAGCAGATGTTGGCCAGTTGTGTGGAAGCGGCACGTCTGTGGGTCACTCTGTGTGTGTGGGGCACACCCAGAGGGAGGGGTGTGGGGGTGGGGGTGGGGGTGTGTTTCGCTCTCCTGTCATCCTCCACGATGCAGGCCAGATTAGATTGGAGCTGACAGCGGAGGATATTCAATTAGATTGTGCATGTCACTCAGTGGCTTCGATCAGAGCCTCTTCTCATGCCTTTGTGTTTGCCATCGTGACAAGGGAGAACACGGCATGCTCTGTCTTTTTGTGTCATTTCCATTTATGTCGACCTCTAGCTCCAGACTTCTTCATTATTTTGATTATTGAATGCTACATGTTAAATATTGACATCAGAGGGCCATGTAAATCTCCGATTCTCATTGTTTAATTTCCAGATGCTATAACATTGACTGACCTAAAGATCCCGTCAGGTTTGAGATGACAAAACCCAAGCAGATATCAGATATCATTCAGATAGCAGAAACAGGTCAGTGATTTCAGTGATGTGATGTCTTTCTTCTTCTCTTTTTGCAGAGAAACCAGCAGCACATGCAGCAGTGACCCCGGCCTGTTCACCAATGATGAAGGAAGACAAGGTATCAAAGCTATAGAGAAAACTATGAAGTGCAACATCATCTCAGAGCCTTTAAATGAAATCCTGATCTCCTCTGATCAATGAGAGAAGGCAGACGAGTTGTCAGAAGACACCCTGAAACTGTGAAGAAATGCTGGGGCTACAGAGGGAGGTTTTGATACAATGGGCCGGTTGCTGGGCACCCAGGCGACTCTAATAAGACGTTGTCATGTCGTGTTAATGAGCGCTGAAGCCTTTGCTAATCTCATTAGCCGTGGTGGGGCCAGGCAGCCTCTGATTTAACAGTTGTCACTACACCTTGACTGTGAGAGGCATGGTTCCTGCATGTTCTCCGCTGACTGACAGGTCTGAGAGAAGCTGGTTGTCTGGGGACAGGATGGGTGTTGTCTGGTTCTCTGGTCTGGTGTGAAGTCAGAGGAGCAGTTTGTGGCGTACACATATGCAGCGTCATTGGAATTTTTGAGCCCACAAAACAAACAGACGACTCAAGCTGGATATTTTGGCCTGAAGTAATGTCAGCTGACAGCATAGTATTTTTACTCTGTTTCATTTTTTAAAACTGTACAAATCCAGGCAAAATAATGTGTGTTTTGAGGTAGTTCTTACATGTTTCAAAAAAGACATTTGGACAAATATTTTGATAGTGTACTGAAACCAAAAGTGAGGCTTGTTAAAGAGAAATATGCCACAAACAGGATGTAGTGGTGTTATGTTAACAGATGCATAATTTTCCACGTCACAGGCGATGACGAGCAGAGTGACTGGTTCTTCGAGGGAGACTGTGGAGTCGGGACGGGTGTGGCCGGCCTGCTGCCCAACTGGGACTCAGACAACCAGCTCTCCCTCGAGGATTCACGCCCTTCGCCCACCTTCCTGCAGCCTGCACGGCCCTCGCACAGAGGTACAGAACGAGCAGTATCTGTCATGGAGACACTTGAGCTTGTTCTTATCCTATCAATAAAACTACTGTCCTTTGATAGATGCTTGTCCAGAAACTTTTTTGCAAACATTGATTATCTTCTGTGACTATCATGCAGTGGCTGGGAATCAGTATCATTCACGCCTGAAACGAGTGCCTGGCTCTGCTGCCTGCTGCATCAGGAGCGATAGAAGAAGGTTTCCCAGCAAGGTTAAAGCAAACAGACATCCTCCCTCTCTGTAAAAAACTGTAATACATGCTTTACAGTGTTTGTTTCTGACTGTGTGTGTTTGGTTTCTGCTTTATAGGGAAACAGCGTGCCAATATTTAAGAGACTCAGACCATTTCCTGAAGATACTTACCGTAGAGAGTAAGTAATAGTGGCTGAAAAGCTTTAAAAATACAGCACATTAAGTTGAAACTCTTGTTTTCTAAACCTCTTGAACTTTGATTTCTCCTCTCAGCTTTTGGCTGCCTTCTGTTGGAAAACGAGACAGAAGCCAGGTATGTGTGAGCTTCATACTCATTTGTTTTAATCTGAAAAAAAAAAACATCCGGAATATTCAATGTTCCTAATACTTTTAATTTCCACTTGATCCCTTTGTGTCCTATTGACATGGTGTCAGAGAGCTCTGATCTCACATGTCCCCCCTCAGTCTGCAGAAACAGATAGTTAGCCAAACAAAAGCACCTCTCAAGGGCCTATTGGAGGAACCATTGAGTCTCTTGATCAAAGCTCAATATATTGATGGACCAGTCTATGGGCGTCATATTGAAATGAATCAGAACACAGGTTGTTGTTAAGTAGAGTAATTTCTATTGGCGGTGTGTTTGTGCGTGGGAGGATACACATGGAAGGGGAAGATGCACACATCAAATATGAGAGACTGACTTGAATTTAAAGCCACGTTTTAATGAAGTAGAATATTCATGTTGCAAATACGCAGAACAGATTGGTGTCTACATCCATTTTCACACTTTCCTCCTCTGCAAGGTAACATTACATAGGTGGTCAAGGTGCAAAAATGTAAATCTTTGGTGTATTTCTCCCAGATAATATGTGTATAAGAGTAAAATATCCACTTAAACCCAGATCTTAGTTTGTTAAAGAGGGTTTCAAGTTTCCTAAACAAAAGAAATCTGTTGATGTCAGTCAAGGCCCAAAGTTTGAGCTTGTATGAAAATGAGAGCGAGCTGCATTTATTTGCGGTAATTGAATAGTTTTCAAGGTCGCTGTTCCCAAACAGAGAAACTCTATGTGGACAGAGTTGTAATGCAGATTTAAATCCCTGCATTTCTGGGACTGCACAAAAACACTGAAAAAAGGTTTATCCAGAAGATGTTTGTCAAAGCATCACATGGCTCCCAGTCATCCCTGGATTTGTTGGATCTGCATGGGGGGACTGTTGAGAAGCCGCCTAGCCCCCTCGGCCTCGAGACCGTGGGACTCCTCATTGTATTGTTTCCACTCTGCCTATTTATGGCGCATTCTTAATTTTGTTTCACACACACTCCTTTTCCCGCCTCTCTCTTGGGTTATTTCACAGAGAGCTCCAGCGCTCCTTGATGAGGGGCAAAAACACGACTGCTATGAAAAGCCCCCGACTTCTTAGGGCTTTCTTTTCTAAACTGGCCCCTTTCTTCTCCACCTGAAAGGTTCCTTCAGATTCCAGTTTGAGGCATTGTGAATACTAATTTCTGTCTATTAAAAAGCCCTCATATCCCTGCCATGCTCTCATTTGAATGGCGGACTCAGGGGAGACCTCTTAATTCCTTTATAGTGGGATTCAAGACCCTTCACTTCAAAAAGTATAAATCATACTCCCAAATGAACGAGGGAGAGAGGAGGGGGATTGACGAGAGGGGCTTCTGATGTGTCCCGTCGGACGGCACGAGCTGAATCCGTCTCCCCAAGCTTCTCAAATCCACTCTCCAGTGAGATGGCTGCTCCATCCACACAACCCAGCTCTGCATACATGACACCCATTTCCCTTCTTAACTTTTTCCAAAACACACCCGCATGCAAACACAACAGCAGAATAATAAGTTAACGCTTTGAACGTCAATGAGAAATGCTTTAACTGCTCTCAAACTCTAAAACGTCCACTCCTGATAACACTCGACTATCTTTTCATTTCTCTCGAGCGTCCTCACTGTGTGATCGATTTCTGCTGCTGAGCTCCCATAGGTTTGACTTTTCTTTGTTTCCAAACACCCTTGATAGAAAAGTGTTTTCTCTGTGGGCACAGTGTAAGCATTAATCTTGTGTACTGCAGCCAGGTTGAAATGATACTGTATTAATAAAAGCTGTCATCTCCTGTTGACGGCCACAATCAGAGATTTGATGCTAAGTGATAAAGGCTGTATGAGGTTGCATGCTGTTTATCCTGGCGTGAATGGGTGCGATGCTTTGTGGGATTTGGCTGTAATGCTCGGGGCCGGCGGCCACGTTAAAATGCATAACTGCCTCCCACCTGAGCCAGGCAGCAGCAGCTTTTATCTATTGACTTATTTATTTCTAAATGACACTTGCGCCGTGAGATAAATCATAGTCTTACGCCACTCCCTTCCCAGTTTTCATTTTAATTGTGAGATCTCGGTGTCAGCAGTTAGTATATTGGTGTGAGTGGCCTATTGATTATTGATTTGGAGCTATTGATTATGTTCCCAGGAGACCCTAATCCTTTCTGATTCATTTGAATACCTCTATTAATCTTGAGATCCTGCTCACACCTGAAGCGCTGTGTACTCTAATGAAAATAGATGGCCATTTTGTATCTGCAGCTCCTCACTCCTCTTTTGATTTATTATTTTTAATTGATATATTTGCTTTTGGATGTGGGAGCCAAAATTACAATTGACCCTGTGTCAGTGCTGTTTTGCTCTGTACCCTAAGGGACCGCGCTGCATTTAAAAGTGTCTCATATGACCTGAAAAAATCCATTCTGGAGACTTTTTCCTCTGTGTCCTTGTGTCTTTGATAGAATTTCATTGTCGCTGGCCGTCTTCATTACATATAAGCAGCTTTTTCATTGCTCAATGCCTCTGAGTCAATATTTGTTTTTCTCATCAGAGTTTCTTTATATTTAGGGATAAAAACAACTGGACAACATCTGTCATGCTGGTAAAACTGATGAAGGAACAGATGTGGAATAATAAAAACAGGGTTGTGCATTTTTAACGTCTCGTCTGAGTTTTACACTGAGCTGAGTAACACGCTTATAAAAAGCCTTTGGGTTCTGTTTGGAGATGAATGGTGGTGTTTTGCCTTGGTTAATGAGCCAGCTGATGGTATTCTCAGGTTTGATTAGCATTGTGCTGAGCGTCTCAGCGGGTTCCTGGCGTCCCCGTAGCGGCTCTGCCCCTCAGCTCTCAGCAGCAGGGGAGGGCCCTCGTCTCCCTCCAGGCTGCAGGGGCCCCAGAGCCGCTCATCCTCAGTGTAATGAGGGAAGAGATGGAGGGATGGACCTCCACACATTAAGACCAAATGCATCAGGGTATTACTTTTAATACCACAGGCGTGCCTCGTGAAATAATGCGACGTTTAAATGTGGATCGATTTTGGAATTAAAAAGTTAGTTTGCAAAGATTTACTGTGGGGAGTTCAATGCCTGAGCTCTTTATCAGGGGCGCAAATGGCTGGTTATGTGCTGTCCGACAGAGGTACGATTGAGGGATCGATAGACGCGTGATTTACTAACTGGAGTACAGGTAATCAATAAGTATAAAAGTAAATGAAATATGCATTACTGGGATTTTATTAGAGAGGGGTAGCAGGGAGAGAATAACGGTCAGGCCATTTATTTTTATATCTATTGATTATACAACATAGAGACTTCGCTCAAAGCATGCCCTGCTCAGCTCTCGACACCCCGTGCCTGCACAGCCGTCATGTGATTTATGGGTGCTGAGGTCACCGAACATGCTGCCTGTTAAAAGGCTGCCCTGACGGGGCCTTATTGTAGCTTGTGCCTGCTGAAACTGTGAGCTTTATGTAGCCCGCAGACCAAGATGAGCCGGCATGGTTAACAAGGAGCACTTCTCTGCAGTCTGTCATGACAGCAATCTGTCATAAACTCACCCTAACAGGTTTTGTTTATTCAGATTTTTTAAACTCAACACCGTATTATTTTTTAAAAATTCCCTCAGCGATGCAGTCTATTTTATCACAGCTAACATACAGGACTTTAACTCTTTCCCTGTCAGGATTGCAGTGGCTTCCTCATGCACTCCCCCCTTCTCTTTTTTTCATTCAATCTGTCCTCCTGTGCACAAACACACACCAGCACATCAGCTGCCCCACAGCCCCCACCCCCCTCTCGGTGATGGAACGGACCTTGACCTTAACTTTACATCTCCGACTTTGCAGCTATTAAGCCGGTGGGGGGGCTTTTCCTATTTCAGGGTTTTGACATATGACACAGGAGGCAGAGAGCAGGTGTAATTTGTTTGTGTGAACTCTGCAATGACTCAGCCACATGCATCCCACATGCAACCCTCCACATCGCAAATTCTCCGTTCAAAAAGCAGTGAAGAAAATTAATGTAAGGTTAAATGTGAGCTGCACTGTTTGCAGATGTGCAGCTCTTGCATTTATTGACCTTTTTGTGAAAGTAATGCATTTTCAATGTGTGAAATATTGTGATTTAAGTTTAATCTCTCTGTCTGTCTTTGTGTCTCCCCAGGCAGACTAACATCACCCTGGGACTGTTGAGCAGAGGAGAGTCCAGGAGGAGGGAAACAGGCTGTATCCATCACCATATTAGGTAACACCCTCCACACAGAGGTTACCCATGAATCCTGGTCTTATTGTCTCTCACTTTGTTCCTATTTTAAGCAAGATTAAGCATTAATGCTACAAATCCAAAATAGGGTTTAAGGTTGAATTTTCTATTTGCATGGCTCTGTGGATTTCAGCGGTAGTCTGTCAGTCCATAGTTTTGTCTGGACTGGAAAATCAGCTGCTGGTTTATAGTTTTAGTAACATTATGTACAGACATTGATGGTGTCCTGTGGGTGATGACCGAGACCTGAAAGTGGAAAAATCAAAAAATGTAGTACAGACCTACATGCTGCCATGTCAACGTTTTACCATAAATTTTGTGTGAAACAATCATGTCAAACTTTTTAACATTTGGATCCAAAGTATAATTCCCATAGAGTAGAGCAATATTAGTTTTAGTGGTGGAGTCTGTACATGGAGCCAAAAATGATTAAAATATGTTGATGTGGTGACATAAACAAAGAAGTGCTGATATTAGCAACACGACCTAGCTCACTTCATGTTATAAATGGCGCAGATACATTTCCTTTTTTCAAGAAGGCATGACAGAAATACTGAAAAAGAGCTTGTCATATTTAGATGATGAACATGGCACACTCCCCAACAGCTCGATGTCCGTGTACAATCATCGTCTTTTGACATGTTTGATTTCAGAATTTTACTAAGCCGCCCTACTGAAATGCAGCCATAAGAGACCCGGTTAGAAGTGTCTAATTTTAAAAACATCAAGTATTTGTTCACATAACTGCAGAGAGAAGAGAAGAACTGTAAGATGAGCTGTTTTTGATTTGTTTGGACCTTCATTTACAGCAGTAGAAGAATGGTGTAATGTGGTGTTCACCTCACTAAAGGTGGCACAGAGCAGCAGCCGTCGTTTCTGTCCGGACCTGTGGAGCTGCCTTTTTTCATTAGAGTCATGGCTTTGGGCCCTATGTCTTTGCCAGATTGAAATCTGAATTGGTTTGTCCACTCTTCTTCTGTTGTGTGGCCCCTCTCCACGCTCCGGCTTCTGTTTGTCATTTAAATAACAAATGCTGGTGGTTCCCTGATTTAGTGAGGGGTGCAGGCCTCTGATGTATATTAATACCGCTGCACAGTGCACTGTAGTGGGCTCCATCATTCATTTGGATAAAAGAGGTGGAATTTAAAAACAGCCAATGCTTTACTTGGATACGGATTGCATCCATTTATTGCACTGAGTGATGGAGCGGCCGGCGACTCTGTCCTTCACCTCCGCAGCGCTCAACCACTTCCCATAAAAGTAAAAAAGGATTCACCCCTGGCCCTTAAGGACCCCTCATATTCAGCATACGCAACGAGGGGCATCCCTCAGTTTTTCAACTGTTACAGACTGAGTCGGTTGTTAAGGGACTAAAAAGCGAAATTCATGCATCAAAATCTCACAGAATGGTTTTCTAATGTATTCTTTTAAAAAAAATGAAAATAAAACAGGCTTATTAATGCTTAAAAAAGAAAACCAGAGCTTGTGACTATAAACTGTTTTATTGAAGTTTAAACTGTATTCTCTTATGCTTTCTTGTTAAAGTTTACTGTAAAATATTATTCCTCATTGTGTTTATAATTCAGTGTAAAAAAAAAAGAAAATATTTTTGCAGAATTCAAATGAAGGAGATTTCCTTATCTGACCCCCCTCCTCCAAAAGCCCTGCAGAGTGTTTCCCTGCTTCTTGAGTCTAGTGCCCCCTGTCCACCATGATTTATCATGCATCCCCTGTCGCCCAGTGTCAGTTTCTACAGCTGCAACTGCTCTGTATAAATCTTTACATTGGCAGGCTGCTGCAACATGTCTCTCCTCAGTAATCTCACCACCACCAGGAGATGCACATTCACTCTGACAAGCTTTCACACTCTCTGTGTACAAATTCTGGTTTGCTGCCATTCTGGCATGAATGTGAACAGACACAGAATCAGATTCAGGGCTTTGTTGGGTGCTGTTGTTTTCTGGTAAACATCTTGTTTGCATGGAAAAGACTTCACTTAGTTGAAAGAAAAGCATGACTCCCTGCGCTGCTCTTAGTGAACAAGGCAGGCGAGTCTTTGTTTGAGTTGGCCAGAGGAAGTGGATTGTTGTGTGTGTTAGCGGTTGATTTGAAACTCTGTAATCAGGAGTGAAAATAGTCTGCGGCTCGAGGTGTCTCACAGGGCTCCGGTGGGAATTACTGAGGCGGTACCCAGCTGTTGCTTTGTCTTCTTCCTTTACCCTCTTCGCACTTCGATGGCAGTGCTGAAGCTTGGTGTGAAAAAAAAAGAACAAAAAAAAACTCATCAAGAAAGGTTTCTGTTTGGATTAGATGACCACTCCATTTCTCAGCCTTAAATTGGCTGTTTTCTACTTTTCACACCAGCATCAATCCAACAATCCAACTCAATCGACCAAGTCCTCCTCACCAGATTTTGAACCAAAAATACAAGTTTTATGTGTCTTGAGTATTATTATTATTAAAGATATCAATTCTTGTTTTAGTCTGATTAAATTGAAGCTTCCGTTTTCACATTTTGACATTCTTTATGGGGCCATTTTTAGGAACAGCGTATTTCCCAACTGCAAAAGTTAAATACTCTACAGTCCCTCAGATTTTTGGAGGGTTATTTATAAGGCAAAGATGAATCAGTGAGTGTTAAGATCCTGATGGATTTTAATAGCCTTGGCTGATCTCACACACTGACTAATTAATTATTGCAATCTTACTCCTCCCCTGCTCTCGCTGATAATGCCCTTCATCGTTATCTCGATGAAGAAATGATGGCAATAAACCAAAACTTGAACTTCTCCTGCATGCCGTATTTCAGTCACAGTTCCAGTTTGGAGTTAATAGGCAGGGATGATTGACCTCGTCAGACTGTTAGTGTGTTATCTCTGAATGTCGGACAGACCCCCATGCTGGTGCCCATGCAAAGGCCAGCCCCTTGGTCGGCCCGGCCGCCTCTCCTCTCCCCTCTGTCTTCATGTGTCTCCTTGCCCGAGCAAGACGGCTGCTTGACAGATCACCTGCGTCGGAGGCCCGCCGTGTTCCTGCCCGGCGGTCCGGCCCCCTCTCATTAATGCCCAGGCTGGTGCGAGGGGCCGTATGGCAGCACAAGACAAATAACGCTACCACTCAGCCATCACTTCTGCTGACAGAAATGCAGCCCACCGCACTATTTCGCCCTCTCCGGCTCCACTCCACACCCTGCTCGCGTCCTTCAAAGATCCCCCCTCCCCCACCTCCACCCATCTTCTCCGTTTCCACCTGCACCTGCCTGCGCTGCTCCACCAAACTTTCGCGGCGGTTTTTGCTGTTTTTCCTGAGGCTGAGCTTAACACCAAGACCCTTACAGTTCGATGTTTTCAACACCTTTTTGTTTCATATTTAAGGAGTAAGATTTGTTTTCATCACCTGCGTCTTGACTCACTCGTTTGCAGACCCTCTCAGTAAGGGGGACGATTAAATGTCCTATTCTTTCAATTGCATAAAGACTCACTAGTGTGTGTGTGTTTGTGTGTGTGTGTGTGTGAGAGAGAGAGAAAGAGAGAGAGAGAAAGAAGGCGAGCAAGCAGGAGAGAGAAACACAAAGGCTAATCATTAAAGAGCTATTCAGCCCTGTTCATTTAAGTGTGGGAATCAGCAGGCCCATTACTGTCAATGTGTAATTAGCTGATTAATAAACAGGGGGAAGGGGAGTGCTCCAGGAAGGCCTGTAATGATTGTTTTTAGAGAGCATCACATGAGAGCTTATTAAGATGGTAAGAAGGTTCCATTCAGCCACCCATTATCACCCACAATAAATGCATGTTCTGTAATTTTCCCATCCACAGAAAACCTTTGCCATGTAAAGTCTTTGTTGACCTTGATGTAAAACCAGGTTCACTGTTCTTGCTATTTTCTTATTCAAGCATTCAATCAACAGTCCTTATTTTCAAACTTTACTGAATTACACACATAAACTATCAAAGCTAAGCACAAGTAAGGAGTTCTGGGTAACTTCATTGTGATTATTATGCCAGAGAAACTAAGTATGTGTACTTGAGAATATTTTGGTTATATATGTATGAGTAAACTACACAGAGAGAACATGTTACTTCTCAGATCAAGATTTTTCTAATTAAACTTTTTTTTGTTATAAAATTGGTGTAAATGAAACCAAGAGTCCCAGACATTTTTGCCGGTTTGGGCTTTTTTCAGGTTTGAAATGTCTACTTTTTCAACTTAATTTCTCGTATGTTTGACGTGATTAACTTTTTCAATGTTTCAAAGAGATTTATTGCATAATATTTTTAAACAAAGCAGATTAATCTGTGAGGAAAAAACTTGACTGAACATCAGTACCAGGTAATATTTGCTCTGTTGACAGAAATCAACTCATCAGCATACCTGTTGGACAATTTTTTCATTTCTTTTCATGATCAGGCGTGGATGAAAAGATCGGTGGTGTCAAAATGTTACACCCTTTTTAAAAGATAAGCAACATGGAGTTTTTGAGGCAAGTTCTGGCGACATTTTAGAAGAGAATTTAAAGAAGGAATTACCCAAAGTCCATTTAAAAAATAAACACAAAAAACCTCAAAGAAGTAATGTGAAAAACATGAGTGTACGCCCCTGTTTCTATCTACACTACATCTCTCAAAACCCAACAGTCTCATCCTGTTGTCTTTTTAGTCAGAGAGTCTTAAAAGTAGTGACTCAATATTAATTTCAGTCTGTTTTAAAAACATCTAAGTTTCCTCACAGGAGCTATAAGCATCGATGAATCAGGATATGAAATCTTTTACATGTAATATTTTCATTAAGCTCATTTTCACAAGAGAAAAAATATACTTTTCACACTTGGAGTGCAGTACATTTTCTTGTAGTGTAGTATAGTTGAATACTGTGTGTACGCTGCATACTTTGTTAAACATACATAATCTAAACATGGTAAACTCAAATAAAAGCTCAACAACCAGCAGAAATAATGTCACTTTAGTTATAAATCAAATGCTCTAAAACGTTGTGGATGTAGTGTAAAAAAGTGTCTCAGCAGCTTCCGCTGATGGTGACCTTGACCTGCAGCAGATACTCGTATCTGCCCTGTAAATGTTAACACACCCACAAACTCAATGTTCCCAGTCAATTCTTTGTTTCTGTCAAATGCGGAAAAAGAAAAAAAAAACAACTGAATTTTGATCTAAGCCTTCAACTGTGTTTAACCCGAGTGTTTGGGTTGAACCTCAGCAACAGTTAGTCATCGTTCCCTCAAGAAATATTAATCAATTATCTTGCCCGCCGGATCAGTTTGGGGAAGAAGTCATCTGGAAAGAGGCACAAGCAGATATAATGGGAGGGAGCAAAAGCACATGCCAGTGAATGCTGTAATGCCTAATCCTTTGAGACAGCCCAGAGCCACAATGTCACTTCTAGTTCCCTCGTCCTCTGCTCCAGGACTGCCTCCCCAATGTCTTGTGTGACCGCCGCTAACTTTTTTCTGAGGGTTGAGATCAGGCGAGATTTATTTATCAAGCATGTTAGGCAATGCAATTGTTTTAGAGTTCCTCTGTCCGCTGCAAAAATTGGCCCCTGCTCTCTTTCGGATATTTCCCTTCAGTCTTTGAAACAAAAAGCTTTATAAAGGTGAGAGAGATTCGAGAGAATGTTCAAAAAAAGGGAGGCAGTCAGTGAGATGTGAACTTACGATGAATGGAGTTTAAAACGTACAGCTCCTTACACACCATAAGTGGTGTGGGGGGAAGTTATGCCATAGGAGCAGCACAGATTGGCCTTTTAATAACCATGTCCACAAGTCATATGGGGCCAAATTGGATTTGGCTCACTTGACCAAAACCTCATTAATATTTAACCTATTAGACGAGGAATGCTTCAAAGTTTTATTTTACTACACCTCAAAGAGAGAGGGATCCATGAGTGGTGAACTGAAGCCGCCCATTGAAACACTCAGAAAATAAGATCTATGTGTGTATTTTAAAATGTTAGTATTCAGTGCTGAATTTAATGTTTTGTTTTATTTTTCTTTTTGCAGCAAGCAACTCATTTCATAAGGATCACCAGAGAAGAGGCACAGGAAGCCAGCAACACCTCCACCCAGGAGGCTGTGGGACCAAAAGTGACATTTTCACAGTCCTCTTCCTCTGCCCATACTGAGAGCTTCCTTCAAAAGGGGACCATAAATGTGCCTGGACAAGTACACCCAAGTCTGGAAGGACCTACTGGAAAAAAAAAGACTAAACCTCCTCTTGCTGCACAATCTCTGAGACAAAGAAAAACTACAATAATCACCCCTCAAATCAGCATGTTCCTGCTGGATGCAGTCTTTCCAGGTAGTATATTAAGCATGACAAATGTTAATGCAATCAAGCCTTGTTAACCTTCTGCCATCTCCTTGAGGAAGAGAGCAGCTTGAAGAGGCTCCTCATTCGACTCAAGACTTGACGGCTCCTCCTGTTTCCACACGCACGGTCTCTGGGCCACCTGCTACCACACAATCCAGCAATTATGTCCACTCTGGTCGCGCGGTGTTTGTCAGTGGGAACACTGGGAAGGTAGTCAGGTAAAGGTTTGTGCGTTTCTGCCCTACGTTAAGCAGCACGTAGCTAGCTTTAAGACATATTCCAGCATCAGAATGTTTAGCTACCACATGCTGCTACAGAGTTCAGAGAGACGACCACCAGGAGAGAGCCACACAAAGTACAGGCCTCCTATTAGCATGGATTTAAAAAGCTACAGTTTGTACAAAGGTGCTCATTAGCACAACACAGAGGGAGTGTGGTCGCGGTCCTCGGAGGCCTGCCTCTGTTCTCCTCAGCTTACCTTCCATATTCAAATTTCCTCAAATGTATTTAAGTTCAAGGCCTGCTGCAAATCCTTTTAAAGAGGCCGTTTTTCAGCCGTGTGGATTAGTCGCTTTTAGGGCTGTGCAGAGAGGCAGGGAAAAGAAGTCGGAGGAACTGCTGCAGACAGCAGAGTCGTACACAGTTTTTTCACCTACCCTTGGGGTATACATTTCCCTGACTCCTGCACCATCAGATGCATTAAAAGATCAATGGAAGCATACAGTGAGATCAAACACAACAGTTTTCCAGGCTGGTAAACAAGCTGTATTTTCAGAAAAATGCATTTTTTATGGGAGGACAGTGGAGTAGGTTTTGTTTGACCTGAACCATATAGGTGATGAATGTTGAAGTCTTTAAAAACAAAAGTGTACTCCTGCACATAATCAAATCACCCCAGCTGGCAAGTATCCTGAAAAAAAAAGTATTTTACAAGGACAGCAAAGTGAGTTTTGTTTCTGTTAAAACTAAAAAGCCCATTTCTGAAATCTTCCCAGCGCCAAACACACAGGTGTGCACTTTCTGTAATAAAGCATAAGAAACCTTTTTCAGTGAAAGCAACCTGACTGTCCTCAGCCGCGCACTGCATGTCTTTTTAGACACTTTAAAGCCTTGTTTAAGAGAAGAATCGCATTCAGTAGAATGAGATTTGCCAATTAACGTGAGTTATATGTCTGCAATAATCTGTCTGGGAAGACTTTATGTGATCATGTTGGCCAGGGATGACATTTATAAATGCTGTGTGTGCACACTCATCTAAATGGATGCTTCAGACAAGACATCCTGCCACAGGGATCAGTCAGAGTGTTGAGGCAGGGAGCAACCCCCATCCCCTCCCTCTCAGATACTCCTCACGTGTCCACTGGACGTCCAATACCTGGGCCAGAAAACACAGCTGATTGATAGGAATCACATCAAATGAGCTTGGTAATTAAAAAAGAAGCTTTTGATGAATATATTGGTGACTTTTTTTGAAACATATGTTCCTTGAAGCTGACAGATATTGGCTGTGCTGTGTTTTAAGGACTGCTTCTTGCTCTTGCCTTATCCCTCAGCCCGCATTCTGGTGCCAAGGCATTGACAGGGAAGGAAGACACATCATTTCAGATACAGTTCCATTAGCAGCTCCAGTAGGGAAACACCTCACCTGCCTCGGCAGCAATTAGCAGCCACTGTAACGACATCTCAGACAGACTGTTTGCCCCGAGAATGAATTTCCAATGGCCAGGAAGTGGGGGAAACGGCTTCCGCACAGCCAGTCAATTGCCCTGTTACAGTTAAGGAATCCAGCGGCTTGGTACCACTCATATTTCATCCCAGGTAAAGATTACCTGTCAGGCCCATGGGAGATGTATTGATCTGTTTTCCTTTTTCCGCCAGCAATCACCTGACAAAGGCACCTAGGAGGTGAGTGAATGAGTGATGCCTGGTCCGTCTGCTCGGGCGTAGTGGCTGCTAGTGTCCACTGATGGGTGGAGAAGTGATGAGGAAGAGGAGAGATAATGCAGTCATAAACTCTGTTTGAACCTCCTCTGTATGCATGCAGGGCAGCCCCCTCGGTCCCCCTGAGGTCACAGGTCAGTGGGGAATTTGCTTTTGCTTTTTTTTTTGGCTCCTTTCTTGTGGGTGGTGTTTGTTCTTGCTGTGTCGACCGGCGTGATGATAGAAACACATGCAAAAGAGGCTCTCTGGTTCCTGCTGACAAACGCATGTTGCGAGTCACCGTAGTTCAACTCACTCTGGGTTTCAAAGGGTTTCCAGTTTGATCCGTGAACCCTCCTTACAGAGAAACCCAACCTTGTGTGGTCAGGGTTTCTTATGACTGCTGCACCAGCTTGGATCAAAAATATTTTACATCATGTCATGTTTTTGGCAGCTCAAAGTATTTCTATATTTGCTTAAATTTGCTGAATGTCAGAGTTGATATTACCCATAAAGCCATGCTTTCAAAGTGATTGCTCTGTTTAAAATGTGTCGTATTTATGACGTGATGCTTAATTACAGGTCCATTATTCCAGGATTTAAGGCTGAGGACATTACATACATAAATCCAATTTGATCATAGATAGTTGATATGTCTCCAATTTTTTACCGCTGTATTTTTTAATTTCATTTACAAGGATTTAAGTATATCTTCCTGTTATCAGGGCACTTAGGCAGCTAGCCACATTTGATACGTCGTACAAATAGCATCTTATCACACAGGCTGTTATCTTTATATTTAATAGCAGTGGAAGCATGCCTAATTGCTTTGCAAATGATGTAAAGAGGATTACTCCTCCTTCAGAAAGCCTGCAGTGTCACCAGATGTTAAAGAGACATTACTATGATAAAATTGTTTCAGAACTGCTATGTAGTGTTTGTGCAGTTATTCAAATAAATGTCAGCTTAATGTGGATCCTTCACTATGATGAACTCTGAACATAATCAGGGGTTAGCATGGATACAGAATGTTTCAAGTTTGTAAGGTGTTAATCATTTATGCTTTTAAAATGACAGGATTTTAAAAATATGAAGTACTGTCTTCCTTTAATGTTAAAGGTGATGTCAATATTATCGCAATGTATTGTATATTTATTGAAAAACTGTATTCCCTATTTATTTCAAGTGCTGATTTTTTGTGCAATAAATGATCATTGTGTGGAATATTTTTGTGAAGAATTACTAAAGATAAGAAAACCAAACCGCATGGAAACATCGCTATAGATATACATGTGGGCTCGCACTAATGTCATTTCTCTAAGTTATCCATATTTTGGGTAGATTTTTGAGCAGCAGACGGCTATAGACATCTAGTATTTTTGTTTAGACCTAATTTCAACTATCTAGATTCTGTATATTTTTAGAAAGAATTTAGACATTGCACTTTAACCCATTATTCAATAACTGTTTATTTCAAAAAGCGACTGTGAGTTGCATAACTGATCTCGAAGTACTTAACCAAAATAATTATGATAGCCCATGAGCAATATACAGTTAGACCTCTGTTAGCTGTCTAGTCTAAACTTGGTCTAAATTTAGACATCTAAAAACTTTGATTTTTAGACCTGTGGTAGCCTGATTTTAGACCAGTCATCTAGGCTACATTTAGACGTCTATTAGACCTCTTCTAGACCAAATAATGCTCAGTGGGAAGTAAATGAAGACAGGTAGGAAATGTGGAGAGTAGAAATCTGGGGAAAAAAAACATGCTGCAAAGAGTCATGGCTGGGATTCGAGCACGTGTCCACTGTGAGGAGGATCACAACCTCTATAGATGAGGTTTTAACATTTAGTGTAACACTGAGGTGAGTGAGAAAAGTGGTGATAGCCTACTATTAACCATTGCTGTTTGAAGAAGACATCAGACTGAGCTGCACCAGAAGGCTACAGGAAGTTAGCATTGCATGCTAAAAACGTGTGTGCTGTATATCTCAAGCTAGAGCTAGCAATTTGTTGTATTCAGTGTTAATGCAGATTAACAGACCTTAAAAAGTACATATAATACAAATTTTGATTCCAAACCAAAGATTTTAAAACTACAGACTCAAGTGCCTCAGGGTGTGTACTTGACCAAACTCGTAAAATGTCAACCTTATTGATTCGCACCAGAATTACTAAAAGGCAAATACAATAATTACTGTTTTTATTAGTTTAGGGAATGCCAGTCACTGTAACCCAGGCCCCCGTCTTTAGCTCGGGCTGTACCTCCAGTCAATGCCTACTGACATAATGCCACAAAAATCCAACGCCAAAGACTGGCAGTGCTACATCCACTAACATTAGCCACACTTAGCAACATCCAGACATTATTTGCACACAGACTGCAAACTTTTCTGAGTGTTTTTGTAATTTTTGAATTGTTGATGACAATTTACATTTAAGTTCAGTGCTACATATAAATCTGAAGGTTTACTGGATAATTGCATTAGTTGTAGTGGCGGGCCATTAGCATGAAAAAATTCCAAATTTAACGCGCTTTGAGGCACAAGAGGACTTATCATCCGGTTTTTCTTTCTAAGGGTAAAACTTACAATATTGATACATCCAGTGGTTGTTGAGATAAACAAGTGTGGAATAAGGTGGTGGGCAGACGGACCCAACATCTGACAGACTGACTTCAGCATCCATGGAGCTGCATGTGGAGTGACAGAAACCCCACAAGATTTGACAGCAGTCCTGCTGAATACAAATGTTAGTGTGGCTGACAGAGAAAATACTCCCTGGACTGATGGAGATTATCACTAGATCCCCCACTGTTAATCTTGCGGCTGAATGCTGAAGACGGCCGTAGTCACCAGGCCACGTGTTGAGAGTCAGAGCAATTCTCTCCGCTCACCGGTGGTCCACGGTTACAAATCACATCATCAGCTGTCTGAGCACCAGCAGCCACCTCTTCTCCACCAGATTGATGGTGAAATAGAGGAAAAATCAATGGCTTCCTCTCGTCAGAAAGAGCCAGCTCTGTCATGTTTGGGAGTTTGATGTTACCCTCTCTTACTCTCCCTCAGCAATGGGAAATTGAAAGCTGAGTTTGAACAAGCTGACAGACGTGAACAGACTGGAGTGGCTGGAGTCGATATAATGACCGATTTCGATCTGCCACTTTTACTGGTGAGGTTATCTGTCCTGCCTTTCAAAAACACTTCTAAACCACTGCAGAAGATCACAGTGATCAGGTTGAGTTAGTCGAGTTTCTGTTAAATAATAGTCAGTCTTCAAACCCACTCCTGTGTAGGTGACCCTGTGAGTAACAGCAGTCAGTTTTCTTACCAGTGCCCCCCTCAGGAGTCCCCTCCATCACTCCATCCTTATCACTGCTATGACACGCTGCAACTGTGACACAAGGTTTCCATTCACTGCCTGCTCTGAAATGAGAAAGCATCACTAAGCTTTTTCATTCCGACACATATTCCCCCCTTAATGGGAAATTCAAATATCACATATCAGCTGAATGCAATATTCACTTAGTGAGAGATAACAATGTTGTCCCGTGTATCCGGTTCAGAGAAGGCACGGCTCGGTCTCTGACACCACATCTGACTGTGAAACTTGGTGTGTAAATTCTGTGTGCTGGGCCTGTTCATTCTGCTTTATTGGTGTGTGCATGTGTTGGTCCTCATGTGTATTTGAGAGGGAGCAGATTTCCGGGCATCTGTGCTTGTCCTGCGGCTTCTCCTCATGTCTTTACACCAGCGCCATCCCTTTTCATTTCTGCTGGCATTCTAATCAGAGCGTTACGAGCTCCAGCGGGTGAAGTACGCAGAAAGTTGTGTTTCCTGACAGCCAATAAAAACCGTATAATCTCCCTGATTCAAGTGGCCCATTTTAAAAAAAACACTAACTAGTGCTATCACTCAGACCACCCCCTTCCCTTTTTCTTTAATGCCCTTTTTTATTTAATATATAGCCCATGAAAAATGAGAGACTCCCGCTCCGCCGTGTAGATATTTTGTTGCTGATGATGCGAGACGAATTTCCATCACAGCTTTGTTTCCAGCGGGTGAGCGGATAATCTTTTACAGCGCAGGGAGGGAGGGCACTGCTCCCATCAATCTCTGGGGCTTATAGCTGCCGCATGGTTGCCTTACCTGACCAGAACGCCTGTGCGGCACCACGCTGACGGCCCACTCAGGGTCAGGAGCCACCGGGGGATGGGGGCACACTGGAAGATCACTTAAAGAGCGGCCGCCATCCAAACCCCTTTTAACCTGCAGCACACCTCTGTTCCGTTATTCCTGCCATTGTTATTATGTCATTTTTCTAACAAGGCAGTCACGTCTGACAGAGCAGAGCTGCTTTCCTTCCTGACAGCCCATTGAAACAGTGTCTGCAGTGAGGGCCTCAGCTGCTCGACAAAAACCACTCCAGAGATTTCACCCCTCTGTGCTTTTCAACCATGTGCATTAGGTGTTGTAGAGCAAAAGGTTTCAGTTTTAGTTCTGGCATTCTGCCTGGGCAGCCCCCATGAGAGGGGCCCCCTGGTGGTCCCCGCATTGGCGTAGTGGCAGCTTGCTGCTCTCTGCACCCGACTGCCCTGGCAATCGCCTGCTGCACAGCTCCTTCCCGTGGAGACGCCGCCGCTGCTCTGATTGACAATAATGGGAAGTGGCAGAATCGATGGGAGACAAGAGAGGGGTGCGCGTGAAATTCTCCTGGAGCTTCCAGTCACAGACCAGAGGCTCTGGCACCACTCACCTGTCATCCCTGCGGCACCAGGATTAAGGCCTGTGACAGCGGGAGATGCTTGAAGAGAAAGATGCAGTGGTTGTCATCGCCACTGACAGAGAGGAAGTTGTGCCCTCCTGCACACTTGGGCGACCAAAACATGGCGTCAACTGGCTGTATCTGATCACCAACCAAGCAGATTTAAGTGATCTCTATCAGACCAATATGAATAAGGACAATAATTTTAACAACAGATTGGAAAAAAAATCTTATTTTAAATTTAGAGAAGAAAAATTAGAGACACTGAATAACCAAAACAAAGTTTGAGACATGGATTCTAATGAACCATTTTGAGTGACTGCTTTGAAGCATCTCTTTCGTACTTTGTCGTGGTTTGTGGTTTGAGTGCATTTCATTGGGTTTATGTGTGTGTGTGTGTGTGCGTGTGTGTGTGTGTGTGTGTGTGTGTGTGTGTGTGTGTGTGTGTGTGTGTGTGTGTGTGTGTGTGTGTGTGTGTGCGCGTGTGTGTGCGTGTGTGTGTGTGCTACCACAGCGGATGGAGGCCACGTGTTATGACAGCAGGGGCACTCCATTCTCTAATTGATCGGCAAAAGATGCACATGAAGAAGACGTTAAAGCAAAATGAAGTCATAACAGTGGATTGAGACATTTATTAAGTCAGACGAAAGGCCCTCAGAAACGTTGAGATTGTTTATTGATTTTTGTGTTTTGGCTGGCTGCGCAGGAGTAATCGCTCGTGCTTTTGCCGCTGCGGAGGCTGCTGAGGCTTCAGGGGCTCGAGTGCAGCCAAATGTTCAGGTGGAGGCGCCGACTTCCTCCTAAAAGAGGCAACTTTAACTGGCAGAACATAGAGCTGTCATTACTTCTGCAGTTGTTCCCTCATTTGGGAAAAAGGTCCTGACCTGAAACGCTGTCAGTTAGTCAAGTTCGAGGCGTGTTGCAGGTATGCTGTCCACTGGTAAAAGTTGACTGTTCTCAAAGAAGTGAAGTAAATTTTCTTCTTCTGTTTTTGTATATGCAGACTAGTCTAATGGAAGATATTATCATGCCTAGGACTGTGCTTGATCACACAAATGTGCTTGATTACTGATTACTCTAACCTATCAAATACTCGACATATCTCACAGTAAAAAACAGAAAGGATGACAAAGGTAATTTACAATACAGTACGATAAGATATCTATCATGCAAAGCAGTGTTACAAAGTACAATGCAACACAGTATGCTATAACTGAATTGTATATTCGATTGGATTTTGCAATATGAGAATGTGCAACAGTCAGATCGCAGGACGTCCAAGACATCATGCTGTCACTACTTCCTTGTTGTCCAGGATTAAACTCACTAAACAGAGATCTAAAATCACTTGAGGCTGCTGTGAGGAAATTTGATGACAGTTTTGGCGCCCCCTGTGGTTATCTTGTCCTTTACATGCTAATGCTTACTTTCTGACACTAACTCTCACCTTTGACAGTCAAAT